TCATTCCAAGGTATAGTATGCTCGGCGAGAAAAGAAGCAATGACCCTTGAAAGAGGAAATAAAGTATGACAGCTCAACCGTCCGATCGTCCAATCTATTTCCGTACCGATGCAAGGAGTAATCAATACTTGAACCATCTCGTGATACTTGAAGTTTTGTGAGGCATATTCATATGTCATGTCCACAGATTCCCTTGCCGAAATGCCATGTTTCAATAGAGCGATTACCTAAGTCAGAGGGCCGTTGAGAGGTACGTATTTACCTACATACAAAGAGTTGTCCGAAGGTTTCACAGCGTTCGGGATTAGATCTACAAACGTTTCATACCTGTCGTTACTGAACTCCAGTAGCGCAATAACGCCAGAAATTATGGTGTGCACAACTATCCTTCCACGCTACGTTGTCTCAGGTTCATTCATCAACGAGGTCAACATAATAAACAACATCAAACGGCAGACTGGGGCCGGCTAGCATCATCTGATAAGTGGCCAGCGGTTCAGTTGACCTGCATCAGTACTCCGTGGGTCAAACAAAGAAACCAAATGAAAAACGACACTTGTTCAATTTTGTATGTACATTTGTATGAATGTAGGTCATGGCATGGTCACGAATAAATGAAAATTCTCAGCTTGAMCCAGCCACCAAGCCGTACTATGACTCGTGGTTTCAGTAGAATAAGACTAAAGTCGTTTATGATAGATAGAGACAGGCATCACGCGACGATTCTCAGAAGGTCAATCTATGCCGTATTGGGAAAATTGTAATCAACGCTAAACGGAAGGACTCCAAAGTCAATACATACGTAGTCATCATCGTCTGTCAACACGAGGCTAGGATTCGGAAATCCGTAAACAATGATCTACATTTACTGAGAGTATCGAGAAGTGAAGGAAAGGAAAAATTTTTTAATCGGTTTTGATTATTTTCAAGATATAGATCAGAAGTCAAGGTACATTTTCACCAATGCTCAATTCTGGTTGGCTCGTGTAAGGAGCGGTCTGGAGACGCTTATGCAGAGCAAGCGGCCTTTCAAGTATGAGTTAGACTAGGCGTTGGTTCCAGGTACCTGCCTGGCTGACTAGCCTTGATGGATGTTAGTTGGGTAGTAATCAAAAACTAGATGACTGCACATAATCGATGGTAGCTTCGTTGATGGAGTATTGTAAACGTGAAGTGCATGGCTTTAGGTCTTGGTATTCTATCGGTTGACTACGTGGAAATTCGTATCTAGCAGTGCCGAGGGTCTTGGCGGAACTTCAAACAGAACCTTGTCGGGTCTGCAAACCTCAAACTGGTACGTGTGTGTTTGTGTGTGTATGTGTGGCAGGTCTTGTTGTTCTTGTTATGTTGTGTTGTTGTTGTTATGGTTGCTGTTGTTTGTACCTGATACTTCCAGCATCCGCCTTCGTGCAGCTGCATACATGGATAAAAGTGTTTCGGCAGATACGGCCCAGCGCCAATCACCGAGCAACACAATGCTCGCTATGGAGACCTACCACGGCAGATCCAGCCGCGAACGTCTTCATGTTCTGGACACATTGAGCCGAGACTGGATTAGCTGCTGTATTGGAGGGGGGCTCACCTGCCAGATTGGCCGGCCTCTTCCTCAATAAGCTTCGACTTGATTGCTATGTATGCAATATGCATGCACTGTACGGTGGGTGAAAGTATGTTGTTGCTCCAGAGTAAGTTGTGTTTCACTGCATGACCTGGTCTGTGCCCCACATAACACCAGCTGATTGGCAGCCAACCTACAGGATCTGAGCACCCTACCATGGTATAACTGTTTATGCACACTCTCGATTGGCTGTGTCTGTATGCACCTCAAGTCTCATCTTTCAAGCTTTACTCTTTTCTCTCCGGCTGCATTCGGATTCGTCTCATCTTGTCATGCTTGAGAGTCTGAAATTGGGGAGGACTGAGAGTACAGCCAACCAGACTGCGGCCAGACCCACTTGTTAGTGGCACTAGTCTTGATTCGTCTGGCAAAGTAGGCGCCCGCTTTTCTCTCTTCGGGCCAGTCAGGAACAATCGCCGGCCTCCATGCATATGCATTCCTTATTATTGTCCCTGATTCGACAATTACCTGCATGTTAATGTCGGCGTTTGCTTTGTAAGTTAACAAAGGGCAAACATCGATATGGAGAGGGTAGAGAAAGAGAACGGGAGACACGTTGATCAAAGCTTTCTCCGTAACATTCGTGGCGGTCGCCAAAAGGCGGTGGATAAGATAACAGGCTCGAAGGGTCTCAATTCCAAGCCAAAGGGATCGTTCGCCGATGAGTCGGTCATATCTTGGTACTTGGCAAGCTGGCAGTGATCAAAGTTTCCACATGTACACCTTCTCCTGATCCATTTATTGATAACCCGTTATCAATTGGGATGAAATCATAAATTTGAATCCAAGACCGACGATCGAAATTCAGAATGATCTTCATGGTTGCTTGTGACTGCAAATAGGCGGGKGTAGGACTGTGATGGGCCAATGACATGCTAATCCATTCTTTGGTTGATAGCAACCAGCGTACTCTCAATTATCTGCTCCGTGGTCTACGTAGGAACATACGTGTCTAGAGGATGTTTGTATTGTTTGTTTACTATGTACTATGTAGTACACTGCTCAGACAAGAAACAGACTGACTCACCAAGGCTCCCAGATTTAGGGACAGACCAGATGATTTATTGAGTGGTGGAGTGGCGCTCTGGAAGCTTCTGGCCGAGTGCAGAGACCATCTGTCGTTTCCGTAGAGTTACTGACACCAACGCAAACCTGAGGTGCAAATTGTGCAATCATCGACAAGGAAGCATGTTGAAAACATAAAATTGCGTGACAACCGTGCTTCATGCTCCGTGCTCTGGGGGTTGCTGTCAGAGACTGAGAGAAGAATGGAGGAGAGCTATCGAGGACCGACCAGTGACGAGAGGTGGCGCCATTCCCCAGTCTCGCTGCGTCACGCATGACAATACGTGTCGAAAGTCTACGCAGAGTCGTCACAGAGTTGAGCTGTAATTTACACAGTATTACCGTATCTATTTCGCATGCAGCATAGTCAGTTGGGTAACTCACATAATTGAAGTGAGGGAAAGTTGCTCCCACGGTTCACTGGAGTGGCAGAGTCACCCACGAGGCATGCCCTTGACCGCAATAGTCCAGATACGTACGCAATCGCCCATTATTTAGACGTAACAAAACCGTATCAGAACGGGTCCACCGTCAGCCCACTGCATCCGTGATTGGGCGGCCACTGCGTCATGACATGGCGTGACCGATCTGCTGTTTCTCCCTCGTTCGCTGGTCTTCGGCTGGTTGAACCTTCGTTTCCCCAGCTTGATCGAATGCGGTTAGTCGCTGAGCATCTCGTGCTTGCCCTCCCTTCCCTTCCCTTCCATCTCTTATCGCCGTCCGTAGTCTCTCTATCTCTAGCTGCCAGCTGCTCCTTCCTACTCTCCCGTCATCCCGTCCGCCCCTTCCTCATCCGCTACTACTCTATCAACCTCACTTCCCTTCCCACACCGACTCCTTTCCTTCTCTTTCTTTCATCGTCCGACCTCATCAATTCTTCTATACTTCTCTTCATCTTCCTGCTCTTATCTTCGACAACATCCTCCTCGACTCTCTGATCGACCGAATTCGCCTCCCTCCCGAACCGCCATACCTAAGCTGTCTATATCTCTCTCAGTATCGACAGACTCTCCTCCCAAAGTCTCGTTCCTATAGCTTCTGGTTATATCAAGCCAGAAATCCCCTTCACCCGCGTCTCGAATCCTCGATATAGTCCGGTTCTTGGAACTCGAGCTCTCGAGCCCGGAAGACCACTCCTATCTCTCTATTCCTTCGTCTTTAACAACACACTACTACGAACATCTACAATTTATATTGGTCAATTATCTTAAAGAAGATCCGCTCGTCCTATCTTCCCCCTCCGTGTGACGGCTACTGTCGATACCTCTTTCCTCCCTGCTGTGGCGTCGAGCCGCCGGAGTGGAATCGCCAAGGTGTTGATGTCTCGATTCGTCTCGAGAGGTACTTCATTGAACCTGTAGTTAGTCTCTGGAGGGTCTACGTGGTGTCGTCTTATCTTCGAGATCGATCCTCGGAACTCATTTCTGGTATTAGCACGTCGTCCGGACTTTTGCCGATACGTTGTGTTGCGATACTTGTCGTATGACTCAACTAACAACGCTCCTATCCCGTTGTCTCCACTTTTAACGATACATGCATATTTGAGTCACGACTACTTCAACCACAACATCTACCTCTACTTGCAACAGCCCACCCAACCAGAATCAATTTCACGATCTTACGAAGCGTCTCCCCCCTCTTGAGTAAAGGCTCTCTTGTCTATAACCGCCTTCTACTCTTCCATTATATCTTCTGTATTGCTGCCTTCACATCGCCTCCTTCGTGAACACTTTCGTTATCTCATATCTTTTGCATTCATTGCAACTGCGATTATTCTTCACCACTTGGCACGACGCCGCTTTCCACTTTCAATTACTTCCAATGAGCCTATAACGCCTGTTTCCGACTTGTCGACGCTACCCATCCGGGTACTCAAACCGACCTCCTTTCGCCAGTTCGGCCTATCGCTTCATCTCTTTTGTCAGCATATATCATCACCACTCTGCAGTGCCTATATGACCTTCTAGAAGAAGATTATACAGCCCTGCGTGCTCTTTCCTTCTTTCTCGATACCGCTCTCCTATTTTCGTTCGTCATCAGCTGCTACTGTCCAGCTCGGTGACCAGGAGTTACGMAAGCCGTATCTTGTCTCTTCACTCAACATACCGACCTACTTATACTGTCTATATACATTTTCACACTTGTCTTTTTTTGTTTCATCGTCACGAAGCTACGAGCGGATTGCTGGTTCATCACCCCTACTCATTCTACCTGTTTTTTCCTGTTATATCATAATCTTCCCCTCTCTGTTTTGCATTCGACACGTTGCATATCTGGAGTCTAACTGTTCAACATCATCACACATTTGCAAACTATCATGGATTGTTTCAAAGACAAGTTCGTTGAGGGGCAGCTTCTGGATGGGCGGTTCCGTACCGTCGCCCCATTGAATCATGGCTCATTTGGTATGGTCTTTCTTGCTAAGGATACCTGGACCGGACAGGATGTTGCCATCAAATGCTTGACCAAGCCTACATCGGCCGACGCTTCTACCTTGGCCATCGACATGTCATCCGAGGAGCTTGAGTGCCACGCGAAGATGGGCTATCACCCCAACATCGTCAATCTTATCCACTCATTCGAGACTAGTGCTCACACGTACTTGGTTCTGGAGTACTGCCCCATGGGCGACCTTTACGAGGCCATCCGTGTCAATCGGGGCCCTCTCGAGACTGAGCATGTTCGTGACTTTATGTTTCAGCTCATTGACGCCGTGGAGTTTATGCACTCTAACGGCCTCTATCACCGTGACATCAAGCCGGAAAACATCTTCCTGAACCAAGATGGTTCCATGAAGCTCGGCGACTTTGGCCTCGCTACTCGCAATATTATCTGCCACGAAGCCTGCGTTGGTAGTGACCGCTACATGGCTCCGGAGCAGTATGAGCCACCCCAAGCTGGCTACTCTCCCGCCAAAGCAGATATCTGGTCAATCGGTATCTGCCTGCTTAACATCCTGTTCGCTCGCAACCCGTTTGTGACACCTACCGAGTCCGATGTATTGTTCGCCGACTATGTTCGGGATCGCCAATCCCTTTTCGACATCTTTCCTAATATGTCTCAAGATACTTTTGAGATTTTGCGGAATGCGTTGTCTCTTGATCCCGAGAAGCGTACTCTGTCCGGTGTGCGCGACGCTATCATGCGCACAGTCAGTTTCACCACAGACGATGAGTCTCTGGATGAATTCTGTACCGAAGACCGAGATGTTGTTGCAGCCAGTGCCAATCGGGAGCCACTACGCACTCCCTCGATCCAGTCTCCTCACATGAACACTGGCGACAGTTTCCCCTGGGCCAAGGCTCTGCAAGCGAGTCCTCAACAACATGGTCGTCAGCTGTCGGTTATTCCAGATACCGAATATTACTCGGAAGACCTGTTCCCTGCCTCAGAGACAGCGGGTACTTCCTGGTATTCAGTTCACCCAGAGACGCCTTCGACTGCTTCCATTCTGGAATCTGCTATGGGTGCTTCTTACAAATCCCTGGCAGCTCGTAAGAACGATCCGATTCAGTCTCTTCATTCTGCCCGCATTCCTGTGAGTGGCTCTTTGCCCACTCATGTTGCCAAGCCCTTGCCTGCTATGTCTCTCGTCTTTGGTAAAGGCAAACGCGATCAGATTTCCAAGAGCTGGAGTGACCTTTGGGATGAGGAGGAAGAAGAGTCCGAACTTGAGGAACTTACCCTACAACAGCGTCGTGAGAATAATGCTCGCAGCTGGAGCCAGGATAGCAAGGACGCTGCCAGTCCCACTCAACCAATGGGTATCTTCGAACAGGAAATGCCGTCTCCCATTGAGAAGCCAGATCAGGAAAAATCCGAGACTTTCTCCAAGTCGATGCCGCTTCCAATCTCACCTACCCCTCAAACGGTGACCCCAGTCTCTGAGACACGTCATCGGAGCGCTCGTTTCAGTACTCCCAAGCGTTCTGATGTTGATAAGTGGGCTGCCCTTGGTGATCGCCGCCGGAACTATCGTTCCGACGAAGAGACTATTCCTCGTCTCAAGAAGCAACGCTCCATGAATTTGAGTTGGAGACGTGATTCCGGACCATCCAGCCCTCAAGCTTGGCGCAACCCTTTCCTTGACAAGGAATGGCGCCCGAAAGCGAAGCTGAGTAGCAACTACCACGGCAGTGTCGACGAAGACCTTGATTTGGTCGGCGGGTGGCACGATCTTCACCTGTAGTTTTATATCATCGCACCTCAATTTACTTTTTTTTCTTTTCCCATGTTTCACTACGCAACACCCCATCCCTCCTAGACTCTCTCGAAGGGTACTCTTGCTCGATGCTTCTTTTGACCTATTTGATTTATATTTTATCGCACTTTGTTTTTATTTAACATATATATCGGTCTCTCTTCCTCCTGTCGCCCTTGGTTCCTTACTTTAACGGGCGACAATATCCCGCATCGGTTTCGTCGCGGGCGATGGAAAATGGAGACGACGTGTCTTATGTATACTACGACATCACTTTCGATGACACGGCGCACATGGAAAAACCAAAAAGATCGTTTCACGGGGCATTGGAGCGGTAGAAGTCAGCGTTTTTTTCAGGCTGGCGTTTATCTTTATCATCACGAAACCATTTCACCATATTCTTATTCATTGTTTGAGCGCATGTCTTTCTACGGTCAATTGAGCATTGCAGCTTGCAGTCACCCTTTGCATTGAGTCTGAGAGTCCTCGCACTTTGGTGCTTTACGAAAAGTTCACAAGAAAAGAGAAGGAAGTGCTTGTACATTAGCACCTGGACGTCTGCCACTACACTATTCTGCATGTTTTTGAGGAAAGAGTAGTGGAAGGAGAAACCTTTGGGATTGCGGAATACTTATTTTGTTTTTTTCCAGCTGTCTGATTCTGCGGCGGTTCGTCAGTCAATTTAGATCTTCATGTTGTTTCTGGTCGCCTAGTTTGTGCTAGGCGTGCTTTGAACTTGGGAAAGGAGACGGGCTTGTATTATTGTACGTAGCTAGCTTACTAGATCATTATTTTTCTTCTTGAGTGAGAAAAAGAAAAGCAAATGGACAGTTTTGAAATTGGGATATTGGCTCTGATCTATTATGTACTTTTGTAGTGATACGATCCCAACGTTGAGTCTAGAAGTGAGGAGGCTTTATCCGATGCCGGCGCTCCGTCGTTTATCCGGCGTGTATCGACGGCCGTTAAGAGGCTAGGTCTAGCAGGTCGGCTTATCTTGTCGCCTCAACTACATTTTACCACCTTTCATCAAAATTACCACCAAAGATAACTAAAACCAAATTCTGTGCGCCACACTTTTGGACACTTGTCAAAGTCCTCGTGACAGTCGCAATTAGCTTTCCCTTTTACTCGACTTCTTTATCCCCTCTTTCATCCTTCCCCCAACCACCGGCTTCTTGCGAACCGTGGTTGGGACTACTCTATCCACCACTTGACACCATACCTACTCTGGCCTTCTTTTTGACCGCTTTTCCTTGACCTTTACACACGCCATTGAGGGGAAAAGAAAAGAGTTTCCACTTGGGAAATTTTGACAGTTATTTCTCTGCAGAACTAGTCTGAACAGCTAGGCTGTTATATGCCTAATCAGCAAATGTAAGTTAGACCAGTACCCACAGATGCGTTCGCAAGCAACATGTTGGCGGTGTCTGTCGGCTCTCGCACACACAAAGACGTTTGAAATATCCCTTCATATGCTTTTGTCTCTATGTCGTTGTTTCATGCTGGGATCATGAACTCGTCGGGACTCGGGTTGGTGTTTTGTTGATTGCTAACATGTTTGCTTCTGCACAGGACTTTTTGTTGTACTGGGTGAGACAGCGCGCTGTCATCGCCGCACTCCGCAGTGCCCTTGTCAATAACAACAACTACACATATTCGAATATCTTGCGTGGGCGCGAAGCTCTGATTATCATCGTCATGACGGGCGCCTGCATTGTCCAGGTGCTGCGGTGGGTGCAGGTGTGGCTGTTGCTTGCATCTGACTTCTTGGCGCATGCCACAGCGACAGCGGCAGCAGCACAGCTCCAAGTTCGATCCGATGATATTCAGGTTTTGATATGTCCCGTTCCGACCTTTTATGATTTGGCGTTTCCGATTTGCACTATATACGACGAGAGCAATTACGTTTCTACTCCTCCCGCCGAACCTTCTGCGACCTCTACTTCTTCGATAGCGGCTGCAGCGCAGTCTGCTCCACCGCCAGCAGCACAAGACACCGATGTCAACGACGACTCGCCTCTCGATAACGCCAATTTTCTCTCCTTCGAAGACTGGAAAAAGCAGAATCTTGCCAAAATTGGCCAGTCTGCTGACAACGTCGGCGGCAAGCGACAGGGTAGCGATATTGGACAGGAGCGTCGGGCGCAGATTAGACCGATAAACAACGCTCTGGATTCGCTTGGAGACGATGCAGAAATTGAGCTGAATTTCGATGGCTTTGGTTCCGAGTCTGCTCAGCCTACACCCTGGGAAAGTGGAAGTCCCAATGAAAATACAAATGTCCAGGGGGAACCTAGCGCCGACGATGATTCTGCCGATGGCGTCTCTACCGTAGGCCGGCGAAAGGACGCTGGCACAACGTGCAAAGAACGGTTCAACTATGCATCGTTTGATTGCGCTGCGACAGTACTCAAAACAAACCCTGAATGTTCGGGGTCATCCTCTATCCTCATCGAGAATAAGGATAGCTACATGCTGAACGAGTGTCGCGCAAAGGATAAATTCCTTATCCTTGAGTTATGCGACGACATCCTGGTTGACACAGTTGTCCTTGCCAACTACGAATTCTTCAGCTCTATTTTTCGCACGTTCAGAGTTAGTGTCTCTGATCGATATCCCGTCAAAGCAGACAAATGGAGGGAACTTGGAATATTTGAAGCCAAGAATACTCGAGCGGTCCAGGCCTTTGCGGTGGAGAATCCATTGATATGGGCTCGTTATCTGAAGATTGAATTCCTCACGCATTATGGTAGTGAATTCTACTGCCCTCTTAGCCTTGTTCGAGTGCATGGTACGACTATGCTGGAGGAGTATAAGAACGAGGGAGACTCGAGTCGGTCTGATGAGGAGATCACGGAGACTGCCGAAGAGGTCGGAAGGCCTGTAGAAGTTGAACAGCAATTACCTGTGCAAGAGCAGAAGACATTCGATAACTCTACAGTTGTCAGTCCGGTTTTGGAAACTCTGGAGAATACTAGTCCGCTGAATGCCAGTGTACTGGAATTGGCGGCTTTGGAATTCTCTATACTGGAGACAGCGACATGTGCTGCGGACTATTCTGCAATTGAGGCGCATGATATCCCCAATCAGACGAACCCGAAGACTACGGTGTCTGCTTCTGGAAGTGCAAATACTACAGTTGCGACGCCATCTGATTCTAAAGCAACTTCAGAACGTGAAAAGATGACCAACAGTGAAACCCACATGGCCTCGCGGTCCGAGAGCCAGGATGGAACAGTGCGTGGTTCAAGCGCCAACTCGTCAACAACCAGGACATCGGGGGCATCTGGAGAAGATTCTACCTCTACCATGGAACCTACGAAAGTGACATCTTCTGCCCCTCCGTCACCGAACCCCACTACGCAGGAATCGTTCTTCAAATCGGTTAATAAACGGCTACAAATGCTGGAGTCCAACTCATCGTTGTCGTTACTCTACATTGAAGAACAGTCACGAATGCTTAGGGATGCCTTTAGCAAAGTGGAAAAGCGTCAAATGGCCAAGATGAATACGTTTCTGGAGGAGTTGAACACGACGGTTATTGATGAGATTAGAAATCTCCATCTCGTCTATCAGTCGCTGCGCACTATTGTTCTGGATGACTTTGAGCACCAGCAGCGGGAGGTCTCTACAGCTGCCTCTCAGCTTGCAATTCTTACGAATGAACTCGTGTTTCAGAAACGCATGACTGCGTTATCTAGTGTTCTGATCATGATCCTGTTCGCATTAATCCTTTTACCCCGTGGGTCGGGAACTGTAGGCGGCATCGATTTTCATAGCATGATTCCATGGTCTCCACGCCCAGGATCGTCTGCGAAGGTATCGAGGATACCGAGCACTGGCCCATCTAGTCCAAGTCTAGAATCAGAGACTGCAACGCCGCCTTCTGTTAGTCCGTCCAAGAAGAAAACTCACCGACGACAATGTTCGAATGCCCTAGGCCACAAATCAATCAAAGATCTCCGCGAATGTACCAATCCATTGGCCCATTCATCTGAGGAAGACCCTCAGTTCACTGGATACGACGACAATGGCTGTTTTCGCTCCATGTCTGAATTTTCTGATTCGGATATAAACAAAATTCCTTACACGCCTTTCTCGTCGGATATTCGACATATGCTCGGTTACGATTCTGTACGAATGGGGCCACAAACCAACGTGGCGAAAGATACAACCTCATCGTCCCCTAGTGCCTCGCCTTTGCCGGACTTGGCTCAGGATCGACCTGTTAGCAGTCCACCAGTACTGAACGGGGCTAGTCTTGCGCCAAACGGCGGTCATGTTAACAAAGATGACCTGCGAGACGACGAGAGTGATTCAGAATCAGACATTGATGCTGGGACAGAACCTTTTCCGCCCTTTCCTACAGATCAATGACCTATGAAATTACGAAACCTACGAGCCCTATCATCGCATTGTTCTCGACACCTCTTGACGATATTTGCCAATGATTACACGAACCTACTTCACAGACCTACTACCACATACCGCATACCTATATATTTTTCACGAACTTGATTGAGAGACAGAAACTTCGATAATACATTGTATCTTTACATGTTCATATTGCGACTGCATTGGGTGGCTTGCGTTTGTCTACGCATTTTGATGACAGCAGCGACAGCACAGAAGCATGGCATAGCGTGTTTGTTTTTTTGTTTTTGTTTTGATGTTTATATGCATTTATACCCCTGTATATAATGAGCGTTGAGCAGCTTACACCAGCCATTAATTATAATTATCGCGTCTTAACAATCTTGGTGTGTCTCGTTGTACTTTGTACTCAAAGTAACTTGTAATGTTCTTCCATGACGGAATGACACACATTTCTGAGCGTTGCCGGGACAACAATCGGCCCAGTTTTGAAACGGGCTGCCCTACCACAAAGTTATCGCTGCTTGATTTTTATCTTCACCTCCCCGTCTACGTGACTCTCCAAAGTCAAATGCTGCCTGGAATCCTGCTCTAATTAGTATACTACTACGCTGCTTGTCAATTCAAGGTCTGTCTGGAATTTGCCGTCCTTTTGCTTTGTCCCGTCTTTTGTTTACTTACTGGTATCCATATAAAGACGGAATCTCTTCTCGCGCTCTCTCCAACTCCTTCCTCCTTCAGCCTTTCTTAAAAAAATCGGAAAACTTCTCGAAGCTTGTCATCCTTCACCAAGACCAAGCGAGCAAACAATCATCATCATGGACTCCCTCCAAACCCAAACACAACCTCTCACCTCCCGCTCCACAAACACACACCTCTCCCAACAATCCACACTGCAGTCCGACGCCAAAAAACAAGTCGACATCGACGTCAAACCCGCTCCAAACGCCGACCTCCTCTCGATGGACCATCACCGAAAGGTCCTTCAAGGCAAACTTCAGAACGGTGTCGCTGATGACCAGTACGTTCTATCACTCTGGGAAGCAAGGCGGTAAAGTCTATGAATTTTTTTCTTCTCCTTTTCGCTTCCTTTCGGCTTGTTTTTTTGGTTGCTTGCAATTGGAGAACACTGGAAATATAAGAGAAAAAGAAGGATTCTGGATTTGACTGTTTTGTGTGTGTTGAGTGCGAGATGGGGCTGGATGTGCTAATCGTTCGTGATACAGATCTAACAATGCGTCCTATGTTTCGCCATCAGACGATATCATGAGTCCTTGTACCAAGAAATTGAGTGATTTAAAGGGCAAGCGCTTCAAGAAGTATGTATTCTGCTTCAGACCGATTGAAACTAATTGTCAATGCTAATTCTACGACAGTGCCGGCAAACCAACCTCCCTCTTCGCAAAGCTCGGCAAGAAGAATTACGAGCAATCATCCTCGTCTTCTTCGTCTGCTAGTCCAGCTACGGAAGCTGAATAAGCCCCTTTCGGTTCTTCGGAGTTGCGTGTGCAGGATACTGGTTTACGGATGATATGATACCCTAATTTTTATTTTCTTCTCTTTCGAGTCCTTAGAAGAAAGACTCTTTGCTTCGATTCATGTCATTCGTTGATAACTATTTTGGTCTGGATGTGCTTTTTACTTTTTTTTTATTCATTGGTCTTGATTTCCTTTGTATACAGATTGCTATGAATGTTGAAGTACAATTGCCTGATAATACTATATAGTACACTAGAGCAATCGTAGAATCGTATGACAACCGAGGTTGGCGGCTATACCCCATACTCCGCTAACCCAACGGAGATCACCAGGTCTCCACTCCGATACTACTTAGTCCTCCATCATCTCACCATCTACCTTTCATTCTTTCAATTTTCTGACTGTTGTTAGAGCGAAGAACTAGTGAAATATCCCGCTTTACATAAATAATTGCACAATGCCTGCCTCCGCAAATATCCCGGCCATTGCGCAAGCGCATGTCAGCGAACGGGCCAAGAAGACACTCGACTTGGTAAGCCTTACCTCACAACACTCCCACGGACAATCAAAGCCAGTCTAACACTGTGTGACTCAAGGTCGAAGAGTTTGTCGAAAGAGAATGTATCCCCGCCGATGCCACATACCTAAAACAAATCGGCGAAGGCCACGCGCAGCGATGGAACGCGCACCCACCCATCATCGAAGAACTCAAGACCAAAGCCCAGAAGCTCGGGTTGTGGAATATGTTCTTGCCCAAGAACCATTTCTCGGAGGGCGCTGGGTATAGTAATTTGGAGTATGGGCTTATGGCCGAGATATTGGGCAAGTCGAGGGTTGCTTCTGAGGTACCATGTTTCCCATCCGGCTTCAAGTAGTAATTCATGGCTAATCGATCAGGCTACCAATAATGCTGCGCCAGATACCGGTAATATGGAAGTTTTGGCCAAGTATGGCAACGACGCCCAAAAGAAGGAGTGGTTGACCCCGTTGTTGGAGGGCAAAATTCGCTCCGCTTTCTTGATGACGGAGCCCAACGTGGCGTCGAGCGATGCTACGAATATTCAGCTCAATATCCGTCGTGAGGGCAATGAATATGTTCTTACCGGACAGGTATGCTATTTGCCGTCTTAGACTTTATACGTCTCGAGATCTACTTACTGACTAGCTGTAGAAATGGTGGTCCTCCGGCGCAGGCGACCCCCGCTGCAAACTCTACCTTGTCATGGGCAAATCCGACCCTCAAAATAAAGACCCCTACCGCCAACAATCCGTCATCATCGTGCCCGCTGACACACCCGGCATCACAATTCACCGCATGATGCACGTCTTTGGCTACGACGACGCGCCCCACGGTCACGGCCACATCAGTTTCAAGAACGTGCGCGTCCCCGCCTCCAACCTTGTCCTAGGTGAAGGACGCGGGTTTGAAATCATCCAGGGCCGTCTTGGTCCTGGGCGTATCCACCACGCCATGCGCGCCATCGGCTCAGCCGAGAAGGCCCTCGAGTGGATGATCACTCGCATCAACGACGAGCGCAAGACCACTTTCGGTAAACAGCTCAGTTCCCACGGCGTGATTCTCGAATGGCTCGCTCGCTCGCGTATTGAGATCGATGCTGCGCGTCTCTTGGTGCTCAACGCAGCTATTAAGATCGACCAGGGCGATGCTCGCTCTGCCCTGAAAGAAATCGCAGAAGCGAAGGTTTTCGTACCGGCGGTTACGTTAACTGTTATTGATCGTGCGATCCAGGCGTTTGGTGCTGCTGGTATTTCGCAGGATACGCCCTTGGCTTCTATGTGGGCTAATGCGCGCACGCTGAGGATTGTCGATGGTCCGGATGAGGTGCATCTGCAGCAGTTGGCGAGGAGGGAAAATAAGACTAGAAAGGATGAGCTGGCGGCCAAGTTGCGCTGGCAGGCTGAGAGGGCGGATCAGTTGTTGCTTGCTAACGGATTCGAGGCCAAGGCTAAGATCTGATGACTTCTGATTACGATTTCAAAGTGTTTATATATAGCTCTTCTCTTTTGGAATACAAAATCTATGATCTTCCTGACTTTCAGCGTTATCTGACCAGCAGACTTGAAATTGAATCAATTCGTTTGTCTAGTGACTGTACTGAATCCGGGACGATGATGTACGATTGGAGCTCGGAGACAGCAAAGAGAATGTAAGGTCAAACATAGATGCAATCTATTACATGTAATCGACACGGAGAAGGTAAGGGAAATCAATAAACGCCAGGTATCATGCCAATCACGATTGTAGGTATTCAAAATCAGAAGGAATAAGCAAAACGAGGTAACTTAACAAAAGCAAGAAAGATTGATTCGTCCAGCATAAGAATTAGGGCATGTACATTAAAATGCAGTCTGACGAGAGCTTGTTTGACGACCCAGCGTCTCTACGCGATAACCGAGTTTCTCCATTTCTGGCACATCCAACACTCCACGACCGTCAAAGATCCATTTGGGATCCTTCATGCCGTATGCAATGCGTGCCCATTCGACTGGCTCACTTGACATAGTTCCTCGTAATTTGACCGATTGGCAGTCTGGGCAGTCCTCGGCGCAAATGGGTGATTGACCTGGTCGGTAATTGAAGCGACTTCCCTCAATGGTCATATCCTCTTCTAAACCGGCGTGCGCGGTGTGTGCAGGAGTCTCGTAATAAGGTGTCCGTGCAACTGTATCGATGTTTGACTTAACAGACTGCTTGGCAGGAGATTGACGGAATGGATCAGAGTCGTTAATGACAACCACTGCGTGTGCTTGTTGGCATGCCTGATACCCATCAGAGTACACGTGGACACGTTCCCGGTTGGTGGCATCTAATATTGGCTCTAATTCACGCATAATATTCTCAGACAGGCAGCAGGGGTCGAAAATGGCGATTTCTCCAGGCCTTTCCTGTAACAAAACTCGGATGACATCCACTGCTAGAGACTCGCGGGTGTCACCAGTATTCTTCTTGAAAGCGAATCCCAACAGAGCAATCTTTTTGCCAACCAAGTTCTCTTCCAAACGCTGAATAATCTTATAAGCGAAGCGGTCTCGTTGCCATTCGTTCATCGAATTGACTTGACTCCAGTAATGCGCCACTTCGGGCAATCCCAGCGACTCAGCCAAGTATGTTAAACTGGAGATATCTTTGCGGAAGCATGAACCACCGAACCCCAGGCCAGCCTTGAGGAACTGTGAGCCGATGCGAGGGTCAATACCAGCTGATTTGGCAATCTCATCGATATCAGCTCCGGTCTTGTCGCAAATGGCACTGATGGAGTTGATGCTGCTGATACGTTGAGCAAGCATTGCATTGCTAACTAGTTTGGCAAGCTCAGAGGACCAAGCATTAACTTCGAGGATTCGAGGACGAGGAACCCAGGCCGCATAGACATTGGCGAGAGCCTCTGCAGCCCGGCGGCCTGAAGGAGTCTTGGCCGAACCAATGAGTACACGATCGGGTTTCATCAAATTCTTCACGGCTGTGCCTTCTGACAGAAACTCTGGATTGGAGATAATCTCAAACGCAACACCAGGGCGGACTTCGTCCAGCTGAATTCTTATTAGTGATGCAAATCGCCAACAGTACCAGAAGAAAGCTTACCATCTTTCGCACTCGCTGCGCTGTGCCACACGGTACTGTACTCTTCTCGACAATGATTGTGCCGGGTCTCGCATACAAGGCGACCTCTTTGGCTGCCGCATCAAAAGTTGTCATATTAGTTGCGCGGCCACCTCCAACGCCAAAAGTCTTTGTTGGCGTGTTAACAGCTAGCATAACCACATCGGCCTTGGCCAGACTGGTCTGTGAATCGGTCGTGAAGAATAGGTTGGGAATGCGATTCACTGGAGTATCTTCGACTGAGGCATCCCTCAAGCGTGCACTGGCTCCGTCGCGACTCACTCTGACTATATCAACCAGACCTGGCTCATATATAGGAAGATGAGGTGAATTCCACCGGCGCACACGTCGCGGATCTTTGTCTAGCACATCTACCCGAATATGCGGGTTATGCAATGCGATGACTGCGGCGGTTGGTCCACCTACTCGATCATTAGTAACGGTCCCACAAGTCGTTACAAGTAGCCCATTGGGCCATTCCTAATCCTGAGAATATGCTTACCAACGTATCCTGCTCCAACCACAGCAATATGCCTCACAGGCTTGGCAAAAAGAGCTTCTCTTTGATTGGGAGCAGCATGAAAAGGAAGCTTTTTGGCGGCGAGCGCGTTGACAGGAGGCTTCATGCTGTTGAGGTATTGAGCAAGTGGTGTTTCGAGAGCGTCTTCAATACGCGCGGCGCCAAGAAGAGGGCTGATGCTTTCCGGGGTAGTAGGGCCGGTCGAGTCATCGCAAGAGCTTTCGCTGGCCGTCGTGGACGGCGATGTAGAGAGGAACTCCATATTGTTAGCGAAATCGTATGAATCCATTGAGGCAAGGCTGGCGTTGCGTGCTGTAACAGGCTGCCCCGACGTGCGGCTCTGAAGTAGATCCGATCGACGAACGGATCGAGATGTGATCTAGACAAGAGAGACGGTCGTTAAGCAAGCAACATAAGAGCATGCACTAATCCAGTAGCTGGGATGAATGAGAAGAAGCAAGTTGCAAGAAGAAAAATGAAGTAGAAATAAAATAAAAAGCTATCGCACAGAGTCACTCGAGCAAAGCCGTCTTTTCCCCTCGGCACCAATGCGCATACCACTAGCAGATGCTACGGAGCCAATGTAAGGATGGCAAATTGCGAGAGAATGCCTCTTTCCTAGAGTGGCAAGGGCAGGCTCGCATGACGGGGGAAAACACGGAGAGCGAGCACGGGGGCTAAATGATTTGCTCTTGGGCGAAGGTACATAGTAATCCCGACAGACGATGGGAGCAGGCGATAAGGATAGGACGTAGCTTGGACGCAATCGGAGAGGATCTTTTTTGGGAGAAGGACGCTCAACGCTGCCTGGTAGAGTCATTCTGCAGCCAATCAGTGCTGTCACGGGATCTCGCGCGCGCTCCTTCTTCGCATTCACAAGTTAAGAGCACCTGCCGTGGTAATACTGTGAAGCTGCGCGAAGGAAGGAGCGTTCGTCGAGTGCAATTCGCGGATCATTGCACGCCCTATACAATCTGCGCGCTGATTGGTCGTGACTACTATAACGGCAGGKGGGGCACTAGTAGTGGGGGCATGGGCGCTCGGGAAGGACCCATTGGACGATACCCTCCTTCCCTCTTATCGCAGCTTCCCTCTGGCGATAAGATAGGAAAGACCCCCCCCACGTGCACGGACAAGCTGTTCGCATTCCCCGTCACGACTTCTTTTTTTCTTTTCAGTCATTCCTTACCACAGAGTAATGGAAAAGAAACAGCGGCCCAATTGGTGAGCCATCGGGTGATGACTGGCTCCCGGTGGCGAGCGGTCAGACGGAGATCCAATCTAGCAGATGCCTGCGTGCACGCATCTGGAGATCGCCCTAGTCTGCCGTACCTTCATTAATCATCGAGAAACAAGCAAGCACCTGACGGAGCCGCGAGACTTGTCCGCATGTATGAAGAAGTCCGATTTTGGTCTAGCCTGAGGGGCACCAGCCAAAAATACCTTCGTCTGCGCCAAAAGTCCCGCCGGTGGCGGACAATCGTGGTACAACCCCTCCCGGCTTTCTCTCATAAAAACTGTTTCAACCCCCAAAACACTCGGCCAACGAAAGAAAGGACGGTCTGCATGTACAACTTGCAGCCGTCACTTGCAGCCGTCAACCAGGACTCAAGCAACAATGGCGATTCAAGAAGGTGCCCTGAATGCGCGCCGCGATGAGTTCCCAGCTGCGTTGAAGGGAAAGCGCATCCTCCTGGCCACTGAATCCCTCGGCCCAGTCAATGGCGTTAGCAGGACGACGGGTATGCTGATCGAATACCTCAGAGCCAACGGCGTCGATTTGGCAGTTGTTGCTCCGCGCTACGAAGTCAAAGATCAACCGCAGTCAAAGTCAGCAACACCATCGCATGCTCGTTCAGGATCAGAAGTGCGACTGCACGGCTATCCGTTACCGTACAATCCCGACTTGACTGTCGTGTACCCATTTCGTTTCGACCGTGTCTGCAGCCGTACTTTTCAGCCGGATATCGTTTACCTCGCAAGCCCGGCGTCAGTGGGGTACCAGTTCCTCTGGCAAATCCGACAATTGCAAAAACCACCAGTGGTGCTGCTCAATTACCAGACCGATCTAGCGGCTTATTCTTCTATACTCCTCCCGGGTGCTATGGGCCGCTTCGGAACCTGGTTGGTGAACCGAGTACAGGGCTTCCTATTCAACCACCCCTCCGTTGAGACCATCTTTTATCCCTGCTCGGATGTTCGATCATATCTGGAAGAGGCTGGCGCGCCATCTAATCGTCTGGTCCAGCTCGGCCGAGGAGTCGATACAGTCACATTCAACCCCAGGCATCGTGACGAAGCCTATCGTCGAAAGCTCGCTCCGAACGGCGAAATTATACTAGCGTATACGTGCCGTCTAGCACCCGAGAAGGGGTTCGAATTCTTGGCCGATGCTGCCATCCGACTTGAGAAGGAGGGTCTTGCATATAAGCTTCTGATCGTGGGCGGAAACAGGAATCCAGCCGTCGAAGCAGATGTACGAAAGCTTTTCGAACCTGTCCGAGACCGTGTCATCTTCACCGGTTTCCTCGGCGGTGAGAACCTAGCACGAGCCTATGCCGCAGCTGATCTCTTTCTACACTGCTCAATTACTGAGACATTCGGACTAGTCGTTTTGGAATCGATGGCCAGCGGCGTTCCCGTCATAGCGCGCAATCAAGGCGGTCCGTCGGACATTGTCAAGCATGGAGAGACAGGATATCTAGTTGCGCCAGACGATCTAGATGAGTTTGTTCGATCGACTCTAAAAGTTTGTCAAGATTCGGACCTCCGCCAGAATCTAGCTGTCAATGCTCGAGCGTTCGCTGACGAAACCACTTGGGAGAAAATCAATCGCCGGGTAGCCTGGCACATTTTGGATGGATTGGAAAACCATTCTCGACGAATCGAACAGAAGCGAGCGCAACGTCCTATTCGAAACTGGATTTCTACACAATATTCCGAATTTGAAACTCATTTCTGGTGGCCCCTGATTGAGCAGCTCCGCGTCAACGCCGCTATTGCTTTTGTGTTTTTTATGTGGATGATCGCCGTGATACCGTTGATTCTGCATGGAAGTCGCATGTTTCATTTTGTGCAAACTATACCCCTTATGTTCCAGCAGGCGCAGAGTAATCGTTTATTGCGGTGATTTTGGGAGGAATGACTTTGTCATCTCTCTTGCTTCAGACGGCGTTTCGAGAAGATCTTTGACTTTTTGTGATACGTTATGTGATACGATTCCTCTTCCAACAACCCGAGTAAATAGCTACCTTTGAAACCGGAAATGATACATCCTAGAATTAGAGCAGTCCGATCAGGTGACGTAAGAAACACTAATACGCCCAATGGAAAAAAAACGTTGATTTCGAACATAAGATAATTACATATCAGCTCAACGTTATGCATAAGATCTCTACTCAACGCCGTAATGTAGCACAAAAGAAAACCGCAAACTCTTCCTTTGCATAAATCAATACCCATCATAATCATCAGCACCAACACCCAACGGCGCCTTCCCTTTATTACTCTTATGCGTCTTCTTCCCACCCTTGAAATGCTTCTTCGAAGAACCCATCATAGCTTTAACTTCAGACGGATCAATATTTTTTTCTAAAGCAATCATGGCCTTCTCCTTTCGACCAGTGAGTTCTTTCGCTTTCCCTTGTTGCGAGTATTTATAGTTGAAAGGCATGGTTTGATGACCCGCAGTACGGCCTGAGCCAGGGCCGAAAAAGCCCTTGTCGAGACGTTGGGAGCGGGGACCCAGCTCAGGTACTGTTGTTGCTGAGGAGGTTTGGGAGGGGGGATTGATTTCGGAGAAGGAGGAGGCGGTGTCGTCGAGGTTATCAAGACCTCCTTCGCTGGAGACGGCTTTGAGGAGTTGTGCGCGTCGCTTCTCTGGTAGATGGGCGAGGTTGTATAGATCGTGGTTGAACTCGGCAGGGTCAACGACTGGAGTGCCTTCGGTGTCCTCATCGCCTATCTTTGTGGCCGGAGGTGGATGGCAGTATAGAAGTTTTCCGTTGACGTAATCCTTGAGAATATAACGTGCCGCACGAGATTCATCAGGCTGACCTAAACCTGACGTTGCGAATCCACGAGCTCTAGCATAAGCGCGCAAGAGTTCGTTGGCATTAGGTATTCCAGTTCCACCTTCTTCAACAGGCCGCGTATAGATTTTTATACCATAGACTGCTTCCAAGAAATGCTTCGGGATGCGATGTGCCACAAGTCCAGCAGGACCTGTAAACTCACGCAATTGATCGATGGGAAGCACACCGTTGACGACCAACTCCGCCTTTGTGCTTGCAAAATTAGGGAACACCAGACCAGGGCAATCGCAAAGAAGTAGGTTGGGTGACAGGTAGAGGGTTTGGAAATGCTTCGTTTTACCGGGTGTTGCGGAAACCGACACCTTCTTAGCTCCGAGGAGTGCGTTGATAGTGCTTGACTTTCCGACGTTGGGGTAGCCGACAAGACCAATGATCGTCTTGTCCTTTTGTGGTTTATCGGAGCCTTCTTCTGGTTGAGGGGCGTTTGCCAGAAAGAGTTCCTCCAATTCTTCGACATCAAGGATTCTGGTCCTCAACTCGCTTTCAGTCTTTGCAGACTGTAGTTCTTTGCGTGCTTCGTCGTCGATGTCCTCTTCACTCGACCATTCTTCATCGGCTCSTTGCTTTTCTTGAAGGKTCATTTTCTGTTCGGTTTCTCCAGCCAAATCCTCCGCATCGTCGCTCTCTTCTTCTGAACCCTCATCCTCATCAAGTAAGCGTGCCTCATTGCGCTCTTTGGCCAAATGGGCAGAGAAGAAACGGTAGCTGATGCCGTGCTCTTCGAAATAATCCGCCCACAGCTCTCGCTGTTCCAAGGTCATCATATCGGCCTTGTTCACAAGCAAAAGATTCCGTTTCTTGGGATCTATCTCTTTTACGTACTTTTCCAAATCCTCCGAACGGAAAAGAAGGGGGTTCCTTGCATCGACAATTTGCACAATCAAGTCTGATCGCTCGATAACACGCCATAATTGTCTCCAAACCTCGACGTTTCGCTCAAATGGTGTCATTAAAAGATCATTGCTCTCTTGTAGTTCGGCCAATCCTCTTCTCCATTCAAGCAGAGACTGTCTCTCCATAGAATCCAACTGCTCCGGTGTTGTACTTGAATCCCACTTCGGCCGCCTGGGAATAGTCAAACGCTCTTTATTCTTCTGTTGTTTCTTCACAGCAAACCGTTCCTCCGCCGCCGACAACAAAAAAGGGTTCTTCTGATCGGTATGTATAATCTTGACGTTATTAATCTTCTCCGCAGTGAAATCGGTATCTGCCAACTCGGCCGTGCTAAGAAACTCGTCCAGTGCGGCTTGCTCGGTAATACTTCGCATTTTCACCCACGATGCTTCCTTTGCTGCATTCGTGATATACGTCTCTCCGCTCTGATTCTTTCGTGCAATTGAGGCATTGTGTGATACTTTCTTCTGGGCTGATGCTTTGCCTCGTCCGAATCGATCGTTCATGAGACTGTTGCCCAGTCCCACGGTGTTTTTGGATTTTGCGAGAACCATTTTGACAGGCCTCGAGGTGGTCAAATTATTTCAGATAAGGTTGTGCTTCCACTATAAGGGAACAATATTAGTTAAAATCTCGAGATGGCTTGCCCAAATATATGTCCGGGATGAAAATGGTGGCGTTGATTATTTCTAATACGAAATTTCTTGAACCCCCGCTCTGTTTTTTTGCGATAAGATAAGTTAGTTGGAATTCCCGCGATTAGTCAGCCACTATTTCGCCTAATCGATAAGATAAGATCGCACGTGATCTCAAATTTCTGCCCACTTTATCCCAAGTGAGGGACCTTGCAAGAACTTTTGTTGTCACAAAGAAGGATCTTCTTGAAACGCAAAGCGAGGTATTTAAATTCAAATTATAGCCTGAATAAAGACAGTCAATATGCCTCCCCGACGGTGGATGTAAGTCACCCAAAGAATTCTTCATGTCGCGATCCTGAACTAACCGCTCTAAATTCTAGAGACAAGAAAAATGCGACGACGTACCAGCTTTTTCACAGATCTCAGCAAGATCCGTTGATCCACGACCCGACCGCCGAAGATAGGGTGCTACACCCCGTTTACGGACCGAAACAAGGCGCACCAACTCTCTCAACTACTGCTTCTTCTGCGTCACACAAGACTTCCAGGCATTTGAAAGAATTGGAGGATGAATTCAGTACGCAAAATGTCCGCAAGAATGAGGGAGAGGCCGCGAATTATGGCATCTATTATGATGACTCCAAATATGACTATATGCAACATCTGCGGGAGTTAGGAACTGCTGGCGGCAACTCGTACTTCGTCGAGGCCGCAGCGGAGAAAGCAAAGGGCAAGGGCAAAGCCATGAAATTGGAGGATGCTTTGCGAGACTTCTCTATAGATGATTCACAAAGCGAATTTGGAGGCGCCGCGAGCGTCTATGGCTCTCAATATAACCCTTCAACGGCATCTTCCTACGTCCGTAAACCGACATATCAAGACCAACAGAATGTGCCAGATGCAATTGCCGGATTTCAGCCAAACATGGACCCTCGTCTCCGCGAGGCTTTGGAAGCTCTTGAAGACGAGGCTTTTGTGGATGATGAGGATGATCAAGATATATTTGGTGAACTCACACGCAATGCGGAAGAAGTGGATGCTGGAGAATTCGAAGATACGCTGTATGAGGACGAGGATGATGGTTGGGAATCGGATGCCACAGAGAAGGCGTATCCTCAAACATCTGATGCCAAAACAACCATTGATAAAGAAGCGCAAGAACATGACCCATCCGAGATGCCGGACCACGATAAACCAGTTCCAGATCTCGCACCAGAAAACTCCGATTGGATGCGCGAATTTGCAAAGTTTAAGAAAGAAGGCAAATCCTCAGATAACACACCAGCTGCAAACCCAGATGCAGGAACCGAAAAACATACGGTTGCATCCACAATGTTTACAGTTGGGGGCACCCCGATTCGCAAGAAGAAGCGCAAGGGTGCCTTGACCAACCCATCCGCATACTCCATGACCTCGTCCGCACTCGCTAGAACAGAAGGGCACCGACTTCTAGACGACCGATTCGAGAAAGTCGAAGCCCTCTATGCCCTTGACGAAGAAGGTGAATACGATGACGCTAGCTTTGCGGATGGCGCATCAATGATCAGTGGTATGACTGGCGCAACTGGCATGACTGGAATGTCAGCTGCTTCATCTCAAGCACCTAGTATGGTTTCTAGGGGCGATTATGGCGATGTCCCTCTACGAAGCGACTTTGATAATGTCATGGATGATTTCTTATCTGGATGGCAAGATCGGAGTAAGCAAGCCAAGCGCAAGGGTGCTAAGGGCAAGAGAGGAAAGAATGGTAATGAGGTTTTGGGCATTGCAATGTTGGATGAGGTCAGGTCAGGTTTGGGACCGGCCCGACTGCCTGCTCGGGGAAAAGCGTAAATGTTTTTGGAAAGCGTACATATACCTGTTGATAGTTACTGACGATTAATGCATTTCATGCCCTTCATATCTGTTGCTCTCTTCGTAAGCAGTCAAAATGCTATAGTACTCAGAGATTACATCTATTAGGTATATCTATATGATTACTGTACATGGTATGTATAATTACAGCGCACCACCCACCTTTTCCACAATCCACATCGCAAGCCGGACATTCCAGCCAACTCTACGTTCCGTTCGGCGCAGGTCCTCTCTCGAGACAGGCTGGGAATTCTCCTGCAGCCACTCGGTCTCCTCATGCAGACGCTTTTTCAGCCTTTCGTCGGAAGTAACAACCAGAGCACCAACTTCAAGATCAAGACTATAACTGCGCTTCGTGTAGTTGCTGCTTCCAACAAAAGTCAAACTTGGATATTTGTCGTCGGGTAACGTGATCCAAAGACCCTTGGCATGGTATGTCCAGCCATTGGGTTCACCGACGGTTCCTCGGCGCCACTCTCGTAGCTGAATTGAGTTTGTTCGATGGGCTTCTGCGACTTTGTCTAGAAATCTGGCGGATAGATGGGTGTATGCGGCGGGTAGCATGCCGGATACACCAGGTGAGCCGTAGAATCCATTAGCCCATGGAGAGGCAGTGAGGACAGTACCCTGAGTTTTGGTGGCAGGTTCTTTTGTAGACGGTATATGAGAAGTACTTTCTATAAGCAATGAAGAAAGTGTAGGGTGGATGTTGAAGTATCCAGCAGTGAATAGCCAATAAGAGCCTTTTAAGGCAGAGATGCTAGTGAGTAGGCGGAGAATGCTAGTGACAGCAGGAAATTCAGTAGAGGTGTCGGGTTGAAGGAGAGGCGTCATTTGCGCCACTGGATAGACGAATGCCTTGTCTGTTGTATGCATAGAACTAGCTTTTTCTTGAGCTATAGGCTGGATCAACGAGTGTAATGCTGTAGTTGATTTGTTTATGAATTCCTTCGGATTCTCCAAAGGTGAATTCGCACTATTTGAGGCAGGCCATACTAGTTGATAGCCAGCCGTGCTCTTAGCAGGAAGGACCTGGAAACTCAATCGGCAGACAGCGTCGTGAATTTTGCCATAGTAGTCGGCCAGTTCCTTGGAATCGAAGACGTGGTATCGGTCAACACGATTGGTAAAGTAATCTTGAGACAGGTTTGCCCTAAGTTTTCACATTTAGTCAGAATTGGATTGAGCCAACAATTCCGCAATATGTACTCACCCAGATAAGATAATCTCATCATCAATACCATACAACTTCATATGCTGAAGTCCCCATCCTTCATTTATTCGACGTGGTATATACTTCTTTCGCAAACCAGTGAGATTCGGCGTATGAAACATGCGAATTTCAACACGTTCCCCATGCTCTTCAACCAATGGCGCAAGTAGTGAAGCAGATGAAGGGTTCGGAGTCTCCCGTGTGCCTCGCAAGCAATCTGTAAGAATCGAGACGTGAAGGTTCGGATTGTCGCGCAATGCCTGATTCAATATATCAACGAGCTCATGTTCGGTCTTGCCGATATATAACGTCGAGAGGTATATTCTTCGGCGCGCATTTTTGATTTTGTGCTGCATATCCATTTAGCTTCTGCGATCCTCATCCGGTCTCGATGGCTACCAACCTTGAGTGTTTCATAAAAAGAGCTCGGCGAGTCCAAAATTGTAATTTTTGACGCTGAGACTTCAAATCGAGGAGCAATACGGTCCAGCTCCGTGGTAAGTCCTCCTAATGGAGACGCAGTAGATGCGATAGAAGCGTTCGAATTGCTGTAGACTGAAAACTTGCGGGTTGCGACCTGCCTCCGAACGACAGGCCTTTTACACGAGCACCGCAAAGCATGCTCTCCAACGCGCTTGAACATTATACTGTCAGTTATCGATATTCCATCTGTCGTTTTGCTGTGCAAATCGTTGAGATGTTCAAGCCCATGCGGCCGACAATATAAAATCCCGATGCAAACAAAACAAACACCAGTCACCGCAATCCACGCTATTCCCGAAACTACCGAGCCGCCATCGACGACATCGTTCAACTTCACTTAAATCACATCAATTCGATCATACCAGACGTAAAAGTCGCCATTCAGTCAAAATGTCGACTCTTACTCGTACATTCAGAAATCTGTGGCGCATTGGGCTCAAGGTAGGCTATCAATGCCTCTCCGGTCTGTGGAAGTTTGGCCGTGCTAATCTCTTTTTCTAGGAATATGGACATCAAATGCAGGTACGTTTCAGCAATGGGCAATAACCTCGATTTCGACGGCGACTGTTAGCTCACATTCGACTGTTTCGAATATAGTATATTGGTAAGCCCTTCGCGCACGTTACCGTTATACCGAACAGCCACTTACTGAAATGATTCAATTGCAGGTGACACCAAAGCTGGCACGCTGGTCGCAACCGACCGTTTCGGAAACAAATACTACGAGAACTTGGAGGAGGAACTTCCCCGTAAGCTTCAATGCGGTGTCAATACGACGGAGAAATGGAGGTGCTGACGGTATTCGTTAGTCCGTACCCGATGGGTTGACTACAAGGAAAAGGAATACGACGCTGCTCAGATTGAGCCCGGCTGGTAAATCACTTCGAGACCACCGCCAATACACAGCTCTGATAAATTAACAATGGCACAAAATAGGCACGCGTGGTTGGCATACATGGTTGACGCTCCCCCAACAATCGACAAGCTTCTACAGACTGGCGTCCGCCCATGGGAACTCCCAGAACATCGCGGCAACTTGACATTGTCTCGCGGAGCTTACATGCCGTACTCAACGTGAGTTCTCTATGACTGGCAGCTTTTTGTTTTTAATCAACGCTAACAATTGTCGACGAAGTGTGCGCTCCAAGTATTCTGCTTGGCAACCAGTTGCTGCACCTCGATAGATCAAACTCAATGAGATACATTTTCCAGTTCAGTCTTTACAATCGTTTAGCAATGTGCTTATTGCTACTGTAAATAATATTATCGCGCGCCCGATATCAATGTAACAGTCAATCACAGACCTAAAGTTCGTTTTATATTGAAGGATTATTTAGATTATGCTATATATGTACAAACGGTCCATTTTTGTTTCAAAGGACATAACCTCCAGCACCCAAGTTCCACCAATGTCTAATGGGTTTCCGGTCTTCGAGCTCAATACACCACCACAAAATCTCCTTGGCTTTTTCGATTTGTGAACCCGCTTCGTAGGCTCGGGACAGTGTGAACCATGCTTCGGAATTGTCCCATGATGATCCTGTTTTTGTCAACATTGAGATGAGACCATAGGCACGGTCTCGGGCGGCTAGTCGACTTATGTATTCTGGCTCATTGGTATTGCTTGACGTTTTAGACAGCGTATTTGACACTCCATTGGGGGTTCTGAGTGTCTTGGTCACGCCGTTCGCTTGTGTTGTCTCTGGAGACGTTTCGGAAATGCCATTGATTGTGGAAGACCCGCTAGTCGATGGGCCAACGAAGTCACTATCAATTCGAGGCTCTACCGGCTCTAGTGGGATCTTCTCTTCCCAAGCATCCAGCAGCAGATTCGATAGAGCAACGGTCGCCTTGGGATGGTCGGGAAAGCAAGAGATGGCCTCTTCGTAGCACTGCATTGCTTCGTGTGTCAAAGATTGAGCTTCAGAAAGTGCCCCCTTCTCCGCGTGTACATCCGCCCATAGCGCTTCTGTGCTCTTGGCTACACCCCATACAGGGCTGACAAATGCGCGAGCAGAAGATTCCTCCGCGGCTACAAGTGCTTCGAAGGCTCCGACTTGTTTTGATGCTTCTTCGCAAGCTTCAAGAGCATCGTCGTAAAGGGAGGCTCGGCGATACATGCCTGAAATGAGAAGCCATACTTTGACGAGCACTGAGATGGCATGTTTTTGTGCTTGAAGAACTGGGAATTTGGTAAGAGCTTTCGTTGGAGAGCTACGGTGAGGCGTCGGCAAGCGGACGTCTTGTTCTGGTGGCTGATCTCTGTGACCGACTGGAGAAGGCTCGCTTTTAGGATTTAAATTATGAGCGACGGCGGGTAATGAGTGCTTGGCGCTTTCTCTGGGGCCTGCATGCGAAGTCGGCGATATTCCAGGATCAGATATGGCGATACCTATTGCTTCTGCGTCGATATCACCTTTCTCGTTTTGAGGGGCATCTATACTGTTAATGGATCCGTTCTGTTTCTCTATCTGAGAATTCTGTTGGGTCTTATTGGCTGTTTCAGGAGTAACCATGATCATTGGAGCATCTGCACCGACAGACGATGCTTCATTGGGTAAAGGAGGTATTGTATCACTGTCATTGAGTGATCGGTCTGGTATCTTCGATCCTTTTTTTCTTCCAAAAATGCTTCCCCGGAAGCTTTTTACAGTACCCGCGGAGCTTTTTGGGGGCCCGAGATGTTGTTGTTGGTGAAGCTGTGAGACTTCCTCCTTGGAAACTTCCAGCTCTAAATCCTCAAATAGAGCCGCAAACAACGCTAGCAAATTATCGCTATGGTTCACAGCAACCTCTGGTCCATCCGTAATTTCAAGGAGTGCAAGTTGCGTCATGCGTGTCTCAACGATGCGTTCTTTTTCACGGCCTTGCAAATGCCGTATGAAGTCCTTATTTTTTGCCAATAGGTCCTGCTTCTTATTACTATCACGGTTGATGCGCTCATTGTTATGACCTGGTATGGTCACCGAAGAAGGAAGCTGGTCAAATGCAGCTTCACAGGTGCGACCAGCGATATCGAATTCCTGCTTGGCACTAAGCAGCAATGCTAACAAATGCCAAAGTGGTATTTTATCTCGCTCCCCTGACTGATGCAACTCTGGCATGCCAGGTCCAGGTCCTGAGAGTGCCGACCCATCTCTAGGAGTAAGCGCCATTTTCACGTGGCTAATTGCACTATCTAGATCACGAGATTCGGCAAGCAGGAGTGCCAGAGCATATCGAGATGAAAGATCATATTCCGACTCGAATTCTGGAGCTATACTTCTTTCCAAGTTTTCGATAGCCTCTGCACGTAGATCGTTGCGAACCTCGGTTGTTGGAGTCCATCTTGACCAATTACCCAAGCCAATGCCAATAGCTCTGTAAGCTAAAGCAATGACATGCGAAGGCACACGAGATGCTTCTTCTCCTTGCCTGTTGGTTGAGTTGAGATCGTCCGCAATATCTTTCTCGATATACTTTTCCAAGATTGTAATGAGCTCCTTGGCTTTCCGCGCTTCGTCTTCAGATCCGAAGCAACATAGCAGCAGCACACCCTCAGAAACTGTTTGTAGTAGGATTTCGTCGCTTTCCAAATGCCCAATTTCAGCTGCCTTTTCTGCCCTGTCTTTGGCGCTTACTACAATCTCGACGTAGGTGTTGAGTGCCTTCATAGCAAGGTCGAATTCCGCCAATGCTGCATGGACATGAAATAACCGCCGCAAAATGGAATGTGAATGATAGGTTTTTGTTGAAGCTCGGTAGAGGATCTAAATGCGTCAGTGAGTCATACTGTAAGATGTGAACTTTACTTACATCTAAGACATTACGGCTAATGGCGTCTTGTCCACCTTCTCCAAGATCATCATCTCGCCAGCTCGGTCCGCACAAGACCTCCCAGTTACTTATGACGTCCTCGACCCATGCTTCTACTTGCGGGTTGCTGTCACTCGCCAATGGAAATTTAGTTTCTCTCAGTAAGACAGATTCGCAAACGGTTTCCACACGGCGAATCTCTGTGGCTAGCTGACGACGAGGTGATCCCGAAGATAGCGGAAAGTACGAAAGTCCGTATTGCAATATCAGTGACAAAAGTCTATAGTATGCCATCCAGATAGACGATTGGGAGTCGTTATGATGAGATGACCCGCTCTGGATGCCCCTTAGGCTGGCTGCAATATCTCGGCCCTTGATATGAGGATGTCCCGACCACAGTCTGAATGCTTTCAATGCCGTTTCGATCTCGAAGTCATAGTTTCCGGCATCGTTTGATATGACCTCCCCGCTTGCCAGCATTGCCACCTTTGAAAGAAAAAGTTCTGACCAATAGAGGGCCTGAGGACAAGAAGCTAATGACTGGTTTGGTATGGCAAGCCGGGGTAAGACGGTAGATGCAGTCTCAAGAGCTGCGTCTGGGGTGGATATCAGAGCTTGAGCGGCGCCTGTTATGTTTCAAATCGTCAGAAATAACCTGAAATAGTCCCTCTGAGTGTCTTACTCTTTATGTAGCCCGCCTTGACTATGCACACCTCTGTCCATTTCGTAAGTCCTTTCCCTCCTTCCGAAAGAGAAGCGATCGTCGTGTCGTCGAGTTCCTTGGGCAGCCGAACGACGGCTAGTCCAGGTTCCGACAATGTCCAGTGAATCCACCCTAAGCAGACCTGAGCCTGGAATACATCCTGCGGGGTTCCGTCGGCGGCTTCGATGGCCGCAATGAGTTCAGGGATCAACTCTGAGAGATTGGATACATGATTCGGGGTGGTTTGGCCTTTGGCCGTTGCTGGTCGAGTCTTGGTAATGTGGGCGACGACTTGTATTTCTGCATGCGCTGTTTGGATCAGACCTAGAACGCCGTTCATTAGTAGATACTAGGCGGCAGTCATTGAATGTAAACATACATTTTCGATGCGGAGCATGCTTGGTTACTTTGCGAATCAACTCAGGGACGTCGCTCCATTTGTCTTCGCTTCGCGCATTGTCCAGAGCAGCGATATAGCCCTGTGCTTTGTCCGCATCTCGACCCTGAACGCGCGTGTCAGCCTTCAATTGACGATGCCAGGGGATGACACAATTGGCGCATACCGAGTTGGCACTCATCTTTAAAAAGGAGACGTTTCAACGAAAATCTCCATAACACTGCAACACAGAATGAAAAGCAGAACAAACACACTCCCCTGTACGCTGTAATCGCTCTTCAAGACAGTAACATGAAATAGAAGTAAGGTTCACAAGACTGTTGGCCCTTCCAGGTTCCGAGGCAGACACTGCCAGACAGACGCACGCCGCCTCGTGATTGGAAGATCTCCCAGCGCCGCGGAAGGCCCGAGCTTCGACCGCGCTAAACCAAAAATGAAGGAACGAAAAAAAGTTGAACCTTCACTTATTTATCTTCTACACTCTCGTGCAAAGACGAGTGCGCTCGTATACGCACAATGGCGTCTTCTACATCATTGCGCACTATCACAAATCGCTTGACGACCACTCCGGTCAATGAGCTGCCGTATGTTGCAGCTTTTCTAGCTTCTGCGCTGAGCGATTGCAGCGAATTCAATGCTCAATCTGATGCAAAGAAGAAAACAGACAGCAACGATGGCTTGCAGGTCAACAAACTCAAATCCCGCTTGACGAGTCTCCTGCAAGACCGCACCGTTGAAGGCAGGTGGACTGCAGTGGTGTTGATCAAAGCCTTACTGGAAGCGGGCAGATGGGAGATACTTCGCGATTGTGGGCCTTGGGTTCGAGGACTATTGGCCATTTTGCCGGTATGATACACTTCACATTGGCTTAATAGGAATTCTATTGACTTGACCAGAAATCTGATCCATCTTCAACCAAAAAATTGACCATCATCACATTGACTCGCATCTTTCATCTCACATACCAGTACCCGACGTTAGTGCGAGAAATAACAACTCCAAACCTACCCGGTTTCATCACAGCCTCTCTCAACCTCATAAATGCGAAGAAGCCTTTCGAGTCGGCTAAGCCTGCGAAGGAGTCTCCGCTCCTGGACACCGTGCTCTCGGCGTTCGCGGAGTTGATCGCTAGACATCCAACCATATTCCGTCCATTTGTCGGCCAGCTGCAGAAGTTCTTACTTCCAATCCTATCTTCGTCAACGACCAATGGCTCTTTTTCCTCAAATAACATTCATCTTGCACAGGAAGTTTTTGTTTTACTGCACAACTGCGCTCCTAAGAACACATCAGGCGAGCAATGGGCGAATGACTGCAAGAGTACTGTAATTTCGATTCATCAGGCTGCAGATCATGTTTTTCGGAGTGTGTTAGAGCAGTGGGAGTCATCGGACCCTAACTTCAAGCCAAGAAAGAAGTCGATGAATGTCAGTGACTCGCCACAAGATGACGAACCGGACGCTTTGGGTCTCCCTTCATGGCAGGGGTTACCAGCGGGCGCCACCAGGATTGCAGCACTCTTAAACCTGTTGACTAAATTCATCTCGATCCGAACCGCGTCAGCCATAAACTACCCGCTTGGAGCTATACTAAATCTAACATCTCGATTGACTTCCATTACTGTCCCAAAGACAGGTGAAGAGCAAGCCAACTCTGATTTTACCCGAGATGAAAGGGCTACTTTGTACATGGAATTACCGAGAATCCATATAGCATGCATCGATCTATTTCGCGCCATCGTGGACACTTTTGGGTCAGGATCGACACCAGTGAGCAACACCATTTTTGAGCAAACCGTTTGGGTATTCGAAGCAGAAGCCTTCAACAGCAATATTCGAGAGTCTTCATATCTACTTATCAGCGAGATCTTGCCGTTAGTGGGTCGGTCGTTTGCAAAACAGAATGTCTTTGCATTGAGCCCCCTAATCCGGCAATGTTGTCGTGATCTCGTGCCAGTCGACACCAGCCGAAATCAAGATCAATCAAATAGTCATGGCAAGGGTGGTAATGCCAAGAACAGTCAGCTCAACATGAACGTCGATGCTATCCTCAATCCAGCTCTCAAAGAGTCAAACGTCAATAAGGAAAGCAATTCTGGAGGACAAAACACAACAGCGATGGCTCTACTTCCTCTACTATACAATTACCTCCCAACCGAATATATCCCCATTCCAATCCGGACCGAGATGGAAAGAGCTGCTATTCTGACGGCAAACCGTTCGGCTATGGTTGCTAGTGTCATGAATCCCATTCCTCCAGTTAAAGGACGTCGGCCAATTCCAAGTATTCTGCCATTTTTGGCTAGGAAATATGCCGGGGATCTGGAAGTCCAATGCTTGATTCGTCCTCGGATGCCGGTTCTCGTTGGAGGCACGGGAGAGCTTTACGACGCGGACGACTACGAAGAACAAGAGGAGTCTATGGATACTGATGCTCCGGCAGTTCCTATTCCAAGCGTTGGAATTCAACAGTTGTCCTCCAATTTTTCGAACAACATTCAGACTACCGCCACCATATCATCGCCATTCATAACACAGAACAAGAGAATACTCCCTGAGGATTCTGAAATGACGGGCAATCCACCGTCAATTCCAGTGGAACAGCTTCCTCAAGTGAAAAAGGCTCGTTTGGGAGATGGAGAAGCAACCGTTGTATCTACTACTTCTGTTGTACCTATCACTCTTTCAGAAACTTCCCCATCGCCCTCTATAATTCCATCTGCGGCAACACCGTTGACTTCCTCGATCACTGAATCCAATGCACCAAGCTACCCCTCTGTATCTGCTCATGTGCAGAATTCTGCTGGTGGTGGCGCTGCGGGTAATGATGATGATGACAGTGACGATGAGATGCCAACGTTGAACATTGAGCCGGATACCGATGAAGAGGATGATGATGAATAAGCGGTTTGTTTCGATGCAAGATTTGTATATATCTATGGACACAAGAAACTTGAACTCACGCCAAAGTGTTACCTATGGAATGTCGTATATTCATAGTACCGTGTCTACATTCGAAAATATCTTGTATATACATGTAAAAATCATTCTAAAGGTCTATACAAGCCGAATCCCGCTCTGCCACCATGTATCACCAGCATACAGCTCAAACCACGATCCTCTCCAACACCACCACGTATCACCCTTGACACCAAGCCCTAACCCTCCACGCAGAAAGCTCACTGGGATAGGTTCAAACATCCATATACCAGCACGCGCGAAATCATCTGCTACCAAGGGGCCGGTGAAATAGAACCACAAAACAACTAGAATGAGATTAGTAGTTCGAACGAGCCATCGCGGTGGTCTGAACGAGGCCGGAAGGATAGAAACTTCAAAGAAGTATTGTGCCAGTGCCCCGACGCCCTGTAGGACGAAGAAGAGGAATGCGTTCCAGGGCCGTGAGTCGGAGAACGTGGTGTAACTACCCATGGCATGGACCAACCCGCTGAGGGAAAATGCGAGCATGATTTGCAGGATACGTCGAGCGGACTTGTACCCTTTACCTTGGTAACTTCCAAAAGGCAACACTAGATCGGTGAGGAAGCGGCTACTCTCTGAGAATCCAAAACGGAATAGTTGGTGCCACCAGGTATTCCATGCGCCGACCAGACCGTGATCTAGGACCGAGATTGCGGGGCCAAAGGAGTCGGGGTATAACCATGCTTCACCCAGAGGTTGACGAGTGATGGCGCGTGCGAAATTGGGAAACAGGTGGGCTATGCCGAGAAAGAAAAGCGGGTTCAAGGAGGTGATGATGTCAAGTGCGAAGAGGACTGATGCCAGGCTGAGGATGATGCGGTATGTGCGGACGAGAACTGGAGACCAGACAAGAAAATTGAAAGGCCATGGTGGAGATGGCGGGTTATCTACGTAGCCCCAAAAGTATGGATCTCGCATCAAGAGAAGTTTGAGGAGGTCCAGGGCTATGTAGTCCCGTAGAAACGAACGGAGCACATATCGTAATTTTACCGCCGGTGGTTCGTGGTCTGTTGGCTGCGAATGTTTGGTTTGTTCCGCAGATGCTATGTCCTCGTCGATGTCTTTGAGGACGAGTTCTGGCAAAGGCGGCAGTGATCTCAGACGCCAGTTCCAATTAGGGCCTCTGAAATTGAATATCAGGTCACTGGCCCAGTCGATTCGATCAGAAAGTTTCCGCGGAAAGGGTTGCCACTCGTAGATTTTTGGGTGTTGTTGGGAAACATTCGTTTTCGGAGGAGCTGACCTACGTCTCAAGTTCGAGGTGTTATCGACACCCTCTGAGGATCCACTTTGTTGGTTGCTACTGCCCTTTTCGTTGACAGGCCCCTTGATAATCCTTCTAAAATCTCTCTGGACATCATTGGCGAGAAGTATCGTAGTGCTCCATATATAAAACCAAGTTGTAATCAACCCGGTACCGTAACCATTGGCAGGACCCAGAAATCGCACTTCAAGTATCGTATATGCACAAAACGCTGTGATAATTGCATGAAACCCATAACGCTGAACTATTGAATGGGTCGTACTCCTACGGCGAATGACAAGTGGTACAAGCAAAAGAAAGAAAGTGCCTATTACTTGTTGAAGAAGTAACGGTGAGAATGCGCCGGCACGAAACAGTTCATCGAATTTGGTTTCTCGTTCGTTGATCAGATCAAAATGAGTTTCATAGGGTATATTTGCCATAGTTCCAAATTGCTTGCCCATTCCTGGTTACCATAGACCGGGAATATCTTGATGGTTGTAGGAAATACACAGTCTCATCAACCACCTTTTGCTCAAGGTAAAATCACCTCTAGCCTCTAAAACGGCCCTCGGACCAAGATGAATAACGAAAGCGCCTGACCGCTGAAGAACCCCAGAAATGATGGTCGCTTAACAACAAAGCAAGTCGTGTATGTACGTTGAAATAAGATCTAGGAGGCGAGGTCAAAACTTGAATTTCAAGACCTACATGGAATAGTCTAGTGGATCGCCAAGACTTGACAAGCGCCGATCTGTCGGGAGCCGCTAGCCAAAGAGCTGTCAGGATCTGAGTCTTCCTAGTCCGTTAGCAGCCCTGAATATGGATCTACTGTGTGGAAGGCCTCGCGAGTTGATGCACGGAGCATTTGGTAAGAAAAATTGTAAGCATTGTCGCGAATGGTCAACGGCGCCCATACCAAGTGACGTCACTAAAGGCCGATCTCCACAACGAATGCTGCGAGACGACAAGCATTTTAGCTTTCCGTCAGGAGTCGGAATTCTCGGTTCGGAGAAAAAGAAGGACAAAGATATAGTCCGATGGATGTGTCCTATGTAAGAAGTTCTAGAGTCTCAGGGGAAAGTGTGTCATGTGACCTCGAGTTGTTTATCTGACGCGAACAAGACGCGCCAAGGCCGCCTCTGATTTGACCCGGGCCGTCGGGGGCGGGKCTTTCTGATACAATGACAGCAAAGACCCACCCAGTTTGATGATTTGATCTTCCATACCTTCCCCTGATCTTGAGCTCTACATACATCCTCATATCGTAAGGGGGCTCTTCTGGTGTACACTTGATTTATGACAGAACGAAAATGCCCGGTCGTGGCAAACGTTCAGCTCAGGCTGTGGTCGACTTGACGCATGACGGCCAAGAAAATGCTCATCGTCCGACCAAGATTGGCCGAAGCAGTCAGGCGTTCAGCAGTGTTCCACTGGCGAATGTGACTAACGGCCAGCGGTTTGGACAAGACACCGACTACATTTCACTCAGCCAGCTGGACGACGATGACTTTAACAGTATTGTTCCGGCGACCCAAGGTGGTGATGATCTAGATTTTAATTCCTTTCAACTCTATGGTAATCTTCCACGGTTGCAGTTTTCAAGTGTCTGTATGTTGACGTAGCTAGGCTGCATCAATACAAAAATCGTCGGAGTAAGGTTCTACAGTGGATACGCATCTTCCGGCGAACGTGTCATTCTCCAAAGGGAGCCATTCAACCAATACGATAATAATGCTATCAAAGTTTTGAGCGTCATGGGCGCCCAAATCGGCCACATACCTCGGAATGTAGCCTCCGACTTAGCAAAATATATGGTAAATCAAMCCGASGAGCCACTTTAGTCCTTATCAGCTGACCAAGACCTAGGATGCTAGAAGTCTAGTCATCGAGGGGATGCTTACCGGAAACATTGGAACTTATGACTGTCCTATCGCGCTTACCCTGTATGGTCCCTCCGATCCTATTCGAAAAGATCAGGTAAGAACTCAGATGCGGGCGGACAAGCTGCCACTCACTGAGCTTATCCGCACCGAGCAAGACAAGGCTCGGGAGGAATGGCAACGACAGAGGGCACTCAAAGAAGCAGAGAAGAAACAGCTTGCCGCTAACAAATGGGGAAGTGGTGGATATCCAACCCTTCAAAGGCCCAGCCAAGCAATGGAGTCTACAAGCTTGGAGGATCTGGTACAACAGAGTAGCTCGATCAATGCTCACAGAGTCAATCAAGCCGTGGAGAGGTTCGGTAATACAGAAATTGATCTTGAGAACATGCCAATGGCCGAAACACCATTCGGCCTAAAAACGCAGCTACTTTCTTATCAACGTCAAGGCCTGGCTTGGATGCTCGATAAGGAGTCGCCCAAACTACCCGAGGTAGGCGCTAAAGACGTGCAACTCTGGAAGAAAGAACATGGTAGGTATAAAAATATCGCTACCAACTATGCCACCAGCACACCTCCTCCTCTTGCGAGTGGCGGCATTCTTGCGGATGACATGGGTCTGGGCAAGACAATCCAGACGATCTCCTTGATAATGGCCAATTCAAATGCCGATGGCAATGGGATCACGGCGCCGACACTCATCGTTAGTCCGGTCGGTGTCATGAGTAATTGGAAGCAACAGATCGAAGCCCACGTCAAGCCAGAATTTGTGCCAAAGATTCTTGTCTACCACGGCACGGGGAAAAAAGAGGGTTCTAAATTGCAGAACCATGGTGTTGTCATCACAAGTTACGGTGCGATTGCCAGTGAATATGATGCCGATAAAAAGAAAGCCAAATCAACCCGCAGCGGTCTCTATTCTCTGAAGTGGCGCCGTATCGTGCTCGATGAAGGACACACAATCCGAAATCCGCGATCGAAGGGTGCCCTCGCGGCCTGTCATCTAGATGCCGATTCTCGGTGGTCATTGACGGGAACTCCGATCGTCAACACCCTCAAAGATCTTTACTCGCAGATCCGTTTCCTCCGACTTTCTGGCGGGTTGGAAGATCTGGCCATGTTCAATGCTGTCCTTATTCGTCCATTGACCAATGGAGATCCTATGGGTGCCACCATTCTACAAGCATTGATGGGCGCAATCTGCCTGAGACGACGTAAGGATATGGCTTTTGTCAACCTGCGTCTTCCGGAGATGAAGATGCATGTTTTGCGAGTCAAATTTGAAGATCACGAGCTCAAGAAATACGAAATGTTCCAGTATGTTCTAGACCCACAAATTTGCTGCTGAAGAAGCTTACATGGTTAGAAATGAGGCGAGAGGTATGCTTGACAAGTATAAACTCCAGGTCGGCGGATCTAGCGGAGGTACCACATATTCGCACGTTCTCGAGGTCCTCCTGCGACTACGTCAAGTTTGTAACCACTGGTCCCTCTGCAAGAATCGTGTGGACAAATTGATGGCTCTGCTTGGCGAGAGCGATAAAAAAGTCGTCGAGCTGACGCCCGAAAACGTCAAAGCTCTTCAGGACGTTTTGCAACTTCAGATTGAAAGCCAGGAGACCTGTGCAGTCTGCCTTGATAATATGTCGGAGCCTGTCATCACAGCATGCGCGCACGCTTTTGACCGATCATGTATTGAGCAAGTCATTGAGCGACAACACAAATGTCCTCTGTGTCGTGCCGAACTCAAAGATACCGGATCTCTCGTCGAACCAGCCACAGAAATGGGCGAAGATGCTGGCGCTGATGACGCAGAAGCAGCAGACGCCAGCGCACCAAGTAGCAAGATCAAAGCTCTAATCAAGATTCTAACTGCCAAAGGCCAGGCAGAACAAACCAAAACAGTGGTCTTCAGTCAGTGGACCTCTTTCCTCGACATCATCGAACCTCACCTTACCGCCAACGACGTACGCTTTACACGAATTGACGGAAAACTCAACTCCAGCAAACGAGATCAGGCTATTGCCGAGTTCTCCAATGACACTAAATGCACAGTCTTGCTAGCCAGTTTGAATGTGTGCAGTGTCGGACTCAATCTTGTCGCAGCAAACCAAGTCATTCTCTGCGACAGTKGGTGGGCCCCCGCCATAGAAGACCAGGCTATCGATCGAGTTTACCGTCTTGGTCAGACTCGCGAGACTACAGTCTGGCGTTTGGTCATGGAGGGTTCGGTGGAGGATACTGTGCTTAAGATCCAAGCTACGAAGCGTGAACTATCGTCGACTGCGCTAAGTGAGAGGAGCGACAAGAAGAAGGGAGAGAGTACGCAGTCAAGGTTGGCGGATTTGGAGAAGTTGTTGCGGCGGGTTGATGAGCCATCGACTCAGGAGGTGAATAAGTAGTTGGGATGATTTTTCGTTGGCTACTGGACTATTATGTAGTTGGGGTATTGTGCATTATTTTGGGCACTCTTTTGTAGACTCCTGTTTCGGTTCCTGTCTTTCTTCTCGATTTCCCTTCTAGCCAACTTCCCATAATAGGGCTAAGAAGCTTTCTGTTTTCACTACACCCTCACACTTTAAGCTCTATGCAATGAGATACTCAAGCAAGCTGCTCTTCGGAAGGGATCCGGATGCTGGTGCGTTGGAGTATGCTACCAGACTGGTGGCTTCTGCGGTCTCATGTCTCAGTCTTCTCCTTTTCAGGCTCGTTGATCTTGTCGACCTTGTCGATGACCAAGTCATCCTGACTGCAGGTAGCCAAAAAAAAAAGATCCTCAATCTCATCAATCAATTCATTTTTGGATAATTCAGCGGAGGGGGGCAAGTCTTTCTCGACATGTGCCAAGCAGTGATGGCTGGCTAGTTTGCTTGCGTGGCAGGCTATACACCTGCTCCATGGTGGAAATCATGGAGCTTTCATCATGTAGTTGCATCAATGCTACTTACTTATATTTGATCAATTTCGAGTGACTACTCTTGCCAAGAGAGAAGTGAAATTTATGGTTTTCGCATTTTTGCTGGCACCCCGCTTTCGACTTTCTCTCTCATAGTTTTTCCTACTCTCCTCCAAGCCCTTTCAACCTTTAAAATTTTCTTTGCAGCTTTAAATGGAAGCCATTTGGCGCTTTCACCACGAGACCTGGGATGAACCCTGGTCAACCAACGATTTTCCGGCGGGTGAAAKCCAGGAGGATACCGAGCAAAGACTTCGCCGTTTGACATCGAAGGCGTGGTGGGGAAACACGAAAAATGAAATTGTGAATTTTCTGCATGACGAATTTCCTTCCCAATGGCCATGGGGATTTACAATCTACCGCACCGTTTATACATCGGAATCCGACCAGTATTGGGATACTGTTCTCGAAGCAATATCAAAAAATGTCATGGAAGGCTTAGGCGAGGAAAGCTTAGACGAGGATGAACCTTCCCGAATCTTTCAGGAGGGATACCAGCCCCTAATTTTTGATGACCCGGCTCAGTTCAACGAAGCAACGCTGGACAAGATCCGTGACCATTTCAGGGAAGTCCAAGAGAGCGATAACGGAAATTACGGAGTTCGATTTCGATGGTGTTTGGTTATCGATGACGGCGCTTTGCAATCTTTCCTCCGCCACTCTGAGCCAAAGAGCGGCCAGGAAGGCGGCTGGGTCACGGTTGTGGACCCAGATTACCAAGGAGGCAGCAGTTACAACACGCGATACTACCCAGGATACTTCCGCTTATACCTGGAACACCTCTGGAGCTTGACTCGTATTGGAAGAGCCCTCGAGCTGGATGATCTCTGTGGAAGAATGGATGGACCTGATGACATTCCTTGGTTTGATACTGGTATGTGAATTTATTCAATGCTCTGCTCACTCTCAGGATTACCTTACCACCGAAGACTGCCAAAGATTTTTAATTATTTATTTCCACAAATCTCATGTCCATCAAGCTATCTGCAGTGTCATCCCTCCCATGTACACAGGACAAGACGAAAAAAGCATTGACCAGACTTCGGAATGGAAATGCTTATAACTATGCGTTGACTCTGGTTCTAGACTTCAACCTGTAACATTTGATTTTTGATAAGAGTACCAGGGTCACTCCACTGTCAAATATATAGACATTTGCATTTAGTCTTCCCTGCTCGGATGTGGACACTCACCGGTAAGTGGACGTTTACCCCGGATTTGCGAATCTAGGTACGGCCCCACGCACTGTAATTGAGTATCTTAGTAAGTACCAGTACGTAAGGGTGTCGATCTTTGCAAATTCTACACCTACTCATGTTTCATTCCATATCAAGATACAGGGGTCCGTCGTGTGCGAATAGGCTTGATGGATAATCTTACGGCTTGTCACTCGGCTCCACGCAAACCCGATGGTCATAGACTAATGCTCGTAATGTTTGGAGATGAGAACGATATATGCTATGTGAGCATGATTTGAACAGATATATAAGCCGGTTGGTATCTCTCCTTCTGGGTTTCGGCTTTCTCTACTACCTATTGCATCTCACCCATTCACATCTTAATTGCAGTATTGCAGAGCAATCATCACCCACCGCAATGGTTCAGTTCCAGCTTCTACCATTTTTCCTGACCATCGGTCTCGTCTGTGGTACATTCACAGTCCAGGACCCTAGCGACTTTCAAGATCTTAGTCAGGATGCCAGCGACAACTCTATCCTCGCCGACTACAACATCACACCCGTCATGTACCAAGAAAACCCCATTCAAGGCGCATATTACTATAGTGATGTAGAAAAAGTTCTTTCCCATCAAACATTCCAAGAAACTTCCAACGACACCAGCGTCATTGTTGTGACTGAACGATCTGAAGTCAATGTCTCCTATTCCACCATAATCAAGCACGGATACGCGTCCAACCTCTATCAGTCAAGCTTTTATGGGACCAACGCTGCCGTCAATGTCGCAAATGCATCCGTTGCCCATTTGCACAACGTGAACATCACAACACATAATGGTGCGGCAAACGTGTATGCGTATGGGACCGACACCTACGTATATGTGGAACATTCCACTCTTTACAGTTCCGGTCCTATTGCACACGGTCTCTATGCGAGTGGGAATGGAACAGTTGTTGGCCGCAATGTCAAACATTACTCCGGTGGAAACCGTGCTTCCTCCTTTGCTGGTGATAACCCTGCTGGCTATATCTATGTCTACGACTCCGAGGCGCATACGGCGGGTGTCGGTAGCGCTATTTTCTATGCCCTGGGTACAATCTACGGCCAGAATATCGTTGGTGTTGCGGATAACTCGCCTGCACTTTTCTCAGATGGCGTCCAGACTGTCAATCTCGTGGATGTTGATCTAACAGGAGGTCTGCTCGGTGGTATCGTCATGTTTAGCTCCTCAGAACGCCAGTCAGGTGCTTCTATCAATTTTACCAACTCGGTTCTCACGGCTTTGCCAAAGACCGCGCCTACTTTGTGGTTCGGTAATATTATTGCCAACTCGCATCTCGTCAGCACGCAGCTCAAGGCCTCTTCGGGGGTGCTCGTCGTTGCTAACTACTCTCAAGTCACCCAAGCATTTGATTMCTATGCCGGTTATCCCGACAACAATGATCTCCTTCCTGCTGAAGTAACTATCGTCGTGGAGCAGTCCCGCTTAGCTGGAGATCTTGTGGCTTACAACAAAAGCAGCATCTCTTGGTCGTTGACTGATTACTCCTCCTGGGATGGTGCCGCGTATAGCGGCTACGGTGAAAGCTATTTTGCTGTCTCGCTCGACCACACTTCCAACTGGACCCTAACTCGGGAAACATATCTAACGAACTTCACCGACGCGGACGAGACTTTGGCTAACGTGTTTAGCCAGGGTCATAACTTGTACTATGATGTCAACTCTTCCGCAAATGAATGGTTGCATAAAAAGACTGCTGTTCTGAATGGAGGTGGAAAGCTGATCCCTGCAAACCATGGAGCGGTCAGTATATGATAGGTGGGAAACCCTTGGACGTACCATTACCATTATGCCACAGTAGGCTCGACTAGGGTGAATTATATCATTCTGGTAGATCTGTATGGGTCTATTTATAATCCTCGTTCTTAATCTTTCCATGATTAGCCTAATTCAGAGCAAATTCATAAAAATTTTGATGAAGTACACTATTTGCAATTGCGGAGCACCCCTACATTTTCTCCAGAATCTTTTCTAAAACCCCCGTCGAAGGCCTTCACAGAAGCATTTGGTAGCTCTTTTGCATTCAAGCTAACAAAATCAGAATTTACATCTTGAGCCCTTCAGACTTATGGCGCCCAAGACTTGGCTTTCTTTTCGGGGGTTGATGTTGGCCTTGTTTTCGGGCGGGAAAATCTGTTTCTGGATAGGAACCCTAATTTACTCCACGTGAACCGTAACCTGGATGGGCACCGGTAATCAATTGGATTCTAGAAACTGTTTATTGCTATTGTTTTGATTGATTCAAAGCTGAATTCTGTAGACTACCGGGCTACTATGCTGACTACGTCTTCGTCTGAAACTAAGTGTCCCAATCCAACTCGCTGTGGAACATGTCTCGCACTGGCACCCCATACAAGCGCATATTTGAACGTGTCCTTGAGTGTGCGATGCACTTGATCACAAACATCTTCAATACTCGAGTTGCTGCGGACGATAAGTGCCTCATTGAAATCGGGGTCAACCCCCTTTCTATAGAAATAATTAGCAAACGCACGAAAAAGTTTTGGTGTAGAGTGGAGGAAAAGGGACGAACCTTTTTGTATAAATCCGAATTAATCGAAGCTCTTTCCATATCCTCTCAATAACGTCTTGTACGCCGAGGTCGAGTTCACAGCTCATTACCGCTGTGTGCGGTTCGTGGGCGAGTTTGTCTAGAAAGTCGACGCTGATACTGTCGATTTTGTTGTAGACATATAGACTATGACATATTAGCACATCCCATTCGCTGCCCATGCGTTGGGGTCTGTACTAACCATCTGATATATTTCCTATGATCCTTCATGATGACATCGATGAAGTCGTCGACGGTAGCTGCAGAATCAGAGTCGTTAGAATCAGGTAAGCTGGTATTGCTAGGGGATTTATAGAACATACCTTCGTCATCTCGCACCAAGACTTCACAATTGAGCATCTTGTAATCTCTCAAGATATTATAGACCATTTTTTCGTCTAGATTTTTGGGTGGTGACTGGAATGTGATTTTCATACCTCCGGACTTCTTCGCTTTGAGATAGATGTTCCTATTAAATGTCAATATTTGGCGTCCATAGACGTAGGACCCGGACTTACGGAGGTTCACGATTCAATCTAATTCCCACAGCCTCCAGCTCCGCCTCTAGAAGCGCACGCTGCTCTGCCCTTTTCGTCGCATCCAACACCATAAGAATGAGATCACTCGTCTTCGCCGCCGAAATAACCTGTCTTCCTCTTCCCTTTCCCTCCGCAGCCCCCTCGATGATACCCGGTAAATCAAGAATCTGAATCTCAGCACCACCGTACTCCAGAACACCGGGGATAGCCGTCAAGGTCGTAAAAGAGTAGGCAGCTACCTCGCTGCGAGTCTTGGTGATTTTGGATAAGAAAGTAGATTTTCCGACGGAGGGAAAACCGACCAGCGCGACACGTGCGTCACCACTTTTGCTGACGTCGAAGCCGGAGCCGCCACCAGAACCTGCGCCGCCAGCAGGTTCGAGAAGTTGGGCTCTGAGACGGGCGAGTTTTCTATGCAGAAAGTGTGAGTTATCACTACCTCTCCCTCTTTTATCGTAGATGCGCTTAAAATGGTAAAGCATACCCTTTCAATAGACCCAAATGATACTCTGAAAGTATGTCAGTACATAAGAGTCAACATCTTCAAGACAGAATCGCTTACCCGTCGCCTTATTCTCTATTCAATGGAAAATATATCAACATGAATAGTCTTTTTTTTGTCTCAGAAAGCCATAAGCAGAAACTTACTCTGCGTCTTCCGCATCTCATCTTCAATCCTAAAGTAGCTGATCAGTTCCTATTGCAGTAAACGTTATGGATTGTTCGAAAGGCCTACTCTTTGATTTTTTCTGTGATGTTAACCATCTTGACGGTCTTTGATACTTCCCCGCAGTCAGACTTTACTTGAGTGGGCGAATCCCTGATAGCTTTTGGTTTCGAATGAGCTGAAACACTTTGACCGGCTGAGTGAGAGCGTTAGAAATGACGTTTACCGGAAAACAACGAGCTGCGGAAAGTGAAGACTGATTTTAGAAAGTTGAGATCATGGAAAACAATTTCTGGAACTTGATATCAAAGCGGCAGAATACGGCAGAATAATTATCGGTTCTTCACGAGTGGCACGGAATGGACACAGGGAAAGAAGTATATCATTGTTGGAAATAGATACATATTAGACCAATAGAAGAATAAGGATACTGAGTTAACTCTAGTTTCATAAGTATAAACAACAAGAGCCATTAGCATGGTGTAGATGAAGAAAGCAATAACCTGCAAAGTATACTCGGCCAATCATAACCCCTTATTACTTTACATAATCATAATTTCGAAATTCCGCCGCAGCTCCGATAAGACTTCGCTGATTTCCTTGTCTTCAACATACCTCACCGCGCAAGACCCTCAATATGGCCGAAATAACCATCTCCGAACGTGTGGGGGTACCAGAAGCTATCCAAGCAAGTACAGAAATTGCAACAGAACAACTTGAAGAACACTCAAATACACAGACCGCGCTCGCGCAGACCTCAACTACAGATCAAGAAAATGCCCTCGTACCGACTACCACAGCGACCGACGGCGAAGTTGCTCAGAAGAAGACCAAGAAGATAATAAGACGGAAGAAGAGGCCGGCTAGACCGCAGGTTGATCCGTCGACATTCAAGTCGGAGCCTCCGCCACAGACGGGAACGATCTTTAACATCTGGTATGTGTCGCTTTTGCGCGTTTCGAGTTTACGGTTCCGCTAATTCATGGTTGGATAGGTATAATAAATGGTCCGGCGGTGATCGCGAAGATAAATATTTGTCGAAAACAGCTGCGGCTGGGCGATGCAATGTTGTGAAAGATAGTGGCTATACTCGCGCCGACAAGGTGACGGGATCATACTTTTGTCTCTTTTTTGCGAGGGGTATCTGGTACGTAACAACCAAAAAGAGACAGGTGCATGGATTACTGATAAGAAATAGTCCCAAAGGACAAGAATGCGAATACCTCCATCGCCTGCCTACAATCCACGACATCTTCAACCCCAACGTCGACTGTTTCGGTCGCGACAAATTCAGCGATTACAGAGATGACATGGGCGGTGTCGGATCGTTTATGCGACAAAATAGGACGCTTTACATTGGTCGTATCCATGTCAGTGACGATATTGAAGAGATTGTGGCGAGACATTTTCAAGAATGGGGCCAGATAGAGCGGGTGCGTGTTTTGACGTCGAGGGGTGTTGCGTTTGTTACGTATTCAAATGAGGTAAGTTATCTTTTTGAAATTTTCTGGTGCTCAATACTGATATCTCATACGCAGGCAAACGCTCAATTTGCAAAGGAGGCCATGGCACACCAGAGTAAGTACTTGCATAAGTTCTTACGCTACAATCAGCTAAGAAGTACACAGGTTTGGATCATAACGAAATTCTGAACGTTCGCTGGGCGACAGTTGATCCCAATCCTCTAGCCCAAAAGCGAGAAGCCCATCGCCTCGAAGAACAAGCGGCTGAGGCTGTCCGGCGGGCACTCCCAGCCGACTTCGTCGCAGAACTCGAAGGTCGGGATCCCGAGGCTAGGAAACGAAAGAAAATAGAAGGCAGCTTCGGTCTTGATGGTTATGAACCTTCGGATGACATTTGGTATGCTCGGACGCGGGAGATTGAAAACTCGGAAGAGACTGCTCGTCAATTAGAGTCTTCTGGACAAGCACTTCTTATCGAGAATGCGCCAGCTCAAGACATGGCTTCTGCGATTGGTGGTCAACAGCAAGAGTCAGGTGGTATATTGTCTAGCTCGACTCTGGCTGCGCTCAAAGGGTTTGCGCCGGCAGCACAACCCGCTGCAGCTAGTTCCGGCGGGCCTTTGGTGGCTTATGGCAGTGATGATGACAGCGATTGATTCACAATTACCTAAAAAGTCTCTGTATAATAGTAATTGGGTAAAAGGATTAAGTGGAGTTGTCTCAATTGAAGACGCAAGCGCTCTCATGCAAGTCATTATTTTTTTAATTTTCTTTCATCCTATTTTAAAAAGAGATATTCGCATATCTGGACGAATGTCGGATACTGTCGTGTCGGTGGTAGTCGACCTGCCTACGCTGTTCGGCCAAGGTCGTAATAAATGCATGTACCAGTGCGCAGATTATAGATAAAGGCGTTATTCGATTCATGCTCCTTAGCTCCGCCGGGTGCATATTCAGAAGCAAGATCTCGAAGCAGTTCGTGAACCTGCCCAAGGTATTTTCTTTCGGTCAGGGGCGCATTCTGGATGACCGTTCGCCAGCTATCAGGGTCGCATAGACGAGTGTCCCGAATGGCATCAAGTAAATCATCCCTCGTATCAACAGCTGCAATGGGTCCATTGAGTGCTTTGTCTACAAGTTCGCGAGAACGTAGAAGGGCTAACCCGTTAGAACAAGCGACTTTTAGTGAAATTGGCCTGAACTTACCTGATTCAATAATGTTTCTTCGATTTGTTTTCTTACTCCTGTGCTGAGCGGCCAAGATACGCACATCATTTCCACGTTCTCCACTAGAACCACCTGTGTCTGGCTGACTAGGATTCCTCAAAAGCTTAGGATTGTCAACTAGAATTTCGCGATGATTCTGTGCTCGTATCTCTGAGCGTAGCCAAGGCACCAAATCGGACGCTCTGACGTCGATTTCCTCTTTCTTGACCAGGCTTCTGATCTTTAGTCCACGTTCATTGCTGTCAGCCTTGACTAGCACAACCCAAGAGTGACTATCTTCTTTATAGTGAGATATTAGCTCCTCAAATGAAGAAGCGTCTACTGCAAGTTCCGCGTTTATATCATGCGTCCACAGGTCTTGTACGATTCGGACCCCTACAGTGCGGAGGACAGTGGGATCAAAGCTTGCAACCAGAACATCACACTGTATCAGGGTTAGCTTTTTGATCATGCAAGTGGAGGTTATACATACTCGTCGAGATCGCCAAAAACCTTCAACATCAGCTTCATGCTTCGTAAAAGTTTTTGCTGAATTTTTGATATGATCAATCATTGAAGAACTCAGTCTATCCCAACTGAGATTAAAGCCAACTGCATGTGCTTGAGAACGGCTATAGAGCAGTTTTGGACTAAACTCTTGGATGAGTTTGTCGTACCGTCCCCCAGCAGCGAACACATCTCGTCGTTTGCCATCGAAAAGACACTGAAAGAGAATGCTGCCCCGGAAGAACTTGTCATTGAGGCTCGCAAGAGGATTGACATATACCTTGCGCTTGACGTCAAATCCATTGATGAAGGAAACCAGAGACTTGATTCGAGCAAAGATTGGCGGCAACCTATCAGCGAACTCGGTTCCTTCCATAATTATCTGTAATTTCTGCTGAACCTTATCGGGTGTATCTATGTCGAATAAGTAACCTTGAATTTGTTCAGTGGTGGTCTTTGCTAACTTACCTCGGAAATCAAATCTCGCCAAGTCATCCAAAGAAGTTGATGCAACACCAATGGTAGGACTTCGAAGCTCGCTCCTGATCTTCTGCATTGTCCACTTGCCGACGTTCAATCGACTCAAGATCTCTTTCGCGACGGGCATCTGAGCTGCAGTTATACGACAAAACTCCATAATCAGTTGAAGCAAATCAGAATGATTAATGTGGAAACACATAGGAACAGATCTCAACACGGGGAATGTTTCTATAATCTCGTCAAGGACTTTGATAACCTCTGCTTCTTTCAGAGCAAGATCCAGTGTGTTATAAGAAACAATATCAAAATCAGCTTCTCGGTGTGATTTTGGTTCACCACCGTGCGGGGACTCTCTATAGACTCTGCCAAAAGAGAATGTCTTCTCCAAGGACGGATCTTGTCGAGGAATAGAGCGAGCGTTGGGTAGCGTAAGATCAAAGGGGAGTTGCAGCATGTTTCCAGACGTGTCCAGCAATTTCACAACACCGTTTTGATAGTGACCGGACCTAGGGAACACTGGCTGTCTTGTGGTCTCCACGGCACCGTGTCGGCGGAAAATCTGTATAAGCTTCTCCTTGACTAGCCCTCTGATAAGCATCTCGTTCGCCCCTGGGTTTCCACGAGAATCCATATCCCAGGTAAGGTCTTCAAATTTCTTCGGGGATTGAGAGAAAATAGCTGACAAGATCTTCTTATAATCGGGGGAGTTAGGATCTGAAAGTAGGCCTATGATAGCTCTCCTGAATGTCTCTTCTTCGACTTGCAGGGGTATTTTGCCGCTTTGAAGAAGTTCGGAAGCAGAAGGCCGTTCGCTAGGACGGTGACTCAGCAAGGATTCAATGATTTCCCCTTGGATTGCTTTCTCTGCTTGTTGAAATATCGGCGGCAGTACATGGTTTTTCTCACGCATTTCTCGTAGAGTATGGTCTCGTTCCATGCCCGTCCGTAATGGGTAATTCATCTCAAAAAAGATGATTCCGAGAGAGTACATCTAATAACATGAGCTACGTAAAAAAATGAAAAGGTATGACCGAGCACTTACGTCGACTTTTTCGTTGTATTGAGCGGTGGACGTTGACTTGATCTCGGGAGCAACATAGTATGTTGTACCAATACTGCGAGTAAAGTCTCCAGCTACTTCTGTGGCGGCGGAATAACGAACTTCGGTGGTGAAATGTCCACTCATGGCCAAGCCAAAGTCACCAATGCGAGGATTGTTTGCCATGTCTATGAAGATATTATCCGGTTTCAGATCCCTGTGAATGATACCGTTGCTGTGAATATGGCTGAGACCGTCCAGAATTTGACGGAACAAACGCCAGCAGCGATCAATATCGTCATAAAGGCCATCGTGAATCAAATCTCTCAAAGTCTTGCAATAGTCAGAGCTCGGTTCCGGTATCTATTAAGCAGATTACTTACGTGTTTCTCACAATACTCCATCTGGATATACAGCGTGTTTGTCACATGCCGATCTTGTGACCCTGACTGTACTCGGCCAATCTCGCTCCCAATGTCCGTATTACTAGCAACCAAGTCTTTTGAGGCAAGAATCGCCCGATCTGAAGAAGTACTGCCTTCATCATCCGAGTCAAAACCGAACTCAACTTTGGGATATCCGCTCGAGCTGATGTAATCTAAGCCACTGGTACTCGCGCCCAAGTCTCTGTCCGTCACTGACTCGTCGTCAAGCGTTGATAAGGCATCTGAGTCAATCGTGTCGTGGTCTTCTTCAAGCCATGCTGTGTAGTAACGGACTACATATGGGTGGTTCAACCTTGACAGTAACATGATTTCTGAAAGGGTGTCTTTCAAGGTAGCAGCAGAATTCTGGGATATCTTCTTGATGGCATAGAAACGCCCATCTAACTTATTTCGTGCTTTGACCACCTGGCCAAAACCACCTCTTCCAAGACGGCCAGCCTCGTCAAAGTCATGCGCGTAACGTGAAAAACTAGGCATTCCTACTTGCGAGTCCATACGAGGTCGTCTCATGAAAGGATTGGAGTGCGAATGAGAAGTTGCGGAACTTTCAAGTAATGGAGCGCCAACCCTGAAAAATTCAGATGGCTGTAGTTGAAAAGCCGTCGGACGTTTCTTCGGATCTGGCTTGAAAATCTCTCGCAAAAGGTCCTGTAGAGGCATTGACAAGTCCAGACTGTTCATGACGGCATTGGCAGATGTGTATTTTTGTAGTACATCTTTTCCAAATCCCATTTGTAAAAGTACGATACCAAGATCCCAAACATCAGTTTTAGCAGTCGACCGCGCGTCGTTTTGAGCTAATTCTGGTGGCAGCCAGAATGGTGATCTAGATGTGGCTAGAGTCTCTTGTCGATTATTGCAATGCGGTAAACTTGCTTCAACATTACCCTGGAGCTTGATGGTCGTACTTCCAGTTGTATGGCGAAATAGCATCACACGACCACTGTGGATGTCTCCGTGTACCACGCCGTTTCTATGGTAAAAATCGAGAGCCTCTAGCAATTGTATCATCCAAGAGCGAATTGAATCCACCGCGATTGAGCCTATCATGTCCAAAAGTTCCGAAAGCGAGCCTTTATTCGCATACTCGAACAGAACACAGATTTGCCAGCCACTGTTTGGAGTTTCCGGTGTTTGTAATGGACGGAAAATTTTGAACCCTATTAGGTCAACTAGATTCGCATGGCGCAACTTTTTCAGTGCCTCAAGCCTATCCTCGCTTGTCCGTATCTGCTGTCGAAATGCCAACGAGTCCGAGCCCTTCTCGTCCAGCTTTATTTCTTTCAGCACGACAAGTGGTGCACGAGTGCGGTTTCCAGAGATAAACGGCCTCGCTGTGAATGTTTCAGAGGTTGGGGACGTATGAAGCAAAGTCTTGCTAGAGATCGCCTGAAACGTGAATGGTCGATCGTCAATATCGTTCATGACCAAAGGCGGATCAAAGGTGATGTAGTCAGAACTATCCTCAGGAATGCCACCAATATCTAATGCTGCAGTCCGGCTTTTGCGTCGAGAATCTCGAGCCTTTGTACGCTCCCGTTGTCTCATCTTGTCCTGTAGAAGCCGTTGTAATGCCCGTTCTTCTTCGGCTGAGGCAGCCTCTTGCTTGCGCAATTCCTCTTTCTTGTGTTGCTCTGCTTGTTGAATTGCTGCAGCTTCTTGTTCGATGCGCTCCTCCTCCAAGCTTGGCATGTCCTTGTCCTCCGCCCGTGCCACTGCCGCATCTTCCAGCACTTCTTGAATGTTTACAGCAAGCTCGTATATCATTTCTGAGCCAAGTAACTCTTTTGGTTTATGATTGATAACCTTCTCAATTCTCGATCTTGGACCTTGGCGAATGTCGTCCGACTCCTCTATGATCAAATTCGGCACAGTCTTCGGATACGTTGTTGGGAGCTCAACAAAGAGTAGAATGCTAACGCTAGGATCCGACGATGCTCTGAGACGAAGCTTGAAAGCCACTTGTGAGGATTGCTGATGCGATTGTAAGGTTCCTGGCTTATTGGATATACAAGTTTAATTGCACAAACTGAACGTACCTTCCAAGCTGCTTGCCGAAGCTCTACATCATGAAAATCCTCGCCGTAAATTGATCTTAGAGCTTCCGCCTCGTCCTGATGAATCTCCTTGTAGTTCGTTGAGCCTAGGGTGGGCCCTGTTACGGCGGCAGCTTCAAAAGCATCCGGCTTGTTCTCCTTCTGGGGAGAGCCGTTTTGGAGAGCATTGCTTGGTTTTTTCTGTTTCTTGTGAGGCATAGCGGGGCTGTTGGCGAGGTATTAAGTAGAAGCGTCTAAGATAGAGACAGGTCGCGCTTGTCACCATGAACAGTGACAAAGAATGCAGCCGAAGCCGCAGCCCTCTATTTCTCAAGAATAGACATTATACGGGGAATGTGTACAGGGAAGTGAGCGTGGAAAGAGACAAGGAGAAAAAGAAAAGAAGATTAGATGCGGAGGATGGCACCTGCTCTGTTAGAAGGAAGACTAAGTAGCGGTATCGATAAGGGTCCACTGGCGCTAAACTGAAAGCGGGCTGGGCACGTTGGTAGGCGCTAGGCGGTGCCAGCTAAGACAGGCAGGCGGTGACCCACTACCAGCTGCCCTCTAGACCGACGTAAACAAAACACAGCGAACCACGTCGACGACAGCACGCCTTGATCCATAGACTTGCGCGCTGTTCATACCTCGTAGCTTCATTGCTGCGTTGATGGGCTGGTCGTGAACTTAGAAAAAAAAAAAACACGACAGAAAACAGGATGTTAGGTTGGATCACAGGACAGTCTAATGAGCAGAAGGCCACCGGTAAGCTTGGACATCTGATTTCTTGACGCGTCTGAAACACTCATATGCTCCTTCCTCAAGACGAATCGGTCATCATGGAACCCCCGCAGACACCTGGCCCTGTTTTTGCGATGCGAGCCTTCAAAAGTGCTATCTGGGGAACGCCTGCAGGTGAGGGGAACGAAAGTGATCGTTCAGTGATTACGGGGAGCCCTGAGAAATCTACGCTTCGTAACAAAAATAGTACCATGAATCAGCCGATCCCGATTATTCAACTACAGCAACAGACATTTGAGAAGCCAGTGTCTGACTCGACAAATCAATTGAGCATGTCCCCTACGAAGAGTATTCTTGTCACGCCCGGTACAATTTCGAACAGACGGAAAACCGTATCGTTTGGGGAAACAGCTGTGCATGGCGACTTTGAACGAAACAAAACTCTGTCAAGGAGCAATAGCACTTCGATATCACCCGCAGGCTCCGTCTCAAGTCAATGGATGTCTAGTCAATCGGATGGAAAGTCACGACCTCGAAGTAGGCTCACTCAGAGTCTGCTCGATGCAAAGGAACGATCTGCAGAGGAACCCAGCAAACAGAACAAGTCTATTCGTACCGAAGAGTCTTCGGAGAACAATGATCTCCCCAGCAACATAAAGGCGACGCTGACCGAGAGACTTGATGATACCATTGATCTCGAATTCCCTCGGTCACAGTCTGGTCAGTACTGGAAGACTGAATTTGAGAATTATCGAAAACGGACCAATCTGGAAATCAGCAAATTGATACAGTACCGCTCATCGGCGCGGTCCTTTGCGCGCAAGAAGGACGTTGAGGCGATGCGCCTCAGGGAAGAGTTGCGCAAAGAGGAGGAAAAAGTCACAGCCATGGAGCGTCGCGTGACAGAGCTGGCCTCAAACATGATGAGCGAGAAGGTTGATGACGAAAGAGAAAGATTGGTTCAGGACCTTACGAGACAGACGGCGTTGGCAGTTCAATACAAACATAAGGTTGACACCCTACGAAGAACTCTTGAGCGCCATGGAGTAATCGGCAGCCCAGATGAGCAAACCGACTCTGAGGAATCAGCTAGAGACAGTCAATTCGAAATTAACATGCTGAAAGAAGCCCTCCAAGACGCGAATAGAAAACTTGAAGAGAGGAACCAAGATAACGATATCGAGAAGCTTCGGAATCTCGCAATCTCATCCGAACGCAAAGTGTATGAACTTGAAAAGGAAAATGCTGCATTGAAACGTACCATATCACGTGTGAAGGGCGAGATGGGAAAGTACGAAGAACGACGAACTGAGAAGGAAACCAAATTGAAACTGCGCATTGAGAAATTGGACCTGCGATGTGCCGACTACAGACAAAAAATGAACAAATATAAAGTTGCCATTCACGAAGAAAGGAACATATACCGGCAGGAAATCGATGCATTGAAAGAAGAAATTGCCAGGCTCAGTCCTTCAAGGAGGCGCGTCTCCCTTGATGCTTCGCACCGTCTTCTAGAAAAACCTTATGCAGGAATTCATGTCCATGATTTTGGAGGTGACGAAAATACTCGAAATCCTGTGGATAGAGATGATGAAATGCTACAGGTGAGTGCGTGCCCTTGATACCCACTATTTGACATTCACAGCCTGACTTTCCAGATAATTCAAAGTATCGAAGAACCGGACTTTCTCGGAACAGACGATTAATCTACTCAACTACGCACCCTGGGAGAGCTGAACAAGACAATTTTCTATTGGCAAAGGAGAACACTTTACGAGCATCTTTCCCGCCTGTTTTCTCCTTACCAATCGCACAATCTCGCTCGCATTATTCGCGCCCTCCAAAAAAGGCTCATCGGCAGCTAGAACATGAGAGAGAAGAATGGGAGAGTTCTTGTGACATATTTACTTGATTTGATACCCTTTGCGTTTTTATCATGTTGAATTCATACCTCCACGGCTTTTATGTTGGGCATAGCAATATGTACACTGATTGTGCAATGTGTGCGCGAGCAAGCGGTTTTCCACTTCTTATCAACAACCACATCGAGAACCTTTTTACGTTCCGTTGAAATAATGAGACTTGCAACTTGTCCAATGTGGCATTAACGATGTACCATATTTATTCTATCTACATTATACCCAGCTCATTACTCATTTCTTCTATATCAAGTCTAAACCACCACTACTCAATAAACACTATCTTCTTGTCGCATCTACAACTTCCCATTCGAAAACGAGACAACAGCCCACTTCCCACTCCAAGCCCATTTCCTCGCACCGGAGTCACCGCCTCCATCCGGCAACTGGCGCAGACGCTCATCTTCACCTGGTTTGAGACCGACGACGACATCCGCTTTGCAGGTACGGAATGAGAGGATTCGGATCCCGGATTTGGGGCCCAAAGGTCCTATAGCTTCGGTGAAGGGGGTTGTTGGGTCCCACGCAGCCTGCCACCAATCAATTAGCACCAAACTACATAATACTGGTGAGGGGAGTAAGCCTTACGTCGCTGGTCAACTTGCGGTAGTTAAGATCGCCCTTGAAAAGCACGAGTTCAGGCTCCTTCAGATCCTCATACAGATCCTCTGCGGTCTTGGGAAGACGCCAAAATGAGCCAGCTCCAGTCCAGAATCTATGCGGACGAAGCACCAGTTTGCCCTCGGCATGGAATGTGCTCCATTGCCCAAAGAGGAACTGAACATTACTCAACTCCTCTTCTGAGAGAGGGGGGTATTCACGACCGGAATCGTCGGCCGCGGTATAAAATGCTTGTGGGTTCGCGATTGCAGTAATCAAGTCCGCGAAATCTTTGGGGACGACATCGGAGACAAACCAGGGTATAACTTTGGGCCGTAGCACAACGGTTGTAGCGAGACCAGTTGATAGCAAATAACCGGCAAGAATTAGGTCGACGAATAACTCAAACCCGGCATTGTCGAGGACAATATCAACTCTTCGTTCTTCGCTGGCCTTTTTGGTTTTTCGTGCGTCTCGGAGCACGTTGTATGCTGCTGCAATATCGTTGACAAGAATATTCTTCTCAGACGCCTTGCGGGCTTCAGAGCCCTGCAATTTTTGAATATCTTCGTAAGTGAGGGATGTAAGCAGCGACAGATCGGTAGCGTTTCCCCAGAGACAGATCTCGCACATCTCAGTGAAGATGATGCGCTCGGCTTCCTCAATCCGTTCCTCCGACAGTCCGTCTTTGGATTGTTTCTCGGCCTCAAGAGCGAGTGCTTTGTATCGCGCTGCTAATTCGAGAACAGCGGGGCGCGAAGATTTGAAGGTGGACATTTTCTGGCGCGAGAAGACGTCGTATCCTTTCCAGAATTGGGAGCGTTTGAAGAGAGTTGCAATCCGTCGGTCTGCAACAGTCAGGCATAGGACATTCCATAGGGGGCCGCTATATGGACATACAGAGATAACATTCTGAGTAAAGCCATGGGACATCGTGCCACTTCGGATTGCCGCGCTTCTCCAATTCGTCGTTGTACTCGGCGATATCAGGTTCGCCATCGTCGAGAAGGGGGCTGCCAGTCATAATATCAGCCCTCGTTCCTGATACACCAGCCGGAAAGGGAAACCCACGTCAATTGCCGGTTATGTTGTAATTCATATTTCAGCTTGGCTAGCTCTTCGATGATGCTCTTCCCTTCAGCGCGCTTTTCTTCGTTTGCGGTAGGGACATCGCCGACGGTGCGGTGGAGATCGTCAATGGCTCCAGTCTGGTTATTTCAATTATCAATGATTAGCTGCTGAATCTTCAATAGAAAGGCCATGCGAAAGTCTTACGAGAATGACGGGTAATCGCTCATGAGCGGAGACAGAGGCAAAGCTCGTCTTGTCCGACGTCAGGTATTGTGCTAGTTGAATAGTTAGACCAATCAATGACAGGGGTTTTTGAGTCGAGCTGCTTTGCTCAAAATACTCACGCATCTTTGCGTCGTACTCCATCTTTAGCACAAATTAATTGAACTTAATAGATATGTTCAAGTACGGAAGTGATTGATATTTGTTGTCTATGGTTCCTCACAGAGGGGTTGCGGGGGACAATTTTAATCAGCGCCGATAAGCGGGCCTGCGGGGAGATGTCCGCAGTATCACCTACTATTTAACTACACTGTGTACCCAAGTATTTTCAATCTAGATATGTGAATATGTTGATTCCTCATATAATTCTGAATAAGCCAACAATCAAGAAGCAAATGCCAAAGACCCTGCCCTACCTATGACATGAATAATCGAATGCTTTCATCTATATCCGACGACTCCTAATGCAAAAAACGCTCCACACCAAAGACGCTTTCATATCAAGGTCATAAAAGGGGGAATATGCGTCGACTGGTCTTTTTGACTCTGTTTCTATGTTGCTGTTGTTGTTTGGTTTTTGTATATCAGGTTAGAAGTATTTCTTCATGAGAAGAGTTCCAAAAAATTCGTTCATTTTGCCGTAAATCGTCTACATCATTGACATGAGAGAGTTTTGAGCATAAGCCTGGAAGATGATTAGAATCTGATCAATCCTTAGTATAGAGGGAGACGTACCATTGGCTTGATATCCGGGTGAGGAACGGCTTCGAATACATGGTATTCAAGCTTGAGTTCCGGTCCAACATTGATATAAGCACCCTTATTTTCCGTAGTATCGCAATACTTGGGTGCAGAAAACACGGTGATACAGCGTCCATCATGCTCGACTTCATAACCACCCATTCTGACTTCGTGTGAACGAATGACTGCTTCAAGACCGTTTCTCTCGCAGAAGCGCTTGGTGACATCAGGACCGAACTGGAGACCGACTCCTCGCTTGCTTGGGCCACGGCCAGGAGTTGGTTGAGGATCGGTCCAGAGCATCTCCATCATGAGACCTGATTGGCCAGGTTGACGCTGGTTATGTCTGTTGAGTTTGCGAATGTCGTCGAGTGTGGTATTGTCGTCAGAGAAGAGACCGCCATGCAGGACAAAGTATTTGCTGCCAACGAGGGTGGCCAGGGGTAATGCTGAGAAAGATTCGGAGAATACTTTGAAGACGTGCTCGTTGTACTTGGCTTTGCACTCGCCTTCGAAACCGTATACTTTGTTCATGTCGTCAGTTTCGTGGTTTCCTCTGTTGAGGAAGAATTTGTCTGGTCGTAACCATTTGTATGCATAGAGGAGGAGGGCTATTTCAGTTGACCAAGAGCCACGGTCGACGAAATCTCCGTTGAAGAGGTAGGCATGGGTGTCAGAGGGGAAGCCGTTGAGTCGGAATATCTCCAAAAGATCGAAATATTGACCTGAAGAGTTAGCATCAAATGACGAGTCTGCATTGAGCGGGGTTACTTACCATGTGTATCACCGCATATCGTGAGCTTAGTACCCTCTTCAACACCAACCTCCACCATCGTCGGCTCCGCCCTGACAATATCCAACACATTCTTCACAATCTGGAACGCATATTTCCGATGAATCTTCTTCCCATTCTTGAATCGCTCAATCATATCATCTATGAATTCCTGTGTCATGTCCTTGTCCAATCGCACACCGTCATACGCATCCTCGACGGCAATCGCATCGATATCGAGATCCTCAAACGCAGAAGCTGGCTCGGCCACCTCGATAGCTTTCTCAAAGTCCATTCGGCGCACCAGCTTTTCGCACTCCGTCAGTCTCAATTTTGCGGTCTGATTGTTCGGTTCCCGTTTAATGACGGATTTGAAGTCTTTGAGGGCAGCGCGAGGGTTCAGAATGGCAGTGTTGGCCAATGCTCTTCGCCAGTATGCCTATATCCGGGGTCAGAAATCCAAACTTCGTATGGTAGAATGCGCGATAGTCTATACCTTCACGTTCGTAGGGTCAAGTTCGAGGGCCTTGGTCGCATCGGCAATGGCATATCCGTAAGCCTCCATTTTGATGTAAGCCTGCTCAGATATTCAGTATTAGCACGAATTTTCTCTTAAACCCTGGCATCGGATCCATCCACACACCTGAGCTCTGTTGCTAAAGAATGAAGGCTCCTTGTCATATTGCTCAATGGCCTGTGTATAGAAATCGATCGCAGTAGGCCAATCATGCTTAGCAAATGCGGTGTTGCCTTTGACCTTCAAGGCATTCGCAGCCTCGGGGACGGAAGAGGCCATTTCGACGGTGGGATGTGAGTCGCGAGTTGTCGTAGAACGTCTAGGCGTAAAGCATCAACAGCCAGGTGTGTAAAGGAGGAAAGATCGTATTAAGGAAACCAGGCACACGACGCAATGTCAGAGGCACAAGACCAAGTACTGGTGGCGAGGGGCTTTTGATAAGGAACGACGCCCGAGTTCCCGATACCTCGAATAGATCAGACGAGAACTGATTGCAATGAAATGCAAGAAACTATGGAAGGAATTGTATCTAGCGGACGTTGAGGCAAAGTTTGCTCACTGCTCGAAAGGATTTTTGCTTTTTCCAGAGGTTGTGAAGGTCAGTCAGCCGCGGAGCCTCTCCCGCTTATCGGAGCCTTTCTTTTTTGGCGTTGGCGTTCCAGAAACATCGAACATCGACCCAGCTGTCGGCCAACACAACTCCACAAGCTACAAACATCCTACGACATCCTACGCCGCTTTCTGAATCGAATCTTCGCATTTTTCGAGCGGTGAACTTAGAATCTGCACACTAGAAAATGACTTCCTTCGTCGTCCCCCCAGGACAAATTCGGACCCTTCGCGCATGCATGGTCTGCTCAGTCGTTATGCCTCAAAGCGTAAGCTCTCGACCCTCACAATCTCCTCGCGCAATGACTAACATCGCAATCGCTTACTAGAAATTCGCGCGCGAAGGCTGCCCAAATTGCGAACACGTCCTCCAGCTCCGCGGCAACAACGACGCAATCCAAGAATGCACATCCCAGGTCTTTGAGGGCCTCATATCCATCATCGACGAACGGCAGAGTTGGGTCGCTCGCTGGCAGAGGTTAGAAGGCTATGTGCCGGGAACATATGCGATGAAGGTTACGGGAACATTGCCTACGGAGACGGTTGCATCGCTGGAAGATGCTGGGATCAAATATATACCGTAAGTGCTCTTTCCTAATCTGCATCGCGGGGTTCTATGGATTGTTTAACTGATGTGAATCTATTTTTTAGGAGAGACGGAAGCGCGAATGAAGAGGAATCGTGACGGCGAAATCACTATCGGCTGGATAATGCATACATTTTATTTTAATTCAAAGCGGTGTTCGGGTTTTTCTAAGACTTTTGCTATATGGATATATGGCGTGGCGTTACAAAAGCATCAATGATACATCTGAAGCAATTCTACAATTTCTTTAGGAGTACACTACATTAGATTTTGGATTGAGTCTTATTCATTTCATTTTCGACTATACGTCCTATACAATATACGAACTCGATCCGAGCTGGTGGTATCGAATACCCAAAAATCGCAACAGAAATGCGCCAATATAAACAAAGAGACAAACATGATATCATAACACAATCAAAACAACGAAAGGTTACTATGCGAGGAGTTTCTCGAGTTTCTCGAGGAGGAGGTCGGCTATTTGTATGTTAGCCAAGGTTATAGGAGAAATTCGAAAGAAGAAACATACCATGGTGCTTCTGGAAGATCAACATTGGTCGCAGACGCACAGCCGTGGCTCCACTTCCACCAATGTTGACACCCACAGTCTTAGCTTTAGCAAGGAACTCGTCACGGTTAGGCGAGTCCCAAGCAATGAAAGTTCCCTGGCCCTTGCCACGGAGGTTCTGAATAGCATTGGGGAATTTCTGAGCAAGAGCTTCAAGTCCCTTGTACAAGTATTCTCCAGTAATGGCAGTGTTCTCAACAAGGTTCTTGTTCTGGACTTCTTCGTAAATGGCGCGGAACAAGATGGCACGAACTGGGTCACCCAACCAGGTGTTGAACTGACGGTATGGCTGGGCAGGACGCAAATCAGGGTTGCCATAGTAGAAACCGGCTGCTTGGGCCTTCTTGGAGAATGTGACCATGTCAGGAGGAGAGCTCAAGTTCCAGTGGTCATGAGCCCAGAATTTTCCAGTAGCACCGACACCAGTCTGAACCTCATCAACAATGAAGAGCACATTGGTGCGCTTGGTGATGTCACGGAGACCCTGGAAGAAAGCGGGGGAAGCATGGTTATCACCACCTTCAGACTGGATAGGCTCAACAATCACAGCAGCAACAGGATTGTGCCATTCCTTAATAAGACGCTCGGTCTCCTGGAGGCAGCGCTGTTCTTCCTCGGCATTCTCCTTTACGTGCTCCTCAAGAGGGTACTTGAGGTTGGGGAAAGGGGCAGCGGGCCAGTCAAAGGCGGGAATATCGAGTTTGTGAATAGGCTTGCTTCGGGTGGTTGACAGACTACCAAACAGACGACCGTGGAAAGCTGACTTGAAGGACAAGATGGACATCTGAGGAGAACCAGGGCCCTCGTTGACCATAGTCGACTTCAATTCCTCTTCGGTGAAATCAGCACCAACTCCACGCTCTTGTGAGCGTTTGTAGATGAAAGCAGCCTTGTAGGCAAGCTCATTTGCGTCGGATCCCGCCAGAGCGGTAAAGACCTGATTCAGTCCCTTGGGAGCGGCTGCCAGGAGTCCAGTTCGAAGGATGTGAGACCAATCGGCAGAAGGGAAGTTTCCAAGAGCCGGTCTGTCAATGATGGCGCGGACCATCTCGGGGGTGTTGACTGCAGCGGCAAGGTGAGGGTTGTTGTAGCCAACGGGGATGGAGGCGATTTGTGCGTAGCTGTTCAACCATATGTTAGAAAACTTCGTGAGGATGCGAAGACTACTGAGACTCACACATCGAGATATTTGTTACCGTCAAGGTCGACAATACTAGTGATTGTTAGTTTGTACGTCACAAGAGACAAGCGAAAATACATACTAATTTCCAACGGATTTTTCGTAATCAGCGAGAAGGTTCAAGCTACGAGTGTCAAAGACTTCACTGAGCTCCTTGGCAGCAGCCTGGTTCTTGGGGCCTGGAATAGCAGTTCGCACTGAAGGTGCCGTGGGCTCATCTGCAAAGTAGGGCTGTGCGGAACGGCGGGGGACAGCAGKGCTGAACAGGCGCCCTGCATTGAGGCGTGTAACAGACCTCATATTGAGGCGAGATCGGAGTGCGGAGGTCATGTTCTATGTAGAAGATCAGCAAAAATAATACATCGAGGCTAAATAGTCATCGCTTGCTCGGTTGCGTAGACAAGCAAGAAGTTGATGCAAATGACGTTCGGCGATATAAGTGAGGCGGGACAGATAACGGTCGCGAAGGTGATGCATGCAATCGACCATCACAACCAGAAGGTAAAAACTGGATGACTTACATGGGGGTTAATATGTTGCAATTGATGTACAGAGAATGAATCAGAGAGAATAGAATGGCTCTCGCAGGGAGGGGATTGGAATAGTTTTATACGTCCCACTATCGGCGCATTACGCAAGTTGCAGATAACACAGAAATTGGGGAAATCGCAGGGGGAGCTTGACCGCCAAGACCGGCGATAGACCAAAGCTTACTTTTTCGGCGATTTGGGCCAATGAGAGTGGCCACTGTGCCTGCCGTGCTGGCCGACGCCGAGTTGACTGAAAGGCAGACTGTGGTTTTGGTATTCTCTACAAGTGCTATTTCGGAGCACAAATTGCGATTTAAAGCGAAATTGACCTTGAGAAAGTACGCTGCTGAGAAAACTGCTCGAAGGCCGTGAATGAGACAGAAAAGAATGCCTGGTGCACACATAATCGTTCAGAGATCAAGCTACTGGCCTGTCAGGTGACGCTAACCCAAAGAAGCAGGTATAAGCATCTTTTATCGATAAGCCGGATAAGAAGGACTCAGCGAATTTCTTTGAAGCTGGATCATCCCATCAGACTTCGAAGATATAACAAATTGATCGTTGATAGTTATATTTCGATCGTACGAATATGCTTAGCTGCTCTTATTGGGTAGCGAGTGTCATCTTGCTTTTTCTAACACCGGCGTATACGGAAAGAACAGATGGAACATGTGATCGGGGTTAGAATATCAATCATAGACGCCAAACTAAATACAAGTATTTTTGCTTTCAGCCATCGAATTTCATACCATCCTTTCAAGAGCAAATGGCGCCTCATCGTCGTTATACAACTCCTTTAAATTCCTCGACGCGGAAAAGGAGTCTTGCCGCCGGTCCATAATATAGCTGCGTGACGGCTTCATGACTGCCCTTCCATACGCATTCCTTGCTTCCATCAGTGGTTTGGAAGGGACCGACTTGGCAGTCGCAGGACGACCGTATATTCCGTCCTTGCGGTCTTCATAGAACGTCTCCAACTCGACAGTGCGAACGATACCTGATCCATCAGTGGAATCCCGTCGACTAAACATCCGCACATCTTTGGTTATTGAATCGTTAGATCCCATGCGTACATGAGGGTTAGCGGATTGGTTTGATGACGGTGGCCATGGCTTGGGGTTGTTGAAACGTTGGTGGGAGTAATCATATTCATGTCTGGAACTACCGAGGAGTCGAGGCGAGATTGCCTTGATAAGGGGCCGAAGAGCGGGTGCGGATGCACAGATCTAACAAGAACATTGTGAGAACCATCCACTATTAGTCATAAAAAGTGACATACCAGCCCCAGGTTGACCTCGATGGCGGCAGACAAACTAGCGGCCCATCCCCACCATGAGGAGTCATATGAGCCAAAGGAGTCAAACCAGGCAAAATACGTCCGAACAGAAGAAGCGATAGTCACCACGATACCGATACCAAAGATACCAATGACTGCAAGACGCTGACGCCGAGGAAGATTGAGTTTCCATATTAATGGCATGGGCACTACAGTGGTCATGAAGTCGGTAAACACGTTGATGACGCTGGCTCCCAGGACCACTTGAGCTCCATTGATGCAGTGATACGGGTAGTCTGGGAGCAAATCAAAGGATGCTTTGATGGGACTAGATATTGTCAGTATTCCTTGGTGCAAATGCGGGGACATACCACCCACATGCAATTGAGTAACGTGGTGAAGATGAACAAAAGGCCCAGTATCACTAAAAGTACCATGGCACCAATAAGACTCCAGTTCAAGTACCGAAGATTACTCTTTGCGCTGCTCCCAAGGAGTCGACGGCAAAACCATAATAAGGACACCTTGGTTAATGTCGATGTCACCGTAAAGGTCATTTCAAAAACCATGCGGTACTTGAGTGAAGCCGGTATCCATGCGTATGGAATATCCCATTGATGGCGGTCCCAGCCGAAATGTGCAGCGGCGATAGATGTCGCGGTACACATGGCAATGGCAAATGCCTTGTCGTAGGTCAGTGAATCGTTCTCCTTCTGGAAGGTCGAATCGGGATCTTACCAGGGACAACACGGCAAGGACATCGTCAAGGCCGATGGTGGCTGTTATGAAAGCACGGGTATATATCCGCAAAGCAGTCAAAATGAAAGCAAGCGATGAGAATAAGACATTGACGACCAGCAACCCTGGGCCTCTGCGCACGGGATGAATATAGTCTGGCGCTGGCCAGGAGGCTATCACGCTGGCAGGGGGGAGTTGGCCGCTGGACATTATCCGAAGGGCGCAATAGAGAAGAAGTGTACGCAGTCAGAGTGGATTTTTCCGCTCCTCACTTTTACGCTTACTGAGACGAAAAAGCCAGATTCCATCAAGAAGGAACAGTTCGTTGTGACCGGGGTTACACTGGCAGTTTATATCTTTGTCTCACGAGAAGAACGGAGACAAGAAGCGACGAAGCGGAGAACCAACGCCTCTGGAGGTGTTCGAGAGGGCAAATGATTAAATTCATCAAGCCAATCAGAAAAGTAATTAATCTAAGGCATATCCAACATATGTTTTGGACTATGCAGGGCTGCATGAGGTGTGGGCTTGGAGACCCCTGGTCCTTTTAGTCCAATCTGGGAACAATCATCATGTAGGATATTTGTTTCGTTGCAGACAGGAACCACGCCACCATGGCCGCCTACTAAGCCGGAAGAGAATGCGGGGTCTTACTAGATGATTTTGACTTTGAGTGTGTACTGGATTTGGTATTTCTTTGCGACTCGTTAAAGAGATCACGGTTGTGGGGGGCGCTGGACACGAGGATTGACTATAGGCATATAGCCTACTTGAACCCTCCAGTATGGATTTAATTGATCTACTGCGGGTGAGTGCTACTCTATAAATTACCCCGTTTGATCTACTTGACGATATCTATATTCACATATTCACAGAGCTTGGGCAATCTGTGCCTGAATGGCCGTAATACAATTTGGCACAGAAGATGCAATTATGATTCGCTGACAGGAGTCGAGTGCAGAATTAGGGCTTCGCACGAACGCCGACAACCTTTCAATCCATGCCGGCCAGGGTTGTACAAGGGAAATCTCGGGATTTCTCATTTCTGATTGAATTTTCAGTACAGAATGTTTGATTTCTTTTTTATGATTGGTTGTCATGTCGTAGGTGAGGACCTAAAAACTAGCCAGCTTGTTGCATCCCCGGTCTTTCGTCGGGAGTTTGAGAACATTGCTTGCATACCCCACGGGACCACGGGAATATACCCAGGTAAGGCTAAGCGGATCTTTCACATGATCTTTGGATTGGTCAATGACTGAACATGGCGTCTGTAGTTACTTATACTATGTAGTTACTAGTTTTGAGGACGAAAATCCGGCTAGAGTCGATCATGAACGGGCCCGTGCTGGTGATAACCATAACGGTAGAACGTGGTCCATTACTATGTACTTGACTTAGTACCGGCACATTCTAGATCTAATTGACGATTTGCGACTGTGTGACTCTACTCAGAGTCTACCTGATATAGATGAAACTAGAAGTGGGTCTGAAATCAACCACACTCTATGACAGTCTGCTGAGTACAGTGAGTGTGTGAATTATTCAGCGGGCATAATGGATAGAGTCATGGCACGGCCTCTATTTGGACCTTGCAAATGAGTCAACCCGACAGAATTGTATCTCGAGTCTTTTGCTGAATACCACATTCGGGCTAACCATCAGCCCATTTTGAGGTTGTCCGCCTTACTCCTCTTCTCTACTATACATGTAAATATGGACATTATACATGCGACGAGAGAAACCATTCACTACGAGTCATGGAGGTACTTCCTCATACGGCTATCTTTCGACCTGGTCAGTTTGGTAAATGGAGGGGGATCTTCACCGTTCCATGGAACCGTCTCTTGCGGTCAACGGATGAGCTCAAGTCTGGAAATTCTAGTTTCATGGACTGAGGAAGCCATTGAACAAGCATTGGTGATCCAGAAGCATATTAATCTCATTTCGGATACCTTCGATTCTAGAGTCTCGGTAAGTAGTTCCTTCAATCAACTCATTCAAGTCGACGGCATCAGCCTTCGGATCTACAAATAATCATAGACAGAGACATGAACTCGGGCTCAAAAATTGGATGCCATATCACTTTCATTGGATACGAATCTCTGGGGAAACTCCTGCATTCGTCATACAAGAGTGGCGATAGTATCCGTCCTACGCTAAAGAAAGACTGTTAAACACCTTGCCACCCAATGAACTCATTAACAGAGTCAGATATTCCGGGAATATCGCCAATTCCTCTGTTATCGATAACATAACTACCCCTCCATAGTATAGACTATCTACGTAAGATACCTCGGGAACAAGTCAGCCGTGGGAAGTAGATTAGGGCTTAACATACGCTATCCCCCGCTTCTCCCTCCCATGCCGTATACCCTATACATTTTAGCCCTAAAACTCGACTCGACTCAGACGATGGATGAGGCAATGATGATAGATGCCAGAATTTTAGTGCAGAAGACTATCATTACATCGACATTTGACTCATTTCTAGTCATGGCTGCAGCAAGTTATGAGTCAGACCGACTTACTATAATGGGCGGCCACATTCTTGCCTAAAGCGACACACAAACCACAAGGATTCTTCACTATCTCTGTCTGAAGAAAAGATGAGATATAACGCCTGCCTATTTGGGATTGATCAGATGATGAATACATGATTTTACAGGGGTTTCACTGTTGCTGTCGGGTGCCCTGGAATTGTGTGAAGGGGTTTTGCAAGGATCTCGGTAAAGATCAATTCGTGGCTGATTACTACCTAGTAAAGCTTGTCTAGGATTGTGAGATTTGCCGACACACGTTCTTCTTCTAGTACCTACATATACCAAACACTTTAATTGTTGTCAAGTTAATTAAGCACTATATATGAACCAATTGCAACGCTGTGACGCGGCACTTTCTCGCGGTCACAAGCCGCATTGTACTGTACATGTACACCCATGTATCAACGTTGGTGGTAGTTACATGTGACAGCGCCTATCGAACCACGTATCGAGTAGAAGTATGCCCGATGAAATTCCGCAGTGTGGGATGGGATGCATACATAAATACAGATAAATGTCCCATAATTTCATAGGAATGAGAAAAGTCGCTTCTCATCGGCTGCTCGTTGAGCGTGCCAGACGGATTTCTTGCCCGAACAGGGAATAATGTGCAGAACACCTGTGTAGATCCGTAATCAGTTAGGGCAACGATATTTTCCTGCACTGAGTAAGAATTGATCAAGTAACTTAATTACTATGTATGTGTGTACATAAAGAGGCTCTTAGTGCGGCTTCCGCGATAAAATCCAGTCTATTCTCGGGCAGAACCTCACTGACTTCAGTGCGTCCTAGTATGTACGTGTTGGCAAAAGTAGTCCGGGCACTTAACATGAAGATGTATATCATATCGCTCAGCCTTGCAGTGCTACTAGCCCTACCAAGCCGTCATCGAAGCCTTACGGAAGAAGAACTTAAGAAGCACCTCTCAGCTGAGGCTGAACCAGGTAGTGTACAGTACATAACAGACTAACTACTTTGTACATAGTAGTCGCCTAGTGAAACAGGGTTTGCAGAAGCTGACAAAGTAGTAAGTAAGAGTCTGGAACCCTACGCGTATGATACGTACCTTGTGGGGCCGCCACCGTACACTTGGTACATTTTGTGTACATAGTAAGCACTCCAAACTGACGCGAGGTCAATCTCTTGGAAAAATTCCCTTCCTCTTGAAAATCCCATCTTTTAAAATGATATGAACGTGAAGAGCATCCGGGTTGACTGAGCATCAACCATCCGGAGACTAAGGGACTGCACCCCTGACTAGGCCAGCTAAAAACGGGCACATCCGTCCGGTCCGGCCCCATAGTGGCAGAAGCTGAAACATCTTTCTCGATGCCAACGGTGCGACGATGGATCTTCTGAACAGCCAAAATGACTCAATTGGGCCTGACCTGGCCACCTCCTATTCCTTTTTCAGCGTCGATTGGTGACAAGCAGCAGCCAAAGACCCGCTCCACGTACCCTAGTGCGTCTGCTACTCCGTATTCTGACGGCTTTGGGATGGGGAACGAACGTGGTCTGGAAGCCTTGGACGCCAATTTATTTTTATTTCGAAATTCTCAATTTCTCACTAACTTGAGCTGACCATTTTCGATTCTCTCTTCTTGTTGATCGTTCATTCTACATTCGTTTCTTTGCATATTTAGACCGTTTACCTTCATTTATCCTTTATTTGTCTCTTCTTTCTTCGTTGCTTGAATCCTTTCTTCTGCCTGACCACACCGACCAAAAAATAACATTCAACGAGTCAACAGCATGGACGGAGGAGCAGTAGTCAGTGGCGGCGAGGCCAGCGCTGCCAGCGCTGCAGCAGGAGCCCATGCAGCTGGCGAAGGAGCAGCTCCAGTGCACAGCAGCCACCACCATGCCGAGGATCACGCCAATACTCAGCAGACATTCGTTTATCACCGGGAGCAGGACTCCCCTCAACCCAAATCACGGCCGATTTCACTGTCCGACTTGCAAGAAGCTCGTAAACGTTATCTAGAGCCGATTACGCATTCCGCTTCGGATTTGGAGCATTATTTTGTATGTCTCTTCTCTTGTCTCTATTGGGAACGTTCGTGGAGACTGATTGAGTAGACCGGTCCTCGTGATATCAGCAGACACACCAAATGGCCCCTCTTTCTCCGAATGGACGGCAGCATCCTGCCGCGCCTGATTCTTCCCTTGATTTTCATGGCCGGCTGGTCCACGGCAATTACGTGCATTCATATTATAGTTCATCCTCTGACTGTGTCCAACATTCTGCTTACTGTCCTCGGTTTCGTGGTCGGTTTGGCCCTGTCGTTCCGAAGCACGACTGCCTACGAACGTTATGCCGATGGCCGCAAGTACTGGGCTTCGGTCATTCAGACATCCCGCAATATGGCCCGTACTATCTGGGTGCATGTCAAGGAACGTCCTGGCGAGGAGGGAAAAGAGGATGTTCTCGGCAAAGTGTATGCTTTCTCTCTTTGATCAGCGACGAGTCAATTGACTAACTGTGATAGAACCGCCATGAACTTGCTTCTCGCCTTCTCCGTCGCGCTCAAACACAACCTCCGCTTCGAGCCAGCCATTGCCTACCAAGACTTGGTCGGTCTAGTCGGTCACTTGGAAACATTCGCCAAGGAAGCACACGACCCGGAACTGTTGACCCCTCCCCGTCACTCGCTCTGGAAACACGCTGGCATGTATCTCGGAGTCACATTCGCAGAATCCAATCCCCGAAAACTGATCAAGCGCGCAAAGAAGCCACTGGGTCATTTGCCTCTGGAAATTTTGAACCATTTGTCTGCGTATATTGAGCACTGCGAAAAAGGGGAACTTCTCAAGTCGGCGTTGCACCAGGGTCAACTCAGTAAGTCAATATCTTACTTCTTGTTTATCAGCTTTACTGACTACTTAGTCAACTCGGTCGCTGCATTGAACGAAGCCCTGACCGGCTCCGAGCGAGTCCGCGATACACCCCTGCCCGAAGCTTATAGCATTGCCATTTCGCAAATCTCCTGGATCTATATCCTGGTCCTGCCCTTCCAGCTAGTCAGTCTGATGAATTGGATTGCCATTCCCGGATCAATTGGTGAGCCAATTCCTCGGCCCCTCAATTTCATCGATACTAATAACTTGCAGTGGCCGCATACATCATCCTCAGCTTCGTCGCCATCGGCCGCGAACTCGAAAACCCCTTTGGCGACGATGTCAACGATCTCCCCCTCGACTCGTACTGCCGCCAGATCGCCTCCGAAATCGACATCATCACCGCCACCCCGGCGCCCAAGATGATGGACTTTATGAAAAGCAGCGACAACTTTGTATTCTACCCATTGAGTCTGGAAGGTTTCGATAAGTGGCAGGAGCGTAGCATGTCTGAGATTCGGGCTGCGCTGAGGACAAAGGTGATTGCCCAGAAGAAGGCTCTTGATGATGAGGCTGGGATTGTGACTTTTGCGCCGAATTTGAAGTCGGATGATTGATCTTATCACTAAAAGCATTGCGGGTTGTATCGATTTCTGTCGTTTCTATTTTGCTATTCATAAGCGTGCAGTGTCGGATTTAGTAGAGGTGTTGCGGGCGTGATTTTGTGGGAGATAAAATTGGCACACATAATACAAATACATTCATTTTCATCAAGCAATCTATCTAGCGACTCCTAACGCCATACATGCATTCAACACTCAAAAATAAAAGAAAGACGATTAACCCATCACGGAGCGAAAACCCCGTCCCCAGACCCATGCACAATCGCACTTAGATAATTCCCTTTTGCGCATACCCGCCACGCAACACTACCCTCTTCAACACCTTCCGATTCTCCAGCTCCAGCCCCAACAGAGCCGGAAGAAGAAGACAAAGATCCAGCCCACGAACTCAACGCCGCGAGGACAGCAGCCCCGTCGTCGCGGGGTACACGAATCCAGACATTCGGAACATCAGCCCCTATTTTCATTCCTTTCTGTTCTGGTAGTGGAGAAGATGGATTCTCAATCTTGAGTATATCAACTCCAATAGTCGTCCCCATCAACCCCAGGAACTGCGACAGCGCAGAAATGAGGTATGAGCGTGCCGTGAGTGCGTCGATGGAAAAGTTCTTGATGGTGTGATGCGAATGTGGAATTCTACTGTTGTTAGAGCATACTCTTTGAAAAGGATATGTGGATTGAGGGTGGGTTAGGTACAATTGGAGCTTGAAATAGGCCCATTGCGGATTGCGGGATGTGAGGCGCTGTTGCTGTTGTGTGGATTTGGTGGCGGTGGTATTGGTGGCAGGTTTGGGTGCGGGTTCGGTGGTCATTGCTACATCTTCTTGGCTGGCCATATTTTATTTCTGCTCTTGGAAATTAATGGTGTGATTGTATATATGGTTGATGGTTAAAAAATAGATGTTGTCTGCCTCAGGTATCAGAAAATTATACTGAGCACGGATTCGGACTAGCGCCCCGCGGCATTCGATCGAGTCGCGAGAGAAGTTGAATAACCTCCCTATCATGTTACCAGCTACATCTTTTCGTGTAAAGTTATGGATTGGACATTCATTCAACTATCGACTAGACTAGACTACGCTCACTTCTTGATCGATCTTGGCAATGTCAAAGAAGTGGGTCATTACATACATCGTTCTCGAGGAGAAAAGAAAAAATACATGAAGGCTGAAATCCTCCCAATTGAATGTCAAAAGCGATCATCTGAAGAAACAGGTTGCAAATGCTCTTTGCAAATGCGCGATCCATCGATCAATTGAGCCAGGCATGGCGGGATTCGTCAAACAGCAGAGGTTGGGTACTCGCTGGCCTCGGCCCCGGTCTTGTTATTACCTGGCATGACACCTAAGCTGCTGTCGTCGTCCAAGTCGATCTTGTAAAGCTCAGGGCAAACCAAGTCCTTGCGACGGAAAATGTATCGCTTGATCCACCATGGAGCAACGGTACCCAACTGGTACGACGCGTGACGACGAGTAGTCACTGCAAAGACATAGTCCAGCTCTTCAAGAGAACGCTGTTTGGTCTCGGGGACAAAGAGGAAAATCATCACAAAAGCTATGAGGTTCAGCGCCGCATAGAATCCGATTGCGCCCTGCGGTGTCATCGCCTTGAGCATGAAAGGGAAAGTAATCCCCAGTGCTGAACCCCACCAGTTGTTGGTCGCCACGGCCCAAGACATACCAATTTCACGATGAGACAGCGGAAACACCTCTGCAGAGTAAGCAAAAGGCACAGGTCCTTCGCCTGGAGAGTAGAATATGCAGAAAATGTAGATGAAGAAGGCGAGCAATCCAAGGTGAGCTTTATTCTCAAATGGGATCCAGAAACAGAACCCAGCAGCAAGCAACGACCAACACATGTTGGGAAAGGTGAAGAGCAGTAGAGTTCGTCGACCAAATGTATCGATCGTCCACACAGCTGGCCAGGCGAATATGAAGTTGATGGCTCCAAAGCCAAAAGAGGCAAGCAGAGCACCGATATTGCTAGCTCCTGCCTGAGCGAAGATGCTACTGGAGTAGAAAGAAATGATGTTGACTGTTGGCAGAAAGTTAGTGTCAGACCGTTGGCGTGGCTTTTGTACAAGATGAACTTACTTCCGCACATCTGTTGGGCAGTCATGACAACACCAGATGCCTGAGCGGCACGACGATTCCGTGGGATAGTCCACAACTCGATGAAGCGAGTGATCATGCCGGCATTCTTGGAGAATCCAGCTTCTTCCAACAAAATATCCTCTTGAACTAATGAAGCATGAATGAAGTACAAGTCTCGTGCGGCTTGAAGAGGGGTGTTTCGCAAACGCAACAGAGATTTGTATGCCTGCTTGTGTTTCTTCTTTGTCATGAGCCAACGAGGAGATTCTGGACAGAACCAGATGCCCAAGAGAAGTGGAACGGCCGGAATGAATGCAGAACCCATCTGTAATCGCCAGGCGATGGCTCCAGTTTTGGCAAGTACCAAGTTGGCACAAACACCGCAGAAGATACCGAATGCAGTCCACAATTGCCAGCTCATAGTCAGACCTCCACGAATGCTGGTAGGGGCAGTCTCAGCCGAGAACACAGGGACCGTGACTTCTTTGAGACCCATGCCAGTACCGAGCAGAATACGACAAATAATCATCTGAGGCCATGTTTGAACGAGAGCAGAACCGACGGGTGCAACGAGACTGAAGATAGCAGCGAGGAAAATGACACCACGACGACCAAGCCAATGGTTCAAAGGATCAGCGATCCAAGCAATCCTACGATAATCCCGTGTCAGTAGTGAAGAAGCGAATGAAGGAGAAATTGTAACGTACAAGACAGCGATGGTCAAGTAAGGCATTGAGACAATCGTACCGACGAGCCAGGTGTTGCGCTCGCAGGTTCCCGTCAAGTCACAAGGTCCAGGACTAGAATTAGGGATTCCGAGATCGTCCTGGAAAGTCAAGATAGCACCATTGGATCCTAATTCAATCAGAATATAAGTCAACTATGGGGATGCTGCTATATACGCACCCTCCTGATCCCAACCCTGGATAGCCGCAGCGATGGAGTTGAGAATGATGGTGAAGTACAAAGCCCATGGATGCTTCCAACGATGAGTCACTTCCTCGCGTAAAGCTTGACGCTCGGCTTCGTCGAGTTCCTCAATGTTTTCGAAGTTGCGGGGGTTCTGCGCGACCAAAGCTCCCTTCTTCAACAAGGGGAGGATATCGTTGAGGTCGAACTTGTTGGCATAGGCCTCGACATCAGCCATGAGATGAGGCTTGGCAATACCAACGAGAGGGTTTTTGATTCTAACCAGTTAGTATACAACCTAAGAAGGTGGAAAAGCAGATCACTTACTCCCCGGTGACATTATCAGTCAGCTGCTGAACACGCCGATGGCGCAATTCTTGGTTCACATAGGCGGCTTCAAGCCCTGCTGCTGCTGGCTGACTATTCGAGGTTTATTCTGTAAGTGACTGCATTGATAAAACTAGCATGGCCAGAAATACTTACACTCCAATCTCCTCCGCTTTAGCCATGGCGACTAGAGGACGATTGTAGTACAGTGTCTGTCGAAATCAGGACTGAACGACAGTCTGAAGATACAAATGGGAGCGCTATCCCACAGAGAAGAGCGAAGGAATGCCAGCGAGAGGATCAATAGGTAGAAGAGGGAGGAGGGGTGAGAAGGAGAGTGGAAAAGGAAGAATAAGAGGGAGAGGGGGGGCTTTTTTATAGGTCTGGGGAAGAGAGGGAAAAAAAACTGTGGGGAGCTTGGGAAAAACGTGAGATGAGCTCCAAATAAATCTCAGCCCAATGAGCTTGCCAGGGAAGGAAAGTGCCTTCCCACCGGGGACAGCTGCTGTTGCCCTGGCTGTTGCCCGCCAAACATAAAGGACGAGCCCTGGTCTTGTGACCTCGACTAATCTTACTTCCCCCGACTGGCTAATTGGCTGGAGCTTTGTATCTACATCGATCTCCCAACGACAAACGAAACAATTGCGGTGGCTGCTGTTAAGATCTCAATTTACAAAGCCTCATCGTGGTTAGCTATCTAGGATGCAGCCAACAGCCAGATTAAAATCTGACTCCCGGCCTCCACTGATGAGGCTTTTTCTTTTCTCGCTCGCTACTAAACGGGGCTGCGTCTGGTCCGTATCAGAATGAATTATCTCTAGAAAGCAATACTACAGGAGCACTCAGTCCCGCCCCCACGGAGACAGACTACTATAACGGATAGTGGCATGTCTATTCCAGGTCTCCCTTTTCTCTCCGTCTCGTCTTATGCGTACGTAATACGTATCTATGTCTTGGCTAGAGTATTCTTGACAGTAAGCCTTGGCGGACATGCAACGACTGACCGGGATCGAGAGAAATATTAGCTGAGCAACCTCGCAAAGAAGAGATGGAAATTGGATCAAACAATTTGATGCCTCTCTCCGCGACGTGACCCGCTTGCTCGTATTAGTTTTACAGCATAGCTTCCAATAAGGTAAATGACTGTCATTTGAGCTGAGATAATGCAGAGAAGCACTTGCCGCGTAATAAGCTACTAAGTCCCTGCTCACATCGTTGTGAGGTTCAATGATCTACTGCCTTGGAGTTGAGTGTCCCGTGACCATGTACTACGCAGGGGTTCATGGGGGATGCACAAAGAGGAATTAGCATGATTATCTGCCAGCCACGCGCTGAAGCGTGGCTCTTGGGCAATCCTTACAATGGTCTTAAATCAGAAGCGCGGGTACAACGTACGTAAATGGAGATTGTATACGGAACTACGTGCGACTAGGACATCGCTTGATGATACGAGAAGACTCTGTATATAGACTGGGATCATGGTTTGTGCTCACGCAGAAAGGATTATTTTGTCTCTAGCACATGAATGCAAAATTGACTCTGTGCAGACACAATAGCCTTATGAGATATCAGTGACAAGCATGGAGTCGCAGGCTCGGAAAGCAGCCGGAGTTGTCTGATACGCCGAGATCCCCGACTCCCTTCCTTTCTGTTTGTCTGTCGGAAGCCGCAAGTAGGCGTAACTTCAAAGACAAGCTAGTCTTGGCCAAGTGCCACTTTAGTATCACTATCATGAAGAAAGAAGAGCAAGACAAGACGTTAGATTTGAGTGGGGCAGGACTTGCGCCTTTTCTATTGAAGGGATTCTCCGCATTAATCTCCGGAGTCTACGCTGCTTTGGGATTAGGACAACATGATTAATCCCCGGGGTACGGAGTGAGTTGGCCCCGTAATTGTGATCATGAAGCATAAATAGAAGAAAGAAACCTGGCTCTCTCGAGTCACTGCAAGCCACCGTACAGCTTAAACGTAAAATCCCGTAGATATGGTCTTGGATTGGGCATGGCAGCCACGAGCTATGTAGCCATGGGATTGACAAATTAGAAAATTGGCCGTGTGTAACATGAACAGGCAGCATATCAAATAAATAGGCCAAAAGTGATTTGAAAGATATGAAACAATTATACAACAAAGAAAAATGTGCAATGCTGTACAATTCTTGGCGCTCATGAGCTGTGTGACAATGTATTGTGCTTCAATTACCAAAATGGCAAAACTTGAAATGTGACTTAGTTCTTTGTCGTTATACGAGAAAAAGAGACGATTATAAGTATCGAAAATACCACTATGAGAAAGTGAGACACTATGATCACAGAGACACATCAGGTCTTTCAAGGCGTTTGATTGCGGTGGAATGAACCCTTTAATAAAATGTTAGGTCTAGTACAGAATGATGCTATCCAAAGATGAAAATCCAGCTGCGACTCCACCCTCATTACTCTCCTTGCCCTTTGTTCGCATCAACCATCCGCCCTCTTCATTATGCAGAACCTCACCATTCGACTTCCACAATATGGTACCAAAAATGCCTAGCTCCCCAACGACATTGCCACTAACAACCTCCCCATCGCTACGCAGTACCACGTTGCTCGCTTCCGACGGCGGTTGGATCAGCTCCATCAACACATAACCTTTCCAGTCACTTTCCGGTATCGATTTCAGGAATTCTGGTATGGCTTCTTTGTATACATTGTTACCGCCGCCTTCTCTTTGCGGTTTGAGAACATGGTGCGCCGCTGTCTCGGGGTTGAGAGCGAGCTCTCTGCCGCGTCCATTGGCCGAAAGGTCGTATTGCGGAGCAAATGTCTTACGAAGTTTCTCTTGGATCCCATCTGACTCTGCTGTAGGTATGAATCTTGCAAGATAATCTGGTTTGTTCGGGTCTGCAAGGACCTGCTGAATCTTTTTGCAACCAGAGAGTTGGTTGAGGACAGTAGGGCACTTGATTGCTGCAGAGCGTTCCAGTTGAAGTCGAGCACTCCAGTCCCGGTCGGTCTTGTAGTCAGTAGGTGCGTAGAAGCTTCTCAAGTAGACGGTCGTTATTTCAAATGGAGTTCCCTGCGCATGAGGTGGTATGTATATCAAGGGTCTAGATGGATTGTCTTCTTGTATAGATGTTCGGTCCAAAATCTCGCTCGTCAGCAATCGAAACACGGGAATTTTGTGAAATTGTGTCAGTCGTGTAGAGAGTGCTAGCTGATCAAATATGTTGCGCTCGCCTTCTTGGACAACGAATAAAATGCCGAGAGGTAGAGCTGGCGACGACTTTGATTGCCCATAGGCTTCGTGTGCCGCGGCTAGCCCTGCACTGAGCGTTTCGACAGCTGTATTTTGCGGTGGAACTCTTCCATCAAGTAAAGGATGCTCCGGATAGCTCAACGAGTGGCCGGGTGGTGATTGCAACAGTTCTGTATGTAGGGCTGCTACACGACAAGACAGGCCGCCAAATGAGGAAGAGATTGTATTGAATTCTACTTGCTTCAATGATGCGGTCTCGGAGCCCAGTGTATGCACCATGTAGTCAGACCGGAATAGACCAACAGACAGATCTTGCACATATCCCTCCCTTGATACAGCCTGGTGAACCTTCCAAAGTCCAGCCACAAAGTCGTCGACGTCGATCAGCCTACGATGCGGTCAACTACTGCTTAGATATAAAGGGTTTCTCGACAAAGTCTATTCTCTCATCTACTAGAGTCGGGTGTGGGATCTCACTCTTCAATCACTTCCCCTAGCCACTTCTCATCACTTGTAATCCGCGCATATAACTCATTATACACTTTCTGTACCGCTCTTGCCTCTTCAAAGCAAGCCTTTGGGAATGGACTAGGGAACAGCGTGACTGGCGCATTGGTTGCCAGTACTCCTTTCGAGACAGCCTCTTGGGAGACAAATGTTGCGGCAGGCCTGACAGTTAGACCATGTTGTATTGTCCAGTCCTTGATTGTTGAGACTAAAAATTGCTCTTGTGTCTCACTCAGCTTCGGAGGGTACGTAGAGTAGAATGACTCCGTCATTGCCGGCAATTTGGTCCTGTTATAGATGTGCTGACCTCAGTTGTATCTCCTCAGGGCGAATTGAGAACCAAGTGAAGAGGATCTCTCTCTCTTGATAAAAGCATTCTGGAGAAAGACGCCGAAGCGGTACTTTTGGCAATCGCCATTTCTAAGCTGCGGGGCGTCATCCCTACCCACCTTCCTGATTTGACGAATCAACGACCCCACTATTTACACCGCCATCTTTCTGCCGGTCAAAAATCACTTCCGGCTCGGCGGCGACGCGAATATCCTCAAAGTCCTCACTCATCTTTCGCGACGTGATTTGATATCGAGACTTCTTCTTTGATCTGACTATCCATTTGAGCGCCACTGGAACCCCGTGATCACGAATTTTCAACGCGAAGAGCTTAATTCAACTTATCGTCCTCATCCTCCCATCCATCCATCTTCTCAATGTCAAGCACGTTGTCAAGCTCGCTTTCTGGCCATGGATCACGGTCAGGAAGATCCTTACGACTGGTCAGTCGACCAAGTGGTACATTACCTCTGTCGCAATGAATCTACTCCGTGGTCAGTTTCGAAGCACCCCAGTCCTCTGCCAGACCGGCAGTCATTAGAAATTGCGATTCGCGAACATGGCATCACTGGGGAGGTATTACTTGAGGGACATCTTGAAGACTTTCTACGAAACAGCCTGAAGTTAAAAGAGGGACCTTTCTATACAGTGAACAAAGCGATTCAATATGCTCAGCGACAGTCTCGAAAGTATCAGGCTCAGCAGACCCAAGAACGTTCGCAGCTCGCTTCCACAATGTACCCGATAATGATGAACAATGGCAGAGCTTGGCCGAATCACTTCAACGCACCTTGGATGTTCAGTCCTATACCAACTMCCCCGGCCGCGGCCGCCGCTCAGATACCGCAAATCACTGCTGCCTATATTCCTCCTACGTCTTCAAACGATAGCGACAAGCTAGCGAACCAACAGTTCCTTTCCGTTGTACAGGCCCCGCAACCTTCGTCGTCTCCTCAAATAGCTGAACTTGACGATGTCGAATTACCCGATACTCCCACTGGAAATGGTAAAAACCCATCTAGCTCGGGTACCCGACTCGCTACACCGACGTCTCCGAACATACGTCCGAACGAAGCTTCTCATATTGATGAACGTGGTCGAAAGCGAAGAAGACTTGACCTTACGGTCGTTGAATCTTCAACTACATTACCAACAAAACGGCCCGCTGAAACCCAAACCCCAGGCCCATGGTACTTAGGGCCTACGAAAATCGATGCTGCGAGTGTCTTTTATCCAATCACCTCCGATTCGAACGAAGATGAAGATGACTGGTTCATTTCCTCCTCCGGACACTCTTCTGGTCAAAGACTATTCGTTAAACGAAAAATGCATATTTTTTTCCGTAAAAAAGTCATTGACTTACCTTCGCACAATGGCGCCCGTCGTTATGCAATGTTCCCCTATGATGAGGATGAGGTCAACAACAGCAAGCCCCGATACTATACACTCTACACCTCGCACAAAGGTAGAACCGATGTCAGCATGAAATCAACAGCTGAAAATACCGAAGAATTGCCAGCAGTCTTACATCAGGCTCCGCGCCACAAAGTGGAAAGCCCTTATGACTTGTTGCTGAAGAAGTATCCACCCAAAGAAGAATCAGACTCATATCCTCTCTTTGGCGAGTCTGGCTCAGAAGGTGCTTATGACTCTGAAACTTGGGCCGAAATAGAAGACGAAAAAGAGGGTGCATCGAAACCATGCACATTCCTGTCAAGTCACGAGATAGATGCCATCATCGATGAACGCATTTATCATTACGAGGAATTATGGAAAGCCAATTATTTATCAAGACTGGAATCCAAAGCGCACAAATTATGGTTAGACGCAACCAGAAAGAAATGCCGGAACTTACAAATCAAAGATGCATTGGACAATATTCAACGCCTCAAATCACGCTTGGGGAAATTGAGGAAAGCACTACATGATGATGAATGGACGAAACTGCCTTCGTTAAGAACCCAGTGCGAAGTTCTAGAGCAAACAATCTTTGAGATTGAAACACAGAAGCATCGCGTTGCCGTATTGGAATCACCCCAGTGTCCTCCAAAGCGTTCCTCGCTACCCCGTCCGGCACCACAGCCCAAAAATAAGGTGATTCCGCCACTGACCGATGAAGAGTCGCTCGGCTTTGAGTCTGATGGTTCCCTGAGAAACTTCATCGTGGAAGATATGGATGTCGACGTGCCCGGTGGCCCCAGCAATGCTTTGCCTCAAAGCCACATTAACAGCAAACCTCCAGTCATGCCCAACGTCAAAAGCACTCAGGAAAGGTATACTAGTCCTATCAAAATTAGCGACTCTCCTGTTCGAGAAGTTACACCTCAGAATAACGTTCTTCGCAATGATGGTTCCGCAGCTGATCCTGGCTCTGAGGCAATTGCTCAGCCTCGCTGCGGCTTTTACTATTCATCCGACAGCAACTCAGATAGTGAATATGAGCCGCCCGAACCAGTCCCAGGTATTGTTGGTAGAAAGAGCGAAATTATCGATTTGACGGTGAGCCCAGCCAAATCCGATATTTCCTCCGCGCGTGGCACACGCTCTGCAGAAACTGAAAATTTCTCCACGCCTATCATGCATTCTGCAAAAATCGAAACTCGCCAGGAAGTTAGCGACGATGTGATGGTGGTTATTCCCCCTCCGCAAAAATTCTATTCAGTCCCGAAAACTGCACCGAGACCAAACCCAAAGCTTGATAGACGGAACGATGCCAGAAACAGAAATAGAGCAACTCCCCCCCAGACATTTCTTGAAAATCCCGGGCAAATTCTAGACAAAATGGTTTCGAAGCTTTCCAAAGATGAACAAACAAGAGTGCTCCATTGGCTTTCCTCATGTTCCGCCGACAGACAAATCAGGCATCGTATCAAGATGGGGTTACATGCTCTTCGCAAAGACACACGTAGCTTTAAAGACATGGGGCCTGAGGATAGTAAATCTTTACTACAAGCCACAACCTTCTACATCGCTTGGGTCAATCGTCAGATTATAAAGAAAGATGGCATTGATAAAACGGCCATTGCCCGAGCTGTTGCTGATATCGAGCGTCAGGGAGCTGCATTTAGCGATGATTTTATCAAATTCTTATCACATTTGCGCCAGCTACTACAAAAGCATACTACAGAACCTACCACTTTAAGCACAGGGGATTCCGATGATGATGAGCTTATCGATTCTCTTGATACGCCTCATAACAAGAGAAAGAGACGAGTCAAAGAAGATCAAGCAGTGAAAAGCGGGCAGGTGGCAGCTAGGCAGCGTGTCGAAAATCAAGAACGACAACGAAGAAATCTTGAAGAACGCCTAAAACGAATTGGAGTCAGCAATAGCGACGCAGAGCACCAGGCTGTCAGCTTCGAACAACCAACAGTCTTTCTCCATCCTCATATTGGCCAATGCGTGAAGCCCCATCAGCTCGCTGGTATTCAATTCATGTGGCGAGAATTGATACAGAATGAGAAACGTGATGGCTGTCTTCTAGCACACACTATGGGCTTGGGGAAGACGATGCAAGTGTAAGTGGCTTATAGTACTTTGAACAAATCCATTATTGTTTGCTAACCTTTTCTATTACCAGAATTTCATTGTTGGTCACAATTGCCGCTGCTGCGAATTCTCCTGATGAGGATATCAGCAAGCAAGTCCCGAAGTTTTTCCACCGTTCACAGACACTCATTTTATGCCCTCCGTCGTTGATTGATAATTGGTACGAAGAGTTTCTTATGTGGACACCCAAAGATCATGCCTTGGGCCCGATCAGGAAAGTTGCTCCTTCGGATCCTTTAGAGCGAAGGATGTCCACAGTCGAGTCTTGGGATGCGGAAGGGGGTATATTGATTCTGAGTTATTCCCTTTTCCGCAATTGGGTAGCACCCGAGTTGCAGAAGAAATCAAAAACCGCACCTGAAATGCATTTTCCTACCAAGCTTAAAGACCAGTTGTTGAAGGGACCGAGGATTATTGTTGCAGATGAGGCGCATCAGATGAAAAACAAAGACTCACAGCTCGGTCAAGCGGCAGCAATGCTAGAATCCAGAAGCCGTATTGCGCTTACAGGATCTCCACTTGCCAACAACCTCTTGGATTATTATTCTATGGTAAATTGGATTTCCCCCAAATATCTGGATGAACTCGCTGTTTTTAAGGCAAAGTACCTTGAGCCGATTGAGCAAGGACTTTTCTTTGACAGTACATATCAGGAGCAGCGGAGGTCCCTCAAAAAACTTCAAGTTCTGAAGCAGATTTTGACACCCAAGATCAACCGGGCAGACATCTCGGTGCTAGAGGGCAGTCTCCCAAGTAAGACCGAATTCGTCATCACTGTTCCACTCACTGAACTGCAGAAGAGAGCATACAATCATTATGTGACTTCCCTTACGGACGGCAAGATGGGCACACAGGTCTCATCCACTAATTTCTTGGACTGGCTCGCTGTTTTGGGTCTATGCTGCAACCACCCAGCTTGCTTTGCCAATAAACTTGCAGAAAGAGCCGAAGATCATGCAACAAAACCCACAAGTGAAGAACCCATCGACCCAGATACTTGCCCGGCCGATGTGCCGTTAGAGCAACTCGGCTTCAATGAAGCTATGTGGGCTTCTCAGAAGCAACTCCTTTCAAGTTTCCCTAACTTAGAAGATCCCAAGCACTCTCACCGAACAGAGATCTTTAAGAAAATCGTTGAGGAATCAGTTCGTGTGGGAGACAAGATTCTCTGCTTCTCGCTAAGTATTCCGACGTTAGATTATCTTGAAACACTTTTGCGCTCGTCCGGGGTCCATTTCAGCAGACTAGATGGTAAAACCGCTGTCAAAAGCCGCCAGGAAGCCGTCAAAGACTTTAACAACCGGGACGACATCAAAGTATATCTCATATCGACACGGGCAGGTGGGCTCGGGTTGAACATTACTGGTGCGAATCGCGTGATCATATTTGATTTCAGTTTCAACCCTACTTGGGAAGAGCAGGCGGTCGGTCGAGCTTATCGCCTTGGTCAAAAGAAGCCTGTTTACATCTATCGTTTCCTTTCAGGCGGAACCTATGAAGAAGTGGTACACAACAAGTCCATTTTCAAGACCCAACTGGCAATGCGTGTGGTCGACAAGAAGAACGTCGAGCGGTCAGCCACGAAGTCACTTGGGGAATACTTGTTTCCTGTCAAGGACGTCAAAAGGGAGGACTTGTCAGAGTATATCGGTCGTGATCGCCAAGTTCTGGACAAGATACTTTTAGATAAAGAATCGGCGTCTTCGAGCATCCTCAATATTGCACTCACGGAAACCTTCCGTCGAGAGAACAACGAAATGCTCACAGAGGATGAGAAGAAGGAGATGGAACAGGAGCTTGAACTGGAGTTACTGAGAATGTCAGACCCAGCTGCTTACGAGAGGAAATTGGTAGACTTGAGTCATCGGCCGGAGCCGACCCTGGTATACCCCAGCACAAACTACAATACGTCCGGTTTCAACGGTGCTCCTCTTCCTCCTCTTCCCCCAGCTCGCCCTTCCGTTCATCACTCTTTTCCGGTTCAAGCTCAAACACCCACCACACCATCTCCTCAGACCGCGAGAAGCTTTTTCAATCTTCCGCCATGGGCTACCACTAGTACGCCAACACCTGTTCCTCAGTCCAAGTTCGCCCAAGAGTCTAGACCCACACAGCTGCCTCCACGTCCCGATGTCATATCTGCATCGACGGTCAATCGGGATCCACCCGAAAGCGCTGCCCAGGCTATATTGAGGTCGTTTACTACATCGTCGGGCGTGACCAATCATCAGAAAAACGACATTCCGTCGCCTCGGTCAGCGACCGAACAACCATCTGGATTACCGGAAAATGTGACTGCGGAGTTGTTGACTGCTCGCTTAAGTGCGAATTAAAGCGATGCGGCTCAGCAATGGCTCGCTTTATTTGCATATGAATCGTTTCTATCCAAGATAGACTCACGACGTTACGAATTTATTCTCTTTGTCTTTCCAATATCGGTGTCAATCATTGCATTTCAGTGGGAAGGGCTCGCGTATCCATCTTTGTTTCTCTGTACTTTATACTATATCCTCTTTCATTTCTTTTCATGGCGTTTTATCCATCAGCAGCGTGAACGGTATCGGTCTCTGGGTTTAAATCCATGATTCATCTTCTTGCATGTACAACATTGGGGGTAAAGGGCGAAACTCGATTTGATAAGCGAGTTCAAATTGCATTAGTGCTTTCTACAGATACCAAAAATCATCTTGATCTTTCACAAAGAGTATTATTAAGATATTCTCATCTTCCAAATCGTTCGGGCATCGAAGTAGCCCTCAACCCTCGTCGACTGCCATGGTTTGCTCGTCTGAAGTCACGGGGCATTGTTTTTGTTAATATTGATGAGTGAGTGTCTATCTAATGAGGAGGGGCATATATGATCATCTGAGGCAATCCTGACATATATGTCTGAGGGCCTTCCTTGTTCTCTTTACACTCTTCAGTCCACTGATATCCCAAACCATCTCTGAGCAACTGGTCATGTGTCTATGGGAGACCACTTGTTGACTGGGCAAACCTATACTGACAAAAGAGGAAGGCGGAGGCCTTTCCTTCCTGTCAACATCTTCTCACCCACCTTCTCATTCTCTGTCTCTCTCTCTCTCTCTCTCTCTCTCTCTCTCACACACACACTCAAAATCTTCTACTACTTTGTATCGGTTGACAGTCAAGTATTCCTCACTTTTACAATATCTACGCCAGAAGCATCGACCCGTTCGTGGTCCTGTCTATTTATTGCAATCCAATTTCCCATTCTACCAAGTGCGTCCCCTCGAAACACATGAACACGGCTGCCACGATGTCTGACGATACGAATCGATGGGAAGACTTTATTGAGTGAGTTAAAGAGTCATCAACAAATCCTAGAGTAATAACTAACTAAGAGTCTAGAGCCATGCAGAGCAATGAGGTTCGCGTGGTAGTGGGAGAGAGGAAGAAAGTTTTCTCCGTGCCCAGAGACCTGTTCTCCAAGTCCTCATCCGAGTTCGAGTTTACGTGCATTCGCGAAAAGCCTGAGATTGAACTCCCTGACGTCAACCCTGCTACGTTCGGTTCATTCCTAGTGTGGCTACACTCGTGGCTCCCGAATGGAATCGTTGACGACAAGGCCGAAACGGTCGACCTTGCGATTCTCGCTGAAAAATATGAAATATCCGCATTATTGCTTCAGTGCTTGCATGTATTGAAAGAGACTTGGGTGTACCATACAACTGGTAATTCATCGCAAAAATGGATCGTTAAACGACGCAAAGCAGCATCTCCTCAGATCATCCGCCGCATCTTCGAAAAGACAAAGAAACCTCAGCACTTCGTGATATGTGCGCTTCGTTCCTCGGTGGATATCTTTACTCTAAGAAGTGGTGCTCGGTCTCGATAAAGGAGTATGAAAAAGTATTTGGTGACCTCCCCGAACTAGGATGGAGAGTTTCCAGCAATCAAGTTCAGTATCGCGATAACGCTTGGCATGGAATTCCCTGGGATTATCAAAATGTCTACGGCCGCGAATATGAAGCTAGGGTCGGTCAGAAAACAGAGTCTGTCAAGCTAGAATCAATTATGCTCGTTGATCCATGATCAGAATTATTCCATTGAGCCGTCCATCACTGTGATTTTGTAGAACTGTTGGAAGCTATAACATGCAAGACAGCAGGAATTGAAGCCGTGATACTGTTCTATTTCCTGTAAGGTCGCGATCGTAGCGTAAGACATCCAGGTATAGGTGCTTTTGCAACCTGAATTATTGTGGACATGCAAATTCAGGAACAACGGTATCTAAGTCTAATTCCAGGATCTCATTGCTGTCGTGGTAGAATGTGTAGAGGATGAAGTTGATAGACGTGGAGCTGTCCGAGCTAATAGCTTTGGCGAATCACAATACATTATATGAACCCACCTTCAAAACATCGATCACCTGGGCTTCATCTCATGAACACTTAGACAGAGCTTCACACATCTTCTCTCAACGCCTTCTTTCCTGTTCATTTTTTTATGCAATATAGCCCCCAGAATGAAGCGAAGAGTAACGTATATTACTGCGGCATACGCCGAGTTCGATCCTTCCAAACAAGCAATCCTGAGCAAGGACACTTTGACGATCCGAGGTCTAGACGCAGCCAAAGAAGAGCGGTTTACTTTCACTCCAACGGAGCTTCCAACGGAGGTGAGTATCAATATATTTCACTTACTTACGAGTGAACAAAGCTGACAATCGTTTGCACCTTGGTGAAAGTAGCTTCTAGACACTTTACATAATACCCTCGAACTGCACGTACGATGGAGCTCCGCACGAAATTACGACTCTGTGGCGCCGTTTTTGGCTCGCACATCACCGGGCTTACATGTATATCATGTGTCATCAGACAACGAGACGTCAAGCGAGGACGCGTGCGTGCAGATGATCTCATTTCTTCTATGCCCAATGCTTACTTCAATTTGAATGACAGGGATCGAATATGCGCGCTCATTAAGAAACTTTTCGGAGACGATATCAAATGTGTGTCACGAGAAGATTCATTCTCACAATCGCCGAATGTGATAGAGTCGATATCAGCTCAGCCAGCTCAATTCCATCATAACCTACCCTCGATCGACCACTTTGTCGCATTCCTTCGGTCCATTGCTTGCGACTTAGCGGATGTACAATGCGCCGACTCTATATCATATGCTTCCTTAGCAGACTCCGTCGCCATTGATTATGACGCTACAACTGATACAGTCACTCTATCTACATTCTGGTCCCAGCCGCACTCCGAAGCTGCCTGGACGGAAGATGTAGGTATAGTCGGATCGAGTGTGAAAGTCGAAGTCGGTATACTTTCAAATGAGAAGGCTATAGACCCCGAGGATCTATCGCTAGGAGGATATTTGGCCGTGGTGGGACAAGATACCAAACTGAGTACGTGTGCCGTGAACTTTATTGTGCATGCTGGGCTAATTCGATCATGAAGAACCAACGTTATTTTCGTTTCCATCGCGACATCATATTCTTCCAGACCATGCGAACTATGTGTCGACATTCGAGACGCCAACTGGATTGCATCCCACCATAAAGATATCGATATCCCCTTCGGCTTTAATTCAGCCATCGGCTCCAATAGGCGCGACGTGCGCTCTCCATACGTATATGACACTGCCTTCGACGATATTTGCAGACAAATATCAACTGTCTACAAAAGATTCGTTGTTTCTGGAATCGCACAATCTCAAAGGATTGCGAGCTGTTTCGGGCGAGACGGATCTAGAGGCACCTGACTGGGTTCTTCCAGCTTGGGGATCCAATCTGCTCATTGAAATTGCGACACCTACGGATAGCCAGGCTGTACAAAATGGCAATTGGAATGTCACAATTCCACTGCATTTACGGTATCTTAAGCCTACTGAAAGCGGACACCAGTCGACTTCCATCCCCTGGCCGATTGTATTCTGGGCCTGCACTGCAGAGAATACAGAGATGGGAATCAATCCATTTGACAGAGTCGATCTCGGCTACGACAAGCTGTTCCCAGCCAAGACGTTTTTCTATCATCTCCATCCGGAGAGCGACGGAGCGCTCATGCAAGAGATACAGGTTCCAGTGCTGCGGGCAGATACTGAGGGCGGACGATTGTTTGGCGATGCGACATCTCAAGTAGAGATTGGAACTGTTGCGGCTGTAGTGATAGGGTTCACCTGGGTTTTATGGAAGTTGATATCTGGTCTAAGGTCTAGCCCGAAGGATTCGGATGAGAAGAAGAAGCAATAAGCATTGGCTACTCGAGGAATAGTCACTATGGCAATATGCTGACCGCCTGATCGGCACAGCTGCAAGATGGGGAGCGGTCAATTGTGTAGCCTCAATAAGAAGTCAAGAAGCATCAGTGCCTGATGCGTATCTCGCGCTATCACAGTGCGTAAGATAATGAGTCACGATCCTCCTAAATCGGCGTAATCCTGGGCACGTGATTGGCCCAACCCACCAGCCCGAGTGACGCCAGAGCGGTGAACCACACTAGCGTCACGTTATCGCCGGCTCCCTCTCAAAAGCTGCGAAAATCTTCTTCTCTCTCCTCTCCTGCTCTTCCCTTTCTCTATCCGTAACTTTCAATCCCAATCCACATCAAAACAATCGCCCTTACCACATCCTCAATTGACATCGGTCAATCCACCCTTTTTGAAATCATTCTCTTCGACTCCGCCAGTACTGGTGAGAACATAGCAACCGCGCTTATGCGTGTATTCGTCTCCACTTTCACTTCTCAGGTATGTCTTTCTCCGGTCGTCAAAGGACTGTTTCAACTCAGTAGCTAATTATATTTGTAGGACTACATTTCGGGTATGCATGCTCAAGTCGTGTTTGAGATCTTATCTTGGATCTTATCATGTTGCCAGCCATTAACCATTATTAGATCACCTCTGGAAAGCTCGTATCAATTAATCATCGTCGTCTACCGTCTAAAATCACCCCATCATCTATCATCATGTTCGCTCAACTTTTCCGTTCGACGACTCTCCGAGCCACCCCGGTCGCCTCTGTAAAGGCAAGCCTTCCCCAGGTGCGGTCCATGGCCACCGTTGACCGCCGACGCTTTGAACCGGCTACCTTTACGATCCGAAATGGCCCTGTCTTCCACGGCAAGTCCTTTGGAGCTAACTCAAACATCTCCGGTGAAGCCGTTTTCACCACTTCCTTGGTCGGATACCCCGAGTCTCTGACTGACCCTTCTTACCGCGGCCAAATTTTGGTCTTCACACAACCTTTGATCGGTAACTATGGTGTGCCATCAGCCGAAAAAGACACCAATGGCTTGTTGAAGTACTTTGAGTCTCCCAACTTGCAGGCTGCAGGTGTTGTCGTTGCCGATGTTGCTGAGCAGTACAGTCACTGGACTGCTGTTGAGAGCCTGGGAGAATGGTGTGCTCGCGAGGGTGTCCCTGCCATCTCAGGAGTTGACACCCGTGCTATTGTGACATTCTTGCGTGAGCAGGGTTCTTCTCTTGCTCGTATCACTGTTGGCGAAGAGTACGATGCAGATGAGGACGAGGCTTTTGTCGACCCTGAACAGATCAACCTGGTCCGTCAGGTCAGCACCAAGGCTCCCTTCCACGTCAGTGCTGCCAACCCTGAATGTCACGTTGCCTTGATCGATTGTGGTGTCAAGGAGAACATTCTCCGCAGCCTCGTTGGCCGTGGTGCGAGTGTCACTGTCTTCCCATTCGACTACCCCATCCACAAGGTGGCTCATCACTTTGATGGCGTCTTCATCTCCAACGGACCTGGTGACCCAACTCACTGCCAGGAGACTGTCCACCATCTGCGAAAGCTGATTGAGACTTCTCAAATACCTATTATGGGAATTTGCATGGGACATCAATTGCTTGCTCTTGCTGCCGGCGCCCGTACCGTCAAACTCAAGTATGGTAACCGTGCTCACAACATTCCGGCGCTTGACCTTACCACTGGTCGCTGCCACATCACCAGTCAGAACCACGGTTATGCTGTGGATGCCGATACTTTGCCCAGCGACTGGAAGCCTTACTTTGTCAACCTCAACGATTCCAGCAACGAGGGTGAGTCTTTTTAACCACTTCAAAGATTTCAGTACTGACTGTCTTAGGTATGATTCACAAATCTCGCCCAATTTTCAGCGCCCAGTTCCACCCTGAAGCCAAGGGTGGCCCATTGGACTCTTCCTATTTGTTTGACATCTATCTTGACAGTGTGAACAAGTACAAGCAGAGCCAAAGCGTTTTCCAGCCCACCCGGGAAAGCCGCCCCAGTCCCTTGTTGGTCGATCTGTTGCCCAAGGAACGTGTTGGTGTTGCGCCTACCACGGGTGCATTGAACGTCGCTCGCACTCCAGCTGCACCTGCACCTGTTTCACAGCATGCTCCTGCCGCTGCTGTTGCTGCTGCTTAGGATTTTGGTTGCGTTCTGGTTTCGTTCAAGGTCACGGAGTTTGTCCATATTGTTTATGTTTAGGATGCTGGGTCACAAGGCAAATTGGAAATATTATATTCGTTTACAGAAGTTTATATCAATTGGAAAGTTGATCAACTTGATTTATTTATCGTAGCCAAAACACATGGATACAATTCAATTCAACATCTGCTGAATCGAAGATTAGTACGTTGGTAAATAAAAAACAAACCACAAATCCGCTCATGAACGCCTCAGAAATCCAACGCCTATGTATATGCTTAAAAAAAACCGAAAAACAAAACCTCATAACCCATCATAACCGTCGTAACATCCTCCCCTCATAGAAATAGTAAGATGTGAGGCGATCAAGGCAAAACATCCCTCAAAACTTCCTTCTGCTCCGCTGTCAAAGTCGTCGGAAACTTGACATTCACTCTGACCACCATATCGCCTCTGTCAGTTGGGTTCTTCGAAATCGGCATACCCAATCCTGGAAATCGTTCTTCATAACCGGGTTGTGTGGGACCGGGCTTTGAGACCCGAATCGATTTTCCGTCGATGGTTTTCACGATGCGTTCCCAGCCTGTTAGGGCTTCTTTGAGGGTTAGGTCGACTGTTGTTATGAGGTGGTCGCCGCTGCGTTTGAGGGTTGGATGCTCTTTCTATGAATAGTTAGCCTGTTTTCAGATACATACTTGATTAAATAAGGGGTGTTTGGTGCATACCTCTGTAACGACAAGATGAACATCTTGACGCCCACCTTCCTCCTGGTCTCCGACACCTTTATATTTCAACTTTGATCCTGTGCGCAGACCGGGTTTGATCTTTGCTTCGAGGGTGATGTCCTGTACAGTCCGCTTGCCGCTGGCGTCGAACGTCTTGCTCTTGGTCGTGACCTTTTTCGTTGTACCATTGAAGATCTCTTCCAGCGTCAGATTGAGAGGCTTTTCGACAACCTGCGGTTCGGGTGTAGGGGCACGACGAGCAGCCCCGAATGTAGCGCCTGGTCCTCCTCCAGCAGAAGCTCTTGCTCCTCGAGCACCACCACCTAGTCCAGCACCCAAAAACTCGGCGAAAATGTCGTTATCATCGCCAAAGCCCATACCACCACCACCACTCTTGGCGAAGTTTTTGAAAATGTCCTCCGGATTGCTGAAGTTGAATGAACTCGTGCCTCCTGGTCCCCCCGTTGAGAAGCGGTATGTGCGTGTACCGCCTGCTCCGGGAGCACCACCGCCCATATTGGCGAAGTTGAAGCCGCCTGGCATTCCGCCTGGTCCGGCTCCTGCTCCAGCAGCGGAGGGCGGAGGGCCGCCGCGGAGGAGATACTCGAGACCGAATTGGTCGTATGTTTTACGTTTTTCAGGGTCAGAGAGGACTTCATAGGCTTGTGAGACCTCTATGAAACGTTAGCATTCTATACAGAGATGTAGATGAAGAAAGAGGAGGAAAGGAAGGGGGAGGAGGTTACCTTTGAATTTCTCAGCGGCCTTTGGATTATCCTTATTCTTGTCGGGGTGGTGCTTCAGTGCAGCCTTCCTGTATGCTTTCTTGATCTCATCTTGGGTGGCATCCGGCTTGATGCTCAGGGCATCGTAAAGTTTTGTTTCTGCAACCATGTTGTATGCCGTGTAATCGATTCAAATTGGTTGCTTGGATCCGGTTGGAGAGGTTAAAGGATATCGAATAAATATGGACCGTCAAATGAATACAAGCGTGGCGTGGATGGAGATCATCACCCCACTACTACTATACAAATGAGACGAGTCGAAGACAGTAGAAGATTCCGTGGAGGTGATTGGGGAATAGCTAATCAATTGACTTTGCTGCTAAAGTCGTGCGAAGTGGGAGATATTTAGAGAAAAGAAAAAAAGTGGAAGAAGTAATGGCGGTGGAGGTCAAATTCATATGATGACGTTTAAGCCTGGGCTTAGGGTCACGTTGGGCCTCATGTGCCTCGAATGTTCGAGAACATTCTATGCTGTGACCAGGAGGAGTTGGACAGCTCTCACCACCACAGGAAAATGAATATATATCCAAGATAATGCCTTATAATATTAGTTTTCAGCATAAGGGCAATTCGTAGGATATGTTCGTTATTTTATGTTGTGTCGTGGTATATAGTCCATCAGATCCATGACAGCGGGAGAGTGGGGTGTGACGTCGACTCCATCGTGACTCTCCATGTACTCCAAAGTGACCTCCAATATTCAATATTATTGCTTCATTAAAATGTATATGTTATTATCCAGCTGGATATATTGGGGTATATGACATGCGTCCTATTTGTTAAGTATTAATTGGAAAAATACTGGCTATCATTTGCCTCAGGCGACAATGTGGCGTTTCCTTTTCGCAGTGATGTACACTCAGTCCATAGTTAGGGATTGATTGATGCAGTTGTGAAGCTCTTTCAAAATAGATTTGATAGTGTTATTGCTTCCTACAATCATATGTCAAAAGGAAAACTTGTGAAAGGGTTGCAGCTTGTCTATCTAATCCATCAAAGTATCAAAGTGATCTCGTGCTCAATCTGCTCCGAGTCTGTCTGCTGGTGGTCATTGTATATATAGAAAGAGAGTGAGAGCTCAATGAAGTCCGTTTCGATTCACCCACTTTTAATTGGAAATATCACTTCAATTTGCCCATTCGAAACGGTAGAATATCGGCTCAGTTGTATTTGATAGATTCAACAATGTTGAATGTGATAGCCCGGCGATTTCGGCGTTGGCGGTAGACTGGCGGATACTGTCGGCCACTCGGCTATAGAATTGCGGCCTCAGGCACCCATAATCCGCCAAAGCTGCCGATTCCGTCGCTGCTCATTTACTTCTTTGATCCTACATGCCCTCTCGCAACCACCATTGTCTAGCTACGATACTGACAGGGCCCTCTTTGAAGAGCGTTGTCGATTCCCGCGACGAGTGTTAATCATCAACAATGGCGAGCGGGTTGAGGATTCTGGTCCCCGTTAAGCGGGTGATTGATTATGCCGTATGTTCAATACACCCGTGGACGCTTTTATACCTACCTCACCTCGACATGAGCTACAATTCTAACAATTTCCATAGGTCAAACCGCGCATCAACAAGACACAAACAGGCGTCGAAACCACCGGCGTAAAACACTCGCTCAACCCCTTCGATGAAATCGGTGTCGAGGAAGCAGTCCGTCTCCGCGAGAGAAAAGGCCCATTGAAAGTCGAAAACATCCTTGCTCTATCCGCCGGTGGTGCCAAATGCGCCGACACGCTCCGCACAGCTATGGCCATGGGCGCCGACAAGGCCTTGCACGTTGACGTCCCCGAGTCCGCCGACGGTGGCCCCGAGCCCTTGACGATCGCAAAGCTACTGCAGGGCGTCGTGCAAAAAGAAAATATCAACATGGTCTTGCTGGGTAAACAGGCTATTGACGGCGACCAGGGACAGACGGGACAGATGTTGGCGGGACTGTTGGGCTGGTCGCAGGCGACTCAGGCCAGTAAAGTGGATATCAAGGATGAGAGCGGTACTGTGGAAGTTACCCGTGAAGTCGACGGCGGTGTCGAGACGTTGAGGGCTAAATTGCCGATTGTTATTACTACCGACCTCCGACTGAACGAGCCTCGTTATGCCAGTTTGCCCAACATCATGAAGGCCAAGAAGAAGCCCTTCGAGAAGAAGACGCTGGCGGATTTTGGAGTTGAGGATAAGCGACGACTCAAGACTGTCAAGGTCACTGGTAAGCCGGACTCTTTTTCGTTCCCTATCGCAAGCTGTGCTGACTGTTGTAGAACCACCCCCAAGACAAGGCGGCGGCAAAGTGGAGGATGTCGATGGACTCGTTTCCAAGCTGAAGGAACTTGGCGCTCTATAAATGAACCTTGAATGATAGACGATGATTTTGATGTACAATTACAAAACCGCTTGTATATCTCTACATAAACAGCAAGAGGCAAGAGCTAGCCGCGTATCCGTATATAGACGGCCCAATGCGGAAGGAGCGACTGCCGCCTCAGTACCTGCCCCAAACGATGACTATTCCTTTTAACTCCTCCTGTGCTCGAGGAGTCTGATATATTGCAATACCCCTGAGATCCAATAGGCACTAATATATGTACGTACTAAAATAGAAAATAGTGCCATGGCTGGATCTTGTCGCATTCTGTGCTGTCGATAAAGCCGCTCATGCATCGTCGCATGCGATAGATCGCGCATTTTGTTCTTGCGTCTGACACATCCCCGCTAGTCGCCAGTGTGCTTCAATAGTCAATTCTTCAGGGCAACTATTACATGAATCCCTTATTCTGTATTATCAGTCATGGCCATCGGACTCGCGTCTTTCTCGGAGAAACAGGGAAGCTCGGAAGAAGACGTCCATTGATCTGACCTACGATGGAGTAGAAGGCAGGTTCCACCACACGTCACCCGAGGGGCAATGACATCGTCGAGCCATGCAGCAATGCTCCGTCTGATTGATCACATCGCCTGCGCCACCCGGTTAACTTACTAGCATGAACCATGACCTTCATCAGCTCTGGGCTGTTAACTAAGTTACTGAGCAGACGGGGGCCTTAATAATAGCTGTACTCGTACGACGCCTACTGACCATTCCGGCTCAGCCGGCCAGACGCAACCGTTAGGCATGGTCGTTCCTGCCATTTAAAATCGGACGTGGTTCGCATTTCTACAAAATATTTATCTCTTTGTATTGCCACTTGTTCCTGAGATTACTTGTTGCTGAAGCGGAGTGCTATGTAAGTCTATACTTCGACTCTGATATCTGAATACATCGATCGTCTGGTCGCAACTCCATTTTCAGACGAATCAGTGAAGTTGATTGTGGTAGCGACGTTTCCGATTTCGTATTACATGGTGATTTGTAAGTCACCATCTATGCACATTCCATGCCTACCCAACCGCTCACTGGACCGCAAAGGCTAACACCGGGGGCGCATTCTTCAGGCTGCATTCCCGCGCACCAGAATCAGACGGCTTTCGCGCGGTGACTCAATATATCTGGCCTAGTTTGAGGTTGGTTTTTTTTTCTCTTCGAATCTCTGCCAGTTTCATTGTATTTGCGCGAGGGTACTACCTTGTCGCTTTGCGGCACCTTGCTGATGGCGTCGAATATGGATTATCAGACCGGTTCATACGCTATGTCGCAACGAAACTCGTGGAAAGACTACTCGAAAAAGGGCCTCGGCTTCGGAAAGAAGGGCTTCGACAAAGCATGGCAGGCTCTCGACAAACTAGGTGCCCCCGTTAATCGGCTTTCGAACCGGGTCGGCGCAGAGGCATTCTGGCCTACAACACTAGACAAAGAGAGCGACAAGGCAGCTCGTATCCTGAGAAGCTTCTGCAAAGATGGCTTCTATGATCAAATTGACGCCGATGCCGCGGCCAAAGCTACGCAGGAGAAAGAGCTTGCCGATTCGAACAAAAAGATTGATCGACCAAACGGCAAGCAACGAGTGTTGGTGAAAATCCCGACGGAAGTCATCAAGAAAGCAAAGGGTATAGCCATCTTTACGACCATGCGCACTGGTCTTTGGTTCAGCGGTGCTGGCGGCAGTGGAGTCTTGATGGCTCGCATCCCAGAAACTGGAGAATGGAGTCCGCCTTCCGGAATCCTACTACACACTGCGGCTATTGGATTCCTGGTTGGTGTTGACATCTACGACTGCGTCGTTATTATAAATACATACGAGGCTCTTGAAGGGTTCAAGAAATTACGAGCGACCCTTGGTGGTGAGCTTAGCGCAACAGCCGGTCCCGTCGGAGCTGGTGGCATTCTCGACAGCGAAGTCCATAAACGACAAGCACCCATATGGACCTACATGAAGAGCCGTGGTCTATATGCAGGTGTTCAGGTTGACGGGACGATCATTGTCGAAAGAACAGATGAGAATGCTCGCTTCTACGGACGGAAAATATCCGCTCATGAGATTCTGTCCGGCAAAGTCACACATCCACCCGAGACTATTCGAACTCTGATGCGGACACTCAAAGCCGCGCAAGGTGATCAGGACGTGAGCGAAAGCGAGCTACCACCCGCTGGAGAGGCCCCCGCTGATCACATCATTATCAACGAGAACGATGGTTTTGGTGTTCCGGCGGCCGATGATCCTGACCCATATGGAGTGCGTGCCTTGGAAGACCAAGGCATGTTCATTCGCGAAGCGGGAACGCACAACCGTCCAAGTCAAGAGGTCTTTGAATTCCGCCCTAGTCCTTCAAGTCCAATTTATAACTCATTTGTTAGACAAAGCATTGATTCGTCACCACGACAGAGTTGGCGGGCCAGTATGCAAAGCACAAAGAGCTATGTTAGTGTAGATAGGGGGACCCAAACAGAAGATGTCCAGCCACGCTCAATTAGTGTTGCCTCGTCTCGCAGTCTTCGAGAGACAGCGGAGTCACCCGTCGAGAACCCGTGGGATACGCCTGATACATCGGAAGACCACGATGTTACGTCTGATAGCAATGGCGATTTCGAGATTCACGACGCAAGCACCACAGTTGCAAAGCCTGAGCCTGCTCGTTCAGTGATATCGACCACTTCGGATGAGAGTCCTTCGGCTGCAAACTTTTCACGCCCACGTTTAGTCACAATTCCGAAAAGAGTTCCGCCTGCGCTTCCGCCACGCAATCCTGTGCGCAGACGTGGATCACAATCCACTCAGGGATCAGTCGTCGCTGGTCCTACATCTCCATCTGCCTCCACACACGGCGAATCAGCTGCCATTGATTCCGCATCTGATGGCGAAAAGACTGGTGTCGAGAAAGCAGCAGAGGATCTAAAAGAACCGCACGTCGATGCTACCGCTCCTGAAACTGTGGAAAAGGATGAATTCCATTCAACCTCGACTTCACCAACGGAAGAGTTTAAACCTCTTGAACTGAAGGATGAGGCACAAGATGAGACGAAAGAAGAGGTGAAAGAGGAGGCAAAAGAAGAGGCAAAAAAGGATTTTAAACCACAGGCGGAAGTAGCGACATAATCTAAGCTGTGGTTAATGAAACTACTTTCGGCAAGGCGTTCTCATTACGGGGTTGGTCATCTATGTTTCGGTATCCTGTGTCTTAAAGGTTCTTGTGTTTTACATGTGTGATATCCCAATTCGTCGCGATGGATCTACTATTATTATCATCTTTAATGTTTTTTTCAAGGGGTCGGTTGCATTGCATGTGTACGTGCGCATGTTTGACGAAGCATTGACTTGATTTATATACTCTTTTTACATTGATATTACATAGTATACGCAGGAATGATGATTTGACATACCATGATGGCCCCCCCTATGACTCTCATGGAAATATTTAGTAGTGGAGAAGCAGGCAGCAGTGACTGCCTGGCGTGGGACACGTTGTGGGCAGCCTATGACGGAGCTCCGTACACGATGGAGCTAGCCATTGGCTCCATCGTAGCTTCAGCCTCAACGCTATAAAGAGAGCTACTTCGTACACCTCTTTGTTAATTTCTTGTTCACGACTATCACTTGTTAGTTCAATCAATGCTGCTGAACGTCTAAAGTCTATCGTCTTGCGTCTTGCGTCTTTCAGGTGTCGACCACCACTTAATTGTGCGACCTAACCCCGGCTACACCAAGGTAACAATGGCAAAACCATTTAGGGGGTCAGTGATTGCTCTTAGTGGTTTGACGAAGCATTGACTTGATTTATACATTCATTTATATCGATTAGTAGTGTATCAAATAAAAATTAGAAGAAATAAGCAAAGAAATAGGACGTTCGCAACGAGTCACAGTCGAAAGCACAGAAAGGACAGACATAGAAAGGACAGACATGAAAACGACAGACATGAAAACGACAGACATGAAAATGACAGACATAGAAAGGACAGATGTAGAAAGGACAGATGTACAAGGCACAGACATAGAAAGGGACGAGAAATCGAGATGTGGGTAGGGACAAGAACGATAGAAACAAGACAATGAGGAAAGGCAACCCAGGGCAGATATAAGAGAGACTTCTTAATTGTCACTATGAAGCTCTGGCGAGGTGTATGATAGATTTTTCGTGACTTCTAAGTCGAGACAAATAATCAAAGGAAAGGTTGCATGCGTCACACTTGCGCGGCTTGTCTTATGGAATCTCTAATCTCATACCATGACTGCTGCCTCTTAATGTGCCAAGACGAGATTCCACAGACCCAAGTTCGGGTGTGTTGATGATGTGGTGGAGAGATTTCTTGTGCTGACAGAGACCACTATATCGAGTAAAGGACTTTCTGCAAGGTTCACACTTGAAAGCCTCATTCTGAGGTTGGATCTGAGATTCCACAGACCCAAGATTTGGTGTATTGACAATGTGTGGGCAAGACTTCTTATGCCGAGTGAGACCATCAGTTCGAGTAAAGAACTTTCCACAAGGTTCACACCTCAAAGCCTCATTATGAGGTTCAATCCGAGATTCCAAAGACCCAAGTTCGGGTGTGTTGATGATGTGTCGGAGAGACTTCTTGTGCTGATAGAGACCACTATGTTGAGTAAAGGACTTTCCACAAGGTTCACACCTCAAAGTCTCAGGTTCAATCCGAGATTCCACAGACCCAAGTTCGGGTGTGTTGATGATGTGTTGGAGAGACTTCTTGTGTTGAGTGAGACAACTATGTTGAGTAAAGGACTTTCCACAAGGTTCACATCTCAAAGCCTCATTATGAGGTTCAATCCGAGATTCCACAGACCCAAGTTCGGGTGTGTTGATAATGTGTCGAAGAGACTTCTTGTGCTGATAGAGACCACTATATCGAGTAAAGGACTTTCCACAAGGTTCACACCTCAAAGCCTCATTATGAGGTTCAATCCGAGATTCCACAGACCCAAGTTCGGGTGTGTTGATGATGTGTCGAAGAGACTTCTTGTGATTGTTGAAGACTTGCTTGTTGCCAAATGAGACATTGCATATCGCGCAGTGGAATGTCTTGTTGGCAATGTGCCGTTGACACCTGAGAAGACGTTGATATGAATAATTTTTTCGATAGAGGTCTGTCTTATTACGGAGTCTCTGTAAACGATTCAATCTGTCTCTGTTTTTTCGATAGTAGACTCGACTGTACTCTCTCTGATGACGCCTGCGTTTGTCTCTGTTTTTCCGTATGTAGTCTCTATGGTAGTCTCTTCGATAACGCTTTTTTCTGTCCTTAAGCGTAGCTGCAATTTCCTTGAGTTCCGCCGAGGAAAGACCAAGGCCATGCTCATTAGGCCGGATTGCCTCGAAGAGAGGATTGTGTGAGCATAAACCAGCCCATCTGAAGGATTCTCTAGGCCATGGACATGTAGCATCCAGACCATACGACTTGTCATGGCGGTGCATAGCCCAGAAGATAGAGGCAAAAGCTGCCTCTAAAACAAGCATAGCAGCACGGAGTCTTGGTACCTGTTCTGGAGAGGGGATTGGACACCAGACAAGTAGACCAGAATGGATAATAGAGTAACCACTCTGAACAAACTCTTTGACATGTCGAGGAACTGCTGTTGCATGAGGAAGGCGATAATGAAATATCCGACTCCGAACTCCTCCGTACACCGAAGTCCCTGAGCCAATATAAAGACCAGGACGTTGACCATGTTTTCTGAGGATAAGAAAGTAGATACCCCAGGATTTCGTAGGTATCTGGTTTCGGAATGTCTCCAACCACTCAATAGGTGGTGGCTCATTGGCTTGTACAATATCAAGTAGTTTATAACAAAATGTAAGTCCGAGAGAACAGAAGAGAGATGACAAGTCAGGTCTCGTAGGTGCCACAGACTTAAATCGTGGATTGATAGATGGAGCATTCAGGCATCGCCAACTGATATCGAGCATGTACTCTCTAGTAGAGTCTTGTGTAGGATTCGCAATCCCTGCCCAAGAAGAGAGAGACTCCATTGTAGAGACACACAGATAGACACGAGAGACACGAGGGGCACGAGAGACGACAGGGGACGACAAGAGAGTAGAAAGCCCTGGAGAAGAACAGAGGAAAAAGGAGGAAAAGGGAAACAATTGGGGAATTCATGGGAAATACCATGGTGTTCAGTCTCGACGCCGTTCCAAATGGAAAGAGCGACGAAAGGGGAAGGAGCGATCACGTTGAGGCAGCTACAGCTACCATAAGGAAGGAGCGACCCAAAAGGGAAGGAGCCATGGACTCAGAAAGAACGCCCACGAGACATAATCGACGCGGGCCAAAAACAACGCGAGACTCAAAAAGCATCAATTTGACTCTGCTACCGTACAATATTAGAGGTCGAACTGGACCCGTGGAAAGCACTGCAAGCTTTCTGATGGACAATCGCGGGAGCCATGATGGACAAGGTATGAGGGTTATTGATGGTACTAGCCCTAACTGCCAGAGATGTTGATAACGACGGAGATGACAAGAATCGCGGGTAGTCGGAAATCCTGTCTGCCTTGAATCACAAATGACGAGATATCCCATCTGCCGAGAAGTCCTATTTGACAAGATTGATAAGTGACAAGACTTCCTATCTGACGAGAAGTTCTGAGGAGACTCACAAGCGACGAAAAGTCCTGTCCGGTGAGAACTACCAGTGACGAGAAGGTAGACTCTCGAAAGTCCTGTCCAAGACTCATGAGCGAGAGTCATGAGGAGTATCTCAACCGTGTCAAAAGGAATACCCTGAAGAAAGGATCCTATATGTGCTACAGTAATTCAGAAATTGACTGCCGCGATAGATATGACCAGTAGTTGTGACAAAATTGAGTGGCGAGAGGAGTACTTTCGTAGATGCAGGAGACTCATAATCCCCTACCAAGCACGCTTATGGTTGGAGCAAGATTGTCACTGTTTTAGAAAACACAGATAGACGCAGTCAGACATAGAAATGTCATCATTGACGAAAGACCAAAAAACCTTCCTTCCTTTTCCGCTGCGTCTTTGATGAATCGCAACCGACTCCAAAAGGTCCGTATGAAAATACCACCGAGGCTAGTCCATGGCCAACCATCACATCCAGTCCCAGGCCCAATGAAGGACTGCCATTATCCTGCTTGTACTCATCATTTGTCTGAGCGACAATAAAATAGTCTTGGAAAGCCCAACATCGAATCGCGTATCATATGGATAGACGTTGAGTCACAACTGAAAGGTCACTAGAGGCAGGAGATGTGACGATTGAGAGGGATGTATCATGAGAGAGCTGTAACATAGAAACTTCAAGAGTCGCGAGAGCCATATCATGGAGAGTCACGCCAGACACGAMAAGCCACAACATAGGAATTGTGAGACCAATGGCATGAAAACTCGCCAGAGACGCGAGAGATGAGTAGTGAGAGACACGAATCGCGAGAAAGCCATGACGTGGAGATTCGAAGAGCCGTGTTGCGAGGGTCATGTCGTGAAGAGTCAAAACAAGAAATGTGTGATGAATATCCATGGAGTAATTCAGCTTTTTGACAGATTTGATTTAGTGGTCGGCGGAGCATGTTAAGTAGAACAAAACAAAACAAAACATTCTCATCAATCTTGATTTCATTTCCCCTCACTCTTCAATTCATCTCGCCCAATTCTCCAACTCAGTCGGCTTCAATTTATTCTAAATCTTCTTCGTCGCTGCTCTCTCCGGAGACAATTTGGAGGCACATTTGTAGACAAATAGAGGTGAAGCTGTGAAGCATCGGCAGACGATTTAAAGACACATTTGCGAATATAAAGATATGAAGACAGCGTCGGCATACATTTCAGAGACACATTGGCCTGTGTAAATACATGATTAAGCTATGTCCGAAAAGCAACCATCAACCTTTGATACTTCAGTCTGGTAATGGTGAACACGATCCTTCGTGTCCTACCTGTCCTCTACAGCATTGGGACCGATTCCTTGATAATTCGTTCTTTGTTATCACCCTCTACCTGAGTCTTGTTCCTGCGGCTGTCCGGAACTCATCGTAAAAGGTTCTGAGGTTCTATAACGGCGCGATCCTTTCGCCCTGTACGTATCATGGAATGTCTGCAGGGGTGCTCTGACGTGGGGATGGAGGAAACCACGTACTATCTTCCAATAGTCTGCCTTGAAATAGAACAAAAAGCCCCCGGAATCATGACATATTAGTATGGGTTCTATTCCTCCTTCTTTTTCTTCAGAACTCTGTCCGGCAAGGGACCAGTTCATGTCTCCTGAAGCAAGCGGTATTTCTTTGGATCTTCGCTCGAGATTGACCATGACGTGTTCACATCAGATAACTTGTCCTCGTATTTGTCATCGCCTTGTTCGACCCATCTTCAGCCAGGCTTCTGTCCTAGATAGTGGACAACTGTCTCGTCCTCCAATAGAAGAAGTCGAAGGCATACTGCCTCATCATACGGCTTGAAGCCATTCGGTAGTGGTTTCAGGATTCCGGCCAGAATTCAATTGTGAAGGTGGTCTCGACACATTCCTACTTTGGAGTACCTTCCAGTATTGTGTCTGCAGAAGTTCGCGTTTCGAAGCTGTTGGTAAATTGTAGCGCCAATCGGACACGCCATTCCCAGTTGAGCCTTCACATGCGTTGTCCTTTGATGATTGTTGATCGACACTCAATGTTATCGGAGCCAGTGCTAGACGGTGTCAATCGGCCCAGGATATGCTTTGGAAGAATGCCAATTACCAGTTTTTAAGGGATGACTAGGGATGGATGAATGATTGATCAATTGTTTCTGTCTAAGAGCTATCCTGTCTTGGCTAGTGTATTGTCACGTGATAAAATGCCACCAAAAAGAACTAGACCAGACGGTACCTGGTTAGTAAACGATAGCTTGTGGAAGATAAAGACATGCGTAAGCAACGAACAAAACAGCGTCTACGACCAGTCTGAGGACGCGCAAACAAATGGAATGGATAGAAAAAACCTGCGTCTGGGAGCAATTCGAGACGCCTAAGCAGATGAAAACATGAGAGAGAGCACAAACTAGGTATTCAATCAAGCATTTGACCAAAGCATGTCAACTTCTTCAGCTTCGTCTTGTGTGTAGGTCGGTTGCTCGATGTTGTCCGCAATCCACTTCTCATCGTAAAAGGAGTCGATATTGTTCAATGGGCTGACCTCGTCGCCGATGATCTCGAAATGACCATGAGGCTGCGACGACGGAGTGCGATACCCCCATGTGAATTCGTTGCCCTTGCGATAGAAGATTAGAAATCCTCTATCGTCATGGCGGAAAAATCTAGCCTCGAGCCCAGTCTTTCTTATCTTGTCAGGAACTCCATCAACCCACGAGTTCTCTGCTGTGACGTGTTCACTGAAGCTGTCCCCATGTTTCGAGTACGAGTGGGCAACCTTTCTTCCAATATTGTAAGTCCCGTCTTCCCCAGGATCGACCCTCTGCCATATCAGCTCATAACCTCTCTTCAAGTAGGCTACCACGGTTCCCTGGCGGAAGAAGTCTACCGAGTAGATTGTATAGCCGTGCAGTTGGCCATCTGCTAACCAGTAGGGACCCTTGATGCGAAAGACAAGTTCAGTCTGGGTTTCGTCTAATGTTATAGACTTTTGTCGTTTGTGTCCTGAGGTTATAGAAGCCCTGTCTTCCTCTTGATTGAGATGGTTCCTTTTCAACACCACAGACCGACTGTCCAATGTTGATGGCGCTCTGTCTTCTTCAGTCTTGATAATGTCCTTTGTCACCCGATCCTCGGTCGCAGCCTTTGTGTCTATGTCCTTGGATGTAGTCTTTGTGTCTAGATCCTTGGATATAGTCCTCTTTCTTGTAGCTCTGGCCGGTTTGTGAGGTATACCAAGGTATTCTTCTGCATGGTACGTCGCGACCTTAATGCGGATGTATTCCCGCCACGTGAGGGCCTTCGGCTCGTACTTTGAGTATGCATATTTCACTCGATAGTCTTTCAACCCATCTGGGATTTCAGACGCTTTGAAGGTGATTTTTTTCTCAATACCCTTGATTGTTTCGTGGGCTTGGTCGTGTCCCTCGTTTTGCAGTCTGTAAAGTAGTGCACTAAGCCCGGTTTTCGCTGCTTTCATGGCTGTGGTCTTCCAGGGGTCTCCTAAATTTTGGAGGTCCTTGATCTCTTGGAGTTGCTCAAGAGCCGCTTGTGACATCTTGTCCAACTCGTCCAGAGTTGGGGTTGTCGTGGACGCCATCACTTCTGCTTTAGTGACCTTGAGAGCTGTCGTCGCTGGTGTTTCAGTCACTGTCGCTTTAGTGGCCTGTAACTTTGGCGCCTCTTCAGTAGCTGTCTCGGTAAAGTGAGGTCTCGTGGTTGTCTGAGATTCGTGTTGTTTTTGCTGTGGATCGGTGAGAAGGTTATGGCGATGGGCTTCCTCACGGCTGGTGGTAATGAGTGAATGCTGGAGTTCAGGTGATTTGAGGTGAGTAGTTGGGGGTGGGAGATGTAAGGGCTGAGAAGAAGTGAGATTTATGGGTGGAGTTTGAGGGATCGAGGGAGAGTGAGGAGGGGCAGAGGACGCTGTATCCTCGAGGCTGTCGATTCGCCGTTTGATCAAAACAGGAGGCAGTTGTCCCTCATTCACAGTGCTGGGAGGCTGGGGAGGAGAGTGGCTGTCGGGCGCGCCTGGCGTGGTCGGGCAATCTTTCTGTACGGTATCACTATCTGGTTCATCGTCGTAGAAATCTGTCTCTTCCAGGTCAAAGAAGGATATGTCGAAGCCTTTCTTCTCTGCGAGTTTCTGAATCTCGTTCTCCACTACTGTCTGTCGTAGTTTGCTGAACAATCCCTTCGTCTCCCTTCTTGTAATCCTGTGCTCGCAGATTTCTTCTGCGATAAGACGTGGATCTTCGTAGTCAGGTAGATTCTGGATCACAAAAGTCCTCTCGTCATCACGGAATTTGACTGAGCAAGTCTCTTTAGGCGTACTCAGATAAAACTCTGTATCAATACCCTGGATTGCACAAAAGTGGTCAAGGAGACGTTCAATGATCAAACGTCGCTTTTCGTCCACTACGCCTTGGAACTCGTCTTGAGTGTATTTGTGATTGATAATGGTCTTGACAAGCTCCTCATTTGTGTCTGTCGCAGCGTAGTCTAGTGGCATGAACCGTTCCATGAGCTCCGAGTATTGAGGTGACATGGTGGACGTGTCAATTTAGACAGATATATGAGAAGGTAAAGCTGGTCGATAGGATATTTCTACGAGTATAGAATGTTGGTGTCAAAATATAAGATGGGTCGATTCTGATTGGTTGTTGGCGGGGACACTGGTTGTAACTTGTCTCTCGGGTGTCGTGTTGCCCGGCTAGTGAGTGTCCTTTAAGTTCTGTGACCAGCAATCTTGCCAAGATGGCTAAAAAAAAGTACTTGATTGGCGACTTGGATGATCAAAAGGACTCTCCAACACAGAATGTAGCGGCGCCAGCGACCGCTTCAGACAAGAAGAGGACTGCATCAGCAGCTGTTGACGGAGTCCAGCGCCCGTCGAAGAAGAAGCGTGATGAGCAGAAGGCGGAGCAGAAGACCGAGGAGAAGAAGATTCATGTACCTGTCGATGAAGCGTGCAAAGATAGTGGTAAGCGATGCAGATTTTATCAATTCGATACAATTTGGCTGATCTATTAGCTGGATATGACGTTGTCATCGACGCGGATGGAGTTATCTGGGTATATTCCTCGGCGTGTTTAGATTTCGACTCACTAACTAGAGCAGGACGCCTCACTCAACTTGACTAGCTCGAGTAATAACAACAACAAATTCTATCGCATTCAACTACTCAAATCCAAGACAAAACAGAATTCATACAGTACCTGGACACGTTGGGGTCGAGTCGGCGAACTCGGTGCAAGCGCCTTGTTGGGCCCGACCGATTTCGAAAGTGCCAAAAAGACATTCGAGAAGAAGTTCAGAGACAAATCTGGTCTCGCCTGGAAGGATCGATTGAATGATCCCAAACCAGGCAAATACTCGTTCGTGGAAAGGGATTACGAAGAGGATGATCCAGGCGCAGAGGAGGCTAACGCAGCTAAGAAAAACAAGAAAAAGACAGACGAAAACGAACGCCCACCCCCTGAAAGCAAGCTCGCGAAGCCTATCCAGGAAGTTGTCTCGCTTATTTTCAATCAGGAATACGCGTTAAATGCATTGCAGGAGTTGAATTTCGACGCGAACAAGTTGCCATTGGGAAAACTTAGCAAGCGTACTCTGCAAACTGGGTTTCAGGCGTTGAAAGACCTATCAGAGTTGCTAAATGATGCCTCTCTTGCGGCGAGCAAATACCAGCAACCTCTTGGTACGGCACTCGAGACCCTCAGTAACCGTTATTTCACCATCATTCCCCATGCATTCGGACGCAATCGACCACCGGTGATCAGTCATAGCTCTATGTTGAAAAAGGAAGTCGAGTTACTTGATAACTTGACAGACATGGAGATTTCGAACCAGATTTTCAGTGACTCTCTTACAGCTGACAGCGAGATTCATTTCTTGGACAAACAGTTTGAGGGTTTGAACCTGGACGAAATGACGCCACGTAAGCTTTACATCGTCAAGAAAAGTTAGAAAAGGTGAAGCACTGACTGACAGCTACAGTGGACCATTCATCATCGGAGTTTGCAGAAATTTCAAAGTATCTGATTGGAGCAACTGGGCCGACTCATCACTGGAATCTCAAGGTAAGCACTCTGTTACATCAAATTAGTGCAGTTTCTTATGAAATCAGCCACAAGATATTTTCCGCATCGAACGTAACGGCGAGCACGGCCGCTTTGAAGAAGCCGGAATGACCAAACTGCCTAACGACAATCGTCGACTTTTGTGGCATGGTTCTCGCTCCACCAACTTCGGTGGTATCCTCAGCCAGGGTCTGCGTATTGCACCACCTGAAGCCCCTGTGAACGGGTACATGTTCGGCAAAGGTGTTTACTTCGCCGACATATCCACAAAATCAGCCGGTTACTGTAATTCTCATGCCAGTCGAGGTGTTGGCTTGATGCTTCTTTGTGAGGTCCAGCTAGGCAACCCAATGCAGGAACTCGTCCATTCGAGCTATACGGCTGGTGAGGACGCCAAAGCGAACGGGAAGCTGGCCACTCTGGGAATGGGAAGCACGGTTCCTGAGGGATGGAAGGATGCTTCATGCGTGCATCCGAGTTTGCAGGGTGTCGTGATGCCTGATGTGTCATCTGGACTGAAAACTTTGGATAATATTCCTTGCAGCCTGGCTTACAATGAGTACATTGTCTATGATATTGCTCAGATTCGGCAGCGCTATTTGTTGAAGGTGAGCATGTAGACCAATACGAGATCCATGACGACATACATATTACTCCTGTATCAGAAAAATGGAAAACCATCAAGCTCTTCGAGATGGATCCAAACATCTATTGGTCAAGTGATCCTCATAATCGTAGGCTTATCGGAGTTTCTGATAAGAAGGCTTGGCGACAGGCAGACTCGATTTCGAGTCCGTTTCACACCTACCACTTCATAACCACACTCGTTATCTCGTTGGATTTGTTGTTATGTTAGCCTTTTACTTTAATTATTGATATTGAGTCACTGAGTGATCTCGCATACTATCATTTCTGTCCCTTAACGCTATACATTCCCTCGGCATAGGGGCTTAACGCGCTACAACATCGTTCTTAGAATCGCTCCTTACATGATCGTTTACAAACTTGATTCGTTTTGATCATTATGATTCGCTCCTTCTTCACTGCTGCCAGTCTGGCTGCGACCGTCTCGGCGCAATACTTTCCTCCTCCACGCGAGGGTCTCACTGTCATCAAGTCCAACGTGACCGAAGGCGTGACTATATCCTATAAGGAGGTCAGCACCTAGCACTCCCTTTTTCCCACGGATTGTGATAGTATATGCTGACTGCTACAGCCCGGAATCTGCGAAACGACGCCCAACGTCAAATCCTTCTCCGGCTACGTCCACCTCCCACCACATACCCTCGACGACGTGCACCTCGACCAAAACTACTCCATCAACACATTCTTCTGGTTCTTCGAATCGCGGCACGACCCTGTCAACGCTCCCTTGACAATATGGATGAACGGCGGCCCTGGGTCCTCATCTATGATCGGCCTATTTCAAGAGAATGGCCCTTGCAGAGTAAACGCGGACTCGAATTCGACGACCCTCAATCCGCACTCGTGGAATAATTATGCGAATGTTATATACATCGATCAACCGAATCAGGTTGGTTTCAGTTACGATGAGTTGCAGAATGGGACGTATAATCTGGTCACGGGCGAACTCAAGCCGTTGGATGATGAGATGTCGTCCGTTCCGGAACAGAACAGCACGTTTTTGGTGGGCACGTTTCCGACTATTGAAGGTACGCGCTCGACTGCAAACAACACCGAGAATGCGGCGAAAGCGTTGTGGGAGTTTGCGCAGGTGTGGTTTTCGGAGTTTCCAGAGTATAAGCCTGGGAATGATAGAGTCAGTCTGTGGACGGAGTCGTATGGTGGACGATACGGTCCCAGTTTTACGGCGTTTTTCCAGCAACAAAATCAGAAGATTGCGGACGGAAGTTTGCAGGGTCATCACGCGATTCATATGGATACTCTGGGGATTATCAACGGGTGTGTGGATCTGTTGACGCAGGATCTGAGTTATGCGGAATTCGCGTATAATAATACATACGGCATTGAGGCGATTAATCAGACTGTTTATGAAGCGGCTGTGGATTCATGGAATAAAGAAGGCGGATGTCGAGATCAGATACTGGCATGTCGTGCCCTCGCTGCGGTGGGCGATCCGTTGAGTCTGGGGAACAATGAGACGGTTAACGGTGCATGTCACAATGCATCTGATTATTGCAGTAATGCCTTAGAAGGACCATATACTGAATTCGGTGGTCGCGGTTACTACGACATTACGCACGAGGTTCTCGACCCATTCCCGCCGAATTACTTTATGGGCTATCTAAGCCAGAGCTGGGTTTTGGGTGCAATCGGCGCTGCAGTCAATTGGACCGAAAGCGTCGAGTCTGTGTACGCCGCTTTCCAGAACACGGGCGACTACGCCCGTTCCGATGTTTTAGGCTATCTCGAAGATATTGCATATGTCTTGGACCAAGGCATAAAAGTCGCCCTTGTCTACGGCGATCGTGACTACGCATGCAACTGGATCGGAGGCGAAGAAGTCAGTCTCGCCGTTGAATACAGTGACGCAGATAAATTCAGGTCTGCAGGTTACGCAGATCTATACACAAACGACACTTTTGTCGGCGGCAAGATTCGCCAGTACGGCAACTTCTCGTTTACGCGTGTATATCAAGCGGGTCACGAAGTACCAGCCTATCAACCGGAGACGTCGTTTGCGATTTTCAATCGGTCGTTGTCGAATTTGGATATTGCAACTGGTCGAGTCTCGACCGTAGAAAATGCGACGTATGCCACCGAGGGACCGTCGAGTACCTGGGACGTCAAGAATGAGGCTCCGCCCATGCCGGAGTCGATGTGCTACGTTCTTGCGCTCTGGGCGACATGTACGGATGATGAGGTGGAAGCTATTGTTAATGGAACGGCGGTGATTGAGGATTATATTTTGGTCGGCAGCTCGGCTAAAAGTGCGCCGTTTTCTGCTCCTTTGTCGATTGAGAGTTCAGTCAAAGACGATATAGAAGAGCACAATGGATGGTTCCAGATCCTCTTGTCGCTGTCTGAGTTCTTTGACGTTCTGTTGTGATGTATACTATATATCTGCTAAATAGAAGATTTACCAACCGTAATAGGAAATTGTGGCCGATGCTCGAATTTGAACTTAATTTTGAAGTAAATTGCGGGGACGGCGGGACGGTGGAAAGACTTCGCGGTATGTAATTGGTTGAAGCCAGACGAACCAGGGTCTCGTGGAGAAGGCCAAGATCTACTTCCAAATTGAATTATCTTCGACTTTCAATAGACTCCATCAGAAGAACAGTTTAGGAGTTACTGCCGACCGACATCGGATCTATAGCATAGATCTGGACCCGTACGTAGGACATTAGTACGGTGTATCTGAGCCAAGGCCAAGCTCACTACGGGCATTGAGCGGGCCGCTTGATCCAGAGCCTCGTATTTCAGTACATGATAATCCGATTCAAGAAACAGGACTAAGCAGGCACTTACTTACGTAGTACCAAGTAGTAAGCATGCGGCGAGCTATTCCCTATCGGCATAGCTCAGCTGGAAAAGACTTTGTAGGTGTAGATTATCTTCCTCTTTTTGTTTCTTTGTTGGTTTTTGACTTCTTCAACGTTACACTCTTGTTAAGTACGCGCTCCGAGATTTGAGAATGAATCCCACAATCTCTGATGACAAGATGACTGCATTCAGTACAGCCCTCAATCCCTTCGTACTTTGTCCGAAGAGCTAACAATCACAGACAATGACCCCAACATCCACGGCAAAACCGAAAGCGACGTCGAGTCGCCCATCGACATTCCGCAACTCACCACCACCACGGAGCGCAGATTAATGGCCAAGGTTGATCTACACGTCCTCCCGTTTCTGTGTGTGCTGTATCTCATGGCGTTTCTCGATCGGTTTGTTCTCTTCTCTGCCCTCTGGCCAACTCAATGCGACTAATGGCGATTGTTGGTTCTGGACAGAGTGAATATTAGCAATGCAGTCCTTTTCGGCCTGCAGCAAGATCTCGATATTCAGACGGGGACAAAGTACAATACTGCCTTGACCATCTTTTTTATTCCGTATATCATTTTTGAGGTATGCAACTCTAGCTAGTGGGAAAAGGGTGGTATAGTTAATTAGGCTAATGATGACAGATCCCATCGAATATTCTGCTCAAAAAACTCAAACCACATGTATGGTTGTCGTTTTGCATGGGCATGTTTGGGTTTGTTATGATTATGCAGGGCCTGGTGCAGAATTGGGGTGGTTTGATGGCTACTCGCTTCTTTCTGGGGTTGTTTGAGACGGGCATGTAAGTATACCTCATGACCTCTCTGTGTCTTGCTAAGTACTAATTGACGGCGCAGGTTTCCAGGATGTATGTACCGATACCCCCCAGCGTTGAAAATTATCTAATGTTTACAGGCTTCTACCTCATGTCCTGCTGGTACACCCGCGGCGAAGCCCAAAAACGCTTCTCCTTCTTCTTCGGCTCCGCGACTCTGGCCGGCGCATTCGGCGGCGTTCTGGCCTACGGAATCGGCAAAATGAACGGTATCCGAGGCTACAGGGGCTGGCGATGGCTTTTCATTATCGAGGGACTGCTGACGATAGTTATTGCTGTTATATGGTTTTGGACTCTGCCTGATTTTCCAGAGACGGTGAAGTGGTTGGATGAAGAGGAGAGGGCGTTTATCAAGGCGAAGCTGGAGAAGGATACAGGCAAGTCGGAGCACGCAGAGACTATTACGTGGAGAGATGCGTTAGAAGTTTTTAAGGATTGTAAGTTTTCCACCTGCTGGTTCTGAAGCAGAGAAATTAATGTCTCTTCTAGACAAGATATTCGTCGGAGGATTGGCATACTTTGGACTTATTGTCCCGGCTTATGGTATTTATCGCATCCTGACTTCGAAGACACATGACTGACAGTCTAGGATACGCCTACTTCGCCAATTCCATTATCAAGAGCTATGGCTACAGCGGTATGTAAATCCTCATCAAAGATTGAATGATATACACCCACTGACTGAACAGCTCTCACCACCCAACTATACTCCGTTCCTCCCTGGGCAGCAGCATTCGCGTTTTCCCAGGTAGTTGCCTATTTTTCTGACAGACTACGCCACCGATTCTTGTTTACTATCATTCCGATATGTATCACGCTGGTGGGCTTGGCCATGTTACTCAACATCCACAATCACAGACATGTCGAGTACGGAGCGTTGTTCTTGGTTACTTCGGGCACGTACTCTGCCATGCCTGTGATTGTCTGTTGGTTCGCGATGAATCTGGGCGGACACAAGAGGAGGAGTGTGGGAACAGCATGGCAGGTTGGATTCGGAAACAGTACGTCCATTCCACCTTCTTTCTGTCTGACGAGATATACTGACTAGAATAGTCGGCGGAATCATCGCTACATATTCGTTCCTCTCGAAAGATGCACCTGAGTATCGCAATGGATTCATCATTTGCATTTCATTCACGTGTCTATCGGCAGTGGCTTGTATTGTATACTTGCTTGGGATTTGGCATGCGAACCGTCAAAAGGATCGTGATGCCACGATCCCCAGTCCGGGTGCTAGTGATCAACTAACCGACGACAAGACGAAGGATCTGGGAGATTTGGCGCCTAGTTACCGGTACATCTACTAGATAAATACAAACAAGGTCCATAATTATAGCTCTGGTAGCTAGGTAGCTACAAATTGATTGTCCTTGGTCAATACATGAGGATTCTTCCACGCACACCCTCTTGTAATCCACACCAGTGATAGAAACGGCACCCACACTACCATTCTATTGAAAATTTTTTGTCCTGATAAGGATCCATTTCACTTTACAACATAATATTCGCAGCCGAGGCCGGAGTGCGTGAGGGGAGTGAGTACATGTTGCGCCTGAAAAACAAGGCATGCCGGCCCCGCGATAACCTTCCGCAACAGGCTAGCGCAGCCTCTTAGACGAGAAGCTTAGTCAGCGCCCACACACATTCAAAGCCGCTGTGAAGCTCTCTCATCTTGATCATTCCTACAACCATCTCCTCATTTTCAAAGACAAGTGTAAGTTACCTTTTCGCCTTCAATTGTTCGACGGTATCGATGAAAAAAAGTATTACGACTGCAATGACTTCCCGTCATTGCAATTGTACGACTAGCTGCCGATACGAGCTCAATTGACGTCGTTGTTTTGCCTCGAGCTTTTGCTAACATGTCACGACAGTCTCGAAACATCTGCGAAGATGAGAGCTAAGTGGAGAAAGAAGCGCGTTCGCCGTCTCAAGCGTAAGAGAAGAAAGGTCAGAGCCAGATCGTAAGTCTCGTCGCCTACCTGTTTGATTCAAAGGCAATGGTTAATTGTGTCACAGCAAATAAACGCTCGGCCCCTCCATCTCAGTTCTGTCATGATGAAGCCTTCCGTTGAATAATCAAACACGACATAATGAGTTTTATTCGAAACGTCATTCCTTTCTCGATCGGGATTGTCCAAGAGCTCGCCTTGTAATTTTTATTTTCATATAATCGCCAGACGAAAAATCGTTTATCTGGAGCTGTCAAATCTTTCAGCAATTTATTCCAGTCGCCGAGCTCTATACCAAAAGTTTACGGTTTATCTTGGGCAGATTTGGTGCTGGTGCTTGGTTCGAAAAGTGCAACAATCAAATGAGATGGACGAAGTCTGGGAAACTTGTCCATTTTTCTCGAACGGGGATTATTTTTTTCTTTTACGAAAAAAATGCCGTGTGTTTGGATGGCGCTGGGAAGGGGAGTAGGAAAGGAACAAGGGTCTGGATGGCTTCGGTCATTCATGCGATACGATTTGCCTTGATTTTTCCTGTCTCTTCGGGTTCATGATGAGGATCTGGTCAATTATTACCTGCGATTTTGCTATCGTGACTGCTCGACGTGGGTGTTTTGTTGCGCTTATGACGAGTCTTGCGATGTGAATGACCATGTGGAGATGTCTTAACGATTTATTTACTCAATCAAAAAAATGAACTTTGTGTTTCTATACATCTTTATAATGATACTCGAGTAGAGCTTGCCTATAAACAGACAACGATATTATTTCTCGAGAGGTCAGTCTTGACGTAATTGACTGGTTGTGCGTGCTCTTGTAAAGCGAGGAGGTGGTTTCCTATTCCGGGCTAGTCCCATAATACATGTCCGCCCTTTCCCCGCTGCACTTTATCTACATCTACAGATCAAAAGGTATAAAAGGTTATACATCAAACATATAATTGTTATACATCAAGCTCGAGCACAGCTCAAGCAGAGCTCACCTCAGCTACAGGCTTCACCTCCCCAGTCTTGATATCATACACAAACCCCCTCGTCCGCTCAGCAAGCTCCTTTCGCACAAGCGGCGAACGCTTCACGAGCTGCACATCCTCTTGCACGCTACGCTCAAGACTACATCGAGTCGATCAGATCAGAACTCGATAATTTTGTACTCATTTGGGATTGGATAAGACTTACTCCTCGAATCCGGGAAGTATGAGATCGTCAACTTTGCCAGAGGCATCAGGGGCGCGCTCGCTTAGTACCTGACACACGTCTGCGTTGGCAAAGAGTTGTGCTGAGCAATCTGCAATATATCTCGTTAGTTAAATTTCGGCGTAGTGAGGACAATAGACTACCTGTGTGGTGCATGATCATTATATCTGTGAACTTCAAGACATGGTCGAGGAACAGCAGATTACTGAACTGAGAGGCCATGCGGCCTGCAGCACCTCGAGTAACGACCGCATCTGCCAGAGTTAGCATTCAAGAAATTCCTCGGAATTCTGAGGGAAATACCCCATTTTTCAAGCCCTAATATGTCCCAAGGGTCAACTCGATTATCGCAACAGGACACTAGCATCGAAAATCTGGTTAGCACTCTGTTTCCTGGGGACGGGGGAGTAGTCCTACCTATAAATATCTTTGGCATTGGCAAGCTCTGATCAGGAGGAAGTTGACTGATCTCGGCCAGGGAGGGTATGGGTTGGAATGTTTCCATCCTTTTACTATATACCCCCGTGTCGTGATTAGCTAGGGTGTCGACTCACGTGTGTGATGATCTAAACGTACGCATTACGCTTCAAGAGTTCGTCTATACTTGGGCTGGAGGCCATTTTCGGTAGTGTAGCGAGACGGTTTGTAGTGGATAGGTAATTTAATGTTGGTTTTGATATACAATAGTTATTTATTGGGAAAAGATACATATTCGGTACTTGTTTATATACTTCAAAAGGACTCTCTTTCTACTGTGCGGAGCTTCCGAACGGAATGGCCGAAAAACCTCAGTGATTTCCAGCAAGACCTGATTTCTAAGCGCTGCAAATGAGTAATCCAGCCAAGAACCACTTTTGTATACAGTCTTGTAGGATTGCTTGATGCGATAAAATCATTTTCTTAACGTCATCGCCCGAGGTGGGTATCCGATGGATTGCCCGTCACTCCGTAGTACGCTGTCGGGTGAGAATCTGAAATGCAGTCGAAAAAATACGGGGCCAATTTATACGCTCTCTGACAATTAAAAAGTGTATTTCCGGTTGCTTTCCCTGCCGAAGTTTTAGAAACATCAAAAAATGTGAGGAGTCCAGTCTTTGCAGTCTAAATTATACATATTTCTTTGTTGGATTAGGGCTCTGTATGTAGAATTGAAGGCATTGGGTAATATCCCATAAGCTCGTGCTCTGTGCAACCACTGCAATTCAATTTGACCTTTTCTCTCAACCTCATAGACAATACCCAATTAAAGCTTACTCACACCATGGCCGCATCATTAATAAGTTTTCTGATTTCATGGGTGACGTTGTGGCCACTTATATCTTCTGTCATTCCAACGTGGTCCTAGGCGTGGGATACAAATTGAATGAAGGTCAAACCGTGGTAAGCGAGCCTATTATTCTTTCAATATCGGGTATACGCAATCAATAACTCGTTATAAACCAACTCCCTTGCTACATGAACTATGCGGCTTTTCTGCCTGCAACGCACCCGTACCAATTCTCGGTCCTCCAGCTTTTCACGGCGCCGACTTGTCGTACGCCTTTTATGACGATGGATCAGCTTGAGTAAATGCGACTTTTGCGATGATATTACAGCAGTATATTACCCAGTTCGCTGTCACGAGCTCGTCAAATGCAGCTGGGTTGCTTTACTTTCCGCCTGCAACGGGGTTTAGGTTTAGGATTTGTGGAATGATTTTGTAGGGCCGATGCAGGCCGAGTCTGGGATTAAGGAGTTGCCTGAGCCGTGTTGTTACTGGCGACAAGCATCTTACCTTTTGTTATGATTTCGAGATTTTTTTTACAAGGAGTTGATGTCATAAACAAATCCTACATATAGCAAGTAGAAATGGTGGTCCGTGCGGCAGAGATATCTTATCCTCTTACAACGCCGACAATTTTTTTCTAACTCCGCCATTTTCAATACGGAATTTCCGCAGTCGTTCACCACACCAGCTGGATTGACAGAGGCTGTTCGCCATCCATGGTATGGTAATTACAATATACAGCTTCTGATTTATTTCCATAAGAGAAAATGGCCTCCGACAAGGTCGAGAAAAAGCGCAAAAGAGACTCGGACAGACACGAGCGTCCCAGCAAAAAGCCTGCTATTCAAGCGCAAGATTTACCTCCATTGACCGCGAGTGTGCTCAAAGATGACAACGAGCTTGCTCCTGTGTTGAGTATGTCACCTCTTTCAATTGAAACGATTGGAGCCATCCAGCGCAGACTTGACTAATGCATGACAGTAAACGCACCCGGCCTCCAATTCCCCAAAAAACTCCACGGCTTCAAACCCTACACCAAAGAATCCACGACAAAAAAAGCCTCGTCAGGCCGAAACAAAGGCATCGTCTCTACCGAACTCCTGCTCCAATCCTCCGAACACCCAGTCCTAGACTTTATCGGCACCGAAGCCACCGAAGACGCCGACTCTCAATTGAAGCATTACGTCGCCATTGTCGACCCGGACCAAAAGACATGGCAATTCGTCGAAGTGCGGCGAATGACGCTACGCAGTTCAGTGAAGAAGCACAACAAGGAAGTTGCGGAAGATGATGAGAGTGACTACGAGACTGCGGCATACCGCGATCAAAGGAAAGCGCTCACAGAGGCATTCGGCACAAAAGCGTCACGTAAAGCGGCTCAATCCGAGGCTGAGAATAGCATGCTTGCGCCTGCCGGTGCTACGGGTGCTATTGAATCGGCGATTTTGTCGTCGATGCCCGCACAGGGTATCGCAACGGCCAACCTCAAGGCGCAAGAACTTCAAGCACAAGTCCAGGCCAACAAGCCCATTCCAACCGCCAACCTGTCCGCCACGCACCCGTCAGAAGTCTACACGCTCGAGTCACTGGTTGCAGGCGGCGTATCGACACTCAACCAAATGCCCACTCAAGAATGGCAGGATGCTGTCAATGCCGGCGAAGCAATTACCAGCACATCCCGCTACGTGGCGCACCGCGTGGACGCGGTTGTGAAATCGACAAACGTCACCCACCTCCAAGTCCTCCGCTACATCCTCGCTCTCATCGAGCTTAGCAAAAATATCAAACGAGGGAAAGGCTCCGATCCACCAGGCAGCAAACGCATACCTCTCCGCGCAGACCTCAAGAAGGTGTTGTCCGGTGGTTCGTCGGCAACAGCTCTTCTCCCGGACCCCGTGGTGGAAGCCATACGCCGCAAATATGCGCCTGGTGGGGTGATGGTAGCGCACAATATTACGCTGCTTCACACCACCCTCTGCGCTTTATCTCTGCACATTCCGCCTGCGCCCGCAAAGGATGGCGGCACCAGCTCTCTCGGCGGAAACACGCCTACCGAACTGGCCACTGATCCGTCGGATCTCCGCGACGACCTTCGTCTGGACACAACCACCGTCACGCAATATTTCAGGGAATTAGGCTGTAGATCTGACAAGCCGAGGGAAAGCGAATTCGCCAAGTTTGGTATCAAGACTAAGGCCGAGGCGGCGAATAGGAGAGTCTGCAAGCTGAGGCTTCCGTTGGATTTTCCCAAGGTGTCGAGGGGCGGTGGACCGAGACGGTAGACTTGATATCAAAAGGGAGAAAGAGAGGATTTCCTTAAGCGGTTTGTTTCATGTACATGTTTGGAGTTGGACGTTATTGGTTTCCTATTTCAGGACCGAATATTTTGGACATTCAAAAGTGTGTAAATCGATTGATGAAGACTATGAGATTCTGATACTAGGAGTCAAAATCATATCAAGTAGTTGATATTCATATCTATTCATGATAGTGCACCGTGGCCTCGTTACATGCAAGCACCCCATGATCGTCAAATACAACGACTAAAAACATGATATACGCATATCTGATATTACATATCCAAATCGTCATGTCATATGTTTACGCCTCATCCCCAGAACCAGAACGCTCAACGGCTTTCCCCCAAATCTTCTCGAATGCATTATCAACTATCGATGCTTCCTTCTCTTCCTTCGCAGCTATCGATTGCTCAGTTGAAGCAATATCAGCTGGTCTCAATCCTGATTGAGTTTCCTCCACAACTTTGGCGGAAGCAGCATTTTCAGACTCTAGTAGTCCAAGATGAAAATTGGAGCTATAAATCACAGCAGCAAAAGCCTCCAATTCCTGAACACTCTGTTCCATTGCTTCGAGATATTCATTGGGTGGATTTGTACCGTTTCCAATAACGTGACTCTCGCGGGTAATCAGAGCCAAAACTGTTGCAAGCTTGGCCTTGGGCGAAGACGACAACGAAGCTGGGACGATGGTAGCAGCCGAAGAGAAGGTAGTCATAGGAGCTGGCTCAGATGTTGGTTGTTTGAAGAGACTATTAGCGCACTTTTGCTCAACTAGCTTGGCGAAACCTTCATTATTCAATGATGTCAAAATCCGGCTGAATGAGGGAGACTCGATCAGGTCGGATGTCTCATCGAGTAGTTGTCTCAAGTTGGCTGTCGTTTGTGGTGATGATGACGTGTCGGAGCTGAGTACTCCTGATTCTTGCAATACCATATCTTCATCTTCCTTTCGAGGAAGCAAATATGGGAGCCATGGTTTGACCCTACGTCGTCAGCAATGAGCTATAAACACGCTAGAATCTTGACATACTTTCGATCTTCCTCTGTAGCTCCCTCAACCCGTTTACGGACATCTAACATCAACTCCGAGAGCTTGTTGAGTGTAATATCTTCCCGAGGGTTGAGCGGTCCGAATACCTCCTCCACGGCGACGCGGACATTCTCCATCAGATCCTTCCATCCTCGATGCAACAGCCACCAGCTAAATGTCAAGTACCGTCTGTTGGTTTCAAAATCATTACCGAACGCTTGTGAATCATCGGCGTGGTCTTCGAGGCGGATGCTTGATCCCACGGGACTGGCGAGTGCGAGGACACTGGAGAGATAGCTCCGTCTACCGAGGAGGTTGAGCTGGATTCGGGTGAAAATAGTCAATAGAGACAATGTATATATGAGGACGATGGATCTCGTTATTGCTGGTAGTGATGAGCGTACTTCAGTGTATAAATTAGCTGGATTGGCACTCACAGAATATCTTGACATCATTCCACAGCTGTGCCTTGCTCCGTCTAGGCCGCTCATCCGACGTTGTGGAATCAGCCAACTGGCTCGCATGGATAAAGCTATCAGCCTGGAAGCTGGTCAAACTCTTGCCATCCTCTTCTGTGACACTAGGAGCCGTCGAAGAACTCGGCTCGGATGTGAGCACATCTGACCCGCTAGTTCTGGCTAGTCGCTCTGCTCGTTTCCTCTGCAACTCTTGGGTGAGCTCTTCGACCGGAAGAGCTTCAAGGATATTCTCAGTCGCTGTTGGGAGAAGTGCGAGTACGGTAAAGGTACAATCGGCTTGGTTTTGTTCGAATCGTCGACGGAGACTAATCACGCACGAGATCAGTCAGTATGTAGCCCAATTGCTTGAACATATTGTTGACGTACTTTTCCTTGGCTATCCTGTCACTGTTCATGCGCTCGCGTGCTTCTGTAAACTTGGATAACACATATTGTCCGGCGACGTAGCCCACGCCGATAATACCGGCTCCTATTGCGAGGCCTTTGCGATTGCGGCGAAACCAGCGCCTGGTAGCTCCGATCATGGTGTCGGCGTGGTGATGTGAATGAGTTTGTTATTTCGCTGTTGATAAAAAGATTCACGACATTGTATAAGGGTGAATGCTAAAAAAGAGAAATCAGAATTGAAAATGGAACGAGAAATAATGGAAAGCTGTAGCTTATCCGATCTGCGCTTGGGTTCATTGTTACTTCCTTCCTCGGCAACTCAGTAGCGGCTGCCCCGTCCCGTGACTTGGGCTTGCCTTTGCCTTCAACCGTGGTAACTGGCTGGCACGTTCCTTGTATACATTTCTGCCTGAACAATAAGGGTTGGCAGTGATGCCTCAGGTGGCACATCTAGGCGTGCCTTTGGGTCATTCGGCCCATGACGTACTATACACGGCTATACAAGGTCTTTGATTCTGAAGAACTTACTAGTACATAGTAATGATAGTATAGATAGATGCCTATTGAATATGCTCCCCTGATTTAGAAAGCAAATAGACCATTGATTGTTACTCGCCTACGTAAGATCGTAATTAATGGAAGCAACAGTAATTAGATGTAGATTCGATATTCCATGCATGGGGGCAATGGGGCTACCGAGTGCATGGCTGAGCCCCGACGGTGGCCGACACATGGAGGGGTTTAGGCAGTTTAGCTGCTATTTTAGTGACGCCCCTCTGCGTACACTTAAACCGTCAGCAACTACTCCAAGTAGCCCAGCTCGAATTTTCCTCATCCCACTTGAATTCCTCTCCACGCCGCAAATAGCGGTAATGAATAATGCGCGGCATTAGCCCCGATTTCCCTTCTGCATACTGATTACTATCTCATACTTACTGGCGTCCGGCAACGGCTATCCCCACCACCAACCTCAAACTATACAAATGCGCCACCTTGCTCTTTCACGACCTCACATCTCATATCTGCGCACCCGGCTTAATTGACTGTTTTGCGAATCTCAGCGAGGAAATTGATTTTTCCGCTCGAGTTGAAAGCAGACAGTTTTGCCGCGGTTGAGAAGAACACGAAATTTCGAGCTAAAAACAAAAATTTGAGCCAGGATGGAGCCCCGCCGCAATCCGCCAGAGTACTTTCTTGAGATCTTTGCCGATTCAAATTCTGTCAAAGACGTGCTGAAAGGTGATTAGCCTATCTTGACTGATTTACGTCTATCCGACGTAGATTGGAAGTTGTGCAGACTACGAACTAACGCAACAATAGGCGTCTTGAACCTCATCTTCTTCCACCGATACTTCCCGTCCATCCGCCCCGGCTCCGTCGAAATCCTCGACCTCACCCTCCCAACTGTAAACGATGTCGAACTCGAAACCCTGATCGACTCGCGCGTCAACGCCCTCGTGCGCCAACACCTCTCGACATCCTCCAACTCCTACAGTGCCGGAAACGGAGTCCGAGGGCGTATGGCCGTCGAATTTTTTGAAAAGAAGATCAGAAAATCGGGCATGTGGTTTGGCAGTCTGGCGGGAAAGGGGGAGGAGGAGGTATGTTGGGAGATTTGGACTTTGGATGTGACGATTGCGACGCCGAGGACGGAGTCGGGKATGCCCTCTTACGTGCTTATTCAAGGCATCATATTGACTACTTATAGAACGCGCAAAAGTCCGAAAAGCCATGGAGAACATGCTGCAAAAGGCAGCATTGAAGATCCTTGCAAACGTGAACCGGGATAAAGACCATATACCAATTATCACGACAAGTGATTCGAATCCATTCCCATACCGAATCGTCCTCAATCCGCGGACGGACAGCTGGGGCAATCGTATCAGCTTGTATTGAGTGGATGACATTCAACACCATTATCATCTATCATCGCTAGTGGTATCTGCGCCACATCCCAATCTGCATCAGCAGGTGGAAAACCCACATCTATAATTACGAAAACGCGAAGGACGATTGACTAATCATTAACGAAACACCAACAAACTCATATTCATTGTCGCAAGGTTCATTGCGCAAGACATCCAAGCATTATCGCCACCGCTGCTGAGAAACTTTCATAAAACTTGAGATCTCATACATGATCAATACGCTCATGACAGAATATCAAGGAAAGCAAACATCACAAATCCAAAAAATGACAAAAATTGAATAAAATGAGTCTGTAAAATTACAGACCCTTCCCTGCGTTGATAACCCAGGTCTCTATATCTCTCTCCACCATAACATATCATATCATATCAGCAAGCAAGAGATGCGGGATAAGCTTCAATTGACATGCGAATAGCTAAAGATCGGCACTTCAGTCCAAGAGCAGTCCATGGGTGATACTAGATTTCATAATGCTAGTATTCAATGTCGATTGTCTGGACCTCTCGAATTGATGCAGTATTTACTGCGACTTGCTAGCAGCCTCAGCCTGAGCCTTCAAGTTAGAAGAGGTCGAACCGCTGGAGAAGAAACGGGCGAACAATGGCTGGATGAAGGAGTGGAAGACGATTTGGGCGCCGCTATCCGAATGTTAGAGTTATACCACGCAAATCATTGAACACTTATCACATACCCGAACTGAGGAAGGGCCATCCAGAGAACAAGGACAAACTTGAAGATGTAGTAGAAGGCTAAGTAGATATATTAGTAAACAGAGCAATGCAAGTTCATTCTGTAGAAAAGCCACTTACGGAACCAGTAGGAGGCGTTGATAGCGCTCTCGATGACAGTCAAGAAAGCGTACACAACCCAGTACTAGCGCATGTCAGTACCTCGAACTTCTGCTATTCACGAATCAATCGCACTTACAGTCAACCACTAAAATAATAATATTAGCAACATATCCCTTATTAACGATCAAAGCACGAAAAAAAACTGACCTGAGTATCATCAGCCGTACCAGAGGTAAACAAGGCATGAAGTGAGTAATAACCCGGAATCAAAAACCCGGCAAAGTTAACCAAAAACTCGCCAGCGATGTTGAAGAAGACGAGGAAAAAGTAGATGCCGACAACACCGAGGATGGCGTAGACCTTGGGGACGGAGGTTTGTCTTTCGAGGTTGTTGAGGAGGGGGTATTTGGAGAGCTATTATGCAAGTCAGCAGTGAATCATTTGAGATTTTTCGATTTATATTGAGTGACAATTCGAGTATCAATAGATACTCCTTCAATAGAATATGGGAGATCAAGGGAATGAATCTCACCTCCTTGTCAAGTTGCGCAATCTGGTGCTGCGCACGATCCTGAAAGCTGGCCATATCGACGGTAGATCTGAACACAAAAGACCGATTAATTGTTTTTCCAGAGTAAGAAAGAAATGATATAGCACCAACAGATAATATATATGTTCTAGATAAAATGGTTGATGGTAGATGTCCTTGAGGGGTATGTGATGTTGATGATGGGGATGTGTGTGCGAGGTTACAGAAAAAGACGTAAGAGACGGAAACGTCAATGACGGCAGCAGCACCCTGCCTAGGTAAAGCTCGCGGGCGGGTGACGGTGTGGCTGACGCATCACGTGATGCGTATGACGTTGAATCTTCTCAATATTTAATACGTGGCCCGCGTATTGTGAGTATTTCAATACGTCGATATACTCCGCACCTAGAGGATAATGGAGCCTAGATAACGGTTCTCTGACCGAAGACAAGAGTTTTCGTCTTCATGAGATACGAACTAAGGTTTGATACATGTATGTGATATAGTCATGCATAATAGCCCGTCGGGAATATGACATGTGCCTTTTCCATGTGATCCATTACCTATCGCAGGTGCCTAGGTAAGAATTGATAAGAGATTCTTGATACCATTACATTGGATAAAATGTCACCTGACGTAGCGATACGCATCTACGGCTCTACGAACATTATGGAAAATGATGACCATGCCCGAAGGCTATACACAATCAATTGACAGTCCTACATGGGCTCTGACGATGCGTACAATATACAATAAGGACAAGACAGCCATGAGCCCTGAGATATAGAGCCTGGAATTAATGAAAAGACAGGCTCCCGGGCAGGACGACGATGATGTCTTGACAAGAATCGAATATAAACTATCATGTACTTGGCGAAGAACGAGTGGATATGGGTCAGTCACTCAAAGTAGATCAAGCAAGAGACAATTAAGCGGCAACTGTGACAGGAGTTCCAGCTGCAAATCCAGTAGCATTAACAGTAGTGTCAACACCGCCGGTTCGCATAGCATGAACAGCCTTGGCAAGCAACGCCTGCTCTTCAAGTGCATGCTCCTTGAGTTCACGGTTGACCGCATCCTCCACAGACTCGTTCTCCTTCAATCCAAGCTGGGCGTCTTCCCAGATAGGCATATTCTGCTCTTCGACACCTTCGACGCCAACACCGACGAAGCCACCCTGAGCCTTCCATTCGCTGGTACGCTTAAGACCGAGCTCGTTCCAAACAGAGTTGACGGCTTGCACAAGTTCGTTCTGGTATTGCTTGGTATGTCCGGGAGTAGGCGTAATACGAAGACGTTCCTCGCCACGTGGAACGGTGGGATAGTTGATAGCCTGTACATAGATTCCGTGGTTTTCTAGCAACATATCAGATGCTTGCTTGGCAAGCTCTGCGTCACCAACGAGGAGAGGAACAATGTGAGAGGGGTTAGGAATGACCGGAATGTCAATCTCCTTGAAGGCGTCTTTGACGGCCATAGTGTGGAGTTGCTGGAGAGTTCGGTCACGGCGGTAGGCAGACTGGTATTCGATTGCCGCATTGGCACCAGCCATGATAGCAGGGGGGAGAGAGGTTGTGAAAATGAACCCGGGTGCTAGAGATCGGATGGTGTCAACTAGCTTAGATGAACCGGCAATGTAACCACCGACACAACCATAAGCTTTACCGAGTGTACCAGTGATGATATCAATTCGGTCCATGACAGTGCCTTTAGTGCTGATGGGGTGGGCAGTGTCTTGAGACGCATAGATGTCGTAATCAAGATGTTCTGCGACACCTGCGCCATGTGGGCCGTACATACCTACAGCGTGCACTTCGTCCAAGAATGTGATGGCGCCGTACTTGTCGGCAAGATCGCAAATCTTCTCAATAGGTGCGATAGATCCACACATACTGTAGACTGATTCAAAGGCAATGATTTTGGGAACTTCGGCCGGTAGAGAGGCCAACTTTGTTTCCAGGTCGACCATGTCGTTGTGCTTGAAAACCATCTTCTTCGCACCAGAGTGTCTAATACCCTGGATCATCGAAGCGTGGTTCAAGCTGTCAGAGAGAATTACACAATCGGGCAATTTGCTTCCCAGAGTCGCAAGGGTTGCATCATTAGCAACGTAGCATGAACTGAACACCAAAGCTGCTTCCTTGTGGTGCAACTTGGCTAAAGTGCCTTCCAACTGCACGGCGTGCTTGTTATGGCCGGAGATGTTACGGGTACCTCCGGCACCTGCACCATAGTTCTCAAGAGTCTGGTGCATGCTTTTGAGCACCTCGCGATTGCGGCCCATGCCAAGGTAGTCGTTGGAGCACCACACAGTCACTTTTTCCTCAGCAGCTGCCATATGAGCACGGGGAAATTCCTTAGCCAAACGGTTGATGTTGTTGAAGTAGCGGTACGATTTATCCTTGTGCTTCTTGTCCAGCTCGTTCTTGTAGAAGGCCTCGTAATCGAACTTGGGCGTGGCGGGAGCCCGAGGGKGAGGGCCAGCGAGAGGGACTTCAGGCTTGCGGGTAGCAGCTTTGGCAGCATCCATGGGCGGGTGACGGACTGGAAACACCATCAGCAACTGACAAATCAGAGTTTCTGACTACTTATTCAAAACTTACGTCGGTTACCCTTCTCGTACGTACCGCCCACTTCGACACTTGCGCCATTGCCTGCAGTAGTGTGCAGAGGGCAGCGAGAAACCTTTTCGAAATTCCTGAACTTGCTGGTAGCACCAATTCCACCGGCGGCAGTGGTGAAGTTCTTCGAGGCGAGGCGGGAACTCTGGACGGCCAGGGCCTTGCTCATAACCGGGCAGCGGCGGGCAATGACCTGCAGGTTGGACATGGTGCCGCCACGAGGGCCGACGCTGGGAGTAGCCATTGACAGCGATCGCAATGCGGCCGGGGACGTTCTCTTCAAGAACGGACACATGGCTCGAGACTGGTTGAGAAGAGACTCCATGGCGGCGATAGTGTTTTCCTCGGATGCGCTTGATGGGTAGAAAATGAATTGACAGCGAAATTGAGTCGATCAGAACATACAGCCCACTCAGGCCAGGGCGACTCGATATAATCTATCTGGTCGGAAGAGAGGAGGTTTAGTGAAAGAGAAGGAAGAAGAAGAAGAGAAGACAAAGCGATGGGGTAATCTTTGCCTCAGGCCAGGTTCCGAGGGGGCCACACGAAGAAGACAATGTGTGGGGACTTTTTCGGACCGACTTACCCAGAACTGCAGGACCACACCGCCAATCAGACCGCGTCGATTACCACTCTCTTATTGTTTTCCCTGTTTGAGTCTACAACTAAGTTTGACTGTACAATGCCGACCTACCGACGAGCCGTGAGAACGAGCAGAGTTTTACTGCGTAGTAGTGGCGATGGAACGCGCCCCTACTCAATTGAATGTGACGTCTCCTCGGCGCTTCCAGATGAATACTTGTCCTTCACCTAATAGAAACAAAGGAATTGAGGGCGAAGATATTTGAAAGGCGGGGAACCCTAAGGAACGTTCCGCTCAGCGCTTAGTCGATACGCCGCAAACGCGTATTCATTCCTCTTTTGCAAGATGATGGTAATAACTCCTCAACTAGACAAGGAATCCTATTGGGTAATCTTTGAGGTATCTTGTTCTTTGTACACATCCACGAACTGTTTTGACAAAAAGTTTCTGAGTGATCAACTATCCGCTGACTCAGCTGACTCATTCCTGCATCGTCTTTGTCAAACTTTATGCCTCGGTGACTCTTTAGAGGCCCTCGGCGAATTTACTGAGGGGCCATTCCTATTCCCTCTTTGTTTGAATAAGCCAGCCAGTATCAAATGATGTCCAGTTGACTTTGTACTGATCACGGCCGTGGAATATGGTTGATGCTAGTGACACCGTATCTGGCTTAGCCTTAGGGCTAGGGCTAGGGCACATTCCCTTAAAGACAAATGCCATAGCATACGACCACTTCACCACCATAACTGCTCCAGATATATTGCATTACAGCACTCCACCTAGCACATACACGGCCGGATAGTATTTATATTTTATTTCTAAAAACTGTTTTAGAAAAGGTTGCTTTAGTGTATATGAGACGCCGTCATCTTAGACTCATATAGTTCTTCTATATTTGTCTTCAAAATAGAGTACCGGTGCTGTAAGAATTGAATTACCGGTTGCGATAGAAAAGATGTAGCGAATACTGCAACACCGAACAAACAGGTCTCTCTTTCTGCTGTTCGCTGGGAATCTGTTTTCGTCAAATGGCGTGTGGCTCTCTTTTCCGATTATTACTGCAACAGATCAAAAAAAAAAAAGATTATGTTTCCGCAACGTGCATTCGATGGCTTCGATTCTGAACATGTAGTGCAACTCTGATATTGAAAACTTCTTGAAGTCCATAAAACTAATGAAAGTCTTTCCATACACGGTGTCCTCATTCTGAAGAGCCAAATGACGCTCAATGCAGTCGTGCTTACTGCATGTGGGACGATTATGATTCCGTACACTCCATACCCATACAGCGAGCCCTAGCAACACACAGACAAGGAATAAGGACGGCGGATGCAACCATGTTGAAAAACTTGTCACTGATGATTGCCTGAATGGATCGTCTGTTACACGGGAGCAATGGCGCTCGATCAACGTCTTTTCGTTTCCCCCGAATTCACTCTCCCAGCAATCTAGGATGGAACGCTTCAAGGTAGACTGTGCATCAGAGGTTGAGCATACAATAGAAATAGCCTCGGAAGAGATGTAGGGCAGATCGAAAAATTGAAATTTCGAATCGCAAGTTCCTTTCATCTCATAAGTGTCTGGCGCGTCTTGTGAGAGAGATTGGGCTCCAGCGGTTGTATAGCTGTCGTTTGAAATGAGAGAAAAGACTGACAGCGTTCCTAACGACTTTAGGGAAAGGCTAGGTCGTCGAACTCTTTCTGTGCGCTAATAGTTGTGTATAGTGCTTTAACTTCCTTGCCAATGAAAAGGAGTGCCCACAGAGCGAAGGCCAGTTGCGGGAAGGAGGGTGCCTTCGTACTGTGGTTTAACAGAGCTGTTTGCCTTTCGAAGTTCGTCACTTTTGGGATTTTCTATTGACCTTCGCATTTCTACTGTGAAACTCAAGAGACGGGATTATTGCAAATATTGAATTGATTTCAAGCAACCTTGGAAGTCTTATTGTACGCCCTTGATTGCGGCAAGCAATAATTTCACCAATGGGACAGCGCGTGTAATCAACTTGCATTAGCTTCAACTCAGAAATCCACAAGTAAGCTGCGATCCGCTTATGTGGGCCATTCATTGATTGGCAAGCTGTGCCCAAGTACGTAGTATACGTACGCCGCCTGAAGTCTGCCCCCGGACGTTAGCCCTAATTAAGTGGGGGACAACCACGGTAGCTGTCCGATGGAAGGCTGGAACATCGTTATTTCACGGTAAAAGAGGAAAAGCTAAAGTGGAGTCACGGAGCGGCCACAGCATATAAGCATGACTTTTGCTGTCAGCAGCTTGCATAGATAGTATATACTAGTCCCTACGACAGTCTAACTCGGACCATACCATATGAGCGACGTCAACAATGAAATCCGCAGCCCAGTCCTCATCGGCTCTTTCTTTAAGGCAAATGCCTCAGCAGCAGCTCCTGCGCGAACCTGAAGACGATTGGACGGGTGTTATCGACCAACAAAAACGGCGACGGCTGCAGAACCGCCTGAATCAAAGGAAGTACCGTATGCATGATCTTCTACTGTTCCAGATTACATTGGGAAGAATTGACCATAGCCCTAACACCAGGACTGAAACTGAAGGTTAATGACGGACGGTCATCGTCACATAATGTCTCCGAGCCTTCTTCTCACCCGTCCGTTTCGGAAGTCTACCCCAATGATACAGGCTTCGTCACCACATTTCCTCTGACTAACGCCGCGGAACATGAGGAGGACGACTTGAACTGCACCCTAGCTCCTCCAGGGGCATTGCGCTTCCGCCGGGATTTTGAGACAGCTGCACACCAGAGCTTCTTGCGTGGCTTTCCCCGTATCGAACACCTGATCAGCCTCCGCCGGCTAAACGTCCACCGTGCTATCAATGATAATATACGCGCAATCGGTATGACACCCGACTGGCTGCGGCCAGATGAAGCCATTTCCATCTTCAATATGTCTTCCGTAGACCACAATGAAGATCAAATTCCTTCAAGTCTGCGTCCAACAGCCATCCAACGTGCTGTGCCGCATCACCCCTGGCTAGACTTCTTCCCGTTCCCTGGCATGCGTGACCTGATGATTATCGCTGGTGATAGGCTAGACGAGGACGAGCTATGTCGTGATCTCATGGCGTTTTGGGATACGCACAACACGGGAGCTACTCTTCTAGTCTGGGGTCAGCCATGGAACCCTAAGAATTGGGAAGCTACAGAGGGTTTTGTAAAGAAATGGCATTGGCTAATGGCTCGATCGCCTGAACTGCTGGAATCAACGAACTTCTGGAGAGTGAAGAGGGGTGACAGAGTGCTGAAATGGCGATTATTGATAAACTCGCATTGAGCTACCCCTTTCATGTTGTTTTCAAATTGTATTGGCCAGCTCTTATACGGGTTATGCAGAAAGGTTATTCGCAGACCTTTGACACCGTGATTGATGATAAATAGAGATGACACGAGCAAGAGATGGAATGATTTCTTTATTGTTGAGCTAAGAGAGAAATATCAAGTACGTGTAGCCATCAGCGTTAGGGTTTAACCTTCGGTTGTATTCTAAAACTTATCCTGGGTAAAAGAAGCTTTTCATAGAGCAATATTGGGTACCATGTGGCAGTGTCGGCTGGGCTTACTAGGGGTTGGGTGGGTTGTTTATCATATAACGTTGGCAAAGACTTGAGTCCGTCCACCCGATTCGAAGCTTTTCTTCGTTGACGACATGGTTGTACGTAGGATGACCAAACATAGCCCTGGTTTTTTTAGTATTGCTAGATCCCGGGGCTAATGCAAGTCGCTTACACCGTCTTCTTGGGTCAAGCACGAGACCATCATTACATTACATCGTCAATATACATCACTCGGCCACGGATGCTGTATTTTGGCTATTAATCTATTGAACCCTTAGATACTCTGGTCGTTTGATACTACTTGACCCACTGAAGTTGCCTCACCTCACAGTAGACACTAAAACCTCGTACTGGCATTGCGTAATGAAGTCCTATTGAGAAATCCGAGAGGCTACAAAAAGCTATTCAACAAACAACCCTGCCGAAACTGGCGCAGGTCGGATCTGGTCATCCTGAATTTCGGCTAGCAGGTCGTTTCCTGGGTAGTCCTCCAAGTCTAGATCAATGTACCCTCGTGAAGCCCATTTTCTACACGTGACAAAGAAGGAGTGGCCATTAACACTGGGGTCACTGAGAATTCGGAGTAGACACTGTCCTGCATCCTCTGCCGTTGCAAATTGTATCCCAGTGTTGGCGACATGTTTGAACTTTTCTTCGGGCAAGATATTCGTTCGTACATACCTGGGAACACTAGTCAGCTGCGCACTTGACATATGGCAAACCACACAGTTTTTAGTTTATACCATGGAGAAATCAGGTTCACTCGGCTTCCGTAGTAGTAGGTAGTCCTGCGCAACGAATGCATGATGCCACGCATCGCCCATTTGCTTGCAGAGTACTGGGGAGACCGCGGAACGTCCAAAAATGCTGCTCCTGAGCCGATCAGGATCAAGCACGTATCCTGCTGTTCAGGTGTAGGTGTCTGCCCGTTTTGGCGGAGGAAATAGTGAGCCGCCAACTTGGCTGTATATAGAGGACCCTTTATGTTATTATCGATGATGCTCAAATCTGGCTGTTCAGCTTCATTGTCTGTATTTGACTGCTGGAAGACTTCATCTACTCGATGGATACCAGCATTTGCGACCACATAAGAAATCCTGCCGGTTGGTGACAGTGAGACTGCCTCTTTGAAGAGCTGGACCTGGTCATCCCAGACGGCGGTGTTACATTGGATGAATTTTGTGCTTTTAGGAAATTTCCATCGTCAATTGAAACTTCCTTGCAATTAAACACAAGTTGGACATTACCCTGGTAGCTCCAATTCCAACTTCTGTCCCTTTTTGGTGTCGAGATCTCCGATGCATACCTTCACCCTGATATTTTGAGTCAGCCTTCGCAAATGTAACGCGCTGACATCACAGGCTATGATTCCATMCCCAGCCGCTATGAGAGCTCGGACGTAAGCTTCGCCTAAGCCATTGGCACCTGTGTAATGTTAGGAAGCGGACTATATCCTCCATTACCGTGTATCTGGATCGTTACCTCCGGTCACAATTGCGACTTTCCCCCGCAGAACGCTAGCATCAAATTCCTGGTCGCATCCCACTGGGCCAGTGTGAGTATAGGGTGGCATGTCGAGGGTTTGAGGTAAAGCTGGAATGTTGGCAAGATATGATGTGCTGTGTATTTGGAAACGAACAAATAAGCTAGGACTGGAGATTCTCCAGGATCCTGCGACTGCTCCCGGTGTACTTATAGTGGTGAGTGGGTGCAGCGAGATCTGGAATGGGGAGTGTAGCTACGAGGCGCTGACGGTGCAAAAAGGCTTGACAGAAGCAAACGGCAACAATACGCCGACACGAAACTCTTTGCTGCCTTCTCACAGGCGGCATAGCATCATCGTGCATCAACGGCTGAACGCCTAATGGATGTTGTTCCATGGTATGCTAGTCAGTGCAGCAATCAGTGGGAGAAGTTGCGTCGAGACTTGCGCTTGTAAATGGAAGTATATGACCACCCGGGCATTTCCATGACGAGTGAAGTGTGGACTCCCGACTGAGTCTTGCCTGTTTCGGGGACTTGGAATCGATTACCTTACTTACTATGTAGTTAACTGACTAACTAATCCATCTCGTCGTGAATTGACTATCGGTTCAATCGGACCCACGTGTAAGCAACTTGCAGAGTGCTCCACATGTTACATGTATGCATAGTACAATCCTGGGAGCCGATCCGCGCATAGCACCAGACGTCAATCAGTCTTGGTAGTGACCTCGGAGAAGCTGCCAGCTTTCAATTAGGTGCTCGCAATGTTGTCTTGTTTCGATTTCCCTGTATGAACGTTCTCACATATGTCAGCTTAGTGTCTTGGTACGACGACAACTCAATCGAACGCTATAGCCAAGAGGGTGACGGTGGCATTCCGTGCAAAGTCGCAATTTCGCAATTTGACGTCGATACTAATTTTTACAACATGTAGGTGACGTACCCAGAAGATGGCAGGCGCGACATGCTATCACCGGCTACCAAGTCATCATCTATATAAAGCAAACAATATCCATGATGGACTTATTCATTCCCTCCGTTTCTAGCCTTCTATTCCTCTAGATCCTCTAAAGCGCAGACTCGATTACCAGGAATCATCGGCCTCATGAGGATCATACGAGACACCGTTTCCACGCTCGGCGTTACTTCAATTGTGAACGCAGTCACTGCACAGAACCTATCGTTTGGAGCAGACAACTTCTACCGTAGCAATAAAGTCACACTTCAGCCAATAACGTTTCAGAACCAATATCAGATGACCATCGCGGCAACCTTTTCACCCCGGACAATCTTACTAGCAATGCAGCGCCAGCTATCGTTGTCGGACATCCCATGGGTGCAGTGAAAGAGCAGAGCGCGAATCTTTATGCCACGAAGTTAGCCGAGCAGGGCTTTGTTTCTCTCTCATTTGACCACCAGTTCTGGGATGGCAGCGATGGAGAGCCCCGTAATGCTGTTTCACCTGATCTTTACGCCGAGGGATTCAGCGCTGCAGTTGACTATCTGGGGAGGCAAGGCTTCGTCGATCGTGAGCGGATTGGAGCTGTTGGGATTTGTGGCAGTGGCGGCTTTCTAATAAGCGCAGCAAAGATTGATACGCGTTTGAAAGCCATCGCTACTGCAAGCATGTACAACATGGGAGCTCTCAACCGCGATGGCTTGCAACATTTGCAAGGTGTCCAGCAGCGCATGCATGTCATCGACCAAGCCTCACGACAGCGTTGGACTGAGCTGGATGGCGGGGAGGTCCAATACACTGCCGGCACCGCAAATACATACTCACCCAACCTGTCGCCAATCCAACGTGAGTTTTACGACTTCTACCGTACTTCACGTGGTGAGTACACTCCAGCGGGGACCACGGTAAACATCACCACACATCCAACATTCTCAAGCAACGTGAAGTTCATGAATTTCTATCCATTCAACGATATTGAAACGATATCTCCACGTCCACTGCTCTTCATATCTGGCGATATAGCGCATTCTCGCGAATGCAGCGCAGAGGCTTTTCAACGTGCAGCAGAACCAAAAGAGCTGATCTGGGTACCTGGAGCTGGCCACGTTGATCTTTATGATCGCGTTGACATGATACCTTTCGACAGGCTTATCCGTTTCTTCCAGACCAACCTTACCGCCAATCAGACAGCTATTCTATCTAGTCGCTAGGCTAGAAAAAGCCTGCTATCGATCTACTTCACCTCTTCAGTCGGCACTCTTTGCGTTATATCGACAATTTCGCGACAGAGTCTTGTCAAATTCAGCAGGACGTGGTATCGTCATGATGCCTATGCCCTATTTCGAATAAGCGGTCTAAGTCGGTGTCAGAACGGCTGAAGGGTTTTCAGGTCCGTTTCGCCTGCCGATAGCTTCTTGAAGATAACAAGAATATTAATTATCTAAGCAGAATTCTAGAGCATTTCATGGGGTATGGAACGTTTTCCCGTGGCTTTAGAAGCAATAAGAGTTAAAGTGGTAGTAAGATGCCACTGTATGTTGATTATTTTTTGTTGACTTTTTGCTGTTCCTCCCTCCTGTGTCTAGATAATGGTTTTATCTACGATGCGAGGAAGGCTAGCCTCCATATCAACTGGCAGGGTGGACGCTTGTAACCACTACTCTGTGAACGGGAACTGAATTTGGACTGTATAGTGATGTGATAGTCTATCTGGTCTTGGTACCCGTAGGACCTTACTCGAGGTATTCATTAGGCATATACAACGGCATGGAGTCCTCCCAGATGGTATTCGTAAGCAACTGCTTGTTAGAACCATCATAGTCCATAACCATGATCTGGCCATACGGTTGAAAGGTATTGTCAGAGAGGTGGCTCTCATCTTTGAAACCCCACATGCCAGTACTCCACAAGATGCGGCCATCGGCGGACCAAACGGCACTGTTTTATCGTTAGAAATGGCTACTATATCCGAGAGTTAGAAAGGGGTGTATGGGTAGGGACATACTGGGCATCGTTGGCCAAACTATCAGTGACCTGGGTGAGGTCAGTGCCGTCGGGGCGGATGGTGTAAATGTCGAACCGATCCGCGTACCAGCGAGCGCCGTACTCTGTAGTCCAGTTACCGTTACGCGTGAACACGATACGCTCGCCGTCAGGAGACCAGCCAGGTGTATTATCCCATCCCGTCGTCAACGCAGTAGTCTCACAAGTCGTAAAGTTGAAGATTTGCAAACCCTTCGGAGCACCGGATTCCATATCCCAGAGACGGTAGACCATAGCTGAACCATCAGGAGACCAGGACGGGAAGCCGGCGTTTTGGGTGTTGTCTTCACTAGTCAGATTCGTGAAGGATGTGCCGTTGGCATCGAATCTATAGATGGTGGCACCAGCCTCGGTACGAGTCAGAAACCAGGCACCAAATCCAACAAGCAACTCAGTGCCATCGGGGTTGAACGAAGGCTGGAAGGCGCCGGCTTGACCTTCCAATAGCCACAGAACCTCGGTCGAGTTGTCGAGCGAGTAAATATCGTACGAATCTAAGGCATCGACTAGATCCGTGTATTCAGGTGACGAAGTAACGACTGAGCCGTTCGCGCCACCCAGTACCTTCTCGGTGACGGCCATGCGATTGGAGACATTGTTGAATGTAGGGAATACATCCATGTAACGGTATTCCCAGTCTGCGTCGAAGCTGAAGAGCTCCGTTTCACCGGGGAACTGGGTGAAGTTGGGTAGCTCATACACAACCTTTGTGCCATCCGGAGACCAAGACGGGTTGCGTAGGGAGGTGAGGTTGAAAGCCTTGTGCTTGGAGTCTGGAGCGGTATAGGCAATGCCCTCGTCAGGAATGCCACCCTTGAGAACATAACCAATGTTCTTGGTCTGACCGATATAGTACTGGCTAACTTTGAGGTAGTCACCGGATGTTTCAGCAACAATATTCTTGCCGCTTGCGACATCGATACTGTATACCTGAGAACTCACAGCGGCCTGTTCTTCGCTCACACCGTGCGCATAGTATGTGTCTTCGGTGGAGATGTTGGTGTATGCAATACGGCTACCGTCAGAGGACCACACAGGCGAGCCGAGGGAGTATCCAGTCTGATTAACGAGCAGACGGAAATCCGTGCCATCGGGACGGATGAGATAGATACCTAGAGACTGTGTGTGCTCCCAGCCGGTACCGTTGCTGTGACCAGTCCAGTCCGTGTTACGGTCCGAGCTGAAAGCAATCCAGTGGCCGTCGGGAGAGAATGAGGGACGGAAGTGGCCGCTTGGGTAGATGTTACTACTGCGAGTGAGGGCAGTATCTGTGAGATTTGTCGCAACTCCAGTCTTCAAGTCTGTGACCCAGATGTTGGCCGTGTAGTTGCCGGCTGTCGAGACGTAGGCGACCAGGGTGCTGTCTGGTGAGAGCACGCCCACGTCCTCGACGGAGTCGGTCTGCACTAATTTTTGGAGATTTGAGCCATCTGGCTTGATGCGGTAGAGGTCAGATTGACCAAGAGCGCGACGTTCGCTGGTGAAGACAATCCACTGGTTGTCTGGGGACCATGAGGCGTGGTAGTCGAATGGATTGGTCTGGTTTGGCATCAATTCTTTGGCATCGCTGCCATCGGCGTTGGCAATGTAAAGCGTGGATCCGGAAGGTCCAATTCGGTTCACTATACAGTATTAACACATGATTAATCGGTTACTTCCCGTCGACACGGATATCGAACTCACTGTAGAAAATGCCCTTTTTGTCGGCAATAGCCTGGCGGTATGCGGGGGCGTATACGACGTCCCGTTTAGCGGCTTGTTTGGCGTAGGGACAACCCGCTGCTGGGGCTGCTGCACGCTCAGCATAGGGGCACCCGGCCGTTGCATGGCCGGCGACAAGGGCAAGCGTCAATGTCAACAACACCCGCATATTAACAATTTTGACTGCGAATACCTCTGAAAATGACTACTATGCCGTTTGAACAGGGACTGTCGATCCTTTATAAGTAGTTTATCTTCTTGGAGGTAACTACCTATCTCATCTTTAGTTCTTACATCTGCGATGATCGTCCAGTAGCTTCGGCCGGTGTCCTCGGCCGATGAAACAGACATCTCGAGCCATGACAGAGAAACCTATGGCAAACGTTAGATTGTTAATCATAGCCTCAATTGAATCACTGCTACGGTGATACCAGGGCTTGCGGAAGCCTCAGCCATCAAATGAGTGTTTGTGCTCAAGGCCGTTATACATCTAAGTTGCGACACCGTGCAAACATTGTTTTAAGGAGTTTCAACGAGTTTCAAGAAAGTTTGATAAGCTTAAAATAAAATGAATAATTGCTTAAACACTATTAGCAGAAGTTTGTTCCCTATTGATGGCCACATTTTGAGTGAATATGCTATACTTCCCTAAAATCTTCAAAGCCATATATCGCCTCGAAGGTTAGACAGCAGTTAGGATTACTGTAATGCTGCCACAATGGCTAATTTATTCCCTCGAGCCCAACTTCCACATTTGAGGAAGGTTGCAACCAAGCAATATGCCCACGTGTGAGCAATATGCCCACGTGTGAAGCTCGCGACATAGTTATATTAGGGCTTGCTTATCTCTGCTTACTCTATAGTGCAGTGGCGCGGAAACGCAATGCGGCTGCATTAACTAAAACATTCCATCATTGGTCTTGTCAAAGTAGTTCATGCCCTTCTAGCCGTATATTTAATCTATTCTCCAGTAATTATCCAGTTCTAAGTGTTGTGCTCGTCACTAATGCGGCCTTTTTATAACCAGACAGTCGTATGTTGGTACGCATCATTGAGGCGAATGCCAGGTTCAAGCCCCCTAGTGCACGTTGGTCACTCATATATGAAACCAAGCCGTCAATTAAAGGCTGAAGAATGCATAATTAATCGTTTCGACTATGTAATCATCGAGTTGCTGAATATGCTGGTTGTTAGTCGGCCGTGAGCTTCGGCCGGTCTACTCTCCCCGTTCGTTGTAATCCTGGTTTTGATGCCATCACAGTGGGTCGGTTTGATTTTGATGATCATTACTCGCCATTTACATGGGCTTGGTTGGATAGGGTATAGAATTGTAGAATTGATTGAATCAACCTTTTGCTTTGTTCCTGTAATGTGCTTCGGAGCTTATTTTAGACTCGCACTTGCGTATTCTATGCATACACTGCCTTGGAGATTACGTAGATTGTTCTCTAGGGAGCGTTTACAGAAGCCCGATAGATGTAAGATGACGAACTTCTTAGAATTTGATACCAAGTTTTAAGGTTCGTAATGTGGTAGCCTAGACGTTGGGAGCTGTGACTCTTGTCAAGCCCTAATCTTGACATCTACTGCAGTTACCTAATTCTACAAAGGCATCTAAAGCTCTACTCAAACACTCATATTAAATTGTACATAAAGGATGTTCATTCATTGTAACCCGGTCTATTCATCTCTCTTAGCATGTATCACCATCCACCATCCACTTCCAACCTCCACCATCTCGAGAAGAACAGCATAAACCGATCAAAACCAAGATGAAAGTAAGAAATCCAACGAAATCATACACGTACATGTCAAAAAGTCATTACTAACAAAAATTTCTCACACTAGACTAATGATACAATAGAAGAAGTAGAAAAAAGCCAAACCAACCAGAGCCCTAAGAGTCTTCCTTTCGATAACCGCAATGATTTCCTCATTTCTAACAGCAAGTTGATCTTTTCTCGCGTCGTGGGAAAAATTTGGAGAATACAATGAAATGAATATAAGCCCAAAAAACCGTCAAATCGAATAGATGTAAAGAATACGACAAGCAATAGTCCGGTAATTCGTGGGCATGGAAAAGATGAAAAACAATGTAGGAAATAGAAGAGATAACAGTGACAACCGGGGATACATGTAGCTCCGCATCTAGAAAAATCATAAATAGTAATTAAAGGCCAAGTCTGAAGAGGATCGATCTCAGAATCATCACTCGTCTATAGGATCGTTGTCGCCGTCAATCAGTCGCAGACGTTCCTTGGTCGTCTTTGCGCGCTTGGAAGGCCCCTTGGCAGTTTTACTGCGCTTCTTGCTCAACGCGGATGAAGGTGGAATGACTTCACCTGACACAGGCGTTGCGGCACCGGAAGGCTTCGCGCTAACATCATCGAAATGTCCTTCGCCTGGAATGAAGTCAGAAATTTGGCATCCATGTAGTGCGTAAATAATGTATTGCTTACCCTCGTGATACATATCATCCAATGTGAGATCCTTCTTCTTCTTCAATTGGGCCTTCTTTCCCTTCTTGGCAAGCGGATCATCTCCGCGCTCTAGCGCTTCTCGCTCTTTTTGTTCAATCAACTCGGCTTGGTCATCGTCTGCAAGCCACATTGCAATGTCCTTGGTGCGGTTCTCACGGTGACGAGTATTAAAGTCAACACCACCAGCAGCGCCACCTGAAATGACAACCCGTTGCACTTCTTCTTTCTGTAGAGCTCGCTTACGGATTCGCTCTTCGATTGTGCCGCGGGTGATGAGACGATAGACTGTGACTTGTCGTGTCTGACCCAGACGATGTGCTCTGTCCATGGCCTGTGAATCGATGGTGGGATTCCAGTCAGAGTCGTAGAAAATGACAGTATCTGCGGCGGTAAGATTGATACCAAGACCACCAGCACGGGTAGAAAGCAAGAACACAAATATCTCAGGACGATGTTGGAAGTCTGCAACTGTGTCACGTCGATCTTCAAGTTTAGTGCTTCCGTCAAGTCGGCAATATTTATAATTGCGGTACGTTAGGTACTCTTCCATCAGATCAATCATGCGGGTCATCTGGAAGTACAAGAGTACACGGTGACCGCCATTCTTGAGTTCGGCAAGGAGCTCATCCAATTTAGCCAGTTTTCCAGAGTCGGTGACAAACCGTCTCATAGATGGTATTTCAATCTTAGTGAAACGAGCCTTGGACGAAATCGGCTCAGGCAACAATGGAGCATGCGAGTAAGGCACAGGATCTAAGCCCTTCTCGACAATCTGCTCATCCAATTGCCGGCTATGCATGGCGTAGAGAGCTTGGCGTGCAGGCACATTGAAAAGCAAACTGTTTGTTTCCCTGATTGCTGCTTGACCGGAACAAGACATGGTTATTGGAGGCGAAGTGGCTGCAGGACGGGCTGCCGGCTCAATCAAGGCCAGTCCTCCATTATCAAATGCCTTTCGTGACACAGTCAGAAGTTCTCGCATATATCCATCCAGAGCTGAATTACAAAGATCAGAACGATCGTTGCGGTCGATCACATTAAATAGCGAGTGCGTAAGCATGGAATTAAGGTCATCGCCGTCCGACTTGTCGTAGGCCACATTAATTCGTGAGAGCCGGTTCGGCACGCCACGTCGACGAACCGCAAGTTCAAATCCTCCCAGACGTGACGTTTCGTAGGCTTCTTGTGGGGAGACATCGGCGAACCTCAAAAATGAAAACGCCTGATCTTCGGCCATGCTCTTTTTGATGTTTTCCGGCGACCATATATTCATGAGATGTGAAAGGTACTTGTTTTGGAAACCAGCCTTCGGATTCTTTGACCCGGGAATATCAATACGTCCCTCATCGGTGAAAAACAAGCGTGGGAGTTCATATTCGATGAAATTGCGCGTTGAGTAAAGCACTTCAACAAAATGACCTTCTCTCATGAATGATGCGGTCTCTGCAAAATGTCCCATAGAGAATGGAGAACGAGTATCTGCACGCTCGAACAAATCGGGATGGTTGCAAACTTTACGGAACTGCATCACGAGATTCATCAATGTAGTGCTATCAGCATCGTCACCAATAGCGGCCTTTTCAATCAAATCCATGATACTGACGCGATTGCGCAAGTTCGAATAGTAGGCTCGCTGACGGTAGGTGAGATCACAGAAAACATCCTTTTCGACCTTGTCACCCAACTCCTGCTGCACGTGCTTCTTGACACGACGGAGCATAAAAGGCTTGAGGATCATATGAAGACGCCGGAGTTGATCTTCGTTGAGTTTGGTGTTACTCTGCGCGTGAGACTCAATATCTTTGGAGAACCATTCGCTAAATTCGTCGTGAGAGTCAAACAATGTAGGCATGATGAAATGCAGCAAAGCCCAAAGTTCTTGCATGTTGTTCTGGATGGGGGTACCCGTGAGCAAGAGTCGGTTACGGCAAGAGAAACCTAACAAGTTTTTCCATCGTGAACTTTGTGATGACTTGATGGCCTGAGCTTCGTCAAGAATCATATACTGCCATTTGACTTTCTGGAAGTACTGAGCGTCCAAGACAACGAGTTGATAAGATGTTACAAGAACGTGAAACTCCGACTCCCTGGTGTATGTGAGATGCTTGCGGTCCCAGAACTTGCGCAGAATCTTACGATCCTTCGCATTACCCCAGTATGGTAGCACTTTGATGTTTGGAACGAATTTTGTGATTTCCTGCTGCCAATTGTGGAGCGTAGATGCAGGAGCAATAACCAAGAACGGGCCCCAGATGTTGTGAACCTCAGCAAGATATGCCATGACGGAGATCGACTGGATCGTTTTACCGAGACCCATCTCATCTGCCAAAATACCATTGATACCTTGCTCGTAAAGGTTGACAAGCCAGTTGAGACCTTTCAATTGATATTCTTTCAACTGAGCAGTAAGCATCTTGGGCTGCGAAATCTGGATGTCACCCAAACTGGTTGGATTTTGGAAGTTCATTTCCCCTTCATCGAGTGCAGCCATCGGGTTCTCCTCGTTATTGAAGGCTCGTGCACGAGCCTGGGCTTCTTCAACTGCATTCTGAGCATTGGCCATAGCAGCCCTGCGAAGTTCTGTTTCATCCTCTGCGTCAAAGTCGAGATCCTCGAATGCCGTAACCTTGGCCTTGGTGTCCGCTACACTATCAGGTAGATCAATAGTGTGAGCACCAGGCTTCCCTGGCTGCACCGTTTCTCCAGTCGTTTGTATAGAGGGGTCACCTGTGGCTTCTGCTTCATCAGTCTTGATTTTACGACCGATAAAGTGAGAGTACAGTTCGGTCTGAGAGATAAGAAAGTTGAGTTTTCGCTTCTGGCGATTGGCTTCGCGATCGGCCTCCGCTCTCTTGGCCAACTCCAATTCCTGCTTCTCTGCCATACGACGTAGATCTCGCTCCTCGCGCTCATTCCTCTTCCAAAAGGACATCATTTCACGCATGGTTCGCTTAGCACGGGCTTGTGTGTCCTTTGTGCTCTTGTTTGTACGTTCTTGCCATTTGCGAGACTGTTTGCTTGCTAATTGTGCAGTCTTGCGCAAATTCTCTTGACGTGTACTAAGCGACATGGTCTTGATTCGGTAAACCTTGGGGATGTCCTTTCGAGCAATATCGCGCCAAATTTGCTCGTATATCTGGTTGTAACCCTTAGTCTCGAAGGCATTAGCGGGGGTTGGCGTTGGCTCTTTCGATCGAGCACCCTTGGTATCTTTCTTGGAAACACTTGGGCGAAGTTCGTCTTTGGGTAGGATAGCTATCGGCTCGTCCCTCTCTGCAGCTAGATAAGCTTGCTCAGCTGCATCCTTTTCGGCTTGCTTCTTCTCTTTCGACTTCTTGGGGCGAGCCGAAGGAGTTGGGCGAGATGATTTCTTCTTCGAAGATGGTGACCTTTCTTTGCCAATGTGGAATGTGCTTGTAGTGCCACCTTCCATATTAGGAGCAAGAGGGGTGACCTCACTGATCTCTGCCGGTTGGTTGCCTCTTTCGAGAGCTCGTTTGACACCTTTAATCTTCTTCTGGGCTTTCTCGGCTTCCCGCAAAAGTTTCTCCTTTTCAATAGGATCGACTGTACGCTTGGCCCTACGTTCTGCCTCGAGCTTCTTGGCAGTCTCGATGCGTACGGTGTTCTCGCGACGACGCTTTCGTTGCATGTCCTTTTTGCGCTCTTTCTCATCCTGAACCTCCTTGCGTTGAACCTCAGCAACGACTTCACGCTCGTTCGCTCTACGGAAACGCTCGCCACCAGCCTCGGCGCCATTTGTAAAGTTGGCGCTCAGTTTTAAGAGAAATTCGTTACGGCGGCGCTATATGTAGTCAGTTGCGAATGTTTTCAAAATCACTGTGTTCGAGTCAGCGTACCTTCATCTTATGAGATTCTAGAATATCGGCCTCCATTGCTCGCTTCTTGCTCTTAGCAATGTAAAGCTTGAGCTCCGCCTCGAAGCCAGTTTCATCCTCAACGTCGCTTTTCTCGGCTCTGTCGATCTCTGCCACTTTTCGCTCGATGGCTTCGGCATCTTTCTGCGTCAAGCGTGGTGCTTTTACAACGCGCGCTTGAACGATAGGGGCAGGCTTTTCCTGGTTTTGCAAGCCATTTTCACGCGGAGGTAAGAGTATCTTTTCCTCCCGTTCCCGTTCGACAATAGCCGGTTGCTTTTCCTGGCTTGGTTTCTTCTCCAATCTAGGCAAAACTGGAGCAGGCTCTGCTTCTTTGGTGCGAATTATAGGCTGCGAAGGAGGGAGAGGAGGCGGCGGCGAAGCTCGTCGAGGCGGTGGTGTATCCTCGGTAGGCTCTGAGAGAATGCTGGCAAAGGACATGGGATCGGCAGTGCGTGTAGGTTTCTATATAGTCATTAGGATTTTATTCGACGTCGATGCGATACAGTAATGAAAACTTACGGTTTCCTTCGGCGAAGGTGGACGCATCACTGGAGAGTGAGCAAGGTATCTGCTAGACCCGTTCTCACGAGCAGACATGAATGAGGTGTCTGGTTCTTTCTTGGGAGATAATAATTGACTCTCAAGACGGCTCGGCGGATGAGAATGTGAAGCGGCTGGCTGCCCGTACGAAGAAGGGCGAGTATCAGACATGCCGTGGGTATGAATCCGTGGCAGGGAGTAACCAGAAGCTGCTGATCCTGGATGTTGTCCCGGATAAGAAGGAGATGTATCCGAATGAGGACCACCGTTCAAGGGAGGCAAGGTGTTGGCTAGCGGAGAGCTAGCATGAGGAAAATGCGGACTGCGGGAATAGGATGAGGTGTAGGGTTGAGGTGTCTCCGGAGGGTGTTGTTGGTATTGATCATTATTCGGATAATACGCGCGACTTTTTGGGGGTGAAGAAGAGTAGGAGTTGTAGGAGGATTGCTGGCCGGGTGGAGGAGATCGTAGGCTGTACGGTGGAGCCCCCGACATGATGCCAACCAGCGTCTCCCGCGACGCAAGACTCGACTGCTCGGAGAGAAAGTATTTGTGAGATCGAGCGTGGCGGGKGKGGKGTGGAATGGACTAATTTATCTCTAGCGACAGCTGCGAGCCATGGATTCTGTACCAAACCCGGCGAGTTAACGAATGAAACACCGCAGGAGTCAGATGAAAGAGCTTCCTAGATAAATCATATAACTAGGGCAAAGGTGGCGATAATACCTGATGCTTTTATGGAATCGGAAATGGACAAAGTGGATAAAAGGCGAAAGGAACACGTCTTCGCGGGTTGGCTTGAGTAATGTTGGTTGCGGTCAGAGCAAAGCCGACCGTTTCTCGCGACCCGACTTGCTGCCACTTGCTGGAGACAGACAGCGCCGCCGGGTCAGCGTGCGACGGATTTTGTATTGATAAATGATGGTATTTTTGTGATTTCAGCACGTCGTATATGGCTGATCTCGATGCAGAATGTCCGTGGTGCTCGGATTGGTCCTCCTCTTTGGCAGGGAGAGAAATAGCCAGACGGGGTCCGTGAGGTGAGGCTATTGTCGATAGTTAACGGAGGAGAAATGGAGTAAATCCCGGTGGTGGAGATAAAAGAGGATGAAGATGGACGATGAATGGGATGGGAATAGATAGGGGATGTAGTGAAGAGGGAGAGAGGGAAAGGGAAGAGAAAGACGTTGGGCGGGATTGACGATGGACGTGATCAATGATGAGCTTGGCTGCTCTTTTCCCTTTCCCTTCCCTTATTTTTCCTCCTTTGGCTGATTTGCTTTGGAGTTCTCGCCAGACGCCCTTCACCATCTCATTGTTCAGGTGTTGCTGGCCGCGTTGGTATTAGTATTACTGTTACCGCTGCGCCGCTTTCACGAGGGATAGCACAACAGGACTGCGTTCTGCCACTGTTACACTTACGGTACTAGCGTCCGTAACAGACCGGATACCATCCTTACGAACGTCATTGGCTCGATTTGCTTCCATTTTTGCTTCTTCGGCGCGAAATAGATTACACTTTAGCCAGCGTACAATACACCGAATAATACAGTAGCAAATTAGATGAACGCATCGCGATTCGAAAAAAACACAGGATGCATCCAGCTACACCGCGTCTGGTGGCGATAAATACCAAGTACGAAGTACATCAGATTACTGGAAAATCAACCTAAAGATCGCACATGATGACGACTTTTTTGCTCATGTGCTGGCTGAAAAGTGTTCAGATGCATACAGCCCTTTTCGGAAAGAGAGGCAAGCAAGTTCAAAAATCTCAGCTCTATATAAAGAAGTTGTCAACCATCAAGGTTGGACAGAATGAAGCCCTGATCATTTTTATAATAACAGACAGACGGATGCATAAAAGGTATAGCAAGAAGGAAGAAGGACGGAATAGGAAAAAGAAAACAAGACGTGAAGTAGAATCGTACACATAAACCTTTCATCAAACCGCCCCCGGCCCCTTATGATTTGATTGATCTAGGAGAAGCGTGGGCTTGATAAAGTCCTCGTCCAGCTGTCGGAACCATTCCGCGTGATCGCCCGTTGGGCCACCAGAGAATAATTCACGTAGCGCATTGCGAGCTGTTATCGGCTCACGATGTGTGCCAGTACTACTTTCCGTGGCGCGCCTGGCAGGGGAAGCGCTGGTGGATGCGGTTTGAGGTTGAGATGGTGAGCGACGCAAACGAGAGGTAGATGGTGCTGCCGGAGGAAGATCATCATCCGAAAGAGGGTCGACATCCAAGTCGAATTCATCTAGATGATCTGCGTCAATGGCCCCATGTTTTCCGCCAAGTCCGCCAGCGATGTCTTCATCGCTGCCAATGTCACTTCCGCTACGACTGCCAGTAACGACTCCCAAAAGTCCCTGTGTAGCGGACTGATCACGATCAACAGAGTTGAATTTCTTCGTCCTGCGCGCCGCACTCCTTGAACGGGATGGGGGACTCGGCCGACGGTTGTTGCCACTTGAATAGCTGTCTGTGGTAGGCACACCTGGACGATCACCGACATTATCCAGGGGAATGGTACGGTCAGTGACACGCGGTGTGTATCCTATGCCAGAGCTGTTTGCTCTCTTATAGTACGTTCCGCCGTGAGTAACCTCGATATCGAATTCATCGTCCGAGTCAACTTCTTCAACAACTCCGGTGCGGATCCCGAGTATGTCCAGCATTCGGGCGGTTGTACCTCCGAAAATTATAACTGTGAGGACGACGACGACCAAGACCGTCGCCCTCAATGCAGGTGCGTTGGGACCTGACATGCCAGCTGCCAGTGCAACACCGACCGCACCACGCAAGCCAGCCCAGAACAGCATTGCCTGGTACGAGAAGGGAAGTTCGTCGGCCACATCCTTTCCCCGTCGTCGGGCTCGGTAGCGAATGAACCAGTTAACTGCTTTGGATAGCGGGAAGACTGATAGATACCGCGCAAAGCAGATGCCCAGGACGGCGACTATGATAAAAAGTGGTTTGAATCGGAGTTCCGATTCAACGAGAAGGTCAAGGCCCAGATAAATGAAAATAAAGTTCTCGCTTAGTTGTGACATGACCTGGAAAAGGTATTTGGTGGTGAGCTGTGTCCTTCTGGACATGTTGTAATAAGCGTAATGTTTGAGCGTAATTCCACAGAACAGCAGAGACACAATTCCTATCTGACATTAGTAACATGGAATGGTAATTCTCGAGGAAAGCCGTACCAGAAAGATACACTCCGTTCGAAAAGAAGTAAGCGGCATATGCAATCAAAACAATGAGACAGCTCTCAATCTTCGGCAACCGGCGGACATGCGTGTACTTGAGGAGCAGCGCCGTCCCAATTCCAACACAAATACCGACAAGCATACTACCAAAGAAAACCAACAAGAAAAGTCCAATGGCTTCAAAGAGATTGAGCACAGTAAGTTTCGCCGCGTCATTGTCGGCGTACTTTTGCGCAGTCTCGAATAAGACAATAGCGACAGCATCGTTTAGGATCGACTCGCCAAAGATGACCGTGTATAGCTTGGGCTCGACTTTGTATAGGTTGAAAATCGCGAGGATCGTCACTGGATCGGTTGCGGAGAGGGTCGCGCCGACGGAGATGGCTTCGACAAGACTAATGTTCAAGCCATCCAAGGGAATTCGCGTCCATAGGTAGAGAATAAGGCCGAGCACCATAGCAGATATAAAAGTACCGGCAAAGGCGAAAGTCAAGATTGTGCCGATATTGCGAAAGAAGTTTGCCTGATGTAACTCATACCCCGAAGCCAGAATGATCGGCGGCAGAAGCAAGTTGAAAAAAAATTGGTAATCGAACGTGACGACATCTTGGATTGGCGACGAAGGTGTCAATCTTATAATCAAGCCGACGAACATGCCTAGTCCACGAAAACTAATTAATACAACATCTTAATTGGGTGTTGGGAGGCTACTCACCACCGAAGATAGACAACACCGTTTCGTGCACGGCCTGTATCTTCCTCTGTTGAAGAATATAGCTTGTGAAAAGCGCACCTATCAGGAGCATGATCAGAATGAATAAAGCCCAAGAGCTGAAAAACTCCTTCTTCTCTGGTTCCGGCGCATCTGTATTCCATGTCTTAGTGTTTGCTTTCAATCGACGCTTTGCGTAGTTCGAATCTATTTTTCATGAGTGAAGGGTTGGAGAACATACCATCTTCCGGATCTGTATCCTCTGCCGCCCTGCCTGTAGAACACTGTTAGCATCAATACCGCTTTTGAGATGCGGTATTCGCATTGACTGGAACAAAAACATACGTAAAAGCTCCCCCGCAAACTGAAAGGCATAGTTGGCCGCCATACTATCCTTCAAATATATAGTATTCGTTCGCACCTCGAATCAACGTCGCGCGGAGTTCGAGAGTGCAGCTGCCTGCCCCTGCAGCAGATATGTTGTTGAAGTGGTGATATCTAACGAATCAACGAGCTCCAGATGGAAGACGCCCGCACCGAGATGTTGTGTACATATCCCCAGGAGAGCGGCAATGCTGAGAGCTGTCCGAATGAAATCACGGTAGCAGAATAGAAAGACAAAACACAATATCCGATTATGCGACAACGGATGAACTGCAACTTAGCTTCAGGAATTGTTGATGCTGCAGTAACTGACTTAGATACCTGGCCGGACTGCTGGCGTAAAGCACATGCTGACTGTCCCGCTAGAGCCAATCAGGGAGCTGAACAGACCCACTCGTTGCCACCCTGATAAGGCTCACTGATTGGCTTGTTTAAGCCCTACGAGTTCGAAGAGGAACGGAGTGTACAGACTACGGAGTAAACAATCATAAAATTAAATAGTAGTATACAATCAACTAGAAGTAGAGCCCTTCTCTTCAAGCCTCCTAGCTAAGACAACAGCCACCAAAGCCGCACMCCCGCCGAACCGCATAACCCATCCAACACTATCATCCCAGGGCTCATCACGCGGCTTCTGCAACGCCTTGAAGATCAGACTGCTGATTATAGTAGAGAAAATCTGTGGAAAGGATATTGCGACGTTGTGTAAGCCAAGCACAATTCCGGCTTGGTCGGTGGATGATTCGTTATCGATTTGAGGGATAGTTGCTGTCGCCTCGATGTCTTGTTCTTCGTCATTCTCGTCCTCTTCATGATTCCTTGCGGTTTCCGAATTATGGATACTGTCAGAAACGGCTTCAAGTTCAGCTTGAAGTCGATTTAGTCGTCTTTCTGCGTCGCGCTGCGCCACTTCGGCGGATATCAACGCAAAAGGGGCCCATAGCGTGACGGCCCAGGAAATACCGACAAACCCAATCACAACTGTAGCTGCTTGCGAGGTGCTGATGAAAAATGTGCTGAACATACATACTGCTAGTAAAGCTAGCGAAAGCAGCCAAGTGCGTCGCAGAGTCAACCCGGGGATCTGGATTCTCTTCATAAAATCAAATCTCTTCTTGTCCTCATCCACCTCACCGCTTACAATGGAACCCCCTTCACGAGCCAAAAGGGGCTCAGATGCAATTTCACCTCGAAGCTCAGATATGGATCTTCTAATCTCCGCTTCCGCGGAGTCAACATCCTGCGCTACTGGCATGAAGTCGGCATTAGCTGCTGGGACCTGTATTCGTTTATACGACGGAATAATCAAAAGCGGCAAGACAATATTTGCCGTAAAGCACACAATCGCATTCACCAAAAGAGCAAAGGAACCAATGCGCGTAGCATCTTCCCATGCTTGATTGATTTCATCGTCCGTCAAGTCACGGTGTTTCTCGAAGATTGGGTTCACGTAGAGTTGTCCGATATAGGTTGTTGAATAGTATAGAAAAGGGAACCATGCAATCCAAGCTGCGAGTTGAACTTCACACACTTTCCGGATTTGAGGCGGTAAGTTGCGGATCGACTTCCAGACTCCCTTGAAGAATGAAATTAAGCCCATGCCCCCCGGGGGCGCTGGTCCGTCGAGGCGCGGGTCACGCTCTTTGATGGTAAGACAACTGACCAATAGTGTAACGCCGAGGGAGAAACTGGCGATCAAACACAGAACTTTGAATTGAGTGTTTCCAAATATAGGAAACACTTTTGGCAAGTCCATATACCCAAGAATATAGCCGATGATGTTGCCAGCGCCGGTCAGTCGACTTGCCCATGCATTAGCCGGCTCCTGTTGATGTGCTGGAGCACAGTCCACTATGAAAGCTCGAATAGCAGCCTGTACTATAAGCACCACCTCATCAGTACTGTACCACCCCGATGATGTTGGAAACATACCAGTATTAATAGCAAAATCCAAACAAAACATCATAATCGTCGCAAACACCAACGTCGTAACCTTCACACCGCTTGACTGCGCATCTGCACCGAATATGCCAAGCACACCAGCAGTAATCTCACGCACCCAAGCCAGGATCATTAAACAAAAGATCGTGGCCAGGCCACCGCCAATCATGAAGGGCTTCCTCTTGCCCCAGGGGATACGACAGTTGTCACTCAAGATACCAATGTAGGGTTGCACAAGTGTGCCTGTCAGGGGACCAGCGACCCAGACAATAGCCAGAAGGGCTTTGCTCATGCCTAGGGAGAGCAAGAATGGCTATATATGTCAGCTAAACATGAACAATTCACTAAGAGACCGTTCTAAACTTACGGAGCCATTGGAAAGTTCAACGGACCAGACTACTTGCAGTCTTCATATAATTAGTATGTATCTTCATTTCGAACAAGAAGATTACCCACTTACCCTCCTATACTCAAAGTAAGCAGAACAAGATACCAAGTACTCTTCGACTCCTGCTCAGCTAACTCATTCCGCCGCGCTTGAGCAAGCGCATCTGCATCTACATCTGCATTCGTCGCAGCGAGAGCAGCTTGACGCTGAAACTCGCCGCTCGATTTCGCCGGTGACATTACAAGCGGCGAGTTTTCGTCAGCATCGCTGAGATGATCCGACTCCGGCATCTTGATGACCGGATTGTGTTGGCGTCGATGATGACGATTTGATTGTCCCAGATGAATGTGTAAGAGCTATTCAAGAAAGATATTCAGACATGTTTGAGTTGACTGACAAATCCGTACGCCCAGAGAAGAAACTAAATCTTGTAAAAATGATATCTCATACTTCTATAGGTCAAGTATATGTTCAGCACCGTGGATACATTCTAGGCGGTCAGTTGACGTGACGTTGACAGTTGAGCTTCCACGTGACGCGCCCGGCAACCGCATACTAACTACATACGGCAACATGACTGGTCAGGCGCGTTATTGATCAAGCACTGGCAGTCTGGATGATCAGTGTTTTGTTCTTTTAGTCGTTCAACAGGAAAAATTTGAATATTTAAGCTTGTTACTATAAAACTCGCAAGCTTACACGCGCTACAGACATACATACAAAATTCATGTACATGAACAGATCAGTTTCGCCAAACAACCATAGCCAGCAACCAAGACAGGTTCTAAATGTAGACAGAAAGGAAATCATATCACGGAAATTATAGTCAATAAGAAGAATACGCATTGCCAACGCAAAGCTGCCAAATATTGCTCTTGGCAAAACTTGAAACATAGACCGCCGAGGTCACAGGAATCAGAGTTGTTCTATACTTAAAATCCACCTCAGCTATTTATATCTGCTGCTGCAGATACTGAGGGGATATCAGATGCGGGGCTACCATTGTTGACATGGAGGCTTGCATTGACATGGTGGCAGCCGCCGACATGGGGGTCATGGTGGACATGCTAACGACGCTTGGGTGGACGAAACTGTGAGAATCCGAGCCTGGTGACTCTTCTTCGAGCGAACCAAACTCTTTTTCTTCGTTCTCCAAGTAATCATCACTCAGGGATTGCTGCGAGTTGTGGCCATCCTGCTGAGTCTCATGGGTCCGACGATGTCTATAAATAAGTCGATTAGCCTTGCAGATCTTCACGGACACTTTTTTGGTAAGGCAAGAACTTACTGGGCAAGGTTGTCTGAGCGGGAGAAGGCCTTGTTGCAGTATGGACAAGGGTAGGGCCTTTCCTGTGTATGGGTCCTCACGTGCCTAAGTTGCAAATCAGAAATTAGTCCCGGCGGTTATTCAAGATGACATGGCCAATCAAGTGACAGAAACACAATCTTGTATAAAAATAGAAAATGAATCCAAGGGAAGAAACGGAATAATCCGTAAGAAATAAACGTACCGTTTCAGATGTTCTAATCTCTTGAAGAGGCGTCCACAAGAAGGAATAGGGCAGGAGTGTGACTTTTGCGGATATGGCCCTAGCTCCATCATTGTGGCACTCCTGGCACGACGCACAGGGCCGGGACGTTCAGACCGGCCCAATAAACTGTGAGGCACAGAAAGATCGAGAGAATCATGATTTCCAAGACCAGCTAGCTCGTCTTGCTGCTGTTGCATCATGGTGTGAGAGTGCTCAACACCTTCTTCCAGGCTAGGAAGTGGGGTGCCAGTACGTGAAACTTCATGAAGCATGTTTTTCTGCGATGCAACGTTTGACGTATAATCGTTTTGCAACGATCCGGAAACAGATTGGTCATTTGAGTCTGGGATTTCTGTGACAGGACCTACAGAATTTGAAACAGAACGGCGCAGGTCACTTGGCCTGTATGCAGCGTAGCTGGTAGGTTGTGTTTGCACACCTGACGCCTGTGCTGCAGCAATGGCGTTGGTGATCCCAGGTGGGATCGAGGAGCGACGCCGGCGTTGCTTGTAGGTAGGCGATCCTTCTATCACGGAGAAAACATTTCCTTGGAAATGACGAGAGGTCGCGCCAAGCGGATTTGAAAAGTTTGAAGGCGGCAATTGCATCATAGGGTGGTATGCTGCTGCACCGACATCTGGGATAGCTGTGTAGAGACCAGTCTCTTCGTTGGCAATGTATGCAGGCTCGGCACCTAGCATAGGCTGCTGAGGAGGCGTGATTGGTTCAAATGAGATACCTCGGTTGCTGTAATCTTCAAATTGGGATGAAACAAATGATGGAGCAGGCGAATATTCCATGTAGGATGGCATAGACGTATGGCGTTGGTGCAAGCGATTGATTGGAATGCTGGTGCTTCGTTCATACTGAATCTGGGCGTAGTCGTTCTCCCTCTTCATTGACATCGGGACCTGGTTGTACAGAACTGAACTGCCAGTGTCCTCCGGGAGCATCGTCATCGCGGATGGGGCCATCTGCGGTGGAGGCATAACGTCAACGGACCGAACGATGGGAGAGTTGGGCTGGCCAAATGTCGTACTTGCGTGAGCAGAAAAGGATGAAGAATTGGCTTGTTGCGCCTTGGTGAGCTGCTCATACAGCGATTGGGAGGAGTCAAACTCAAAGGAGAGAGCTGGCTCTGCCACAGCCACTGTAGTAGCTTCCTGACCCATTTTCTCCCTTTTTAAGTCGCGCTCCAAGGCATCCAGGAACAGACGGTCATGTGGAACGCTGTACCAGTAGAAAACCTTTTGCTTCTTTTGTGTGCGGATGCAATTGTTCTTGTATAGAAAGTCGAGAAATGGGCTCTTGGGCTCCTCGAGCGAAGCATCAGTGCCTGATTTCAGGTTGCGCAAATCAGAGAAAATTCCCTCTTCAAACTTCTTCGAATTTTTGACGGGGCGTCCGAAAGCCTGGAAGCGGAAGGATAGACATCGCACAATATCAGTTCCAGAGATATGGAAGAGGTTGTTCCTAATACAAGTCAATACTGTTTCATTGATGCTTGTACACATTCAAACCACCCACCATAGCACGCAAGAAATATAATCACCCGTGGGCAGGAGGAAGCGCCGAATGAGTTGATCCGGACTCCAGTCGACGGGTGCTGATATCAAGAAGTATTTGACTTTGAATCTGTTAGCAACACGATCTGCGAACACAGACAATACACTCACGATTATCCACTTGCTGCAGCGCGACCTGAGCATCTTGGGGCAGACTTTGTTGCGCTTCACTGGACAACATGAAGGTCTCGGGCTTCTGAGGGGGCGCCATCACGGCACCATGTTGAGGGTACATTTCCTGCACATCAGAGAAAAACTGTTCAGTCCAGATCATTTTCGCGCATCATCGTCGCACAACGATGCTCAAGAACAAAGACGTCGCAGTGCGCAGAGTCAAGCAACTGACAGGGTGAGTAGTATCATACCTTGTCTTGATGTTTTGAGCGTCGCTGAGATCGCTCGAGTTTTGTATAAACGTTGTAGATATAGTGGAAGACGTCTCTTCCCAGCCGAAACGTGCTGAATCAAACAATGGAACAGGATGAATAAAAAGAAAATACAAGTTTCCTGCAGCCGATGTGTTTTGGAAATTAGAAAAGACGGTTATAACGGGCCTCGTGGCTTGCAGAGACGGATCGAATGACAACCAGGTCCGCAAAGTGATTGATTATACAAGAGCAAGGCGACAAGGGCGAAGTGTAATGAACATCGGTCAGTCTTTCTTTCTAGTCGCGTTGGTGATTGTTTCTGTTTTGGTACTTTTTGTGTATCGTTTGAATATGACGAGAATAAGGTGCTGAGAGGAGCCAGCCTCTGCGATAATGCGATCGAATAAACGGGTGAATGAGAATGATGTATAATAGATCACCTCTTGCAAATCGAGCAAGACCAAGATACGATGGTAGATTGCGGGCCAGCCCGACAGTGTGTTTGAGGGTCTCCGACTCTCACAAAGTGTGTGTTGTGTGCGTGTGTGGGAGGATGCGGGAAGGATGCTTCAAAGAGAAGGCAACCTTGGGCGGATGAATAAACGAGGGGATTGAGAATAAAAAGAAAGCGAAGAAAGCCAATAATGGCGACAACAACGACGACAAGAAGACGCAGCGGGTGGTGGGATGAAGAAAGAGAGGGAAGGATGGCGAGGCGGGAAGAAGTAGAAGAGGACGTTGTTTATTTTAGGCTGGCTGGGCTCCTGGGCGGGAAGAGCAGCAGATCAGAAGAAGTCTGGCTCTTCTTTGAGCCAAGAAAGAAAGGGAAGGCACGCTAGGAAGGGAAAGGGAAGGGAAAGGGAAGGAGTGGGGGGAGGACAGCCGGCAGGTGCAGGGGCGGCCCAAGCGGCAACTGGTTTGTTCTTAACAGAGGCTTCTGTACATACTATGTAGTAGTATGTTTACTCTAAGTATCTATTGACTACTACGCAGTTATTGTTGACTATTGATTATCATACTTATAATATACATTATAGTGCTACGAATCTATGCTTTTAGTACTGCTAATAGTACTGCTAAATTTTGAGTCGGGATAGAGGCATCTCGCAATGAATCTTACCATGAGAATACAGAATGCTGGTGAAAGATTTAGAAAAGATCGATCGTGGTGGGACATATTACTCATGCCCAGCCAAGCCAACCAACTAACGACGATGTACTTGACTAATAGTAGCAGTCTGGTCTGGAAATGCAAGCATGGGCCACGATGGAATACTAGGAAACGAGAAGTGTACTATTACGATGGAGTACGGGTAAGTTGATGTGCCTGGTGGGCAGGAAGGTACGTACTTCCCGGATAGGGAACCACGGCGCTTCGGAGGGCCCCCACTGCAGAGCCTAGAAAGGTGGAGTCATTGGCTGCTCACTTACAGACCGTTACAGTATGTGGTCCGATACCGTCTGGATACCGACCCAGTACGCCAATCACGGTGTGATCTGTGTACTGCGCTGTATGACTGGCCATGAGGTACCGTTTCGATGCGCGCAAAATGTATATATAGAAAGAGCGCTCTGCCATCTCATCACATCCGGCCATGGATCAATCTGGTCCTGCCATCCAATCTTATTTCTCCCGCCCGTTATACAGTGTATCTTGCGTCGAAGATCCTCTCGGTTAAAACCGTTGCCCTGATAGACTGATAGGACTGTTGGTTGAACGTTGGCAGGATTAATGCTGATTCTATAGCTGGTCCGTGACTGCCAGTCCACCGTACGGAGCCGAAATCTTTTCTACTACGTAGTAATAGTGCACCGTCGATACGTAGCTAGATTGAGCATTGAGCTTGGCAGTGAGCTATCGAAAACCGATCCATCAACGTTCAAGACTTGTCCGATTCTGTATGATTCGCCGAGAGAAGACCCATTTGGTCTTCTAGATTGATCAAGTATGGGCTATCAGAGCCGAAAGGCAAAAAGCGTATCCATCCGAGCAGGGATCATTTTAGATCTATGATGGAAGGAAGTCTCCGTAGCGCCACAGTTAGTAACTTGGAACTCGATTTAGGACCCATGAGATGTGTCGCAGATACGGGAATATGCGAACATGGCTATGAACACAATCAATTTTGCGCAAGCAAGGGATCGGGACCATGGATAGCCAGAGCACAGAGTCGAGAAGAGGAATGCAGAGTAAATGAACAGAACAGAACAGCCCCCCGGAAAATTACGGTAACACCATCAGTAAAACTGTAAAACAGAACGAAGCAGAGTGGGGCCACGCTGCTGACACCAAGATCCAGGGGCCTCGTGGAAGCGCAGTGATTGGGCCAGGGTATCCTCAAACTAGCGCGGGTCAACAATCTGAATCACCCGCCTTCTGTTTCAGAATGCACTAGCTTTACTAGCCCCGGATTGGACATCTGAGACAACCGAACAACTGCGACCTCTCAATTTTGAAGTCCTCCGTAGGTATGGACAGAATTGTGTTCTCGAGATGCATAGTACATACTACATACAGAAGCCAAGTCTGCATACTGCATACCTCGGTCACGACCCCTCTCGACTTCATCCACGCTGACACAGTGACTGCAGAAGTCATCCTGATGACCATCAACACACAAACAAATAGTTGAAGACAAGTCAGAAAGAAAACAGCCGCAGGCTTAGAGACACCCGACTCGATTGTCCCACAACCAAACTCAAAGATCGCGTCACTCCAAAGTTCTACGATGTACTCCGTAAGAGCAATCGAGCGAGAATTCGTTAGTACTTGCCCCTTCTGGAAATACGACCTTGTCTCGTGCGAAGATGCCGCTATTTTCAGGCATTCAGGCCACCACGTCATCATTCAAATCACATAGTCTTTATTATTCTCCGATATACTTCCGGACACATCGACTCCGTAGTCGTTTTCTTCAATCTGACTAGAGCACACGCTAAAGAATGACATTGTTGATCAAACACTTTGCCAACAAACTCTGGATGCATGCTCCATACAAACTAGTACTACATGCAAGTCACTTGTCATGCACGTAGTCTCGTGAGGAATGTCAGGAACAGTCCTGATCTGCTAAACTCTCGAGCAAACACCGACACAATTAAAAACATGCTCTGTACTCAGCATAGCTCGATAAGATGACGTTAGTGTTCCTCTTTCTGAAACCAGAGGGAATACGGGGTAGCCTGAAAAACGAGGTGTGCAAATCTAATCAGAGCTAGGGTTTCGGAAGTTCAGGTCCCATTCATAGCCTCACTACTACCACCAGACTACTAGGTACTAGCCAGTAATTGAAGTCTGTCCATTCTCGTGGCTACGTCTTAGCTAACCGACAGAAAACCCCGAATGAAGATAGTCTTGACTCTCGCCTCTCAACTGCCCACTGCCCACGAAGCTATTAGCAAGTGCTTACTGTGGATTTCAAGTCGATCACAACTAGTAAAAGTATCTACTCCTTATTCGAAACATTTCGCGGCTTCTATCAGCTTCGAGCCCTCGACTAAGTTATCTACTGCAAACCTACTTGAGTGTGGCTTGAGACAGGATCGGGGATATGATTGGCAGGTCCCTGGTACCTGCTTTCTCATAGACTCATATGGATGCAGACAGTGCGGAGTCGAAGCACGAAACCTTCTCCGTCAAAAGCCTCGATACTTTTTCATTCCTAATCGGGTAGCTTATACCTTGCACTAAATCAGAACAGAACAAAACGGTGGCAGGCCATCAGTCTTCTCCTTCAGAAAGTGACGGAAAAAAAAAAAGGCCCATGCTTAGCTTCCAAACCCCGGAGAAACGCTTCAAAATGTCTCAAGTTTGTTCAATTGAGCGTTTCAGTTTTCAGTTTCTATGATTTTATCAACTAATACCAAGTCACTGAACTACTAGACTTCGAGAAAAACTTTGTCTCCTGGGTTCTGTTCAACTTTTCTTCAGTCTTCAGCTACGTCCCAGCCTTCATACTATCAGGCCCATCACAATTTACCGAGTCAATGGACCTGGAACTGGCCAAAACGTTTTCTCTTTCTCACCTCACTGAACATTTCTCAATGCAATGGGTCCAACGGTGGTCTCCTCCTGCTTCCTATCGAAAAAACTAGTAGTACTTAGACACGCCATACAGCACACTGCTTAAATGAATGTAGCATTTAGTCCCTCACTGATATAGGCCCCATTGACCAATTAACAACACTGCTTCGATTCACGGAATGTTCCGCCGGACTTATCTGATAACATGCTAGTGCATGAATTTTCGCATTGATAGTACGTAAACGTGAGTAACTATTGAGTTCACGGGGACAGGGTTTGTTGCCATGTTCTACAGATTCTGAAACGGGTCTAGGAATTTTAGGGGACTGTTGTGCCTGTTTGATGTGTCGATAGCAATGATGCCGGTACATGCTATTGGTTCGAGGCTATGTAGAGAGGGTATGTAATCCATTAGAAGGACATGGGTAGAGCAGGGATCAGAGGATCAGAGAGCGGGACAAAGGTCTCGAGTCTTAAGATCTAGCATTTATAGGCCTGGAAGTGGTTAGATGACTGCTGTCAAAATTCCCTCTTTTTTCATTTCTGGTCTGAGCTGCGAGTTCTAGCCCTTGGGGTCTTGTGTGAAGGGATTTGATCCCGGACATTGACCTTTGACAGGGCCCATCATTGCTAATACATGGTAGTTATGTTCTACATGCATGGAACGCATACGGTTCGTGATAGTGCAGTCATCGTAATGCAATGATCCAAAAGTAAATGAACGAGAGTTCTCCTGACTCGATCAACCTTCGCTTTCCGGTCGTGTCATAAAATCAATGCTAAGTATAACGGCCACGACCCTTTGCAGTCCCGCGCATGCGCTCTCGTCAATAGTTCGGCCACTCCGCTGGTGCTACGACTCTGTCAGCTCTTGTAAAGTGTATCGAGCGACTAAGAGCCATGGCGAACTTGTAGTAGTCCCACAAACCGGATTTCCGGTAAATTATCTGTGGAGTTTGGACGGCAAATGCTAAATGCCTAATTGTTTGTGTACTGGCTTGGAACGTGGCGAGCAGGATTAATCGGTCCGCCCCAGTTGATGAAGAGAATTTGCGCTGTAGCAAGATGTTTCTGTGGCGTAGGCAATTCGTATCATGCATATGAATGCATTGCATAGTCTAGTTAAGACATGATTGATCTCATCGACGACCTCTCTTGGACCCCTTCCCGCCCCTCGCGCCTTTCCCACCTTTTCTAGAAGGTCCCTGAATGCTCGCCAAGTCATGTTTACTCAATTTCAGCGTTCCTCCGGAGAATTTTCCGACGGCCGGAGCTCCCACTCCTCTCTCCCTGCGCTTCGTACTACTCTTCTGCTGTTTGAAGACAGGTTTCTCAAGGATTATACCATTCTCGCGAGCTTCGCGGCGGCGTGTTGTCTCTGTCTTGATAGCCTTGAATTGGATTCCCTCGCGATGCGATTTGGGCATTCTGTTTTGCTCGTATATGGATTTCTTGGCTCCGAGTGCTTGCAGTCGCAGGTCCAAAGCTTTGTGTCTGTTTTTGCCTGTTGGATTTAGGTCTGAGGAGCTCGAGTCGAGGAGATGTGATTCTTTAAGTAGACGTTGTAGTGCAAGATCGTTTTGTAGATTCTGTGTTTCGTTGTCGGCTGCCTCGCCTTTGGGTTTGTTTTCTGGCTTACTAGCGATGGTTGATGACTCTGTAGATGCTAGGATTTTGGCAGACTGTATACAATAACTGGTTAGTAATTCATATCTCATGACTGCAGCCAGACAAAAACATACCAGGAGAGCTTTCCGTGTCTGCTTATCTAACATCACGTCCTCTTTGCGCGCATCTACATGCTCAACAACCATCACCTCTTCTTCCTCATTCTCACTTCCATCGTCCGAAAAACCTCCAAAATCTTCGACCGACTCGTCTTCCTCGTCGTCCTCGTCGGAGATGTGACTCGTTGTCGTGGAATTCGTGGGTATGTCTAACGGCTGGAATCGGCTCTCGAAAAACTTTCGTAAGAGATCGTTTGAATCATCTGCTTGTGCTTCCGTATTCGGAGTTTTTGGCTCCGTAGAGAATTTTGAAATCTTCCTTCTTTTCACTACCGCGTCCCTCATACTGTCTGTACGGTCACTGAATCCCCACTGGGTTTTATGATATTAGTCGTCAAGCTTCGAAGGGCGATTAAAGAAAAAACACAAAATAAGATCACGTGCGATAAGATAAGAACGAGCAAATCGGATGGCGGGGCCGCCGCATTTCCAGCATCGAAAACGATCAAGAAACTTATTTTCAAACTCTCTCAATTGAACAGTCTCAATAAGCGCAGAGGGACCTAAAATGACAAAATTCCGTCCGTGTATCGATCTTCACTCCGGTCAGGTGAAGCAAATAGTAGGCGGCACCTTGACCACAGTGGATAGCGAGTTGAAGACAAACTATATATCCAAGCTGCCGGCGAGTTATTATGCAGATTTATACAAACAACACGACCTTCGCGGCGGCCATGTTGTGATGCTCGGCCCGGGGAATACAGATGCTGCAAAGGATGCATTAAAGGCGTGGCCTGGTGGGTTACAGGTTGCTGGGGGTATTACAGACCAGAACGCATCGTTTTGGATCGAGCAGGGGGCTGAGAAGGTGAGATATACTCTGACAGCTATGCATATGTTTATTCGCAAAAAATCTGTATTATATCGAAGGATTGAGAATTACTGACAAGGCAAAGGTCATAATCACATCCTTCCTCTTCCCAGAAGGCAAATTCTCCCTCGACAGACTCAAGTCTGTCCTCTCATCATTAAAAAACGACACCTCAAAATTGGTCCTTGACCTGAGCTGTCGAAGAAAAGGAAACACATGGTTTGTCGCCATGAATCGGTGGCAGACCATCACAGAAATGGAAATAACGCAAGGTAAGCCAGCCCTTCCTCATACCGCCATTTTCAGATTAAGACAGGCACTGACCGTGCGCAATAGAGTCGATATTGATGCTAGAACCATATTGCTCTGAATTTTTGATTCATGCCGCTGATGTGGAAGGATTGCAGCAAGGTGTCGATGAAGAATTGGTCTCGAGACTTGCTGAATGGTGCTCGATACCGGTTACGTATGCCGGTGGAGCGAGACATTTGCAGGATCTCGAAAAGGTGCATGTGAGCAGTGGTGGCAAAGTAGATCTTACGATTGGCAGTGCTTTGGATATTTTTGGGGGTTCGGGTGTGACGTTTGATCAGTGTATAAAATGGAATACAAGTCATTAATTTAGGTAAATGATGTATGGCGGAGTATGAGACATCTGGTGATAAATTTAAGAGAAGCATCATCAGGTTCTTCAGGGAGAGAACCACTGCGTACTTATTTGACTGATTAATTGCTGAAACATCTTCAAAAGTGTGAGAGAATCAATCCAAGATTGTACTCCTTGAAAAGAACGACTCATATGCAGTCCTATCCTCCTAAAGTCGTCCCCTCATTAGCAGGTTACGACAGATTCACCGAACCTGGAGCTAAATGTATGAATTCGAAAGAAGCGAATAATGGCCTTCTACCGTAGCAACGTAAATGACAGTGCAGGATCGACATATACAAATAGAACATATGCATAAACCTAGGTAAATCAAATCGCCAATCACACCCAACGCCAAAGCAAGCAGAACGGATGCAAAGCCATAAAAATGTTAACTCTCAGTCCTAGATCTGACTTACTTCATTCAAAAGCAATCCCACCATAAACATAAATCACTGTCATATAGATGGTATCTATCGAACAAGGCAGTCTAGTTCAACGAAATAGCCCCCCTCCGATTCGCTCGCACGTGTAGATATGCCTGAAAACCGCAGAATACGAAGAAACCCTGTAATCGAAGCAATAAAGATCAGATGGAAGCTCAAGAAGACTGTATGGAGAAGCTTGAACGTACAGCATAAACGATCACGGCAGTGAAAATTGAGCCAGCTACCACCGTGCCATCTTCCGGAGTCCCTTCTGATCCGGTGAATGCGGGATGATTTGCCTGTATTTGTGTCAGCATCGTAGCCAGAGAAAGTCTAATAATAACCGATTGAGTAGCTATTGGAGTGGAAGACGAACATTGTATAGCGATCCGAGAATTGATAGAATGATAACGGCAAAGAAGGAGATGACGACGCTATTTCTCACGAGTTCATGCATTAGTAATTGACCCAGACCTTTCTTTCAAGATATTCCAGTTCTTACCAGCTCCAGGCGTTCATGGCAGAGAAAATCGGCTTCATGGTGATAGATATGCTTGAGCCTAGAGCTCCGATGAATGAAAGAAAGTGGTACGGATAAACAAATGAGCGGCCTGGTTCGGTGTATGTGTGTAAAATCGATAAGCCCGAGGTAGTTCTAGCGAAGGCTTCTGAATATGGCTCTGTATAGCGACAATAGGTGAGTCCGATGGATGAGCGAGTGGTTCAATGTTGATTGCGATTGTCAAGTCGCCGGTTTGAGGTTGGTCGATAGCGGCGGCTGGCGGCAGAAATTGGCAGAACATACTAAGCTAATTGAGCGTGGAATCTGATTGGTGCATCAAACTTATATACAACAGGTTTGAATGTATCATTTATTCATTTCTCATAGAGAGCAACTTTTGATAGTCATATCTAATATCGTAAACATTGTTTTCGTCCATGGATAAGCCATGTCGATCATAAAGACAAAACACCCAGAATGCCCCAGTAAGCGCCGTGAAATGCGGTTGCGTCAGAAGTTGGTATACACTAAGTCCCGACAGAGGTGTCTACTCCTCGTCGTCCAACATCTTCGACATATAGGGACCATCAAGTGTGTATCCCAGACGTGCGTAGTAGCTTCGGACACCAACGCCGGAAATGACGCTAATCTTCTTACTGCCATGCTCCTCCCTAGCGATGCGCTCGGCCTCCTCCATTAATAGGGTACCGAATCCGCGATGCTGGAACTTGCGAGCGTCTCGACCGTGCAGTGGCACGGCAGATCCATAAACGTGCAGTTCTCGCACGAGACTAGTCTGTTGTCCCGTGAGCTCAGGACGGAATGTGTGAGTAGCACTGCATTTACGCAAGCGCAAAAGACCGATCAAAATATCCTGCTTAGGATCCTCATAGGCCAAGAATGTCTCCCACCCGCCATTTGCGGTGTAGTCTCGTCTGACGAGTTCAATTTGAGAGGGTCTGATCTTATTCTTGACTTCGTTGATACCGACTTCTCGCGTTCGCACGTCCCGACATGTCGTTCCGAAGTCTTTCATTCGGCCTAATGCCAGCTCACGAAGGTTTCCATTCTCAACACCGGAGGTAACCAATGGCATAGGAATATCACGTTGTACTCGATAGATACGAGTCCATGGAGGCACCAACGCCAGAATTCGAGCTACTATGTCGATAAGTGCGTTTGGTGTATAGTTCTTGTAACGTCCTGTTCTCCACAATTCATACAGACCGGTTCCTCGAATAACAAGGGTAGGATAGATCTTCAAACCGTCCGTACGGAAGGCTGGGTTCTCAAAGTACTCGACAAATTGATCAAGATCTCGTTCCATGCCAACATTTGGCAAGTCAGGCATCATGTGACTGACCACCTTGAAGCCAGCATCTTTGGCAAGCTTAAAAGTTTCTGCAACAGCAGCAACGGTGTGACCTCTATTGGTATCTCGAGCAACGTCCTCATATAAACTCTGAACTCCAATTTCCAGTCTAGTGCATCCATATCGCAACATACTGCTCAAATGTTGATCCAAACAGTAATCAGGGCGAGTTTCGATTGTGATACCAACGCATTTGATATTGCTCATTTCTCCTGCTTGCACAGCCTCATCAACGTTATCGGTCTGATAACCACTGAGCGCATTGTGAAGCTGCGATATGAAAGAGTCACGGTAGTCCTCCGGTAGTGACATAAACGTGCCACCCATGATAATATATTCAACTTTGTCAACACTGTGTCCAAGAGACTTCAACTGGTCCACTCGCCCTCGTGCCTGCTCGAAAGGATCGTATCGGGCTCGGATAGCTCTCATGGAGGTTGGCTCGTAGCCAGTGTATGACTGAGTGGAATATTCAAAATCAGAGTCGGGGCCCCCGGGGCAGTAGACGCAGATATTTCCAGTATACGCGATGTGCGGACAGCGATGCGGCTTGCACATCACGGCAACAACTGCAATACCAGACGAGGTACCTGTTCCGCGTTAGCATGCTTATAATCGATTCAAGGGTAATAGGTCGTCATACGAATGGGCTTCGCAATCAATTTTGGGAGTATATATTTCTTATAATGCTCAGGAACGGCAGCAATGATTGCGGTCAAAGGTGGTTGTGCGGCCAGCGAATGCTTTTTGGCTATTTGACCCCGCAGCTTGTTGAGATTGATGTCTTTCTTGGGCTTCATCGGGTCTCGACTGGCCTCATACTCCTGGATGAGAACGTTCGCAACGTCAGAGCAGGCGCGTAGGAACCGCTCATTTTCCGGGAGCAGTTTGCTCCTCTTTGCCAGGGTCTCTGGCTTCACCATCGTCATTGTGGCGGTCGCCATGATGAAGATATTCGCGTGCGCAATATTCGGTGGATGCGGAAGGAGAGCGATTTTGTGACAAAGATAAAAAGTATTGTAAATGAGAGGAAGAAATGTCAAAGCACAATCCGTATGTAGATAGGTGGTTGTCGCAAAGACTGTGATAATTCGATATGTACAATCGATAGTTATTATGGTTGATAAAAATTGACCAGGCGGGACCGATCAAACCAAATCGTCCAACGGCATCGGGAGCCACCGCTTGAGCTCGGAAGACGGTTAACAGAACTGGCCTTGGCGGTTCCGAAGCGCGAAAAGTACAACTCCCAGCAAGCCGTGATACTCCCTGCTCCAACCTGCTTCTCCTCAAAGACCACCCTCCACTCTTTGCTTTCGTTTATTTTTCTTTCCTCAGATTCCCTTCAATCGCAGCCATGCAGGCTTTCCGTCGCAATACCCTTTCTGCTCTGCAGAATGCTACCAAGCAGCGCCGATCTTACATTGGTGCCAGCTCAGCATACTCGTCGACAATCGGCAACCTTCGCATAAACAATGAGACTCGTGTCCTCTTCCAGGGTTTCACTGGTAAACAGGGAACGTGAGTGCTGCTTTGAGATCTTGCTTTGTAAATTTGGACTTGGACTGACGGAGTTGGTGCTGGCTAGTTTCCATGCCGAGCAAGCTATCGCATACGGTAATTCCGAGTATCCCCAAAACACTTGATCGAATGATATATGCTCATACATACAAGGTACCCAGGTCGTTGGTGGAACGAATCCCAAGAAAGCTGGATCCACACATTTGGACCGACCGGTGTTTGCTACAGTGAGCGATGCCGTGAAGGAGACCGGAGCTACCGCCTCGGCCATCTTCGTTCCGTATGTCTAATATAAACACCTTTGAGATGGGAAACACCCGGTGCTTACAAAGTCTAGCCCACCGCTGGCCGCTGCGGGTATCGAAGAGGCCATCGCAGCTGAGATCCCTCTTGTTGTTTGGTATGTCCCTATGCTTTTCTGTCTGTCATATAGCTCTTACTGACAGCTCTATAGCATTACTGAGGGTATCCCTCAACATGGTATGTTTTACGTATAGTCTCAACTCATGTAGGCGTCTTACCTAACGTCAAATGCAGACATGGTGCGCATCACGGATATCTTGAAGACCCAAAACAAGACCCGACTTGTCGGCCCCAACTGCCCCGGTATCATCGCTCCGGTACGTTTCCCTTCTACAATAAATTGCTACAGGAATGCACTCGGTCAAAGGATCAATGATTAATGTTGGAGCTGTTTAGGGCCAATGCAAAATCGGCATCATGCCTGGTTTCATCCACAAACGTGGTCGCATCGGTATCGTCTCTCGTTCCGGAACTCTCACCTACGAAGCCGTCAACCAGACTACCCAGGCTGGTTTGGGTCAATCTCTCGTCGTCGGTATCGGTGGTGACCCCTTCTCCGGAACAAACTTTATTGACTGCTTGAAGGTCTTCCTCGAAGATGAGGAGACTGATGGTATCATCATGATTGGTGAAATTGGTGGTAGCGCTGAGGAGGATGCCGCTGAATTCTTGAAGACCGAGAACAAGAAGAACAAGCCCACCGTCAGCTTCATTGCTGGTATCAGTGCTCCCCCTGGCCGCCGAATGGGCCACGCTGGTGCTATTGTTAGCGGTGGTAAGGGTGGTGCTGACTCCAAGATCTCTGCTCTCGAGGCTGCCGGTGTTATCGTTGAGCGAAGCCCTGCTTCCCTCGGTAAGACCCTTCGCGACGAGTTTGTGCGACGTGATCTTCTTTAAATTACAAGTAGCTGCAGGAGTCAGATGTCCTAGTAGATACGAGGAGTGGCTGTACTTTGTTCGTTTGTGTGTTGATACTTGGTAGTTTCATATCGCGATAGACGTGTGTTTACTTAATGAGACGTTTGAAACAGCATTTGTAAGATGAGTACTTGGCTTCGCCTAGTGTATCGTAAGCAAAACCAGAAAGTAATTCCTGAATAGTATATATACCCTATTAAGTACACATTGCTGTCGCGACAAGCGCATGCTGTGGTTGGCTCGTCAGCGGACGGTCACGTGATGCCAGCCACCAGGAAAACACAGCAAAGCGAACCAAAACAATAGGGCTAACTCGGTTGTCTGAGTGACGGCCGATTCTGTTTATCCTCCCTTCATATTCCAATTATCCACCACCTTGAGCCAACTCGAACGTGACGACGACACCATCCAGCCTAGTCTGGCTTCGATAATTAATTTTACGACTCGGCTTATTTGACGCCACGCTTCTCGTTCACGCCAGGTTTGTATGCTTTTATTATTCAGCAATTGATGACACCCGCCGTCGTGTGTTGATGTGGATGTGACGATTCACAACATACCACCAAATCGCCTTCACCACCGCGCTCATTGCGCTAATTCAACTTCTTTCTGACACTCATTCGACGCCTGGGATATGCCTCCTGAAGTAGGCGACCACTGGGAGCCTCATTTCCCGATGAGTACGTGACTGATGCTTCCTGCCGTTATGTGGCACCCGCTAATTGTGACTCGTTAGATCGTGCACTCTCTCAAGGCTCGATGATGTCGCATACACAGCCGCTTAGTCGACCTGGTACAGCGGATCCATTACGGTCTCGGTCAAATACTGCTATTTCGAGAGCTCATCGTCGCCCTCGATCGAGAGGGTCGACTGCTAGTATTCATTCGAGCACGACACAGCAAACCCAGGATCAACACATGGGCGATGGATTCTCTCCCTTTATGCCCTCTCAACAAGCACCACCGCATGGCGTGTTTAACCCGAATCCCGAGGAAATGATGATGCGGTTCAATCAACAAATGGCACATTCGAATAGTCAGGGTTCACTGGACGTCTCAATGCATGAAGCCCATGGGGCTGTTATGCCACGACCGGATGACTTTCACGGCCTCCAAAGCTCAATGTCTGATATGACTGCTCATGGGATGCCAGGTATACCCGTCAGCCATTACGGACACATTTACGACGGCAGTGGAATGGACCCCCCAATGCCGGATCGTACCGGTGATGACAATGATAATTCGGAGGCTGGTGGTCGAAAGAAACGAGGATCGAGCTCTACCATTGCTAACGATAATGAACTGAGAAAACTTCTTCGTCAATATGAAGGTTACACCCTCAAGCAGATGGCTACTGAGGTCCAGAAGCATGAAGGCGCGGGTGGGAAATCCGAAAAGGTGAAACAGGTTTTCGCCATGGTGTGGTAAGTTGTCACGTCGAAACGCGTCTTTCTCGACTAAACATTTGCTTGTGTCCAGGTTAAAAGAGAATTGCCGGAAAAGCAGCGGCTCTGTTCGACGGGATCGTGTATATTGTTGTTATGCAGAGAGATGTGGAAGCGAACATGTTTCCGTTCTCAACCCAGCTTCCTTTGGCAAACTTGTGCGAATCATATTTCCGAATGTACAGACACGTCGCCTTGGTGTCCGAGGCGAATCGAAATACCACTATGTTGATCTTACTGTCATAGAAGAAAAACATCAACAATCGATCGGCCAAAGCTCACAAGATCAAAACACGGCAAACGAGTCGTTTGGTACAGAGAAAGGGTTGAACTCGTCTATACGACCTCGCAGGTAAATTCTGCTGTTTTTCTACACGTTTACAGTCGAATACTAATAACTTAATAGTATAAGCATATCTCAACCACCAGTTGATACCGCCGTCTTTCCCTCACCTACAACTTCTTTTACGCCCAAATTTTCGCTTGCTCCGAACGTCAACGGATGCACTTGTGAATCTCAAACACGGTCCAAGATTGACCACACGATTACATTGGAAAACATATCAACACAAAGCGGAAGGACGATACGTCAGATGCTTGCCTTCCCTGACTCGACTTCAGCACAGGTCGATAATGACTCTCTAAAAATCCCCGATATCTCCCCATATCTTCCTGCGAACACAGATACCAAAGTTGCAGATGCCCTAGCAGCCTTATACAGGACTCATTGCATTTCCGTCATTGACAGCTTCCGATTTTGCAAGGAACGGAACTTGTTTCGACACTTTTCTGCATTCCATGGGACATTGACTGTTCCTGTACAGAAACTGCTGATTCATCCGAACCTTGCACCCTGGATTAAGGAATGTGATTGGCGTATGTACCAAAAGATGATTGAATTCGTGGCGCCTTTGACCACACAGGTTGTACCACAGCCGGTGCTTGATTCCTTTGGCTCAATCTCTCGACGTCTGACAGGACACATATCCGAGACGTTCAAGTCTCATCCTATCCATGTATCTTTGTCGCGATTAGCACCAGCGCATATTTTCTGCAATCTCTTGAAACATATGCTTGATGTGAACCAAGCCGCCAATGCCGCCGCAGCCTGGCTTTGCCATCCGGATAATCGCAATCAAATGTGGATTGATTTTGCTACTTTTGTGGATCCGAAAGATATGTTAATCAAAGCTCATATTCCAGCTTGTTCGGAGAAAGCAACAGAGCAAATATTGAAACACGATGTGCGTGCTCTTTTGACGCCATTGGAGACTCCAACGTCACCTACCCTTCTATCCTTCTATCAAACAGGAGACCATGTGCAGGGTCTAAAAAGTACCGTCGAGATCTCAACAGGTGATGAATACAACTTCCCTGATAAATGGATCTCTTTCATACTCAGTCTACCGTCACTTTTCCCTAACCACCCGGCACAGTGCATAGTCGACAAGGTCGATAAATTATGGGACTCTGTGTTACATCGCTTGACACTTGCTGGTGCCCCTAGCTTCAGTGCATGGTGGATGACCAAAGTATTCTTTCATGAAATGTTATTATGGCAAGTGGAAAAGGGTGGTTTCATGAAGCATACCCCTAGCTCCCTACAAAGTTCTTCAGCACAATCGCAACTGGAGAATACTCAGGCTCGTGTTTCCAGACAAGGGAGTTTTGCAATCCCAGTAAAGAACGAGCCTTTTATCGCCAACGAACATGGCTCCATTTTGGAGACTGGGCCAACAACAAACCCGGGAAACGACCGAACAACGAATGAGAAAACACCCGCTATGGATAGTTTTCCAGGTCCCCAAGCGCCTAACCACGACGATAGCGGCATCGGCCTTGACGATGATTCTATGCTTATGTCCGTTGGCAAATACGATATAATGACAGATACAACAGATGCGGAAGGCGACGTGGTTGTCGTCGCCTAAATTATTTTGCTCGTTCGCTCTGAACTTCACCTTGGGTGGTATTATTTCTGCATTGCTTACGTGGTTGTTTGCTTCAAAAAAAAGATATACTCTATTGAGGGATTTCGCTTCCTTGCTATTCACTTCTTGTTTCCCCGAGGTTTAACCCTGGCTTTATGTCATCTGATTTTTCTTTACCCTCTCTGTCTTTGGAGCCTTTGGCGAACTGGATTGTTCAGAATATCCCCCCTTTCTTCTTGCTTTTTAACCATTTCTTCCCTTTTGATTAACCTGTACTTCTGCCCCAACAACCTTTTTCGACGAGCGATGACGACCGTACGAGCATTAATATTTAAACCAGTGAGAGAAAGCCTTGCTCACTTTATTATTTTCTGCTTCTTTCCTTCTTTCTTCAGGCTCTGCTATAGCCTATTACCCCATTTGGAATTGCCCTACCTCCCTTTTTTCCATCTACCTTACTATTGTCATTTTGTCTTGAGTGTCTATCTCATGAACTCTTTTTGTATATAGTACCATTCGATACTTCTTGGAAGAATAGTATATCCTATTCTTGTGCTGGAATAGAGATGGGATTTTTGAATGATTACTTCAAACGTTCTCATTAATTAAATTTAATATCCACATTCGACATCTATTGATTTGATTCATCATTCATGCTACTTTCTAGTGCAGATTATATTTCACAAAAAGACAGTTATCGTATACATCGTAGCCTCCGCCGAAAAGATGTTATCCTCGAACAAATTTATCGTGTATCAAGGGCAGGAAAGTAACGAGTACCTGCAAATCCATGGACCATGACACTCTCTATATCAATGTTTCCACCGCTATAAGGACTCCATAGTTTGATCAAGATGTATCGACCGGACCTGTTATTCAATATCAGCAAGATCTTCAACACAACGAATGCAGAATGGGAAGACATACACAGGAGGATCGAAATTGATGCTGACCATGCTCTTTTCCCGCTCGATAAAGAACCGTGCATGGGGTTTCATGATATTAGATATACCATTCATGTCTCCGCTCACGCCAATCATGGCTCCGGCAGAGGAGCGGGCTGGTGCAATTAGACTTGGAGAGTCGAGGCGGTGATTACTTCCGAGACCGTAGAGACTATTGCGAGGACCGCGGTCACGGCGTCGTGAGTCGAGACGACCGCGGTTATTGAATTCGATTGTGTCACCGCCGTCGCTGTCGTCTTCGTCTACGGGGCAGAATAGTTCGCTGTCTTCGCCACTATCCAGAAGGTCAAGGTCGTTGCCGGATGGAAAACCGTCGTCCTCATGCTGTCGACTGTCAGGATTGCCGTCGTGCTCAGTAGTCACTCTGAACTGAGGCTCGGCGTATGTAGGATTGAATAGAGAGCGACGAGACCATGTTGACTCGTTTGCTTGCGCGTCGAGATCTCCAGGGGGCGCTGGTGCGCCCCCTGTCTCGGTCCCTTGGGTACGAGATCTATATGTATTGAAGTATTCCCTGGATGGGTTGCTATAGTGTCGTCTAGATTCCTGGCAGCGTCGGCTCCGTGACGGATAGTGGATCTGATACTGAGCCGTCCGCTCCAATAGTTCATCGGACGACATTGAAACAAAGATCATACCTTCTTGTATACTAAAAGTCTGTCAGCTATGCTCAAATTGGCTGAAGCATTGAAACATACGCGGCGTCGAAACCCTTCTTCGGAGCACGAATCACAATCTTCTTGAGAGAAAATGGTGTCTCGCCACGATGATTCAGAATCATGTTGCAGCGGCTCTTCTTCGTGCAGTAGACTGAAGTGTCGTCAAGCAGGACATTGCCCGGCCACGAGCTCTCGCCGTTGTCTTCATCATAATAATTCCCGCCATCACAGCTATTAATTTCCATCTTCAACAACCCAGGTACCACTTGGCCATATTGTCCGTAACTGAATCCACCAAGCCCTTCTCTATTGTCGTCTGAATCTAGCTTGCGTCTCTTTGATCGCCATCTGGAGTCAGGAGAGCCGGGATCAGGGCGACGTGATGTGCTGTCCAGACCGGAAGGCGTAGGAAGCCGGGGTCCAGCAATTGCTGCGGTAGGCACCCCGAAAGAAGCAGCCAGTCGATCAAAGTCTTCAACAATCGCACCCATCGCCATAGGCACGGACCTGTCTGCAGCCGGAAGTCCGAGCTCAGCAAACAGACGGTCGAAGCGTTCGCTCATGGCAGAAATACTCGCAGGTGTGGAATCTTCTGGAAGTGGCGTACTGAACTCTGCAGCTACGCGATCCCACCAGTCGTCGCTAGGGGCGGGCATCCTCGAAGTGCTTTCTCGTACTCGCGGGGAACCGGAGCCGTTGCCATCGTCCAAAGTGTTGGCCCTGTTTATTCTATTCGACATCAACCTCAAAGCCGTCTCGCTGGGTCTAATCCGACGGCGTGGTACTCTGTTGTCAGATGTCGACGAACCTGTATCCCGGTTCATGCTAGTGTTGAGATCAGAAAAGGCGTTAACACTGGGTAACCTCCGTCCGTGAATTCGGCTTGGCGGTCCGAGGTTTTCTGCACCGGTAGGGGACATCTCGGATGAGTATTGCTGTCGCTGTCTGTTTACAGAAGCTCGAGCTTGCTCATGCAATCTTTGTTGAGCGCTACGTTGTTGTAGTTGTTCGATCTCATCGAGAGCCTCCAGAGCACGAGCCGTTTCACTTCTTGGTCGAGCACGACTGCGGTCTGGGTTGTGCAGGATCAAATTACGCAAGTTTTGGAGTCTTGTCTGTTGGTTTTCCTGTGGTCTTTCTGACGTCGAGCTGCGAGCGGTAGAGTTGGAAGCCGGTGGATAATCGTAATTACCCGACTACATCAGACAAGTCAGTGCATCTGTGGATCAACCCCACTGTAGAATATGCCTTGTCTGCTTGAATGTACCACACAGATTGACAGATCATAACAAATGCTCCAAATTCGGCAGAGACCCGATGAAATATTAGGAGTACATACCATAGTTAGGCAGATCGATCAACAGGCAAAGCCGGCTTCAGATAGGCGGCCGCCCGCTAGCTATGGCGATTACCAGCGACGAAGCTAGGTCAGTGAAATATACAAACAGCTGAAACAATCGTATGTCTTTGAGGTACAGTCTATATGTATATGCGGTCTGCTAGATAGATTGGGAAGGAATATATAATAAAAGCCTAGGTGGACACTAGACACCGGACGATTGATGTACAGAGCATGGATGGTGAATGATGAGAATGATGAGGTGATGGAGCAAGTGGGTAACCGACGTCTGCTCAGAGGCTAAGTAAGGTCTTCCATATTACCACATCCGTATTAGAGCCGTACTGTATGTCATGGCTGCTGTAATTACGGCGTAACGAACAGCACTAACGGAACGACGGGTGGCCCCGCAATGATCGGAGAGGCTTACTTCTAAGCTCACTTCTGCGATGACTTATCTTGTATTTCATCAACCAGTCATACCTGCTACAAGTCTCCTTCTGGGCGTGGAAGGACTTCAGCAAGGTCACCCGTCACCCATCCTGAAGGGAATTCGATATTGATCCTCTACGTAGTACCTTCAGAGTACCTTCAGCAAAGTCGTTCATTTCTCTTGCAGTTTTCTTCTCCGCACGCGACTCTGGTTGAAGCCAGTGAGCATTCAACGCTATGGCGAGTCAAGAGACTAATGGGCAGGGCATCAGTGCTGGCAAGCCAATGAGCTTTTATCTTGATTAGAGACTGTTACTGATATCTCGTTACAGATGAGATTGCCCTCTACGATCGACAGATTCGTCTCTGGGGTGTCAAGGCGCAAGAAAAGTATGAAGCATCTACCGCAGTCTTCATGTTCACTACTGATCCATACATCACAGACTGAGATCGGCGAACATACTACTGATCACCTTTAAATCATTGGCCAACGAGATCGCCAAAAACCTCGTCCTCGCTGGAATTGGCTCATTGACAATTCTTGATCATGAAGTCGTTACAGAGACAGATCTTTGCGCTCAATTCTTTGTGTCTGAAGAGCATGTCGGCCAGAATGTAAGTCGACTGTATATGAACGATATGAAAGATAGGTAAGAAGCTGACTTATATAATAGCGAGCCCAAGCTGCAGCCCCTCAGGTCCGAGCTATGAACCCCAGGGTGCAATTACACATCGACACAGAAGACGTTCACACAAAAGCCCCCGAATTTTTCAAAGACTTTGACGTCACGATAGCCACAGATCTCGACTTTGCTACATATGCGACCATCAACGCTGCCTGCCGTATATCGAATCGACGATTCTACGCCGCTGGCCTGCACGGATTTTATGGTTATGCCTTTGCAGATTTGATTTCACATGATTTTGTCATTGAACGAGAGAAATCCAACGTCACACCTCAGTTGCAAGAAACACCTACAAGGTCCATCGTCAACATTACCACCAAAAGAGATAATGACAAAGTCATCGAGATGGTGACCAAGCGTGAAATCTACTCCCCCTTGTTGCTAGCCAACACATCCCCTCTCCCCGAGGAATTCACTCGCGTCTCTCGTAAGAGGAAGAACGTGACTCCACTTCTCAGCTGTCTCCGCGCTCTGTGGGAGTTTCAGCGAACATCAAACGGCAAACTCCCCAGCTTCTCGCGCGCCGAACTTGAAGCCTTCACACTGCTCGTCAACGAGCGCCATCGCGAGCTACAGCTCGATATCAGCACAATCGACTCTTCATTTCTGCGTAGCTTTTTAGAGAATTTAGGTTGCGAACTGAGTCCCGTGGCAGCATTTATCGGCGGAAGTCTAGCGCAAGACGTTATCAATGTGTTGGGTGCCCGTGAGCAACCTCTCCAGAATTTGCTGCTGTTCGACGGCGAGAAAAATGTCGCACCAATTTATCCTCTGCATCCTATCTTCCCGCCGAAGATTGAGGATATGGCTGCCAAAGTGTCACCGACTGTTATGACGACTTCCTTACCTGTTCTTCCTGGGGCGTCGGTGGCTCTGAAGAATGGTGTCGCTGCTCCGTGATTGACGCCCATCATTCCATTTCTTCATGATCATCACATTTTGGAGTTGGCGTTCAGAAAAAAGCCAGGTTCTTTTCCATCTATTTTTAGAACGGTTGGTGGTTGGGTGGCGATTCTCTTTTCTGCATTATCTGTTCCACTGTGATTCTTGAGGCGGTTTTCTTTTCCATGTGCTATTCTTTCTGAAATAGTAACAGAAATCTTGGCCTTGAATTGTATTATGGATGATCGCAACGTACGAATGGTATGTCTTTTAAGGAAGTCATATATGTGCCCCTAATAATGACTGTCCCTGAGACCAGAGTTGAAGGAATGAAAGTCTACTGAAGGTATGGCTATAGACAAACCAACCAAAATGAACAAATGCAACTTCGGACTGTAGGTATGTACAATTGATGCCCATCACAAAGCGTGAATCTTGACTATATAGTCATGCAAACTTCCCCTTCCCAAGGAAGTCTTGGTCGAGGTCAAGATATTATTATAAAAATGTATACTGGCGATTTTCACCGGAGCATAGTGCCGGAGCACAGTGAGAATACTTCTACTTGGGAGAAACGAGATTCTCCTCCTCATAATCACTGGTTTCTTTCCTCCTCCTCGACCCCGAGGCGGTCTCGTGCTCATCATGCTCATCCTCCGAAATCAGGCCCTGCAACTCAAACGCTTCCGCGTCTTGGATCTGTTGCGCTTCCGCGCGGGAACGAGGGTGGCCGTTTACGGCGCTTCCGTTGGGGAAGCCGTCGTTGACGACGGTGTACGAGGAGGAAGAGTCTTCGCGGCGCAGTTTGGGCATGAAGCCGTCTTCGGCGTGGGTGTTGGTGTTTGTGTTTATGGTGGCTGAGTCGGGGAAGGCGTGGACTGCGTAAATGTGGAGGAGGATGTTGACGACTGTTTCTATTAGTATGAAGCGACCAAAAATGAAAGGGGTGACTTACAGAGGAAAAGGATAAAGGCGACACTGTACAAGATTAAGATGTACGATACATGGGTAACGCCAGCGTTGCTGAGTAGTTGCATCTGCTCTTCCGTGGCGCCCATGAATAGAAAACCAGAGGCATAAAGGAGCTATCCACAATGTCAGTACGCTTCAAATACTAGTACATGAATGATAAATGAGAACTCACGAATGGAGGAAGGTATTGGAAGCTGTGAGGATCCGATCCATCAGCACTAAGAGTGGGTCGATCTCTGAGCACGAACGAAATCTCAATGAGACGAGTTAAACCAGCCGCCATGAGCGTGTAACCGAAGACTGAATGAACCATTGTGCTCAACATTAGCGTCTGAGGGTGAGCAGACATGGCGTATCCTGTCAACAAGATGACAATGGCCGGAATCAAGTTGCGCTTGGGACGACCGTTCCTCTTGCGACTCAACCACATGCCCAGCAATCCAGCACACCACCAAACAATTCCCATAGTCGTGTGCTGCAAATCGTTGTGAACCCATGGCTGACCCCAGCGATGTTCAGTAAAGGTGTTAATACAACCCCAAACGGCGATAATGGCCGAGTCAAAGAATTCCTGGCTTCGGCCGGTCCGTCTCAACCAGAACTGTCCCACAAGAAGCAAGATAGTCATCACAATTCCATATGCAATAAATGCACTTCCCATGATGAAATGCGCGAGGCATTGTCCAAGATGGTCGTCGCGACAGAACCCGTTCGCTGTAATTCCACCGAACAAGATCTGTGCCCAGCTGACGAGCGGCATCGCTTTTCCGACTACGCCGTGTGCAATGACGAAGTAACGACGGATCCGGCCCTGGAAACCCTTCTCAAGGTGGAGTCTCAAGTACACGCCGAGCGCAACTTGGACGATCAACATGAGCATCAAGACATTGGCGAATGAGGCATGGATGTTCTTTGCGAATTGGCGGCCTTTGTGAGCATGGCCCATGAAGTAAGCGAGGACTGCGACGACGGTAGCTACGACCTGTACGGGGACGTGCCAGCGAGAGCGGATGATCTATACAACATTGTCATCAGTCTGCTCTTGTCATCGGGACATATTCTCCGATGAACTCACCCCGAGAACCATGCCAAATGGAAAGACGACGCCAAACGTAACCGTCATTAATATCATATGAAGCCATAAAGTGGTGTCCTAAGTCAACCTTCTATTAAATTATGGCCTTCTTGATTTGACTCCGTATGAGGGTAGGTCTCTTAGACTCACGATAGGTTCGCCCGAAACAGCCTCGCCTTCGGGCACCTCCTCATGGCCTCCATGAGCAGCTACCTGGGTAGCCAAAAAAGCTACCAGCGATAGCAAATATTTTTGCGCGGACATGTTGATGCTTTGTGATTGCGATTCGACTTTCAGAAGCTGAGGGGAAGGGATGAGCTGACGATGGCGTGTACCGCAGCTACGAGTGATAAAGATACAAACCCGGAAAGAATGTGATGGTAATTCGATCTATTACTGATAACAGACGACTGTCGTACTCATCTCATATCGATTCGTATAGTATCATCAACAGACCGGTCGAGCTGTAGGGTGCAGCAGGCGTCGTAAGCAGAAATAAAGCAAGATGTGGCAGGGCCGAAAAGGGKTAACGTTTCGGCCTTCTCGGAATCTGCGGACCTTTTTTGATTTAGGGCCGAAAGCATCTGATCAGGGGGCGGTGATTGGTTGGCTTTTTCGAGGGTGGGGGTATATTGGTGTTTCCTTGTTGGGATATCTACAACACTCTTCTTATTGACATTGACATAATTCTCATTTGACTCATTTGATACATACGGAAAAGTCACAATGCATTCAGACCAATGTGTATCCAAAGATTCTCACCCGCATCACCATTCAGGGCAACGCAACGACAAGATAGTAAGCTTATTTCATTACATCCCGATGACATCCCGACGTCTAGAAACGGACACTTCTTCCTAGTAATACGACTAACATCTCCAGATCTCCCTCCAAAACACAATCACCACCCTCGAAAACCAAATCACCTCCCTGCAGTCTCAAATTCACGAAGTTACCAGCAAGCTAAGGTCTTTCCCCCTAGTACTTCTCAATTCCATGCCAATACACAACTGACAGAGGCAATAGATCCCCAAATACGACGCCCCCCTCTATAGCAGTCCAGCGGCACATCCGATTACTACACGAATACAATGAGATCCGTGACGTTGGGCAGGGCTTGTTGAGTCTGATTGCTGAGAAGCGTGGTGTCAGATGCAGGGATGTATTGGAGGAGTTTGGGGTTGGGCATGATGACTGATTTGTAAGAAGACTATGATGCCTTGTTTCAACGATTGCTAGTAGACCCCTGCATGTGTATGAATTAATGAGATATAAAGCTTCTGAGTAAATCACTACTGTTTTATGCTATTCGATTGCACTTCCCTACATATGTAAGTGATCCCTGAATGATCTTGATTCCAATGATGCATGAGTAGAGAAAAGATGCTACCGACAAAAATAATGTAGTGGATTTTGTATGCCAGAAATGTGGAACATGGTATGTTATGAGAATGCCAGCGATGCTCTAGAAGACGCAAATCTCAACCCCTCAAGAGGCGGAGAAATTGGAGGACAGTTACTGTCGAACTGTATTATTATGTACATGATATGTGAGGGAGAAGATAGAAGGAGAATAGGAGATGATAGGAGAGAGACTGTACAGTTCAATGCGCAAGTAGAGTGGAAATGAGCAAAAAGAGTATGTGTTTTCGGTAGCCGATGTCATAAACACCACCGAAAAGATTTCTGAAGACGCCAAGAAAAAGGGGAAGCATGTTAATGAGTCTTGCCCAAACTCTGCAAATTCACAAGCTCGTAATATCTCCCCTTATTCCGAATCAATTCCTGGTGATTTCCACTCTCGACAATCCTGCCCTGGTCAAAGACATAGATGATGTCTGCCTTTTGAATAGTACTCAATCTGTGCGCGACCGCGATCGTGGTTCGGCCACGAGCAGCGGCATCTAGCGCGGCCTGTACGACCTTCTCAGATTCAGAGTCAAGGGCTGATGTGGCTTCGTCAAGAAGTAAAATCTTGGGGTCACGGAGTAATGCGCGCGCGATTGCGACACGCTGTTTTTGACCGCCGGAGAGCATGCCTCCTTTGCTGCCGACGACTGTGTCGAAACCATCTCTGTTGAATGTTAGTATGTCACTCGCAAAGATCAAAGGGTGAAGCCTTACGGCAAAGATAAGATGAAGTCGTAAATGTTGGCGTTCTTGCAGGCATTGATGATAGTCTCCTCCGATATATCCGTCGCATTGCTTCCTAGCAGAATATTCTCGCGGACCGTACCTTGGTACAGAGTCGGTTCCTGACTCACCAGAGCCAAGTGCTGTCGATACGAGTTGACGTTCAGATTAGCAATGTTCTGACCGTCAATGTACACGCCACCGGAAATCGGGTCATAGAATCGCTCCAAAAGAGCAATAGTCGTACTCTTTCCGCATCCACTGGCGCCGACAAGAGCGACGTATTGACCCGGCTTGACAATCAGATCCAATCCCCGCAGTACAGGCTGTTCGGGACGAGTTGGGTAGCGGAAGTGAACGTCTCGGAACTCGACTGTGCCCTCGGCAGTGTCCAGTGCCTGGCCATCCTCTGACCAAACATCAATAGCTGGGCGACGGTCGAACAATTTCTTGAAGTCAGCAGCGGCGTTTTTGGAGTTGCCCATATCAGGCGCAAAGGCAAAGATACTGCCGGCGGATTGTGCTCCAAAGATGACCTGCGTAAAGCAAAGGAAGAATTGAAACATGGTGTACTGGTGCTTCCCAAAGAGTTCTCCACCGTACCAGAAACCCAAGGCCATACAGAAGAATGATAAAGCTTGAGAAGCGGCATACAGTATGGATGTGCGTGCGACCGAGAATAGACTCTTCCTTGTCTGCGCTTCTAATTGCTTTCGATAAGTATCTAGAACGTCTTCTTCACGAGTCAACGAGGCAACAGTGCGAATGGCAGAGGTAGCTTCGCAGGCATAACTAGCCGAGTTCTCGTACGCTTTCTTCGACCGAGCTTGGAACTGTGCAAGCACGGAGAAACGCCAATATCCACAGGCCAGCAATGCCGGAATAGTAGATATACAGACCAAGGCAAGCTTCCAACCAACAGCCAGAGCAATAACACAGCAAGCGGCCAGAGTCGTCGTCACATTGAGAAGTGTTCCGAGATTGGCACCACTGATTCCAGACAAGTGCTTTGTCTCTGTCGATAGGAATGAGGTCAAGGCACCGGTGCTATTCGCGTCGTTATCGAAAAAACTAATATCTTGACGCAGCATTGTTCTGAAAGCCTGGCTACGTGCTCGGCGAATCAGCTTCTCCGAGCTGTATGCAAACATAATACCTTGCGTGGAATGTACCAGAAGCTGAACAAGACCGAGCATAAGGAACATGAGAGACCAGAAGCTAGCATCATGTTTCAACTGTCCATAATTGCTCGGGGGTTGTGAGATAGTAATGATAGATTTGGAGTAGAGGACCGATTGAGTAGGCTGAGCACCACCTGCGAGACACGCAAAAATAAAACCGACGAGCATGTAGGGAGTTTCCTTCTTGTTGAATGAGTAGATGAATTTGATAAGTGTCCACAGCGAGTAATGAGATTCTTTGCTCTGCTCTTTCTTGGACTGAACGATGCTGGAAATTGATCTGCGAGTAACCTCCTTTTCCAGGCCTGCTTTCATCCCAGACGCTACGGAGCTCAGTGTGCGAGACATTCTGATGCGGGATGTCGTGCGCTCAATTTCTTTCTCTTCTTCAATGGCAGCTTCTTCTTCAGCATCCTCCGTTGAAAGAGCTCCGGCTTCTTTAGCTTCGTTGATGCGTTGTGCTTCCACCAGTCTGTAGTAAGCACCTTGAGAGTCTAATAGTTGATCGTGAGTGCCTTGTTCCTGGATGCTGCCATCCACCAGCACAACAATGTTGTGGGCTGTCTTGATTGTGGACAGTCGATGTGCAATAACGATTGTTGTTCGACCTTCAGCAGCTTTGTCCAAAGCTGCTTGGACGACTCCTTCAGACTTGGTGTCAAGGGCTGAGGTAGCTTCATCGAGGAGAAGAATCTTGGGATCGCTGACAACAGCACGGGCGATAGCAATACGTTGTTTCTGACCGCCAGAGAGCAGGAAACCTCGCTCACCAACATGAGTATGTATACCTTCAGGGAGAGCATTCACAAAATCAAGAGCATTGGCCATTTCCAAAGCCTGTTCAATGCGCTCTCGCAATTTCTCTTCGCTCTCGTTGATGAATTCAGTACCGAGMAAGCCGTATCTGACATTCTCAAAGATAGTCGTGGCAAAAAGAATCGGTTCTTGGCTGACGAGCGAGATATGTTGGCGAAGCCACCGAAGATTAAGAGATTGAATGTCTTGACCGTCTAGAAGAACTTGTCCACGGACTGGATTGTAGAAACGTTCAACCAAGCCGATAATCGTACTCTTTCCTGAGCCCGAAGGACCGACCAAAGCAGTAGTCTTTCCAGCGGGAATGAACAGACTGACATCTTTCATAACAGGCACATCTGGTCGCGAAGGGTACCGATGGCTCACGTTGCGCAGCTCAATGCTGCCTTCAACTCCATCCAGCTTGCGCCCCTCTTCGGAAGTCGGATCAAGAGGAGAGACTCGATCGATAGTGCTGTAAATCTTAGCGGCAGCAGCAACAGCGCTTGTAAAAGCCTGAGCATGGGGCGCAACGTTTCCCAGACTGAATGACGACATGATCGTAGCCATTAACACTGTCAGGACCTGACCAACTCCAATTTCTCCATCTACGATAAAGCGAGAACCCATCCAGAACCCTAGACCCGTATTCAAGTACATGATGCAGAACATTCCACCTAGCATGACAGCAAAGATCATCTGCAGCTTGATGCCCCAATACTCAGCCTTGTCAAGGTGTTTGTCATATTGCTTGGCGAGTCTTTCCTGCGTACCAAAAGCTGTAGCGGTACGAATAGAGCTGATAACCTCCTCTGCCAAAGTTCCTCCTTGTGCGTAGCTTTCCAAGGACAGTTTGCTGAACTTGATAATGAACCGCGAACCGCCGCCCATGATCAAAGTGAGAGCAATTATACTCGACGAGCAGATGAGCGCCAGTTTCCAGTACTTGATGTATGCAATAACAAATGCAGTGACAAAGGTAGCCAATGCTGTAATGACCAAAGCCACCTTTTCGGAAATACCATCTTGTATAAGATTGGTGTCGGCTGTGATACGAGTAGTGATCTCGCCAGCGCCAATATTATCAAAATAGCCAATGTTCTGCCTCATGATCGCTTGCAAATAAGCTTGGCGGATCTTTTGAGTGATGTGCTCTCCGGTATATATGAATCCGACGGTGGCGATATAGATGGTCACGAATTCGCCAATCCCGATGTAGACAAAGTAAAGTACGTTCTTGACAAGTTCATGGTGAAAGTCTTCGTAGTCGAGTGTATTTAGATAGACACCTTGGAAATCGCTTGCCAGTTGTCCGAAAAGGATCTATGATAAATTAGCATGTTGTAAAAGCTTCTGGATCCGTGACTATGGCTTGAATTACAGTAAACAATGGCAGAGCAGCACCTCCAGCAATGGCACAAATGATGCTGATAGCGATAATCATAAAATCATGAGCAGTCGCATATCTGAACAGGCTGAAAAAGTTGACCTGCACGGTTGGAGAATGCAGCTGCGCCTGAATAATACGTCTCTCATCTTCCGGGAGCTCTTTCAACACGGCATTGAGCTCAGAAGAATCGGCGCTCTCTGATGGTGATATTTCCGCGCCTGCCGCTGTAGCTTTTTCCCCAGTTGATTTTTTATTGCCATTCTTTTGGTCCGATGCTGTATTGCTGGATGACGAGACCGGTGCGCTTCCTCCCTTTTCCCTTTCGGAGTCCGCCAATGTTTTCTCTTCGGCGCTCAATTGTGTTGTAACTTTTGATAGTTCTATCCCTTCACCAGGGGTGATCCCAGCAGGGTCCATTCTGATGTAAATACGAGATTCGCCCCGGGAGATTCAATTCGGGATCAAGCTTTCAGGTCGTATATGACATTTGTTGATTATGGCGGAATATAGATGTTGGTGTGAAGTCGTGAAAGCTTGAAGCTATAGTCGGGTGGGGAGTTGCAAAAAAGTAACGAACGATGTATGTATATGTATGGAGTTGTATTATAAGTGCTGGAGATTGTAGAAGAAGGACAACAAATCTAATTTTTGCACATTAGCCATTGGACATAATCCAGGGTCCAGCGAGAATTATCGTGGTCTTATAGATAAGCCAGTAATTGAGGGGATGCCACCAACCGGGAAGGAGTGACAAGGACAAATAGTCGCAAGGAATAATAATAAGGCAACCGAGTTGATAGAGTTTGAAAAAAGAAACAGGCAACGATCAAGTAGGAAAATCACTGTAACTTAAATCAGAGCACAGGCATCTTCTAGAAGGCTGGCCGAAGCGCATTCTTTGAGTGTTTGAGTAGCATGCCGGGAAGAGCGACTCCCGAGCAAGGAATTATGCAGGAGAGAATGTCGTATCTGTATACTGAATCTGCGTATTTTCGGTCTCTTTATTGGTTGATTGTTTGCATTGGTGGGACTGTCAATTTAGTTGGCTCACTTTTGTCATGTAGAAAATGGAGAACTTCCAAGGATCTTGACGGCAGGACTTGCGATTGGTTGGATCCGGCTTACTGTCTTACCGAGAAGTATTGCTTCGTAATTCTTGGTATCTGATTGAGCCGCTCCATTGTTCGAAGTGCTTGCCGCATAAAGTAAGCACCGAGCATGCTCATTGCTTCGTATTGCAAAAAGCAGGGTGGATTGATCAGCAATAAGTATAGTTTTGTAATTGAGCATGAAATACGACTACGACCTACAAAGCTTTGCGATCGCATTCCGGATGGCAAGAATCAAGATTCAAGATGCCGCAGAGTTTCAGTATCGTAAGCTCGTACGTAATTTATGTAACTTACGTACTACGTATCAAGAAACGAGATAAACGAGGAGCACCCAACGAGGGTTGCAAGGGGCCACCCTTCTTGCGTTGATGTTGAAAATGGACCAGCCAAAGTTGTTCAGAGGTAAGACATTGTCAAAGGCGCTGAACTGTTTGATATCCACGGAACGAGGTCCCCGCCTGCGATGCGATGCCAAAAAGAAGTGCGAGAAAAGCGAGGTTGATAGAACAAAGGGGTGACTAGGCCTATCCGGGAGTATTTTACGATCTCACTCGCATTCGAGGCCAATCAAATATAAATCCGAGATTCCTCACAAGCCAAAAAAGCCTGCAGATAGCTATATACATATACGGCTGAACTTAATGCTTCTTCAACTTCGGAAAGGAAATATCCGAATGCTTTGTTTCAACGGATTTTGACGTGTCCGATATACAAATGTACTTGTTCTGAAATTACATAGTGGTAGGTACTGAGCAAATGACAGCCCAGAGACTTGTCCACCGTACGACCGGTAATGATCAAAACCCGAAGGTGCGACTACCCCGAGAACGCCAAGCAGTGGCCACTCCGTCTCCGCTTGGCACTAGGCAGCCGCGGCCAACAAGCCAGGCAGCAAGGCAACAAGGCAACCCGCCAAGACCACCCGCACAGTCATCACGTGACAGACCAAGCGAACCCTCTCACACAACAAAATTTACCCGAAGACGGCTCCATCCAAGATCTGACTTGGAGACACTACCTTGAGTTCAGTATCTCGACCGAACGACAAGCCATCAAGATGCCGGTACGTGAACCTCAAACTCTTAGAGTCGTTATCATCACGCCGATGAATTCGCCATATTCTATTTCCGTCAGATCATTTTCGTCGTGGTGCGGTGCTAATGCGAAATGTCGTGAATAGTCCCAAAAGTCCTTCCGCACCAAGCAAAAGCTTGCCAAAGCCCAGAAGCAGAACCGTCCTATTCCTCAATGGATTCGTCTCAGGACCGGTAACACCATCAGGTACGACACTTTTTTGTCTTCGAGATGTGGTTCGTTTTCGTCGTGAGGTTTGGACAAGAGCCTGAGAGCGGAGGGAGGAACAATTGATACGATCGTCAGAGGGGATCGAACAAGGGCTTCGATAGGAGGGTGTTTCTGAACTTTCACGAACGAAACGCATCGCATCTCGAAAGCTACTACACTATGCAAAGATCGCGAAATACTAATATCTCACAGATACAACGCCAAGCGACGACACTGGCGCAAGACCCGTCTCGGAATCTAAATTTCCTTACCCGTCAGAAATCGCACAGCAACCCTCGGCGCTCTTCCTTTGATGATGATTTCTTGTCTTTTTTTCGATCGATAATTTCTTCAAACCTTTGACGAACACCTTCTTCCTTGACGAAAAAAACAAAACAAAATAATCGATCGGCTCATTGATGTTACTTGTCCATCCAAAACTCGGCGGCACTTGAAACGGATTCGAGAAACCTGAATCATACGGCAAGGGAAGATGGGAAAATGAAAGAAAAATGACAAGCATGGTTTTCCTACTTGGGTTTCTTTAGGAGGGATGGGTGTCGTAGGATGGAACTTGATTAATATTGATTTATTCATGAAATGGGAACATCAATTTGCATGATTTACTTTGCAATATTTCGATCCTGGTATATAAATTGTAGACGTAAGCAGTATGCGCAACGAATGCAGACGGAATATTGTGGCAAGATGTAATCAACGTCAATCAACCAGAGCTAAAGTGCTTCCCAGCTTGGTTTGAGTCTTGTGGACATTGCAATGTTTGTTGCCACAATTAAATTATCATTAGGAGGAAGCTAGGTCATCATTGCATTTTCTCGAAGTAACGCCTACTTGACTAATAAAAAGATCGAGAATACACACGAACCCAAACCTCTCCTTTCTCCCCTAAAATGTGTAGTTGGCATTTCATAATCATTTGTTTGTGATGGATGCATGATAGAATATCAATGGGGAATAGAGCAAATAGCAAATATCTGAACTGTACGGCAGATTTTCGTGCTCATACAGTCAGTCTGAACAGGCTTGATGATAAGAAATGGGTTGAGAGAGGGGATATTTAGCGACTAATTTTAATGAAGTCAGTGACTATATAGATATCCGTAAATGAAAGATGCTTACTCTTCAGCCCATTCGTTCTCACGACGGATCTGGTCCTCCTCCTCGGGAGTAAAGTCGTTCTGAATGTTGAAGGTCTTGCGGATCTCCTCGGGGGACTTGCCCTTGATCATATTTGCGACGGTTTTGCAGCCAACGTCGAGAAGGGCTTTGATGTCGAGGTAGTTGGCGGCCTATACAGTCAGCGTGATCTTCCCAAAAAAGCACAGCAGACATTCAATACGAGACATACCAAAATAATCTCAAACAGCATCTCCTGGTCAACCTGCATGAACTTCTGGTCCCACTCGTCAATCTCGGTGGTGCGGCGGCGGTTGTCGTCATCTTCGCCAGTGGACTGGGGATCGTTCTTGTGATGAGTGCACCACTCAATGACCTTCTTCAAGACGGATTCGTTGACGTTGGGAATGGGGACAGGCTCGTCGGATTCGCCCAAATCTTCCAATAAGTTCTTGATGAGCATGGAGCGCTCGGCGACAGCGCGCTCTAAGGTACGTTAGTAATTGAAAAGACATGCTGTGCTGAGCGGCTTCAGAGAGGATACTCACCAACGGTGATATCGACAGAGTCGGAGCTCTGGAGAGTAACTTGACCAGACATTATGTATAATCTGTGTATGCGATTTGATTTGTAGAGTTGGAAGGTGAGGAAAGCTGTCTCCGAGATCGAGCGTTGAAAGTTAGCAATTGCGGAATGTGATAGCGGGGAGAGCGGTTAGAGTGGAGGGCGCAGCAGCATTTATACTGCTGCGCAAATCCAAGTTCCACAGAGACATGATGGGAGTTTCCTTACAGAATAGGCAGAAACAGAAATCCTTTGAGTGTTTTGGCGGTAGTAGGCTGAAAGGTGAGTGAGTTGAGGCAGTGGATAATGACTGACTGAATGAATGATACTGGTGAGGTTCGTGGAGGCTCCCGCCTAGGTCTAAGTCACTCTGGGCTAGGTAACCGCCGCACTGGTTCTGCCGTTCTTGCCTTACCGTCGACTTGTTGCCTGGAGTCTTTGGCTGTAGTCATGCCAAATGGCTGTCAATTCATGAAACGATGACTGCATTATGAATAGTACATTCGCTGCGCCCTGAATACTGAAGGCGTATACGTCGAGTACTGCGTGTGGTCGCCGTATGGAGTCCGCGCAACAAAGCCACATACCATTGTTTTATACAACAGATTGCTCAAATGTAGACTCTCTTAGATCTGCGGTATCAATTCATTCACTATGTACTACAAGTCCTGAAGCTTTTTCTTGATTTACAAGAATTAGAATTATTGAAATGCCCCTGAAACTACTCGACGTCATGGCTGCCCCCAAAGGACGCGTCGCCTGAATCGCGCTCCGATTAGGCTCGGTCGGTCTTCTTATCAGCTACCCTTTTCCTCTGCTTCAGTGCGTTTTGCTCTCTCACGTACTATTACTAATGGCTCGACGCTGTGACTAGCTGATCGACAAGCTGGTAAACGTCTTTGTGCAAGCCTTTCTTTCTTCCTTTCGTGTTGTCTCTCTCCAGCTTCAGCGCGCAAACACATGATGTCCGCATCACCTGTCGGGTTTCAAGAATCAACAAAATCGCAAGCTCTTTATCGCCCTGATGCGATATGTTAGACGCCAACATAAAGATAATCCTATAATTAATACTGTTCAAAGCGCATACAAAGAAAAAATTGCGACAAGCCTTGGTTTCTGGTTGGAATCATGTGGAGACGAACATATCTGCTGCTCTTGCTGATCCGGATCTACTTTGCCCTTTCGCCCAGCTACGTGCATCCCGATGAGCATTTCCAGAGCCTGGAGGTATTCGCCGGTATGCAACGCTACAAAAGCGCGACGTTGAAACAGTGCGACTGACTTTCTAGGTCKCATCTACTCCTACCCCTCGCAGTTGACCTGGGAATTCACGTCCGACAACCCCATCCGCAGCGTCTTCCCCCTATGGCCCGTCTACGGCTTACCCATGAACTTGGTGAAATGGTTCTACAACGAAACGGGACTTGGTAGCAGTCCGCCTCCACAACTGATATACTACATTTTGCGAGGTGGCATGTTTATTCTCAGCTTTGTGCTGGAGGACTGGGCTGTTTACGAGTTGGTGCCGACCCCGAGATATCGTGTTCCCACGGTGGTGTTGGTGGCCTCGTCGTATGTCACATGGACGTATCAGACGCACACTTTTTCGAACTCTCTGGAGACGCTGTTGGTCACTTGGGGGTTGGTTCTGATCCAGCGTATTGTGGAGAATAGAGTATGTCTGTTTCTTATATTTTTATTGTGTGTACGCCTGCTGACTGAATAGAAACGCTCCGCATTTTTCTCTCCGGCCGTGCTATCGTTGGTCGTAGTTCTGGGTGTGTTCAATAGAATCACATTTCCAGCATTCCTTTTGATACCTGGGCTTCAGTTAGTCCCGCATTTTATACAAAGGTGTGTCCTGTCGTGTGACAATCCCCAGTTTCAGTCGGATAGCTAACCTAAATATAGACCATTTTCGTTCGCTGTACTGGCTGGATGTGGCTCCTTCTTTGCTGCAATCGCCATCCTCACTGATACCATTTTTTATCGCTCCTCATCTTTCATCGAGAGTATTCGCCATCCGGTAATCACCCCTCTCAACAACCTAATATATAATTCCAACAGCCTGAACCTGGCCGATCATGGCCTTCACCCTTTCTACCACCATTTCCTCGTGAACCTCCCACAACTCATGGGCCCAGCTCTCGTGGTCCTCGTGGTTTCACTATTCATGAAACCAACCATCAGATCATCTACATTCTACAACCGACGCGCCATCGCCGCCATATCGGGCACCATGATCCTGTCCGCAATCCCACATCAAGAACCGCGGTTCTTACTCCCATGCGTCCCTTTGCTGTTAACGTGTATCCGACCGCTGAAAACGCGGCCGTTTCTCGTGTCGTGGATTGCATTCAATGCGATTCTCGGGTTTTTGATGGGCGTTTATCATCAGGGTGGCGTGGTACCAACTCAACTCGCAATGCCATCTGTAATATCATCTACAATGGCCCAGCGCACCCAAACCAATAACATCAACGTAACCGTCTTCTGGTGGAAGACCTACTCGCCTCCGTTGTGGTTACTAGGTGATAACAGCGAGCTACAAGCCGATATCCAAACGCACGATTTGATGGGCATGCGAGGACCCGATATGATCAAACAGATCGACAGCCTCGTCCCAGCCTGTCCTTCTCTCCTCTCATCCAGCGCGAACAACAACAATCTCGTGTTTCTCGTCGCACCTCGCTCAGCCACATTCCTCGACACATACACTTTTTCCACATCTGCGGATACAACACTCCACATGACAGAACAATGGACATATACAAACCATCTAAATCTAGATGACATGGACTTTGGCGATGATGGGTTCGTTTCGACGATTAAGCGTGTCGTTGGTCGGAGAGGATTGACGGTTTGGTCCGTTGAGAGGATTGGATGTGTATAATGCTTGATTTATTTAATTACGTCGTAAATATAATGAATATAGATGCATGTTTCGGGTAACTCCCATCAGACCTATAAAACAAGTGAGAAAGTGCGAATACAAGGCATCAACTGCAGATAAGATCCTTACAAAAACAGATTATTAATATTAGATTTGTGAGCTGCTTAAGTGCATATCTTTAAGTACCTTTGCAGAGTATTTACAAAGCCATAACAGCCAAGGCAGGAATAGCAGCCCAGACAACAGCGGCATCGACGCTGAATCGTGGCGCGGCGGCACCAGTGTACAGACCGCCAGCGGCAGATGTAGTCTTCGTCGAGCTGCCAGAGATGCTAGCAGCGGCGGTGGTAGGGACGGCGACGAGAGATGTCTTGGTAGACGAAAGGACTGCGGAGGAGGATTTTAGGGTTGATGGGGAGGCGGGCTGGATGGCTGTGTTGGGGTTAGAGTTGGAGTTGGTGTGGGGGTTTCCAGGGGAAACGCCGCTGGGGGCTGGAGAGGCAGATGTAGGAGATGGGTTGGATCCGGGGAGGACAGTGGTAGTGGCAGTCCCAGGGGCAGGGATAACGGTACCGGTAGGACCGGTTTCTGTGACTGTATACACAACAGTGCCTGTGACAACGGTCTCGGTGGAAGTATAAGTGCTACGCTGGGAAGCAGGGCAGTCAGTGACCGTTGCCGGGCAGGCAGTGATCGTGACTACACGGGTAGATACGAGCGTAGAGGTGGAGACATCCACGCCGCCAGGACCGGTAGGTTGCGCGGTGGCTGTGACGGGGCAGACAGTCGTTGAGACCACGATAGTCTCGGTCACAACAGAGGTTGACCTGGCAGGGCAGTCGGTCACAGTCGTTGGGCAGGCGGTGATGGTGCTTGTGCGTGTGGAGAAGATTGTTGAGGTTGTGGAGCCAAGGGTAGTAGCAGAAGCGATGCTTGTAGTGACGGTCGTCAAGGATCCAGAGCCTGTAGAGCTTGAGCTGGAGGTGGAGATTGTACCAGTAGAGGTACCCGCTGAGCCAGTGGATGTACCAGTCCTTGTGCCACTCTTTGTGCAAGGACGGGTAGAGCGAGTGGGTGTGCTGCTGGTTGAAAGACCGACTGGGGAGGTGCCACTGCTCTGGACAGCGCTGGAGCTAGCGATCGAAGCAGGATTGGTAGAGCGCGAAGTTCGGCATGGAGTGCGTGTGCGAGTAGGGCTGCGAACGGCGCTGGAGCTAGGGATGGAGGTTGGGATTATCACTGCCGAGCTGCTTGGTACAACGCTTGAGCTAGCGATCGAAGCAGGAGTGGTAGAGCGCGAAGTTCGGCATGGAGTGCGTGTACGAGTAGGGCTGCGAACGGCACTGGAGCTAGGGATGGAGGTTGGAATCACCACTGCCGAGCTGCTGGGAATAACACTTGAGCTGGGGATAACAGCTGAGCTGCTTGGTACAATGCTTGAGCTAGGGATTGAAATTGGGATAACGACCGCTGAATTGCTGGGAACAGCACTGGAGCTGGCAACAACGCTGGAGCTGGCAGCAACGCTGGAGCTAGGAATGACAGGAGCACTGCTAGGAGAAGGGGTAGGTGTCGTTGCCGGCGTGGTGGCTGGTATCGTAACCACAGCGCTAGTACTGACGCTTGAGCTCGAAGCCGCAGTCGAGGTCTGGATAGAGCTGGAGCTTGTGATGGTAGTGCACGCCGTGGTTTCGTAGGTCGCCTGGAAATTGTCGACATACATATTGAATAGAGTATTGGTATGATAAGGTGAACAGGTCGAATAAAGTCCCAATAGGTCACTGGCAGCCGTTGGAGTCCATGTACCGGATAGTGTAAACCAGGCGTCGGCGGTGCCGAAATGTTGGCCAGTTGTGTACGAAATCAAGTTTCCTGTTGTGAGAGACGTATGGTACAGATATATGGTGCAGCTCTGAGAAACGGAATATGATGGGTTAACATATGGGAGAATATCGACCGAGGTGGTATAGGTTGTCCCAATCTGGAGACCCGTGACCGTCTGGTAAATATTCCAGTACGAAAATTGCCCTGGTAGAAGCCTGCCATACAGCGTTAGTGGATGATTCTGCTTTTGAGACGAGTGGGTGGTATCAGACATACAAAGAGTCTGATCCATTTGTAGCGTGCAAGCTGGTGGTAGTCGCGGGAAAGGTGTAGGTCCAACCAGTAGTACCATCCTCAAAGGATGGATTGACGATATCAGCATACGCAGTAGCCGCGCTACATTGCACGCTGGGCTGGGAAGAAGCACTGGTTGATGTGGAGGAGATGGTCAACGATAGAGCACCGGGGACAAATGAACTGGCCACGAGCGCCAGTCCAGCAATGAGTCCTTTCGCCATGCTGTCTATGGGTTGAGATTGGCCGAAACGAAGGAGAGGGGACAGCGAGTGAGTCCTTAGGAAAAGAGCGAAAAAGAAGACAGAAAGTACTCAAAACGAACGACGAGGTCTTTAAAGACCAATTTACTAAGGTCCAGTTTGTAGACAGTGGCAAAGTGACAGCCAGTCAACAGACATCGTGGCCTGGTCATTCTATTTTATTTATATAGATGCTATAATACTATTAGCGAAAAGCTTACTGACAGCGCTAGAAACAATCCTGCAAGAAAAATTCAACAATAGCCGGAAGAATCAGTTCGGCTGATTCGACCATCCTCAGGAGCGAGCCCAATGGGGAGGGAGAAGCTGCTTTAGAACCTGGGCTGGCCTATGAAGCCATCCGCAACAGTGGGGAGATGCTTCGTTTAGTTAGCCCTATGACGAGTGCTGAGTCGTTCACTCTAGCCAGGAGTCTAGTGAGTATTTAGATCGAAAAGAGCTCGCTTGCAAGGTGAGGAATCAAGATTGGGTCGGTGGAGGCGATGCTAGTGAGAGTTTGAAGAGGTTTAGAGTGAAGTGTAGTTACGCTAGGCTCGGCAATTTCTGCCTCCCTGAATAGCGTGTTCCTGGCACGTGGATTGCCCCTGCTCATGATTTATCTTCATTGACTAGTACTACTTTAAACTAAGTTACCGGTCAATCCGTCAGGCTGATTAATGGTATTGCAAGGGAGTCAAATTGATTGCTAGTATTTGAACAGCTAGTGTATGTAAACGAAACAGAATACGCTTCAATTCATTCATAATCCACGGTTAATAATGAATAATAAACATCATGGGAATTCGAGATGACTAATGAGAAATCCAGTTGGAAAGGAGAGATACTATTTGACAGACGACATGACGAGTAATTGCGCGAAATCAAGCGAGAAATTATTGATCATCACCCTCGTCGGGTTGCTCGAAGAGAAAGTTTGCTGCCAGTTCTTCGTTCTTGTCGCAGGCAAAATAGGCTTGAATGACCGAGTCCCGTGAGAATCCAAGACGGCAGAGCTGTGATATCTTGATCAGTGTCTGATCTTATCAAATTAAGAGAGGGATAGTACGAACTCGTTCAATTGCATCGCGCTCCTCTTCCGTAACACGAATCTCATGCGCACCAGGAGGAAGTTCGCCCTCCTCACCCAAGTCCTCCGCCAAAAGCTGAAGAAATTGTTCCTGGTTCTGACCAATCAATTGAGCCAACTGCGGGTTGCCGGCTCCGACCTGCTGCAAGATGGGTTCAAGCATTTGAGGTTGCTGCTGTACTAGCTGTCGCAATTGCTGGAAATGCGGGTTGTTGCGGAGGAAGTCGAGATTGCCCAAAGTGCCGGCATCTCCAGCTCCAGCTCCAGCTCCAGCTCCGCCAGTTGCTCCGCGACCTGCAGCACCGCCTGCCTGTGCCGCTGCTTCGAACAGATTTACTGGCTCTTCCCCAGTGGCTTCGGTGGCTGCTGCGGCAGCGGGTGGGGTGGCTGCTGGAGGAGAAGCGGCGGCGGCGCGAGCTTGAGCTTGTTCCTGTTCGGCGCTCTCGGGGATACCCTACGTTGTATCAATTAGCCACCTTTGACCGCGGTCATCCTCATATTCTCCGCCAAGCTTACATTAAGTAGGTAGTCGACAGCACGGTCGGGATTGAAAAAGGCAGCCCGCATAGCACGATCAATATCAGCACGAGGGAAACCCATCGCTTCCATCTGCGCAATCACCGCTTCTCCTTGGGTGCCCATGGCCAAAGCTGACGGGTCATTAAAGGCTGGTGCCTCGCCGGCGGCGGCGGCGGCGGCGGCAGCAGCCCCGGAAGAGGCTGGGGKAGGAGTTGAAGGAACCTGAGGGGTAGCGGCTGTAGTAGCTGGGGGAGCTGGGGCGGGAGCGGGAGCACTGGGAGTTGCGGCTGGTGCTGCTTTAGCTGGCGTGGATGGACCTCCAGCGGCGGGTTTAGGCTATCCGGAAGGTCAGTATTTTGCAAATTTTTTAGGAGAGCGGTGTGGCGAGAACATACTTTCGATACCATGCATACTATGAAGCCCTTCTCCTCGATATTGTAAGACTCAATAGTGTTCGCATCTTGAAGAATTTTGCCTGATTCCGGTCAGTTCGTGAGCGTCAAACCAGGCAGAACTCAAGCGGCAAAAAGTAGAAGAAAACAAGTTTGATTTCATCTAAAAAGTGCTCTACGCACCTGAATAGATTAACTTTTGTTGCGATGCCTCCCAACCTTTCTCTTGGGCGATCTTTTCTTTCACCTGGCCGACCTGTGATAAGTGAAGTGTTAGCCCCGCACGACTGGGCGATTGGTTGGAGGGGAAACGAGAATCGAAAGCTGGAGATGTTCACGTACTGTCTCTGAAGGTTCGGCCTCGATGGTGAATTTCTGCTGCTTCAAGTCCTGTGGAGAAGAAGGATGTTAGCATCGAGAGAAAAGGGATGGCGGGGTGATTGCGAGAGGTGAAGGCATACTCTGAAAGTGAGCTTCATCTTGACGCCACTAGAAGGGTGTCACTGCGTCTCCGGAGTGTGAAGTGGGAAAGTCTTCTCAGTCAAAGGATGATAGATGGTGATGGAGATGACTGCGAATGGTTGGTTTGAGAGGGTTTTCAGGTTGTTGAGGATGGAGATGGCGGTTGAAAGAAGATGGGGAAGTCGGACAAAAACGTAAGTAAACTAAAGTTGCTGCTGATGATGATGGAAGCGGTCGCCGCCTCAGGCCCGCAACCACATACTAACTAACTTAGGAAGAAACCCAGGCAACGTCAGCCTAGACTCGCCACGCCTTTGACAAGCTTCAAATGCCTGGATAGATTTTAGTTTCAAGCTTGTTTTATTTTCATGTACGGATATCAAGGTTCTGCTATATCAAGTTGCTCGCTGTGATTGGTGGGCCACGTACTATGCCGGTTGCTATGCAAAACGAAAGTAAAATCTGCTACTTATGCGAGTAACTCTGTAGAGGTAGCATCTGCATGTGGCGAAAAATATCTCGCCGACTCAACCCAGTCAGGGTAAGAACAGGATTCATTATGTATACTACGCTCTGCAGGGGCGCATCTGGACAGACTCTCACGAACCAACCCGCGCTGTATGCTGGAATGAAGCGTATTCTCGATACAGCTGGTTATCTGATGCGTACATCCATACATGTAATAATCCAGTCTCAGCTGAGACACAGTTGTAACCAAGACTCGAACACAACACATATTGTTCCTGCATACGAAGGATAGTCCAAAGAGTATCGATATATATATGTATTGATAGACGTATTGCCATTACATACAGTACGTACGAGATCAATAGTGGATCCACACTGACTCTAAACAGACTAGCCCATCCGCTGCACATCCTTAATACTTACAACAACACAAACTTCTCTGTACGAACCCCTACTTCTACTTCAACCCTTGTGCAGTCTCTTTCCTTCCCCGAAACGCTTTAATCTAAGCATACCAGACCGTGAGGTGAGGCTTCAGCATAGTAAGAGGCAAAGGTCATGTATCCTTTTCGAGGTACGGTATTGCTTGATGTGGCTTCTGGCGGATGTCTTTATTCGCCGGCGAGACTCGTTGTCAGGCATCTTTGTTGCAGGAATTAGATAGATACGAATTTTTAGGGATGGTAACTAGCTCAAAAGAACGAATTATCTGCATGGTCATACAATTCAGCCATACTTGAGCAGACTGGTCGTACATAGTAGCGGACAAAGGATGATCTACCATACATGACAAACGTTGGTCTTGCATGGCTCATTGATTACCACCTTCGAATCTCTATTTCCAACTCGTCTATGATATATACCACTGAGATCGTCCAGTTACTTAATTGAAATGTAGAGTAACGACTAGGTAGAATTGTATACTGAGTAGAGACTCGAGAGCGAGGTAAGTGGTGGGTCCACTAGTTCCGGAAGCAGCATTAGTCAGGCTGTAAGTTACTTCCGCTCCACTCGCCATTCTACTAACTTTCCATATGTAAATTTCTAGTCTGCTCTCTATGATCGACTTCGCTCTCACTATCTCTATTCTACTATTCTTCTATCCTGCTATTCGTTCTCTTACAGATATACTTCGTGTCCATTGAGTGTATTGCTCGGTCAACTCACCTTCCCATCTTCCCTCCCCCATCCTAACGCTGTCAATCTGGCCGCTGTGTTGCTTTTGCCTCATGTCTTCTCCCTATGGGAGCGAGAGCCGGTAAGTCATACTATCTTATTGTTTGATAGACCCAGCCTATCCTCCCCATGTTTCATCGAGTCTTTGTTTGCAGTCTCTGCCAATTACGCTTCAGGGCTGTCGGGCAAACAGAGCTATCAACTACTCCCCGATGGCTGGGTTGCCTACAAACGACCTGCTCTATTCCTTGTCTGCACAATGCTTATTGATCATTCTATTTTCCTTGCAAAACTTTCTTCCCTCGTGATTTAGTTAAGCATGTGACTGCTGACCGCAAATCTTCCTACTCGTATATGGTCACTGTACAAACACATCTGATATTCGGGCGCTTCCCATCAAATTGATGGGTGTACCAGACTGTCTCCCAGCCTCTTCCTCTTTCTCACTTTTGTTTTCAGTCAGCAGTTACCTGCTGTTTCTGGACGGCCTTGCCTTTCTTTTCTCCTTGGTCCATTTCTCGCCTTCATCCGTCTTTCAACAATCTCTCGCTTCATCCTTCACTTGACAATCTCACCCATCCTCAACTCATCACCCAGCTGGTTACAGCAATCATTGCACCCCAAACTCTCCACATGCTTATTCATTTACCATTTTACAAAAAACTAACATCGCTATCACTAGAAGCACGCCATGGCGGGCAGAAAGCGCAAGGCAGACGTTTCTCACAAATCCAGCTCACAAGACATAGTTCCAGGTGGTATGTACATCTTATATACGGTTCAATTTTCATCACTGACATTATCCAGACACGCCTAAGCAGACTACTGCTCCCAAGACAAAGAGCACAGCAGCGCGCGGTAGTCGAAGCAAAGCTGCTGTTACCGCACAAATTCAGGCAAATGGTAGCGGAGGTTCACATACTTCGAATTCCTCCGCGACTGCTTCACAAGAGGAATCCACCTCTACCCAGGCCACAAAGGCGCCCCGTGCTAAGCGTCAGAAAGTCTCGCACAGCACCGAGGTTTTACAGGCTACCAGATCTTCCACCAGACTCAAATCTCGTGCACAGACCCCTACCCCGGAGATGCCTCCAAAGTTGTCTCCTCAATCGTCAACTGAGCCAGCAGAGGTTTCAAAGAACACGGATACAGAGACGATCCTCGAACAAAACGAAATCATCCATGCACCTGAGCAGACTTTGACAGGCTCTAGCTCCGAGCAAATCTCGCGTCTGACTCCAAAGAGTAGCGATGTAGAAGCTACTATCAAGTCAGATGAACGGCCAGCTCCAATGACAACACGTGGTAGAAAGCGAAAACTTGCAGCGTCCACAACAGAAACTTCTACAAGTGTGGCAAAGAAATTGAAAGCTGAAAATACCGCCCTAAATAGCTTTGCGATGTTAGAGGTATCAAAAATCGAAGAAACCAACACAGATATCTCTACGAATGATGCCAAGATGCCCAAAGTTGAAGAGAAAGCGACCGATCCAACTGCAATGACTGTTCCAACCGAATCTACATCCAACACCGAGAAATTTCGGAATGTGCAAGACACTGAGACGGCCAATCAGCCGCTCAATGAGTCTGCACAGACGAACCACACTGAAGAAGTCGACACAGGCTCCGGTCAAAATAGAACTGCCAGCGGTTCGGGTACCCGAGGCCGCGGCAAAGGTGGTCGTGGTAGAGGGAGGGGCAGAGGAAAGGGTAAGGGCTTCGGCAACACTGTGAAAAAAACCGCAGATGCCCCTGCTGGCGCTGGAAGAGGTCGCGGCGGTGGTCGTGGAGGAGGCAGGGGAGGAGGCAGGGGAGGAAGACGAACAGATGACGATTCCGAGGTCGACGTTGAGCGTTCAGGCCCGCCCAATCCTTATGCTCAAAAACTGACTGATCGGCAAAAAGAGTTGAAGCATAACTTTAAGCGACTTGCAGCTACTCAGAAATTGATACTCAATGAACTTGCCGGTCGCACCCAGCAAACGCTTGCTCGCGACAGAAAGGCACATCTTGAAGCCGTCGAATATGATGAAGTGCAAAAGGCACTAGAACTTTATCTACAGAGAAGGCTGGACGCTTTGGAAAGTGAACACCGTCTCCGTATTGAACAGGCGACTCGCTTAGCTGAGGCTGAGGCCCAAATTATTAAAGATCGATATGAGGTAAGAGTCAGTTCTCCATCTTGCTGCTGTTACTAATATTTGAACCAGGCCAATGCTACCAATATTCAGGATGAACTCTTTTACGCCGCTCGAGGCGAGTACATGCAGCTCGTCGAAGGTGTGCAGCATGCTGGCGATGATGAGCACACAGAGGTAGGTCTCGTACATATCGTTAAGAGCTGTGAACTAACTTTAGCAGCCCGATCTCGATGGCCCAGGACTGGCGCCATCTCATGCATCGGCAGAACAACCCACTGCTTTAATTTATGAGTACGAACCTTATTATTTGAACGAACCCAAATTCACACGCGGCTTCAATTCTCGATTCGTCCGTGAAAATTCTGGCGCCGAGGCGTATGAAAGGGGCAAAAATGGCTGGGACGATTTTACACAGCGCGCAAAGTTGAAAGAAATCAGCCAAGAAGAGTCTGCCGCGGATTCTTTGCAACTACTTCTTCAAGCTTCTAAAAGTGCTTTCACCAACGAAGATGGACGCCCTTCCTCCACTGGTACAGCATCTTCTGAAGCTTTGTTTGCGCTAGCAGACGCAGCCAGCACTGCACAGCCAGTTTCCTCGCGTCCGTCTTTTCCACTTTCATCGCATCCGACACCAGACCAACATCTACCATCATTCATGCTGCCACAAACAACACCAAGTCGATCAACTCTTCCTCCGTCACGTGGTTACCCAGATTACTACACAATGGGCTCGAGAATGCATCAATTAACACCCCCGTCACGTCTTGGACTCGACGACTATTCGACTCGGGACGGTCCACTTTCACGGCTCSGACTGGACCAGCGGCGAAGCTCAGATTTGCGATACCACCCTTTTTCGCCGCCAGCATCTCTACTACGAACAACGGCAAGAACTGCACCGCCTCCTTATTATCACTCAAACGCATACCAAAGCCCTTATCAGGGGCCCGCCCCATCGCAATCATCTTCTTCGACTCGTCGGCCATATTAGTCTGAGCCAAACTGTCCCCTAGAAGATGAGCATGTACAAAAGCTATGATCAGTTACCTTAGCGTTGATTCAAATTTTGAGGGTCGTTTTCATATCGGTTCATTCCTGTTCGTGCTTTTCAGGATCGGTTTTACTTCTTTCTGGATATTGCGAGGCGCCGGTGCCCCCCCGCCCTTGTTATCTGAAGGATTATGTTCTTGTACACTATTGTTTCATCGATTAGGTTGGATAGAAGCTGTCTTTAGCAATAATGAAGCAAATGCTCAATATAAGCCCCATCGACCATAACCCAAGAAGGGACGAAACTACTTCAACTCCACGTAAACCCTACTAGCCAACTGATCCACATCCGGATACATCTTCCCATCCTCTCCTTCCCTCTGATACTGATTAACATTAAACTGCGCGATCAGCCTCGCTCTATATGGCTCCGGCGGACTCCTCCAGACATGACAAACCGCATCATGAAGACACTCAATACTAATCCCCCTAAACCCACCCTCAGCCGCTTTACGCATTAAAAAATGAGCCAATTCCTTCATCACGCCTGCCCCCTCATAATCCGCTCGCGTTGACGTGCCGTTCCGCAGCATCACTTGACCCAGCGCAGTCGCCTTCCAGCTCGATGCCTCTCGAGCATCGAGTCTATCAAACTCATGATTGAGATCCGCATAGAACGGTAACGACTCAATCAACGGTCCCAAACGCGTTTCGTCGAACGGATCAAATTGATCCAGCGCCATCGCGATCGATACAAGGGGGAAGTCCATCTGCGAGAGCAATTCGTCTGCCGTCGCTTCTGTATTGGTCTCGTCCCAATACAGCGCCCCTCCTTTAGTCGCAGAGTCGGCGCGTTTGAATTTGTATTGTGTATCGAAGACCCCGTACGAGAGTCCAGACGCGATCTGGTGCGCCATCATGTAGTCACATGCTTCGAAAAGGGCGTATGCGCGCTGGGTTTTGTTTTGGGGGTATATGGTTGGCCAGACGGGGGAGTGGAAGACGTTGCTATGGGTGATTATTGCTTTGGCCCAGGGGAGGTGTTTAGTGGATAGTTTTTGGATTTGGTAGCGGTTTTTGATGGTGTGTTCGGCCATTTTGTCTTTACCCATGTATGATGTTTATATGGATGGATACTAGATAGGAGGGCGGCACGCAACTTATTTATATATTAACTGGTATTATGGCTGCGCATTAATGCTCGCTTTTTGAGCCAGGATTACGCACACCGTTCGGAAAGTGGGAGACTATTAAATGAGGCTTGAGTAAGCCAATGCAGCTTTAGTCATGGCTCCAATCAATCGTTTCCAGAAATAGTCAAGGTTGTTGGGAATCAATCAGCTCTTACATCGGTTAACCGGATTGGTTCAATTCTATTACAGTAGGGTGTGCACATTTCAATGTTGGACGTCTGAAAAGTCAAGAAATAAAAGCAAAAATGCCTTTATTACTACAGCATTATATACTATCAATATGATTTCTATACCTCCTTTTCATGACCCTCTTCCACAGGTTCATCAGCATCCCCCAACCTCAAATCTTTCAATGAAAGACTAATCAAAAACCCAAGGCCGGCAACAACCGTATACAAAATCCAAACGTACCTCAGCGCATCCGTCAACGTCTCAAACACAACCTCCCTCTTTTCCCCCTCTGGCAAAGACTCAATAATCCCAGCCGCCGCTGTCGACGCAACCGCAATCTCCGTCGCGATCTGCTGACCCAATACCTTGGCCATAACATCGATCTTGGTGCTGACTACATGGCCATAGACCACTGAACCGACTACAACTGAAACCGAGGCTGCGAGTTGTCTTACGAATGAGAAGGTTGCTGTTCCACGGGCCAGTTCCGCGGGTTTCGTATTGGCCTGTAGCGCGATGAGGGTAGCTTGAAAGTTTGGACCGATTCCGAGGCCGACGATGAGTTGATACAGGACTATTCGCGGCCAGGAGGTGTATGGTTTGAGGTCGATGTAGAGTCCGTATCCGAGCGTGGTGAAGAGCATGCCTAGGACGATTGCTTCGCGGGAGCGGCCGGTGCTGCGCATGTAGAATCCTGATGCACCGGAGGAAATCGCTAGCGACACGACCAGCGGCATAAGGTAGACGCCGCTCATGAGGGAAGTGGTGAGAAGAACATTTTGGAAGTAAACGGGCAGATAGAAACAGCCTCCAATAAAGACCGTTGCGTGACAGAAGTTGATCATAAGCACGGTAAAGTTGTACCAGTTACTGAAAATACCGACGGGAATGATTGGCGTGCGCGCGAACTTCCATTCGTTCAGACCAAAAATGATTGCAGTGACGATGCCGAATATGATAAGACAGATCACGGTAGCAGAGGCCCAGGGGTATTGGGAGCCGCCGAACTCGAGGCCCAGGAGGAGCATCAGTGTAGCACCGACAATCAGAATGAGACCGATCCAGTCGATTGCGCGGAGACCTTCGAGGATACTTTTGAGACGAATGTCGATTTTGAGGAAGAAGAGAAGACCGAGGAAGGCGAGGCCGCCGACTGGCACTGCTGATTGTTAGCCTGTACGTTTTAGGGCATTTGTGTTAGGAAAGACCGGACGCACAATTGATGTAAAAACACCATCGCCAGGTAGTATATGTAGTAAATGCGCCGCCGATAATAGGCCCAACTGCACCGGCAATAGCCCAAGTAGCGCCAAATATACCCAAATATGCCGAACGACGACGAACGTTGAACAGATCCGAGACGCAGATATTGGCGAGAACCGTGATGCCTCCACTGCCTATACCCTGAATGGCCCGTCCAGCGACCACCATGGCTACATTGACGGCCACGCCGCAGATGAGACTTCCGCCAAGAAAGAGAACCACAGTGATCATCAAGGTGAGCTTCCGGCCCCAGATATCGCTAATCCGACCCCAGAGGGGAACACAAGACGCATTTGCCAAGAGATAGGAGGATGCGATCCAGGAGTATGCGCTGTCGGAGGCTTTGAACTCTGCTACCATTTTTGGAAGGGCCGTTGAAACGATGGTCTGTCATTAAAGTTCCTATTAACATTGAACTATTGAGCCAGTATAAGAAACTTACAATGTCTAAAGCAGCTAGAAAAACGCAAAACTACGAGCAAGCGTATGAGCATCACATCCCTATCTACCGCGAAAAGTGACAGTCGGTATGGACACCTACACTGAGCGCGACCATCACAATTGCAATCCGCGGTTTGCTTTGATGGTCTGCCGGAGAGTCTTCATTCTGGACTGGCAGTTCGACGGGTTCGGGGTCGACATGGCGCTTTGCGGGGAGCTCTGACATGTCGAGTCCATCTTCCATTTGGTGGTAGGATTTGGGAGAGGGTTTCTGCCCGATCTCAGCAGCCATGAGAACGATCGACCGCTGGGACTGAGAAGAATGTAGAAATCTGAAGACTCTTGAGTCAGACAGTCAGGAGGTCGACCAGACCAAAGGATAAATTCAAAAAGCTTTCTCCCACGTGCGAGTCGACGTCATTTTGTGGCTTATGGCTTGGGACGAACCCGATCTACGGCTCTTTTTCACGGGTTCATTATCTTCATTTAATTTGCATTATAGTATTGCTGTTATTAATGTTAATTAATCTAGGGGAACTCTGTACCCATAGCAGCGCAGGTCTCGCATGCGTGTTGAGCCTTTCAGAAGTGGCTGTCTTGCAACGTGTTCTGCAACTGTGTAAGATGCATTTAGCCGGACAATTCGAGAATGCTCGTTGACAGATCCTATCATATCATGTATTATGGCGTGGCGTGTCTTCACCAACATCGAGGGGGTTTGATCTAATCTTTTGACACAACGCGTATGTATGCCAGTACTAGACCCAAAATAGTAAAGCGCAGCCGAGTTTGCTTTACCCTTGGCGATAGAACCAATAGAAATCGGAGCTATACGAGACCGGTTAGAGCGGTGGAAAAGGTGCTGTAGATCGGGCGGTTAGGGTCACATCTCCTTCTTTGGTCCTCTAAACACCACAGAAATGTATGAATAGACTTTCAGCACTGCCAGCTACACACATCGTAATTCTAGCTAGGCTCACGATTCGAACTATGGAGAAATGCCTCGAAAGAGCGCACAGGCTTGGAGGCTTGGATGAACGTATGGATCGGGCGAATGAGATAGACACAAAGCTGGACAGTATTTGCTTTGACATTCATGCTTTTGCATCATGAGCTCGAAGTATATATTCTTGAGAGATCCAGTATGTAGCTAGCATGCAATCAGTTCAACCTATGAAGCTGTCGACCTCTCTTCACCGTTGAACAAAATGACACACCCCCATCTTGCCGGTTCGTAACCCTAATTCCAACATCACCACGCCATACCTAGATAACCCTCATCTAACATATCCATGGATGTGCACACAGAACGAGACGACACAGGCTACATAGACCCCTTATTTCCCAATCCCAACGGCCCAAACGACACCCCGATCATAATCTACGGCTATACCCCCTCCATCGCCCTCGCCGCTCTAGCCGCAATCTGGTTCTTCATCCACTTAGTCCTGCACACCACCCAAACCCTCCGTCTGCGCAACTGCTGGTGGTGGCTCACTTTCTCTGTTGGCTTAGTTTTTGAGGTCATCGGGTACATTGCGCGCTCCCTATCCGCCAAGAATGACCCTTACAACCTGACTTACTTTGTGCTCAATTACTTCTTCATCGTGACGGCGCCTGTATTTTTGGCGGCGGGGATATATACAATTTTGTCTATCTTGATACGGGATACGGCGGGTGGGAATCGGTTCGCGGTTGTTTCGCCACGAGTCATATTGTGGTTTTTTATCACGTCTGATGTAGTGTCGACAGGCATACAAATCTCCGGCGCTGTGTATGTCGGAGTTCGTGAATCGAACATGCAAGATCCGACTGTTGCGAATAATATCTTGCTTGGCGGTCTCGCTTACCAGGTTTTTGCAATGAGTATATTCATCATTCTGTCCTCGACATTCGTCGTTCGAGCTCGACATGCCCTCAAAGCAGAAGGCCGAACCACGTTCGTGGCCGTCTTCGTTCTCTCAACCCTCATGGTGTATCTGAGGACTGTGTTTCGTCTCGCAGAGACAGCGGAGGGGTTGTTCGGGAAATTGGCGACCCATGAGGTGTTTTTTGGGTGTTTGGAGTTTGCGCCGATTGCATTGGTGGCGCTGTTACTGGGGGTTTGGCATCCGGGACGCTGTTTTGGGTTGAGGCGCGAAAGGGGGAGAGACAAGGCGAGTGCTTGATATTTACGACTATCATAAAAGGTATATACTGTATTAATAGTGCTCCATGCGAGGTTATTTTAAGTTGAAAAGTATAAGACTGAAACTTCTGGATGTATTCGTCTAGAGTGTCTTATAAACATGTACATGCAAGTGCTTTTTGCCGTCGAGTCCAGCATCACGCAGCTATAAACAAATCCCACAACGCCGTCCGAAATGAGCATTAAATCATCATACTAACTCCATTGAGTCCATTTATACAGTTATGTAACCCTGACGGCTTCTAAATGACTGCGGGACGGACTGCCTGGAAGTCTTCAAGTGAAACGTTCACAGCACCGGCTTGAACCAACTACACCAATAGTCAGTAAATACTCAACCAAAAAGGGGAAAAGTGACGTACAGCTCGTCGCAAATCATCAATCAAGTCATCCGCGTCCTCGATACCCACACACAACCGAATAATGTCCTCTGGCATGGCACGCTCCGCGCGCGTCTTTGCATCAATACTAGCATGACTCATGCGACAAGGCATACTGATCAAACTATTCACACAGCCGAAACTGACACTAATAGCCCACAGCTTCGCGCTCTCGACAATCCGTTCACTGAGACCAACGTCGCCCGTCTCAAATGACAAGACGGCMCCAGCCCCTCTAGCCATGGAATGATGCAATTCGTATTGCGGATGAGACTTCAAACCGGGGTATCGGACTTTGAAGCCATGAGCCTCCAAAAACTCGGCGATGCGTTGCGCGTTGGCTTGTTGTTGATCCATGCGCACTTTCAGAGTCTTGACGCCGCGCATCAAAAGCCATGAGTCGAAGGGCGACAGACCACAACCGGAGGCGTTGATGGGGAAGTATAGTCTTTCACCGAGAGTAGGGTCGTTGACGGCAATGACGCCGGCCATGAGGTCGTGGTGGCCGGATAAATATTTTGTGCCGCTCTCGTAGACGATATCGGCTCCCAATTCGAGCGGGTTGAGAAGTAAAGGGGACATCATTGTGTTGTCAACCGTAACCAAACAGCTGGGATTGGCTTCGTGGGCCAGAGTGGCAATCTTGGGGATATCAACGACTTTGATCAACGGGTTTGTCGGCGTTTCGAGCAAGACCATCGCCGTCTTGGGTCCCAGGACTGCCTGCACTTTCTCCGGTGTAGTAGTGTCAACGTGATGCACGACAATGCCGCCGTGTGTCTTGAGATAAGTCAACAACCGATTGCTACCACCGTACAAATCGTCGCCGGTGACGACTTCATCGCCCGGTCGGAGGAGTCGCGTGATAACGTCCAGGGCAGCCATGCCGGAGGATACCACGAGCGCTCTTTGAGCGGACATGATCTTTGCGAGATGGCGTTCGAGATGTGTACGTGTCGGGTTGCCGGAGCGAGTGTAGTCGTATTCTCCACCGCCGGAGCCGGATGTTTGTTTGAATGTGGCACTCTAAACATTGCGATTAGTATATGATTGCCCCAAACCTTGCCAGACAAGTTCATAATACCTGATAGATAGGTACGCTGCTGGCATTGTACTGATCGCCGCTATCTGTATACACCAACTCAGTGGCAAGGGCATATCGGCGTCCGGCACTGGGGCTCGATGGAGCGGGTGACGGCGGTAGATTGTGTCCATCTAGATCGATATGAGGAAATGCTTTCTTCACAGCACTGGCCGACGAAGGGCCGCTCTGTCCGGAGCCAGGAGACGACATTGTATGTTGTTTGTGCGTGGTGTGTATATGTGCTCGTTCGAAAGATTGAGGAGGGGTAGATGAAGAGAAAGTTTTCAATGTCCCCGCCTGCAATTGGTGTTGTAACTGACGGGATAAAGCAACCACGCCGCAAATATAGTAACAAAGTCAGAACATGAGATGAAAAAGAAGCTGATGCTCTTCCTATATAACTGAGTCACGCTTGAAATAATGCTAGCTCGATGTCAATTGCGGAGTGACTGAGCAGGGCCGACTCGGGCTGGGGCGGGGAGAACGTGATTGGCTAGTCCGACATCGGTGACCAGGACCAAGAGCACGTCATTCCAGCTTGGCCTAATAGGGACTAGCGCTGTATATCTCTAGCTAAATGGTCTGTGATTGGGTGAATTAGATTTGTAGCAGAATGATGCCATACATTTGGTACACCGACACTACAACATGCTAAGATCTCCAAATTACTATCTCCATTTCATACACTTCATAACGAAACACCGCCTCAACAACAAAGTATAGAATCAATATACAATGATACATCGATACACGCTTCCGTCATATATACATGCACATCAACTCACATTTCTAGCCAGCCATGGGGTCGGCAACCAAATCCCCAAAGCTTCCATTAATGCCAAAGAATTGGAACCTGTCACATGTCAGTAGGGAACATATACTAACAGAAAGAAAATTAAAAAGTACGCACCAGTCTTCAACGTTCAAAGTTGTCGGTGCTGTAGGATTTCCGCGAGAGCTGTTACTCCAATTGTCATCCTGACTAGTAGCATCCATATTACCCGCCAGCGCTGCATCAAGCCCTGCCCAATTCTGCATTCCTTCCATATGGAACATCTGCTGCGGCGGCGGAGGCGCATTCGATAGGTTGCCCATGTCGGGATGGATGCCAGCAGAGACATGTGACGGACTGCCTTGAGCGCCTGGTAGTGTTCGAGTAGGCATTTGTTGTTGTTGTTGTTGTTGTTGTTGTTGTTGTTGCTGATTCATCATCATATTACCTTGACCACCCATGGTGTTAGCTGTTTGCATCTGAGGGTCCATCATGTTGGTCTGCGTGGGGAAGAAATTGGTGCCGTCAGGGAATAGTTGGTCCGGCTGGAAATTCTCCCACAAGGAGGGCGAAAGATTCGGCGAAGTACGAGTGACAAGGAAAAGATCTGGAGGTGTAGCCGGGAGAGAGAAAGACGGGTTGAATGGAGTGTTTGCTCGAGACGTTCCTGTATTCTGTGCGCCCTCTTGACCTTTGGGAAGGTTGGGCGACATTTGAGGCAGAGGGCCTATACCGCCTTGTTGTCCAGACATGGGATTTACTTCACGCGACGGTGTGGCAGCAGGAGTCTGTGGGCGCGATCGCTCGTACGATACTGGAGGTGTAGGATTACCGTTAGGTAGTCCGATATCCATGTCATCGAATTTCCGCTTTGGTGGCTCTGTTCTTCTGTGATTGGAGACTAGGTTGGGTTCGTTTTCCGACGGACGATTCTTCTGGTGTCTTTTGCCTGGCGCTTTCTGCAGACGCTCTTCCAACATCTTATTGCCCAGAATGGACTCAAACAGAGTGTGCACCATCTTTGCAACCAGCCAAACCTTTGATACATCCTTCAGTGCTTGCATGCAGATGGTCATTCTTTCTTGACAAGCAGCCACAACAGACGGTACAGACGATCGCATCTGGTAGACATGCATGATCAATGCCGAGAAAAGACTGTAGACGATGAATGCTGGAGTGTAACGGAGCTCGTTATGAGACTGTAGCTTCTCAACTATGGACGTGATCATTCCAGCAGCCTGGAAAGCAATGGTGCGTGACGGATATGCAATCTCCTCTGTGCGATAACTATTCGCGCTCGCTGTAGCCGGTGGCATGTGCGCTCGATGCAGGAGACAAAGCGTTGTATAGTAGTTTGAGTGAAGCAGCGCTGCCCAAAAGTGATGGTTCTTCCTCTCCCAGTAGACCGCTCTGGGGCAATTTTGAAGCCAATCGGCCAACGCCATGTCGGAGTGTGTCAGATCAATGGCATTTGTGCGCCGAGATTTGGAAGCGACGGAATACTGCTGCGACAACACAAGGCCCATAATCTCACACAACTTGACATATTGGAGAAAGAATTGCACGTGTACTGGATCCGGAGGATATTCGGCTGGAACATCACCCTCGTCTTCGATAAAGTCGTCTTCCGTAAGCATCTCAACGTCGGAATCATCAATGTTGATGTTGATTGGTCTGCCAAGGGCGACAGCAACAGAGCGATCTCTTGTAAAGAGAGTCCACCATATTCTTTTCCATAGTCGCTTGTCGGATCTGCTAAGCTGGGAGTTTTCGACGCTAGATACACAGTCAGTCCTCTGATCGTGACATACGAGTCAATTATACTAACCTTCGGTGCATACCAGAACCTTGAGCCACTAGAATTGCTACTCGACTCCAGTAAAAGACGTTCTTTGTAACATCTAGAGTACTTGTCAGTTTGACAGCCACAAAAGGAATGAATTTCCATAATAGCAGAAGAGGACTGACCTTCAGGACCCTCCCAGTACCACCCCATCAACACCAATGCTTGAACTAGGGTAACACGATCATCCTCATAATTGGCATCGTAAAGTGCCTTGGCACGTTTGTAGAAGGTGGTAGAGGCAGGAATAGTGGAGCCATTTTGATCCATCAATTTCGAATTGTTGCAGACTCGAGAACCAGCCAGTAAAATAGCCTGCAGTAGAAGGAGCGAAGGCGGATTCTGAGGGTCTTGATATCGGCGCATGAAGCGGTTGCGATTGATGATAGGTACGACTGGAGCCACCCATTTGAAGTAAGCTTCGACGAGTTCGTCGCATAGCTCCCGTGGAGGAAGTAAAAATGCTCCTCGCCGATGAAGAATCTCAATCTCCAAGCTGTCGAGTTCGGTCAAGTGTCCCCGACTCCCTCGGATAGTCTCCGGAAGTGGATAGTGAACAACATCTGTGAAGCCTCGATCATGGACAAGAAGCGATAAATTCGATGATTCGCCCAAGTAGGCAACCCGGCCTGGTTCCTTGATTGGCGCTCTTGTAAATTTTGGCTTCATGATCTGAGCATTATATGGTCCTGGGTTATTCGTCTCTGGATTCGGCCTGACAGCTGCCGCCAATGTGTTCGCCGGCATTCCATCGATGGATATGGGAGGATTTGCAGGGAAAACCGGGTTCTCCTGCGTTCGCGGTGTGTTTGATTCTTCCTCGTCATCGTCGTCTCTGTTTTGGTCATAAGTTTTAGTGTCACTAAAAGGAGTCACTGGTTAGCTATCATAGCCGATACTGATAACCGTTCTAGTGTTGTTCATTGCAGCAACATACCCGTTATTATCCTTGTTTCTCGGCTGTTGGTTCTTCTTTCGTTTCGGCGTCGGAATACGACATTCGATAGCAAAAGCCACACAATTAGTGCAAGGCACACCTAAGCTGGCAGCGTCACATCGGACCTGTGATAAGTCAGTAAGCTTATCATCGTAATTTGCTTGTGACAGCCCGAAGAAAACCCGGCTGGTCCGATCGACGTGACGGATGCCTCTAGCTGTCTCAGTCGCATAAGAAACTTTTAAAAGAAAACGCACCTTTCGAGCATGACAAGTCTATTCGATTTTAAAAGCATGTGTTAGCAAGAATCTTCCCTGATCAATGTTTCATCGCATTTCTCCTTTTTCCTTTTTTGTTCCCCAAGGTACGAGGTGACCGTATGTATAACAAGGATGTGCTAATCAGGTATGCGGGTAGATAGTGGGGGCGTCCGATTTTGCCGAGGCACAATCAAGCACCTCAACGTGGAAATGCGCGCGACAAACGGTCAAAGACGAAAAAGCTAGAAAACGTACCTCGCATGCACGGGACGCGCGTTGCCTGTAAACCAATCGATCAGGAACAGATTAGCAAGGCTACTTATGAAAAGATTTGACATGATGACAGGGTGAATTATTGACGTGGGCTGGATTTTCAAGCTCGTGCTCTCCCGACTCGCGATCGCCACGGAGCATGAAAAAAAGGCTTCATTCACATGTCAAGAGAAGAAAACCCTCTCATCGCAGCACATAGAACAGACAGAATACAACATAGCACGGAAGAGTATATATATGGATAACATACCTTCTAAAACTTGCAATACCTGCATTGGGGACGCCAGATGCGCCTGACAGTGACAGCGACTGATTATTGCTCCCAGATTTGGAGCGGTCCTGACTTGAAGCAGGACTGGGATGGTCTTGCTGCTGGTACTCCATTTGGCCTGCCATTTGGTTTTCTGTGGCCATGATGTTTTATAGCTGCAGAGCGCAACTGCTTTCCATCGATGCTTGGAATGCGACCTGTTTGGTATATCTGGCTTGTTTTTTTGCGATTTCTTATATCTGATGCGCACTTTTCCGGGATGTGTTCCAGGGATGTAAAATTGTAAAACGAATGACTCTCGACGAGAGGCGACTGAGGAAACTTAAGGAAATGAAAAATAAATGATGCAAACCGAATACGAGGTTCACGCGATCCCGATGGAAGAGTGTTGGTTCCCTAGGTTTGCTTTGGCGCGAGCGTCAAAGCATGGAAAAGGAGGAAAAGTGAGAATAAAAAGAATCCCTGCTCACTGCCTGAACTGGCCGATCTGTGTATGAAGGGTTAAAAAGGCGATGCCTGATATATGGATGGCGAGAAAATGCGGATAAAAGCGGGAGAAAAGCCAAGGGCTTGGAGCCTGGGGAGTTGTGCGGAAAATGTGGAGTAAGGCCAGAGGTCCGATGGCGGTTGAGAGTGATACAGCTGGTAATAATAGTCAGATTGGTATATATACTTGAATTGTGCGTTGCCGAAGTGTTGGAATAGTATGGGGAAGAGCAAGCGGAGGAAAGAGGAGAGGAGAGAAGGATGATGGTGGTGGATCGATCAGCCAACCAGGCACGAGCCTATTACATACGCGGTATTACAATTACCAGTACAGCGGGTTGGACCCGTGTCACGTATAATTAATTAAGCATGAATGCTGTAAAGTTTGATAACTTACGTACGGAGCAGTTCCGGTATTTGTCTGACCAGTCTCGTATTTTAATCTAATCAGTCGAACCACAGTCCTCAGCCAACCCAATATTCCGCACTAGCTGCACGCTAATGTCATGGAAAACCAAGGCTGAGCGCATCATTTTGGGGTCATTTCCGGGGTAGGTTTGTCTTGTGTATGGATTGTATGTATGTATGTATGTACGTATTTTACCATATACGCGCACAATCCTCTGTATGTCGGTACATGAAGCGTCAGATGCACATGCCTGTACTTATTTATATTGTATTATCATATACTGGTATAGTACTTACTTCTGACAGTTTGACAATCTATGCATGACTCAAGTGAAATAATCCCATTATGAATTCGCTTGATGTAATGGGGTTTAGAGCTCGTGGATCACAACGGCTGCACAGTGTCCTGCATCGCGGATAATAATTGTACAACGGCCACGGGTACTACATAGGACATGCTTTCTGATAGATCATATCAGTGAATTCTATGTGTCTAGCCCAATTGGGTATTAGGTATTGGATGACAGGCAAGGCTATGTAAAAATATGAACAGTTCAGAGTCGTCGCAATAAAATCGGATTGAAGGCTCTATACGTCTATGCTAGGAGCATGTTTCTCCTGAACTACATTACACCGGGTCCGTTGATACAGGGATACCGACAACTACCGACATACGAGAATGCATGGGTAAGTAATGTCGACATACATGTGAAGCAGAGAACAAAAGCAGTCAAATCATACAGGATTAGTGGCCTGAAAGTGGACGGAGTTGGGGTAATGAAACATGCTAGTGACTGATATTATGCAAATCGGCATGTTGATGCTGTATGATGTGATAGAGGTTGCGGACGCTGCAAATACAATAGGTGATGATGAATAGACAAAACACGGCAGAACAACGATGATGACGATGACGATGTTATAAACAGGAGGTATCTTTCGCTCTATATAAAGGACTGGAAGAAGAATGGTAGAAACTGTCAGGTGGAAAGCTAGTCGTTTTTATGCGCGTCTAGACGAGGACGGGTGCGAGTCGTTGAAGAAGGCGAGTTCGAGAAGCGTTCGTATTGCGAGTAGTTGCCCATAGCCTGATTGCGACCATTTCGGCTTTCGGTATGACCATTGCCCATCAATACTTCAGAGTCACTGCCTCCTTCAAGCCCATCATTGAGTTCGATAAGATCACCTAGTCCCGCAATACCAAGTGCTTGACCACGTGAAGACTGCTGGGAGCCTCCCGGCTGCAAATCATTTAGACTTGTTTTAGCCCTTACCGCCATCTTCCTCATCCATCCTTCGATAGCTCCACCGAAATTTTCCAAACCGGTGCTTGATGTCCCTGAAAGCACACTTGAGGTCGAATCAAATGACGCCTTGCGTAGTGTCGAAGGCGCCGGTGGAGGAGGAACTGAAAGATTTGGAAGATGTTGCGCGACAAATTTGTTAAGGCCATCTTGTGCAGGGCCTGGAGCATGGACCTCCCTACCTAATGTCCCAACACCACCTGGTCCCTGTAGCGTGATGCTGCTAGTACGCCTATGACCGGCTCGACTGGACCGAAGTGGTGAAGTCAGACGAGACGAGGACGTGGAAGGAATAGGCGAGCCATCTCGCTGGTAAGATGAAGAAGAATCTATACGATTGAGTCTTGTAGGTATCGTGGGAGTTGGAGGTTCGGCGTCAGAATACGGTAGTGATAAGGACTTTCGCCTCGAGCGTGGGAAGAAACCTAATGTCTTGCGAGGTACACGACCAATCTCGACTGGGCTTGGAAAGCCTTCCATCATGACCCATGCTTCATGTTTCCATACGCGCTCATTATCACTTTTGGTTGTTTGCACTGACTCGGACGGTTCGCCAATAGGCGGGGACTCGCTCGGTACGATCGAGCTACCAGCAGGGTCTTCCGATGAGGTTTCACCCGACAAATCATCACCCAGCAGATCAACATTGCCAGGCCGGTCTACCCGTCGGCCCTTGACAGAGCATGCTTCAGCCGGCAGGAGAACGATCTTCCTCGTTTGTATACTGTCACTCGGCCAGAAACCGTTCGCTTTTCGGAAGATCGCAAGCTGACATCCATATTTGATACATAACCCTGTCATCGAGTCACTCGGCTGAATGTGATGGATGTAAACCAGTGCCTCTTCATCCAGCTCAGGATCCATTGTACTATCATTTGAAATCTCCAACGAATCTTTCCGCTTATATCGATCTCTGAGGTCGGACAAGGAGTCACCATTGGCAAGTAGCAATATCTCTCTTTTCTTCGCTTGTACCAAAGCTTGTCGCTCTTCTTTTGTTCCAGAACCGATTTGTGGACCTGATGAAACCGAAGGGCCCCATGCCGAAGGTCCCTGCTGTTTCGATAGACTCACAGGAATGTCGGACCGAGAGGGCTTTCGGCGTTTCGTTGAAATTGTAGAATTAGAAGCCGACTTTCCCCACTTCAGATCGTTCCCTAAGAAGGACGAAGTAAGACTTTGGATAGACGACCATGATGACTCGAGAAATCCAGATGAGTTATGCGATGAGTTAAATGGCTGAAAAGTGTCCCTGCTTCCATATGCGTCATCGTCGTCTCTATACCTACCACCAAGGTCCCGCTCTGATACCCTTGAAAATTGCTTCTGAGGGAGAGGCGAGCCCCTTTGTGATGCATATGGTGAAGGTGTTGTACCTCGAGACTGAGGAGGGGTCAGCCGAGCGAAAGAAGAAGCGACCCTAGAAGTTGATGAAGTCTGCGGTCCCTCCTCCTCACCATCATTGTTGACGGATATGAGCCTTCTATTTCGAGGTCGGACAGCGGTACTCGATCTTCGACTTGTGCTGGCACTTGAGACCGCTGGGTTGACATCGAGGAAGTCGGTATTTGAGCTCATTCCTACTAACGACACTGGGTTTTTGATTTCGATTTACGTATGAGTCCTCCGTAGTCTCCGTGTCCGACTTCAAATTTCGATAGAACGTCCGGGGCCCGTCTGTGAAGGCCAAGGAGGAATAAATTCAAGTCATTCGATATGCAGCCTCCGAGGCGATAAACCACTCCCCACCAAGCCCGTGGTAATCGCTTGGGAAGCTGTTTAATTCTCCGTCATTCCTTCAGCAGAATATCACGCGTTCCTTGATTGGTTGTCTTCGGGCGCGCTTTTTATCGGAGTCAAATCGAAGCCAGCTGGGACTTGGGGTGATAAGGACAGTGAACACGGGGAGGTACACAACCGCAGTGACGAAATCACTAAGCGCGCGGATTGGGCGGGGACTCCACAAAGACCGGTGTTTAGAGTATGGCTTAATAAGTGTAGACGATATTGTAATGCTGCTACAATTTCAAAAAAGCGATGGCGATGCGATTGGTCTGCAGGTGCGATAGGTATATAGCAGGAAAGAGGTAGCTAGAAGGCAAGAGTAATGCCATACGTACTACGGAGGTGGGCTAGCCGGGGCCCTTGAACCCATCCACGCGGCGCCAAGACTGATCCGCGGTCCCATGTCAATGACAATCAAACAGCAGCCACTCGTTATTTGGTGTTAATGTTCAAGCGTATATCTACGAAGAGGCTCTTCATTGAGCAAGGAATAGTCCTATCGTTTCGTAAACAAGGTCAAGCATTAGATATGTATACATGAAGTTTATATGTCCAAACGCCTTACATGCTCTTGTAGCATGTCATAAAATAGCCAATAGAGTTCAAAATTGAGTGGAGAACAACAACATGTCCCAGTGACAAGTGACAAGTCGTCGACTACTCAGGGGGCACCGAGATGGCAGCCGGTATTGTAGCGTGTGGCTGGACCTCCTCTTCTGCGCCCTCGGACTCAGTTGCCCATTCTTTATCATCTGTTTCACTCACAACCTTGCTTTCGCGTTTCGGCGTCGTTTGAGGTTTAGGAATCACCTTCAAGCCGCTACCGGTGCGGTTATAGAAATCTTCTGTGCGCAGACCGCGTACTTCTCTGGGCTCAACAGTTGTCATGTGAATGCCGGCTGCCTTCTTCTCTCGAATCAGTTCACGCATAGGCACCATTGCTGCGTCTCGGCAGGCTTCTTTAATATCGCTACCTGACATTCCCGCCATGGCGCTTACAAGATACTCAAGATCGAAATTCGGGCGGTCGACCTTGGTATCCTTAAGAACAAGAGCGAGAATGCGTAGCCTCTGTGCAGCAGGCGGGAGGCTAACGGGGAACTTTTTGGGCATACGTCTCAGAATAGCCTCATCGATATCTTGAATTCTATTCGTAGCGCCCAGCACCACTACCCGTTGTGGCTCTCCCATAGAGTTGGAGGATGTCAGTCCGTCCCAATGCGTCATGAACTCAGCCTTGACCATTCCGCTCGCTTCATGTTCACCACTCCGCCGCGTACCCAATACCGCATCAATCTCATCAATAAAAACTATAGCTGGTTGTAGCTTCCTAGCCAGTGAAAAGACCGCATTGACCAATTTATTGGAGTCACCGTACCATTTTTCGGTCAGGGTGGAAATATGTAGATTAATAAAACAAGCTCCGCTTTCGTGAGCCAGTGCTTTGGCGAGCATCGTTTTACCGCAGCCTGGAGGTCCATAGAGCAAAACACCAGATGGAGCGGAAAGTAACGACGATGTTGATGCATATAGATGAGGCATGGTCAACGGATAAATCACGGACTCTTTCAACTCTTCGATAATATCGTCCAGTCCTCCTATATCCTCGAAGGACACTGCAATATCTTCCGGAGCGACAACGTCCATTGCAATGGCTTGCTCATATTGATTCAACACCAATTCCTCTTTCTTCTGCTTGCGGCTCCTGCGTGAACCGCTTCGGCCTGTGGTATCGTCGTCGGAGTCGGGGCCATCGAGTCTCCGCAGAATCGCTGCTGATTTCTTCCTTTGTTCTTCCTTCTTCTGGCCTTCGGGGTCTAGATCGATGCGCGATAGAAGATAACGGATGAGAAAGTATGCAGAGGCAGACTGGAGATCGTTGAGGTTAGCACGAAGCCCGAAGCCTGGAGATGCTATCTTACAGTGCCGGCTATCATAACCAGTTCTTGGACGAACTGCTGCCATCTTCGACCTCCACCAGACGCCATGTTGAAGTTTAAATTTCAAGGGAATACAATAAGAATGCGTTCAAGATGAAGTTCAAAGTTGACCGATGGGCCGCAACAAAGCGATGCAGTACTCGTAGTATGCCCAGCGATGTGAATCTGTGGCGGTGACAGCGTGATTGGGTGTGGCTTTGCCGCGGCTGACGAAAGCGGTGAGTTATCGACTCGAGATAAGAAATCACATGCTTTGGCGCCCGAAAAGTCTTAGCGCGTAATCGAGACTCCACGTTCGCGCCTCGCGCCAAGCCTTCACCAACACGGGGAGTTGATGTTTGGCATTGTTTGCGATTGAGTTGACAATCCTCAACGTCGCATACACCGTCGCATGATATTCAGCATACTTACAAATCGCTACATTAACTTGTGAATATAATCACTTACACGCAATCATGCCAAAAAGAAAGGCTCCAACAAGAATATCTGGTCTGGTCGACTCTGACGATGAGATTGCCGACAATGCAGTCGCGTCGCATTCCGAATCACACGACGAACGACCCGCGAAGAAAGCTAGAGGCAGACCTAAATCGACTGGCGTAAAGGTTGATGAACAACCAGTAGCCTCCAAAGCTGCGCGCACCTCATCCGCTGCACCAGTGAAACAGAATAGCACTATGAAGAGGGTTCCAAATCGAGGACGGCCGCGAGCAACTGCAGCAAAATTAGATGGTATCGACGAAGACACTGAGGATGGATTACAGACTGAGGATGACTCTTTGCAAGAAAGCGCCCATGAAGAGCAAGTCGCTGTACCAGAAGTATCACCGGTCAAAAAGAGGAGGGGCCGACCGCGGGAATCGGATAGCAATGCAAAACAAACACACGTAACGGAAGATGGCGAATTTGAATATACGCCGACGGGTTCGCGACAATTCAAGCCTGTAGAAGAAACCAGCAAACCTGTCAAGCCCCGTGGTAGACAACGGAAGTCTGACTTGGCAGAAGAGACTGTGATTCCCGACAGTCAGAACCCGACTTCAGACGTGTTGATAGACGAGGTTCAGCCTTCGGACAAAAGATCTAGCATCTCCTCACCATTGAAGTCCTTGACAAATGGCGAAAGACCAGGCCGAAAACGCCCAACTGTTACTTTCGCAGACACCGTTGAAAAGGCATCATCCGATCCAGACCTAAGACGCAAGCTCGGTGACATGACCAAGAAGTATGAGACGCTGGAAGTCAAGTATCGTAACCTACGCGAGATTGGCGTTGTGGAAGCCAATGCCAATTTCGAAAAGATAAGGAAACAGTGTGAAAGCGCTACGAATGGTAAGGCTTTTTTTATTTGATGCTATCAATGGCGTGCTAACCTTGTTAGCCTCAAAAAAACTTGTGGATTCTCTCAAAGAAGAGCTTGCTGCGCAGAAGGTTCTCGGCAAAGAATCCAGAAATCTGCAGAAGCAACTGCGCGAGCGAGAAAAGGAAGTGACAGGTCTACAATCACAGGTCGGCGACCTATCGACCCAATTATCCACGGCCCAGACAGAAATCAAGGCATTGCAGACAAAATTGGCAGCCGCACGAAACAACTCCGTGCCCAACGACGCTTCGAACAATAAAGTCCCCGGAAGCGCCGTCAAAAGCGTTGCGAATCGCAATGCTGCAGCAGGTGCTGCCGCTGAGGCAGCTCAGGCCGCTCATCTGGCGCAGTTAAAAGAAGACTTATACAGCGATTTGAGTGGTTTGATCATTCGAAATGTCAAGAAAAGAGACTCCGACTATCTTTATGACTGTATTCAAACTGGTGCAAATGGAAGTACGTACTTTAAAAACCTAAATCCTTACATAGCACAGGTCACTAATGTCATTACCAGCTCTTCATTTCAAACTTGCTGTGGCACATGACGGCAATGGCAATATGGCTCCCAATTTTGATACGACAGAGTTCCATTACATGCCCCTTTTGGACTCTAATCGCGATGCAGATCTAGTTGAAATTTTGCCGGATTATCTTACGGTGGACATCACATTCTCACGACAAAACGCGTCGAAGTTTTACAACAGAGTCATTGATTCTCTCACGAAACGACCAGTCGATTCGGTTGAATGAGTTTCTCTTTGTGGAGAGTCTTGTGCATTAGGCATTGGAGCATTGGCTTCGTGGTTTTGGTCTGCATCTGATTTGTTTGATATCCTTTGTTCGGCGTTCATCCGTTCCAGCTTTGGCCCCCAGGATGCTTGGACACTTATTTTTGTTTCAGCGAGAATGATACACAAGAGCAATGAGATTCTGAATGTATGAGCGTACGTAGTTGACGTCGCAGGTGGCTCGATTAGTGTTCTTGATTGGCTTCTCAGCAGGAAAGGGCCCACCGTTGATCGAGCCCGAACGCGCCAGGCGGTCAGGCTAAACAGCCAATCAGGACACGTAGACAGAGCTTCGCCAGGTACCTTCTGAACGTAGTAGAATTATTGCCAGTTTCATTACCTCCAACCAGTTTCGTTTCAATAGGGGACGATGCACAATTGCTCTCTGCATGGTCTTATCCAGCATCAACTCGAAAATAACCATGATGAACAGACCTCTGCGATAATATTATCTTCACTCTTTTACTTTCTTTTTATCTGTCGAATTGAATTCGTGGACTGAAAAGTCCTCCGCATCCGCATCATGGCGCGTGTCGGTCGTTTGGGGTTTTTGGCCCTAGCTCTCGCCTTTCATCTGATGTACCTCTACTCAATCTTCGATATCTACTTCGTCAGTCCAATTGTGAGTGGCATGCGACCCTTCAGCGTCGAGCGTGAAATCGGAGCAGAAGCACCCGCAAAACGCCTGGTCCTGTTCGTCGGAGATGGCCTTCGTGCCGATAAGGCCTTTCAAGCTTTTCCAGATCCCTCACCACCCGCCGGACTCGAATCAGAAGACCTCGATACGCCCATTCGTCTAGCTCCATTTGTGCGTTCTCGAGTGCTAGATCACGGCACCTTTGGTGTTTCGCATACCCGTGTCCCTACGGAATCTCGTCCGGGCCATGTGGCTCTAATCGCCGGTTTATACGAGGATGTCTCAGCTGTGATGACAGGATGGAAACTAAACCCAGTCAATTTTGACAGTGTCTTCAATAGAAGTCGGCATACATGGAGTTGGGGTAGCCCGGATATTCTTCCCATGTTCAAGGAAGGTGCGGTCCCTGGGCGCGTTTCTGCTGATACATACCACGAGGAAGCCGAAGATTTCACTTCGGATGCAACCCAATTAGATATTTGGGTGTTTGACAAGGTCAAGGAGCTGTTCGCCGAGGCCAAAACGAACCCGGAGCTAAATGCGCAACTGAGGGAAGACAAGGTTGTCTTTTTCCTTCATCTACTTGGCTTGGATACAACAGGTCATGGTTTCCGGCCGTATTCCAAGGAGTACCTGAATAATATCAAAATTGTCGACAAGGGTGTGCAGGAAATCACCGAGTTGGTTGACGAATTCTACAACGATGGAAAGACCGCCTACGTCTTTACGGCAGACCATGGTATGAGCGACTGGGGTAGCCACGGAGACGGTCATCCTGATAACACGCGCACTCCGCTTGTGGTATGGGGCTCTGGTGTTGCTACCCCAAAATACGTGGAAGACGGACAGCCAAACGGACATGAGGATGGCTTCTCGTCTGACTGGGGGTTTGACCAGATCAAGAGACACGACGTGGCGCAAGCCGATGTTGCCGCTCTTATGGCCTACCTTGTTGGACTTGATTTTCCAGTAAACTCGGTCGGTCGACTTCCCCTTGAGTATCTCGACGCATCGCCACGAGAGAAGGCACTGGCCTTCTGGGCCAATACACAAGAAGTCCTGGAAATGTATCATGTCAAGGAAAAACAAAAGAGCCAAAATCAGCTCAACTTTAAACCATATGCACCGATGGAAGAGGAAGAACTAGGTGCACGCACTTCAGAAATAGAAACATTGATTTTCGAAGGCAAATATGCCGAGTCTATCGAGGTCTCTTCTCAGGTCTTCACTTCCGCTCTTGAGGGTCTTAGATATCTCCAAACATACGATTGGCTTTTCTTGCGAACGATTGTTACAGCGGGATATCTAGGTTGGATTGCATATGCAATTACAACCGTCATCGATCTTCACGTCCTGCATGGATCATCTGAAGCGCACCGTACTTTCTTCGGCACTTCAGTCTTTGTATCAATTCTCGTCGGGTTGTACTCTGTTTTCATATATCAACGTTCCTCTTGGAGGTATTATGCGTACGGGGCATTCCCTGTATTCTTCTGGGAGGAGGTATTTGCTCGAAGAAAGGCGTTAACTGCCGGCCGACAAATCTTACTAAAACATGTGCACTCTTTTGGTGGTCATGTTGGATTTTTCCTCCAGAGTGTATTGTTCCTGGGGGTGCTAGAAGCATTGGTAAGCTGAGCTACCAGCAGTCACATTAATATACGAAATAGGCACTAATCTACTGTCAAGGTTCAATCATATTTCCATCGAGAAATATTCACTGTATTGTTTGTCCTCGCGGCCTTTTGGCCCTTGCTCTATGGCACTGGCTTTATATCACGCCACCTTGCTCTTACAGGGGCATGGGCTGTTGGTTGTGTTCTCATGAGTCTTTTTACTCTATTGCCCGTGATCAAAGTCGAAGACACCACAACAATGTAGGTATTCAGCCTCGGAACGGATCGAGACCACATACTTACTCTTGCGTAGTACCGTCGGAGGAATGCTCATGTTTTTGGCTGGTTTGTTCTACCTAGCCTTTGAAGAAACCATCACCAAGGGGTCAGGACATCCAATCAGCGTCTCCGGATCTCGCATAATCATGGGAATACAGGTATTTCATATTTTCTTCGTAAGTATATATCATTGACTAATGGATTCCGCAGTTGGGCATGATACTTCTCGCTGTGATCGTTACACGTTCCAGCGCGTTATCCCTACAAGCCAAAGCAGGTCTTCCACTGGGCAATCAGATCGTGGGATGGATTGTCTTGGGTAAGTTGTGACTACAAGGCTAAAAGAGAAGAAGCCGAGGCTAATCTGTCACAGTATCGTCGTTACTTCTCCCATTCGCCCACCGAATGTATCCAAATAGTTACTATCTGCACCGACTGGTGATGATTTTTCTGACCTTTGCTCCGACATTCGTGATCCTCACGATCTCATACGAGGGGCTTTTCTACTTTGTTTTCTGCATGACTCTGGCCACTTGGGTCCGGCTAGAGCATGCTCTATACATCCATCAGAAGCAATCCACATCAACAACACCGGCTGTTGACAAAGCTACCACAGCTTCCAAAACAACAACAGTCGACGGCGAAACATTCTCATATCGCGCCCTCACCCTTTCCGACACGCGGGTAGCCCTCTTCTTTTTCTACCTCGTCTTATCCGCGTTCTTCAGCACAGGCAACATTGCCTCTGTCTCCTCCTTCTCCCTCGACAGCGTCAACCGCCTCATCCCCGTTTTTAATCCTTTCAGTCAAGGCGCCCTCCTCATTTTGAAACTGATGATCCCTTTTGCCGTCATCAGTGCCAATCTAGGCATCCTCAACAAACGCCTTGAGGTCGCTCCGAGCGCATTGTTCATGACCGTCATGACGATATCGGATATCTCGACGTTGAACTTCTTCTACATGGTTCGCGACGATGGCTCGTGGCTCGAAATCGGCACTACGATCAGTCATTTCGTGATTGCGAACATGCTTTGTTTTTTTGTTGCCGGATTGGAGTTTGTGAGCGAGATGTTTGTCACTGGTGTTGACTTGGGCGATTCTTCTTCTCCTCCCTCGAAGCTTGCGGCTGTTGTGGAGAAGATTGCTGAAAGTGAGGATGCTGATGTGTCTGGAACTAATGGCGCTATTGAGAAGAGTAATTGAGCAGTAAAAATAAGAGGAGGATGTTTTGGGATACCAATATAGAATCTACGCGCATGGGTATGGATCATTTCACGAGACCATGTCCAAATATTGACCTGTACATATATAGTTTATAATAATGATTCGATTTCTTTGCCTCACTATGATTCCTAGATTATATAAACGGATCTTCTAGGTGTTTCTTTTGAGTTGTCTGCTGCCAGCCAACTCTTCATCAGTTTGATGGGGTAGCATTCCGAACCGACTCAAGACAACCAATCCACATTAGTCCAGCTGAAAACCCATTCACTCAGCTCCAGTGGACGCTCCAGCTGTAGCCTTTAGACTCCATAAATGATCGATAGTCACACTAGTATTAGGACGGAATGACGTTGACCGTCGGATGATATCTATGTAGATACACAACCGGATATTACATATACAAAACTCGCTCTCGTTGGCACACCAGGCAATCCCACTACATACACACATCACCTTACGTGCCTAGGCAAATAGAAAACATGACGACTTTCCACTCTTCCCCACGTCTCACTTATCGCGCAATCCAATCCCCCAAGGACGAAGAATTCTTCCACCAACTCCTCACTGAACCCTCAGTATGGGAAAACGCATCTATACTCCTCTGTCTCCCCATCGGACCCAAGACAACAACTCACATCCGCACGAAGTCCGTTGAAGGTAGCATTTTGGCAGTTCTCATCTGCAAAAAGAACGAAACCGAGGACGACAAGGAGTCCACGAGCAGCAGCCCGATAGGCTTCCTGAACATAAACACAGGCGAAAAACTCGAGATTCATAATCGGGCTGCCAAGATGGGTATTAGCATTAGACCCGAGGATCAGGGTCAAGGTTATGGATCAGAGGCTATGCAGTGGGCTTTGGAGTGGGCGTTTGTGCATGCTGGGTTGCATCGGGTGGCGTTGAATGTTGCTGAGTGGAATGAGCGTGCGACGAAGCTTTATGAGAAGTTGGGGTTTGTGTTGGAGGGGAGGGGCAGGGAAGCATTGTGGAAGTCGGGGAGGTGGTGGGATCTGCTGGATATGGGAATTTTGTCGCGGGAGTGGGCTGAGAGGAATGGGAAGGTGATTGCGGTTTAATCGGTTTAATGTATTTGCAAGTTGGGGGTTGATGTAGATATCATATCATTCATTGAATACTAGTATGTTCAAGTGTTGACATGCCAGGTGCGTTTACCAATGGTTGAGATGGTAAACTGTGAAAAGTCTGCCCTCAGAAGTATATACAAGGAGTGTGTGATACCAGGTCCCCTCACCCTGCTAATTCTGATTAAGAACCTTTCGACGGAGGCCCCATCGTGTGCTCTACTTCTGCACGGCGGTTATACCAAAGTATGCGGTTGTCAGATCGTAGACTACTCCTGTCGACATCCGTTCAAATGATGTCGACGGGAATAGCACCCGTTAAACCGGCTTCAGGTACGTGAAATGTACTCTAATGTGTTAAGAGACATTGCAGTTGTGTGGCAATAATGCCTCAACTGCTTGAAGGATGCTTCGGTGTCAGCGGGCGTCTGCCAGTCTCCATGATTCCCGCGATTGGGGGTTCATAACAGCACGGAGAGGTCATTACAGTCTCGAATTGAAACAAAGTATTGTGACGCATCAAGAAAGGACTCGAGTCTATTTCCTTCAAATCAGCAAGATAGATAGAACAATAGCGATGGCAGTACTCACAACAAACTGTTCGAGCGACTCTTCAAAAAGCTCATTGTTTACTCCGACTCCACCGGGATGTTCGACAGGGGAGAGAGGATTTTTGACCACTATTGCCGCACCATCACCATTAGAACGTCCAATCCGAAAGCATACAGCTGTAGAAGGCAATAACGTACCATATTCCACATAAAGATTGACATATATCTGTTGCAACGCAATGCGCATACTCGGCGACTTCAAATCGGTGAGCATGACAAACTTGATATTGGTAGGCGTTTCATAAAAGTGTAACTGATATTGCGAGGTGCGGTAGGAAATAAAACTGCGTCCTCAATTAATCAGCTCTGGTTTCTTCATCGCAAGCAACAATTCCCATACCTGTCATCATCTCCACCTAACTTGCGTGCCATATTCCGCAGTGAAAAGACCGTTCCGAAAATCAGCTTGGCGTCGTCGTCGGCACTTCGAGATGTTCCATTGTTCCCCTGATGTAATTGCGAAGTGGGAAGGGATGATTTGGTGCTGATGGACGTCGGTCGACCTTGCCAGCGGCGTTTGTAGATGCATTCCGCTGTAGGATAAGGGGTTAGTCATAACCATTGCGACAACGGTCGAGCGAGTGAAAGCAGTTTAACAAGCTTACCATGGCGGTCAAAAATGTAGAAAGCGTACACAGTCATGGCTTGAATGGTCTAGATCGAGGTAGTGTCAATAAGAGAGCAATTGTACGATCAAGCTGATTTGTTGTTGTTCTCGTTGGAGACAGACAAGGCGGTGAAAGACTGTGGGCGGGTATATCTCGGCATCAGCCCGCTGTTCTGATTGGCCGTAGCTTAATCTCTTCAATACGTAATACCGTGTAGTACAGCTCCGATACAGCACGTTGTGCTTGATCGGTACATCGACAGCCAGCTCATCGTTCCGTACAATCAATGAACTCACTCGCCTGTAGATCGACAGGGATTCAGCTGCCGTTGCTCATGTGCATATTCTCCCTGTCATGCAGCTCAATCCATTAGAGTTCGTCATCTTCTGTCCATCTGTTGGCCAGAGCAGCCCCTCGGGGACTGTTGGTTGTGGACCCCGCTGCATACCAATGATCGAAGAATAATCCAGCTCCCGAGTCTGATAGAAGAACCTCCCCGCTCCCCAACGACCTTTTTTATTCTGTATTCTTCAACCACATTAACTTTGTTCGTTTAAGAGCTTGTAGTTATTTGACATGCTTTCTTAATCTGTTTGATTCTCAAAATCACGAATACTTAAAGTCCGCGATCCTACCTCTCACACCCGACTTTGGTCGAGGGACGATAAGCATGGATGCCCCGCGACTGGCATCAAGTCCGAGTCCGATCCGCGATACAGAGACAGACCACGCTCCCACCGGCCCTGCGAAGCCTGTGAGGTATACGTATGTAAAGGCCTCATTTCTATTGAGACGTATCTAATTTTAGATTCTATATAGCTCCTCCTCGTCATACGAAAGTCCCAGAAGACATCAACACCGCGAACCCACCGCACCGCGCCATGTCAAGGTCTGTACGCCTTGCTTGCGACAATCAAGGAACTTACTTACTGGTCAATTGGCTGCAGGAAACACTCAACGCTCGATCCGAATATACTACAAGCCAAGATGACGGAACTGCACAACATCGCATCAATCAGTACATAATCAAGCAAGAGATAGGCCGCGGTTCGTTTGGTGCCGTGCATCTGGCGGTGGATCAATATGGAAACGAATATGTGAGGATCCTTCATCTTTTGGGATCATGATAAATATTGATCGCGATGCTATCAGGCTGTCAAAGAATTTTCCAAGGCACGATTACGAAAACGACAACAATCGCACATGCTACGACGCCCACGTGGACCACAACGTCCTGGAACCGGATTCAATTCACCCCTCCATCGTCATCCCTCTGGAACAGATGAAGCTGAAGAAGGCCACCCGCTGGATTTGATCAGGCAGGAAATAGCAATCATGAAGAAATTAAACCACAACAATTTAGTTTCGTTGATAGAGGTGCTGGACGATCCTACCGAGGACTCATTATATATGGTAATGGAGATGTGCAAAAAGGGCGTTATCATGAAAGTCGGATTGGACCAAAAAACAGATCCTTACGAAGATGAAAGATGTCGATTATGGTTCCGGGATCTCATTCTCGGTATCGAATATCTACACTCTCAAGGCATCGTTCACAGGGATATCAAACCGGACAACTGTCTCCTTACCTCTGACGACGTGCTGAAAGTCGTCGATTTCGGCGTATCGGAAATGTTCGCCAAGGATTCGGAAATGTATACGGCCAAGTCGGCGGGATCGCCAGCTTTTCTTCCACCGGAGCTTTGTGTCGTTAAGCATGGTGACATTTCTGGGAAAGCTGCGGATATATGGTCTATGGGAGTGACGCTATATTGTTTACGATATGGTCATATTCCGTTTGAGAAACAAAGTATTTTTGAATTATACGAATCGATTCGAAATGATGATTTCGATCTGGGGGATGAACAAGACGAAGACTTTAAAGATCTGATGCATAGGATACTGGAGAAGGATCCTACGAAGCGAATCACCATGTCAGAATTGCGAGTATGTACACTTTCATTAGTTGTGGGTATGGTACTAACTTGAGCAGAATCACCCCTGGGTAACCAAAAATGGTGAAGACCCATTGTTACCCGAAGAAGAGAACACAGCGCAAGAGGTTGGGTTACCTACTGAGGAAGAAATGGTATCAGCCATCACGCATAATGTCGAGAATCTCTTCTCGGTGGTATGTACTGTATTGGTCCTTCACGAGAAAGCACCCTACTAATAGCATATAGATGAAAGCCGTTAGCAAATTCAAGAGACTGGTGGACCCATCAAAAGCAGTGATACACAGTATTCTCGGCTCAGAGCATGACTCGCAAATGGTTCAACCACCACTCCAAATCGAACCCTACGAGGGTACTGAAGCAATGGGGGTATTCAAGAGGGTCATCAATGAGAATGACTTGCTCCGTAGGAGCTCGACGAATACATCACAAGAGTCATTTAGTGAACGAGGACGATCGCCAAAAAGGCACGGTTCGGGCGTTGCAGATAATCAGACCAGATCGATTTTTATGAAAGCTGCAGCCGCAGCCGCAGCTGCGGTAGCAAACCCATCGTCGAAAGAAGGATCGCCGTCGCGGAGCACTTCTGAGGGAACACGAGGTCACGCCCGAAATCCCCTGGAGGAGGAAGTTCAATTCCTCCATATCGGACCGTCAACATTCACCGGAGACTTCACCAATAACCACGAGTACAGCAATCATAGTAGTAACAATGACGACCAATCAAACGCCCTTAAACAAAGACCAATCCTCTCCCCCCTTAGCGTCCCCGACACATCCATCAACGGAATTCCCGAATTTCCACAAACAGGCACCCCGGTCGACACCGACCAAGTCCCCATCATCAGCGAGTCACCCGGTGCATCAGAAATAGATATATACGAAACAGCCTACCGCGAAGAGATTGAGCGGATAAAACGACGCAGCGTCGATAGACGCGATAGTGTGAAGACGAGAGTATACTTGACTCGCCGCGTTGAGAGTAAGAAGAAACATCTGGATGAAGTTTTGAGGATGGTATCGTCTGGGTCCACCCGGAATCAACATCAGCAGCAGCATGACAACAATAACGATCAAGATCACAGCTCTGACTCGATTATTCTTCATGGTGTCAGCGACAAAGTCTCCGGTGCGTTCGCTTCTGCAGGAGCGGCGTTTAGTAATGCTTTGGCCGCGGCGAAAGGGGCGGCGAGTACGAATATCAGTAGTACCAGTGGTTCTGTAGGCAAGGAAGAAGGAAAGGATGGAGAAGGGGCGGAGTCGAAGTAATGCGACTCGTGTGTCTATCTGGATATAGATGGTTTGCTTTGGTGTCAAGCGCGATACCCTTACTGGATTACAGAATCTAGTGGAGATTTACCTTGTTAAATTCTATTCTATTCTGATAGTGAATGAATACCACTTTTGATAAATGTTGATGTCAACGTCGTAACATCAAAGTCCATAGGCATAAAGTATGATGAAATGTAGGTGGAATAGAGTATAAGAGGGTGGAAGATGTGCTTTACTCCCATCACTGCACTTGCATTAGCATAGCATATCGAACCCTCTTCGACTATTCTAATATACATTATACATATCCACCAACAACAATCAGTACAGGCCGTGTGAGGCATCAAAAGCATGACGCAAAAACATGGTTATCTCAATACACAAAGAAATGACGGAGCAGTGAAAAACAACAAGTATTGCAAGTACAAAAAACAAGAACTCCTCTTTTAAAGTGAAAGTGAGAGATAAACCACCCAAATATCAGAATTACAGTCGTATGACACATTAATCAAATAGAAACAAGACAAAAGAGGAATGTTCGGTTGAAGTTGTCAGACACATAAAGCGAATGCGAAAAGAGCGCAAAATAATTATGTCCGTATAATCATCAAGCTGATTGTGATCACTAGGGTTAGAAATGCCTAGCGAGTGCCAAAATCAACTGTAAAAGAAAGTGCTGCTTCATGGCTGAATTGTCGCATTAAGAATAGCATAAGAACTAATCGAATTGACGTGGTTCACGAGGATCAACTGTCGAAAAGTCGACGAGGGACGAAAAGGAAAAATCAAAAAGTCGAAATCAGCATGCTACATGCATCATTAGTTGGTAAGCATTGTATGGATTCGTCCGTTCGTCAACGCATTATGCTCCTCCTCTTGTATCGCTTGGTATAGACGGTCTGGTCTTTTCGGATCCCGGATTGGACCAGTGTAGAGACCATAAACACATGGGTCGCAAACGATTTCCATTCCTTTCACATTTTCGTGAGCCACATTAAACGGGCAATCAACAATAATAAAAGACATCTCTTTTGTCGGAAAAAAGAGAACCGAAAAATAAAATGAAACACAAGGTGTCTAAATTCGTGAGTTTATCAAAATCATCATACTCATGACGCGATTCAAAGTGCAATCCAAGTTTTTCAAGTCGCTGTTCCTGCTGAATGAGATATTGCTGGCAAGTAACCTCCGCCAGAGCTAGGGGCTGCTTCCGAATGTTGAATGATTTGACGTGCCGCCGTTGGTTGCGTGGTGTCCTCCTCCGGTCGCGATGTAGAAAGGCTATGGTACGGATGTTCCAGAGCTCTGGCTTGAGAATATACTGGCTCATGGGGTGAGTTTCGTGCACCAAATTCATGAGGTAGTGGAAGCCTTCGGTCCTGGTTGGCTTGTGACCTAATTATTCCTCTTACCGGATCCGTATCTGGTGCTTCTGAGGCAAGCGGGCTCGCACGATTAGCTTGACCTGTCGAGATATCTTTGGCCAGAGCCTCCAGTGATGGTTCGTGTTTGGGCATTTCCGGCGTATGTGCTGTCTGCATTGGTGATACCATTGAACCATCACTTGTGGCGCTAGCTGCGCCTGAAGGCGTAGCTGGCAGCTTGCTCATCGATGTCCTGCGTCGCGATGGTGGGTAGGTCTCGCCTCGAGCTTCTGCCTCTGCTTTGCGTCGCTCCGATTCCGCTTTACTCGGTCGACCTCGTTTTCTAGGAGGTTCTGCACTTTTTCCTGCAACGCCCTCCGTCCAGCCTGGAGATGTTGGGGCTGGTGAGCCACTTTCGCTACTGAATGGACCGCCACCAAGCGGAGGCCGAGGCTGGATACGTGGGTATGTCGAGGGCCTCTCTGGTGGATAGAATGGCCTTTTCCGTGATCCGAAAGGTTCAAGAGCGACCTGATGAGGTGGCGCGTGAGACGGGCCTGGGTTCATCGCTGGAAACGCAGCTGGCGGAGGTGGACCTTGCCATGGCTCTGGTTGACGATACGACGGCTGGGACTGATGGGTCTGCCACATCGAGTCGAATTGTTGTCGACATTCATTCAGGGAGCGGCCTGCGAAATAGTCAGCACACCACGTTCCTCTTTCACGGTATCTGTTTGCTTATATTCAGATGGTGTTTATCATACCTGGCGGCAATGGCACATCATGCCACGATGGTGCAACATTGAACTGTCGAAAGATACCAAAGAGAGACGTTGAAGGCACGCCAGAGTTTCTTAATATCACAGTAAGCAAAGCATACTGGAACCGTTACATGTCAGCATATGCACTTTCTTGGCCACCATCAACCTTCTATGCATGACCCGGGAAATAGTCACTCCGGTAAACATCAGGTAGTAGCCAGCACAGAACAGAAACAATGATAAGGCCTACCTTCTCCTCCTCCGTCCAATCTCGGCCATGTTGATCCGACATGTCCCGGTATTCATGGGAAGAGACGACAAAGTAGCCGAACAGATGTGACTTCGGATAAGCTGAAGAGAAGAAACTCAAGATATTGGCTCCAGGGGGTGTGACGAGAGCTATAGTCCAATGCGGAGCAGAAACAAACGACGGTACACAGGCGGTAGGTAACTTTTTGAGACAAAAGGAAAGACAATGAATCGTAGAATAGACAAAAACCTCCCAGAAATCGTGATTGAGGCACCTAGATCCCTAACTGCGTCACGCGGTAAAACCTAGTGTGAGGGGTTTGGATGCAGTCGATGGAGACACAGCAGGAAGATAAGCCGAGGCGCAAAGGGGATGGTCGATAAGTAGAAGTCGGGTTCATGAGAGCAACAGAAGAAGTTGGCGATGAATACTTGATACAGATATGATGAATACGTAAAGAGATACCAGTATGCTGTAGGTCTGCACAGCGTTGTTCTTCTGTTCTGGAAAGAAAGTTCAATAACGTCGTAACGGATAGCGTCAATAACAACACAGCGAAAGTGTTAACGAGATGCGAGCAAAGATAGAGATGTACTGTAGGTTCCTGCGCGTATGTATAATGAGTACGCGATAATTGAACGAGAGTATTGTCGCAGGAATTGAGAGAGTATCGCAAGGCTAGTCCATTGATAGCACCCACTTGGATCTCATGCGCGCGGGATGTTGATACCGTTGACCCTCCTCTCTGCTCACCTCCTTCTACTATTGACGGGCTGAAAATCAGAATATGTAACGAAAGGATGATTAGAGGCGTTATAGCCAGCGTGACATGATTTTGCTTGTGATGGAAGCGAGTGGGTGAAAAGAGTATCGAGGGTAATGAGGCGTGGTAGCGGGACGGGAGAGGGAGAGTTAGTGAAGAGAGAGAAAAGAGAGAAGGAGAGTAAGAGAAGGGAATCGTGGTAGGTGTGGCAGGGGGKGTGGGAGAGGGAAGGAGGGGAGGGGGCGTGGAAAGAGAGAGAGAGAGAAAGAGAGAGATGAGATGTAAAGGAAGGAATAAAGATGGAAGGAAAGAAGAGAAGAAGGAAGGAGCGACGAGACAAAAAGCGCGAGATCAACAACGAATTTGGGTTATGTACGTCGCAGTTAGTCCAAACTAGAAGTTGGATTTAGTAGCAGCTGTTTGGGCCTAGGCAAGAAGCAGTAGAGCTAAAAAGTCATTTTTTTATTTCTATTTTGTACGCATGTATTTTATTCGATGTTTTGTTTTCCTATTTGTTAGTTATCTGTTCTTTAAATCACTATGATTAGCCCTTTGAACCTCGAAAGGATACTTTACTGTATTGTTATTCGCTGTAATTTATTTGTTTTCCCAGTCCCGAGGCCCCGGGGTTAGAAAAAGTTTAAAGCGGGAAGGCTAAGCATAGTCTTGCGTAAATCGATTACAATACCAGCACCTAATGTAACTGTAGATTTCCCTGCGCAATTGACTCGCTTTATGATTCATGGGGTACTCAGGGAAAAAGGGCTAGGAGAGGCGAATTCTCCCGACGCATGTTCGTACTAATATAACACGATAACTGTCATGCAGATTTACAGGGGGTGGGAAGATCGCAGGTAAAGAAAAAAAATGGACAACGGGAAATAAAAGTCCAAACAGATCAATCAGAAAAAGCAAACACGAAACAACAGATAATAATGGATCTCGGTCAAGACTCAAGAGAATATTCCATCGTTGGATAACCACTGACCAGAAGGGCTTAATAAGTTAATGTATATGCAACTGATTTCTTCCAGCTAGAGTGTCAGACTAGTACGCTGCAATCGCCCCTAGGTCTAGTACGATTTGAGCATCGTGGGTTCCACGCAGATTCCACTCTAGGCCTATTTTGTGCTTGTTAGTATTAAAACGGTCGGATACGTAGTTGGAGGAGTGCGACGACGTCGGAAAGAAGGCTGAAAAGAATAAACGGCGTATTATTGGATACGTAACTTATGTGTATGTATGTAATGTCAGCGTACGACAGCAGACAGACACAAGTATCTACATCATGCACATGGACTGAGAACGACCAAGAACCAATTGTTTCGATACTATAAATACCTTCTCATACACAAGTCGCAATACATAGAAACATTATTACTGGGGGTGTGGAAGGAGGAGCTGCGGATGTCGTTGTACGCGCGCCAAAAGGGAAAAGGGATCGGATCCTTCAATCAGTAACGAAAAAATGATTCGACAGGAAAGCCTCCAAGGCTCATGCATCGCAACTGCATGGTCGGATTGGGTGGACTGGATGATTTGCGCTGGCCAGATATGAACATGCAAGCTACCGAGGGTGCGTCTCGGCGTTTTGCCTGGCGGGTATGATAGAAATCAAAATAGTATATACATAGTATGTCATGACTTGACGCCGAGCATATAGTTCTTTCGGCTCTCAGGAGACTAAACAGGGCGAGGATTAGCAGTAGAGTATTATGATTTGAAAAGTTCAGACAAAGCAATCGGTTGATCAATGCTCTTGAACGGTACGGAGGAAAAGGAGACGAGACTACGTATGTGTAATCTGAAACCTATAGAAACATAATGCAAACTATGATGATCTACCAATCAGGTTGCGGCAGTATACACATGCATAAAGAATGATAAGTAATTAACTTAAATCGATCGAAATGAGTACATCATTGTTTGGACGTTTTCCTCGCAACGAAAGTCGTTACGCAAGTTCCCGTAATGTCAGTACTGCAGTTGTATGGTGGTACGTACCAGGAGAATTCTAGATCGTCGTCCTGTTAGGCGCGGTCGTATCATCCGCCTTCTTGGACTATCGCGAGCCCACATGGCGGCATCAAAGAGGGGATATGTGGAGACCAAGGAGGAGGCTTATATCTGCCCAGTTAGGTTGTCAGCGAGGTGTAAGAGTACGTATCTGGACGGGGGTGAACTGCGCACGAAGGTCGAAGTGAATAGAGGACGTTTGTATATGGGTAATTTCGGTCTACCGAGGTCCTAGCCATGCAGGGACATGCAGAACCAGCCCCTCATACAAGATCCTGCGTAGCACTACTATGTAAAAGGCGCATGATGAGAGTTATAGATTAAACATAAACTATAAACATGAGAAGAGGAGGAGTAACAACCTGAATGGCAAGAAGAAATGGATTCAATAATAACAACTAATGCAGACATACGGAGTAGCATGTGCATATACTTTTACTAGTGCCAAACAGCCCGGAGGAGTAAGGTACCACCAGGGCGTGTTCACTGAGTCGAGTGACTTGCAGCGGGTAGAAGAAGAAACTTCCCGTCTGGGTCGCTACGTCAGGAGCCAATCGTAGCGGGGCTATGGGGCTGGTACGTAACGGCGGACGAGTGGACATGTACGATACTTGAAATTACGTATCTGGGCATTCAATCACTCTACTGTGGTTGGACAGACAGATGAGCTGTTAATCGTCGTAGCATTCAAGATGGGATGATACGTATGTCGGTAGGCGAAGTTCAGTAAATCCACATGTAGGAACTCAATCAAATGGCTGAAGTAATGCTGGTGGAGCAAGGTACATTCCAAATTACAGGAACACCGTAGCTTACCCGTCGATTGATATTTACGGAGGTACCTAGGCAAGGCACGGGTTTTCGACGAACCAGAATACACACAGATAATCCAACAGGAACAATTTCTTGAAGAATGGTCCTCTTTTCTAGTCATACACTGATACCTAAGGAGTCAAGGTACGTTGTTATACACGATACGCGAAATAAATCCAGGAACCAAATCAATCTGAGCCAACCAAATCCCAACCGAGACAAGGTCGAACGAACAACTCACCTGTAAGTCGTCAATGTGTTTTGACGGCCCGGCTTGGCCCACTACGCACCCGGCTTGTCGGCGATTTGAAACGTACGTACGTATGAAACACTCACTGTAAGTTAAATATGGAATTGACAACTCAACTCTAATACTAGACATGTACTTACATATGTACATGTAGTTAAGCGCCTACCAACGACCCAATGCGCAACTGAAGAAACCTATCCTCACGGATTACCCCATGATTTTTGAAACACGATCCTACATATGTACATGTTGTGTTCTTTTTTCTTTTTTCTTCTTCTTTCTTATTTTGGCGATGGCCATGTTTACTCCTCGGGTTCATCCCAGTCAATCTACCTGGAACTTAGCAAGAGTCCACTATTGGACCAGGGAGTGGACATCGTATGTACCTCGCACAGCTGTATTTTAGTACGTAGTCATGGTCGAACGGGGATATACGTAGCTATAAATTCAGTAGATATACTACGTATGGAAGCAGTGAATATATGATCCGTGTCTAAGATACAAGTTTTATGACGTCTGTGCTTAGTATACTTCGGTCAGATTTATAATCGGAGCCTTGAAGATCAATTGATGCAGCTAATTTCATTTCGAAGCATATGCGCCCGGCTTGCTTCAGAAGACAAGTCGATTTTTTTTGAATAAAGTTTTACTGTATTTCGCATACGTACATACAGGACAGCTCTCGTATGTCTGGTTGCCCTACGGGTATGTTCGCCAATCGGGATGTCTACATCCTTTAGTCAAACAGAATGTATGCACTGGGGATCTAGGATTTTTCGAATCAGCTCTTTTGATTAAGTAACCAATGATACTACATTATCGGAGACATCATCGTAAAGACTTGCTTGACCAATTTTTGGCGAGTAAAGCTCGTCGAATCCATGATCGTTAAAACCTCGAGGCGATTACACGTGCAAATGTGATTCTTGATCACATGTCAAATACCTGATTACCTTTTTTCCTATTCGGGTTTGCTGAAATAATCGACAATGATCACGGTTAATCGAGTAAAATCCCCGAATTGAGCAAAATAGAGTTTGTAAACACAAGAGCGTGGAAAGTCTGATATTGTCGACGTGCATATTGGCGTGCATATGAGAGCGCGTGCGACAGTTTTTTGTCTCGGACATGGAGCAGATCCAGAAAGCGACCAAGTGTTGAGCTGCCAGCCGTTTGACAACATACCCGTGCAGGTAGCATCAGCGTGCCGCATTCAATATGAATTTGGTTATACGTGCCCCGGCCCCCTAAAAAATAGGAGCGACCTCATAACGAGCAGAATTCGGTAGTGTCTCGTAGTACAGCAGTAGACTCATTGAAGGTAAGTGATACGAGAGTCAAGCAATTGTAACTTACGTGTATACAAAATGACAGGTTGATGGGTTGACTTTTCACTTTCAGTCCGGTACGGGGGGGAAGCAAAAAATCCTCCACTACAAGGTACGGAGTACACTGCAGTGTCCACTGCTAGTGTACGCATGGTGGATGGTTGGTTGACATTGGCAAGAAGCCTTGAGCTCGGGAGTATGTACAGCGATATTTCGTGCACGCGCTGACTCCTCTGTCATACATTAGGCGGCTTTAGATGCATAATTAGTGCCCTCCTTTTCCTAGGTTCTTCTTTGCAGAGAAGATTCGGTCAGTCTTCTTGTGAGCCATCGTGTATCAACATGTCCCGTGTAATTTGATGTACTCTATTCGAACGCAGAGCAGCGATCTGTTCTCATCCGAAATACATGTGGCAAGCTCAAGGTTTTAGCAAGGTCGTTATTTCTCGGAGCGATGACTTGAGTTAGTCGATAAAGGCGTGAGTTTGTCGGCTGAATTAGATCGTATTGACTCATGCAGCTAAGGAGGACCGCGTCTTTAACAATGGATTGCGACCAGTCAATGCGTACATGTTCGTCGACAAAAGTCCAACCCGAGGCAGCAGGGCGTCGCTGAGTAACAAGTCAATCGGAAGGACGCCAGACACGAACCGAGAGCCGCTGCCAGCGTTGACATCGGTTTTATCCTCATCCTATGCTTTGGTGTGTTTATCGGAACCATAGTGAGCGGGTGCGGGCCGTAGCCAGAAGAGGATGATGCGACCCCAACAGACCCACTGCCTTGGCTGTTGACAAGTCGCGGGTCTTGTCGTTCGCAATAAATAAATCAAACCATGATTTGTTTTATCGATGGATGGCGTGGTGGTAAAAATTGAATACTGCGGCCATGATCGAGCTTGTTTCTCTTTGCCAATGTCAAAAAGATGCAAACAACCCGATACCTGCAGGGCTGGTACGAGAATCATCAGTATTGAGCGTGGTAAAGCCTGGTAATTACTGTAAGCAGTAAGTTGCAACAGCAGGATTCGCTCATGAGTGGCGATTTTCTCTATTTCTCTGACATCCTGGCACTTTTCTGGAGTTGAATGACTCTGGTCCAATCAACTAAGAAAAGCCTGCGTTAGCCACCACCCTCTAGCCGTCTGCTTGCATGAGATAAGCGTCGTTGGAGTCCATCATATTTACTGCTCAAAGTGCTGAGAAAATGCCGACGTATGTAATAGGCTGGCTGTAATGGGATCCTCTTTTTGATTGGATGTAAGGAGCTCTGGGAAATGGGTTCTGCATGTCATGAGATGTTGACAGCAGTCATAAATGAAGATTCGTTGAGCAAGACTAGCCGAATGCTTGCCTCCCGCCCGTTGGTATAAAAAAGCCTTTACGCAATGCAACAGTTCTTGTAGTCATGGGTTCGTCGTTCTTGGGGCAGTCGTATCGTGGTTGTAATGCTCAAGATGGTGACGCAATTCAGAACCATCTTGAAATTCCCGGAGCTGGCCGAGTGCTATCTGAAGTGGTTGATTATGCGAGTCTGATTCATGGATTGATGAACGAGGAGAGAGGAAGTTCCTCCCTGAGATGAAGGTGAGATGTTGGTAAAAAAGGAAAGTGCTGCCTAGGTCCCTGCCCGATGAATACACATGAGTTGCCTGAGGCCTCCAAACGAACTTCCAGTGTCACCAAAGCATCTGGAATCACATACACTTGCTCAGTCTGCTTACAAGAAAACAAAAAAAATAAAACAAAGTGCATTGTTCTTAAATTGAGACACTGGATATTTATATCTAAAAACGTAGTATGTTCTCATCACACCGCCATCTCATGGCATCCACTCATATGATTTCGAGGTGGCTGCCAGGCCGGAATCTCAGGCAGCGATGCTCGAGCTATGGCATCCAACTGGTCAGTGTGTAGACGAATGATCCTTGTTTGAATATATATCCATTGCGTGAGTGCCATGACAAAATAATAAATCATATGCCTAATGATACCCGGCTCAGTCTTCCTAAGTGAAAAAGAAGTGACGGGTGCGAGTCCATGAATCAGAATTTCAGACTCCAGACAGATGAAGCGTGGGACAAACAATGGACCGCTAGTCTTCCTTGGGAATAGCGTGGCCCGTCCGATCCATCCAGAGCCGGCAAGGGGAGAAATTGTAACTCCCTACAATCTCTCTCCCAGCAACAACAGGCAGTCTCCAAGGTCATCTCAACATGGAAACGCCGCGGAAGTGAGATGCAAATAGATCCAAAGAGGACTCGATCTGACAGCCACAAAGACATCAAAACACACGATAAGAAGGAAGGGAAACAGCGCAAGACAGATCTGGGCTCTCGTTAATTCTCTGGAGGCGATCGTGGCTCTTCGGGTTAGACAAGGCTTGGCACGGGGCTGCAGCCAATCCCAGCCGGGGAATGGGCCGCCTGAGCCTTAGCCTTTCTTCGAGCTTTCTCCATCTGCTCCAAGGCTTTCTTTCTCTCTTGAGGATCCTGTCAGTCCAGTCGCCCTCATCGTCATGCCTTCAGGCGACGATGTAAACTCCAACCCGGACTCTTCGCGAGTCGCGTCTGATGGGCTACTGAATGGGGGTTCCATCACCATCAAGACTGAGGCTGAAGGTGATGCGGGCGCCCTTGGGTCACCGATGGACATGGAAACTACCGACAGAATCAAGAAGGCAGCCACGCCCGCCAATGCATCATCTGCTTCTTCCTCGCCATCACCTGTCATCAAAACGCCTAGCCAGAGCAGTTCACCTTTGAAAATGGAGGCTGATAGTGATGAAAATATGAGCCATCTCAAGACAAGTAGTATTGCGGGCGACATTACGCTCAAACAAGAGCCTGGTAAGCCCCCGAAGCTAGCTCGCAGCTCGTCTCAGAAGGTCATTGCGCGTCCACCTCAACTGTTCAGCCACTTGCCGGACAGTGTCAATGAGGCTCGTCAAACCTTTGAGGTCATCAATGACTGCATCTATGGTAGCAAGTACATGGGCCATACAGAGCATGCCATGGAGTGTGACTGCTCTGAAGAATGGGGTGAGTTGATTTCCTGCTCTATGTACTATGATTCATCAAGCATGATGATAAAATCTTTTACATTTCGAAACCATGTCAAAACTAACTAGACATAGATGGTAAAATCAATCACGCCTGTGGAGAAGACTCAGACTGCATCAACCGCGCCACCAGAATTGAGTGCTTGAATGATTGTAGTTGCGGCCAAGACTGTCAAAACCAGCGTTTTCAGCGGAAAGAATACGCAAACGTGACTGTCATCAAGACAGCTAAGAAGGGCTTCGGTCTTCGCGCGGAGTCTGACATCCAACCTCATCAATTCATCTATGAGTATATCGGCGAAGTCATCAACGAGACTAACTTCAGGCGACGAATGATTCAGTATGACAAGGAAGGCATCAAGCATTTCTATTTCATGTCATTGAACAAAGGTGAATTTGTCGACGCTACAAAGAAGGGCAACCTTGCACGGTTCTGCAATCATTCATGTAATCCAAATTGTTACGTTGACAAATGGGTTGTGGGTGAGAAACTACGAATGGGAATCTTTGCCGAACGTTACATCCAGGCCGGAGAGGAACTTGTCTTTAATTACAATGTTGATCGATATGGTGCAGACCCTCAGCCGTGTTATTGTGGTGAACCGAATTGTTCAGGATTTATCGGTGGCAAGACGCAAACAGAACGAGCGACAAAATTGTCTAATGCGACAATAGAAGCCCTGGGTATTGAAGACGCAGACGATTGGGATATTGCGGTCGCGAAAAAACCTCGCAAGAAGAAGATGGAAGAGCCTGATGAAGAATATGTTGAGAGCGTTCAACCCAAGTCTTTGGATGAGAACGGCGTTACGAAGGTTATGGCTGCTTTGATGCAATGCACTGAGAAGTGGATCGCAGTCAAGCTTCTCAGTCGTATTCAGCGGTGTGACGATGAACGAGCTCTGAACCGTGTTGTGAAGATGCACGGCTACCGTATTCTGAATTCACAGCTTGGCATGTGGAAGGACGATATCAATGTGGTTCTTCAGGTGCTTGACGTTTTGTCAAGGCTGCCAGCACTTACCCGAAACAAGATTATTGACTCTGACATTGAGACTACGGTGCAGCCATTAACTATTTTCGATGATGATCGTGTTAGCAAACAGGCTTCTTCGCTTTTGGAAGTATGGTCGAATCTAGAAGTTGGATATCGTATCCCCCGTATGAAACGTGATCCTACGGCGTCCACTCCACAAATATTCAGTCAATTCGAACGACGGGAAACGACAGGAAACGATAATCGCAATCGATCGAAGTCGCGGACACGATCAAGGTCACGCTCCATCGAACCTCCCCGTGGACCTGCTGCACAGACCCGAGGTGGGTTTAATGGGAGACCTATTCCACACAATCGTGGACCTCGCTTCCAACGACCACCAACTCTGCCGCAAGGATGGTTTGAGAGGTCTGATGTGGATGGGAGGTCACTTTACTACACAGTCACTGGTCATACCCAATATGAGAAGCCCACTCAACCGGCTTCGGAGATTCCTGCAGTGGCTTCTCTGAAGCGCAAACATTTTCAGGACATCATTGACACGATCATGGAGTCTCGCACTGAAACGCCTCGTGATCGCACCAGCACACCGGGGACACCGCAGCCGCAAAAATCAGACTCAAAGAAGGAATCGTGGAGATCTTACTCGGAGGAGAAGCAAAAGAAAATATATGAGAATACGGTAAGATATCTTCCTCACTCTTTGCGCTCGTCAACTAATCTGTATCACTAGATTCATCCTTATGTCAAGTATGTGGTGGATAAATTCAAGAAGAAATTGCCCAAGGAAGATCTGAAGAGATACGCGAAAGAGGTATGGACATTATCCGCAGAATCTTATTTCTTAGTTATACTCAGTCGAATCTAGGTTGCCACGAAGTTGGTTGAATCAGATTTCAAACACGGCAGGGTCGAGGACATTCTTCAAATTTCCGAAAAGCAACAGCAAAAGATCAAGAAGTATTGTAAGGAATATTTCGAAAAAGCAGTAGCGAAACACAAAGCGCACGAGAAGAAGAAGGCAGAAAGAGACAGTCATGACGACAGCAATTCGAGAGACAAGGATCCTCTCGATAAGTCCGCTTCACAAACACCACAAGCGCGAGGAGACTCGGGCTCACCAAACGATCTGAACGGCGATCTCAATGCGTCCGAGGATGATGGCGACGAGCCGACAGTTAAACGGAAAAGAGACACCACCGATGAAGCAGAGGTCCAGAATGGACATCCATCGCCTATGAAGCGACGAAAGTCATCGACACCGCCACCACCGTCTCAACATCATCCTCGCGACGGCCTGGACGATGAAATACAGCGTTCCGGCCTTTCAGCATCACACCAAAGCATTGGGGTTGTACAATAGGGATTTTATTCATCTGATTTTTGCTTCTATATCATCATTGTTTATTGAATTTAATGAATATTTTTGGTCCTTAGGACTGGTAGGAATACCCAATCAGATAATCACCTATCAAGACGATAGGATAGGGAATGTTCGTTCACAGGATTGGATATCAAGCAGTGACCTCGCGAGTAGTAAATAGACTCTATTAACTCCTAGCTTGTCAGGTTCTAGCGTGGACTATGGTAAGTTGATAAAGTTTTAGAAAGAAGATTCTTCAGACAGAAAACAGTAATAACTTACCAATCTATGGAACTGTAGAGCTATCCAACCCTCTTTACTATCTAGGTATAGCTGCACTAGAGCCTGCTTTAAAAAGAGGCGACGATGATTTAATATACCGAGAAACCCCCCGAGAGTCTCGTAATATGAGTGTTAGAAATGGATATGATTGCTCCAATGTGATAAAAAAGAAAGTGATACTTATTGAGGAATTTTCACTACAAAAGGGTCCACGGTACGAATAAGTGAGGAGGCATTATTTCTCCTTCCCCAGAAAGCGGCCTGGGCCAACAACTCACGTACTGCCTGCATCATCATGGAGACAGCTTTCGCGGCCATGTATAATCGTGAGAAGGTGTATAGTGGCTAAGATTCTACAGCGTACGAGACTATCTACTCGAGGGATTCCGGTACACTGAACAGGGCTTAGAAATTCCATCCATTTGAGTCTTGCTTCTATATCAGTGGTCATTAATTTTAATGAATATTTTGGTCCTAAGGAGGGGCTTCGGCATTTTTTCTACAATGTGATATCCGAGTTCATTTCTTACGGCTTAGAATAGGTAGTTGAAAGAACAGCAGTCATATTGCACTTGCTATGAGCAATCTACACAGCCACTGAAGATCACCTATCATGAATAGCTTGAATACTGTGAAGCTCATAGAAATGAGTCGCGCTGAGTCATTTGGCGCCTGAGGCACTGCACGTGAGTCGAAATGAGTCTTCTGTCCCGTTTCAGTTTAGTGTATTCTACCACTGCGGGGCAGGGCTCAAAAAGTGACCGCCACCAAAAGAGAAAAGAGAAAGGAATTGCTTCAAACTTCAGAGCAACGGCGTCCTTTTTCGTATAAAGGTTTAGAGCAAGAAGTCACCGATCCAAGCTTCTTGTTTCTTACAGCAAGCACTGTTCGTCTCATCTGCCTTTTTCTCATCTCATCCGCGACCTTCAACCTACCTCCGTCCGTTCGTAACCGAGCGCAAAAAGAGAAAAGCACACAGCAAATTGTTATCAGCTTTCGAGATACGCTCGTCCCTCGAATCAGTCGAAATACTTTCTTCCACTACAGGGACAGAAATACATAGTTTAGACAAAATGGCAGTTCGCGCTCAATTCGAGAACTCCAACGAGTAAGTTTCGTCTGCATTATGTACGAAAAGAAAATCTTCACATGCTCATACTTTTTTTTTCTTGTTAGGGTCGGTGTATTTGCAACTTTGACGAACTCGTATGCGGTTGTTGCTATCGGAGGATCGGAGAACTTCTACAGGTATTTCTTCGTCTGTTGGTCGAGAATGACTATGGGCTGACTGGTCGATTGCGGGGTACAGTGTCTTCGAAGCTGAATTACAAGACGTAATTCCCATTTGTCATGCCTCGATTGGTGGCACTCGCATAATTGGTCGATTGACCGCAGGGTACGTTCCATAAAAGCTGTGATAAAGTTGCAGAAAGTACAATGACTTACTGGACTTTCAGAAACCGCAAAGGTCTTCTCGTGCCCACATCCACAACAGATCAAGAACTGCAACATTTGCGAAACTCGATCCCAGATTCAGTAAAAATACAGCGAGTGGAAGAAAGGCTGTCTGCGTTAGGAAACGTGATTTGCTGCAACGATCATGTTGCGCTTATACATCCTGATCTTGAGCGGGAAACAGAGGAGATGTAAGCACTTCTTGGCTCCTTGGAAACTGTCGGATACTGATAATTGAACAGAATCGCCGACGTCCTTGGTGTCGAGGTATTCCGACAAACCGTTGCAGACAACGTTCTCACAGGCTCATACATGGCCCTCTCCAACCAAGGCGGCATCGTGCACCCCAAAACCTCAATTCGCGACCAAGACGAACTCTCCTCTCTCCTCCAAGTACCTCTCGTGGCCGGCAGTGTGAACCGCGGTAGCCCCGTCGTCGGCGCTGGTATGGTGGTGAACGACTGGCTTGCAGTGACGGGTCTGGATACCACAGCGACAGAACTCAGTGTTATGGAGAGTGTGTTCCGACTCGGTGAGACGGGACCTAAGGGATTGGGTATGGGTAATGCAAATAAAGAGAGTATTGTGGAGAGTTTCTATTAGGTCATGTTATCTGGCGCTGGGTTTCACTTCTTATGGACATGTGATGAATCTGAGATGATCATGAGATGATCATGGTATGATAAAGTTGATATGAAATCACGCATGATACGTTCAAGGTTTAGATTGGCTTGAAGTATGGAGTAGCATCAAAGGAACGTATTTGATTGGGAAATGTCGGATATATACCCGACTACTACATAGGGTCACGCAGCACATGATTCAGACTATACGCGAGCTCTTGATTCCGAACACCTAACAGGATTGCTACCTAAGGTCATTAGATTATAGCTAGCCACTTTGTAGGTAATCATTGCACTCACATGTACTTAGATATCGTTCATCCATCACATCCAGATAGCGGATGTCATCATAATCCAATCTGATCAACTCTATTGCGCACCTATATTACTCATTTTAAGTTCATCCACAAGTCACCTAACGATCAAGCGTCTTAGAGATGATACATACTTTCCCCACTAGCACCAATACGCTACATAGCTAAAAGATGATGGAATAACACGTTCAACCCCGCAATCTACAACCAAACCCCCCCAGTGATCCTACAGCCTACAATTCCCGAGTCAAAGCAATCTGCTACTGGGACGAATATATAACGTATTCGCTTGACTCATCCAAACTGACCAGAAGAGGAAGGCCAAGAATTGAGTTCCTATGTTCAGATAATACCTAGGCAATTATCGCTTGGCGTGGTCAAGTAAACACATCCTCATGCAAGCGTCGTGGAACGGGAAAAAGTAACCATGAAGGAAAGCCGAAGCGGGTATATATATGTCCAAAAAGAAACGAGACGGGAAATGAGTGGTTGAGATTAAATGTCTCATAGTATGTATGTATGGGCTTTGGATATAGATACCAACTACGAGGGAGCAAGCTGAAGGCGGGGTTACATGTTCTTGTAGATGGGGATTGAGGGATGTGATGCGGCTTGACCGCATCGAGGTTGGTTGTTTGATGGTGTCTATGAATTGTCGGTCAAGAGCAGGCTAATGTGGCCGCCCTAGCTGTCTCTCCACCCCTGCTGATAAGTCGATAACAACGGTGTTTCTATCAATGCATGGTGGAGGTATTCCGCGGCATATTTATGTTCTTTCAATTACACAAAGAATAATGAAAATCGGCATTCCTCGTCCAAATTCTTTATGCGAGAGACATCATACTGTTCGTATACTATCCCACCCAGTTAGTGGACCAATACCAGAGGTCAGAGGCACAGAAGAAGCTAGAACAAAAGCCACGGGCAGATTTAAAAGCGCACGGCTTAGAAGCAATGCAAGCAGCAATAGCAGCTATCAAATGAGACCATCAACCCAGCCAATAGCAAATCACCCTCGACAAATTAGGGCAGTTTCCAAAGCTAACTTGATATCAGCTACAATTGTACCCATGCTACTAACGTTAGTTGAGGTTATATGCAGGACATGCAGATGCAGCTAAAGAATGGTCTTCTTCTTAGTACATGCTGTGTCACTGAAGCGGTCCGATATCAACCTGAAGTACCCAAAGTACTAGCTTGGGGGTTACTACTATGTAGTTAACGATCGAATGGAATGAGGTCATGATATGCACAGCCTCAATCCAGAGGTGTAATGCTGATTGATTGAAATTATATCTCTCGTACTTCTGTTTGCTTCAATTGCGACGTCACTTGCAGGACAACTCCATCCATATCTCGTATCAGTAAAGCACAGAGATGAAGATGATGCTGATTGATAAGCATCTGTAATCTGTCGATACGGTGCGATTCGAGTGAGGTCGGCTAGCAACCGTTTCTTACCAATGGCAGTACATCGGACCTTATCCGACATAGTTCCGTCAAGGTTACCGAATGATAGTATTGTTGGACAATGTACAACTGTCAATCAGGATGGCATTGTAAAGCCACAATGATGGACAATCGTCAATAGATCAATGAATTGTCAGCGTCCGACTGCGAGTTTGTCCGATAGAGTGGTTTATAGTTTACGCCTTTCCATTGTTACCATTGTTACCACCGATCACTAAGTATATTACCGATGTTACCGATGTACACTGTTACATGACTCCGGTAAAGTACCACCTGCCAAGATTGTGGCACAACTGCCAAATCAGGCTAGGTCCTTCATATCAATCACCCACGGGCTGTATGTAACTTTACCGACTCGGCAGTCTTCAAACTTCCTATTCAAGTAAGTTCCCTGCCTTTTTCGTGGACGCACCGTCACACCGCGGTAATTACGCGATGACGGCCCCGTCGCCGAGCCGAAAGCGCTGTATTTTAGCCACTTGTTCTGTCCACCGTTAGTCAACTAGCGTATGTACCGTTACCTAACTGCCTCACTTTCCACCGCGTGTCTTTTTTCCAATTTCCCACCTCCATACAGAACCACGTCCGTTTGCCTGGGGCAAACCATATTTGTTATGATTTAGTAAGGTAAGGCAATAGAAAAATACAGAAGGTTCCCACAACCGACGACTACTATGAGCCAAATAAAATGATCCCATTTGCGAATTACGAGAGACGCTGTGTGTCTGCTCTCTGACCTGTCGCCATAGGCTGTTCCATTTAATCCCTAAGAAAGAAATTCTTTTTATACTCCATATTTTTCTCCTCTTCCATGAGCACTCTTCCCCGGTTATGTCTTCCCTCTCTTTGCTGGTAGAGTAACATTGCTTAATTACCTGGTCCTACCGTATTTCGTCTCACTCCAATTTTGCATTCTCGGTCTTCCCTGGGCCAGCCTCTTATTACGACTCTCACTCACTCTTTATCTTCCTTCTTATTCTTTCTTCCCTCTTATCCTCTTTATACTTGTCTTTCTGGTGGGTTCTGTTCTGCTTTGATCTGTGTGTCGTGTGTCTGCCTATAACTATCCCGAGGTCCTTGCCCTCGCGGAGGTCTACCCATACCCACACCACAGACAAAATCTTGCGCTCTGCACGAACGAGACAAATTCAAAACCCAACCACTTCTCTCTTTGTCCGGTTGACTGTCTCCCTTCGGAAAAAATCAACAAGTACTTTTCCGCCCACAGCAAAGACAGACTACGTACGTATCAATTGAAGCAATCAGTTAAAGCATTCCGATCATTCAGCGTTGCGCGCGCGGAATCTCCTCGGTTTCGTCACCTTTTTTCCTTCCGTGCCTACCCACCCACCGCCCTACGGATACTCGCCGCTCGCCGCTGCAGTCATCAGGTCATCTATCTTCAATCCATTTTGATTCGACAACCAGTCTACAATATATATTTTTTTCTGGCTCAGATACGACATTTAGTCCTCCGTTTTTCTTTTCCTTTCTTTTGTTCTCGTCGCAACGGTGGCAACTTCGTCTTCGCTTTGCTCTAGAAACCCTAATTTGTCATCCTTCTACAACCGCGTGGAAGGCGCCGTTGTGCGCGACATCACCGGCACTCACATGACTCCCCCAGCCGTTTCTCCAGCTCCCTCTTCGACGGTTTCTTCAGCTGCCCCCTCCATCGCCTCTACAGATCGCAACGATGGTGACAATCAGGTAACCCGCGCTTTGGACGACATGCGACTGTCCGCACCGTCATCAGGTGAAGCTTTTCCGACACCACAACAAACCAAGACAGCAAGACCATCCATGGCTCATCGCATAACCCGCATGTTCAGCGAGCGGAAGACGGTGAACCCACGATCGGAAACCGAGGCCCATAAGGATGCTGGTTCAGACTCGAGCTCCGATAGCGCAAAGCCGTCTACGAATGGAAATATGCGGTCGGTTCCTCAGGCCCAGCCTACGCAGCAGACGTCACAGAGCGAGAAGCCTGCTGATGGATCCGTGAAAACGAAGAACTCGAAAGAGAAAGATTTGCCTGTCCACAAGCGCTTTGAGATTTTGCCCGAAGGAACGCATTTACATCATCTCAAGGGAACGAAACGACAAGAGAAGTTGACTGGCCTCCTCCGAGATATGTTGGGAGGTGGCAAGAAGAAAGAAGATCATGCCGACGATCAACAGCAATTATCCTTGGTGTCTAGCTGGATAGACCAGTTGAAGAATGAACGCGACAAACTTGCACAAGACAAAAAGGGCGGGCCGAACGCTACGGCTACCTTGGTCGACAAATACGGAAAATGCCAGGAGATTGTTGGTCGGGGGGCTTTCGGCATCGTTCGCATTTCCCACAAAGTCGACCCGAAAGATTCCAAGATGGAGCAGCTGTACGCTGTCAAAGAGTTTCGACGCCGGCCACAAGAAACGTCCAAGAAATATCAAAAACGACTCACGTCGGAATTTTGCATCTCATCTTCTCTGCGCCATCCGAATGTAATACACACGCTGGACCTATTGCAAGACGCGAAAGGAGATTACTGTGAAGTAATGGAGTATTGTGCGGGCGGCGATCTCTACACTTTGGTACTAGCAGCAGGAAAACTCGAAGTTACTGAGGCAGACTGTTTCTTCAAACAGTTGATGCGTGGTGTTGAATATATGCACGAGATGGGCGTTGCGCACCGTGACCTGAAACCTGAGAACCTTCTCCTCACCACTCATGGAGCTTTGAAAATTACAGACTTTGGTAATGGTGAATGCTTCCGGATGGCCTGGGAGACACAAGCGCACATGACTGCTGGCCTCTGTGGGTCTGCCCCTTATATCGCGCCTGAAGAGTATACCGATAAAGAGTTTGATCCTCGGGCCGTCGATCTTTGGGCCACTGGAGTCATTTATATGGCCATGAGAACAGGCCGTCATTTATGGCGTGTTGCGCGCAAGGACGAGGATGAATTTTACGAGCGCTATCTCGAGGGTCGTCGGGATGAGGATGGCTACGCGCCGATTGAAACCTTGCACCGAGTATGTATTCTCCGCCCATTCTGCTCTTGACCCAGCTAACGTTCTATTAGGCCCGCTGTCGCAACGTCATCTACTCCATACTTGACCCCAACCCCGGTCGACGAATAACCGCATCGCAGGTACTCAAGTCGGAATGGGTTCGTGAGATCAAGCTGTGTAAGGCAGGCGAAGAAGGCTACTGATACCTTCTTCATTTGACACACGAAAAAAAATTTAATGCATTATCACGACAGCAATCATGACCTCACTAGTATCATTGACTTTTCCTTTCTATCATATCCTATCATACCATTTGACTTTATCCTTGGTGGGAGGCCAGTATTTGTGATATATCGAGGGCTCTGGATCCCAAGACAAACCCAGACACTAGACTGGAGGTCTTTTCACTTGCAAGCACGCATCACTTTATGACCCATTATTTGAACCTTTTGCTTCTGGTTCTCGTTTGTGTATTTTACTTTAGGCGTACCGATCATCGATTTCTTTTCTTCTTTCATCTTTCCTATTTTTTCATTCTAGTCCTATCTATATAGGACACGTGCATAGTTTCGGTTTCTACTGACTTGATTCTATTAGCGATGGATGATACTCAATGTTTTCTACTTGCTTCTTGTTTATAGTTTTGATACTCCCCCTGCCTTTTCACACTATACATACTACGACCAGTTATGACAGACAGATAACCTGACGATGGCGTTTGACAAAGCGGTTGCATTGCATTTGATTACCACGCATATGTCCTGTTTGACATGTCATCCTGTATTTTTACCAGTTCCATGACCACTTAACAAATACCGATTTATGAGTCTACACTTGAATGTCCAGGATATGTTTCGGGGGACATATGACGTAGACTATCCCGGATCGTCGGTAATAATCGTATAAATTACAATACGCATACGTCGACTGCGCCACGGAAGCAGGGCCCCAATCGTCACCTTCAACAGCCTAAGCCTTAAGGCAGTAGGGCAGCCACGATCCACTACGTAGACACTTAACCACCAACTTGTTTGCCTGGACCAACATACAAAGCTCTACACTCCTTTCGCTTCTCGTTGCGTTCACGAATTATCGATTCCATTTTGCTTACTACGTTAATATTGCGGTATCGTCTGCTCTGCCATTACGTTAAGAATCGGTTTCCGCCGCCGCATCCGCCGTCATGTCGTGGTCAGGTCAGTCAATTCTCGCGTGCTTCGTTCTCCTCGGACAAACCGGAATTCTAGGAAGAACCAGCTAGAACGTTGCTAAACGTGTAGTCGTGAACAGGATTCAAGAAAAATGTCAACCGCGCTACGACGCAGGTTATGATGAAGACTGGTTCGTTGAACCCCGCCATTGGACCTTGAAGTTCCTGTTACTGATTGATGATTGTTCATTCGAATAGGCCATGTCGAGAAAACGAATGATCGTGATTATGAAATCGAAGAGAGGTGATTACATTATTGATTCTTGAGTTGACTGGTGGCGTTTGTGGCGGAAATCTGACGGAATTGTGTAGACGGTATCGAACGATGGAGACGGCTGTCAATCGCTTGCAGAAAGAGGCAAAGGGGTATCTTGATTCGTTACGAGGTATTTATTCTTTGTTCCAGAAATGGTGGGATCAGGACTAATGGGCGAAGCAATGACTGCGTCACAAATGCGCATCGCAGAAACGATCGACGCTTTCTACGGAGACGCCGGAACAAGAGACGGCGTGAGTCGAAGCTATAAGCAGGCTGTCGAGGACCTGGATGCGGAGACTATCAAAGCTTTGGACGGACCATATCGGTGCGTTCAATCCCGAGAATTACAATCCCGGAGGAAATAGAGATGCTGATTGAAATAGAACAACCGTCCTAGAACCCATCTCCCGTTTCTGCGCTTACTTCCCCGACATCAACGAATGCATCAAGAAGCGCAACAACAAACTCCTCGACTACGACTCCATGCGCGCCAAGGTCAAGAAACTAGTCGAAAAACCGGACAAGGACGCCACAAAGTTGCCCCGCGCCGAACGCGAAACGGAATTGGCAAAACAGGCCTATGAGCAACTCAATGAACAATTATTCACAGAGTTGCCGCAGTTGATCGACTTGCGCGTGCCTTACTTAGATCCCAGTTTTGAGGCGCTGGTCAAGATTCAACTGCGCTTTTGTGCGGAGGCGTATTCGCGTATGGCGCAGGTGCAGCAGTATCTTGATGCGGACACGAGAGATCAGTATGCGAATGGTGATTTGGATAATCGGGTTGAGCAGGTGTTGCAGGAGATTCGGGATTTGAGCATTGCCGGCACTGTTTGATTTTGGTTGCGTGCTGCGTGCTGCGTGCTGCGCCAATGGGAAAAAATGGTCTATAATTTTCTGTCCATATGATTTATGTGAAGTGGCTTATGATACTTAGTACGGGTAATTAGGTTAAATGCATATCCTGGGAATCATCTATACTAATATACAAATATACAGATACACACGCTAAATAACATACATGAACGCTTGAGTATAATACCACCACCTACCCGGGTCAGAAATCATATCTCATCCTCATCCCGCCTATACATCTCTTGCACCAACACCTCCACAACCTCTGGCACCGCCTCCCTCAAAGCCTGCATTTCTTGAGACCCCATCTTCGACAAGACATAATCCGCCACAGCATTCCGTTCACGGCTCGTAGGCCTACCAATCCCAATTCCAATTCTCAAAATGGCCATAGACGTCGCCGACTTTGCGCCTGTGGTTGCTGTAGAAGGCGAAAGAAGACCAGCACCCCTCAGACTCTCCATGATACTAATCAACCCCTTATGGCCCCTAAGACTAGCCTGCTGAGGACCCCCGCGCCGAATTTTGATCTGTCCTGGTTTGGCCTCTAGTTCGTCATGCAGAATGACGAGGGTTGGTCTGAACCTCTGCGTCAGACCGCGAGTATCGATTGTGATGGATTCCAATGACGCTGATTTGAGTAACTGCACGTTACTACTTTGTTCTGAAGATAGTGCAGTATTATGATTGACCAAAGAATCGAAATATTTCCTGCGGTCTGCGAGCCAACTCTTCAGTTGGCGGAGCACAGGTGGTCCGGAGATGTTCATTAATGATGGTGATTTCCATGTTGAGTAGAATATTGATTTGGAGAGGGTCTTGTTGTTGCTGTTTCCTGGTGTTGATAGGCCGATACGTGAGTGTAAGTGTGGCTGAAGAACGTCGAGTAATAGATGCCCTGCGCTGTGGCGCGTTTCGGTGTATGGTGCTGGATTGCCGATGGAGGCGATGAAGAGGAATCGGTTTGGAGATTTGTAGATTTGAGTCAGCATTTTTTCGTCGTCCATTCGCCTTTTAGTCGATGTTGCGCTTGAAGTGCGTAAGCGTATGGGGTATATTGACTTTCTTCAAATTTTTGTGCAAATGTTTATCGGTGGCTGTGCTTTCTGATATGATTCTTTGATTATTTCGTTCCCTGATGCGTATCTGACTAGGTCTCGTGGGTTATGTTCAAGCTGCCTTTTCAAGATGATTGGAAGATGGAAGAGAAAAATAAGATGCGGTCCTTGAACTAGCTCGCTGATTGGCTGGTTTCGATATGCTATTCACCACTGTTTACTGTTAAGGTACAACATCGAAAGGATTCTGAGAGATCCTCGTCTTTTTATTTTATTTGATGAGTAATTAACTATGAGGTTATTGCTTAACTATGTATTGATTTCGGCATTGTATCAGCTTCGAGAAGTTACGTGAATGTCTTGTCAAGCAATAGCCGGCTGACATATCAATCAACATGCGATTACGACACGACTATCATGGATCGAGGCCTTGCTATTTTTCCATAAACGGTCCCCTATCCTCGTTAACGTGGCTTTTATGTACTATGTATGCAGGGGTGGCCAGAAAGACGACCACATCTGTGGCTTTCAGCAGCCCAGGATATGACGGCAACCCTAATTAACCTTGTTGGCCTTACGTTGCAGAGCAAAAGCACAATACTTGACACAGTGCTGCGAGTACGTACTGCTGATAGCTGAATCTGCCTTACATTCTCTTAAGACAAAACAATCCGTTTGAGTCTAAATCGTGCAGTAGCACGTTGCATCATTTGCACTAAACAGACTAGTCAAATTAGTGGCTTCACAAAGCCAATCAGGCCAAGAATTCATGTTATCCCCCAGCCAAGTTGTTACAAAATATGATCTATCTAATCTGTAGGGGGACGGACTTTTAAGTTACCAACTTGGTGTAGAGCGCTAAGGTTGAATTGACCCTGATATGTGGCGTAGTGACTTAGTACATCTCTTGGACGATAAACCATGTCGTGGACCCTGAGCTAACAGCCTACTTTTACTAATGACTAGATAGTAATAACGACTTCTCGTTTACGTACCGTGCAGTGATTCTGCTTGCGACAGGATTTGATTCAACAGAATGCGATGTAAAAAGCGTGGACGAATAAATAGCGTGTCGCCTTGAAGATTACTCGCTTTCAGCCATCGCATAAATCTCGACAGCAGGAGACGTCTGTTTCAGCGTCGCTGGACAACAAACATGGCATTGCATGCGGCGCAGCATCTTAGCCTATGCTGCATGAGTCATTCCTGCCTAGTAAATTTCTACAAGGAGCTATTTGCGTCTTTTGAAGAGGGGGAGAAGGCCAAAAATGCAATTATGGATTTGAAATTTTCTAATCCTTGTCGCTGTATGAGTTGGATGAATGCTAAGAAACACTAGCTACAGATCCGCGCTTTCTCTTCATTTTGTTCCATTTTGTCCCATTTTTTCGTTTCTCATCTTATCTAAACCGAAATGTGCTAGCACGTTGTCTTCATACCTAAACTAGTAGACAAGGCTAGCACAGGACAAGTGACTAAAAGTACTCACCCAGCATAATTTTTTTCTGGCGCAGGAGGAAGCAAGTACTCTCCTATAAATAGTCTCGTGCCCGCGAGTATCATTGAAAGATAAAAAATTTCCCATTATCTCAGTGGCTGGCAATTCCCTGATACCCCATGCCACAACGACGTCCTTATAATCGGTGGAAACCAAGCGAAAAGGAGCGATTGATTGCCCTTCGTCAGCAAAACCCCGACATGTCCTACACGAAACTTGCAAATGTCCGTCTTGCATACACTTCGTACTTCGTAGCAAAGTACTTACAAGCTTAACAGATATACTATCCCGACCGAGACCCACGAGCACTGAGAAAAGTTATCAATGTTAGTCCACAAGTATTTATCTATATCGTCTATTTGTTCATCATCGACAACAGACCCATGAAAGAAAGACTCGAGATGAAGAAAAAGCAAGAGCGAACGTAAGGTAACCCCTCATACACATTCATCTGAAGTGCATATAACTGACTGGAGATCTGTCAATGATAGCGAGATAATGTTACTCCGACTGCGGCGTCTACGACAACGATAGGAACATCTTCAAAGTCTCCTGAGCGGGTGGCTACGGTTGAAACTGAAGACGAAGAACACTCTGACTCAGAGGAGCGTATTGAAGACATCTATTTTTCTGGGGAGCGGACTCCCAACAAGGTATGATATTTCGTTTGATCCGGCGCGAGGAAAGAAAAGGTTCGGACCAGTCACTGACCTCATCTGCTTTGGATTGTAGCGAGTCAAATTAAGCTATTCCACGAGGTCTCAGGTGGCTTCTAGCAAGTCTCAGCGGCCACAAGATTCGGCCACCATACAATCGGAATCAAGCGAGCGCCGGCAGAGCTTGGATGAACCCCCCTTGGAGCTGTCCCCTCGACCTAGAAAGGGTCACATTGTGCTTTTTTCAGAGCATGCCAATCGCAGCCCTGATCGAGGAGCAGTCGAAGATGACAACGAAGATCATGGGTTGCCTCTCAGCACTCCTCCACCGCCCCCACCATCAATACCACCTCCCTCTCCACCCCCTCCTCCGCCTGAGGAATCCAGGGAGGGACAGGCGCAGAATCGGACAGTAGTAGTCGCTCCTGTTGACCACAGCAGTACCAGACAATCAGAGACCCAGGATCAAGTGGGCGAACTCGCACCAAAGCAGGGTCTATTCTCAGCAGAATATATCGAAAAGGAAATTGCTCAACAAACAGCAAAGACCAATCGATGGATCAAATGGCTTTTGACCCAAAACAAAGGCTATGAGACGAGAAACCTGGACTTGGAAAAGAAGCTAAAACAATACGAGTCCGTGGACACGGATAAAGACAGTCAAATATCTCGGTTGCAGACTGAGCGAAAGCAGCTGTTAAGTGAGAATATGGGGTTGAGAAAGAAACTGAAAACAGTAATCGAGGTTGCAGGGGGAACCGATGATTTGGAATCAACTATCCAGGGTGCATAGGTCTGTACACACCATTCTGATATTAAATATGGATTGGACAGCAGCACCTCGAGAAAACAAGAGCGGCCTACATATCTCTTGACATAGGTTTGTTTCTTTTTGACTAAGATTTCTTTGTAACTATAGATAGGAGTTTTTAGCTAGCTATTGATATGATCTGGTTTTTTTTTGATAGCTTTAGAAATTGGGTATAAATTCAAGGTCAGCAGTGGCAGCCTTCCTCATTCTCAAGTGTGTATGAGTAATTCCTCCGGCCGATCCTTGCGAAAACTCTACAGTAGGAACTTATTCTTACTCATCGACTGTCCGTGACTTCATCAGCCTTGATTTGTCATGGATGTTGAAGCAAGGTGAATCTTAAAAGACATTTGAAGAAATATGATGAAAATACTTCGTAGTCCTGGCTAGACTGGATCAAGTTAGCTCCAGATCCATCGAGTGGAGCTTCATGCTGGAATCTGCCGATTAGTAATTGATTCAAACCAATCATGTGGCATACATTAGTCTGATTGGCAGCCCGACCCCTGCACGTCTCCACGAGTTTAACCGTCTTGATTGACCAATCATAACCCCGAATGGAGAATAATTCGACGATAGATGCATATCGACCTGGAAAATGACAACAAGCACATCGATTTCTAAGCATTCATGAGCGCTCGTACTGTAGACAGTATACCTTGTTAGGACTATACGGATTCTATTGTGATCGGTTCGTTGCCACGAGTCTGTCCATTACAAATCAATTGCGTTGCTTCGATGGTGTCAAAAAGTATTTAAGGTGTGACTTGTCCTCTGAGTACCTTTTTTTGGTTCATCCACGGTCAATCAAACAAATCCTCCAAGATTCTCATTCAGAGTTCAAATTATCTGCTCAAATCCAAAACAACTATCACAAAATGACTACATTATCAACCCCCATCCGCCGCGTGCTCACCGCGAGCGACCCTAAAGGCAACGGCTACTTCGCCTCCGATGATCTCCTCTCTCCCTACGATCCCACAACCGCACCGGACTTCTCAATTCCAACCGAAAAATCAGCATTCGGCGTTATCCAAATCCACCGCTCCCGTGGCTTCCCCGTCGACAATCAACGTCCACTAGACAAGGAACCACACAAAACCCTCGTGCCCTTGGCGGACACTAAAGGTCCTTCAGCACGCCTAATTGACCTCCCTCCCAACCAGGAAGGAGGCTGGATGCATCGCACACTCAGTCTGGATTACGGCGTTGTGCTCAGTGGTTCGGTCACGCTCATCACCGATGGAGGAGCGGAAAAGACCCTCAAGGAGCATGATGTTATTGTTATGAGGGGCGTCAACCATGCTTGGGTCAACCGTGGGAAGACCGTAGCGAGGATATTTGTGGTTGTTGTGCCGGCATTGCCGATTGTAACGGAGGACGGGGTGAAGTTGGAGAAGACTCCTGCGGGTGAGATTTTTGATCCAAAGGAGGAGGATGATTAGATGCTTATATGGGGACGTGTCCGAATTGGGTCTCAGTAGTGAATATGCATATTCATTGAACCATACCATCATAAATCATTATTACGCATTTCTTTACAATGCTCCTCTTCATAAAATAAGTATGTTGATCAAGAGGATAGTTGCTAAGCGGCCACTCCATTCCTGTCACTTGTATCTTGCTCGAACAACTCATTGCAGACAGTCGTGTATTGGCCTCAGGCCCTAACCCTAAAGACTAGTATTGTCACAGGATCATGAAACGTTCGTTATAAATCCATCGACTTGTCATGAAGATGGATAGTGTCCCAAGCATCCGGTACAATGGTAACTGTGGTACTTGTCCCGACAGTTCGGACCCCTTAATCTAGGAATAGAGTGATTAGAGCGCTAGTTATTCAACCGTTATCCTCTTATGCTCCTAACGGCTCACCCTCTCCGTGTAGTAAGTGCGTACGTACGTAGTACAAGACATATAACACTTGTTAAGAGCTTAGGACTGCTTGTATAGCACTATTCGAAATTAAGGGTGTCCACATCATTCGAACCGTTCCCTCGGGTACCGAATTCCAACGTATAGGGCCACGTCTAATGTATCAGCTCTAGTGTCTGGTATCTGCAGTGTAACAGCACTAGCATTTGCTGCATGCGCTTTGTTCCCGAATTTCCCGGAGTCAGTTCTGTTCTCAATTTTTTGGCAAAATTTTGTTTCTTCGGGGCGTACACTGTAACTAAGTTACGAACTCTGAAGCTGACTAAAAGATTTTGCCTGTGCAACTCGCGCATGCAATGCCATGCACGTATATGCACCGAATCCGAAAATCAGATTTTGAAAGATTCCGAATCAGTTGCACAAGGTTTGTAACTTGCTGAATAGGAGCCGGCTGTGGAACTGGCCGGAGTGCTGCTTTTTCGGGCGTAGGCTTCGGGGAGAATTAAGCTCAGCGCCGGGGCTCTGGCTCAGGCCCCCCCGTTCTCCCGCTGCCGCTTCCACTGTGTCGGTACTGCCTCTGTGCGTCCAGAAGAACTCATACAGCACACACTCTCTCATGCTGTTATTGTACTGTAAAGGCTCATATACAGCCATCATACTCAAAACTCAATACTACATCAGGTCGATTTACGTTGTACGAGCCAACGCGAGCCACCAACCATGCTGTTGGCTCGCACGAGTTGGTGTTCGCCGTTTACCCACTTGGTCAGTAAGCCTGAAAAATAAATGAAATTAATCACTTAGGCTAGACTTACATGCTATGGAACCTTAGTTATACTGCATAATACACCATTTATGTTCCTATTGGTCGTGCTACATCGACGTGAGTCGCTCCTTCCCTGTTGGGACTGTTCTTTCTTGCTGGTTTCAAAACCGTCCGGGACAATCCTTTTTTACCTCAACTTCTACTCTTCTTCACACTGTACACACTCTCTATTTGCTCATTCCACTATATACAACCTCCTTGAAAAGATCAATGGAAAACTTGGCTACATCTATCGTCAGACATAAACTACCTGGGCAATTGACTGTGTAGCTGCATTGAATCTCGACCATCACCCGTGAAAACTGTGGAACCTGCGAAACGTATACTCTGAACCTGGCTATGGTACAGTCCAACCTTGATCCCCTCGCCGAGCAAGTCGAAAGCGAGAATGAGCTCGAAGGAAGTGATGGCGCAGACTCAATGTGGGCATATACTTAACGCCATTGCAAACAAACGACGGCTAATACAGCAAATAACAGAGCAAGCTCCTCAGGCATAGCCCTCGAACCCATTCACGAAAACGGCCGAAGATACTGTAATGAAATGTACTTCATGCCGAACGACGAGCCCGAGCAGACCCGCCTGAGTATCGTCCATCAAGCATTTCTAATCTTGCTAGATGGAGAATTGACCACAGTCCCCCTGCCACCGGAAGGTCCAAGTCGTGTGTTAGACGTTGGTACGGGCCCGGGGGACTGGGCTGTTGAAATGGGGCAACGGTATCCGAATGCAGAGATCATCGCGACAGACATCAGCATCTTTGACGGAGGTCCAGCCATCATCGGTCTTCCGAGCGTTCACTTCCAGCTTGACGATGCTGAGGACGACTGGACGTACCACGCACCATTTGACTTTATCCATTTTCGAGGTCTTTCCGGCGCATTCAGAGATTGGCGAGGCGTGTACGAGCAAGCCTTCAAACATCTGAAGCCCGGCGGATACATTGAAGTAGTTGAGAGCGACCCGGCGGCAGATATCGTGACATGGGCCAATTCGAATCCAGACTCTTATCATAACATCTACGTCTCTGCCATGCGGAATGCCGCCGATTCTTTGGGTTATCCACGCGGCCGTGATCATTTGAATCGTTCGTTGCTGACGTCGATAGGGTTCGTGGATGTTGGTGTTCAGGATATGAATGTGCCAGTCGGGGCATGGCCGCAGGATGACCGGCAGAGAACGTTGGGCAAGATGGTTCTTATTGCGTGTCTGGAAAGCCTTGAGGCGAGAAGTCTCAGACCGTTGACTGCTACTGGGCATTGGAAAGTGGATGACGTGCGAGATCTGTGCGAGAAGGTGAAGCAAGAGTTGATGACGTCTGAAGGGTTGACCATGTCTGTGCGGTTTGTAACAGCGCAGAGACCGGAGAATACTTAGAACGATGATATATCGTTGTGGCTTCTTGAAGACACGACGTCAATGATCTGCTCGCTAGAAACAGTCCAGCGAAATTCAAGGACAAGACCAAAATAGACGAAGTCACCCTGTTCTATATCATCCAAGGGTTGACAGCGTTGGACAATATACCAAACAAACTTTATGAAGGTGCCGTCAATGTCGACCGCATCGTCCATGCTCAAGAAGCAAGTTGTGATAATAAAGTCCAAGCTTGGATTATATTGATAATATAGTTTCTGGCTTCTGGCCAGCGTTTGACCTACGACTCAATACCTAGGAACGCTAAATCACAGACACTGTTGAAACCGAGAGACAGAACCGATTTGAAAGATCAATATTTTCATCATACAATATGCCCAATGAACAAAAAAGCTATCATAATAATACAATTGAAAGACTAATAAAACAATGTAAAGCTAGTCCTTATAGAACAGTCCTCAGTCTCTTGCCCAACTTCTCCATCTCACCAATAATTCCACCACCAGCAATACTCCATTTCTCACTGACCCATTCCTCGGTAATCTTCTCCTGCAAAATGCCACTTCGCGCGAAGTATTCCATGTAGCCGCGCGCTTCTTCGCGACTCAGACCACCTAGAGTCTGTAACTCGAGCGGCGACGACGAGGATTTACTAGCGGCCTGCTTGAAAAGGTCCAAAACCCTATTGTCGGTCTCCGCATATGGATCTGGTTGTGGAAACTCAGCTGATGATTCCGCGACGCCTTGTTGACGGGCTTTGAGTTGGGCTAGTGCTATGTCGAGAGTTGGTACAGCGGGACTGTTTGAGCCTGAAGTTGCAAAAAGCACAACTCCGCCGTTGGGCATTGTGGGCTTATTGGAGGATTGCGGTGTCAGTAAAGACACAAAGTGCTGGACAAGGGCGAGGTCGTGGGCGTGGATGGGCTTGAAGTCTGCGTTGCGGTACTTAGACTCTTGCATCCAGTGACCTAGACCGTCGACTGTGACGAGGAGAGGGGGACGATTTTGGAATGTCGATTGTGCCTTGTCGTCTGCTTTCTGTGCAGTTTTTGGAGCAGTTGCGTTGATTTCGGCCCAGAAGGCTTGCCATACGGGCCAGGCGATTGTGACGTCCTGGACACCCAGGCGAGCGAGTTCGGCGAGTGTCGTTTTTGGTTTGACGAGTGACTTGAGCTCGGGGTGTTCCATGGATACGTGCAACTTTGACAAAACTTCTTCGTTGGCGAGAACGGTGCGCTGGAGGAGCTCCGATGTCGCTTTTTCTTGGACGTATTGCACTGGATTCGTGTCGGGGAGGGGTGCGTACGTGGTTTGAGCAATGACCAATTCTTGGGCTATGATGTGTCAGTATAAGAATAGACAGTATACCACAGTTGGAATAACTTACGATCAGGAATAGAAATGACAACCCATTTCTTCAAAAGTCCCATAGCCATTGCCTGCAGCAAATGAACACTCTTTCCACATGCTCTTTTTCCCGTAAGAACCTTTTTCACGACTTTCCCCTGATCCGGACCCTCGGTAGAGATCCCCTCAAAAATCCGACCCATCTCCAACGTCTCACGTCTCAAAACAACACCCGGACGACGGAAAAGTGACCAGCCCTGAGAAGGCTTAAATGCCTGCAGAGCTCTCAACTGATCAATCATAGGCACGGGTAACCCAAGCACCGACCCGCGAATTCGAGTATCAACCATCGTCTCCTCTGAGAATTCCTGCATACCAGGAACCTCTAAGGCATTGGTATTACTCAAAACAATCCTCTTTCTGAGCGCTTTCCGTTCTCCGATGGCTGGTGGACGACCGCGGTCTACCGTCGCCTTTTTCGGCTTTCGCATACGCGCGGACTTGGATTCACGAAATTTCGGTGCGCCTTCCATGCTTTTGGATTTTTTCTGTAGCGGGTTTGCATATCGAGTTGCGCTCGTGTGGAAGAGGGAAGTGGTCGTTCTGGCGGTCAATTGACGATAATGCTGGGGAGCAGCAGGAGCTGGATGCAACAGGGCTCGCGATGTTTGGCGAAGCCCCGTTGTCGAAAGGCAGCCCCAGCATAATTGGGAAACCATTGTGCTGGCTATTATGACCTCCCGTGGATAAGGAGGGTCAATGGGCACTGCACAAGGTATGCGGAAGATGGACTTGATGATTTGGATTTATTGATCTCGGAAACTTGAGAGGACGGAAGTGCCAAGCAGAAGAAAACCTAAACGGGAATAGACCATGCCGCTTTTATTCTAGTAAAGCGGCTCTGGAATTACCCGCTTTTTTTCTGATAAGCTCGACTTATCTATCCAGACAAAAAAATCAAATCATTACGAACCAGCATACTACGCAGATTGATTTGAGCACTCGATCATGGCTACTACCACTGAAATGATGGAGGTGGACACTGTCAAACCGAAGAATGCCAAGCTGTGCGTTGTCMCAGTTTTCTATTCTCTTCGTGTTTACTGACTGACACTTTCCAGGCCCATTGTCGTCCAAAAAGAGAATCCATATACATTCGACCTCGGCCACCTTCTCGCACAAGACCCCAATCCTCTCGTGATCCCCAGGTCGGATAATGTCAATGAGACTTTGAAAGCAGTAGCACGAGATGGTGCGCAATCACTACTCAACCAACTTCTCGTATGTTTTGCCTCGTGCTTCAGCGAAAATTGGACTAACTGACAAATGTTGCAGACTACATGCCCCGTAACGTCAAACGCAAAGGACGGCGTTCTAATGACTCTCCCTCCTCCTAACACACTGCTTCCACGATTCAAGCCTCTGTGCGCATCTTCCTTCCCCCTTCTCCATAACAAAGGCTAACATGACTTGAAAGACCCAAACCCAAAGAACCCACAAAATGGGATCTCTTCGCCCGTAAGAAAGGAATCGGCAAATACAGCAGCAAACCGGGCGCCGCCATGGCCGAAAAGGAGCGACGCAAGAAACTCGTCTATGACGAAGCGAGTGGTGAATGGGTCCCTCGATGGGGCTACAAGGGCGCAAACAAGTCTGGTGAAAATGATTGGGCTGTTGAGGTGCCGGATAAGGATTGGAAGCAGGAGGCTGAAGGAAAGATGAATGTGCGTACTGCCGGAAGGGCGGAGAGGAAGGAAAGAATCAAAAGAAATGAGAGGAAGGAGAGAGCAAATGAGCGGAGGACTCGGAAGTTCGGGGCTTGATCTGTCTCTTTGACTCTGTGATGATGAAAAGTGCATTTCTGTGTTTGTCGGAGTTGGGATGGCGTTTGTTTAGCGGGTTTGCAGTTTGTGTGATCTACATGTCTAATCCAGATGAGCAAGAGTGAGATTCATGATTCTTGTATGTATTATGATATTCATTTATATGGCAAGATAATTGATAGATAGCATCTGAATCGTACAAAAAAGACACCGCAAAGAGTGATATTATAAATATGTACAACATGAAGGAAAATGTGTGAGAGGATATTTCCGGACAGGAGATATATGAAAACGCTGATTATATGTAAATGACCCGCTTCGTCAACCCATAGCCGACTTATTTACTCATCTTTCTCTTTCTTGCCAAATCCGAGCCAACTGCTTATTCCGCCGTTCGGTTTTCGCTCTACCCTTTCATGCTGTCGATCGGCTTTGTGATCTTCCCAGGAAAGATCGCTTCTTCCACTTTCGTGGCGTTTCTTTTGATCTTGCAGAGCAAGGACCTTACTCAGCGGTGTGGTCTGATCTGCTGGTAATTCTCGCGAGGGAGGTGGTGGCGTGACAGCTTGTGGACCTTCGATAGCACGGCATAATGTAGCAAATGACCACTCAACGGCATGCTCAACAGGCTCGTCGAAGAGATATGGTAACATGGGAACGACACTTAGACCTAGCTGTTTCGGAAGATTAGCTCAGTGCTTCATCAGATATGTCAGGATGACTTACGCCAATTGGACCCCAGGTGCGAATAAGTGTGCTTGAGGAGTTCTTCAAAGCACGACCCGAGTATCGCACAACAGAGTGGATAGTAAATGCAGGTAATCCCATACTTGCAATGCTCTGAAACACAGCACGTTTCGCCATGACCATCCGGTAATCATCGATCAATGGGATATGAGTCGTCGACCATGGAACCAAAGGGTCCAGCTTATCACCACCCTCCGATTCGTTGCGCGGTCCTGTTGATAAAGGACCAGCGACATTTCCAGTAGCCATACCCAGGACAACATGGTTTGCTTTCAGGTCTGTCGCGTCCTTGTATGCCTCCCCGGGCGGGATCACTGCTCGCCGATTACGCAAATAAGCTTTGTATCCTTCGTGGCCGACGTCACCGAGGATATATGTCCATGAAATAGCATAGGCGCTTCGAACAAGATATGGGTGAGCAACGGGACGAAACGATTCGCCGACGTCTGAAGTGTATGCAACGTAGCGATGGGCGGAAAGTAAAATAGTCCTAATTCGATTTACATAGGCTGCATATCGGTATTTTGTGTTTGTAGAGTCGATAGAACTTCATCTTTTGTCAGTTGTTTCTCTTTAGAAGTGAAAATGCGCCGGACACTCGAGGCTTCGACCGCGAGAAGAAGCACTTACTATGGGGCGTATAGTTCATCATAGTAGTCATCTTCCCGGTCGACGAGTTTTTGAAGATCGCGAGAAAGCTTTTGGCGCGGAATCTGGCTTTTCAGAGATTCCGGACGTGCCTCTTCACGGACGCGGGGGACCTCGTCCTTGTCACCGTCGCTTTTGTCTTTTCCCCAAAACATGATGATCAACTTGAAATATATGGCAATCGATATTTAAGTGTATAACGAATGTTTCACAGTTTTTAGAAAAGAATATGACGGTGAGTGAATGTGAGATTTTATCGGGCGTGAGGAATATCGGGTGTTGAGTACGGGAATTGTAGCAGCTGCCTGGATTCTGAGCCCCAGCATGGAGCTATCGCGGCGTACTTCGGAAGCGTTCCAATTCTGAAATGTCTGAAATCCGTGCAAGTATATGATCCTTATGAATGAACACCAAGACCGTTCTTCGATTAGAGTACTCCGCTTCCTTCCAACCAAGGGTTGTGTCTTGACTCTCCGCATTCTCGATCCCTCCAGCAATGACCTCACAGAAGAGCTAGCCTATCTTGGACTAGCTCCTCTGTATCAACCTCGGAGCATCCGATCGTGGCTGCGGAAGTTGTCGGGTTCATATCACGTGACTATCAGTTGACACTAGTGCTGCATTTGGAATAGCGCGCCAAGCACATAACCTTCAGAGGAAACATCAGCGGCATCTCTGATATGCGACACTTCGCCTTGAGACTTCCAGCGTCGATACACCACTGCCAATTGTTTGAGAACACCCAACCGAACTACTCATTCACAATGGTTAACTACTACAACATTGCAGGCCGCAAGATCGGCTCCCACCACGTACGTTCTTGTCCTTCCGCCGCGACATCCCTTTTGGTTACGTCAAGAATACATTTCAGCTGTGGACGATGATGATGAGATTCTCGAAATTGACTGACGTGTGCTGTTGTATTAGCTTGCCATGACCATTCTCGGTGGTCTCTTTGGCGGTATCTACCTTGCTTCCAGCGGTGGCAGCAAGAAGCAGGTGCAAACACCTCCCATCAACGCCGGATCTAAGGACGAGGAAAAATTCATCCAGTACGTCTTCTTCTTTCTCTTGCGTCTGAGATATATCTGAGCTACTTGTTGTCGATCTCTTTGAAATTCTGTTCAATGGTCGGAAATATAGATACTGATCCGTTTTCTCCGTATAGGGACTTCCTCAAGAGCGTCGAAGGCGAACAAAAAGCCAGCCACTAAACCCTTCCTTATCCATGACGAATGTATTATAATTGCGATGCCGATTTTATCATGCAGCAGAAGCCGAGCATCATCATTAGCGTGATCGCCGAAGCGATTGGTCTTGAGGGGAGCAATGCTGTGAAAAGCTTCCCAATGTTTAGCGGTCCTGGGATTATTTTTTACCACAAATCACCGAGGGCATTGTACATATAAAATCTACATCGTCATCAACTTTATATCATCATTGTCAAACATAGAATGAACTGTTCATTTCCTTTACTTTGATCAAACACGTGGAATCGGGCCGCTACAGCACAACCATTGAGTCACACAACGTGCTTTTCAAATGGCGAATCTCATCTCTGTGTAGTCACTATTGAGGAGTCTCATTCTCAGGACCTTCTAACGCAATTGCACTGATAATTTTGCGAATAGCCTTAGAAAAGGCGTAAAGACTCATGATTGGTTCGAGCACTTGTTGATGCTATCCGCTTCTTAAATTTCGACCGTAATTTAACTCTCTCATCCCTTCACCAACTACCAAGACTTCACAATTAGATTCTCCTCTTGCATCCTCAACCATGAGGCCAATACCCTTTCCATACGCGCTCAATATCGGCACCGATGTAGTTCACTTACCACGCATATATCGCCTATTAACCCAACGCGGCACAAGAAGCAATGAAACATACCTACACAAATTCACTCGCCGCATACTCTGCCCACAGGAACTACAAGATTTTCATACCAGATTCCGCTTGCATGAAAACGACCCTTTCCACCAAGAAGCCAGTACCAGCTTGAGAGAGATCACACCTGACATGGCACGCTGGCTAGCTGGACGTTTCGCGGCGAAAGAAGCAGCACGCAAAGCGGCGCCAGGGGGCGCAACTTCTATCAGCTGGAAAGATGTGCTTATCAGAGCCGCTCCGGCGTCTTCTGCCGGAAGTAGTAGACCAGAAATTGTCTATCTGAATGGAGCTCAGAACCGGCTTGGGAAGTTGTCTATTTCGCATGATGGTGACTACGTGATTGCTACGGTACTTGCTGCGGATGGTTGATATGACTTATGGACAAGGAAATTCCGACTTCCTATATTCCGTCTAATGCTTGCTTTCTTCATGTCCGTTGTGGCTGGCATATCCGGCAGGTACATATCGCGATAGTATGGCACATGGCGGGTCCGGCCGCGCTTACTGGACAAACTTCATGCCTCTGGGGAATTTTGTTCTCCAATTTATGAGAGCACTTCCCCAGATCTTCAACCACGGGTCTGGCAATTATTATTATCCTGACTGAACTATCGAATCACGGTCAAAGGACTTCGGAAAACTATCATTGCAACTGAATATTATTATCAAGGTAAGAAATCTGCCCCGCATGCACGTGAAATCTTTGACTCTGACAGGACAAGCATCAATACCTCAGATTTGAGAAGCACTCGCCTTTGTATCTCATTGCGAAGCATATTGCCGGCCTGTCGCCCTGATTTAATAGACATGCCGTTCTCACACCACAGCCATTCCGGGCAATTCTGTCCCGGCCATGCAAAGAATCAGTTAGAAGAAGTCATCCAGACAGCCATTACACAAAAAATGGAAGTCTTTTGTTTAACAGAGCATATGCCCCGCGGCAAAGAAGACTTTTATCCCGAGGAGGTATAATACACTGCTTCTCTCTTGTTTGAAATTTGGCTAATTCTGCATAGAAAGTAGATGGGTTGACAACAGAGGATTGGCTCATTGAAAATGAAGCAGCTTTCTTCGCCGAAGCATCAAGGTTACGAGAGAAATATGCATCTCAAATTAAAGTCCTGATTGGCTTCGAGATCGACTGGATTCGGCCCGAGTCTTTGAGGTTGATTGAGACATCATTGTCCCGCCTACCTTTCGAGCTCTTTGTTGGCTCTGTGCATCACGTACACACCATCCCAATCGACTATGATGCTGCCACGTACCAACAAGCACGAGAAATAGCAGGTGGCACTGATGAGCGACTATTCGAGGATTACTATGATAGTCAACTAGACATGTTGCAAAAGCTGAAACCCCCGGTTGTTGGTCATTTTGATTTGATTCGATTGAAAAGTAACGAGCCGAATGCAAGTTTCGCCAAGTACCCAAAAGTTTGGGAGAAGATTCAGCGGAATCTTCGTTTTGTGGCTGAGTATGGAGGTCTGTTGGAGCTGAATTCGGCGGCGTTGAGGAAGGGTATGACGGAGCCGTATCCCAAGGCAGAAATATGCAGGGTGAGCTTCGATCACAACACATATGAATTGCACAACAACTAATCATTGGAATAGGAGTTCCTATCAATGGGTGGCCGTTTCTGTATGTCCGATGACAGCCATGGCATTGATCAAGTCGGCTTCGGCTATCGACAAGTACTCGACTTTGTGACTCAGACCGGCATAACAGTCTTGCATTACCTTAATAGTTCTGACGAAGGCGCAACATTTGATGCTCGTTTCCCGTCGACGAGGATCCGCTCTGTCCGCGTGGGCGAACTCAAGCAAAAAGCCTTCTACCAAGAATCATAGAGCAAAATAAGTCCGATGGAAACGTGACTCGTGGTGTACATGACTTGCAACAAGCCGGATCTGAATTGCACAAACGGGATCTGAGCCCTTTGAGTAACGACTGTGAATTGATAGAATAATAAATATTTTTTAGGGCTCTGCAAGCGGCTATCTCTGCATTCGATGTGTCACGTTCCACTATCTGTACCCATGTCGCACATGGATATACAACCCTCTTAAGGCGGCTACAGCGCCAGAGAAGGGGACGTGTAGGATACAAACAGCCTGAAGAATCACACGAAGGTTTAAGGATTGCGTAGTTGATTGGTCAAGTCACTAACTGAATTTTGGAAGTCTTTCTACTTAGAGGTTACGTAGTAGGTGACAAGCCCGTGCATGGATAAATTCTGATTGGACCTTGTATATCTTCTTGTTTTCTTTTTTTTTTTTCTTTAGACCATTTCAGAAAATATCCAGACAGTCGGATTTGAGCGAAGACTTTGTGTAGTTATGTACGTACCCATAGGAAAATGACTACCTTTCCCCGCTTCATGATGATCCTTCATGGCGGGGKTGGTTTCTTACACTCCCGTGGGCGAATACAGACTCTCCGCACTACTAACTAGCTACAAGCTAAATCAAAGAGCACCACGCTCAAGATTTTTCCGAGGAGATAGTAGAAGTACTCCGTAAGCCCTAGGGTATACCATCAGGCACTCAGATTTCGAACCAGACTACCCAAGTCACAAACCAACGGATGCATAACTAAATTAGGACAATTTATTTATTTACCACTGACCAATACTGTCAAAGAGATGACAAAAATCACACAGGGAAGAACCAACCCTTGGACCGGTTTTCTCGGATTGCAAGGGGCTGTGTTGGGTAGTCATTGGCTGACAGAATGTGCCGGTAGGAGAGTTGCTGATATGGAACGTTCACCTTTAATTTGGACTCAGGACGGGCTGACCTGAACCAATTTTCTCTCTGTTGATCTGGGATCACCGTTGTATGCAATAGATAATGATGCATATCACTGCCGTACGAAACGGATTCGAGACTTCTAGACAAGTCCCACAGGTTCTCTATAAAATGTTGAGTTGAAGAGATAGAACATGTCAGACCGCTTGTGGACTCATAGTAATGTAAAACGTGCCAAGTTGTTGTGTTCAATAATGCAAATCCCTCAACGGAATGGTCTCATTTTGCGCAAATGATAGGATCATATATCTCAGAATGGGGCTTTGCAGTTTCCTGGGTATTGTTTCTGTTGGTCTGTCTGTATGGAGCTCTCTGGAGTCTGTGAATATCGAGTCACCGCCTGTGTAACAAGCAATGACATTCTCAGATAAGCTTTCATGATACAAGAGCATCTATCGAATGTTGCACGGAAAACGCCACCACGGAGTCCGTCGATGTATGTAGTCGAAGTAATAACTTAGCCTGTTGGTCGAGAGATGTTGATCTTAGTCGAGGACGATATGGATCATTATGGATCTTTTAGAGTTTCAACCCCACCACGATTTCATCCAGCCTTAAAGTACACCACCTCTCTTTCTTTCGTTTTCTCTCTTTTGTTACACTTTTCATATTCCAATCACCAAAATCTACCCATTCTACATTTACGCATATACTACATCAATATGAGCTGGCAAAAGACTGTCCTCTCCCCCGGTAACGGCACTGACATGCCCGCTGTCGGCGCCAATGTCAAGATCGATTACACCGGCTGGCTCAGAGACCCCAGCAACCCAGACCACGAGAAGGGAAAAGAGTACGTTTATTTCCCATCCATATCAAAAGCAAAGGTGTGCATATCTGACTCTGGCGTCATAGATTCGACTCCTCCAAAGGCCGCGGTCCATTGGCTACTCCTATCGGCAGAGGTCGGGTCATCAAGGGTGAGTTACCTACTACGTCGATGGCGACAAGGCGAAGGGGGTTGCTGATCTTTTGTCATCAGGTTGGGACGAGGGTGTATTATCCATGTCTCTCGGTGAAGAGGCTATTCTTACCATTGACTCGTAAGTCGTTATTTTCTCCTCGCATCATTGAATAGCCGAAAAAAGAAAATGCTTATCGCATTTCTATTCCAATTTATTTCTCCTGTCCAATCACTCTTTTTATGCATCTGCTAGTGTTTGGCACTTGCTGACTTGTTTCGATGTGACTGCAGGACCTACGCCTACGGCGACCGGTACGTTCTATCATCTTGGGCAGCCATTTTCCGATTTTCCCTTTTGTGATCGATCCCAACCGATAATTCCCCGCACTTCTCCGATATTTCCCCCTCTTCCTGCAGCTTTGTGTGGCTAGGCATGGGATATATACTTTTTATATTATCCATGCGCATAATCAGCACCAGCACAGCCACTCCCGCATTGTGTAGTAGTCACATGCATGACCCGATGTCGAGAACACGCGCGCATCAGAGACAGGAGCCAACTGGAACGGATCACTTTGCTAATACGTAATATTTTTGATGCAATAGGGGCTTCCCAGGTGTTATTCCTGCCAATTCCGACTTGATTTTGTATGTTGAATTTTCCCACTTGAACTTGAGTTAAAGTCTGTATTTGCTGACTTGTACATATAGCCAGGTGAAATTGATCGAGATCAACGGCAAGCGCGCATAAATCCGAGGAAGAAGAACAGGGCCCGTTGGATATTAATATATCGTTTGTGAAAAGGGGATATGAGGGAATGATTGGTATGAAATACAGAAAGTCAAAATGAGATCTGAATGGATTTGGGTGATATGATGGCCTGGAGAATCATGACGAATCAGAAGATGCGAATGGGGATGAGAATGAAAAAACTTTTTATATCTCAATTATATAACTGTCTAACTAATTGAAAAAGAAAAGAAATACAACTACAATTGTTCCAGATTGATGGCAAATGAACGTCTGTGCTTTACCTCTATTTTATCGTTTGGCTGGCTAGATCCAGTTTCAGTCTTTAGAGACTGTCTGATGTCCTTTGATTGTGAAGTGCATATATATCGTTCGCTCTTCATCAGTGCTATTATGCTTCGATTCGCCATGAGAGCACGACGTTATCATCGACAAATCGCCGGCTTTTAATCTAGCATAAAAGGTATCTTCCTCCCTCAGCGGCTTAGCCTTTATAGATGCGACCCAGGCTGAAAGCTCATCGCTCCATTCAATTTCATGGGTTCCCCTTTATCCAAATATGTCCGGGTATGTATTGGGAAGCCACCTTCTCGAGATCCTATATGGGCGCATTCCCGTTCGTGCGTATGACATGCTTACTTAGTTGCCTTTACATGGGATCTAGTTTAGCGTACAATCCGTTCGTCAGTGGCGGCATCATCTTGAAAAACATGACCTACTCAATCCCCATTGTTCCAAGGTTGCCTTTCACCCTGTCTCGAATGAACTTCTTGTTCCTGACTTGCTTTGTAAAGAGTCAACAATGAGTGAGCGACATCGCTCCCCCCAAACTGTAAAGTCGGAGAAGTCTCCATTCTCCGGCCCCACTATGGCCTGATTAGGCTTAGCTACGGCTGTCGACATCGGAAGACTCGGCGAATGGGCCGGTTAGTTATCTCATCCATTTACTCTCTGTGCATGGGCTGACCGACTTCTATCGTATCTCTTCTCTACTCGTGAATGTTACACGAATCATAATCATCTGATTAAGATGAGTTCTTTCGAGATCCGATCGTGTTTTTGATTATTTTCGTTGAATTCTACTCCTTTGTTGTCTTATCTTTTATGAATCTGTTTTGATGCGCGATTTGAGTTAATTATTACTCGGTTATTGACTTGATTCATTGTACATTCTGTATCACATCCATCTTTTCATCGCGGAAAATTATCAGAAGAATTATCCATGACACTCGAAATCACAAATTCGCTCACATCATCCTCACCGACTCTCACCATCCCCCTTTCTTCCTTCCGACTCAATTAGCCGTCACGATGTCCCGAGACACGGCCCGGGCTGCTGTCCCAGCTATACCGATCCCAATGACGAAATCGGATAAGCAATGGAATACGCGCAGTTTAGGACTGAGGTTTGCGGCAGATGCTGCAAGTGCTGCTGTAGCGGGAGCTCTTATCTGTCCTATTATAACCATTATTGATCGGTGGGTACCATACAAAATACACAAAAAGGAAGCACACTGACATCGACTTACAACAGTGCAATCATCGAAAAAGCATCCAAAGGTATATCGATTCGACACACGTTGACCACATGTCTCCGCGACATGTTGAGGAAACCGGCCGGCTTCTTCCTCTCGACCCCATTTATTCTTATATATACTCTATACGGCGGTACATATTTGACAGCCAATGCAATCGATACCGTCACATCGACACTGCGCAACCAGCCGTTTGAAACCGTGACCCCTGGTATGGAGAAGTTCCTCACTACCACGATCGTCAATATGTCTATTTGCGTTTATAAAGATGCTCGATTTGCCAGATTGTTTGGACCGTCTAGCAATCCATCCGCTCAGTGTCATCCTTCTGCGCCGGCCGTTACTGTTGCCGCCACTGGTACTTCGGCATCATCTGCCGCCGCCGCCGCCGCAACCGCTGCGAAAATCGCAAGTCAGGCCCCGAGAATACCCAAAGTTTCATATGCATTATTCTGCTTGAGAGATAGCGTGACAATTTTTGCATCCTTCAATATTCCCCCCTTGATCGCGCCCTCAGTGCCAGATTGGATCGCCTCGACGCCCGGCATGAAAGCTGCGGTTGCGCAATTCTCGTGTCCGGCGCTAATGCAATTCGTCAGTACACCGATGCATTTACTGGGCTTGGATCTGTATAATCGTCAACCACCCGGCGGTCTGGGCTGGCGAGAACGACTTCTCCGTATTCGACGAGATTATATTGTCAGCTCCTTTGCACGTATGGGCAAGATTGTGCCTGCCTATGGTGTTGGAGGAGTCGTGAATGTGAGGATGAGAGCTGCGCTGATGGAGAAACTGCAGCTAGACGACGAGCGACAGCATATCTCTTCAAGTCGTGCTCTTTGAGCTGAAGAGAAGGAGAAGTCTTTTTTTTGACAACGATTTTACGATATAATCTGTACATTTGATATACCTTTTACACTACGCTTGCTCTCGTTTCAGATTCTTGGGCTTTATTATTGGTATACCTACGATCCAACTCTACTCTTGGCGTTTCTAGATGGTATGGGCTTTTGATATACGGATACTTTGTTGATATCGAGTTTGATACCATTTTCTGTTGACTCGATGATTTATTTTCTTTCGGCTTCAATGGGAATAATTCAGATCAAGTGGATCTATTTCATTGAAGCATTTATTGACCTATACCTCTGATGTTTGACATGGAGTTCGGTTTGCTTAGTTTAGACATCTATAAGAATGATGATAATAGAATTCTGATACTGATATTATCATGAGACTAAATTGATCAGATCAGATGCTTGACGGGCGACTGTATATATACTAGTCCTTAAAAAGTATAGTGCATCTCCGCCAACATTGAAACAAACACTCCTATAGGCCCATCTCATCGATAACGGATCTTGCATGGCCCAACAAGGCCCCATTCCTAGGCTCCGCAATTCACATTCCCCAAAGAATCCTCCACTCGACTCCTCACTGTTTGTCTCACCCTCTCACTCCCAACGCTGTCCTTTCGTCTGATCTTGATGTTGACATCTTCTTTGTCTCCTCTTTATCTATACATGACCATGCACAAACCCATTTGAACGAGACATGTCGCCCTCGGTTCCGAGATTTACGTCGCCACTACGTAACGACAGAAGAGGGTCGCCGAATGTCAAAGATGCAGCGTCAACGACAGGAAGTAACGGTCTGGGAGCAGCAAATTCTCTGAATCCAACAGATATAACGACGGCAAGAACAAATAGTTCCCGCCCAAATACTCCCAAATCAGCCACAATCAATGAAGCTTTACGCAATAACCCGTTCGGCAGTACCTCCCGAGCCCGCGCCCTCGAAGCTGAAGCACAAGCCATTTCTCTTTTTGAGAACGAAGAACGTCGCGCAGATCTTGAAGACAGGAATCGCTCATTAGTCATACTTGCAGCGCTATTTCCTGACGTCCGCGTTGAAGTATTTCGCGAACTGTTGACGCGGTTCGATGGCAAGAGTCGACTTCATGTCTGTGTTGAGCAGTTGCTGAGACATAAGAAGCAATGGGTGCAGGGACGGTGGAATATACCAAATGATGGGAACGGTGACAGAAATAATATCGTGGGACATCTTTCGTCCGCAGATTCCGATGCGCTGGTGCCGCCGGAGGAATTGTTTCGAAGTGAGACGTACCGTAATACCGTCAAGGCGGCTCTGTGTAAAGAGTTTAGTGGGCTGAGTCGGAGTACGATTGATGGTGTACTAGCGGAGGTCAACTTTTCATATACTCGTGCGAGACCGACGCTCAAAGAGTTATCTAGGAAAGGTTGGCGGGCGACAATTAGCAATTTGAACCCTTTCCGGCGTAAGAAGGATAACAACAAGGATGAGAATCCTCTGATAATATGGGAACGGAATAGAGATGGTGATGGTGCAACCCTATTAATACCTCGACTCAGACAAAAGACTGGTTCAGACGAACTCGACCAAGAAATACAGGAGACGTTCATTGTTCCGCTGCTTCGCGACCAAAAGGAGAGCCAGGAATACCAAGATTACATTTTTGCGTCTGAGATCAATGAGAAAGATGCCATAGCTGAGAACGCGCTGTACGAGTGTCAGTGCTGTTTGGACGATGTGACATTTGAGCAAGTGTCTGCCTGCTCATCGGATCAAGGCCATATGATTTGTTTCAATTGCATACGCCGGACACTTCACGAAGCTGTCTTTGGCCAGGGATGGGATAATTCTGTGGACCCAGAAAGATCGACGCTCAAGTGTGTTGCTCCTGTAAGCCATGGAGTATGCGAGGGGCACTTGGACTCAATACTTGTCAAGAGAGCCATTCTTTCCGAAAAGGCTGGTTCAGAGACTTATCGCAAGTTCGAGGATCGGGTGGCTTCAGAAGCGTTGCTAAAGTCGACCTTGAAACTCGTGCGTTGTCCATTCTGCTCATATGCAGAAATTGATCCTGTCTTTCATCCTGCATCTACCTCTCCCAACGGAACATCGGGAGGCATTTCCTGGAGCTTTCGCCGCGGAAACCTCCTTTCTATAATATTGACGACCATTTTACTTCTTGATTTGATACCCTTGCTTTTGATACCATTTTTAGTGATGTTTCTATTCTATCCGCGTACGGCAGCGGCTGTCTTTCGTGTTTCGCTACAAAACCTATGTCTCCGTACCCGCAGTCCTCGATTTACATGCAAAAACCCTTCCTGTCGACAAGTGAGCTGTATGACCTGCCACAAAGCCTGGCGAGATCCGCATACATGCGAAGAACCGCTTCAGCAATCTCTACGTACGACAGTAGAGGCTGCACGTACAGCGGCAGTGAAACGAACCTGTCCTCGGTGCAATCTGTCGTTTGTCAAGTCATCTGGTTGCAACAAATTAACCTGTATATGCGGCTATTCTATGTGCTACATTTGCCGCAAAGCATTGAACGGACCGTCATCTCGTCGTCAACAGGATGGTGCCGGGCGAAATATCTTTCCACCGGGAAGAGACGACGAGAACAACGCCGCAGAAGCCGAAGCTGACGAAGGAGAGAGCGGATACAAACATTTTTGTGAACATTTTCGCGTCAATCCTGGTACTCGCTGCACAGAATGCAACAAATGCGAATTGTACTTTGCCGAGGACGATGAGGTTATCGCTCGGAAAGCTGGTGAACAGGCCGAACGAGAATGGAGATTACGACAGTCCATGACGATTGCTAATAACAACAATATCAATATGAACAATAATAATAACATTAATCAGATCCCACAGCCTGGGAAGCAAATACCCAAAACCTTTCCATTACGATGGGAAGATCAACAATCACAGAAACATACAGAACTCTACCGCATACCGACCATGTACAACCACCATAACGGATCATGGCAATACTGGCTCATCGAAGTGTGGAAAGAAGGACGGTGGAAATGGGAGATTCAGACCATGGCGGACAAATTGGTTGAAAGAGTGGTTGTTATCGTTGACATCTCGTGATGTATCAAATGATTAATGCTTATGTACCTCACGTTACTTAACTAGTTACTCGGGTATAGGTGCAACTCTTTCATCTCCAGCTAGAAAAGATTCAGCGGGTCTATTATATGACCAACCCACGAAATGAGCCTGTATCTCGGTCATATAGTCCCGTTCTACAGTTCCATGATCCCGCAAAAACTGCGCAATCTCCAAATGCCCCAATTTTGTCGCCAACGTCAAAGGTTCAAGGACCTCGCCGAAGGATGGCAAAAACTCAAGAAAGTTGACGTTGACGTTTGCGCCATACTCAGCCAGTAATCGCACTAAATCAATATCTCCAGAATGAACGGCCAGAACTAAGGGGGCATCCGTCAGCTCCTCTGGATACTCAACCCCAAGAGTGCATTCGCCAAACGTGTTCCTTGAACCGCTTCGTAAGAATGCATCGTCGCCCTCCTGATAATCAGGCAGAGTTCCATTCTGCAGTAGGATCTGTGGGATGTTGCGTCCCTTGTCATCTTCAGGGGCAAACAACTTGATACTCCATGCCAGAGCTAGAGTGCGTTGCACCCGCCGCGTTTTGGGCAGTAGAAGTTTGACCATATCTTCATTCTTAAGTTTCACTGCTCGCACCAAAGCAATGCTCCATGGCACTGAATTTCTTGGGAAATTCGGATCTGCGCCTGCTTCCAGACAGCGTTGCAAGTATTTGATATTGACCTGCTCAACAGCCCAGTGTAATGGAGTCCTTATCTCTGTTGTTTTGCGCCTGTCTCTGAATGTAAAATCCAACCGGCTCTCGCCATCAAGAAGACCAGAATCCAGCAGAATGCGTATGATGTTGTCCTTGTTACTGTAAATCTCCTCGTCTGCATGTAAAGCAGATTCAAGTGCGCGTTGCATGTGTTCAATAGACGGCCTACAGTCCCGACGTAACTTTGGATCAAGTAGCAATTCCATACCCCTCTCAAAACCTTCCACCACCGCCGTACAAATCGGTACCCGATAGTAGTCGTCGGTCATTTGCGAGGAGGCACCTAGCTCAAGTAAAAGTTTGATGAGATGTATGTGTCCATAAAGCACGGCCAGACTCAACAAAGGAAATCCTTGCTGGTTTCGCATATTGATGTCACACCGCCGGTTGACGACCAGGAATTCTGTGAGGGCTTTATGGCCTCTTTTGACGGCTATACAGAGAGGATGTTCAGGTCGGTCTTTTGCTGAAAGTTGGGCCCAGTCGCCTCTCATATTAGTCCTCTCTTCCGGGACCGGTCTTAGTCTTCTCTTTTGTGGATATGGTGATGATAATGATATTTCTGCGCCATAGCTCAATGCCTTCTTCAATAAAGCTAGATTTCCATGCTCGGCAGCCCATGCAACAGCCAAACTACCGGGAGCACTGCTGTTGTTGCAAGCATCTTGCTGGTAGAGAAAAGGATCAAAAATTGCGTAGAATCGCTGATTCAGGCAAGACAAGGCGCGGAGGGTTTCGAGAGATTCTATGTCGTATGCGATGTGTTGTAGAAGCTCAGTCGGGAGAGACGAGAAAGACATTTTGATAGATGAAATGAAAGTTTTGAGTGTCAGGTAGGCACCTAGGTAAGTTCGTTTGTAGCATGGATGTTAGCAAGAAGTAATTAGGGCTAGTAGCAGCATAGCCACCTCCCTTCACATGTACCAATCACTCTACTTCAATTTTATGAGTCAGACCACATACATATTCAACAAAGGTAACAGCCACTGACAGTATCTTATCAATGCCTACTCCTCATTATTATAAAAATCTTAAGGCGCGTTTTGTAGATTTTTAATAAGCAGCTGTAGGGGTCGTCAATCACATACGCAATCTTCCGCAGCAGGGTGTGGTTGAGCGGAGCGAGGCCTTACAGTTTGTTTCATCTACTTAGATAGCCAATGACTCTTGCTTCAACCTTGGCTACAATATGTTTATATCGGTTGGACTAAAGGGGCGTCTTTATGCCTTTTAACCAGTCAAGTTCAGACTGAGCTGGCACTTCTGCTCCACGATCCTGTAAAAAGTGCACAATGTCCTGATGTCCAAGTTGAGCAGCTAATGACAGAGGTGTTCGCATCGTCCAGCCCCGGCCATGATCCAAGGTGCCATGAAATCGTACATTGATATTCGCCCCATACTCAAGTAATAAACGTACCAACTCGAAATGGCCGTAATCAACCGCCATGATCAGCGGCGGAGTGATCATTGACAGCAATTCTGACGGAAAACTCTCTCCATCGTATGCCTCCTTGGATCTTCCTAGTATGATTTCCTCATCGAATGAATCATAATCCGGTAACGCCCCTTTCTCTAGTAGGATTCGCGGAATGCCGCGTTTATCGTCATCAAAGGGTAAGGAAGTGGACCACAGCTTCACGCTCCAAGCCAGGGCCATAATACATCGTGCTTGTTCTGATCCAGGGACCAAGAGGCTCACCATATCCGCCCTTTGGAGTCTGACGGCCTTCAAAATATGCGATTGAGATGGTCTCCAATCATCGTTTGGATCGGCGCCTTTATTCAAAAAGCGTTTCAAGTATTTGACATCCTCTTGCTCAACAGCCCATGATAATGGACAAATAGACTCGTAACCCTGTGGGTTTTCAAATTCAAAATCTAATGCATGGAGTTCTTGAAAAGAAATTGAGTCTAATAAGAGGTCGATGATACGCTCCTGTTTATCTTCATCCGAGAACAAGGCGTACTTCAATGCTTGTTGTATCTGTGGAAGATCTGGCCAGTAACATTGCAGATTGGGAGGATTGAGTAACGCTTTGATGACTGCCTCGTTACCCTGCACAACTGCAATCTGAATGGGGCTCTCAAACATCCGATTTTTCCTATCGACCTGTGGAGATCCTAGCTCAAGCAAGAGTTTGATGATATGTGTATGCCCATGAATCACAGCAACGCTCAGCAAGAGATGACCTTCTCGATCCCACATTATTATCTTGCACTTTTGGTTGACAATCAAGCATTCCGTAATATTTGCATGACCATACTTGACAGCCGTACACAGGGGATGATCAGTCCGTTCATCACGAACGTGCATGCCCCAATTCGCGGATACACGTTTCCTCCGTTGGAAGAATCCCGAACTGTTGTTCTGCTCCGGCGCACAAGGCGGTATTACAGCACCGTGATCCAATGCCTTTCTTAGTATTTCGAGTTCCCCGTGCTAAGCGGCCCAAGTGACGGCGATGCTACCCAGAGCTTTGTTCTTTATCAGCATCTTGTTGATACAGCACGGGGTTGAAAATGGCGTAAAAACGCGAATTTACGCAGGATAGTGCGCGCAGGGTCTCGAGGGACTCTATGTCATTTGCGATGTGTTGTAGAAGTTCTGTTGGAAGGAAAATAGAGACATTTTGGTTTGATGTAAACAGAGGGAGTTTGAGGTAGTTGGTTGCCTTGCAGCTTCAACGTAGTCACATGTAATATCATAGCCAACCCCCCTGCACATAGATCACAGTACTAGATTTGTTACAAGTTAGACTACAAATTTTATGCAACCAAGACAGCAAGATTAGAAAATAAAGCATTCATTAAATCCAACTCAACATCACCTCCACCACAATTGAAGCTTCTATCACAGCTCACCCACCAAGAGTCAAATATACATCTGTACAAAGAGTTGCAAGACACGAAATCAGCTTGTTCAAAACAAGGCCCGATCACGAGCTTCGACTGGAAAGTCATATGAAAAAAGGAGTAAGCCCTCAATCAGAAAGTATGGAAAGAGGGAATGAGTACCCGTAGGCATATACATGTAAAGGTATAATCTAGGGTAAGTCGTTTTTGAGATCAGAAAAGAAAAAGTTAAAACGTAATGGGGAATAATTGAATGTTCAGAGATTCCATTCAAAAGAGAAATGATGGAAAAGAAAAGGAAAAAAGATAAAGGAAAAGTAGTCGATAGTGAAGTCGATAGTTGTAGGACAAAAATACAAGAGAGGCGGTTGTAAAGACAAGGGTGAGATTGATTGTGCGGGTTATATAAAAAAAGTCAAATTAATCTGGTGCGTCGTGGCTCGGATTAGTTCCATCCCAAGGAGTTCTCGGACATGACAGGAGCGCTGATCATAGCAGTACGACCGCTTCGGCCACTGTTATGTGAGATGCGAGCACCCTGAGCGAACATGGATGCACCGCCAACTTCGCTCATGGAAGCAGTGGTGACCGAGGGGGAACGGGCGTGCAATTGCTTGCGCTTCCTGTAACGGCGGGCAACGTAGAACATGACTCCAGCATAAGCAGCGGCACCGGCGGCAGCTCCGACACCAATACCGACAGAGCTGGCGCGGACATTGCTGCTGGTACCTGCACTGCCATCACCAGGGTTGGATCCGCTGTCATCGTTGCCACCAGTCGTGTTACCGTTTCCAGTTGTACTAGAGGTGCTGGAAGGAGTAGAGCCAGCAGGTTGTTGAGCAACAAGAGGAATGTCGGTGTTTAGCATCGAGAACAAGTTCACGATCGATTCCTGGTCATATGTTGGTGCATCATTGGGGGTGTTTGGCTGCTTGTACAAGTTGGACGATGGGAGGAGTCGGAGACCGTTTAGAGTGTCAACCTGGTCGGCTGGGATGAAGAACTTGATGAGGGTCGTGTCGTAGCCGAGGCTTGCTTTGGTATCGTACGAACCAAGCCAATAGTTGACAACGTCGCTTGTGGCGTCATTAAGAGCATAGGCAACACCAATAGGAGTATAGTAATAGATCTGGTCGGCCCAGTTGGCGGATGTAGCAACAGTCTCCCATGACAAGGCCTTGTTGAAACCGAATTGAACCAATGTAGAGTTCTCAGGAGTGTTTGGAGTACCACCTGGAGGGGAAATGGCCTGGGGAATCTGAGTAGGTCCGGAAGATGACGAAGCGGTCGTTCCAGTGCTGGTCTCAGTTGGGGTCTGAACTGGTGGTGGGATATACTGAGTTGTCTGCGTTGAAGTTGCGCTTGTCGAAGATGAGCTAGAAGTGGTGGCAGATGGTTCAGCGGTAGTCTGTGTCTGAGAGGGCACGGCAGTCGAAGGAGAGACGGTAGCAGGAGTACTGCTCAAAGGAGCGGAAGATGATACCAATGCAGTAGCCGATCCGCTTGTAGACGGGACAGGGACCTTGGATGTAACGGCACCGCTAGACAATGGGCTGGAAGTTGTACCCGTGGGAATAGCAGGGCTGCTGCTAGCAGGAGGAATGATAGCAGTGGACGAGGTCAAGGTCAAACTGGGAATCGAGATGGGAATTGACAGAGAAGGAAGGCCAGTAGAGCCGCTCGACTGAGAAGAGATCGTGGCAGAGCTAGATCCAGTTGCGCTTGTGCTTGTACTTGTGCTGGCACTGGCGCTGGTGCTGCTTGGAACAATGGGAAGAAGCGAGCTCAACAATGAAGGCAAAAGACCTTCAGAGGTGCTGCTGCTGCTGCTAGCAGATGCAGATACAGATGCTGATGCTGATGAAGTAGCTGTTGGGATTACCGCGGATGAGTAGATGCTGGACAGACCGACCGTGATACCAGGAGCGCTCGATGAGGCGGTTGAACTAGGAGACAATCCACCAAGGATTCCACTAGAGCCCAAAAGGTCGGAAATGAGGTTTCCATCAGAGCTAGTGCTGGTGGACGTGGCAGACGAAGAACCGCTTGTAATAGTGGCCGTGATCGAAGCAGAAGTTGAAGTTGTTGGTTGCACAACGCTAGTAGGAAGACCAGTTGTAGAGCCAACGGCCGCAGTGGTAGTAGGGTCCAACAAGTTGCTAAGGTCGCTTCCCAAAGCACCCACCAAGTCGGGAGATGATGCAGTAGTGGAGTCCGCAGCAGCTGTCACTGCACCAGCGGTAACAGAGGTTGGGCTAGCCGTTGTGACAGGGTCGGTGATAGTCTTCGTTTGAGGGGTTCCTGTCACGGTAGTAGTGAGTCCATCAGTACCGACGTAGACGTAGATGGGGACGACAATTTCGTCGGAAGTTCCACTGCTCGTGGAAGTTGACGTAGTGTTGGTGCGTCGGTTGACATCACGGGGAAAGTAGTACTTGGGGCGTAGAACATCTGCTGCGAGAGACTCGGTTGCACACGAGAGCGCGGCAAGAGCCACGAGGCTGATTGAGCGCATCTTTAAGGACAGGTGATTCTATTCCGAAGCAGTCGTTAATCGTAAGTATTCACGGAGACCGACAAGGAGCGTAAAAATGGCGTGTCAAACTATCAAATTCACGATCGAAAATGACTAGAGATTCCAAACAATCAACACACTGTTCTTCCTTGCCTAACCAAGATTTGAATGAACGATAAAAACCCACCCACAGCAAATATTATCACGATATGTAAGGGTTTCGGAGGACCACCCAATAACGAACGACCGGTTTATTTTTATCTTTTGGCACAATCAAAAAACGAGTGGATGGGGAATAGAATTGATTCCCCTAGAGTTGTTTTAAACGAGTGTATAGGTTGTCAAAAAGAGCGTAGAGTGGACGTCACTATCGACCAAGCGGTTTTAAATCACGGAAGCGTGGCGTGCGAGATTGAACTTTAAGGATAGACGAGGATGCGAGAAATGCGCGACGATAGACATGCAGAGGGAGCGGCGAATGCTGTTGTTGTCGATAAATTCGTCCCTTTCAGAAGCGTCGACGCAGGGCGAGCGAGGCACCGCAAAACAAAACGACAGCAAATCGTCAAGAGCAGCAATGCATGGATGGAGGAGTAAAGGAAGAGGAAAGAAGATGACTGAGCGAGAGCGAGAGAGAGAGGAGTAAGCTGGGTCGTTTAGATTGGGTTAGGTAGGTAGTTAGGGGGAAAGGAAGGAAGGCTGAGCGGGCGAAATGTGGGCGGGTCAGCATTCGCTCTCTCTAGTGTCTGAAGTACTTAATGACACGCACTCTGAGCCAAGATGCTTAATCTAATTAAATCATTAAATAGTGCGATGTTGGGTCCCGGTCCGGCTGCCCCACCACGGGCGGTTGGCTGGATGAGAGCCACGGGTTTGCGTATTAGTCGTTACATATATTACCGTCATTGACCCTAAGCACTAGAGGAGTTAAATAGAAGTCGAGTAAGCTCGGCTGTTTTGTACTTACCTAAGACGTATTCTTGGCTCCAAAATGCGTACGCGCTGTCTCCATTCAGACTGAGGAGAGTCTCCCTCGCCGCGTCATGGTCGTAGCAGTAACCAATTCTTATGCTATAATGTGGGATACATGATATATGCGCGACAAATCAGCAAACTGATCGCATTCTTTAAAGTATTAGAACAGCAGTATAATGAAATTCGAGACAGCACTGATATGTGGCGTACGAATCCATCCAAATCCGTACAATCCTAACTTTACACTTCTCGAATCATAGCTCAGCCTAGCCTTATCGGGACATCATTGAAGCAATCCAAGCAGACAAGGTCCCAAATCTAGATTCATCACTGGTACAGGGATCGTCAGAGAGGCTATGGCATAGTGGATCCCCGGGAAATTTGTTAAGACGGACGATTCCTCGTACGTATTCCAGATACACGTCAACCGGAATGATACGAGTAGAAGTGCCATTTGTAACCATGTGATCGTATTAGCTACTCAGCATTATTACGTGGCTTGTTACAGTGAGGAGTCTCCTCATTGTCGTGTGTTCTCGCATCCGGGTGCGCGCGCTCATGCAATATTATAGAACTTACTGGGAGGGTTGCATTTTGGGTCATTAGACGATAATTCCTATACAAGTAGTAGATATTATCGAGGTACATACTACGTTGTACATAGCGAAGTCGAGCCGACGAGACCATTCCGTATGTAGCCGTGACCATTGCCCACGAGTCAAATACGGGATGTATTCGTAAAAATAAATTAGTAAAAAACGGCCGAGGAAGCCACTAGTCGCAAAACAGTATAGCGCCTGTAGCACTTCCATGGGTTGCGTTGGAACATCAAGCCCTTTCAGGGAAGGCGGCAGGGGCTGCAGCTGCAGCCAAGCCCCACCGGTGTTTCTGCTTGGTGCCTGGACGTGGCATTATGGGTGGAGAAGTGCGTGCACTTTTTGAAGTGCAGACGATTCCTCTCAGTCTTTCAAGAGTCTGCGAACGAATCGACTATTTCCGTGACATCGCTTTGTTGTTGTGCTTATTACTTACCATCATCTGATATACGTACATACGTACTCCGTACGAACTGTGTCTTTGATGTTCCATGGCTTGTTTCTAAGTGCCGAGTTTCTGCAGGTCTCTTTATAGACCCCGGACGGTTCGTCAACTTCGACAGGAAGACTTGTGCGTTCCTTGCGTTCCTTTCAGTCGGAAAGAGTTCTATTTTCTTCACGACTCTGTACTATGACCAAGTAGTCGAGTACAGACAAATTGTGTTAGTCTTGAATCTCACTAACAGATTAACAATTTGCCAGTATGTGACGGATGTGGTAGAGATTATCCCAAATACCAACCTAATTTACACCGGCGCCATTACAGCTATGGCCTAAGCCGCTGGTCGTAATCAGAGATAGAATCGTCACCTTCTTCAGGAACAGAATGCTACAGATAGTAGTACGTCTACTGCCGAGTCCAGCAAACTAATTACCGAGACCCTTGACTTCGGCCACGGCCCCTGACTAGTCAGGCACTACGTCTTCTAGGCTCTTGATCTGTAGAACTGTTAGTCATCCGTACTTGGCTGAAAAATGACCGACCATACTTAATATGGACTTCGTAATTCGTTCAAGGTCATCAGCCATTGAAGTTCGTCTTGACTCGGAACAGTTGACATTTTACATGGATTCATGGCCTTGGCTCGGAGAAAAACACAACATCACAACTCGTTTCCTACGGAGCGGCGGAGCACCTCAGCAAACAATGTCAAGATTCAACAAGTCCCCAATCTCCCCATGCATACTAATTACCGATAATTGATCTACACAAATGGGTCGATTTGATTGCACAATCCAAGAAAACTAGGCTATGGCCGATGCGAGTTAAAATCCCAGACTCACAGCTCGAACAGTCGATAGATCATAAACGCTCCGGAGAAAGTAAAGATCAACAGGCACGAGTAGCATCATGTGAGCCAGTGCTCTAGATCACATACTTACACGTTATTTAGCTTAGCGAGAAGCTGTGATACTCAATCTACCTTCATTACCGTCACGACTCGAGAGTCGGGAGTCTAGATGCCTCATGCACGTAGAAAGAAAGAGAAACCTGGCATACAAAGCAACAAACTTACATACCAAGAAACGGATATCTGGACACAGCTAGCTCGAATCAATGATTAGTCTCAGCCATCCAGATGCATGTGGCTTAACACAGTCTCATTCTGAAACAATAGAAAATACGCATGATCTCGGTACGAACATAGAGCTTATCTCCCGGGTTGAATCCAGAAGTCATTTCTTTGTTGAAACAATTGCCTTGCTCTGTGCCTGCATATACGTGTTTGTAACTTGCACATGAGATGCAGCCCACTAGCAAGTATGTTTGTACCACTTACACGTACCTCTCTACCTTGGTACAGACGAAGGTACAGCCACATAGTCATACCTTGAGACGTCTCGTCTCATCTCATTCCTAGACCTTTCCACACAGAAAGACCCGTACATATAAACATGAAACAATTCCACATGTGCGTACACAGCCACATACCCATTGCGACATTTTAGCATGAAACAGCAAAAGAATGCGAAATTGATTTTGAGGCTGTTTTTGCCGAACGTTCTAACTTCTACGTGGTACGTAGTAAATGAAGGGGGGAGTGCGCTAGGCCTGTTCCTGTTTGCCAAGATTTCCTTTGTGTTACTTGCCAAGACTCGGAAAGAGTATACTAATTAGGCCAATCAGAGGCCATTATTTGTTGCCTCTTTGAGCCGTATGTAACTGGAGGTGGAATGATAACGATACTGGTGGATGCCTCAAAGATGATGAAGTCTACAATAGTCTTTTCTGAAAATTAGAAGTACATGGTTGATCAAGCTTGAATAGAGTTTGTATATAATTGAGTAGAGTATTTCTCAGAAACGGGATTGTCCGCAATATCATACACCAATACCAACCTCATCAAACCCATAAAAGTAGCAACACATAAGTAGCAGTCTACTCACGTCGCCGTCGCTCGGCTTCAAATTCAGTAAATCCCTCCGGACCCAGACCGTCCTGGCCACCTGTCAGGAAGTATTCGCATACGACTCCAATAGCATAGAACGTTCCTGCGGTTGCGACGCCGCTCAAGACAATGCGTCGGAGACCTTTGCCTAGTTTAGAGGCTGTTGATGACTTATTTGAAGTCTCGGTTCGAGGGTATTCGAGTTCCTCTGTGGCGATGCTAGAGGATGAAGGAGAATGATATGGCGACCAATTTGGGGGTCCCCCGGTGAACACGGTCTCTTGCCTCTGTACTATTCTCGACTTTGACCGGTCTGTATTCGATGAAGGCTGTGGTGGCGGGTAGCTGTCTTTGGCATCCAGTGAGTCGGCCGCTGAACCAATTCCGTCCTCCGTTGAGATTGCGAAGTGTTCGATATCTGCAGATCCGGTCATTGTACTCTCCGAGCCTTCGGAGACTATCTTCCGAAATATGAGGATATCACTACCCCCTGAAACAATTTCGTACCCGTCTGCCTTCATTTTCGCAAAGTGCGGAAGAAACTTTGCTGGATTGTTCAAATGTAACAGTACGTCTGCCGCAGGACGAATTGATTCGTTCGCATGCATCGACGATGTCGTTTCGGCGCAGACTACCTGAGAGTTGACAGGGTCAAATGCAAGGATCCGCAGTGTGTCCATAGAAGTATTCGTGACTGCTTCTACTCTATCACTTGCATTTTGTATATCGTTGGTGAGAAGTCGAACATTGTTGATGAAACGTCTTGTGTCTTCGAGAAAATCGTCAAGAGAGGCCCTCAGCGCATTCGTCGTGGCGTCTTTCTTTTGTCTCAGGTCCTGAAGTATCTCATTGTCAATATTCTGCTGAGTAGCCAAAGTATACTCCTTCTCCATTGCTTCCCTAGCTTGTTTCTTCTTCTCTGCCAACTCTTGTTTGGTCTCACCAGCAAAGTATGATGCCCGAATATCACTTGCACGAAGCAAGTCGACATCATCTTCTTTCATTTCATTGGGCTCATAGTATAGTTGCTTCTTCTGACTGGTTGGCGCATTTTTGGGACATTGCAATTTTTTGGTGGGTATACTTGAGGTGTCTTTCAAGGCCACAGTGCTGTCTTCTGTAGGACCTGCCATGTAGAAGACGCTATCCTTGTGCACCTGGTGTCTAGGGAACTGCACCGGTGGTATCGTGTCTGTGGATTTGGGAAATTGCTGTCCTGGAACTCCAATATGATCAGAATCTGTTTCACCGGCGACTTTGACCGGACTATCAATAATATGGCTGCCATATTTGGTTTCGTCTCGTGCCACTATTGTAGCTGGCTGCTCCACCGGCTTCATTCGGCCACTAATAGGGTCGTAACGAAGACTATTGACGTCGGAAGGCTTGTATGATTTTACTGTAACAAAATCACCATCTCCCTTCCCCTTCAATGGTTTTGAAGAAACATCGGCTGGGGKATTCTTTACTGGATGCTCTTGCGCCGAAGACGGCCCCCGTTTCTGCTCTAAAGACCCTTCGGGATCCAGGAACGAGCGACAGAAGGAGGACCAGCCCTTTCCCATTTGCAAATATGCATTACTCCTGCCGAAGAGAAAATTGTACGGATCCTTCTCAATCCTCTTCACGAGCTCACTCATGTCGCTGTCCCAATAATGCCGATGCCTTTTTAAGTCGCGCCGGATCTCTTCTCGATCATGATGAGACTGTCTCAAAGAATCATTCCAGTCTCTCCAGAACTGATCTTTTCCCGATCTGTGATTCGCCATTCGTTTGATGAGTACATATTGTCCGCGATAGTCTTTTGCTAGGTCGTGCAGAACCTCTCTCCGGTTTACACGGTTGTGGTGATTGTGATACCAGGCATACTTCCAACTTCGACCCCAGAAAGTCCTTACTTGAACAGGACTAACATTTTTAGCTTGGCTGGAAGCCACAATAAAACACTCAGCAACCCTGACGGGATACCTGCTCCGGATCAGGCATGGGTTGGTGATGGATATCGAGGTCAGAGTTCGTGTGCTCATTGCTGATGTCTCGACGATTAGATTTGCACAGTTCGGGCTTGGAATTCTCTATAATGAGGTGCCCCCTCGTTTATATCGCGTATTGATGAAAATCGATGTCGATGCTCTCACGGAGCTGATAAACGAGTTCAACTCGGTAGCATTGATAAGAGCGAGCTGCAATGAATCAGAACAGCCCTGAAATTGGTGGAAATGATAGCAGACAGAAACGACCAGGTGATATACAGAGAAATGAGAGGCCGTAGAGGATGATTATATAACGAATATCAATGAAAAGCGATGGGTAGCACAGCTCCAGCACGAAGGGAAGAGTCACCAGCTTGGATGCCTGGACGGATCAATCGGGGGTGGGGTACCCCGATAGCTCGATCGGCCAATTGTCTCCACCAGACTGATAACGCGATAAGCTCTCCCATTGCATCTCCAGAAATGGTACAGTTTCAAAGTTGCGAATGGCGATGAAGGAAAATTACCAGTTGATATAGACTCAACAGCTACTATCGTTGGGTACCATGATATCGAAACATTCTCGTTGATCAAATTGTGCTCAAAGGTTCCCAATGTCGCCAACAATGTTGTTGATAAACTTGGAGCTAATATCTGGTTTATTTTATATATTTAGAATGCTAAAGATGATATTCTCTGTTCAAGCCCACTTTCACTCTCCTCAGCGAGGAACAAATTCCTCCAAAACCGCACACCCTCAATGCCTTCTTCGCGGCATAGGGCTCCCTTGTCCTCAGCCATTTCAAGTTCTTCTACCGCCACACCCACACTCCAACCAAAGTGTTGTGCAGTTTCTTGTGCTGTGACTCCCCGACCATATCGTTCCCAATTCCACGATAGACCGTCAGATGGGACTTGATTTCGTAGTTCTTCAAGCCACTTGTCAAATTGTTGAATGACTTTCTCGTCGCTCCACTCATTCGATTGAACCACAAGAAGTCCACTTTTGAAGCGGCGAAGACGGACGGGAAGCTTGAGCTTCTCCCACAAGCGTGCTGCCTGCTCAAAATCTGATGGACTAACAAGCTCGACCCCGTTCCTAGCCCGGTTGAATATAGCCCAAAGGTCGACGAGACTGACGATACCGCCTTCTTTGCGCAAAACGCCTTTCCGATCATCAGTTAAGTACTCTGCCAAATTACGAGCCAATTCAGACAGATACAGATTTTCTGCACCGGAACCGAGCATGTCCTTTGTTGTGACCATCCCTAGAGCAGCTGCTGATTGAGAAAGAACAGCGCTTGCTTCAGATGGTCCTCCATTGGCAGCTATTCCAGACTCCGAGGCTAGTGTTTCCGCTAGTGAAACAATCTGCTTCGCAGAAGCCATCAATGCCTCCAAATCTTCAAAGGCATTGCCAATCACAAACTCAGTATTTTTGCGAGCCTCGAAGCCGCGCATTTCTAAGCCTGCGATACCGACCGCGGACGGTTTTGGCGTCGAATCGTTCGACCGGCCTGGAATAGGCGAAGAGCTTGTTTCTGGGTTTGGAGAATTTGATGGTTGGGGTATAAGAGGAGCATTTTGAAGCAACCATTTTCTTTGAACCAAGCAGCCCTTTAACCTCTCATAAAAGATTTTCTCGCCGCCATTCCGGAAAGATAATTTGATATAATCGGTAATCTCAGTATTCGTAATGCTCGACTGATTGAAAATGGGGGCTGGAGACTCCTCGCGTCGTGAACCTGCAGCAAGTCTGTCTTTTGAACTCAACGACACAAGTGAAGCCCCGCAGATCTCGCACTCTAGCAAAGAAGGATGATTGATAAATGTGCATCTCGGGCAGGTTAACGAATTGCCATTAGTGCTTGATTGCAAGTCTGCGTTCGGAACGCTCACTTGCTCTTGTAGGGGTGCATTGTTTATCGATAACGAGTCCGTAATACCAGTAGAGCTTCTATTTGTAGCAGCTGCAATTGTAGCTTTCAACACGGTCGTAAGGGGCGGCTTAATGCCACATGCGAGACAAGGCGGTAGTGGCGTGGAAGCAGTGGCCGTCGCCGGCTCGAAATTGGAAGGAACAGGATTTGAAAAGGAACAGATAGGACAAACCCATGTCGCATTCACGTTCTGATGTGTTGACGGTACACTCGTTGAGGTGCCCCGTGCAGCCGACGAAGAGATGCCATCTTGGCCAATTATTCGTTTTTGCGGTTTGGGATAGACAGTAATCTTAGCAGAAGATTTTAAAAAGCCGGCCTAGAGTTTATAAGCATCCAATAGCAGACAGAACCATAGCGAGTACAATCCGTACCTGGTATTCGGCACGGTCGACATCCTTCAAATCGATGGCAACGGAGTATTGTCGGGGGTTCTCGGTCGCGACGTAACAGATTCGATGAGACGTCAGATACGCATGCCCGTTTTGATAGTTGGGAATCTTGAATTTCCTAAAATACAGGAAGAATATTAGCATCGATTTGCACACGACCGGTGTAGTCGTCGCCTACCCCTCATATAAGCCCACTGCGTCTTGCACAAACAGTAGCGTCTCATCTGAGAGCAAAGACGGACGAAGGGCTGTCGTCAAATCCAAAGGCTTGAAGAACATCGAGCCTGCACGTATAGGAGGAGTCAACAACGAACACCATGCTGGGCTACCAAGAAGCTACTTATTGAGTAGGCAGGACCGATAAGCCTCCACTTTCTACAGTAATCAGTGCAGACACGGCGGGTGGCGTATGCCAAGACCCTTGATGCCTTGATGCCTTGATGCCTTGATGCCTTGACGCTCCCGTGACCAAGTGATGAGTTGGACAAATTTGGCACGCTAAGCGAATCCTGGATCTTCTGACCTGCCTTCACATAATTCCTTCCTGCCTCACTCGACTTGTACGCATCACAACCTACTTGCACAAAACTCCTTCCTGCTTTCTTCCCTTTCCACTTCTCGCTTTCTTCTGTACGTTCTCCATCGGTGACCGCTTCTGGAAGACTACACGACGACTTCGGTTTACCTTCGTAGAATCCAAATCAATTCACCCTCAGATTTCCTTTGTTTCATATCTTCATATTTAGATTTGCTAAAGCAACATGAGCTCAACTGTACCGCCATGGCGGGCATCGGCTTCAACTACTACTACGATGAAATATGCGCCAACAGGTAAGCCGCCATCTAACTTTACTGTTAACTTGGTAGAGCTTCCAGATTGCTAACGTGGTAACTCTTTAGCCTACACCCCTGTTCAAGCCAGACGTAGTCTTGCTACTCACTCAGTGCAAAACAGCGCTACAACACCTTTACAACAAACCCCCAATACCGCTACACAAGCCGCCACGGATGACCGGAAGCGTGTGGAATGGCCTTTGCCCGTGCGACAGTACGTTCAACGCAGCTTCGATCCCGAAAACCAGATTGCCAGTGTTCCTCGACCAGAGCTTGAAAAGAAATTGAAGCAAGTTATCACGGAAGCGGCTAAAAGCGAGAGCCTCGATGCTGTGGATTGGGACACTTTGCCCCTACCGCAGGTCATGATCCAGAATGAGCGCAACGCGGTGCTGACAAACTCACTGATATCATCACCTTGGAGTGCCAGCGCCAGTGTTACAGCAATGAAAACTGGGCTCGCACAAGATGAGCGAAGCAAGAAAAGAAAGTCAAACGAGTTTCAGCAGACGGACGGGGCCGACTCTCCACCGTGGAGGAAAGCTAACAACCGAACCCAGTTGGAAGACCGAATCTCTTATACCCCCACTGACAAACGACAACGCGTAGATTACACCAGCAAATCCTCAAGTAAGTCCAAATCTAGCCTGGAATTGCGCAAGCGCCGTTTTGGGGACCATCAGAGCTACCAAGATTCTTCCCGATCGGAGTCTCCCGTCGCCACTGCGATCCAAGGCCCTATTGTTGGACGGTGCCAGGAGTTAGAAAAGAAATACTTCCGGTTGACATCGGCACCGAATCCGGACGTGGTACGGCCTTTACCAGTTCTTGAGAAAACCTTGGACTTTTTGAAAAAGAAATGGCGCAAAGAGAACAACTACGGATACATTTGCGATCAGTTCAAATCACTACGACAAGACTTGACAGTGCAGCATATTCGGAACGAGTTTACGGTGAATGTTTATGAGATACATGCGCGGATTGCCCTGGAGAAAGGAGACCTTGGTGAGTATAATCAGTGTCAAACCCAGTTGCGGGCTTTATACGCACAAAAACTGGGTGGTCATCCTATGGAATTCATGGCGTATCGTATACTTTATTTTATCTATACGCGCAACCAGACGGCTATCAACGACGCGCTGGCAGATCTAACCCCAACAGATAAATCGGACCTGGCTGTAAAGCACGCGTTGGATGTGAGGTCTGCACTGGCTCTCGGTAACTACCATCGTTTCTTTCAGCTTTACCTTGACACGCCCAACATGGGTGCATACCTTATGGACATGTTTGTCGACCGCGAACGCTTGGCTGCCTTGGCCTGCATTTGTAAAACGTGAGTCTTGCCCTTATGCCGCATCGATTAAAAGTGACCGTTGCTAACTTCCTTCGCAGATACAAACCCGACGTAAAGATTCGTTTCATCACCGAAGAGCTTGGCTTTGAGTCTGATGAGCAGAGTGCCCGCTTTGTTCTTGAGTATGCTTCTGGAGAGCTGCTGCAAGAGAGAGATGGGCATGTGCGACTCTTGACAGGCAAAGCAGGTCGAGTGTTTGAAGATGCCAAGTCCCAAGCGTACAGAGTTGTCGACATCAAGGGACAGATATAATTGCCTTCGTCCGCTTTTGCTGGTTTCTTTCGGTTTTCAATACCCCTTACGCATTTCTCTCTATCGTCCGTCAGGCATTTTAACCATTTCGTTCGACCGTAGATATCAAGGCGGCTTTTTTTTCCAGTTCTGCGAGCGGATATGGTCGGTGTTGGTTGGATTTTATAATAAGCATTTAATTTTAACATGGGTTGGCGGAAAAGGTCGTCTGGGGAGTTCGCCATTTTGATTGAATAGTTTATAGGGCTCGTCAAGCTATACATATTTTTCTGAAATACTCTGCTATTCCTAGTAAGCGTTCTACAAGTCCGAATGGCGGTAGAGTAACGTGACGAACTTTCCATGCATGCTTGTACAAGTGACGAATTCTCAACAATGCAGCACTGACCTCCCCAAAACAGAAACATCCTCTGCATTCTCCCAAATAGTAAATACGTAATTGTACTTGATCATCAGCACTTAACTAGAGCGTGCATAAGCGGAAAACTCGAGAACAAATCTTAACCCTAAAGGCTCAGCTATGACTCTCATGCAGTTCTGGCCAAGATGCATGATTCAGTGGCTGCTTGAGTCGAATGTACCTGCAGTCTGTACCCAGTCAGCCCAAATGGAGAAGTCCCAACAATCTTCAGTCTTCATGCAGACGGTGTAGTCGGCCTTGTGTACGCTGGAAAGAGCGTTCTAGTGTATTGTGTGATGTGATATGGAAGCGGACTAAGAATGCTGCCCAACCGGCGGGAAGACGAGGGCACTCTGATTGGTCCCAGGGCTGCCTTAGCATGGCGTTCCGGTGGGCCAACGACGTAACAGGGCTTTTTTCTTTTGCTTTTGCTTGAATGATGGATCTTTCGTCGTATTTGAGCGCCTTCTTCTTCTTTTGCTTCTGTCTCTTCTTCTCAGGAGTACTCCGTATATACTACATAGTTCGTGTAGATGCAGGATACTGTGTGCCTGAATGATGTGTACGTGGGAAATGTACCTGTCGCACGGTAGGCGTAAGTCGAGGGCGAGGGTTCCGTTGGGTGGCCATCCCGCGTTCCATGAAAACCATGCATAATAGTAGCATTCCGAGGCATGCTGGGATTATGCCACCGCGTATGAGACGAGTCACATGATCGTCTAGCATTATCTGCATATGATGCTACTACTATGTATGTATGCTGACCTGGCCGGGAGTAAGCAGTGACTGTACTACTACTAGTATGCAGTCGAGCGTACTCTACACTGACTATGTAATAGTACAGCGCTCGTGGCCTGAAACGCAAATCTCCACCAGCCCGCGCGATCCTGGTGGATAGGTGGATATACCCATTAAAATCCATTGAATCCCCACGAGGCAAGCCGTCTTTGCGTCTTTGTCATTTGCTGCCGGCACATTTTAGTTTGGGCCTGCTTCAAGGGCTCAAAGTCCAGACACTTCCAGCTGGCCCTGGTTCCTTGGGACCGTGTTTCCGACGGTCTGTCAGCCTGTGTGAACCTGCGTAGAGAAGCTTTGTTGCCGCCTAAAATTTAGTCCATCCAGTGAGTGCGATCCTTCCCCAAGGAACAGTGTGGTAGGCCCGTCGAGGGCACCGAATCACCATTCACTTGGGCGTCGTGACCGGGCGGCAGGTGCCTCCTCGTGCAGTGTGTCGTAGTGCGTGCCTTCCGCCAGTACGTAGTAGTAATAGTAGTAGTACACCATCACACACAGAAACCTCTCTCTCTACTTTCTCTGTATCATCTCTGTCATCTCTGTCATCTCTGTAGTACACTGCGTACAGCTTACATGCTCTCTTTTTCGATTTACTTACTCACTCACTACTTTCATTCCAACGCTTGACTTGACTCACGCCATACCAACTCTATTTCTCCCACTTTGCGGCTTTCCTTTCGTCCTGTATCTCTCTATCTAATCGAGTGACTCTATCGTGTCCAATTCAGCGCCAATCGATCGCAATTTTCGACTCAACGCGACGCTGTACATAACACTGTACATTAATCTCTACATATTCGACAACCAAACATTACAGTTCTAGACCAAATTCGTGTTCTCGACCTTTCCTTCTCGAAGGAAAAAAAGGAGCACGCGCAACGATGAAGGTACGCTGGTTGCTCTTTCCTCGCCTGTTTTTGCCCGTTTTCCTCGTCGCAATCCACCTTCATTGTATTTCTCTCGCGTTCTCCTGCAGTGACGACTAGAAATTTTACTGCCTAGGTATTAGAAGCCTGTCATTATTCCCAGTCGCAGTCTCCTCCTATCGTCAACTATGTGATCCATTTTGCTTAACTTTGCCTAACCAACACTAAATTTCTAATCATACTCAAAACGCCGACACATCCCCGCTCACTATCATCCCTTCTTCATCTCCTTTGACGAAAACTATATCACTCTCAAGCTAACCATTTTTATCTTACTCGATATCTAGGCCATCAGACGGTCTCTCAAAGGAGACAAAGAGCCAAGGTCGCATCACGTCTCAATCMCCCCCAAATCCGCTCTGGCTATCCTGCCACCTAAAAAGGTAAGATTCGCGTGCTGCCGCCCCGCCACATTTGGCTGTGAATGTTTATTTTCTGCCCTCTTTTTTGATCCATCACTTTCTTCTGTTCTTTCTCTGCCAGTCGTGTTGCTATTTCTGTTTCATCCCATCTGATCTCATATTCCCCGCTCCGGAATATTCTTATCTGTATGACTCGCGTCGCATAGTCATCCACCACAAACCAAATTAACTCGCATTCTGTCCTTATCTAGGTCATCAAAGCGCTTTATGACCACGAACCCGCCCCCGGCAACACCCAAGAATTGGCCTTTAGCAAAGGTGACTTCTTTCATGTCATAAGTCGCGAAGACGATCCGGACTGGTACGAAGCCGCCAACCCCCTAGTCCCCCACGCTCGCGGCCTGGTCCCCGTGTCGTTCTTCGAAGTCGTGCACAAAAACGAAAAAGATCGCCAGAGCGGCGGCAGCAAGGAGTCACCCAAGCAGGAGCTTCACGATTCTGGATACTCAGACCGTCCTATTCATCACGAACGCCAGGAATCATCGACAAATACGACAAAGCAGGCAGCCTTCAGAATGTCGGTTAACGGAAAGGGAAGCGGCGCCATGGTATACGGGGTGGTGGTATACGATTTCAAGGCAGAACGTCCCGACGAGTTGGAAGCCAAGGCCGGCGAGGCTATTATCGTGATCGCACAATCGAACCCCGAATGGTTCGTCGCAAAGCCGATCGGTCGCTTGGGCGGCCCCGGTCTTATACCAGTATCGTTCATCGAAATCAGGGACATGGCGACAGGACAGGCCGTACCGGATGCACATGATGCTGTCAAAAGGGCAGGCGTGCCTCGCGTCGAGGAGTGGAAGAAGATGACTGCCGAGTATAAGAACAGCAGTATCACGCTTGGTAAGCTGGATGGAATGGCCGCATCAGGCATGCAAGCTGTCTCGAATGATATGGAAAGGATGTCGATCAATGGCAATGGGGCTTCTTATCCACCGTCTCAAGGCGCCAATGGACAGGGCTACCACTCGAGATCGGAGAGCCGAGCATACTCTCAAGGATTTGCACAACAAGCCAAATCAGCGCAGCCCGCTGCCAGCAACCGACTTCTAGCACCTATCTCTGCCTCCATTCCCCGGTACTGCTTTGACCACGACAAATACTGGTACATTATTGAGGCGAAGATGGAGGACGGCACTCATTGGGAGTTATCACGTTTTTATCATGACTTTTATGATTTTCAAATCGCTCTTTTAACTCAGTTCGAGGAGGAAGCTGGTCACAATGGCAAAGCCCGGACGCTGCCATTCATGCCTGGTCCTGTGACCCACGTTACCGATGCAATTTCTAACGGACGGCGACAAAACTTGGATGATTATATCAAGAAGCTTCTTGCGATGCCACCGCACATTGCTCGTTGCCCGCTTGTTTGCAAATTATTCGCGCCTCGTCCCGGCGATTTTGAGATCGACCCTAATGCTGTGGAGGATACATACCGATTCTCTGGAGAATCTCAGCAATCGTCTGGCCAAGATATTTCTCCGACCGACTCTCGGCAGTCGTCTCAGGCACGTATTAGTGCTTCTGCCTATGCAGCACCAAACGGCGTCCCTACTAATCGCGCGCCCCATCAACGTCAGCAACCATCTTTGTCTCAGCAGAACAGCTTCGCGTCACAATCGCGTACAGATTTACAGATCCCTCCAATGAACCGACAGACCAGCTCCCTTACGCAAGCGTCCAACAACTCTGCTAACAACGCCATGAAAGTCAAAGTCTTCTTCCAGGATGATATCATTGCTATCAGAATACCGAGCGATGTCAACTTCCACCAGTTACAAGATAAATTGCGCGACCGACTGAAGGTTAGCCATGACATGGTGGTCCAGTACAAGGATGAGTCATCCAACGACTTTGTCAATATGCTCAGCGATCATGATCTAGACATGGCCTTGCAGCGAAACTCGAAGTTGACACTTCGCGTTTCAGTCGCATAGTCTGTTATATGTTTCAATTGTCTATTTCCGTCTCTGATGGATCTACTTTGTTCTGCATTTTGTTCCAGGTGTTCCGGCGCATTTTCTTTTGCTTGCTTTCAATGAGGTTACGATACGCCGCTATGTTTTTTCCGAGATTATATTGACTTCATGCCTTTCCCGTCTCATATGATGTTATGTTTTTTCCACTTTTCTCAATTCATACCCCGGAGTAAGTCCGATATTTCTTTACTCTAATTTTTCTTCCTGAGTTCTCTGCTGTTATAGCTTGTAACTATTAGCCTTTGTCTTTGGTCGAGTTCAAACGCTTTCTTTCATATGGTAATTTGCCATTGTACAGCAGAATCGTTTGTCTCGCACTGAGCCTATCTATCTCCTGACTGGCTGCTAATGTGCTCTATTTTTTCTGATGGTTTGTTCAATATTAGACAGTTGCAAGCCTTAAACATGAACAATAAAAGTTATATGAACAGTTCAAGTACAACCTCTCAACGTATGAAGCCAACCATACCAACATGCCCCTGGCACTATACAGGCCAATCTATACGTTTTTTCTACAGGCGGACACCTCTAGAAGCTAGAGCTCAGACAGATTTCACATGATCATCACCAGCGCCCACAAACTCCTTGGGCCGTTCCGCCAGCGCAACGCTGATTTCCTGCTGCGACTGCTCCAGCTGCAACTTTGGCAAATCGAGCAGCACTTTGGAGCCCGAGAAGAGGAGATCGATGTGTTCGAGGGACTTTCCTTTTGTCTGTCAATTTCTCGATCTTGGCCGGTGCGATCTCCGCCACGATCAAGGTAAACAACCACGTCGCCGAAGTCGCAAAAGCAGCGGATTACGATCTGGTAATCAGCGGCGCATATTCAGCTGCCAGCAACCAAGGGCGGGGGTTCCAGCCGACGCCAAACCAGAAGTCGTACCAGAGTAGGGCTACGGTGGCTGTTACACCGGGTCCGAAGGCTGTTACGGATGTTGTGCTTGCGAGGACGCGTATGCCCGTAGCTATGCCTACTAGACCTGTGAGGAGCAGGGGCGTTGACCGACTTTGTCGATTAGGAAGATGGGGATCAGGGTGGAGAGGTAGTAAAATAGCCTTAGGAAGCCGGGCATGAGGGTTGAAATGCTTTCAGAGAAGTCGACGGATTTGATGAAGATGTATGGTGCGTAGTACCTGATCAACTGTCAGTATATCTAGCTTTACATATATAGTTAGAGAAAAATTGGCGTACGTAATCAGATCAATGTCTGTCAGTTGCTGCATGATCATTGCACTGACGCCGAGCATGGTTCGGTAAAAGATTCGTTGTTCACTGTTGTGAATACCATTCGGGAGGCACTTCTCATTCATACACATACACGTTAGCCGTGACGAAATGTATACCCGTGGAATCTGTTTGACGAGACTAATCTTCCACCAAACTTCTCCTACGCCTGCTGCTCATGCATATAGCAATCACAGTTTCAATCCTCTCCTGCTCCACGATCCCGGGTCTTCATAGACTTTAATAAGACTTTTATTGCTTCTTCGTTTCGATGGTGAAATAGCAGCCGTCGCGTTGTGCCTGGTAGTCACACAATCAGGGAGATGGTTGCCGTTGCGAAGAAGATTTGGAGTGCGAGTGGGAAGCGCCATTGAGCGCTGCTGTCGACGTATGTGAAGTCGTAGCAGATCCAGCGGCCACTTATTCCACGGCCCATGGTTAGTTCATGATTGTCGACTTGATATACCCACTCAGTTGAGTCTTACCTCCGCCCTAAGTTACTACTTAGCATTTCAGTTGAAGAGAGAATATACGTATCACATTGGTTGGTAGTTCAGGAGTAATGAATTTCCCTCTGTCATTTTCTTTCACCTTCTCAGCATGCCACACCGGAATCGTCGAAGTGATGATTCCATTTCCTGTTCCAGTGACAATACGACCAACTTAGACTCTCAATCAGCAACCCCTCCAAATTCGAATGAGCAGGTATGGGAAATACAATAAGCTGCGCAATACTGGACGGAGAACACCGAATCACAATCCCTAGCGCCAAAACCGTCGCACCACCGACGACAGTCAATTCCCAATTCAGCCATTCACCAATCACCATCGTGAACAACGAGCCAGCCCGACAACCGATATTGTAGTTTATGACCACCAGAACTTCGAGTGTGGAGTTGCCATTTCCGCTTGTCGTGTTGAGAATGGGAATTTCGCGCGTGAATGCAGTGCCGGGTATGACACCGCCCATAACACCTTGTTCTGTTCAGACGAAGCGATTTAGTGTAATTATTGGGGAATCAGGTGCGTAGGAATCTGGAAAGAAGTACCAGATCCGAAAAGCACAAAGGCAACAAAGCAGGTGAGACTGATTTGTCTGTGAAGTGTCTTGTCCGAGATTCGGGAATGTCCGACTAGAAGGAATTCATCTTGATGTTTTCTTTCTTCCGACGTGTATGCGGCTTCTACTTGGACGCGTATGTGATTGATGCGTCTAGGTAGATGAGTGTGACTATCGTTATATACTTTATGCGGGTCCATAAAGTGTGATCCATCTCGATCGGATGCGCGGCCAACCCTCCGACAACCATGGCTAGTCGCGCGGGGGTATTTCCCGTGGAGAGTACACATCGAAAACGGAAAATTATGAGGAGAAAGTACAAATATTGAGCAGAAAAGAAGTGTCAATTCTCGAAATGTGAATGGTACACGAGTTAGATGCGTCGGTTTTGACTCTCGGCGAAATATTACCGAATCCGGTAGTTAGGGCTAACGCCATTTTCAACCACGCCAAATTAGAGTTGCGGGGATTTAACTCCGAACGCAGTTGAACATGTGAGATCATGCTAATGAGTCTGGTTTGAGTTCTCAGTATGGAGTGGTTTGGTGGGATTCCAGATCATTCAAAGTGCTTCTTGTTTGGCGAAGGCCTGGGGTGCGTGTGGGATGGATGGCCCATACTTAGAGCTTTGAAGATTGTTTGCTAGAGATAAGTATTGCAAGTCGTCGAGGATGCACCTGTCCTAAAAATCATTGCAGTGACCGAAAAGAGATCTGCTTCGAATTAATAGATAGCCCCATGAAAGATTCTCCGATAGGAGTTGAAGTTTCAACTTCATAGTGGACCACCAGCACTTGAGAACTCAGAAATTCATGATGCTTTGGGTAATTGAAGGTCATCCTTTCTGCTGACTATTACCTCCTCTCGCTTGATCTTGCATTACGATTTTTGCAGGGAAGAGGTAAAATGTGATGGACTTTTGTAGGTAGGTGTGACTGACTATACGCATCCACGTTGTTACTAATGAGAGCAAGTTCTGTACGCTTTATTTTTGACCAGACCACTCCAGAAAATGTTCTCGGTTCAGCTTGATTACTCCCGATCAACATGTCTCTCTTGTTGATAAACTACAGCAGAATGAATCTTGCCTGTCATTTTGATCAGTACCATGTCTATTACCAGGCTAAATTGCTAGCGGTAATTTTCATTTCTTTCGTATGAGAGGGGTCCACCGTCCAACACATCTGGGTCAAACATCCGATCAAAATAAGTCTTGTATTATCGGCCTTGATTATCAACTCTTAGCACAGCCGTAACAGGCTTACATCAATATGGCTGAGAAAGTTATGAGCAGTTTCAAGATCGAGAAGAATCGGGCTCCACTTCTAATCCATCTCCCCACCGAGATCTTGATCATGATCATGAAGTATTGCCCAAACATCTCATCTCTGTGGGGTCTCATCAACGCCTCGTCTCGTCTCAATTTGATATTCATGAATATGGCCCGAGAAGTTGTTGAGTATGTCATGGCAGCAACATTGCCCGTCCGTATCAGAAACCACATGATGATAGTATTGTTGACACGCACGTCACCGAACTCTCTACTCGATATTGATCATTTGCTGAAGTACATGTCTGAAGAATTCAACCTGGAGTCTCTGCCAGACAAAACTTCGCCACAGGTATTTCGCGATCTTCTAAAATTAGCACATACCCTCCACGGAGTAGCACATGCTTGTTTGGACTTTTATCTCGAGAAGACAAAAGCAATGAATCCGCAACGATTGAGTGACACTGAGGTTCAGGGGATCTACAAAAATCGGAGGATACCTAGGCATAAATTCGATGGGTTACAGGGCCAGCCCTACCAGCCAAAATATTCTGGGCCTGCGTCATACTTGGAAGAACAGACGACTATCCGGTTCCTTTGGCGATTACAGATATTTCTTGACCTTAAAACCGCCTGCAACGTAGGTGCATTGGCCCATTGGCCGGAGGAAGAGCAAAATCGTCTTCAGGGGATGGCCATGCTTGACTTCTTAGAACTTTTTTATGTTCCTGGGCGCAGTAGGAGGAGATATTCATATGAGCAAGAACAGCTCTTCACCGTGATCAACTTTGTCAACGAGACTTTGGGCGAACAGCCAAGTGAAGCCGAGGATGAATTGGCTCGCTTTTTGCATCGACCGCCTGCAGCGGTCTACAATAGGGGATATCAACTGCCTTGCTTACCCAAACCCGGTCCAACTATGGAAAGGATGTCCGGCCGTGACGTCCTTATTGACATCGACTCTGAAATTGGACGGGCACAGATGGGTTGGAGATTCCATACAATAATGACTACGGACGTGACAAAGTCTCCTCTACTTCATTTCTCCTTTAAGCCATACCGCAAATTTGGATTTGCTTTCTGGCGAGACGAGCGAATGATCGAACTGGGGTTTCTGGAACCGGAAATCAACCGCTGGGGGTTGTGGGAACCCTATAGTTTATACTTCACGTGGAGGAGTATCCTCTCGCCAGATGAAATTGCTCAGGAACTTGGGAGTACCTGAAATTCTATTGATGCCTCAGGCACTCATTCTTCAGCGAGGCAAGACATGGAGCTATTCCGTTTAAGGTCTAATGCGATATTAGTAAAGCCCTATTGCCCCACTCAGTTTGGTCTCAACAGTCAGCCATCCTCAACATTATCTTCTCAGGATTACTGTCTATACTTTCGGAAATTCTCCAAACAGTATGGAGAAATCTGTAACTAAGAGGAATCCAAAGCTGAGAACTGCTTGTGATAGATGCTACCAGCTCAAAGAACGATGCGAGCGCACAACGACCTTCGTCCACTGTGCAAGGTGCGAGAGACTAGGTCTGTTTTGTGCAACAATCCGGCCGGTCCGTCCTGTCGGGAGAAGGGTTCAACATGAGAGAAATGCGTCGGGCAAGCGCAGAGAGTTACAGCACCACCAATCTACGACCGATGACATTGACGCATTTCTGGACAAACCCGAAGAAAAGGAACTGTTGCAATTTCTCCTTGGCCAGGCTGACAGCATGGATAACTTCGTCGTTTGCCCGAGCTTTCAAGCTGAGCAGCAACATTCACTCGCCGTACAGCTTTCTGCTGCATTGCCATTGCTCAAGGATGCTTATCTTGCATGTGCTATTACGATGAGGCAGCTCCAATCTGACAACGTAACGGACACAGATGCCAATACCAGCATTCGGTATATATCAAAGGCTATGAATACATTACGATCTCTATCTAACTCGCGTTCGAAAGATGCTGTTCTATGTCAAACTCTAGGAAGTATACTGGCTTTCTCGATCTACTCGGCCATTGGAGTAGGAGTACCAGAAATTTGCTCTTTTTGTCTCGATACGACCAGTCCGTCAGTGGAAACAGAAACTACAGTAGCTAGCACACACAAAGTTTCTTGGCAGAATTTTCTGGTACTCCAGGAGACCATGAACTGCCTGGTCTATCGACAAAAGCCCACATTGAGAATCCAGGTCCCGGCATCTGGTATTGTCGATCGCCACCTTGGTCTATCCTTACCTCTTATGCCTTATTATCACGATCTTTGCGTAATTAGCAATTCACTTGCTCATTCAACTGACCTGAGCGCTTTGGCTTTTCTTCAAAAGCAGCTAAATGACATTCAATCTGTTGTCGAATCATGGCAGCCATCTAAGTTGGATCAACTTGTAACACAGTTTGATTCGGCTGAGGTTGTCCACCTTCTTGCGCAAGCCAAGGTGTACCGTCTGGGAGCGCTGTTAGTGGGCCACAGGTTGCGATATCGACTSGGTGAAGAAGATTTACAAGCCGCAACATGGTCCAAAGAAATAATCATGGAACTTGAAATGGCATATAAAGTTACCAAGCGATCTATTCGCTTCGTGACACTACCATTCATCGTCGCAGCAGTTGAAGTTCGAGACAAAGCTTCACGCTCCAAGACGCTCAAGCTCGTGGACGACTGCGTTGATCAATACGCCCCGACGTTGAAAAAGGCAACTAAGAGATTTTTGTGTAATGTCTGGCGCGAGCGGGATTCGAATTTTACAGGTTACTGGTTTGATTTAGTACATAAACCGTGTCCTGTGCTAGATTCTTTAGGCAGAGTTCAGTTCGGTAGCTAGTGAAAGCTCTCGCGCATCCAAAGCTACTACTATTCTATACCTTATTCAAAATCGAGTCTAGTATAGCAGCCGCCTTCAGCAAAGCTTCATCTCTGTGCCTATATCCCACCACCATGACACCAACCGGTGCGTCTTTGTACTGTTCCGGGCCGGTATCTATGACAGCGCACGTGAGCTTGAGCTACGAGAATCAAATCGGGAAGGAAGGGACACATACACAGGCTGTAAAGCTTCTCATCTTCGGGGCCAAATTGGACGTTGCTCAACTCATCAGCGAAGTCGGTGTCCCGCACATGATCTGTAGGGATCACAATTGCCGGATAATCAAGATAGTTCCATAGGCTAGTATATGCCGCCTTGGTCCAGTGGTCCAGTGCAACTGCCGTATGTGCTGCTGGAGGCATTAGGATTACATCTATCTCGTTTTCACGGAACAACTTGAGGTAGTTCTCTGCGGCCTGGGCTCGGCGGACATTCAAATCGAAAAATCCTTTAAGATCCGTTCCTGGAACCGACAGAAGACCTATGTTTTCGAGTGAGGGAATCACTGGTTCCCCTGTCCGCGCAAACTGCTCGTAATAGTACTTTGCTTTTGGTCAGTTTATAGTCATTATGTCAAGTAGGGTTTAGGGGCGCTCACATCACTTCCCAATAGCGCAAAATAGCTCATGATGTCCTGATAATGCGAACCGACGTTGGGCAGGGTGATCGGAACGATTTCAATGTTGACATTGGTGTGGAGAAGATCGACCGCCTGGTCCAACGCACGTCTAACCGGCGGAGTTGGCGTGAAAACGCCCTCATTTTGAGCAACGCCGATTCGCAGCTTGCGGTCAGGTTGAAGATCCATCCATGGAATCGAGATTGCAGTGCTATCGTACTTCCAAGTATCTGCTTGCAGTATCGTTTTAAGGAGCAGAGAGCAATCCCGAAGTGAAGTTGCCAAAGGCCCAGCTGTTGAACGGATACCATCTGTCCCAGGCGTGGTGACGTCCCGTACACCGCCATGAGGAATCAGGCCTGCGCTGGGCCTGAATCCATAGATCCCGTTGCAGATTGCTGGGACACGAATGCTTCCTCCGATATCAGTCCCAACTCCCAGGATGCTGCCCCGAAGGGCAATAAGTGCACCTTCACCGCCGGTACTTCCACCAGCTGTAAGCGACTTGTTGCGAGGATTCAAGGTTCTTCCAAAGATATTGTTGTCACTATCTCCAGTCATGATTGTTTGCGGCAGATTGGTCTTGCAGTAGAGAACCGCTCCCAGGTCAATTAGCATAGCGGCCAGCGCACTGTTCTTCTCTGCTGGCTCATCGACATAGCAACCCATTCCGGTTGACGTATCATATCCAGAAACTTGAAAGCTATCCTTGAGTGAAATTGGTAGTCCAAAAAGTGGTGGTAGAGTATTTGGTGACTTTTGCCCGTATTCTAAGTCAAGTTTCTTGGCTCGTTCGATAGCATCGTCGAAAAATATCTCAGTGAGACAGTTCGTCTGCCACAAATTTGGGATCAGCAGGGCTTCTCTAATGGACACTTGTGAGAACTGACTAGCTGATGTGCAATGGCAGCCCTTTTGCAAAAGGCCACAGTCACTTGCTCAACGGACCAGACTCTAGCCTTGAGCTTTTCGAGAAGCGCGGTTGCATCATAGTCGGAGGTGATTTTGGCTTCTGTTTCGTCCAGTAGCCCGCAGGAAAGTGGTACATCCATCACGTTAGTAGCATCTTGGAAGATATTTACAGGAATGTGCCAATTCTGAGGAATATTGCCCTGCTGCTGAGCCTTTTTTGCTGCTGCGAGGACCTTGTAGTTCTTCATTTGTGATGCCATTTTCTTGCAGGAGTCGGATCAAAATAAATGATTATGAAAAGTTTTCGCTATGGATGGGCTATTTGTAGAAATTGGTTCTACATTTGGATATTTAATGCTATTTATCATCAAATGCATCCAACAGCAATACCAAAATGATGAAGGCCATAAAGGAGGACTTACATGTGACCCACACAATGACCTCCGGGCCCGGTTCCGGTTCTACATCCGGATCTTAGACTAAAGTAGAAATCAGTAGATTAATATCGAGTCCCGGTGTTCAGTCATATACTTGACATTCACTTCTAGTAACCTTTCGTGGTCAGACTGGTGACGAATATCGGTTTGTTAGCATTTTTAGGGCTAGGGTGGGGCATGAACGAGAATCCGGTCAACCTTCCGGTCCACCAGGTCCTTTAAGTAAGTGTAGCAATGAATCAATCAAGCTTTCGAGGATAATCTTTCCGGCCTAAAACGTAATTACAGACATATGGTAGTCTTTATGCCGACATTACATTCCTTGACGATGTTCTTCACACCATAGCTTTCTCGGTCAACAAAAGCGATGATTTTACGCGGCTTGCAAAGTCTCGCATGCTCCTTGTCCTTCTCCTTTGTATTGTTTTTGCTTTATGATATGGAGGAGATACTAAGCTTTGATGTTTTCTCAATTCCAGATTGAAAACCTTCCATCAGTTCTAGGTCTTCTACCTACATGTATCGCTCGCTGTTTGGTCAAATACACTTTCACACTCGTTTACAGTATCAGGTATCATCAATAAGGTCCTCTTTCGGCCTGATGGCAGCCATTATATTGATCCAGGTTAGGGCACAAGGAATAGTAGCGACTTTGCTCATCACCATCGCTGAGACATTTCAAAGCACTATCACACAGACAGCTACAAGTACTTTTGCAATAACTAGAACCACCTGTCCTGCCACTTTAACAAATGGAAATTGGTCAGATAGAGCCTGTTCCGAGATTATTACTGATGATTCGTGGCAAGCAAACAGGGCGGAAACTGGCCGTAACTGTCGTAGAATAAGGACTCTAGAGAAGATAGCTGCCTAATGAAATCAGCCAAAGGTTCCATGAATGATATGTCTCATGGACTTTATTGAGAGGCGCTAGAAACAACGGGTCTTCGCGCGTCAGGTATAGTTCACGTAGTTCTGAAGGATGACCTCATCGCGGCCACTGTACTCAAATATTCCTTATATCGGGTCTACACAATGATTATTTATGGTAAGGTCTCCTGTACGATCCTCTTCTTCGATTGCTTCTCCTGGGTTGCTGTATAAGATGATTGACGTCGAACACTGCCAAAGCCATTTTAAATCTGCAGTAGCTGTGAATAATGATGTACATCATCTGCAAGCTGTGCGCTGTCGCTTATTGGAAACTTCAGAATTCGGTATAGGATGGTGGCGATAACAGAAAAGCAATGCTTATTAGCATATGCCAAATCAATCACGCTTCCCGGAGATACTTGGTCGAGGTATTCACTGACAAGAATTTTAAGGGGGAGCCTGCCGAGCATCTTGATAGACCTGTCCTTGTAGTCTTCGCGTAGAGGGATATTACTCAATGAGGGAAGTCTGGAGCAAGAAGTGCAAGCTCATTTGCTAGACTAATGTGTGAGGTTCCCGCTATAGATTCGGGTTTCCGACAAAGATGAGAGCTTTTCAGCTTGCTCTCAGTAGAGAAATAAAGTCAAGTGGGTAGTTAGCAAGCGACACCGACGAATATTCGCAGGGTAACCCTGAAGATGTTAACAAAGCCCTTATATCACGTGATACAATATGGCCCTATTCCCCAAAAAGAATAGTCTATTGCCCCCACGTGTCGGAACTCGGGACGAAAATACAGAAGCTCTCTTCTTCTATACACTCACTTTCACTTTCTGTGAAAAGCGCAGACTTGTATATAGTTCTTTCTTGCGCTCCAAGCGAGCCGCTATTCACTCACTCAAAGATCGAATTTCGAAGTTATACACCCATTGTACAGCGAATTTTTGTTTTGCGCCTCCCCGCCACCGCGAAATCAGATAGCCGGTACCTCTTCCGCGGACCCGTTCGTTAGCCGTACTGATACCGGAGGAGTCGCTCGTTTTCACACGATAACTGATTATGTATACGAGGTGAAACTGCATACTTGACCCGAAAAATGAATCGAACTTCTATTGCAGCATGTACAAAATGTGTACATGCAATCCCACGAACAAGAGCTAGTCGGGCGCATACAATTTCGGCAACATGTCGGCCGACTTCGAGACGAGTTCATTTGGTGAATCGAGCATTCACGATATCGAGACACGGATCGTCACGAGCGATATCAAATGGTTCTTATGCGCCGAATAAGACCTATAGATTATCTGTGTCCTCTAGAGGAGGGTCGATACGGTCCTTTGCGACTGCGCAAGATGGCTCGGCATCACAACAAGGTGTTGGAGATGGAGAAGGTCCCATACACGAGTATGAGAGAAGGGTCCAGGCAGATCTACTCAGAGATGACCCTCATCAAAGGAGTATGCTTGAACTTCTATCCTGATTGGCAAATTACTGAGTTGAGAAATGACTAACTCTGTGGCTCATAAGACATCATAAACCACCTTCAATGTCTTCATGATATGTTAAAGTCGTATACGCCTCCGCCAATCGTCCATCCTTCTCCAGATGACCTTCAAGAAAATACAAAATCGTCATTTTGGGGCTCTCTCTTCGGGCGAGGTGCTCATTCAGACGTTCCGCGCCCACGACCGGAGAATCTGCCGAAAGGGCTTTACATGTACGGAGACGTTGGCTGCGGAAAGACCATGCTCATGGACTTGTTTTACGACACCATACCTTCGAATATAAAAAGGAAGAAGCGGATACATTTCCATAATTTCATGCAAGGAGTGCATAGGGACCTGCATGCCGTCAAGAAAGCCCGGGGTCGCGAGTTTGATGCACTGCCAATGGTTGCGGCGGATATTGCGGAGACTGCCAATGTCTTGTGCTTTGATGAGTTTCAATGTACGGATATTGCAGATGCTATGGTGCTGCGAAGGTAGGCGTTTGATTTTGTGACTGCGCATGTCCTAATGACTAACTTGGGTAGATTTTTGGAGCTTTTAATGTCTCATGGTGTGGTAATGGTAACCACTTCGAACCGACATCCTGATGATCTCTACAAGAACGGCATTCAAAGGGAACACTTCATCCCATGTATAAAATTGCTCAAAAAAGAGCTCGAAGTTCTCAATTTGAACTCGGAGACAGATTACCGCAAGATTCCACGGCCTCCTTCTGGCGTTTACCACCATCCGCTGGACAAAGCAGCCGAACAGCATGCCGAGAAATGGTTCGAATATCTTGGAGATCCACAGAATGATCCACCACATCCAGCAACTCATGAAGTCTGGGGTCGCGAAATTCCGGTGCCCTCTGCGAGTGGACGGGCAGCCAAATTCACGTTCCAGGATCTTCTCGGTCGTGCCTCTGGCGCAGCTGATTACCTGGAACTAGTCCGACACTATGACGCTTTCATTGTGACTGATGTTCCTGGAATGACTATTCGAGAGCGTGACTGGGCACGACGGTTCATTACATTTATTGACGCTGTGTACGAAAGCAAGGTACTTCTCCTTTGCCTCCACCATCAGATCGGTATAGCTACTAACGCCAAACAGGCAAAACTCGTCCTCACATCAGCAGTTCCCCTCCAAAACCTCTTCATGTCCGAAGCTGAAATCAAAACCTCAATCGACGATGCGTCCTCTTCTTCCTCCGGCCCCGAGGCCCTCCCATCAGACATGCGCCAACTAATGGACGATCTCGGCCTCTCAATGGCCGCACTGAAATCCACATCCATCTTCAGTGGTGACGAAGAACGATTTGCTTTTGCGCGTGCATTGTCCCGTCTTACTGAAATGGGTAGTAAGCAATGGGTTGAGCGCGGGATGGGGGTTGGTATGGATGTTACACAGGGGTTAGAGGATCGAGATGCGTATAAGAAGACCAGGAGTAGGTGGAGTGAGGACAGTATGTAGTGTACATGATATACAGCTTTTATCCGTTCGATCATATTTCCGGTTCAAGCGAGCGACGGGGTTCTTGTTTTCTCATTGTGGTGGTTCAGCGAGGTACATATACACACTTGTTACATAGATCATACCCAATGGATTTTCCTTAGACGATACGTCACGTTCGAGTTTAGTCTATATTCCATTGGGATTTATGAAATTGTTAAATATATTGATCTCGGGATCTATTCGAAATATGCGCACCCGGAAGATACCTTCCTGACCTAGGTAGCAAGTGATCAATGCGACAGAACACGCCTTGAAACACTAAGAATAAATACTTTATTCCGCCAAGAGATCGACATTCACCCTCTTCAAAGCATCAACAGCCCATTGCGGCGCTTTATCTCGTGACCCATAATAATTCTCAAAAAACTTGCGAATGAATGCTGGATATCGATCTTCTAGAATAGCTTGTCTGATCGAGTCCATAAGTGAAAGTTGGTATTGAACGTTATGCATCGTGAGGCTAGTGATCACTTGTCATTAGATTGCTATGTCGATGAGGATAGAGGATTGTAGGAAGAAAACTCACAGATGAGCGCCGACAGTTTCTTTCACGGCTAGATGGTGGACATATGCTTTTGTGATACCTAATCCGCCCTCGGATTTGGGTCGGCAGCAGGTGCATTTGCAGCCATCTTGGATGGGGGTGAAGTCATACGCGTATGCTTTGTTGCGAAGGTTGAGGACGCCGTAGGGGGTGATGGCGGCGCCGAATCTCTGTTTTTGTGTTGGTTAAAAGAATGACGAAGAGGGTCATGGAGGGAGACAGGGGACGAGAAACATACTGCAGTCCGCGTTGGCCATACGCAGTCAAACATATCTGCGCCTAATGCGACGGACACGACAAGGTCTTCGGGATATCCCTATATAAATCATACCTTAGAAGCATTCCTCCGGGGTCGTGGAGAGGATCTTACCACTCCCATCACATATCTTGGCTTTCTTTCTGGAAGCAGTCCAGTACAAGTGTCAACTCTGATAAAGCTTCGTTAGTTCTTCCTGTGCTAGCAAAAGCTGCAAGGCGAGATTACTAACACTTTACAATACTCATCCTTCGCCTCTCCACCTGACAAACCACCAATCGCAATTCCCGGCGTATCTCGTGCAACCATTTCCTCGCAACATTTCCGTCTCATTTCTAGATCAAGACCGCCTTGAATAATGCAAAACAGGTTTTGCCGTTCGGGATACTTGTGCGCATCGATACAGCGGTCGAGCCATCGTACAGATCGTTCCATGGCTTCTTGCATTCTCGCGTGATCCGGTGATGTGGTTACGAGAACGTCGTCGAGTTGCATTATGATGTCGGAGCCGATCGAGTTTTGGAGAGCTATGGAGTGTTCGGGTGTGAGTAGCCTAGAATACTCCGTCAGGCTTTATAAGCTTTGTTAGAGATCACTAAAGGGACGACTCTTACATACATCGGTGTGCCATCATGCGGACTCAGAAATCTTACGCCTTCCTCCGTGATAGTAGCCAACTTCAGTAAGGAGACCATCTGAAATCTAGTCGAAATGAGTCTATAGGGCAAGGTAAAACCGTCTCGAGGATCGAGAGAATATGTTCCGAGGTGAAACTCACCCACCGCTATCCGTCAATATATTCCTATCCCAACCCTGCAGTTTATGTGCTCCACCGACAAGATCCAATACCTCCTGCCCAGGCTTCAAACCGAGATGGTATGTATTATTCAGGCAGAGCATGCAGCCGGTATCTTTCAATTGATCATACGTCAAGCCTTTGAGGGAGGCCTGAGTAGCGACGGGCATGAATATCGGGAGTGGGACGGAGCCATGAGGTAGGTGTAGCGTGCTCGCTCGGGCTTTGGTGGTCTAGACGAGGAATGAATGTTAGTGAATCGTTGACTCTGTCATTGTGTAAACATGGAGAGTAAAGCATACAGAGCATTTTGCATGTAAATCAAAAGTCAATGCAGAGGGCATTGGCTTGCGAGTAGATGTAGAAGGAGTAGCTGTCGACATTGTTGTTGCAGCTCGAATTCCGCGGGGATGGACTGCAGGGACCGCAGCTGCAGTCAGGGCCCGCAACTTATTTAATCGGATAATGTTTCCTGATTTGTTGAAAATTGTAAGATTTCACAAAGACGCGCGAATACGATGGTTCTCGTATCTAGCTGCTGATCTTTTGCGTGACTGTGATGAGGGGTCTCCGCGTTAGGACCGCTAGATGAAACTTTTTGTGGTGTTTGACATGTTTGCAGCTTATCCTTAGTCACTACGCTTACGTAAGAATAGCTTTGCAATGCCGAGTAGTTCTTCACAGATCGGGAGTTAACTGCAAAAAAGACTGACTAGTAAGCACCACACTAATCGATCTTATCGCGATTCGTCAACACTTCGTCAACCGCTTACGCTTACACCCATTGGGTTGCCAACAAGAATGTAAACCGGTCGGTCAGAAGTGGCACTTCTGCAGCTCCTCGTCATGACTCAATTACCATTCTCTATCGAGTAAGACAAATGGCTGGAGGGGGATATCATGACTTGACAGGGGTATCAAGGGCTCAGGTGATGTTGATGGCGCTTATGTATAGGTTCAAGTACCCTGTACTTGATCGTAGCTAGGCGTAGTAGCACGTACATGGTACATGGAACATTGCATGCAGACAGATTTCGTCACGGAAATGAAGCGAGGCGGAGTTCACGCCACCGATCTATGGGTATACAGTGTAGTAAGTTGCATGTTTTTTGTCACGTACATTAGTCACTTTTGTAGCTACTTGGCTAGGCACTACGTAGTTAGTCAATTGATTTGGGCCAGCCTCACTTTGTCGTTCTTATTGTGCGTTGTACATACTGTTTGTGATCAGCGTCGCGCGAGATGAACCGATCGAGTTTGCGCCTCAAACTAGCAGCAGGAGTAATTGGAATTAGATCATTATCGTCACATTCGTCACAAGTCGCCAATCGACATCGACATCAAGGAGCGTTGTTTTGTCACATGTCATCACAAATAATCAACCAATCAGGCGCAATCTTCGTCTAAAAATGCGGTTAGGCTGAACCCATCAGCCCCGTCGCGATCGACTGGTTCGGAAGGGCGGGAAACGGGAAGACAAAATCCTTCTTTTTACTACATGCCACTTAAACACCTACCAGGACATGGAATAGCATGTACCAAGATGTTATTGATGCCTGGATGGAAAAAGACTGCCCGTTTTGTCCAATGAGCTGGGCCCGTTCGAAAAAAGGATCATACAGTTTTCATCATTCGTCAATCGGTCTCGCCGAGGTCTCCACCGAATCATTCCATTTTGCAGTGCCCCCTCCAATGAAAAGTACCAATTGTCATCAAGAGGGATATCCTATTTGCGTGGGAAGGCGAATGTAACGACGGTATGTGATAGTGATCCCGTCACATAATGGTCTAACCAGACGAATCGATGCCAATGTGATGGGAAGCGAGAACAACGAGAGGCTTGAAGAAAACCCACGAATCTTCAAAAAACGCATTTGTGCGACGTCACAGCCTCGCCCCTCTCCGTCTGCCAATTCTCGCCAAGCTGCAGACTCAGTGCAGAGTACATACATAATAATACGTCAAGTGATAAGATACGTAGCTCTTAGGGCTAAGCTGTAACTAACGTTTTTTAGACCTTAGTGTTATGCAAAGCGGCCCGTCCAACTGTGCATGCATGAAAAAGAAAAAAAAATTTAGTCATGTTGTCGCTACCCAAAAACAACAAAATCAATCATTCGCCAAAACTACTACTACCTAGCTTAAAAGGGCATTGTCTTCGGTGATGACCTGTCCTTCGGATCAGGTACCACTTGACATCAGTAAGCTACGTAGCAGGTACGTTGGATGGAGCTTCTAGGCCTTTAGACGAGGAGGTGAGATGTCATGGCCCTCCCCGCAAATCTCCGAAACCTTGTTTGAATTTTTCCTCTCTTTTTTCGGACGATGGTGTGGAAAGTCTGGAAGATCATGTTAAATTGCAATTTCGGTAGGTCCATGATACATCAGTCACGAAAAAAAAAGTTTCAAAAAGATAAGAATTGGGGCTTGATTGCCATGTTAATATCCTTTTCATTCAGAAAAGAAGATTAATGAAGAAATAAACTCCTGATCCATAATCCTAAAATTGCATTCCTTCAATATCCCATGCGCATAGAAAACGAAAATAAGTCATATCGTAACTTCGTAAGTCACTGCTCCAGATGTTGTTTTGTGCATATGTATAATGTGGAGAACCGGAAGGAGAAAAAACAAAAGAAATTGTACAGAGGAAAAAGCGGCCTCGGAAAAATATTCGCAGTTGTAGTCGGCCATCGCCGACTCGTAGACAATACTAGGCGTTTGCTGTCGTCAGGAGAATCAAAGGAGATAGATGTTGGCGGAGAGGTCCGATGCATACTTTTCGCATCCCGAGTCGAGTATCCGGCACGTTCTTGCATCCGAGTTGTATTCCAAAGCAAAATATCAGTACAAGTCATCGTATCCGCGTTACGTCAAGACAATTCCGAAACAGCCCTTCGTCTGCAAAGGAAAATCTGCAAAGGAATCATGTTATTGTATTCGTCGCATCAAAGTCGCTCACTAGAATTGACCCGAGTAATTTGTCTGAGGGACGAATGGTTGAGGATCCAATTGCCTGATTGCGACCTCAGCAGCATCCTCTTTGGCATTGTTGAGGTATTGACCGTCGTACCAGTATCGAGCGGCGAAGCTCCGGTTCCCTACGTTGACGGTTGCTGACCAAGCGGTTCTACCTCCTGGAGAGAAGAGAAAGAGAAAGGTCAACGAGATATCGAGCAAGGAGAGAAAGAAAGAAGATCGTACCTCGTCGATCCGATACGATATGGAACTCGGGAGCTCCCAATCCGTTTTTCGTGCAGTGGTCTAGTAATAATTAGTAAGGTGCAACACGAGAAGAAGAAGATGAGGGCAAGTATAGCATTGCGAACCCTGTAACATCTTTTGCCAATTAGGCATTGTTCCCGGAGCGCCAGCAACCGGAGTAGACATAGTAAAGAAATCAAAGTCTGTGCTTTGATATAGGGACACAAAGAGGAAAGTGATTTCGGAAAAGAGGACGAGAGCGAGACAATGTTTTCTTCCTAGCAAGGTTGATCTGATTGGTAGCAAGCTGTCCCTTTGTTGTAAACGACGGGAAGGTGGTCGACGCTGTCAAATGCAAGACACGACTAGATACAGTTACAGATGAAAAGTTGTGTTGTCGGAGCGGGATAGACAGCACGCGAGCGGCAACTTGTAGGTAGTGGATTCCTTTCAATGGAAGACTTGGTTCCAAGTCAAAGAAGAAAGAGAAGAGACGGCTATATATATCCTACACAAATGAGTGACAGGAGGGGAAGGTCAAATTAAATGCCATTGGCATTTTACCAGTAAGGAATTGGAGGAGGATGAATGGATGTATGTACTCAATGGTTTGCTGATGGATAACATCGGACATTTGCCCCTCTTCATGTACAAGTCGGCGGAGAGAGAGGGACCAATATGCATGAATAAGAACAGAATATGTATGGATGTATGAAGCCAAGTAGCCTCCCATTTAAAAAAAGGGCAACAATAGAAGAAATTAGGGGAGGAGTGTGTGAGAAAAGGAAATAAAATATCGAAAAAACACATGTGTGAAGCGACAAGTAATGCCCCTCCAGATGCTGTTGTCATCCACTCGGTTAGTGGCTAGGGTTGCTTTGCTTTTGCAGCACATCAAAATAATCAGAAAGTAAAATGAATAAAATGAAGAACATGCGGATCATAGAGAAAGAGGCTGCAGGCAGGGGACGGCCCGTCGCACATTAGGTACCTAGGCAAATTGCCTGACCAGTTACAGAAAGACGTTTAAAATATCCTCAAGCCTTGGAGCGGTTGACTGTTACGATTATGCACAAGCCTGGGGCCGTGATCGATCGGTAGGGATCATAAGAGGTAGGGGTAAGAAAAGGGTCTTCGTTAGGGAGGAACACAATAAGGCGAGTAAAAAAAGCAATTATCATGATGTTTGCGGCCAGAAGGGAAACCTCTAGAGAGGAGAGAAACCCATGGATGAGGGGTGCGAAATGGTTGGTTGAGAGGAAGCGAAACATGACAAGTGGAGGAGATAGAACAGAGGGTCCAATTAGCCTATAAAACATGTTTGGTTATTTGTCACGATAGCTGTCAGGCCAGTAAACGTGGTTCTAGCAAACTGGTTATCTGATTTGACATGCAGATATCGATCACTAGGTACGGGAGTGGAGCGGGATAATCTTCAAGAGAAGGAGAAGGGTTGGAAAAAATGGGGCAAGAAAACAGACGAACATTTCGCGAAAGCCTAAAGGCGGAGTACCGTTTCCTGGAATCTACTGGCAAATCATTTATCGGCAACTCGAATAAATTTATCATTTGATGGGCATATAAAAAGATCTTGAACCTGATAGGAAGGAACTAGACCATGAATTGTCCTGACTTGACGCCTTATTGAACAATCCCCTGTCCAGCCAGTTGGGCTCCGCGGTATGTAGACCTAGGTAGGTCGTTTATATGGACAAAAGAGGAATAGCAGCCCAAGATTTAGAGCAAGATGATAGGAAGGCTGAGTGTATGGAGAATTGGTTAGTGTACCACTGTATCCTACGGCTGCCAGCACATCAACTCGATCCATGGAACCGATACATTAATGAGGATTGTTTACTGGACAATAGCTATCTAGCTACATGATGGTTAACCAAGTAATAACCTACATAGGTAACTTGGCCGGACAATAAGATCGGTACAGAGTGAAACAATGAATGAATAGAGCCATGGTTACTGAAACTCTACACCAGACAATTGCGGGAGAACCGCAGCAGACATTACCGAATTTCCATGAAAACGAGAATAAATGCAACAACATCACATACTCATGTAGGTAGTCGGTTACACTTCTTCTCGCTAAATGCGGCTTTTAAAGTACACTCTACAAACATATACCTTACTCCTTCATCAATAACCACACACATTACGTCCATGGGGCATTGATGCAGAAAAGAAAATCCAACGTCAGGCAAGGGGGTGTAGCAACCTTTCTTCTCTTAAATAATACTAGAAAATCGCTGATTCGCTGCTTTACTTTTTTTTTTCCTTCTCTATTTAATGACTCCTTTTGGAGTCCCCTTTGGCCGACGGGTATTCGATGTAGCACCACTATCCGCACCATGTTGGCACCGTTTTGGGCATTCATGCCTGCAGATATCCTGCCCATTGATAGGGGATGGTAAATTTTTGGGAGGTTTTCTTTTTCGTCGAGTGGCATTTCATCAAAAATATACGTCAGGCGAAAAAGGGATAGCTACGCATCCTCGTGTAGCATCCATTTATCTCGTATTGTTTGAGGCATAGAGAAAGAAGGACGGAAAATTCCCTAAATTGGAACCTGCCTCTTTTGGGGGGGTTTTACCTCTTTCGCCCAAACCCTAACTTTATTTGACCAGTACCAGAACAAAGAATTTAGTATGATGAATTAGTACAATGCTTACATCAAAGAGCTATTGATAAGTCAATATAGTCAAATAAGCTGAAGCATGTAAGCAGGGACTTACCCTTATCTAGGCTTCCCAATATTGTATGTAGGCGACTGTTTCTTCACATGCGACTAGATTATACTCAGACAATCTGAAAGTACACGGAATAAGATTGCATAGACCGTTAGATAATCAATGACGATGGCAAGCAGATTGAAGCCCGGCCCTTTGCATGTGACATTGACAATCATGCATGATCATGAATCGCAGACCAAGGCATGGCCAAGGTTATCGGCTATATCCTACAGAGAGATGGGTTGTTCATTTCGTCATTTAAAAATTTCGAGATCAAGCCAAATATAGGCATCTGAGTCAGAAGATCGGTCGGAATTGAGGTCGGACAACAAGATGTCATCTTTATTACAGTCCCCGTAAATTGCAACGGTGCCTCACATTGTACAGCATGAGGAAAGCGAAACACGAATATCCTGAAGAAATCGAGATCGAAATTGAATCAAGCAAGTGTCAATTCACACAAGACCCGGTCGATCCGCGTGTCCGAACATTAGGGTTTCCTGTCCAAAAAGTATCTATACAAAAACGCCAGCCTCAACACGCAATAAGTATATACCATCAAACAAACATGATAATTATCATAAATGGCGACTTGCGCTCTGAAGTTTAAATACTTCTGTCTGTCGTGAGTATAGATGAAACAAATCAAGCCGACCCGCGGCGATGAAAGATTTCATCAATTAATCGTTTTGGACCTAAAGAGTCCAAATGTATATTCTGTAGAAATGAAGAAGCTCTCCTAGAACCCAGGTTTAATCTGACATGTCGTTTGTTGTGCCATCGACGTCTGATGCTGTCGTCCACGAGAACCATGATTCCGGTCGCTACGATAACGCTGTTGATTTGTTAGCTGAGGCGTTTTAGGGAAGTACCTTCAGAGAGGACATACTCAGCGATATCAGGCATCCTCTCATAGACGGACGCATCACTGATCCACATCGAACACTTCGGTACCCAGCCTCCCTTCGCTGCTTCCTCCATTGTCTCCATCGGGGTCAGTATTTCAGGTACTATATAAGCGACTGTCCTTGACGATTCGAGGTTGACGAGATGGTATGACACTTCGTCAAGGTCTCCTTCGCGTCTAAAATCGCGTCGCCATTGGTATTTTGTACTCCAATACTCGAATTCGTATCTCTTCGACGGCGTGACGCCGACTCGCGAGAGTTCAACGTGCGCGTAGTTGCAGAACTCGAGGAGCATGGTATTCGAGAGTTTCTCTTCAGCTGGTTCGGACGATGTGGAATCTTCATGCATAAATTCCTGTAAAGGCGACGACTTGGGAAGCGATTGATGATGTGAATGTTTGCTGCTGTTGTTATGCTTCAAAAACCCATTCACAGAATGCTTATCACTCGAGCCCGAGCCCGGCCGTAATCCATTCAAGACCGTACTCCATGACCTCCGTAGATTCGGCCGTTGCGAATGAGCCGTACTCGCCAATCGTCTCGAGTGGCATACTTCACGACCAGAATCGCGGCAATACCGCCGAAATGAGAAGTTCCGACTGTGCAGATCATGCATCCTCAGATGAAAAAGAGTGACTTCCTGTCGCCCAGTCCGATCTCTGCGATTCAGTAGCGTGTCGACGCGCAGATTCATATTTCCGTCTAGCGTGGAATCGTCATGATGGATGAACAGACGCCGACCAGACGGGAACAAGTCGGCAAAAGTCTGTGAATTGGACGGTATCGCGCTTGAAGCAAATGTTTCCTGTCGATCTGTCACGACTTCATAACGAGGCTCTTCCTTTTCTTCCTCTTTCGGTAGGTCCTCATACGAAGGCACTGTCGATGCATATGTTGAGTTGGAGTGGCGAGGGTCTTCTGTGAAAAAAGGTGCTGTGAAGGAGTCTTCTCTCTTATCTGCAATGACTATACGACGGCTGTGTTCTGTTGGTGCTGTACTTCTTGAATGATCCGATTCCGCGGTACTCGATGTGCTTGATTGACTGCCCTGTGGTCCATTCTGATATGTTGTGGGAGAGGAGGACATCATGAGATGACCAACCTTTTCCTTGAACTGAGTTGTGTATATAGTTATAGTCCAGAGGGAAGTAAAAAAGAATAACTGATCAAAATCGCGTTTTATCCGGATTATCAGTAAATTTGTATATTAATTAGTAGTATTTCTGTGTCATTCATTCATGCCTTGCCGGTGGGTCAAATGCTTTTTGGGTTTGAACAACAAACAACATCACCCAACACGATCACTCTTGCTGCCAGACTGGAATGTCAAGTCACGAATCATGCGTCGACACAAGAGAAGCGCGCGGGGCAAATGACAGAATCAATTCGAAAATCGAGGAATGGCTATCAATCGAGATCTTGTTGGTAGTCAGGTATGTTGTTTATTTGTTTTGCGCGATCATACTAATAATCGGCATGCCAGGGCGAGAGACATCAATTCAATAATCGGTGCTGAATGAGAATCGGGTTTCACATTCATTTAATAATTAAGACATTAAGCAGGTAGGTCGATTTTGAAAGTATGGGAAAAAGCAAATGGGCATTCGATAGTTAGAAGCAAGGCAAGTCAAATGGCTCGCCTGACTCTTGCAGACCCGGCGTCCGTGAGCTGCAGGGTAGGATAGAAGAGGGGTGAACGTGAATGTGAATGGAAGACACCCACACAGCCTGATGAATCTTATGATTTGAGACCGGGACCGAGCGGCTACTTCAGAATATCGGCATATTTTAGCCTAGGTAGGATGGTCTGCATACTAAATAGCTGTGTACAAGAATAGTACACTGGCTATGTACAGAGTAGCATCGATCGACCTGTCACAGGTTCCCAAGCCTCAAACTCCAGTGCCTGCCACGCAATGAACTATATACATTCAGGGCTAGATTTGGGGCAATTAGCTGGCTTAGACTGCCCGGATTGTGCCTAGGTTGGTAAGTGCTGTCGTGGCGCTGAGGCTTTGGAGGGCCCCGGTTAGGCTGAATTAGCGGGCGCGTGCCCTAAGATGGGGGGTTACCCTTTGCCTAGCCAGTGGGCACTAAGCACTTTGTAGTTGTACGGCGCAGACTGTCGTATATCGATCGCTAGTTCTTGTCCAATCAATCTGTCCGGTTACACCGTACTCGCTGCCTCACTCTTTGAAGCACGTCGTGGAGATTTAGGTCATTTGAAGGCTATATTGTTTTCAGCGTCTTCCAAATTCCTCGATACTGATTATCGACGAACCTCAAGTTCCTTGATCCGATCTACTCCATCCCAATGCTTGTCTTGAACTCTCTATACCATCATGTTACACGAGCTGATACGCACCCATCATCCAATCCCCATTCAAAAGTGCAGATGACACTGACTAAACCTACATACGTACATATCCCCCGCTCGGCGGGTTTCAGCTATGTATTTGACTCCGAATCCTCGTTTGACGAGCTACCTAGCTATTTTATATTTATTATTTCCCGAATACGTACTTTCTAGACAGGACTCACATCCCTGAAAGTCGAAGCCACAGTGGTCAGCTTCGAGCTGTAACATTGGCCTAACTTACATGGCTTGGGTTTAACCGTGTTCAGCCCTTGTGTTTCATCGCAGGGGAGATGTTGTCTCAGAGCTTACGAGGAACCATTTCAAGCTGGAGCTGGAGACGTCGGGGGTAAATTAACTGGATAACGATCCACAAAACAGTCAACGAAAAAAAAAAGAAAGAAAGGAAACATGAACTACCGCGAGAAGCATCCGAAATACTCTGCGAAGTTCGAATGAGAACGAGTAGTGCTGCAAGCCATCATCATTGGTCTCGGTGTAATTAGCTTCCCTACCCTCCCAAAGAGGACGAATTTGTTTCATTCGTTGTATTAGAGCACATGCAAGAGATACGCTTTTATAGGATGTCGTTCATCGCATGTGAACTTGGCGACTTACCACTAACGTCGTAATCTTTGGACGATGGAGACTAAATCAGTCCTTACATATGTAAATCGACTGTTCACTATCTACTGCCTGTGGATTGGGCGAGATTTGGGCGCCTGCATATGATCTGACACGGGCGGTGAGGAGCTACATGTAAGTAAAAGAAATTGACATTATGTGTGAGTTATTTATGCTATGCATTCCTCATCTACACTCACACTTTTGAAGGTTGTGAGGTAGCTAGAAGTTTCAATAAACGATCATTTACCTTGTGGACCAGTCTAGATCTTATGACTGTCAAATCAGAAAAAGAATTATGCAATCTTCGCGACCGAAGATCAATGCAGATACGGGACATATTCGCAGTTCTCGCCAAAATGCATGTATCAAACCTGAACCCAGAGTGGCTTKGGCAACGGCTCACCAGGCTTGATCCTCAATGCCGAATCATGTGTGAGATCCGAAAGATGCATATTTGAAGCCGGAGGACTGAGTCCGACATAAGCCTGGCGACGTTCAGGACTGCCGGACGAGACTGACCAAGTAWAMAAGCCATAGTAGGTAGCGATCGAATGCACGAGCCATCGTCTAGCAACAACAACACTCAGCTACAGTTCGACATTGACGGCCGAGAATAACGTAGTTTTGTGCGGCCTTGAATTACAGGAAAGGAAATAGTACTCACCCGAAAACAGCGCCCGGATCTTGAGCCAGACTTTCAAACACCATCTTTTGCCCATCTTGGAGCCCTTCGCTAACCATTCTGGCTTTCTCTTGACGACTGTGAGCATCGTGCATCTGACCATTCCGACCGACGAAAACGATCTCCTCGTCCGAATCCTCATACTCTGAGTTGTCGGTGCTATTCAATTCGCGCTCTAGTTGCTTGTCATTCCACTTCTCGAGAAATCGTCGGATATCCTCCTCCAAATCTTGTAGCATACCGCGAGCGGCACGGGCGTGCTTGAGAGACTTGCGAACTTCCCTGGAAACCCGACTCTTTTCATCCTCATGATCTTTGTTCTTCTTCGACTGTTTCAATGACTTGCTGCGCTCTTTTTGTGCGAAGTGACTATCCCACAGCGGTGCCAGGTAGTACGGAACGGGGTCGTGTCGGGGATGCGTCGGTTGGACGGACCAGTCGCCAGGAGCCGGGGGTTGAGCCCAAGGGTTGCTCAGAAGACGATCTAACCCGGTTAGTTGACTTTGACTTTTCAACGAGGACCCAGCCATCAATCAGGTGAAATTGGTAGGTCAAGGCAAAATACCATTCTCCCATCGTTGCCTGCGACGACTGCCTTCTTTGCCCTTCAATAATGCCTCGCGCCTCTTCAGGCTATCACGACGGAGTGGCTCSCGGCGTCGGTATGTACTTGACGATACTGCGGCGGTAGTCTCGTCGGTCGATTTGGACACAATCTTGACGTGAGAGACCGGTTTGACGCTCGCTGGGATGGGCCCGTCAAGAGGGATGGATAGCGCAGTCGAAGTGCCTCTAATTCCGTCTGTAACCTCCACTTGAGCAACAGTTTCGGAAATGTCTAGGATCTGAAGCGAAGCGGCAGCTTGTTCTGTCCATGCAGAGATATCCTGCTGGGTCAGGTTGCTAGCTGCTGGGCGCTCGTTGCGCACAATCGGATGGATTGCCATGGTTGAGTGTGAGTCAGTGGGGGACGGTGATTCTCGGGTGAGCACTGGGTGGCGGGTAACCAGTAGATAGCAGATTTCAGAGGTCAAGACTAAGAAGGCGAGTAGGCTCTGAGAGTTGGATGAGAGATGAGGGATGAGAGAGACGAAAAGTGCAAAGACTTAGGATACTTGGTTTCCGGGTTTCCTGGATGAGCGCATGCGATAAGCCGATCCGTAATCCCATCCCCGACCGCGCCGATAACGTGTGGCCTCAGGCTGCGCTTCGATTGGCGGATAAGCCCTAACGCGTCTCTGGTTGGTCAGCTGACAGGGCCAGGGTCCACCTGCTGTCGACTCATCCTGATTCATCCTCTGTCACTCTTTTGCTCCATGTGAGTTCTTCTGCTTCAACAGTAGATCTGACGACGGAGTGTATTTTAGAAGACTGACATGATTCGTTTGCACATCAGATATGGGTCGTAATTCGTAGGATGAACAGTAAGAGAGAGCGAGGTGGCCGAACTCCGCCTCAACCTTCAAGGAGCCTTGGCAGTCGCGATCGCATCACGTGCTCCCCCAGCGTATGATAACATCGATCAAGATAAGCTAGATCAGCTCGTAGATAGCGTCACATCATCCTGCCTTCACTCTGCTACTGTCTATCCATCACTTCGTTCTTTTTTCAACGATATATTGGGACTCTCGCATTTTTGACTTGATTGGGTTTATTTATTTTATCAGTCTTCAGACGCTACCATGAAGCTACAGGCCGTCCTCGCATTGGGTGCTGCCATCCAGTCCACCTCGGCTGCCGCTGTCACATACGAACAGACTCCTCTACTCGATAAAATACCAAGCAGCAAGGCACCACTACCGCAGACTGAGAAGTATCTTATCGAACTTGCTCCATACGACACGCGATGGGTGACAGAAGAAGAGAAGTGGGAACTCAAGCTTGTACGAGCTCTACCTTGATGACTTTGACTATGACTAATCGCGTTGTCGCGGCTTAGGATGGAGTCAACTTCATCGACATCACCGAAGAAACCCAAGCCGGCTTCTATCCCAAGTTCTTCACAAGCAACGCCGTACAATATCCTACCAAACTAATCCACAATGACACCATCAGGTCGTTATCCAAGAAACTAGACAAGAAGCATATGCAACACAACCTCGAACACTTCACTTCCTTTCACACGAGATATTACAAGTCAGAATATGGAGTCCAATCCGCGACCTGGTTGTATGAGCAGATCAGCGACATTATTCAAAAGTCCGGCGCCGCTGCTCATGGAGCCACGGTAGAGAAGTTTGCACACTCGTGGGGCCAATTCAGCACCATTGCCCGTATCCCCGGTCAAACCAATAAAACCGTAGTTCTAGGCGCACATCAGGACAGCATCAACTTGTTCCTTCCTTCCATCCTTGCCGCGCCTGGCGCCGATGACGATGGAAGCGGAACTGTGACCATATTAGAAGTGTTGCGCACTCTTCTTTTGTCCCCGGATATTGTGGCTGGTAATGCCACCAACACCGTCGAGTTTCATTGGTACTCCGCCGAAGAAGGAGGTCTGCTCGGCTCTCAAGCTGTCTTTTCCGACTACCGAAAGAATGACCGCGATATCAAAGCTATGTTGCAGCAAGACATGACTGGATTCGTGCAGGGTACTCTCGATGCTGGCAAGGAAGAGTCCGTTGGTGTTATCATTGACTTTGTTGATGCTCCATTGACACAGTTCATTAAAGATATCATTACCCAGGTAAGGACTTCGTTATTCGTATTGAGGATCAACCGCTGACGACTATTGATCTAGTACTGTGATATCCCATTCGTCGAAACCAAGTGTGGTTACGCCTGCTCCGATCACGCATCTGCCAGCCGCTATGGTTATCCTTCTGCATTTGTCATTGAGTCCGAGTTCCAAGACAGTGACAAGCACATTCATTCCACGGATGATTTGATCAAATATCTGAGCTTTGATCATATGCTTCAACATGCTAAGATGAGCTTGGCTTTTGCTTACGAGCTTGCATATGCGGCTTGGTAAGGTTTATATAGATTGCTCTGTCGGAGCTTGGAGTATTCATTTACGCTTGTTTCTCATTAGACATGGCTAAGCCCCAGCCTACGTCACGTATGTCGCTCTCATGATTGAGATCGCAATGCAGCAATGTAAATAATAAGGCAATCATGTCAGTACTCAACTTACAATAGTCATTAAGTAGACAGTGTACTTGAAGTAACATATCTAATCTTGATCATCATCGATTAAGTGGATCTCAATGAGGTCACTAATTCGCTGATCTCGGCCCACAACCAAACTCTAAGCCATGGATAAATCTTCCTGTCGATCTCAACATTGCTTCATTTTTACACTTGGACAACCTATACATAGTACAACGACCACAATTATACACACATCAAAAATAAACAAGATGGACTACAGCAAAGAACTAGAACTAGCAACCCTCACAGTCCAACGAGCCTCAAAACTCACAAAATCCATCCTCGCCGCCGTCGACAAAGGCGCCCTAGACAAAAAGGACAATACACCTGTCACAATAGCCGATTTTGCAGCTCAAGCACTTATCATCAGTGCCGTTCATGCCGTCTACCCGGAAGATGAGTTTGTGGGTGAAGAGTCGGCTGCGGCGTTGAGGGAGAGTCCCGAGTTGTTGAACAGGGTCTGGGGGCTTGTTTCTTCTTTTCAGAATGAGGGCCATGGATTGGCGACGCCGTCGTCGCCGGAGGAGATGCTTGCTCTTATTGACCTTGGTGGCAAAGGTCAAGGTGGCCCAAATGGTCGTGTATGGGTGCTTGATCCGGTTGATGGCACAGCGACGTTCATCCAGGGACAGCAATATGTCGTTTGTCTCGCGTTACTAGAAGATGGGGAACAGAAATTAGGTGTTTTGGGCTGTCCCAATCTGCCGGTTGGCGCAAACCAAGTTCACGAAGATATAGTCGACAAGCACGGTGATGGGCAGATAGTATACGCCATTGCGGGTCAAGGCGCATATACCCTACCTATGAATTACTCTTCTGGACAGACAAATCTGGACTCTGCAGTTCCCATACCAAAGTACCCAACAGATCTGAAAACTAGCGATCTGCGTTTTGTCGACTGCAAAGCTTCGAACTCAACAGACTACAAAAAGCATGCCCTCGTCGCCTCAAAATTAGGCGTTCCGCCTGCAACAGTAGACCTATGGTCTGCACAAATGCGGTATGTGGCTGTCGTCGTCAGGGGTGGCGGGAACGTGTTGATCAAAATTCTGCAAAAGGATTCGTATCGTTCTTGTCTTTGGGACCATGCGGGCGGAATGCTTGTTGCGCAGGAAGTGGGTTGCGTGGTTACGGATCTGAGGGGGAAGCCCATAGATTGTGGGTTAGGAAGGACATTGGCTGGGTCTTTTGGGTTGATTTGTGCGCCTGCTTCTGTGTATCAGGACGTTTTCAAGGCGGTGCAGGAGGTGGTTGATTTGGACTCATAGATCTTGCATCATTAAAACTTTTTGCTTATGGATTGCGTGTACATAGACTCGATGAATGATTGTGAGGACTGAAAACTTCATAAATACGCTAATAATCCGAACATTGTCTAGAATTTGCTGATTGTTCAAAAAAAACCTCATCTGGCAAAACCAATTATCAATGGATCTGATACTTTCCTTCAAAATGCTTCAAGTCTTCTAACAATGGCAAGACTATCAACTCGAACATTGTCCTCTGAAAATCTTCGTCATCAAACTCGATGTCTTTTCTGCCAGGCCAAAAAAAACACTTGTCAACGACCTCCTCGTACACTATCCCACTTTCGTTACGGACATCTGGTAGATTACGAAGAGCCGTTTTGAGATTAGCTACTGCATCCACAGGGTCATCATCTTCGGGTTTGCGCAATGAGGCTATGGTTTGCCCGAGAGATAATTCGACAAGAGCCAGGCCTAGAGGGAACAGAATTTCATTCCGAATAAGATGCGTCGAAAGGCTGTTTTGTTGTGACATCAGTGTAGCGGGCTGATCGGCATTTTCTGGTGTCTGCTGTGCCAGATATATAAAGTCAGGAGCCTTATTGCCGTCTTCACTTAGCCTGAGCATAATGTCCTTCGTCCGCCAATGTGCTTTCATCCAACTTCCATGGAACCGTAGAATACTGCTAGCGAGACTGGCGGCTAGCCGCAAACGATCCCTCCGTCTGAGTACGATCTTAGACGGGCTCTGTATATTCCTTGAGCCTGATGAAGACATGAGCAAAGCTTCGAGTGATTGTAATTGGAGGTTTATGGAAGAATCCCCAACAGCATAAAAAGTGTGTCGATGGTTGTCATCAGTCACGAAACCAATGAACTTTCGTTCTTCACACATGCTATTGGCTTTGATGGCACAAAGGGCGGTGCATAAATTCTCGATTGGTGATCCAAAAGGGATGCTCTCAATTTTGGGCCATGGAACGCTCTCTAGAGGTATCGCCACAACGGCAAACTTGACCTTGGCCTCTCGCACCATAGGGGGGTTTGCCTTCTTTGAAGCCGATTTGGCTTCCCTGGGTTGTGTATCTTTGAATGCGGACTCGGTCTCAACCTCTTGCCAATGCCATGAATCTGAGGGCTCAGGGGAAGCCTTTGAAATGAGCATCAACCGGAACTTTGGTATTCCGGATGTTTCAGGAAAATCATTGCTACTGAACACATCCAGTCGAATTTGGGCGCGATGTTGATCTCGACATTTGCAATTCCAGAATTCTCCGCGAGCAATAATATCATATAAACTGTGTGCAATTCTCCGTGCAGTTTTGATACTCAGTAGCTGTCTTTTCGGTGATCTTCGCTTTTGCCAAATGTTCTCTCGATATTCTGACTGTTCCATCAGCGTTTGAAGCGTTGAGTTGGCACTTTTGATCTTGTCTATATAGCCAGCGTAGATAGACTTTGAGAGTACATCTTTGATCTTCTTGAATTCTCGCTCTGCCATGGAGGAATCTTCCCATAGCGTTTCTGGTGTCTATCATTTGAAACCGATCTTAGATTCTATTATCTCAGAAGAGTGCCAACGAAGAACAAAAAATGGACCCACTTTCATTGAGTCCGCAGTCGATAATCCCAACTTTCCGGAGAACTCTTCTAGCAAATCAGCTAGTTCTGTTACTGTTCGTACGAAGTTATTGAAGTTCCGGTCGAGTTTCTTCCTGAGCATATTCTGGAAAGTGGGATCGTGCCACATGGGTCCTGAGGGATTATTGATCAACTCTGAAATATCTTCTTCGTATTCGACAACTCCTTGAAAGCATCGCTCCAGAACATTTTCGAGAATGGTCCGCTGAGTGGAAAGACTGTTGTAATAGCTTTCCATGTCGCGACGATACTTTCGACTGCGAAAGGTCTTGAGCGTTTCAAGCCCCTGAACGTAGTTGTCTGCCTGATTGACGATCAAGGGCAAAATGGCAAGAGCCAGGCCGGCCGCCTCAATACCTGTTACCATCGTGACTTCCCTTGGTGGTTGAAGTATGATTACGAAAAGAAGTTACAACAAGGCTGTAGCTTTGTGAACAGCTGAGCAATTGCTGGCTACCCCGCGCAGCACCCCGCGCGTGTGCAAGGCTGTGATGCTGTACACCCATGCTAATTCTGAAGGCTATGAAAGAGGTATTTCAGTGATCTGAGAGTAGTCTACATCACAACAGTCTTCCTGCAAACACTGATTGATTCCCTTGTTGAACTTATTTATCCATCAAAGAAGATTTGCTCCCACGAATCTCAATTTGCATTTCTCACGGCTAATATTCTTTGTGGTCTTCGGAGATCGCAGTTATTGGAAACTACGATGCCCTCGATATCTTCCATTCTGAGTGGTTGTTTGAGACAATTCAACACCCTAGTTGCTTCCAATACTCTACAACACGGTGTGAATGATATTTCAACAGATTTGTGGGAAGATGAACTTGGAAGACTTCGAGTCTGGGCAGCCAATATTGGTGCACATCAGACTGGTAGGTCTTCCCTCGATTATCGGCTACGCGACGCCTCCAACATCAGGGACCAAATTATTCGCCTTCTGAAAGGGATACAGAGGGTGTTTGATGATTTAGAAGATGCGTTCCAGGAGTCAGAAGGGGATCACGTCCATGTCGAAGATGATAGTGAATCAGAGGATAATGACGGCTCAGAAGTACAGCAAATATTCAAAGGACTTGTCAACATCATCGATTGCCTCTTTCAGATGTCTATGGTAATACGACGGCCTGTAAATCATGATCAATTCACGGGAATCAAGAAGGCAGATTCAGCGCCTTTCGAGCCTTATGATCAACAACATGTTGAAAACAAATTTCCGCAAGCTAAACAAGATATTAGAGATAGGCTTGGTACTGCAATATCAAGACGACGGGCAGGTCTGAAATATCGAGAGCGGCACCGTGCGAAGTTGAGTAAAGGTCTCAATAAAGCTTTGGGAAACCAGTCAGAAACTGGGTCGACAGTCTTGTCTGAAACCGTTGCCACGGAATTTGAGCGAAGCCAACTTATCCAGTTCGATGAAACAGCGTCGAATTCGGGAGTTTCCGAGACATCTTATGCTCAGACTCTGCTAGAGAGTAATGCCAGGATCTCAATTCCTCCCTCTCCGAAGGAATCAGCAGATGGAAAACCCTTTGAATGTCCATATTGCTTTTTTGTTATTACAGTTCGAGATAGACGTTCGTGGATACGGCATGTCTTTACAGATCTAATGCCATATGTGTGCGTTTTCCCCGACTGTTCTACGCCGACAATGCTCTATGCCATCCGTCGGGAATGGTATCACCATTTACAAACCTGTCACTCCGTCCAAGCTAAACAGGACGCAGGGTTCCAATGTCCCTTGTGCCAAGAAGAGGTAACCGGCGGAGTTCGTCTCGACAGACATGTAGGACGTCACTTGGAGGATTTAGCTTTGTTCGCTTTGCCACGGACAGAGAGTGAAGAAGATAGGGTTTCGGCTGGGGCATACCCCATGTCGGAACATTTTACCGATGTGTTACACAACGAGCAATTAGATGATGATGACGCGCATATATATTCTTCGACAGAGTTAGAAGCACTTCAGGAAGGGGTTAGTTTATCCAGTGATGCAAAGGCAGACGTTATTGCTAGGTTGGATGAATCAATCTTGGCGGAGCGAGCTGAGACAAAAGAAGCTGCCGTAACACGAGCCGAGACAGATAGAGTGGGAGAGGAAAGAGTGGTTGAAGCGAAGAAAGGAAAGCTAAGAGGAGCAACTCCAGAGGTAGAAGCTAATGAGGCTTTAGAGAGAGGTGCTAGTTCAGTCCCGACTACGGCGAAGCCGCGAGGAGTGGCAAGAACTCCCAAGGATGTGACCTGGTTTTGCAGTGAATGCTACGACGGGCCATACGGATCATGGCAGCAAAAGTGTCAGGTATGTGGCCATAGGAGATGCCTTGTATGCAGAGCCGAAATTCACGTGACACCTATGTGAAATATACCTCGACAGTATAGCAAGATATAGCTTGTTGAAGTAGTAATGTACATAGTTAGCCGAACTCCTGGAATAGTCGCAAATCATCATTGATAATGAGTATGGAACTATCTGGATGTCACCGTCAAGGCTGTAATATTCGCCATAAATACTGCTCCTTTCAACGTATGCACGTTGATAGAAACTAAAAAAACGACTAAACTCGAATATTATTAGCATCCTGTTGAATCCAATATTCTGATCCTAGCTTTTTATGTTGTATTTAGACTTAATGAGGAAAATCAGTTGTCTCAATAACATATATGCATATTCGAACGCTTCTACAATTTGTTATGTTGCTTGATTTCATTCTTGCCACTAAAGAGACGAATCTATGTACATGATCTTAAGTAAAGCTTATCCATCCCGGAGATCTATATCTCTCCAAGTCAGCTAGCAGCCAGTCTCTACGAACCTAGCTAAATTTCATTGATCAAACAATATCAAAATTTCTCATGTTCCTGTCAAAGTACTTAGTACGTCGTTGGATATACAACCTCAGTAATATAGCCAATCATGATTGCACATCCCCACCCCGCGTTCGTCACTTGAAGATCTCCTTTTCAGCCAATCAACGACGACATTCGACGTTCTAGACTCTCCTTGCATCGTTTCCTTGTTTCTCCCTCGTGTCTTTCGCTATTCTTGATTTCTTGAAAGCAATGAATTAGCCTTCATTGGAGCAGAAGTAAACTCTTCGCGCTTCATCCTCTTGTATTTCCGTAGCCAGTCATGCTACCAAGTCAGTATTGTGATGCCAGAACGAAGCTTCCAATTGGAGGTTTCATTATGACGTTAAACTTCCTCAACGAGCCACCATTGAATGAGTGCATGCATCAAAGGCCAATACTGTCCTAGTGTAGAGCTGCACGAAGGTCAGAAGACCTTGTGCTTAGGTGGACTATTCGTACTACTCCTACTATGACTTGCGATTCGAGTTTCTCATTGGATAGACCTATTTTTGAAGCAGGCAGACAAGACATGACGAATGCGGGGAGACACGAACTGTTCAGCTGAATGTGTTCTCCTACATACCTAGAGTTAATTTCATCTAATTGAGTCGTGCATAGCGTGCAAAGGACGGGTTCTTGATGGACGAGTGCTCAGACTGTAGTTTCGATGCTGATTGCTGTTGCCTTGAACAGGTCCAGTTGTGCATACGAGTCAGGCATTTACCTAATAACTTAATGTGAAATTCCTTTTTCGACGAATCAAATGAATTAATACAAAAGCTCGTATGTTTGTTCTTTTACTATGTAGTACGTGGTGGAATATCACGCCACTCTTGCTCTCTGCGCATACGTCATTAAGCGGGCGGGTCTCCCCAAGTACCTCACGAGACGACAACGCTCTTTCACTCTTTCTTCCTCTCTTCTATCCCTTCCAAACTCTCTTAAATAATCTGTCGAACTATCACGATGGCCAACTGTGAGTATACTGATATTTGACTGTATTCGATGATGTAGTCGGCTGATAAACACAGTCAACCCCTTCGCTCGACGCGAGTCTCACCACCGCAACACTCTGATTACGTATCAAGTGCTGTCGGTCCTCACCTGGGCTCTGGTCCTTGTCGCTGGCATTTACTATTCCCTTCACAAGCCTGGTGATGTGAAACATGGACACAATATCTGGAAGCAAGCAAATCTACATCCAACACCATTCTCGCAGAACACAACCATCACCGGAATTTACTGGTAGGCAATCAACCCTTATCCAGTAACAATAATTTCCTAATCATTATGACCCGCAGGATCCTCCTCCTTCTATCTCAAGTCAGCTATGTCTGGCACTTCTTCTCCAACAATAGCACGCTCGTCACCAGCGCCGCTAATGTAGCCTCCCACTTCATCCTCAACAACCTGCTCGTCTTTGCTTTCATCTTGCTCTGGGTTCGCAGCTACTTCTGGCCCGCTGAAATCATCCTCATTGTCCACGTCATTAGCCAGTCTTCTGCTTACTGGACTCACCGCGGATCTCCACCCTTTGTGCACTGGCCCGCCATCGCAGGGCCATATGCATGGTCACTTACAGCCCTGTTCTGGAACGGAGCTGTTGCCGTGCATGCTCATAGCTTGCCCGCGAGAATCGTGGCCAATGTCTTCATCTGGGTGATTTTCTTGATTGGCTTTGTCCACATCTTTTCAGCCAAGGACTATATCTTCGGCTACTCCTTGTCTATTTTGCTTCTATGTAAGTTTGTCCGTTCATTTTCATGCTCCGATATACTGACTATGGCAGCCCTCGCCGTCAAACAACTTGCCATCAAGGTCATTGCTTTCCAATGGATCTTTGCCTTTGTCATTTTCGCGGTCTTTTTCGTCGGCTCGTTGTACGTCTCTTCTGCTGCTTACACCGGACGAGACCTCTGGCTCAAGCGTGTTGTGGCGCCTGACTCGACAACGGACCGCGAACGTGAGCCGTTGCTCAACAACCCGTAATCGCGTTATAAGGGCGTCGATCGTACTTGTTTTATCTACGGTCTACTATCAGGAGCTGCCCGCCATGCAAGTGAAAACTAATACGATAAAAAGAATGTCTCCACCGGTTGGGTAAACCTTCAAACTTTTAATTGATACTCAGTATCATATCCTCTCTACTCTGCGTTGAATCAAATCAGAATGAACCGAACATGTTATTTGATTTGTTGGCTACCTGTTATACGTTAAGCATCTACACAGGTTGGTTGTCGTCTTTCAACTGGCTGATCAAAATCTTCCAGTTCCATTCCCTATATCGGCGTTGGTCGTGTTATGTGTGTATGACATTTATGCTAATGAATGCTTTCATATCTACTTGCTGATTAAATGCTTTTTATCTTTCACATAATGTTGAGATATTTTCATACACGAAAAGAATGTAAATCTATTGATATACATCTCATATCAGACATATTTATACACGACACTCCATCTCCTTTGCCCCTAGCCAAGGTTCGTGCGCAATATCTTCACTTCCAGTGCCACTATCAATTAACATCGCCATCCCACCCGCCAAATGCCACATGACATGACAATGAAACAGCCATACACCAGGATTATCAGCCTTGAATCTGAGGACTGCATATCCGCGACGCGGGATCTGGACTGTGTCTCTAAGCACTGCTTTTGTGAGATCGTAGGGGTCTTCGTTTTCTCCAGAGCTGCTGGCAGTCCATGGGTTGTATGAGCCCCATCTCGAAGAACCGGCTGGCGATTCGTATATAGCCACAACGTAGAAATTATGGCCATGCTATCATCATGCACTCGTTAGCCATACTATAAATTCACAGATAAATGACAAGAACATACAAAATGAAACGGATGCGCCCCCTCATCCAAATTATTAACCACCAAGTCAACCCACCCACCTTCCTGACCCGTCGAAACCGCCAACTGATTCTTATCCCACTGATTCCTCGGCAGGCCCAACAACGGGTACGGGGGCTCACTTTGTACGCTCCACGTTGTGCGGTTGAAGAAGCCGTAAGGAATGTTGTTGAGACGGCTTAGTCTCTCGACCTTGGCGTAGACGATGTGTGTTTGTGATGCTTTGTGAGGGAGATGGGAGAGTAGCGTTGGTGTTGACGGGAGGTTATTTATGTCGATCATGTTGTCTTCTGTGTTGATGTTGGGGTTGTCTTCTATTGTTGAAGAGGGAAGTGAAGTTTGCGAGGATAGCGGTGTTCGAAGAAGGGGGAATGATTGATGAGTTACCAGTGCCGGATTGCCGAATTTAAAGTCGCTAGATTAATCGATACTTAGTTCAAGGTCTCATATACTTCATCAAGTTGGATGTATACTTACGACTCATCAAGTTTCACAGTCATCCATGAAGTTTTATCCGTAACAGGCCGCAAGACAAAGTCCACTCGTTGACCTGGAAATAGTATACCAACCGAAGACTTTCCAACATCGATCGGGTTTACCTCGACCGGATTACCACCGTCGAGAGTAATCACCTCTATAGAAGTACCTGGCGCAAAGCCAAGGGTGATTCCAGTAAGTGATCTAGAATTAAATCTCAGCGTTTTCATTCCACACTGTAGAGAGGAACACCTACCCCGTGTTCACAACCCTGATTCTATACGAACTCCCCCCGTAAAGAATCAAAGCTGGTCTCTCGCCGACCTCCCCTATACAATCCAGAGGCCGAGCTGGAACTGCTCTTGAGCAGTCGAATCGACCAGCCCCGTTGACGAGTAATGAGTCCGGGACAGGCTATCCAAGTCAGTCATTTGCAACCTTACTTGATACATATACAAGTCTTCTAACTTACCTCATACCCCCTTGATCCCCACCACAGATACCAGCTAGCCACATCCTTGGCCGTACGATGATACCAATCCCCAATCATTAGAACAATCTCCTTGTCATAGCTATACTTGAGACTATCCGGGACTGAACTTTCATCGTCCTTTCCTTTTAGTTCCTGGTGCTTGATAAGCAATCCCCGCACATTCGGCGAAGTCGGCTGACGAGCAATAGAAACAGGTCGATACACAATAAGACCTCCATATAGACCATCAGCTCGTTGAACGGTGGAATGAGCATGGTACCAGAATGTGCCGCTTTGGCTTTCAGAGATGGTGAAGTTGTACCAGAATGAGTGGCCAGGATATATACCGCATTGGGTGACGCCGATGGCGCCGTCCATTGTATTTGCATCTACAGAACATTAACTTCATGTCTTTGACTAATGAGTGATTTGAGTTAATGACTATCTAGGCATACCTCTCATATTCAGGCCATGCCAATGTAGAGATAACTGCTCGTCTTCGAGGTCATTATGCACGAGAATGTTCAGAGAATCTCCCGAGCGAGCCTCAATCAATGGTCCAGGGAAGAGATCTATGGCAAAAAGTCAAAATAAGTACACTCTTAGTAGCTCCAGGAGACATACCATTAACTAAATAAACCCTCTTGTCAACCCCGTCCGGTCTCCGTTGTCCAGCAGTTATATTCCAGTTGAGTGTCTGCGTTACCGGTTCACGATAAATGTGATTTTCCGGTCTTAGCTGCCCATTCTCGTTTATGCGATTGTCAAAATCCAATGTTTTAGTCGAAACATGTTCATGATCGTGCAATGACTCCGATAAGCGACTAACATTATCGTCATTGTTGCTCTCATAATAGAAACGAGCAAAAAGCACAAGCGTTGCCAAAAACGGTAATATGCAGACCGCCGCAAGGAAAGCTTTCGATAATGTATAAGATATAAGCTTGGGCTCTTGCTTTTTGTCTTCTGTTTCTGATTTCTGTTGGATCTCTATTGGCTGTGTTTTTAGATCTGGAAATTTTGGTGCATGTTGCTGTCGTTTACTTGGTCTCCGTTGCATTGTGTGAGCAAACAGCCAGACAGACTCACATATGCATGTGTCGCTAGGCACCGGATATGATTCTCTCTAGCACCAGGTAGGAAGAGTCAAGACTGTCAGGTCATGGCCTAGGGTTGTAGTAGCGTAGCCCTAAGTCCCCGCAGCTTTCCCAGCACGACAACAGCTGTTTCTTGAAACAACGAATAATCAGAACTAGAACGAGCACAGGATAGAAATTAATAAATGCTAGAAGTAATCCCCCAACATGTTGTGAGGCCGAACAAGGAAGGAGATCACGAATAGATTAAGCTTATGTGCTAAGTCAGGCCAGGCCCGCTCTTGTTCCGACGTTGCAGCCACAGAGCAGATCAGCTGCCCACACGTGCCATTCCAGAGTGTTGGTTCAGCAAGTCGCGTTTCCTACATTACTCAGTTAGTCCTGACTTAATCTATGCACGGCATTCATCGCCAAAGACCTAGTACCAGTATGGTTACTACAGTGCTACTGCAGCCGCTGATCCTGCCACTTATCACCGCTGCTTGCTGATCCTCATGCAGATGTATCGCATTATCACTGGCCTGATAACAGACATGGTACCCCGCAGTGAGAGAGTAACGGCACGATCTTACACTCCTTGTGGCGTGAATTTACAGTATGTACTGATTTTCAACAGCAGGTGCGCTCGATTTGCTTTCGGCATCAGCCGAAAGGCAAGAACAAAGCACTCGAAACGCGGGAAACACACGGAAGAACCTGGCTGACAATGGATTCGATTTAAATTAATGAAGAAAAGTCAAAGGCTGATCATTGAGACTTGAGAACGTGCGCTTTGCGATCTCCCCGAGTATTTGTGTTCTTCGTGCCTCGTTCTGGAATGTAAGTTTTCCTTGCTTGTCGGCCGCATTGGGAATTATCACTTCACCACAAATATCAATTTCCAACATGGCTCTTGCGTTGAGTGTTGCCATGGGCTTGGCTTTGGGTGCCAGCCTAGTGACTGCCAGTCCAGTAAAAGCCACCGGCTTGGAACAGATTGAACATGTCGTCCTTTTCATGCAAGAGAACCGTGCCTTTAACCATTATTTTGGAACAATGGCTGGTGTGAGAGGTTTCAATGACCCGAATGTTCAGGTCAATTCTGACGGGCGTTCCGTTTGGTACCAGTAAGTTGCCGCACTTTGACTCATGTATATATTTGATATGGAAATAAATAACACGAGCAGAAACGTTGATTCGACTTTGTCCAATGAGACCGACTACCTCCTGCCCTGGTACCTCAACTACCTAGGCGGAAACTGGTCAGAGGCCACTCAATGCATGGTTGCAGGATCCAATGGTTACGATGCCAATCATTTAGCTCTTAATGGCGACCTCAACAACCTCTGGGCCACCGAGAACACCCCTTGGAGCTGGGGTTATTTCAAGAGAGAAGAACTCCCTGTTCACTTTGCCATGGCCGAGGGATACACCATCAACGATATGTATCAGGAGGGCCAGATTACGGCAACTAACCCCAACCGAGTTACTTGGGTTAGTGGATCGATTAATGCTACTGGTGCTGCGTATATTGACAACAATGAAACTCCTGGTACGTTATACTCTCGAAAAATGAAAAAGAGCTGAGCTGAGAAAAATTTCCGCTTGATACAGGCTGTGAGACAGGAACTACCGGAGCATACTCCTGCTACCCTCTTACATGGGAGACAACATTCGAGGTCTATGAGCGCCTCAACGTATCATGGCAAGTATGGCAAAACACTGATAACTTCGACGACAACCCAAATGCCTGGTTCAAGCAATACCAAGATGCTGCTACGGGTTCCTCCCTACACATCCACGGTGACTCTTTCCAGTACACTCTCGATGACTTCGTTGCGGCCGCTGCTGCCGGTACTCTTCCCCAAGTGAGCATCATCATCGGTCAGGAGGAGTTGTCCGAACACCCCCCTTGGCAACCTAAGGATGGAGCTTGGTTGCACCAGCAAATTTTCGATGCTGTTGTCAAGAGTCCCAAATACAACTCTACCGCTTTATTTATTTCTTACGATGGTAAGCAGAATCTTGCAGAATTGTCCAAATGATGCTAATCGATGATCGATAGAAACTGGCGGCTGGGGTGATGCTGTTGTTCCCTACCACTCTCCTGCCGGAACCGAGGGTGAATGGATTGAGGATCCCCTTGGTGTTTTCGGCCAAACCTATACTGGTCCTGGTTTCCGTGTTCCCTCCTGGATTGTCTCACCCTGGACTCGTGGTGGACGCGTCTTTGGCGAGCACTGTGACCACAACTCTCAGATTCTGTTTGTTGAGAAGTGGCTCGCAGCCAAGGGCTACAGCGATGTTGAGCTCACAGGCATGGCAACTTGGCGCCGTAACAACATGTGTGATTTTGTCAATGCTTTCGACTTTGCCAACGTAAGCTTCTCTTGATTAGCCAAGTTTTTAAGTATAGAGACTAACTATCAAATAGCCTGATTACAGCGTTCCTTCAGTTCCTACTGCAGAGACCCCTCTCACTGACTCTAAAGGCAACTATGATGGTGCCAGTCTCTGTGAATCAACATACTCCTCTACCAGACCACCAGTGCCATACGGCAAGCAGACCCTTGAGGATGCCTTGTACTTCGAAGATGGGTACAAGCAGGTGATCGGTTCCTTGACCGAAGGCCGTTATCTCACCTTTGAAACCAATGGTTACGCCTTGACCAACCCTGGTTCAATCAACGGTAAGGTCACTGCAACCAAGATAACGTCCAAGCACGACAGCAAAAACCAGCGCTGGGTCATCCACGGTTCCAATGGCACTTTCCAGATTTCCAGCGCCTTCGATGGACAATTCATTGGACAGAACGGAAAATTGGTCGCTGCCAGCAAGCAAGCAAAATCTGCGGCCAACTTTGAAATAACATTTGAAGCTGGGAAGGGATACACTGTGCAGTACAGCGGTGGCAAGTACTTGACGGTTAAGTCGAATGGAAGTGTCGATGCTGCGGCCAACAGTCCTGTCGACTACGAAGTTTACAGTGTGTCTTACCATAACTAACTAGCTCCACTACTATTGGAATACGTGAGACTATTCATGAGATTAGAAATACTTCAACATAGAAATTCAAATAGTGAGAACTATAATCTACGTGAAGCAGTTGATCATTTATAAAAATGCTGTACGCGCTGTACACGAGCCCGACTAAATGAGGGTATTTTGACGGTTTCTGAAGGCTAGAAGCTCAAGCACTTGATCAAGCTCCGGAGATCTCTCTGTCAACTAATTAGGGTGAGTCTTTATAGCAAGCTCAGCGCGCAGCGCTTAGATATAGTAATTTCTGGGAACTAAGATATAGGCGCAATCGGTATCCAAGTCCAGCTAGATAGTTAATCAAATAATTCATTCCTTTTTTATATGTAGTTTGTATGGCTAAGCTGAGCTAGTTGTTGTTGGGTCAGCAACTTACCCGTGAATTAGTTAAGTGAATCTAGGACGAAACAGCGCGAACTGCAGCGTGGTTGCCGTGGTAACCGCCGCCCGCTCCGGACTTGACGGGCGCCGACTCCATCAACATTCAGCTTGCCTACTCCACCTGCTCTGGTTGACCATTTTAATAACCTCCAGACACTGGATACATCATTTGTTCAATTGCCTTTGGACCCGTTCTAAAGCAAAGTCTATTGTTTACCAACAGTGTTCCGGGCATTTATCCATAATTGTTATTGCTATCAATATTCTATCGCAGATATTGTGGCAGTGATTGCGCGGCTTCATTTACTGGATCAACAAATCGCTGACTGGAAATTCGACTGATCAAAAGATTTAATCAATGCGATCCTGAGTTCAAAACACCCGCGACTGTCTGAGACAACGCAATGAATCCATCAACACCCTCGCGAGGCCAGGGTAACGGCCAATACGTCGAGCCATATCCTGATGAACTCCCACCGGCATACTACGGCGACGAAGGCAGCACGATTTCTTCGCCATTTCAAAACGATGCAGGAGCATCAGCTACAATGCGCCTCTTACCGACTGGTTACGACAACGAACATATCGACGGCGGCAGCGACCTGGGAACCAATGCTGCGCGCTTTCGAATGGGACAAACATCGTCCACCCGCAGAACGTATGTTATTGACTCTGACCCGAATGACAAACAACCCAAAGACTCGATTTCGAGTACTCCCCTGGTACCCCATCATAAGGAGCCCTCTTTCCCAGAAGCTATCGCTCGTGCTGTCTCGCAGGMCCCATGCAGACGMAAGCCAGTGGTAGCTCTACCACACACMCCTGCCTCTAAGAAAAGCATCCCTTCCATTCGAAAAGTGGCACAGACATATGGATCAAAAAAATCTATTATTCCTCCACTCCTGTTTGCAAAGATACCCAAACCTTCTGGTCTCCCTGATGAACCAAAGCCCAGAGCTGAAACATTGGATCTCAGTATGATCGAACACAGAGCTAACATGGTCCTAAATAGTGCGAACCCATCGCCGACCAGATCAACCCCAAATCGTGTGCCAGTGTTCCGCCCGCGCCAAAACTCGGTTGCGTCCAGTATCGGGCATACTCCGTCGATTCCACCACCTGCTGCATCGGTCGTAGACTCACCACAATATTCGTCCAGACCAGGCTCTCCAACGCGTCCCTGGACCCCATCGCGAGCATCGACCCGACGAGGAGCCAACTCGTCTATCTCAGGAGTGAGCTACGAGCCAGCTGACCTCAATGGAAGCCCAAGACCGGGTACTCCTAGTTCGGCTTATGGAGGTAGTCCGCGCAGACCTCTTCCTCCGGCTCCCTTGTTCTCGGGCCCTTCGGCTAGCTCTGGAGAGACAAGCATAGACATTGGAGATGCGCGTTCTGCAGAAGATCCTTTCGGTGGAGACGGACAAACAATCGATCCTCGACGCTCTTACGATTCTTTTAGAAGTGAATCAACTATGGTCACTGACGAGAAGGAGGATATGGTAAAGGTCGATCTGGATGAAGTCCATGACGGTGAAGGAGACGATACAGAGATGCTTGTGGACCCAAATATTCACTACGGACCTGCACCCGAGGGTAAACAAAGCCGTCGTGGTGTACGATCGGCCCAAATGTCGAAGAAGGAAGTGCAGCTTATCAATGGTGAGCTTGTCCTGGAGTGTAAGATTCCAACCATCCTTCACAGTTTCCTGCCACGTCGTGACGAGCGTGAATTCACCCACATGCGATACACTGCCGTTACCTGCGACCCGGATGAGTTCAAGGAACGAGGCTACAAACTGCGCCAGAACATCGGAAGCACTATGCGAGAGACAGAACTGTTCATTTGTGTGACTATGTACAACGAGAATGAGGTGTTATTTACACGAACTATGCACGGTATTATGCGCAACATCAGTCACTTTTGCTCTCGTGCCAAGTCACGTACTTGGGGTAAAGATGGATGGCAGAAAATTGTGGTGTGTATTATTTCCGATGGCCGTGCCAAAGTCCACAAACGAACACTCGATGCCTTGGCAGCCATGGGTGTCTACCAGGGAGGCATCGCAAAGAACGTGGTCAACCAGAAAGAAGTCACAGCACACGTGTACGAATACACAACTCAAGTGTCGTTGGACTCTGACTTGAAATTCAAGGGTGCTGAGAAAGGCATTGTACCTTGCCAAGTTATTTTCTGTTTGAAAGAAAAGAATCAAAAGAAGCTCAACTCTCACCGATGGTTCTTCAATGCATTTGGTCGCATGTTGGATCCAAACGTTTGTATCTTGCTGGATGTGGGTACACAGCCTGCCCCTACTGCGCTATATCATCTTTGGAAAGCATTCGATCAAGATTCAAATGTTGCAGGAGCTGCGGGTGAGATTATTGCCGGCAAAGGAAAACACTACTTGGGTCTACTCAATCCACTTGTGGCATCGCAGAACTTTGAGTACAAAATGTCAAACATCCTGGATAAACCGCTGGAGTCTGTCTTTGGATATATTACTGTGCTTCCCGGTGCATTGAGTGCGTATCGATACTACGCTCTGCAGAACAACGAGGACGGACATGGACCTCTTAGCCAGTACTTCAAGGGCGAGACGTTGCAAGGCAAAGATGCCGACGTCTTTACTGCGAATATGTACTTGGCTGAGGATCGTATCCTTTGCTGGGAGCTAGTGGCAAAGCGGGGAGAGAGATGGGTGTTGAAGTTTGTAAAGAGTGCTGTTGGTGAGACGGATGTTCCTGGTAAGTTCAGTCGACATGAAAAGATGAATGAATACTAATATGTATAGACTCGCTTCCGGAGTTTATCTCTCAACGTCGTCGTTGGCTGAACGGTGCCTTCTTTGCGGCCGTGTTTTCTTTGGCCAACATGCGACAGATTTGGGAAACAGACCATACGTTGACGAGGAAAATTCTTCTACATATTGAATTTGTGTATCAATTCTTTCAACTGATTTTTACATATTTTGGATTGGTAAGCCGACTCATTCTGGCTAGCGATCATGTCTAACCTCTGGCAGGCCAATTTCTACTTGGCATTCTACTTCATTGCCGGATCACTTTCCAACCCAGATATTGATCCGTTCGGACATAACATGGGCAAGTACATATTTGATGTCCTTCGTTATGCTTGTGTGTTGCTCATGGCGTTGCAATTCATTCTGTCGATGGGTAATCGTCCGCAAGGGTAGGTCTCTTTTTATATGCTGGTTGGTTCGTTCTAACATGCAATAGTGCGCGCAAGATGTTCCTGTTCGGTATGATTGTGTACAGTATCATCATGCTCTACACATCATTTGCAACCATCTACCTAATCGTGGATAAGCTGAAAGGTGATGGACTATCCCTTAGCGGCAACGATCTTTCCAACATCGTTGTTTCGCTCATGTCGACTATCGGGCTGTACATTTTTACTTCTTTGATGTACCTCGACCCGTGGCATCTGATTACTTCTTCGGGGGCATATTTCCTCTTGTTGCCAAGTTACATTTGCACGCTTCAAGTTTATGCTTTCTGTAATACGCACGACGTGAGCTGGGGTACGAAAGGTGATAATGTCCACCACATGGATCTTGGTGCTGCCAAAGGTCTTGGAGGATCAAAAGTCGTCATGGAGATGCCCACCGAACAACTCGACATCGACAGTGGATACGATGAAGCGTTGCGCAACTTGCGAGACCGTATCGAAGAACCGGAGCCTCCAGTGTCCGAGGGTCAGCTACAAGAAGATTACTACCGCGCGGTCCGAACCTACATGGTCTCGATCTGGATGGTTGCCAACGCTCTTCTCGCCATGATCGTATCCGAGGCATATGGTACAGAATCGGGTGCTAACAACATCTACCTCGCCATCATCCTATGGGCTGTCGCTGCTCTCGCCGCATTCCGCGCTATCGGTTCAACCACATTTGCCATCTTAAACCTCGTCCATAAGATCGCCGAAGGCCGCATGAAATTCCAGGCTGGTTCGTTGGGTCAGAAGCTACGCAAAGGTGGTGGAGGTAGTGTCGCCGGCTCGAGTCGCTACGGTGGCAGTGCCAGTATCAGAGATTTGATCTCGGAAGGTGGATGGAACATTAAACGAAAGGCGCGGAAGCTAATGTTTTGGCGTAAATAATTTTTGTCTTCTGTGTGATGAATTCTTGACGTCTTTAAATAATGTTTTGTGTATGATTTGGATCATCTGGTTATGACTCTGGCGTTTGTTTATATATTCTCTCTGTTGGAGTTGATCTTTCACTTGACTTGATGCCTTTTATGCCTGTCGTGTTGTTGACTCTTGCGATATTTCGTATGCGCGAGGCAACAGTTTCTTGTCCATTCGTACATAGAAATTAAAGAACGACTTTGATCTACATACTGTTGCATGTCATGAACATTGAATACATACCTTGCAGTACCTCAAGCGACCAATAGCGCGCTAAGGCAAAGGCTCGTTGCTTGTATACAGCTAATCGACAGCGCAAAGTCAAATCGATTAAAAACGAATCTCAATGCTTGCAGAAAGTTATTAATAGCATGACGAGATAACAGTCAGTGAGTCACGCTGTTAACGCCATGCAGACACACTACGTATTGTACACACTAATAACATCCATTGAGGCGTGGATAGTTTGCGCCACGCAGGTTAACTGTTTGCCGACATGTCGGCTGCGTCGGTCAGTGGTAAAGGTGCACTAGACAGTAACAGATTATGATATGTATGATATGATTATTGTGCCTGTTTAACATGTTTGATTTATAAACATAGCTCGGAACATTTTGTCCAAAATTTTGTATCCAGCACGTATACTGATGAATCCGAGTCAAACCCACCCGTCAGGGGCACAGTCATACAGTCATAAATGCGCCGACCCTAACCTGCGCCTCTAATTGGAGCAGCAGCCAAGCACGCTGAACCAGTAACAACTATTAACAAGTGATAGGCTCGCTTAAAGAATCCCTTTCCAGGTCTCCAGTCTCACGAGTCACAGCCTTGCAAAGTCGAAACTGTGGAGCGCCGAGCACATGCCACAGAGCTTGCAAGTTGCGGCTGATCGTGGTCAAGTCCACTGGTAAATCCGTGCCGCTTGCCGATTCTGTGGCCAAAGGTCATATGAACCACGTACATACGCAGAGCCAAATTGGTGTTTAGCGTCTGTGGCTTTTTCCTTGACGCTTGCCGGATAGCCATGATGCGTTGGCTTGAGTTAAGTTTCAAAGTTCACTTGAGAGGGGATACTTTTCCGTATTGGGTCACATGACGCGAGCTTGTCATAGGCTAGAGCTGTTGTCGAGTTTCCACAGGACAAGCTTTGGTTGGGCAGCTTGTTAACCTTATTGGCATCTTTCAATTTTCGTCCTTCGCTCTCACTTCACAGTGGCAGGACAGCATGCTTCGTACAATGGTGGCATGGATGGATCTGGAGTAAGTATCTGTGTAACATCGTGCTTACGTTGTACGCACGTATGAGGATCAGCAAAGCCTGAGCATGGGCCCCAACCGGGTGTAGACCCAAACAAACATTGAGGCTGAGAAGATCATCGATTTGAACTATGTAAGCATTGATGGTCTGGCTCGTCCTTAGGCTTTTAAGTCGCGACACAGTCACCAATGGCTCGGGCTGGATGAAGAACGATCGGATTGAGTTTCCGAGTTGTAGTCCATGCACAGGAAGTGCAACTACGTATTCTCGTGAATGTGTCAACGCTCTTGTGTCCATATTCTGCGACACGAGACTCGGTTTGAAAGCGAAGGTACCGAAAAAGCCAACTGCGCTTCTGCCGAGGAATTCAGACCATCAATTAGATCCCTGCTGGAGTGAATAGAAATCAGAAAATGATGCAGCGGCTTAATACGAGTACTTTTTAGTCTTGGCAACATAGCTCCGGCCAATCACTCCCCAGAATAAGCGGAGGATACGCCATATCATTGGCCCAATATGCATAATACTCCACTTCTCTGTCGAGCCTTCTGTATGCTTCACCTCCTTTCCTCAAAGAGCCTCGCAATTGAGTCAATGGCCTCGAACTCTGTCTGCAGCGCTCCTCGGAAGTTGAAACCCACCATAGCAGGGCTTAGCCGCTCCGGTACATTCACTAAATTAGTCTCTCCATGGATGTGCACACCCGACAAGGCAGATTTCGTTTGGACGTCCCGAGTCCAGACGCCCCCGTTCCTTATTCGTTGCAAGGTAGACTTGTAGGTTTGGGTCTACTTGAGTAGGTCGAGCTAGATGTGTACTAGTCGAGTTGGTTGGGAGAGAAAAAAAAAAGAACTGCAGCTATATTATTAGACGCGTCGCCCAGTCTGATTTTCATTCTCTTTGACTTCCTCGTGTCAGATATACCTCTGTCAACTCACAACTCATCGCGGCGAAGCACCCTTCCAGCTTTAGTCTCAATTCTCAGACATCATCAAAAGCAAAATGACGCTCTTCAGCACCATCATGCTCTCCCTCCTGGGGTTCGGTCTCGCCTCCTCCATCACAGAGCTGGGTATGGTCGCCTACGGCGTCTGGTTCTACGGCCAATCCGTCACCTACGAGTACTACTGCGGCTACTCGATCTGCGACGAGACTGTCAAGGGTCACGTCCCCGATGTCGTCTCCTTCCTCATGTTTGCTGCTGTCTGGTCCACTCTCGTCACTGCCGTTGCCATTGGTCTTCCTCTCTGGTACCACACGCGTGACGGCCACCACCACAACAAATGGCTTGCTCCAACTTTGATTGTGCTCTACTTCTTGACCTGGGTGTTCTGGTTGGCCGGTTTTGCTTACTTGGCTTATCTTATTGGATCAAATGGCACTGGTATTATCGCCGCTATTCTCGCTTTTGCCATCATCAACTGGTTCGTCCTGTCTCCCGGCCCTATAGTACAATGAATACTGACAAAACTAGGCTCCTATACACGGCCATTTTCATTTTCAGCTTCCTGGCCATCTTTGACGTCATGCAGGGTGAATGGCCCGGCTACCTCGTCATGAAGGGACGCGATTCCAGCGCTGGTCCCGCCGCCAACGAAACGACTGCTTATAGTGGTGCTCCCGCCGAACCCAAGTACGAGGGCAACCATGAACTTACTGCTTAGACGTTCATCGATTTACGATCTACGTGTCTTTCTGAATGGTCACGATATGCCCTTATAAGAAGGCGTAAGGACTTCTCTATTCCGAATCGACAGCGGAAAACTTGTCAAGTTGTTGAGCCAAGCTCAATATTATGCTTAATTGTTTAATAATACCCATATATACCTTCTTCAATATCGTGAGCGATGCATTTGACTAGCGTATGTTTGTAACTTATCTAATACATATCTACAAGCTTTCAAAGTTCGAGATCAAAGTATACTCAATGTGAGCCTCATCTCATCCATGGCTGAATGTCGCCCATAAATCCAGGGATCCCCGCAGTGGGGCTATACCTATGACATCCCCTCACGCTTCTCCATGATACTTCATACAACATCAAGCAGCAAACATACATAGCATACAGACAAGACAAAATGGTCCTAAATGTCGGGATAATCGGCGCCGGCGAAGTCGCCCAAGTAATCCACCTGCCCACCCTCACCCTCCTCTCGCACCTGTACCAAATCATAAGCATATGCGACATTTCGTTACCTGTCGCGCAACACTGCGCCTCCAAATTCCATATTCCAACGGCAACCAGCGACCCACACCAAATCATCACTGATCCCGCCGTGGATGTAGTCTTCGTCCTGACAAGCGACGAATTCCATGCCGAATACACCATCGCCGCCTTGGCGGCTGGTAAGAACGTCATGGTCGAAAAACCACTAACATTATCCCTCCCCGCTGCTCAACGGATCATCAACGCCGAGCGCGAGTCTAAGGGGAGGGTGTTTGTGGGATACATGCGCCGCTACGCACCCTCCTTTAGAGGCGCCTTTCTGCGCGAAGTCGCCTCAATTCCGAAGATACTCTATGCGCGAGTGAGAGATATGTCCGGCCCCAATGCGTTTTTCGTGAATCAGAGTGGCACGTTTCAGGTTAGGCCTGATCCGAGGGATATACCTGCGAGCGCGGGGCAGGAGAGGGATCGATTGCTGGCGGAGTTGTATCGAGAGGCGTTCCCGGGCACCGATAATGTGACGGATGAAATGAAGAAGTACTGCCGCTTTCTCGGCAGTCTGGGTTCCCACGACCTTTCACTCATGCGCGAAGCTTTGGGTGGCGTCGTAAACTCCATCGAGGGCGTATCCGTCAACGACCCTTTCTACTCCGCCATCTTCACATTCCCATCTACCTCCGCGGCAGGGGGGGAATTCTCAGTAACATACGAAAGTGGCATCGACACAATCCCGGATTTTGACGCCCATTTATCAATCTACGGCTCCAACAAACGCGTCTCCATACAATACGACTCTCCCTACGTCAAAGGGCTACCCATCAAAGTCCGCGTGGAGGAAGTGAATGAGTACGGCGAGAAGCAGGTTAGGGAGATACTCTCGAGTTATGAGGATGCTTATACGGCTGAGCTTACTGAGATGTATGAGTGTTTTGTGAATGGGCGGGAGATAAAGACGAGTGCTGAGGATGCGGTGGAGGATCTGAGGTTGTATGATGCTATGTATAGGAAGGCTGGTTTTATCACTAGATGAAGACTTAGTATTTCAGAGGATAGAGTATATGTGTATTAAAGGAAATTGTGTGCAGTACTTGATTTGTTAGGGTTTCTGTGATCACGGGACCCATCTTGGTCTCAATATTCACGGACTAAGAAGAATTAGCAAAAAGAAGCAATTAGTTGATCTGAACTAAAGTAATAATAATCTGCAATCAAAGTAAACCACAGCCATAAATGTATCAAACCTCCAAAGTAACAAGTGTCAAAAATTAGCCAAACAGAGCCAGGTGCATAATGATAATGGTAGTTGCATCCCAAACCATAACCACACGAAGTACCCTAATTATATTTCGGTCTTCGCCCCCAGATAAAATGAGCATGACTATAAAGATCGTAATCGCGGCTGTCAAGCGAATCCCTCGTCGCGCGGACAATATCTCGGACAGAGTCGGCTGGATCCAACATAATCCGGGTGCCAACAGCGAGTATATACGGCTCGATAGACTCTTCAGCGGCCCAATGCACTGTACGTCCCAGTCTCCGTATGGTCTTGTCTCTATGCCATGTGCCGATTGGAACCTGACAAATTAGCTACAATCACCAAGTAATTATCGCAAGTAAAAGAGACCAACCTTTTGTACATCCAATTCGATAGCCTCAAAGCCCGCGTTGCGCATCGCTTCCGGTATAAGCAACACATCATTGAACCCTTTCCCAAAAGCCGAGCTCTTCTCATTAAACACTTTCACCAACATATTCAACTGCTCCGACTTGTTGCCGTTCTCATCACAATAATAAAACTTGGCCTCAAACTCGTTCATCTCAAGCCAGCCACCCGGCTTCAACTGCTCAAATGCCTGTCGAAAGAACTTTGTCCAATTAGAGATACTACCCGCTAGCATGCGGCCATGGACAATATCAAAGCCTTTGTCAAAAGTCCATTCATCCTCTGCATCTTCAACGTAGAACTTGACATTGGGCGGGACCAAGGTTGGTTGAATAGGGCTAAGATCGGTGCCAATTACAGTCGCAGATGGGAACTGCTCCGCAATCATGATGGCCCAATCGCCGGTTCCACAGCCAATATCAAGTACTTTCTGTGGGTGCTCTAGTGGTGCTTTCCAGGGCTCATCGTTTAGGAGTAGTGACCAGATTTTATGACACAGTTGGAGACGATCCTGCTCAATTTCGTCGTTGGGAAGTAAGTACGAGCCCTCTCGGTAGCGGTGGTAGCGACGTCCATTTTCGTAGATGTAGTCCGTTATAGAAGGCGTGACGGTTGTGCTGCCTGACCTGTTGTCGACTTCAGTATCTGCTTCAGCGCCGGAGTCGGAGGTTTCCTCTTCGTAAATGGTCTGCATTTCGTTTTTTGATCAGTTTGAAGTTGCGAGAGGTAGTGCAAGCGTTTGATGGGGAAGATTTACGACCTTCAAACCTGTTGGTGTAAAGTCTGGAGGTGGATGCTGGTTCGCAGCCATAGGCACGTAAGTGATAAATCGAACTTCTATTAAAGTGATACAGGTAATATTGAGATGTAGATAATAGGTTTCATGGGGCTGATGAAGGATGAATTGAGCGTTGTCAATAGGTGCGTGATGAGGATGAGGATGAGGATGAATAGGAGGCAGAATGGGAAGGATCTATTGTTGGGAGGTCATACATCGAATGACAGCTCCTTCCAGAATAGGAAGGAGCGGGATTTTTCTTTCCCAACTGGCGAGCTGCAATATCTATTGAATCACACATGATACCATTGTAGATTTGTGCTATGAACAAAAGGTATAAGCATTAATATTATGCAGATATAGAAACCACGCTATGCTATATGCCAGTATATACATACTGAGAACATCATTTATCCAACAACACTCCAGCCCCTCTCAACATAACAATCGTATGCCCCGACTTGACCTTACTGCCCTCCCCACCAATCGCCGCCGAAAACTCCAAAAACTCACCCGACTCAACATGAAAGATTCTTAGCTTTGCTTCCTCCCCACCGACACGATTGTTTAGATTCTCGACTTTGAGTTTGCGAGCCGCATCGTCAAGGACCCGTCCGACCTTCCAGCGATTATCAAACCAGAAGTTTCCAGACGGTGGTTCATCGTTTGCGGTTGGCTTATCCGTTGTACCGACGACATGCAGATATATCCTCTTATCCATTGGAACGGACGCTTCACCCTTGGCGGTTCGTTTGATTTCATTGAATTGTGTAATTGCGCTTGCTCCTGTCGTCCTTCTCGACTGAATACTAGCCGGTAAACTTATTTTCGGTGTCTTAGGGGGTTGTATATTGTTCCCCAAACCACGCAATTTCGAGAACATAGATCGTATCGTAGCCCCATTATCCTTGGCAGTCCCCGCCCTCGCGCCGAGAGGTATCAAGTTCGCACAATCATGGCCTTCGCGTAGTCGATGCTGCAGGCAATAATTCCGACGACATTTGTCGCAGTGTACGCCCACGCTCGTAGGCGTATTAACTAGCGTCTTGCACTGCGGATGCGCGCACTGATCTGAATTATACACCGTCGATTTCACTGTACGACCAGCACCACCAACCGACCGTTCCGGTGTTTGATTGAGTTCGCGTTTGCGTCGCGCCCATTCTCCGGGGTGTGTGCATTTGTGTGCTGTTTCGGTGCGATGATCAGAACAAAACGTGCCGCGGCATGATTCGCAGCGGAACGGTAGAAAGTCGAGTTGGCGGCAGTATTCGAATTGGCAGTTGCGGCCTATGGATTCGAGGTCGGCGTCGGCCATTTGCGTGAAGCTCGCAGGTTGGGGTGAGGATGGCATGATGGACTAAAATGACGTGTGCTTCTGAAGGAGATATAAATACTGCAAGTGCGGAGAAAAGCGATGCGTAAGCACGGCGTGGTGTGTGGCAACCGGAGCAAGGCTGAGTTGCGCGATACGAGGTGTTACGACCGTAGGAATCCAATTCGCTCGCTATGCTTTAGCGGTATGCTAGTGCAAGAAAAGACTTAAAAGAGCAGTTGGCCGCTAATAGAACGTGAATAAAATGCAGATGGGGAATAGTTGTGATATTTGAAATGGGAGACGAGACGTGCGGAGAAGCTTCCATCTTAGTCGGTGGCGCTTATCAATCGGCCCTGTCGATAAGTGCCTGGACTAGCCGTTTATGGGTTAGCGTAAGATTGCTACATGGTCTGCTTTTGACCAATCAGTGTATATTATATGAGAGATCGATCTCTATCAGCACTACAACTCGCATACGATTCCTGCTGAAGAGACACCATGATTCATAAACAGATAAAAATGCCGTGCCCTAAACACCTAGTTCGAAAACTAAACGCTCAATAGTAAAAGGGGTATCAGCCTGAACCGTTAAAAACACGAGAATAACAAAACTGACCAAGGTGAGCCAACAAAGAATACACATGAAGAAGATGAAAAGATTAAACATTGAGACAGGAGGGAAATACTCGACATTAAAGTGTGGGCTACATGAAGAAGGGGTATGATGAACTGAATAATACAAAATAAAGGATATCGCCGCAAAATATGTAGACTTCAACAAGGACACATCAGTCGTATCTCTTCATCTGGGCGTCGGATCAGGCGTTTTCGGGGTTTTCGTAGTGTTGCTGGTGAGCATAAGCCGGGTGGTCTGTATCCTGTGGCTGCACACTACCCACATGCGGAGGAAATTGATAGTTTGCATCGTATCCCGCCTGAGGCTGAGCTTGAGGCTGATCGATAGGCTCAGCAACGTGTGCGGGATGTGCTTGGTTGAAAGTCATAGCAAAAGGGATATGACCTGTAGAGCTAAAAACAGGTAGGTTTCCGCCAGGTTGAGGGGCGGCTGTATAAGACATGGAAACCGGTGGCTGGGCCATGATATCAGGCTGCATGGTCGGCTCGTTACCGGAATATGGTGCTGACGAAGCCGGTGGGAGTCCAAGAGGGGAGACCGGCGATAGTGGCAAGCCCATTTGTTGAGATGCTAGCCCATCGGTAGAGAATCCTTGGTACGAGTTCATAGAAGGAGATATATCGTTATGTTCCACCTTCACGGAAATCTCTTTACCACTATCGAGAGGCGCGGAAATAGCGGGCACCGCGGGAGGAATCTCGAGCTTCATAGGACTGTCGTGCACGTTGCCTTTTTCTAGCTTTGGCAGTACATTACGTGGTGGCTGTGATTGGGCCGGAGCCGCTTTCGAGGTTGGCTTGGTACTACGAGCAGTCTTTGGAACGGTTGGCTTGGGTGTGGGTTTCTTTGCAGTAGCCTTCTTACGTTGTTCTGCAGCCTTATTCTCTCGCAACGCATTCTCCTCTGGTGACGGAACTTTGAGTTTGAGACTCATCTTCTTCATGCCGGCTGATAGATCATCGATGCGGTTTTCGTTCTCGGCATTTTCATTCACCTTTGCCACGTCATCGCTAGCGGATTGTGATGACGCTCTACTACCAGTAGAAGCAGGAGCATTGAGATTGTTCATGTACAGTGAAGGCACTTTTGGCAATGGTGGAACCTTTCGTGGGCTTGCATTTCTTTTCGGCGTCCCAGCACGCGACCCACTGGATACCCTTGCCTTTTTGTTGACGACAGCACTCGCAGGTGTCTGACTCGGGGTGGACGACATGCGCGAACTAGCGCGAGTGGGGGTTCTGCTACCAGAACCAGAAGTGTTTTCACTGTTCTCAGAAACCGCACCAATAGCGCTTTGTCTCCGACGCTCCGGATTGGCAGCTTTAGCGTCTGTTAAAGGCTCGGGCAAGTCACTTGCAGACCCAATAGTGGTTCGGCGATTGTTGCGGGCGCTGACCCGACGAGGCGTTTGAGCTTTCGCGGCTGGAGTGTCGGGCGAGGTCGTCTTGCTTGTCCTGACTCGAAGTTGTCTACGGGTGTTCCCTGAAGGTGTGGAAGGTGGTTCCACATTTGCTTGCTTCTTCTTTTTGGCTTCGGCAGCCCTAGCTTTGAGCTCATCAAACTGGAAGCTCATAGTCTCGCGGTCCGTGGGTATGACGCATTTCCACAGTTCATGCGCAGAAGTTGCCCATCCCACTTCAGGAAGTAGCTCTGTAGTGTAATTATCAGCTGTCAGATTGGTTGAGGACTTCCTCTCTCGTAACGTGGTCGTGACCCTTGCAGTAGATGCTTGTGTAGGGGAGAAATAGGTCGGTCCAGACTTTGGCGCTTTCTTGGGGAAAGCAGGTGGAGGAAATGCCAAAAGCTCCAATTCGTCCAACAAATCAGGTGCCCACCAATCAGTCTCAAAAGCAGGCCCAATGTCTTCTTGAGCAAAGTCTTGTCCCGTTTCCACCAATCCCAAGCCCAACCGTCCACTCATCTCAGAAGCCAGACCACTTCGCTGTTCAGATGCGTCGCTGTAGATTCGAGTATCTGCGAGCGCCGAAAGATGGCTAAGAACACCACTGGCCAACGCTCGATTGCTGTAGCCGCCCTCTAGCACACTAATAACTCGCCCTCCCGTACCGAGACCTTCCTCCTCTGCGAGTCGAACAATATCGGCCGTGAAACGAGCATAAAAGTCGGTGGGCACATTGACTTTGTGTCGCTGCATTCCAGCACCCTCGTACTCGCTTGCATCGAAGCCTGCAGATATGAAAATTGCGGCCTTGGGGGCAGGTCCGCCTTCGATACTCTCGAGACGTTGTGTATGAGAGCGTAAGAAGTTTTTAGCCTTCTCCAGTATAACCAGATACTTATCGCGGTACAGCTTCCAGAATTCTTCATGTGTTTTCCAGGGTTCAAGGTGGACATTCCAGATCGACTGACCGTGAGCGTTGTCAATGCAAACGCTAGCATTCACAATTTTCTCCATTTCTCCATTCTCGCAAGGAAAGGAATTGATGTCATGTAGACTGTAGTATCCGATTGCAGTCTTTTTTTGCGGGGCTGCATTCCTGGCAGCTGCACCTCCGCGTTGTTGGAGATACCAGGCGTGCTCATTCTGCTTATATGCGATAGCCTGAGATCCGTCGCCGTGGTGAAGATCGAAGTCGATGATCGCAGCATGGGTCAAGCCGTGTACCATTGCAGCGTGAGTGATACCAACGTGGACGTTGTTGAGCCAGCAGAAACCAGATGGATCTGTTGAAGCGCAATGGTGGCCAGGAGGACGGACGCAGACAAAGGCTCGTCTGGTTGGATTATCAGTCAGAACTGTATCAACCGCATCACATACGCCGCCTAGCGCTCCCTGGAAAGCGTCTAGGGACTCAGGGCAGAGATACAAGTCTCCATCATGAAGTGGTTTTTCGTCAGGGTCCTTCTTTCCTGCGCTTCTTGGTCGCACGATTTCTCTTCCATTCAAAGCCAAGCGAGATTCAGCCGCATTGCACATAGTCCGCAAATCTTCCATCCACTTATCGCCATGAACATAGGTTACAGCTGGGGAGTTTAGTGGAATCGCTCTTGTAGACTTGCGAATTTGGAACGGTGGTGGTGGAAGTAGGTCAATGTTGAGTCCTGGACGAGGCGCAAAGGACGAACCAGCATGACGCTTCCCCACACGAATATACGCAGTGGACATTCCAAGCAAACTCGCGCGCAAACGTTCAGGTCGCTCGACGATGGTTGAAAGACCCTCCTTGCTCGTGTATGGTCTTGAGAAACGGTGGCCATAACAGGCATCCTGAATAATCACGGCCGTCTTTGACTGGAGGTCTACTGATTGATGCAGAGTGAGCTCCGCTTTAAAATGTTCTGCAGCAATCGACGAGGCAGTAGGCGCTTCTACCACCGCAGGAATAGGTGGTTTTTGTGAATACATGGCGCCCAGGACATTTGACGAGGAACGCCTTGATAGACTTGAAGGTGCCCCTTGTTCCCTACTGAGACTGACCGATCGCAGCGAAGTGGTCGAAGCGCGTTTCTGTAGAGAGGGTGTAGAAAGCCGTCTTTCATCGCGAAGCGAGGCGTTGCTTGGTGTTTTGCGTAGAGCTGGTGTGTTTGATTTCAGGGAGGCAGGGGTCGTCGAGGAGACATTGCGCATTCGAGTCGAGGCTTGACTAGGTGAGCGAGGAGAGGGCGTAGGGGACGACGCGAGTAGAGGACTACCGTAGGAGGCAGTCGTTGTTAGCGACAGACGATCAAAGTCGTTGGCGAGGTTGAGAGTCCTCGGGGGAGGGAGGGGTGGTTCGTCAGGCGAACGAGCAGGAGGATAATTGCTTCGATCTTCCATGGCTGCAGCTGCACATTGGAAGCGCATTAACTGGAGTCAAACTGATTGTCACTCTCTTCAATATGGTTCTTCAATATGAACTGGAGAGAATTATAGACCGAAAGTGCAGCATCAAAACAATGGAGTAGAAAGTTGTAAATAATAACAATCACTAAGGAAGTAAGTTGGAGCTAAACAAGCGGGACGCGGAGCGTGTCGGTCACTAAGGCAGGAGCGTGGAGCCGCCAAACAATAACATACATAGATATACTAATATGTAGGAATGCTCCCAGGCACCCTTATTCACTTTGAGTACGCTCTTTGTTTCATGAAGAATAGATAGAATGTAGAATAAGTAGATACTCCGTCAAAAGATGTTGCACAATGCTAATAGAAACTGCGTCATTCTTCATGACTTCCACCAACAGTTGCACACCAGAGACCGTCGTCATCGGTTCGCCACCTGGTGATAAGGCACAGATTTTGGCCTAAGGATATACTTACTACATGGTAGTAAGTGGCCTTCTGGTGGCATTTCTGAGCTGAAGGTCACGAGATGCCCTTAGCTTGCAGACATGACCGATCGAACACGTGGATGGGCCTCGACATGAGATGCGTCGATAGTCGATTTGCGCAATTAGGGCTTTGTTCTTTAAAAAGACCCTTCCCCTTCCAGAACATCTGGCCATACGATAAAGTTAAGTTTCGAGATTTCTTCTCTCATATATCAATATTTACGGCATATCAACAAGATTATAAAACAACTTAGTCAATTTTTCAGACACAAGTCTATAACGAATCTAAATGATCACATACAACCACCCGACCAAGACAGCAGATCGCATCTCTGTATCTTCATTTCATGAATCGTAGATCAAAACTCCGTCCGTATAGGTATAAGCGTGTATTCGTCATAAAACCATATAAACAAGAATCCGGTGGAAGCCGGCAAACACCATACACCAGTATGCAAATCTAATGAAAGGACCGGCTGCATAAATCAACCTTGAACGCTAGAAAAAACAATCATGTACACATAAGACATCAAACGTAGCGAGGGACGATGGCCGGCATCAGTCATCATGTACCGGCCTGTGCGACCGACAATTGGAGGGAGATCACAAGGAAGGGTATAAATCTCAATCGGCAACATGACAAAAATCAAAAGAAGCAAGAGAAAAGAGATTAAGCGAAACTCATTCTCCTCAAATTCATCCAACTTCTTCTGAGTCTGTTGGGCGACCTTTCCAGCATACTGCTGCGGGCCGACGAGGCCAGTGTCGATGAAGAAGATGTGCTGTCCAGCGAATCGACACTGGTCGCACTGTCCATTGAGCGGCGCTTATTCTTTTTCTTGTCTGCTTTTCGCTGGAGCTTATTATCCTCCTTGATAGACTTAAATCCATTTGTGGAGTGGTAGTGGCAGAAACAGTGCAGGTAGACTGTTTCGCTGTCTACAGAGTCACAGCTGCTGTTGCTGCTGCGGTTGGCCGAAGAGGATGATCGGCCCGAGTGACATGTTTCAAGAATGTGGGATTCTTCGCACTGGCACCAGACGTAGCGAGCTGAAGATGTGCGGCACATTTTGAGTCTTTTCTATTGTCTGGTATATTTTCCGAAACAATTTGATTTTCTGGAATGTGATAATTGGGGTGGCTGGGATTGCTGCTTATCGATGCAGGAATTTCCGCTTTGAGTAATATTGAAAAACGTCCCGCGTGGCCGCGCCGACTGATAAGAGATCTCGCGTGTAGAGTAGGAGTAGGTGTAGTCCCTAACCGGTAGGAGACAGACAATGTTGTGGAAATCTAGGTAGTGCAAAGAGAATGAAGACTGGGCCTTCGTATATTTAAGTCTTCTCTCAAAAAATCTTCCTCTCTTCCGAGCGGACCGGGTCGGACTGGATGATTAATTATGTGAGTGGGTGTGTGTAAGCGCCCGAACGGTGTAGAGTAGCGTCCGGATAGTGTAGCTCCAGCCTACCCCTCCACGAAACGATAAGAAGGCGAAGTCCGCGAAAGTGGTCGGTGAGTGAATTGAAACGGAGAAACAATGAAACAAGTGAGAACCAGGAGCTTTGTCTATATCTATATACTTGTTTTTACGTCTGCCCGTGAGTCGATGCCTATGATTCACCCCCGTCCGATCCAGAGTTACTACGTAGGTACTGGCTTTCGTCATCGATGCCTGTCCGTCGGACCTGTCTGCCTCAACTCTACTATGTATTCTCCTCTCTCGCAGGGTAATCAGATAGCGCCTAGAATTCGAGCTAACCAACCTATGAGCACGATCTTACGCGTCCTGGGCCCAATGACTTCATACAATGGATCTGTACGACCGCCCCAAAGTAGACTATGTAGACCGACAAATCGACCCATCGATCAGCCACGGCCGTGTCTTATTGGCTTGTCGCTGCATTGTCTAGATCTATGGCCCTTTTGTGCTGCAAACGGCCGTCTGTGCCGAATCCGGCCGGCTAACTTCAACTCAACAGCTGCCATGTACTGCCGGAGATGCTGCGATTTGTTTCAAAAGACATTTCAATAGTAAGTAATCTGTAAAAGTACACTATACTTATTCTTCTGTGACTCATGACTCGCTGACTACAAGGTAGGTACCAGAAGTCAATTACGTCGATACCTCCCCGACTTTCTGTTTTGATCAGGCATTAATCGTTGAAAAACTCCTCTCTCGTGATCAGACCTGACCAAAAGCAAAGATGTAATCATCGCATCACAGCAAAAGCAAATAAAGTTGGGCCAAAGATAGAATCCCGACGATCACTCTCCGTGCATTGTGCGCCTTTGATGTCAGATCGCTGAAACTGCGTCTGGCGGTTAAACTGGTCGAATTAGCTAACAAACCGGCCCTGTCGTTAAGCAAGGATTGTTCTTGGCCAACGGTTGCCCTTGTTCTGTCGATGGCTGACGCAACCCCACAACTCACTTACTTACTTACGTAGTACAAGGTGTTTGTAACACAGTAACAAATAGGGCGCTTATTTGCGACAACTCGCGACAAGTTTATTTATATGTGTTTGAGAATACGATGCCTTTCAGCTGGGCGGTGTATGACAAGGTGAGTGTCTCAAGTCGCGCTATTGAGAGACTGATTCGGTGGGCGATTCGACATGGCGATGCTTGGCTGGAAGCCAATCAGGTGGGCTGATGACGGCATCAAATTGGGTTTGCATACGCACCTGATCTCATGTCTAGCCCTAGCCCTAATGCCCTAGCCGCAATGCCCTAATTCTTCTACGTAGAAGAAACTCGGACAGGTAAGGCTGGAAGTACTTGTATCTTTCTTTCTTTGTGATCTGGTTTCTTCTGTTCACATCGGAGCTTAACATATGCGAACTACGTATCAGAACCCATCGAGTTGGCCTGGCCACCAATAAGATACTTGACGTTTGGAGCTCGTATAGATCTAACCCGAATCGGAAGGGATTTCAAGAAATAGCAGATCAAAGCATAGATAGATGGCCGATAAAGTATGTGACTATTCCAGTGCATGTTACTTATATAGGTTAGATATATACGAGACATGCAAAATGATCACTTTCTGACAAATACACTGTTCGATGCTCTTGACTTGGTAAATGTATACAAGAAGTGGTCTATATAAACCATGACAGTCTATCATCTTCTCGAAGAACCTCTCTTCAGATCCAAATCATTCCTTGAAAATCATCTATCCTGAAAAAAGCAAAATGCCAAAAGTCCTCGTCACCGGTGCAAACGGCTACATCGGCAACGCCGTCGCCAAAGCCTTCAACCGCGCCGGCTGGACAACATACGGCCTCATCCGCCGCGCCGCCGACGCCTCGGACCTATCCCAAAACGAGATATATCCCATCATCGGCACGCCTCAGGACATATCCCTGACCGAAAACCAGGAGCACTGCGTCTTCGACGTCGTTGTGTCCAATACCGAGGATTGGTCGGATTATGATGGTCATTTCCGTCATGTCAAGGCTATGTTGACGCATATTGGGAAGCGTACATGGCATATTACTGGAGTAAGAACGCTGGTGTTGTTTAGCAGTGGGTGCAAAGATTATGGGATAACGGGAAAGCATGGTGATGCAGATTTGGCTCCGCATATGGAGTCGAGTCCGTTGAATGTGTTCCCGTTTCTCCAGGCGAGGACAAAAAGTGCTGCTGCCCTGCTAGAAGATGGCAACAACGGCAATCTACCCTTTGATGTTGTTGTGTTGCGACCGACGAATGTCTATGGTTATGGCTCTAGCTTCTATGGCTATCTGTTCGCATGGGCAGACAAAGCAAAGAAGGATGGAAACAAGGTGTTGCGAGTTGCCGCTGACCCGAACACCATCATGCACTCTACTCATGTTGATGACTGTGCACTCGCGTATCTGAGTCTGGCAGAGCATCCCGTCAGAGACGAGATCAAGGGCCAGGCTTTCAACATCTCAAACGCAAGATATGAGACGCTGCGCGAGGTCTGTGAGGCTTTGGCCAAGTCATATGAATTGTCGGTCGAGTATGAAGAGCCCAGGGCATTCAAGGATATCAAGCTAGGAATGATCGAAGCGATTGTTCAATATTCACAATGGGTGTCGTCCGACAAAATTCGTCAGTTGACTGGGTGGAAAGAGCAGCGAGCTTTCTTCGCTGCCGGTATTGCGCAGTATCGAATGTCCTTTGAAGCGGCGCTTGCTGCTAAGCATCAGGGGACTGTGAAGGTATACGAAAATTTCCAGAATCCGTCCATTTCAGGCCGTGAGTGGAAATCATAGTATTAGCTCAGAATGTATCCAGTTGACAAATTCATTATTACATTGCTTCCATGTAGTACAAGCTCATCTCAAATTGCTAAATGAGTGTAGCACCTCTAATAATTTCCAGCATCCCTCCGACAAAACTTGACTGAAGACTGGATTGTGAGCAATGGAGCGAGTAACAGTCAATTCACTGTCCGCTGGCCTGATTAGAGACGCAATATAGGCAGTAAGTCCCAGATCAAACCCTTTTCCACAACGGCAAATCTTTGATACGGTATCGTATGCTTTTCGACGGATAGACGCATTCTGGCTGTACATCGACGAAACAAATATAGAGCAAAAGACACCGAGAAAGGGGAAAAGAGATTGACTTGATGATTTCATCGCCGGACTGTTGTTGTCTTGTGCAATGTTCTGACTACTTTTGAAAATCCGATGCAATGGGCATGTAGAGCAAGTAACCGGATCAGGCGAAGCTTTGACGAGAGTATCTCCGAGATTTGCTATATGTGTCAGATCAAATTCTGAAGTTTCAAACGGTTGTTGACCAGCTCGGGAATCCACGAGGAGCCGGAATTTGAGGGAAAAGGCGCAGGTTGCAAGAATATAAGAATCGCAAACTTGCGACGTGGGGACACCATGGGTGAGGTAGAGGTTGAATGAGAAAATCCAACAATCGAGTGCAAGAAGCTCCTCTTGAATTAAGGAATTATCACCATGGTCGGTTAACCCCTTCTCAAAAACTTGGATCTGCCGCCTCAAAAATAGCTTGGTCAAGATCGCAAGAAAGCTTTCTCTAGCCTCGTCAAGGTCTGGGAAGCCCGCCGGGTATTCATCAGTAGACTCATCAAGCACCAAATATCTTGCACAATCAGGCATATCGAAATGTGTGATTTGACACATCAAGCGAACGAAAAACGACCGTATTATTTTCGTCGACACATAAGACTCATCCTCCAGATTCTCTCGCTCACTCGAAACTCCCTGAAATAAAGCAAAACCAGATTGCAAATGAGCAAGCGCCGACTGATAATGCCCTTGGGTTGATTCTAAACTGAMAAAAAGCAGAMAAGCCAATAACGAAATGGACATTGTCTTCTTGTTGTCTGTTGTGTAGGTATCAGAATTTTGTTGTGATACAAGACTCTGTATAGCTTTGCCGTAGTGTTGCATGGCAATAATCCTCCGCTGCATCTCAGGTGGACCGGTTATTTGGTATCGATATATCTCATGTAATATACCCATGGCCACCATAGCATGTCTTATCGCTGGCTCATGAAGAATATCTTGCCGCCGATACGGTCCCGTAAGCTCTGATGGGAAACATTTCGTAATCCAGTAGAAGAAACAATCAAGAGCATATTCTTCCTCGACGGCCTCCGAGAGTCCATCCTTCCAGTAGACAGAAGGGATTTGCGGCACGTAGTATGTAATTTTGAATGCCCGAGGCTTTTTTTTCGATGCATTGATGTCCGCGTAACCGGCGCACTGGCGCTTCGAACGAATACACCTTTGACATGCGGGCTTTGCCTCGTCACATTTCACTCTTCTCTCTCTGGACGGTTGTAAGTAATTCGATGCTCTTGTTGGAAGTGGATGACTAACTTGCAGGTCAGACAGCCAGTGCGAGTCTTGCTCAAGACCATGCGGCTTCTGCTTGCTTTATTTGTCGGATGCATGGCTCGTCAAATCCTTGACGTTCTGCTTATTTATACAAGGTAAAGTTGTAGATCAACAATCGATCGAAGACGATGAGATATGCTTAGGTAGACACTAATCCCGATTATGCCTGTTGAGCCTGAGGCATCAACAAGTGTACTATATATGTCCTATGATTGGTCAGTTGCGGCACCTCGCACAGCCCTATTTTCCAATCTTAGCAAGAGAATGATGCGTATACAAAACTGATATCAAGAAGGCTCATGTTTCAACAGAGGGCCACGTCAGATCGGACGGAACGAAGCCAGGTGCCACCATTAGATATGGCTTTCTCTTCATTTTCTGAATAGCTATGAAGAAGTAAATGAGGTCCGAAGGCAGCCACGCTAATCCCAATATGCCGGATATAAGAGCCTGAGGCAGCAACATGTCATATGCAGTGCAAGATCGACAGCCCACGTCAATTCGTCCTGATGTGGATATAGTTAACAAAAGATGTCTATTTAGCTGATCATAAGCTTGCCATACTTACTACAATTTAACTGATATGATTTTAATCAGTGATGAATACTAAGCAAACTGGCATGGCGATAAGCATCATAGTTTCGGAGATATCCACCAACGGCCCGCATCGAGGCAAGAAGTTTCCGACTCGAATGCSCCTGCCACCATGATTCTGACGACCTACATTCCTGAACAAATCTCGCTTTGACTGTGAAATCTCCCGTTCGCACACATTATACAGCATACAGATCAACCGCAAAACTTCATCTGAAGGAAGAGGAAGCATGACCTCAACACCAGAAACGGTTCCCACTACCCTCGACCAACCCACCATGGCACGAACAACCACCCTCCTCACGAACCTCAACACCGTCCTTGCCCGCATCTCTGCTGCCTCATCCACCTTCCCATCAACCTCAACATCCACAMCCCGCCGACACAGACCCGCCAACAAACCCGTGCGCCTGGTAGCAGTCTCAAAACTCAAGCCCGCATCCGACGTTCTCGCCTTATACTCGCCCTCTGTACCTGCCGAAGAATCTTCCCTCCCGTCAACAACTACGACAACGACATCGACCCCTTCAGCGATACAACAACTTCACTTCGGCGAGAATTACTTCCAAGAACTCCTCGAAAAGTCCCGCGTCCTTCCACGCGGCATAAAATGGCATTTCATTGGCGGTCTACAATCAAACAAATGCGCTAGCTTGGCCCGCGATGTGCGCGGTCTCTGGGCCGTGGAGAGCGTAGATACAGAAAAGAAGGCGAAATTACTTGACAAGGGCTGGGGAGAACGGGACATCGCATCATTATCTGCAGAAGAGCAGCAACAAAAGCTGCGGGTGTATGTGCAAGTCAACACGTCAGGCGAGGAGGCAAAATCTGGCGTTGAGCCTGCCGCAACCCCGGCGTTGTGTCAGTATATTCGTGAGCAGTGCCCGCGCCTCAAGTTACAGGGTCTCATGACCATCGGCGCCATAGCGCGGTCAAAAGAAAGCGCAAATGAGAATGCGGATTTTGTCTCGTTGATTGAGACGAGGGAGGCTGTCATTGAGTCGTTGGGTTTGACGGAGCAGGAAGCGGATGATTTTGAGTTGAGCATGGGGATGAGTTCGGACTTTGAAGGGGCGATTGCGCTGGGGAGTGATCAGGTGCGTGTTGGGACGACCATATTTGGGGAGAGGCCTCCGAAGGCTAGTGCTACTTCTTGATCATCCTCGTTCATTCTTGTTGGGTTGCTTTTTGTGCTGAAGTACAAATAATTCATGTACACGTATATACATTTTAAATGATGCATATTAAGAATAGAACGCGAATCAAATGACTGAGACGAATGAACAACGCTGTCGATGCCAGTCTTCAAAGTAAACAAACATGAATCTGAACCATGAATAATGCGTGTATCCAGATTGATCAAAAGATAGATAGGAATCTTCTGCCCTCATCACAAATAATATTCGTTTGATCATGAGTGGACACTCATATCCCACTTTTTCTCACTTATCCTTTTCACTGCAAATCAGCATCAACGCTGACTCCGATCGATAGTCGTTGCTCCATCTGTCGCGCAAGTATTTGGGGTACGTTCTCCTGTGTTGCCCGAATCGTGATACGATACATCTAAGACATCACATTAGCTACCCGATATAACAAGAAAGAGGGAGGGGGGCGGCGAGGCTTACATTTTTCTCATAGTTCGGCTCAAGTCGTAACAAACAACCCGTTTTACCATTCTCGACCTGATATACGGCACAGCCCACAATGTTACTAGCGTTCGGGTCCACGCCGTTGAGAATTTTCCATCCAAAGCCAGTCACAACAGACTTGGTAAACTTTTCGTGTATCATGCGTCCCTTTCCGGTTACATTGAATGTCTTTTGGGCTTCGAGCGGTGCACCCCCGATTTGTCGCCATCTCTTGAAAAAGTCTTCTGCTGATAGGTCGGATGGATCCATATATCTGTGCATCAATATCGGAAGTTGGAGTGTATAAGCTTGCAAAGCACCTGCAAGATAAGATATACGGATCGTTGGCGCATCCGAGAATGGTCCGTGGGCCTCGACGAATATCGTCTGCTGTGTCTGTCCAGCTGGTTGAATGGTTGAATCAGGCAAATTCTTTGTATCAATCTTCAGATGCGGCGAGGCGGGATTGTCCAATGTCGTGGTGAAAGATCCAATCGGGAAGGAGGCTTTGTTTGTGAAATACATCTTGACCACACCGAGATGTGCCCGGTACTCCGAGCGCAAGCCAACCTGGATCTGAGCATCTTCAAACAAAACACCTTCATCGGCAAAATACAGCCGGTTGAAGCCGTATTCCCAGTCGGGACTCAAGTGAGCAGCACTTGCTAGGTTGGGCGGGGGAGCAGATGGCTTCGATGACATGTCTAGGCCAGCAAGATCTCTGGATGCACCGCCATTGTTGGCACTTCCATTGGCGGTACCGTTGCGACCGCCATTGACAATTGTCGTGAATGTGCGCTTCAAGCCTGTTGTCTGCGCCATAAGAACTTCCTGTTTGTCCGTATTAGCATCCTTGCCTCCGACAACCCACGTTCTTTTGTCGCTCGTTCCAGCGGTCTTTTGGTGCAAACGCGACAGCAGCACACTAGCTCTTTCGGAGAATGGTGGCATTTCATCACACACGGTTCGTAACAGATCATCAGAAGGCATAGTGGCCAGCCTCAAATACTCGTATGCTCTTTGTTGTAATTCAGGATCTGGCGAGTGGCTGTATAGCCTGAACATCTGCAGCAACTGGGGTTTGATTTCGGGGAACAAGTTGACGAATTTTATGAATGACGAAAGAATCATAGCACGAGTGTTATCAGAGCAAGTAAACATCTTTGGCTGCAGTGCCAGGAATTGCTCGATCGGGCTGCAACCCTTGTTCTCGGCGATCAAGTGACCAAATTCTCCAAGCACGTAGCTGCCTATCTTGATCAAGCTGTCATGGCAGTCTCCCTTCAGGTATTTTAGTAGATGATCTGCAGCATAAGCTTGCAGTTCTTCGTTGTTGGTGACAATCTGGATAACTCGCTGCCACACCTCGTCACTGACATGGTCACCGGCCATAGCAAGCAGTTTGACAGAGGTATCAATATACCATTGAGCGTCAGTGGCATACTTCTCAGCCAAAATGGCAACTTTGAGTACCATCTCTTCCCGAATAGCGTAGTCGGCTGACTGTAGGTACGATAGAAGTTCGGCCACAATGGTTCGTGCGTTTGTTACATCGCACATGCTATAAAGAAGGTCCAATCCTTTTCGTCGAACGCTAATATCGCGATCTCTCAATGAACCCAGAATATATGGTTGGTGGCTTTTAATAGGGTCCAGGGTCTCTGCTCGAGCAGCAAAATGAGTCATGGCTTCTAGGCCAAGATAGCGAACATTGGTTTCGCGTGATTGGATGAATTTTCCGAGTCGTGAAGAAATCTGCATCATCAAGGCATGCTCCGTGTCGAGGTGAATGAGCAGGTTGATGGCCTCGAATAGAATGGCATTCTGGGCATTGTTTTGCTGCACGTTCTTGGGTGTGTCCATGGCCGAGTTCATGATTTGTTCCAATGACTGTCGAATCAATTCTCTGACATGAGTGTCATCTAAATAGCGTCAGTGACCTTGCAGCGTCAAGTTGGCAAATAACATACCAGATGGAGGATAATATTGCAACAGTCGAAGCAGCTTTACTTGAAGCCACGGGTTAGGTACCCGGTAGTAGAGATAATCAGCCGACACGTCTCCGTCTACAGCGATCTTCTTTAGTCGTTGAGCAGCTTTGACATAGCTTCCTTTGTATTGTTCCGGGTTCTCTTGCACCAGAGCCATCACAAGAGATGTGACCGATAGCGTCACACCCATATCCGGGTCGTCCATGATTGAGATGATACGCTCAGCCCATTCCGGCTGGACGATTGAGGGGTGTTTTCGGTAGAGACGGAGCAGGGTCAAAGCGGCTTTCTTCTTGACGAAAGATTTAGATGTTCTGTCAAATACTTAGCAAGGTCCTAGTCAAATCACGACGGAGGAAAAAGCATACGGTGAAATCAAAAGCCTATGGACTTCCGAGCTCAAAGCTTCACCCAACTCCCTCCCACCAACAGTCGCAATGGCATGCAACGCCAGGCAATTGTTCAACTCATTCATATCCAACAAATCCTTCCGGATACTATTCACCACTAAATGGAGCAGCTCATGCTGCTCATGCAAGAACAAAGTAACGGCCAAGTACCCAATTTGCTTTTCCGAATAATTCTTTGCCGAAATCAAATTGACGGCCTCCAAGTGTCCGAACTCAACATCGTAACCCTGTATATAGACGTACAGCAATTTGCAGACGTATTTTTTCCTCTGATAGCCATTCAAGTTGCCGTCGCGGAATTTCTGGCGAATGTTGGCAAGTTCTTTATTGATGCGCTTCTCTTCGAGTTCTCGAGCCCGTGCGTTTCGCAAGTCGGCGATGAACTGGACCAGGCCTCGCATGGACGACATGTTGGGTTAATCGTTTCGAGTCGTAACTAAATATCCAATAGTGATAATATTCTGCTGGGTTGTGAATTTCCTTCTTCAAAAGAAAGAACTAAATCGCCGAACCATTCAACATAGTCATGTAATCAATGGCTTTCGTAACCTCTCATCCCACACGGCATATAATATCACACATTGCGCATTTCATAACAAGGTCAAGTTCGAACGGACGGCGAGGTAATTAACGATGCGATGCGACGCGACGATACGCTGGATTCGACTGGCTGTGGTTAAATCAAATGACGTTTCTATAGAAATATAATAAGGGGTCTCTCCGGTTAGGCTCAAAATAATAGTGGCACTTTTGACGGACAAGGGAGGGGACCCACACTAAGCATGAAGCAACAATACAACCGATTAACAGTACTCGGACAATTATTTAAGAAGATAAATTAAATGAAGGTGTTATTTTTGAGTTGGACCAAAGGCCCTTCGACTGGTCAATCGACAATAGAGCCCTCTTGTCGAGGAGATATTGCTGTTGTTGACAGCTCTCCGTGGGACTAATATTTAGTCCGACTCCCGACCGGCGGTTAGTTGCTGCCAAGACAGAAGTCCAGAACATAGCCGCCGGAGAGGATTATCTTTGATGCGTGCGGCTGAAGCACGTGAGTCTACTTGACAATTTTAAAATACTACTATGTAGTCATCATGTAAATCTTATCATTGTGTGTTGAAATATCTAACAGGCTTGGTATCAATACATCCACCAATTTCGACCGTCTCATAAAACATAACAGCATGCTTAACATCCCACTCCAAAAGCAATCCCAAACTCCATATCCGTTCACCATTCACAATGCAAAACAGGAGGAAATATCTTCAAGTACGTCATATCGAGAACCGAAAACTAGTAATCCACGCAGAACAGAAACTCAGGCTTTTGTGGTGAAATCGGTCTCCAATCCTTCTTGAACAGCGGCATCGACCTTCTCGACTTTCTCGCATGTGCATGATCCTATAAAAGTTGTCGTCAGTACTCTGTTCAATCGATCAATCGAAAGATAGAGAGAGAGAGAAAGAGCATACCAGCAGGTCTCTGTCCGCACGCACACGCATCTCCATCTACGGGGCGATTCTCAGTCACGGATCGCTCGCACGTACACTGACCGGCAGGTCTCATCCCTACACCAAAGCAGTTAGCCATACACCCTTTTATTGATCTTTAAGATGATGAAGGGGGGAAAAAGGAACATACGGCAAGAGCATCGAGCACCCTCGCTCTGCGGGTCATGGACGGCTTTCTTGCTGCAATCGCAATGCTCAGCGGTTGTCTTGCCGCATTCGCAGCGGGCTTGGGCGGCGCAGACGCAGCCGGTGGTTGATTGACCGCAGCAGGTTGATGGGCGAGTCATCTTGTATGTATGCGAGTAGTTTGTAGTATGAGTTGAGAGGGTGTTGAAGCAGAGTGGGTGTTGAGGTAGAGTCAATTGAACGCGGTGAGGAATATACGCATGTGAAGATTGTCGAGAAGCAGGTTCTTATACTCATCGACAGCTCCTCCACATACATCATTCTTCATGCCGCATTTGAAATACCACGTCTCTGATTGGCTGGGCGGACTAGCGATGCTTCTTGGCATACTCCAATCTCTTGCGATCATGTGACCTACAGCCAATGAGACGACGGACGAACATAAGCGATGCCTTGATGCTCACCAATCTGGCGAATCAGAGATACCAGAATTGTAATACGTCGACTGATTACATTATCGGATCTTGAAAACGGCTTTTGTATGTCATGTGATTGGCGTAGAGGTGTATGTTAGGGCTATTGTACTTGATTCTTGTACCTGCAGTATATAGTTCCTTGTACTCAATGTCGCGTGTGTTGCATAACCTGTTACTTACAGCACAGAATGAAGAACAGCACCAACAAGACATGTTGGTAGTTGTATCATATTGCATTTTATTGACAACCTATCTGGCAGTCATGCTAACCAGACAATGTACCTGAGTTCAACCCTCCCGGTCAATAATAATAATACAATGTCGAAAATCCACCTGCAGTAAGATCCAACCTCAACCAGGTCCAAACCGATACCAAAACCAAAACTCCGTCCCGTCCGTCCCCTCCTATCACCTCCTAATTGTATATACTATCCCCCCGACTAATATGTAATATGTATATTATGTTGCAAGAAGTAAGTACCGTATGTATGAAAAAGTCCCATGGCTTTTGATATAATATCCACAAGTGAATGTCGTTCCTGCTGAACTGGAAGGGAAAAAATTTTACTGTGACACAGCATGGCGAGAATTGCCCTTTGAGATGACATCGATCGCATTACCTCGTTCCTCCTGGCTGCGTAGCTGAAAGTCGATGGCTCATATCCTGGTTCTCGTATGAATATGTTCCACTCGCCGGCTCATAAGTACTCTGCTGTGATGAACGCATATACGAAGCCGGCAAGCTGACTGTAGAAGAATTTTCGTGCGTATATTGCTGATAGAAAGAATCGAAATTATATGATGGCGTAAATGGCGAGACTTGGTACTCTTGTGGTGGAGGAAGCTGACCGGTCTGCAACGAAAGAACGTGGCGATAGCCGACGGGGGTGTTGTAGGCAGACTCGGTAGATGGTGGATATTGTTCGTTGGTATGCGATGGTTGTCCTGCTATTGATCCTGATGTCAGCAACATGCAGACCCAGACAGTTACAATGGAAACCTACCTTGATATGCCATTGACGGGGGTAAAGGGCTAGTTGATTGAGTAGTCGTTCCGTGATCTACAGAACTTGCTTGAGACGAATGTCGGTCGTACGTTCCCTCTGGAATGGTGCCGGCCAATCCCGGATATGAGGCAGTCGAACGGTGAAGAGGATTCATGCTCTGTTCCGTCTTCATACCGGGTTCCGATGGGGGGATATGGAGTCTCTGAGGATACTGCCAGCCCGCATACGAGCTTGAAAAGCTATGAGATCGATTATATTCATGAGAATGTGGTGGATGTACACCCGGAACCCGTGGTAACGTTGCCGGATGGCCAGTATTATTCGTTGGCGAAAACGGTTCTGAAATTCCAGGTGAATTCACGTAATTGCCGTATGCTGATGCAGGAGAAACCGGGTATTCGTCACCGGGATTGCGCTTTATGCTGTTCATAGCTAAGGGTTTAGGTCCAGAACTGAACGAGGATCTTGCTGTTGTAGGCGATGTCGGAGATGTATTAGCTGAGTGCCTGGAATGATATGGGTGTTGTAACATTTGCGTCCTGTCGAAATGATCAGGAAGCGCTCGCGATTTCAGCACTCTATCTCTGTCCTGACTCGTGAGGCGTTTCAACTTTGCTCGTCTAGACAAAAAAATAAGTACAAATCAATCCGATCTTACTCAAGAACTCCGTCTTACCTATTCTGGAACCAAACCTGCACTTGGCGAGGACTAAGGCCAGGGATTTCTCGTGATAGTCGCTCGCGGTGGGCCGCATCTGGATGTGCCTGTCGAGTGAATTCGCTCATAAGGAAACGAGTTTGGTTATGTGTGAGGCTGAATCGTTAGTTTCATGGTTCAAGCTCACCCTTTTCTCCTTCTGTTCGCTCGAATAAAGACATACCGAAATCGTTTCGTCTTTTTACTATTATCCCCACCATCACCGGCTGATCTTCCCTGACCACCATCTCCTTCTTCGCCATTGCTAAAATCTTCACCAAGGTCCTCATCATTATCCTCGCCATGGTTTTCATGCTCATGGCCGGCTTGTGTAGCTTGCGAAGCACTCATATTGGCGCTGTGAGCGTCCCAGCTCTCCGCAGGTCGATTCTGCTCGGATACAATACCGCCTTTCTCATCTTGAACCGCGGTGCGTTCAAGTGCATTGGAACTTGAGCACTGTGAAGCGAACTGTCCACTCTCTACTGGTTTCGGCAGAGTCGTTGCACTGCTTGGTTCGCCCTGGGTGTTACCAGCACCAGGAGCGGCGTTGTCTTTGACAGGAGTAGCGGCCGAGGGCGCAAAAATTGGAGCGCCGGACGAAAGGCTCATTTTGCTTTCTTGATTTTGACCCTGGATGGCGTTACGCAGGGTAGTAGGATCTGAGGCTGGGGCCAGGGGGTGACGGTACAAGTCGGACTGCGGACTCGGGACCGAACGATATACACCGACAATCGACATTACAAATTTGCTGATTTTATTGTATACAAAATGCCGTATTGATCAATTTCTTGCCTCTGAGACGAAGCGTCGTTCCGGCAAAGCAAGGTAATTTTGGCTTGCCGAGCAGCGAATCCAGTCCTTCACTGTAGGCCCTGGAGACGAATGGATGTCGTTGAAACGGGAGAATGAACCTCCAGAATGCAAAGAACCGAAGCGTCCGACGGCAAAACAAGCGGGATGACGAATCCAATTTCAAGTCGAACGTCCAAAACCCCTCTCAGTCTCTTGAAATCCAAGTCAAGCTAATCAGACATGTTGACTGGTCATTAAATCATCGTACTGTTAGAAGATGGTTAGCAGTTGGGACTTTGCTTGCACGTCTTTGCTTTGAGTCTCTTGGACACTTGGACAGATTCTGGCCGCGGTGATGAATGATTAGATGAAGAGGAAATGAATTATACCAACCTAGAATCAAGATGGTAGAGACAAGCCAATCCCAAACATCAAAGCCAACCCTTCTTGACTAATCAGCAACCCGCCAAACATGCATCAAATATGCAATAAGACCGCAAGAATCCGAGTCACAGAGGGCAAAGTAAAAATTGCACAAAACGGGAAAACAGAGAGACAACGAGAATCAATCACTTCATCATATCCAAGGAGGACATCGAACAAGGAAGAGGGAGCAGGAGATGAGGGAGAATGAAGGACGAAACCCAAAACACACAAAAAGGGAAGTCACGCCGTTGAGGAAGGAGGAGTATGTTAGTCAGCCTAACTGGTTAGATAACCAACTCACTAGAGAGCAGATACTCTGATGCATGGTAGTACTAGTGACAGTCTGTAATTTGACAGGAATGTTGACAGGATGGAGCTAGACAGGGCTGAAGAGGCGACTATGCCGTTTGGAATAGATGATATAGGATAGCGATCCATTACAAGAAGAGGGAAAAGAAGATGATGATGACGAGTATAGAGTAGTGGGTACATGAAATGAAGCGAGAGAGGGGGTAGGGTTGAAGAAAAGACCTCGAATAAACCATTGACTTACCTCTGGAGTACTTTTCCACGTCGCTTGGTCCTCGAATGAGATGAAAGAGAAGATTGATCAATGAATTGGCAGGAGAGAAAAGTAATAACTAATTAAAGAGATGTTCCGGGCGTCTGAGGGCAGGGACACAAGAGACACAAAAGTGGACTAGGACTAAGGAGAGAAAGTGGCTTGTGAGCATTGAGCAAGAATAAGAAATTATTATCGTTAAATCATATCTCCACCGAACCTCTCTCTCCTCTTTCTCTTGAACAGATTCACTTACAAGTGACCAGGTACACTGAACAACCAAGGGCACGGTCCAATGGATGCGTTCAAGGTTGTTGGGTCTAGATTTTAGGCACTCTGAGATTGGCCAGGATTATTTTCAAGATGAAAGTGGACGCCGTGGATATTGGATAAAACGGTCGGAGAAATGACAGACTATAGTATCGCGAATATAGTCATACTAATAAATAATAAGGATGATGCCTTGTATTGACGCCGACTGACCACTGTGAGCGAAGAGTGTACGATCTAGTCATACGCAGGGTAGACTGGCAGTTTAACTCTAATAGCTAGTTACGTATGTACGTGCTGTACCTAGGTAAAAGAGAGGACTAGAGTGTAAGAAGAAGGAGGATAAATTTGATATGGAGACGCTGTGCAAAATGGTGGCGTTTTCCTTCCCCCCCCCTCGATCTCCCTTTTAGGTTGCGCCGTTTTTTGCGGTCTCTCGTGCAATTTCAGTAATTTTACGATATGATTTCATTTCTAGATTGTATTCCCTGTTCCATGGGTACATAGATAATAGCGGCCGTCTTATATGAGTTATAATTCCTGCTGTTATAACCACTAAGTCTATCCGAATAGTCCTTAATCTGTTTTCGTTCAGTTCACGAGTCATTGGGTGTTTCACTTGAGGGATTGAGATGGATGTTCTTTCGGCGTGGGTTTGCCTGTTTAATGAATTTCCCGAAATGCAAGCTTGTTTGACATGCTCATGCAAAATAAGAGAGAGGGGGAAGCATTGAATTTCTTGATTTTCTTGATACGAGCGAGCGAGACAAATTTCGCAAGAACCCCCGTCTCGTTCTCCTCGCCTCGTCCAGTCCTTGATGTCAAATCCCCCTCTTCTCTCGCGAAAATCGCGCAAGCAACGTCCTGATAAAGAAGAGGGAAACACACAAACAAAGAAAGGTCCGTCCCTGGCATTACCACTGACAGCTGAAGCAAATGACGTCGGGTCACACCACTCGAACAGACACACGGACTAGTCTATTAGAGTCGTAGTTGTTGTTTATCAAGCATGGAGAAGGTAGCATTCAGTACAAATTTGATCAAAGCTCCCTGCTGGGTGGCCCATGTTCGCCAGCCGCAAAGACCCAATGAGAAGGTCTGTTATGCGATCCCTCCATCCTCCTCATCCATGGGAATTTTACCGAACCGACCAGTGGACGCCAGGTCCAACAGAACGATGTACCTAAGTCAAAAGTAAGACAGCTAGCTAGATACGGTAAATTACTAGAACTCGTCGCTAACGGCCATGCGGATCGAATGAACCCATTTCATTTCGGATCCTTCCTTTGAGGCTCGAGGCTTCAGGCTACGGAGATTGCGCATGAACTTTCTGACCCGTGCAAATGAGGTACATGATACATACGAGTACTTCGTCTCGCACTGTTTACTCGTTAAGCAGCTTCTACTTCTAGCGCAACCCACCTTAAAGTAGACGCGGCTGTCTGGGACGGGCCTACAGGCTACCGCTCGTTGGCAGCCTGAATAGACTCGAGATGCTATCTCTGGCTTCCACCAGGCAGTCAGTCTCCAGAATACGCAGTCCATGGCTCCATGAAATCCTGGACATTGCCGAAATATTCTCCATAAATCAATTATCGAATTCACAAGCTCCTCTTCCGGAGTACCACAATCGGCAAAACCTCACGACTATCTCCCGATGTGTCAGAAATAGAATTTCTTGGAGAAACGGAAAAACGCTTGTTTCGCCAGAATTGGCTGGCTGACGCTTACTCTGGCTCACCACTGCTACCACTGTTACCAGCTGGCAGCCTGTTAGCGAATCACTTTGGTGCCAGGTGGAGCAAAGTGCTCGGCTTTACGCTTGTCGTTCTCTCGGTTTGGTCGTCGGATCGTCCGATTTTTCCGTTTCTCGAGTTCACTCCGTCCCTGATAGTTTGAGGGAATATTCGTACCCTCTCGCCTTCCAGAAAGAAAAAGAAACGAAAGATAAACTTCCACCAAAGTACTGAAGCATGGCCAGATTTAGGGAAATGGGACTATCTTACTTCTTTACGTACGGGAGGTCGAGGGGTGGCTTAGAGCACGGACTTCTGACTAGGCTGGTGCTGTAACTACGGAGTACGTCGTGTCCAATTCCAAGGTCCGACATTGGACGGTCACCATGTGGTATACCTGGACCACGCCTCATGGTCCGGCCTGTTTCGTTTTTCCCGTTGATTGTAACGTAGAACCTAGTCAGTTTACAGTAAGGATATGCTAGCTTGTTTAGCTGCAGTACTACGTAGTAGACCACGTACGCCATTCCCTCCAGTGACCGACTTAGCAGGTACTTCCGGCTTCCGCAAAGCATAGACAATATTAGACATGCCCTCTGTATAGCCTGAACAGGAATAGAGTGCAGCAAGACATCGTACTCGTTCACTAGTAAGCGTTAGTGGTCTGCCACCCACCAGAGGCTGTTTCAACCAAATTTTAGCGGGTGCTTATCCATCTTGAGCCCAATTCCGGGTTTCTTATCTGATTCTTTTTCCTCGTGCAGTTGAGTTTCCAGCTGTCATAACTTCCTCGATTTATTAAAAAAAAAAAAACATCATTTCTCAAATGCGATGCAGTGCCCTTCCAACACGAATTTTCCTCTCGATATCGATGATGATGACTCATAGTAGACAAATATCGATCCCTAACCAAGGAAAGAGATCACGAAATGCACCAATCTTCGGTTCCTTGGACCTAACAAGACGGGCTTCAGTCGGGTCTATCAAGAATTTCCGCAGCCAACAGCTGGCTAGTACTTACAGTGCGTACTACTCCGTACTCCGTAGTCCCGGAGTACTAACCCGCTAACCCACTCGCAGTGGAGCCGAAGGGAGCGTCTAGAAAGGGAGGAGAAAACCAGACTGCGCCGTGCGCAGTACTACGTAGCGTAAGTGTGGTCCGTACGCTGTATGGACGTACACTAGATTGACGCACATACCAAGGCTGAAGACATCAAGACCAGTCGCTCGATTCACGGACCTGGTTTGACTTTAAGGTTGCTCATCGATGTTTCATCTCAGCCCCATACTTCCCCTTTGATATTGCACTCGTTGTCCACATGCTTGAAAGTTAGACAAAGGACAATTGCTAGACACAAATGGCATGAGCCTGGCCGGGTTCCTATGTGCCAGATTGTGTCAGTCAGCCACCAACATCTCCAACGCCAGCAGCAATAAGAAGTGGGACGAACCAACAGCGGGACAGAAATCAGTTGACCAGTCAAAAACCTCATTTCAGAATCTCCGGTTGTGTCGTTGCCTGGATCTGTAGATCGTACCATCGTGGGTGCTGGTCGACAAAGAAGTACGAGGAACGTAACAATCGACAGCAAAATGGTTAGAAACGGGCGGACCGGGTATCTCGGATCACCGTGGGCGGGAATCGGAAATGCCCAAGAGACCAATGCGAGCGTGTCGAAGCGGTAACGTATTGAACCTGAACCTACAGTGCCGCGACATTTGTGTTGGCACCCCCCGTATCCGAAATCCACACCGCCACTGATTCTGCCGTCAGAAACGTGTAACCCTAAGAGTATTATGGGCTAAGACCGGGGCTTCTTCGAGGGTTCACACGGATAAATTAGGAAGGCGGTGAGGTTCAGGTAGCAATTCTGATATGGGGGGTGCCAACACAAATGTCATCCCACCGTACTGTAGTCTGTAGAGCTATGAAGTAGAGGGCTGCTAGTGCCTTCTTTAAACTTCGACTATTTGACTGAACCCCCATAATACTACTCGGCACTTAACTCAATAGCGGACCATAGCTTGGGTGACACGAGTACTCCAAGCCTTCAATACCCTTTTTAAGACTCGATATTCACATGACGATAGGCAAGAAATTTCTTGTGCATTCGGATGCTGCCTTATCCGGAATTTCATGTTTACGCCGAACAGATCCGTAGTAGTCCCCAGTGGCCAAGTTCAGGGGGTGTCAAAACTGTCGAGTTGTGTATTCGTATGGTTTGGCGGGTAATTGCCAGCTCCATTGGGCCCTCGTTTCTATGATATAACAACCTTGGAAGCTCACATTGGCAGGCGAATCATCGACCCAATTGGGGATGGTGAAGTCACGATAGTCCTGTTCGTCACACTAGCACAGCTTCATACACATTCGACTTGAATCTGCTGTGGAAGTCACTAATTAAGCGTGAACACGATCTTCAGATCTATATATTAGTTACTATTAGTTGACTTGTTGAATACAAATTGTGACTAGTCAAGAGGAAATACTATTACACAGAGCAGATTCCAAGGTATGTACGTACTATTGGAATTCAGGATCAATAGAATATGGGTAGAATCACGTCCACACTGTGGATAGCGAATAGAAATTCACGTCAATCAGCACAGTACGAGTACCATCGTTGCTTGTTAGTGAGGCTGTCAAATTAGTTTCAAAGTTCTGTTCTTCCTTCACAAAGTATTTGCTAGGCAGTGCTAGCCTGGTTCATCCTAATTGCTGGCTCCTCTCTTGTACAAGTGGAGCTCGMAAGCCTCTATGCGGGGAATGTCGGACGGCCACCAAATCGGGGCTCGCCGTACGTAGTGGTTATTGTTATCTTGAGTAAATTTCAGGCGGAGAAGACCGTCGAACCACTCACGCTTATGGGCCAAGTAGGTTTGATCACTTTGATGGGTTGGCTGACAGCGAGTGACCCAGTATTTTGCCGAGATATCAGCCGACCTCCCATTGTGATTGGTGCGCAAGACTGCTCGGACGAAAGTTGCTGGTGTGCGCGAAGTATCTTAAGATATATTCACAGGGGGTAAGATCTACTTTCTGAAGCGTAATTTTAGATAATTCAGAATCTTTGACGATGTTGCTGTCCTGGAAGCGCGATAGTGAAGGAGTGTATTTTACTGTCACACCAAGGAGACCCATGGTCAACCTCGACCGAGTACGGAAACACTACCTAATTCGTAAGCTTGCGGATCGTGTACGCCGTGACTACAGCGTCACGAAACCTCGCAAGGTTGTCTGAGTCGAGTCTCCATTTACCTATGCTGGAAAGCTTCCTGTTGCTAGCTCTGCGGATCGATTCCTGACGGAGTAAGTGGCCTGTGAACTGAGTTGCCGGCTGTATCGTTCCAGGGTAAAATCTTTGCTGAGATAATAATTTGGTCTTAATCATCAAAGCCCTAGTCCAAATGCCTAGGCGCCCTGTAGGACTGTCGCAGGGTGAGCACGTAGTACAAGTGGACAAGTGAGCGCCGAGCACTCAACACGTTCATCGAAGAAACAGCCAGAAAGGGACATTGATAGGCTGTACAGTTGAMAAGCCACAACATTCCATTGATCAGGGGTCTCAAAATCTCAACCACGCAAGCAAAGTTGCAGACTGCAGTTGCTATGCATCATAACACCCGCTTTTGGCGCCGAGCATGTACAATGTGCACACTGTGCAACTTAGCAAGCCCGTCACGTCGATGCGCATGCAGTACGTACAATCCTTAGGCTTAGTTCAATTTTTCAGCTTAGACGCACTAGCACGGTCTAGCATAGAAGAAATCCTTCGAAGTCGCCATCGCGTTCTATTGTGGATCAAGTGGAGAAAAACCAACAAAACGGTGCCGGGGCGAAATGGAAGGGACGTGGTGTGAAACACTTTAACAGACCCTGGCGCCACCGATGCATGAATAGCCAACAAATAATATGGCGACCTAGCTTTAACTCGTTAGTCCGTTGGAGTAGTCGAACCTTTACGGCATACAGGCTGTGTGCCACTGTCCGATGTTTGAGCGAGCGCATGGGCTGGCAAGCACAGCAGCAGCAAGCACAGGGCAGCCCTACCTGAGAGACCCTGACCCTGTCACCTGTGTTAGGCGTGCAAGCCCACTCCATTTGCCGAGGGAAGCTGTTCGGGTACAACGACGTTTTGCGGCGTATTTGCGATTGCTCCAGAGGCACTCGGGTGCAGTTAAAGGTATTTACTTGGCTCGATACTCATGCCTACAAACCCATCATCTCTCCGGCTGATCATACGGGAAACGGGATTCTTCCGAATCATCCTTAACGCGTCTCACTTGTAAGCTGCTTAGAAAACCGTGGACGCCTTCTGGAGCATGTACTAGTAGCAAATAGGTAGTAGGTGCCGTCGGGATTCGGTCGGTACAAGGTACCAGTCGCCGTGGCTGTCATTGGTGCATAAATACAACGCTATATACCTCGGCATTGAGTCCAGAAAATTCTCCTGTTTTTTCTAGACTCATTGCAGAAGTGGATCATGACTAGTTCGTGAGAAAAAGCAAAGTGCTGAATCGAGTCGTGTTGTGACAAGGAAGAGGAGGAGTCTAATCCCTAAACGACGAAGCTGGAAGGCCAGGACCCCCAGGACGGCGGATTGGGAAGGCACGTGGTAGATACCGCCCTATTTCCTCACCTATGTAAAGTCAAGTTTCCATGTCGCGTTAAGAGACATCTTGATACTCTCGATTAAGCATGTTAAATTAGAAGGATTATTGCGCCACTCCTATCTTCGAGACACGCCGCCTATGAGTGGCTGGCTGGCTGATTTAAGATGAATCGGATTAGGAACTAGTAAAAGAATACGAGAATAGTCTCCTCCGTCGTGCAGGTTCTTCAGATACGGGCTTGACTGGAAATTGATCGTCGACTCGCATTCATTCTGCATATTCTCATTCTCATGGCCTCACTGTGCTCCAGAACAGCCTAAAGGCTATCTCCAAGGCTAAATCGAACTGACAGGGTTCGTAAATCCCCGATTGCCATGAGTGAGAATAAAGTGTAGCAGGATTCATGTCACAGCAGTCACGAGAAATGCAACTATGTAACGTGTGAGGGAGCCTTGACCTCTACGTTGAAGACGCGGAATAGAACCAATACCGGCTTCTCCTTGTTCAACTAGCTTCGAGATCTGCATATCTGGGGTTCAACTCGTCGGCCCTAATGTTCTTCAAGCTAATGGAGTGGTGGCTAGTCAAGACACTCAAGCACGTGATGTGGTCTTTTTGATGAATGCTGGCATCTCATTTAGACGCGATTTACGTCTATGTAGTCAAGCGCATGCCCGTGCATCAGTTATGCTGTATGGATAGTAGCGTATATGATCAAGTCGCCGTGGCACCATCCGCCTGTTGCGTTGGTGTGTCTAGTGACGTAGACTCTTGCTCGTCCTTTGTTTCACGAGGGGTATCTGATTTCTTTTGTGAATCTTCCGAGATCGATTCTTTTGATTCCAATGTCGGTGTCTCAAATAGAAGGCTGATTTTCTTGCCATCCTCAATTTTCTCAAACTCAAGAAGCTTGCTCCTCGAGGCTAGTCGCAATGTTCGCCATAGTTTGCTGGCCTTTGCTCGCTCTGCAGCCTCCTTTTCGTCTTTATCTTTGGCCATGTCAATGTCGAATTCATCGTCTACGATACCCATCATGAACGAGTCTGGAGCGGGCGTGCTATACCTAAGTATCGAGTTAGTAGTCTGCAATAAAGGGCTTGAAAAAGACTCACCGATCCGGTTCCTTCAACTGTTCAAGACTGGAGATACTATTTCCGTCGGTCAAGAACGTGAGATCGAGTGAGCCCATAGGCGCGGCTCTCAGGCGCTTGCTGGTAAACACTTTAGATGCATTTCCACGTGCCTGGAAGTAGTCGTCTGCTTGAATTGCCGGTTTTTCAATTGGAGGGCAGTTTTCAACCTTCCAGCGCACCCAATTTTTGTCTCGGGAAAGAACCGTATCAACCATCCTGTAGTAAAATTTGCCATCACTACCTTGCTGCAGGTAGTCTGCAACGACATCTCTAGTCTGTGCCGCCCATTTGGCCTATTTAGGGTTGATTAGCGCACGAAGGCAAAGCCACGACTAAGAAACATACGTCTTCTTCGCTAACAGTATATTGATAAAGTACCGTCTTGTTCAGAGCTTTCCCAGGCTGTACTAACTTCAGAAGCCTTTGCCGAGCCTGCGGTGTCAACGACAGGATGAAGTCGAGTAGGATCAGTGCCTGAACTAGAACATGACGGCGGAATGCGATGTCATTGATCTAGAAAATCGTGTCAGAGTATGTCCCAGGTACATAACGAATGATAAGTGGTGTTACCTCTAGATCGAACAGCTCACGGCTTGTCAGATACTTTGGATTGAAACTGCTAGCAATATCCACCCCCTCGCCATTACGCTTCCGCTTTAAGCCTCTCCGGATCTCGTCTGGTGCTTTCGCAGTGCTCCATGTATCAGTGACCGTGTTCATCAATTTGAATGTCGAAAGTGTTTTCTCTAGACCAGTACGAAAGGACGCAAAATTCTCAGAATTGAATAATCTGGTAGGTGCCGAAAAGAAACCCTGCAGGCTCCAAAAGATCGGATAAAGCGCATCCAGGTCGACGGCCTTGGATGGGTCGGCTTCCTTCTTCTCGTGAATAGCTTCTGCTACCGTGGGAGTCCCTTCCTTCACAGCTTGGGTGCTTTCGCTCTCGTTGATTGATTCGCCTTGCGCGGCTGGGGGGGTCTTCTCTGTTGTGTTTTTCGATTCAGTTGGTTCTGTGTCCATAACATCTTCCTGGGATGTCTTCACAATCGTGTCGAACGTTGTAATGTTCTCAGTGTGAAATTCTCCGCGAAGGTTGACTGAACTCTTGTCTCCAAGTGGAAAGCTCTGAAACATATAGATAAACACCCGTCCGCAAAAGACAGTATCCTCCGCTCTCGAGAGCCGACGGAGTAGCTCATTGCACGATCGTAGAATGATTAGCTTCTTCGACTCAAAATGTTTCTGTGACCGAATTAGCGTATATTCCTAGAGAAAGAATATCCATTCACTCATACCGCCGTATTGATCTCTCTGCGCGACTCCAAATAGTCAAATACCTTGCGGCAACCGTCAACCGTCTGGCTGTCAAGAAGCTCTTCGATGAGCCAAAAGATAAGGCCGGCCTCGCATTGTTCTATATTTCCAACAACGCCAAATTAGCTCCCATACACATTGAACGTCCAACTATGGGTGGAGAACCGACCGTTATCCGAGAATATCGAAACAATATCGAGAAGATTCCAGATGTTGACGAACGCAGGATCGTCTATCGGAGTGGAAGCCTGTATCACTTGTCAGCTACTCATCTAGACTCAACGGCGCATTTCAAATACCAGCAACTCGTAGAACTTTTCTCGAAATGCGGTTTCGACAGCGGCAAGGTTCGTTTGTTTGGCTGTTTCGGCTTGAATTTTGCCATTCTTGAGGTATGCACGCTCAACCAAGTCACCTAGACTGGCTTCTGTGACTGGCGGTTCGATATTATGCCCATTTTTAACTTCAGCTGCTTTCGCTAGCAAATCGCGAACCAGGCCGCGGTAAGCGACTGTAGAATCGATAGCTGTGTCGGTCATTTTGATGGTCTCGTGGATGGTTGTCGACGCAAGGTGTGCAGCTCAATGCGCAAAATCAAGTAGCTTTCTCTTGTCTCATCATGCGACAATATGAAGTATTTAATGCTAAGCCCCTATGAAACAACAAAGAGAAGCAGCCACAATGAAGTGTGTCAGGGAGACGTATACGGCTAATGATAGCTGTTCAAGTATACGAAAAAGGGAAGCGATGTTCACCAATCGGCGCGGCTAGCAGGTCAGGGCGGCAAGGCGGCGGCTAATTGGGACCTGACCAAAAGACGCGCTAACTCAAAGCAGCCATGGGCGCTTTCTTTTCGCGCCTGCAACTTTCAACCGAACAAGATCCAGCCTGCTGGATATCCCAATGCACAGCGAGGATTGGGATTAGGGATAGCTTCCGCAATGGCGAAGAATCTCGAAACCAGACCGTCCGTTTCTGATCTGGAGGGGGACAATCGCTGGGCGGCTGTTGCGCAAAAACATTGGTTAAAACAGAGCAAAATTCGCAAGGTCAAACAAGATGTCATCAAGAACGAGATATGGGATCCGTTGGAAGCGGAAGGATTCACCACCCGCTCGCTCTTGACGCTGGAAAATTTGAACATTCTAGAGAAGTACATGGGACCAGGTGTACGATGGACTGAATTTGCAAGACTAACTTATTTCAGGTACCTTTGGCCTACGTATACCGAAGATGCGTCAAACCATCACGTATTACTTATCGCCGTGACTGTGGGAATAAAAAAGGGAGAGCATCTGCCGATATGGGGTGAGTGGCAAGCCGGATGATTCAGACTCGTGTATACTGACTGTTGGATTCAATAGAGCATTTTGCCGATCGCCCGGACAGCTTCTCCAACCTTTTCCATCGCATCCTCTCTCTAAGCTTAGACGCATCGCTTTCCACTTTCTCGAGGCTTTCGGTCCTATCTTTCATCATCAGCGGCTTTCAATCGCTAGAAAATAGTCCTATTAGGAAGGAATGCGCCCCCCTAGTATCTATCTCCATCTGGCACAACCTTTCGAGCGAGACCGCAAGGAATCAAACATTGGAAAAGGTGCCTACGCTGAAGAAGGCATGGCGTGCAGCTGCTAAGAGATACGAAGCCGCCGATGAATCGATGAAGGCAAAGATTCGATTCGAGAGGGCATGGCTGTACACTTTGATCTTGGATTTCCTGCAGAGAATTAGTACGCCAGATCAAGCGCAAGCTGACAACATAAGATACTGCGAAAGATTTCTTGAATTGCTTGTGGACTTGAATAGTCAACTACCAACAAGGAGATATGTCAACACTCTTCTGCAAGACTTGAATATCCTTGCGGTCATTCGACTTTCAGAGCTCTACAAAAATCCAAACAATTCATTGATACGCGACTTCTTTGCCTTGTTGCATCATTTCATGAACTTCGCCATTGATGACTACACTGGCGAACCTCTTTCTATGCAAACGACATATGACATGCACTGTCAACGTCTGGCTCGGCTGCAGAGGACGGCGATCAAGCATTTCAAGGACAAACTCACTATTCTCGCTCTATCCAATTACGGATCTATCGAGCAACGTTCAGAACTCGAAGGTAGTTTATCCGTGTTGGATGATACAGAACTTGAGGATCTCTGCGCCCGTCTTGGATTTAGGACAAGCTATCCGAAGCAGTCTCAGGTGACGGCTCATCGCCAATTATTTCTCGAAATCTTGTTGTCTCATTTCGAAAAGAAGCCATCTTTCCAGGAATCAGCTGCCAAGCTTAGTAGTTTACCGACAGAAGAGAGCCTATACGAGCCTGCTTTGCTGCGAAACGAAAAGTACGATGGGTCACGGCCGCTTGCCATTCCTAAGCTTAATCTTCAGTATCTCAGCTTAGGCGACTTTCTGTGGCGATCATTCATGCTGTATCGTTCGGAGGCTTTCTTCTCCATCCGGAAGGATCTTGAGGCTGTCATGAAACGGCTACAACCGAGGGTCAATAGATCAACTCGTGAAGTCGTGTTTGATGGATTTACTAAAATGGCAATTCCCATTCATAAACCCGCGATCATCGAGGTCGCACAGCCTAAGGTAGGATCCAATAAGCCTGCATTTGTTCGTGCCGAAATCACTCTAGAGGTCGGCCGGCTAGCGGACAACATACGAAAGGAGTGGGACTCATTACGTCCAGACGATACCGTGTTCCTCCTCGCAATCACTTCTCCACCGACCTCGACGACATTGAATCTGACGGATAAGCCTTCTCTCACATACGTTCGTACAGCAGATGTTGTCCAAGTCTTGGACGAAAATGGACGCGTCTTGCGTGAGCCTCAAAATCAGTTGGAAAATGGATTCGCTCGTCGGCCCCGGATCAGGAGACTTTTGTTGAATCTTGATGCCGCTGCTTTTCAAGCAGATCAAGATAAGCAGGCGCAGGGCAAACGAGAAGTTTATCCACTGATCAACGTTATTGTGAGAAGAAAAGGAAGAGAAAATAATTTCAAATCAATGTTACAAACAATGCAACGACTCATCACTTCGGATGTTGCATTGCCATCTTGGCTTCAGGAGATTTTCCTCGGTTACGGCGATCCTGCCAGTGCTCGTTATACTGAGCTGCCAAACCGAGTCAAGTCAATAGACTTCCGCGATACCTTTTTGGATTGGCAGCATTTGGTAGAGAGCTTCCCTGGGAAGACAATCGAGCCTTCGGGCAAGGAGTCCTCCAGCTTTGGACCGCCATACGTTCTGCAGACCGTGGATGAGCCCCAGGATCAGAGTGCAGGAAACGCTTCAAAGAAACGTCGACGTGGCCAAGTAGAGACCCAGGCAGAGTCCGGCTCTATTCATGTATCAACATACAAGCCTCCTAACCCTGGACCATATCCCGTCGACGCTCCCAAACTGAATACAGTCCGATTCACACCCGCACAAGTCGAAGCAATCACATCCGGAACCCAGCCCGGTTTGTCTGTAATAGTGGGACCTCCTGGCACGGGAAAGACGGACGTGGCGACACAAATCATAAAAAACATTTATCATAATTTTCCTTCCGAGCGTACCCTTCTGATTGCACACAGCAATCAGGCTTTGAATCAACTCTTTCAAAAAATCGTCTCTCTCGATATCGATCAGCGTCATCTCCTGCGACTAGGCCATGGCGAAGAAGAGCTGGAGACAGAGGCCAGTTATAGCAAATATGGACGGGTTGAATCTTTCCTTGAAAACCGCACACATCTACTGGCAGAAGTTAGTCGTTTGGCAGCTTCGATTGGGGCTTTAGGTGCTCATGGCAACTCTTGTGAGACCGCAGAATATTTCAACACTGTTTATATCCAACCGGCGTGGACAAAATTTTGGGACAAAGCACAATCAGATTCGGCTTCGGTAGAATATATTGCAATCTCTTTCCCATTCCATACCTACTTCTCAAATGCACCAAATGCATTGTTCACTCCGGGAAGCTCTAAGGATGATGTGCTTGATGCTGCAGCCGGAGCACAGAGGCATATTGATAAGATCTTTTTGGAGTTGGCAGACATTCGCCCTTTTGAGATCTTAAGACAACCTCGGGACCGTGCTAATTATCTACTCATCAAAGAAGCCAGGATTATTGCAATGACATCGACACATGCAGCCATGCGTCGACAAGAAATTGCCGACTTGGGTTTCCGTTACGACAATGTCGTCATGGAAGAGGCAGCACAGATTACGGAAATTGAGACATTTATTCCCCTAGCATTGCAGAACGTGGAAGATGGCCAGCTCCCTTTGAAGCGGGTTGTGCTGTGTGGTGATCACTACCAGAATTCACCTATCGTACAGAACCTTGCATTCAGACAATATGCCAACTTCGAACAAAGTCTTTTCCTGCGATTTGTACGATTAGGCGTGCCAACAGTCACACTCGACCAACAAGGCCGATCACGGCCTGGCATAGCTGATCTATTCAAATGGCGGTATAAGAGTCTGGGGCATCTACCTCGACTCGAAGAAGCGCCAGAATATAGCCAAGGGAATGCAGGGTTCGCATATGACTACCAATTCATCAACGTTGACGATTATCAAGGAACTGGCGAAAGAGAACCAGCGCCTCATTTCATACAGAATCTCGGAGAAGCGGAGTATGCTGTGGCCTTATATCAGTACATGCGACTCCTCGGATATCCGGCTTCTAAGATTACCATTCTCACCACATATGCTGGACAAAGAGCTCTTATCAGAGATATTCTAAATCACCGCTGTGCCAAAATTCCAATATTTGGCATGCCTCGGATAGTAACAACGGTTGATCAATACCAAGGCGAGCAAAACGATTGTAAGTTTCTCAACACCTACATGATCTACTAGACAAGGCTAATTTGTGTACAGATGTGATTCTTTCATTAGTTCGCACGCGAACAGTTGGTTATCTACGGGATGTTCGCCGCCTAACCGTTGCATTGTCGCGGGCTCGACTCGGCTTGTACATCCTCGGACGCCTGGACGTCTTCGCGTCATGTTATGAATTGAAGCCAGCCTTTGACTTACTCGCCAAGCGTCCCAATAAGTTGATGCTCATTCCCGGGGAAATGTATCCTACGAAGCGGCTACAAGCGGCTAAAGTTGAGGGTACGCCAATGGAGAATCTCGAGCATATAGGTCAATATGTCTTCGAAATGACTCAGGCCAAGTTGGAAGCAATTGGCGATGTAGATGTCGCCATCCCTACCGAATTTCCGGATGATATCGAGGAAATGGATGAAGACGAGGTCATGGTGGGCGGAGCCGATGACGACGTAGATCTTACTGTGCAGCAACATGTATGAACTCCGGGCATGGAAAGAGATGTTCAGTATCATTCTTGTCACACTTTCTACAATCTACGAAATGGAATGTAAAATATACCGGAGCAAAATCATCCTCCGCCAAGATTCAAACATTTCCACGTCCATAAATGTAACATATCATCATTTATTGACTCGTTCGTATTTACAGAGAAAGTCTTACAGGCCATCTCGCTTCAATATCGTAGTGTTTTGTATCTCTAACATGATTAAGCCCAGATATCCCTCCACTTTAGGAAGACTCCTTAGATGCCTTGAGTTCTTCCACGATGTTATTTGGATCCTTGAAAGCAAGAGCAATATATCTGAGTGATCCTGTGTTAGTCAAAGCACTGTAGTTCCAAGGACCAAGAACAATGATGTATATCTCACTTTGTATGGCTTCCGCGGGCAAAAACTTCGCCTTTATCATTCATGAACTTTATGGATGTGTATGCAAGTGTTTTGCCGACTGCATGGTAAGTGTTAGTAACCATATAACGAATGTTGAAAGGGTTGATGCAATGTACATTTATCGCATGAAACCTCCTATGAAACCGAGTTAGCAGTGAACAATTTTAATCAGATCACTGGAGGGTCCGGAGAACTAACAGCCTTGATTCTGTCTCCCACTTTTCCTCCAGAGCTTAAATATGTGACTGACCGAGTAGGTTAGTATAACGAGTATCTCGTTACTTATGAATACCCTTACCGTTCAAGTCTGTGGACACACCGGTTGAGAAGAGGCCTCTAGACGCAACTGCCAACGAACCACCCAGATCGACTAGCATTTATTATCGGATTAGTTGATTGCCCGTGGAGTTGACGAGCATGATAAATAAAGATCTTTTAACATACCCATACTAGCAATAGTACCGCCATGGAGGATATTTAACCTATTCTGCATTATGACATAAGTATCTTGTCTGATTTCTGGCGGGTCCCAAGTAGGGTTAACAAACATACAGTATGTTCTTTCTGGATATCAAGTTCAAAGTTCACAACACCGGGATGAGCGGCGGTCACTCTGAGCTATAATCCGTGATATTATATCAGCATATACCCAATGGTACAAAAGGGCCTCAATACTTACGCCATCCAGAAGCCTAATTAGACAGTCTCGTTATTCCCTCTTTCATAACTCAATTGCTGTATTCGTTCGGGTAGAGTACCTACCTCGGCTCTAGACCGGACGTAGCCCGGAAGGACTGCCAGACCTGTATGACTGTCAGTTATGAAAGTATGCTGAGCAATAAGAATTGGGAAGACTAACAGAATTTACAAACTTCAAAGCAGACATTTTAGCTCAATAATTGCAGTGATCGAAGATGTCGAGTGTTTACACTTCGGATAGAGAGATGGAGGATCTCGGCCAATGACGTGGGTCGACTGAACGACCGCGATATACGCTAACCTCTATGAGGATTAGTTCAATATGACCTTAAGGTGAAGCCAAAGAAATAATTACGACACCGTCCATAGCCGCAACTTGAACAAAGCTTCCAACAACACCACGATACCCTTGCCCTCATCGCCAATTCTGAACTACAGGTCAGCTTGGCAACGCGACATGAAAACATCTTGATCAATATAGAACGGCGGGAAGCCYGAGCTACAGGCAAAATGGCCTCCTCAACCAACCGATCGTTTGAATACTTGGAGCAGCTGCCTGGCTTGACTTTTCAGAAGCTGTATCAGCAGCCTTCTACGGCTCTTGCAATCTTCCGACGCATGCTTCCCGACCTTGGTGCGTTGAAACAATCTGTCTGGTTTGCAGTTTTCCAATTCTCGTTTTCTAATTAAAGGAATTTAGCAAAATGTCTTGTGATGGCGCTGCTCTACATGCGAGACCCTCTTCCTGCTGCAGATCTCGAACTATGGATCAAAGCAGAAAGCAAGAAGTGAGTCCAGGATATTCCAAACAAGAAATGAAAGTGAGCTAACGTAATGAAGAGAGCGGGACCATGCTATATCCATCCTTGGAAGACTGCACATCATGACGAATACGATGACCTCGAATCAAGTCCGAGCGTACATGGTGACAAATCCTTTCGCTTCATCTTTACGACAAGCCCTTACCGGTGCCGAAAACTCCCAGTCTTTTGGTGTGCCTTGCTCGAGGCCCGATCCGAATGCTGTGTCGATCGCAGATCTAGATGAATATGCACGGAGGCAGTGGGAAGGTGTTCTGGGATACATGGTTGGAACTAGTGGGCCTGGTGTTCGCGAAACTGTTAACCTCAGTCGAGGTGTCAAACAACTCTTACAGGCCGGCCATCTGGTTGAAATTCACCATGGACGAGTCGATATTACACAAGATGGTTTCGCCTTCGTGCTGCAAGATATCAACACTCAAGTCTGGCAAATCATCATCCTGTATGTTGAGAGCGCCAAAGCATTACAGGTCAATGATGTGGAGGTACTTTCTTTCATATTCCTTTTGAGTAGCCTTGAGCTTGGGCAGTCATATGAAAAGAGACATCTCACACCAGACCAGCTACGCGCTTTGGCAGATTTGACGGATTTTGGCATTGTATACCAGCACTCGCCAGCAACTGAAGCCGACCGATTCTACCCTACACGCTTAGCAACTACACTTACTTCTGACTCGAGTGCTCTTAGCAACACGATGTCCAGCTCTCTCTCAGCACAAACGAACGCTGCTACGGGTGAACCAGGGTCCGGATTCATCATCATCGAGACAAACTATCGTCTTTACGCATACACATCATCTCCTCTTCAGATATCTCTCATTGCACTATTCACAACGCTCAAGTACCGGTTTCCAAACCTCGTTACTGGTAAAATCACACGACAATCCATCCGTCGTGCGGTAGAAATGGGTATCACCGCCGACCAAATCATCTCGTATCTATCTACTCATGCACATCCTCAAATGCGAAGGGAAGGTGCTGTCAAATCCACCTCAAATACAGCTGGAATACCGCGGTCAGTGCTACCGCCCACAGTAGTCGATCAAATCCGACTTTGGCAACTAGAGAGAGACCGCATCAAAGCTACTCCCGGTTTCTTGTTCAAAGAGTTTGCCTCCCTCGCAGAATACGAGGGGCCTTGCCGTTATGCCGAGGAGATTGGAGTATTGGTCTGGAAGTCAGACCGTAAACGCATGTTTTTTGTGACTCGGCATGAACAAATAGTTTCTTACCTGAAAAGTCGAAGTGCTTAAGGTCAAGTTTCGATGAATTGAATCTTTACTTTCACAAACAAGACCGAAGTTTCTATTTATCTTCGAAGTACAGACTACCTAGATATTATAACTAAAAGATTTATCAACAATCAATACACCCTAATTTCTCCCTTCGCAACCTTGACTGAGCTACCACTCAGTTCAACCGACTCAATCCCTTCCCGGTTCGACTTCAGACTGACGCGAAGACCAATATCACTTCTCCGTCCCATCTCCACGCCCTGCACAACGTAGAAGCTACGATGGAGCTGGTCATCAGCACCAGCACCATCCCTCAAAACAAGAAGCGCGGCTAAACCGCTCGCCGCACTACCCGTAGCCGGGTCCTCTTCCGATTGTAGGAACATTCTCGTCCTAATGACTTTTTTGCCGGTGACTTCATCCATAACGTCTCTGACATAAAAGTAAAGAACAACGAGACCGTGTCCTCCCCAGCCTTCATCTAGATACCCGCCCTGAGAAACATCAACAGCAGGCACCGACTCCCCCCCAGCCGCAGGACCAACGGCAGCCAACGCCTCAAGACTCGGTAACTCAACATGAATTTGAGTCATGCCATTCACAATCGACACAATCGGGAACCCTGCTTCCTCTCTTGCCGTCGAACCGACAAATGGCTTGACGGTAGGATGCAGTCTCAACAACTCCTGAACGGGGAATCTCTTCTGATGTATCCTCACATCATGTGGAATCAACGCCGCAGCTTCATCTCCCGAAGGTCTTAGAGAAATCGGGATCGGTCCAGCTTTCGTTAGGAGTGTGGTAACATCACCCTTATCAGGGGATAGGTACAGAGCCCACGACGCAGCACCGATAGTCGGGTGGCCCGCGAAGGGCAATTCTCTATCAGTAGTGAAAATATCAATTCTCTGCTGCGTAGGTGTTTGAGGGTCAACAGGGTGCACAAATATGGTTTCAGAGTAATTGAACTCCTTAGCAATTTCTTGTTTCTGGGTTTGGGCTAGGGCTGTGGGGTTTGGTAGGAAAACAACTCCTAGAGGATTGCCGGAGAAGATGGATTTTGTGAAGACGTCGAGGGTGACGTAGGGTATTGTTTGGGGTGAAGCCATTTTGAAGGCTTGATTAGTCTGGTGGACAAGCTTTGAGGTTTCAGTTTATATTCTTGTGATGATAGAATTCAGATGGTTGTCATCGGAAGCTGTGGATTTTATAGTTGGTTGGATCCGCAGATTTGTCATAAGGCGCGACCTGACGACTTCGAAATGACTCACAATTTCTGTCAACATTTTCTATCAATCCCGATTCTTTATGTATTACACTACTGTACCTAGGTAGTCTCGCTATAATGAGGCGCATTGTTCGTCATTGAAACGAGCCATAGGAGATCTTATTGTCAATCTCTCCGTCCGAACGAGGACATGATCAAATATGGATCATCAATCATTAGTGAATATATCTAGGTATCATACATATAAAAATAGACAGCATCACTCTGAGTCGCTTTCAACCACAAAGCCAGCTCGCGCCCGTCGACGATTACCCGCAACTGGGCCGTCTTCCTCTGAATCGCTATTATGCGTTGCTGGAACAGCAGTTGACTTTTGCTGCTCATATTCCTTATCAAGGTCCCATCCCCCCTGTTCTACTGAGGTGGCAGGGGTATCGTCTTCATCAACACCCTGGCTTGTCGCCACTCCCCTTGAACCGAGATCCCCATTGACCCCAGTCATCAAGACCTCGTCATCCTCATCATCGTCACTCATCTCGAACCCGCCGACAGTGATTCGACGCTTTTTCTGGCCTTCACTATCTGTATCTTTGTCACTTTGGTCATCATCCATACTGCGTCTCTTACGACGGGCGGTCTTCTTCTTTTTCGATTGCGCATTGGAGGCATCCTCTTCTAGCGCCTTATTGATCAGTGCTTCCCGAACGCGTTGATCTTGAGCTTTTCGAACAGCTTCTTCACGCTCGAAGAATTCTTTGTCCGCTTCCTCATCTGAATCATCGTCGCTGTCGTGCACAAACAAATCACTCTTTATCTTTGCCTGCCTAGCTCGCGCATTCTCTTCGCGCATGCGACGACGCTCCTCGAGAGTGGCATCATCTAAAGGCTCATTGTCGTTATCATCGCGCTTGTTGCGCTTCTTACGCTTTTCCTTTAGCTCCTTGAGTGCGTCAGATTTGGATCGAATGTTTGGAGGGAAAAGCGGCCCGTCAGGAATTACATCCTCGCCCTCCGACTCAGAGCCGAAATCCACATCTAATGTTGTTTGGTGGGTTTCTTTAGGTTCCGCCGTAGGTATGCGTCGAATCTGTTCTCGGGGGTCGATACCATCAATCTCTGTAACAGGATTCTCAAGTCCCTTTTCGATGACTGAAACGACGGCAGAGAGGGTCTCCGAGTCTAGTGACGAGGGCACTACCCAGGAAGATCCCATTACATCCTCTGATCCCAACCTTTCCAGCCCGACTAAGTTCAGTAGCAGCCGTAGTCGTCCATTTCTGAATGTGGCTGCTCGAATCGCATCATCACTAGGCTTAATTTCTATCAAATTGTCAGTACACTTTTCCTAGCAACAGTCGATGCAACAAACCTATGAGTGGGCTGGGACGCAAAGATATTGCCTCCTCATCTGACTCGGCCTGTCGCATTATCTCTTGGGCTTCCCAAGAACTGCGTTCGTTGGCGGCTAACCGCAAAGCTTCACTGAGCCATTTAACCAAATCGGCTCGGCCATCCATGATGAGTGCAGCCACCACTACATTCAGCTTTTCATCCCTAGTTGTGCCTGCACGAGGATGGACTTCAAGTTGAGCAGGCGCTCGCGTACCGCCGATAGATATAGTTTGTCTTTCATAGCCATATTCTAGGAAAAACAATGTGGCGTTGATCTTGCTGAAAAGTAACTCTGTGAATAGTGCAGGACGCTCATTAAGTTTTTTTATCATCCTTCTGGTAAGGTGTTTGACAAACTCTTCCCAGTCTTGGAATATCGGCTTKGAAGAATCTAGCGCTCCCGGTCCTTTGATCATGCGGTAGAAAAGATTCAAAATGTCGAGACGGTAGAGAATTATACTCAACTCTTGCTTGAAAGCAACTCGATAAAAGAAGCGATGCGCCCGCTTCAGTTGCTCATCACTCAGGTCCCGATAATACGTGGTAAATGAAACAAACGTATCAACGCTCTTCTGGGAGCAAAATCTCGCCGCGAAACGATTAAAGTCAAACTTGCGCTCCTTGGCAACACGAGCAGCATCGGCGAGCTCTTCTGCCTCTGAATCACCATTCTCTTCATTTTCAGCATCTTGGCCAGCAGTCGCTGCCTTTTTTGCTCTTGATCTCCGCTTCGACCGCACTTGCATGTCTACATTCTCTTTGGAGTAGTTTTCAAGCATCCTTAAGAAGACATGAGAAAGCTCGGTACACGCATCCAGATAAGTAAATCCTTGATCCTTGTAGCCTCTCACAATAGCAATAATTCTGTCGTGTGTAGTCTCCTCGTAGAAAATACGATTTAGGATATTCTCTGCAATCTCGTGATCTTCTTCGAACGGAGATGCGGACATCTCTTGAATTGTCAGCAGAATCTGTGTGAAGCAGCGCATATTTGCATTAAGATCTTGCCAATCGTTATGATCAAAACTATATTGCATTGCGCGGTTGAGAAAGACAAAAGTCTCCTGGTTGAGTACACTTGCTACCAAGGAGAAATTGTCCGATTCGGCCTCTTTAGTTGTTCCTTTGTTTCGCTCATTTTGCTTTTTATGGTATTTGCGTCGTTCACGTTCGGCATGAAGGAACCAGGCTACCAAATAGAGAAATTGCCGAGTGTTGATTTCTGTAACTCTATCAGCCTCCCGCTCAATAGCCTTTCTGACGTGTGTGAAAAGCGGGTTGAAGCCTGTATCTAGGAACTCCTCGACAAATAGGCGGAGATTTTTGGTTGCAGTGGATGTAAGATGCGTGGTCGAGGAAAAGTCACCACTGGCAGCTTCAGGCTGTTGCCGACGGCCATGCTTTGGACGATTCCATTTCTTCGTTTGATCCATTTTGTTGAACGCAATTTGGCCGTCTTTGAGAATGTCTTGTCCAGATACAGTCGAGACTTTAGCATCGTCTCTTTTTACCCAAATCATAGTTCCAAAGCGTCCATGCCGAGTGGGTGCATTTTTGGCATATTCTCTATTGACACCATTTTCCTTTTGTAAAAGATCACTCAGCTCGTCATTACGCTTCTTCTGGCGTTCAGTGTCGTCCATGAACAACTTCTGCACATCCACACCCTTGACGAGATGAAATAGAGTCTCTAGAAGCACGACGTCCTGGAAGTTGAAATCCTCGTTGATGTTGGCGCACATTGTGAGTAAAAGGGCAAAAACATTCTGCTGCTGGAACGCATTGATGGTTGCAGATCGTGACGTCTCATCCTCATCGGCGTCGGTAAGTAGTCCCTTCGGCGCGGTGATCATAGTGACATTTCGCAATAAATATAACATCAGTTTCAAGATGCCATCGTCCCTGCTAGTCCGCTCTGATTTCGGCATTGTCAAGCTAGGCAAGCCAACCTGGAGAATGGCGCGTAGAGTGTCACGACCAGCATGTTGATCTAGTATTCCTCGTTTGTATTGAACTTGAGCTTGCTGCAGGTATGGGGTATGTCGATGGTGATTAACGGTCATCTGGCCATGAATCTCTACTGGCCATGTTAATGGGACCAGCAATTCCACTAAACATCATTAGCCTCCTGCAGATTCGTGAAGCGGGGATATTGGTTGTCATACAGCATGCCAACGCAACACGAGTCAAATGTTTCTTCTTATATCCTTCACTTGTAAACCACAAGCCCAGGATCGGCAACAAATCGCCATTAACGATGTTCGCTTCTCCCAGACATCGCGCAACGTCGAGTCGATTCGTTTTGTCGTCGTATAATTTTAGCCATTTCCTGATATCGCGTAAACATGCCAATGCGTCATCTCCGAGGTTGTATTTCGATCCATCTTCGCCGTTGAAGCCTCCGAGCTATGGGATTGTCAGCATTGAATTCAAATTGCCGGGTATTTGAAGACTTACAGCAGTCACAAGACTATACACATGCGCGCGCACTTCGGGGTCCACGACCTGGACATCACGCCCAACGGCGACGGCATCGAGTTCCATGGTGAGCTCGCAATATAATCACTCGACCATCACTGCATCAACTCGATATCGATATCCAAGATGTTGGTCGCCTACTATCTTCGATGCGGAGAGGTGCCAAAAACAGATACTAGCTTGAGAAAGTCGACAGCCAATTAAACGCGGGTGAGACGCGTCGACGCGTTTTTGGTTAGATTGATGGAGTTTGGATCACATGTCGGCACGGAGTCCGGCGAAAGCATTAATGCGCTTATCCGACGATAGCCGATGACGTCGGGTAAATGGTCGGACTGTCGGCGTTATCTCTCATTCGCATACAACTTATTACACTCTCTGTTTGTTCTGGGTTGCTGTTATAGGTGTTTAAAATTTTTCCAGCACAGCTACAGCCATGCTGTTCACAGCCATTCGACATGGTGCTCGTCGCCAGGCGCTCAATGCCACTCGCTCTTTCAGTTCATCAACAAACAAACTCGCTGCTGCCGAGGTTAAGAAGCTTGGTGTCATTGGAGCAGGGCAAATGGTGAGTTAATACACAATACATTGCGCGCATAATCCGAGGACAAGAATATGATCTGACAATTCAAGGGCCTTGGTATTGCTTTAGTAGCCGCTCAGAAGGCAGAGGTTCCTGTTGTCTTGATCGACAATTCAGAGGCTGGTTTACAGAAGGGTCTCAAATTCGCGGGTAGGCCAATACCTCTCCAACATTTTCAAATCAACACTGACACATCATTTTTCACAGATAAACTCCTCGAAAAAGACATCGCCAAAGAACGCATCACTCGCGAGACCGCAGATCTCGTCCGCAGCCGCCTCACTCCCAGCACCAAGCTCTCCGACCTCTCCGATGTCGACTTCGTAATTGAGGCCGTCCCCGAAATCCTCGACCTCAAGACCTCCATCTTTTCGCAGCTTGCCCAAATAGCGCCCAAACATGCCATCCTCGCCACAAACACATCATCGATACCCATCACCAAAATCGCCGCAGCAACAACCAAAGATGCCACAGACCTCCAAGCTCCATCCCGTGTCGTATCTACGCACTTCATGAACCCGGTCCCAGTCCAAAAGGGCGTCGAAATCATCTCTGGGCTGCAGACATCCCCCCAGACTCTCGAAACGGCACTCGAATTCGTTAAGCGTATGGGCAAAATCCCCGCCGTCTCTGCCGACACACCTGGCTTCCTTGCCAATCGCATCCTTATGCCATACATCAACGAAGCCATTATCTGCTTGGAAACCGGCGTGGGCCACAAAGAGGATATCGATAGTATCATGAAGTACGGCACAAATGTGCCTATGGGTCCATTGACGCTCGCTGATTTTATTGGTCTTGATACTTGTCTTGCTATTATGAATGTCCTTCATACTGAGACGGGAGATAGCAAGTACCGCCCGTCCGTGCTATTGAAGAAGATGGTCGATGCGGGTTGGTTGGGTAAGAAGAGCGGTAAAGGATTTTATGATTATTGACGTCGTTCATGATGGAATGGCATCTGATGTTATGTGAAATAGAAGCGCTGTAAATGAGTCTCTATCAAATCGATGTACGAGGCATGGCAGTCAAGAAAGCGATAAAACTTTTCATGTACATTTTTTCAACTCAGGGTATCATATGTAAACAATTTCCCATTTCCCGATAGACATAGTCCAAAACGCCGTATTTATGTAGGAGCTTGTTATGTTGTGGTGTCAAACAGCTCCTGAAAACCGCCTCCCAGCCCATGCAGATCCGTATTCAAGGTATTCCTGCCTTGTTATCGCGACAGTTGCTAATTCTTGTCGATCCGTCGCCATACGTGACGCTCCCTGCCATGTTGAGCGAATAGGACTATGCGGCCAGAGTCAGCTCAGTAAATGGATTGGGTGGTCGTATACATTGACTTACTCATTTGGCCGTTTCACACGGACAACACATTCAGCTGATGCCATCTGTCGGATTTCCATTTCTCTATGAGAGATCAGTTAAGATAATATGGCGCAGAGGGGAGCTAAGGATCTTACAGTCTGTCTATGAATCCAGGGATGAGTGCATTGCCGCCAACGACCAGAATATTGGCTAGAAATGCCGGGTGAAGACCAGTCGGCAGCACAGACAAACTCTCCAGAACGATCTCGGGAATACCAGCCTGCCTCATGCCAATATCCGAAGGATTGAACAGTATCTCCGGAACAGTGAATCTTTCATTCCCAAGGACGAGAAAGTCCTCGGTGACAAGATCCCCGGATCCAGACATCAGACTCTTGCGCTTCTTTGCATTGATCAACGGATCATGTGAGCGCACAAACCCCTTTTTGTTCGCCGTTGGGTCTGGGAGTACATAATCCACCACGATACCTTCGGCCGACGCCTGGGATTGTCCTCGCGCCTTTGTCGCTTTCCACACTTGCTCCATGTCGGCTTTGAAATCACTAGACACATAGCATACAGCTTCCTTAACGTCGTTCATGATATGTGTTTCGTCGACCATGTTGTATTGACGCATCGAGACCATTTCCTTGATGTAGTTGGTGAGATGTTTGCCTCCTAAGTCGAGTCTTCGAATAGCTCGTTGAAGCGGTTGGCCTTTGTATACGGGTGTAACGATTGTGTGAGAATATCCAGAGTCGATGACCAGTAGGCATTCCGCTGGTAAGACTCCTGCTGCTGAGCTATCCGTAGGATCGCCAAATATAGCATGTATATCGTTCCAGGCATTCAGCGTGGGTCCTACGGAGCGACGCACTGTCAGCTTGAGTCGTACTAATATGGGTGTTCTACTAACCAACAACTCTCGCATAACCACCGAATCCCCATTCCTCCATCACCATCTCATCCGCATTCCTCTGCAAAACCGGCAGCCCATTCGGGGTATCCGCCAGAATCAACGTCGTCTCCGCCGGATCCGCGACGCGTACTTCTTTACTCCGGGCCGTCCTCTCGTCGAAGAATGTCTGCTCCCAAATCTCCTTTTGGGCTTCCCAATTCACTATATAGCCCTTTTCGACGGGTCGGCGAAACACGGCTTCGTTCCAATCGGAGATGTGTGTTGAGAGTTGGGCGCCGACGAAGACGCGGTTGTCGCGAGTTCGTGCGAGTGCGTTGGGGATCGTTACGCATGAGGATAGAGGGTCGTCGGCCTTTTGCGTTTGGAGCGTGGATGGGGCATAGCCTGCTTTGATGGTGTACGCGCCGTTGTCAATGATGAAGGTTTTCTCGGGTAGAGGTTGGACTTTGGGCGCGGCGGCCTGTTTGGCGGGTGCGCGTGGTTTTGTGACCATCTTGATTATGTGTCGGTACGAACAATTCGGGTTCGAGTAGGCATTGCTATAACCGTGTCGGATAGTTGGCTGGTGCTAGAATGGCCGTGACGGAATAAACTTGGCGGCGGAGCGGAATGCAGGATTTAAAGTCCAAGCTTACGAATCTGGAGATTAGGGCAAGCCTTTAGGGCTAGGATCGACCTCATGCAGATGTGCACGTAGGTCGGCATGTTCTAGGTATCGGGTGAGGTTGTAGAGTCCTTGATAGCCTATTCCAGTCACGTGCAACTCTTTTTTAGAAAATGTGTAGCTACTCATGAACATCGATCGAAAATACGCGTAGTTTTGCTGGTGGATATATATATCCGTCAATGTTTCAACGTTGAAGTTTTTGCGGTATATATTTTCACCCAGCGGCAATGATTGGATGGATAATCGTCCACAGGAAAGCTAAGCCTACATCTACGACAGAAAACAGCCTAGACGATAGAGTTGGACTGCCACCATCTCCCCAGGGGTTTGGAATAGAAGCCGCATGAGAGCGTAGTAGGAATATGGAGAACCTATCGTGGTATAATTTTATGTCAGACTCGATATTCCAACGTCATCCGGACGACTACAAGCAAATTCTTTTTCACCGTAACCATAAAAGCTCACCAGAAAGAGACCACGCATTCCCAGCAAAAATAATAAATGTTATAAGTGAACATTGGTAATCGAGCAAAAAAATGCCAAAAAATGATCACAAGATCTCCCCAGCAGGGAGTCGAACCCTGTTCTAGCGCGGGTTGCTGCTATTGCAGTGACAAGCGCCAATCATGACCGGTAGACCACTGAGGGGATTGATGTATGGGGACTGCAAAATATGATCAATCAAGCCAAGAATCAGACAAGCGCAAGCTAAGCCCTGAAGCAGTTTAATCATGTGGGGCTGATACGTATCGCTATCTCAAAAAAAGTGCGGGCTAAAAAGTATGAGCTTGGAGGGGACTTGAACCATAACAATTTAAGATCATATTTTTTTTTTTTCAAGAATCGTACGCCGACACGGAGCGCTGATGCCGTGGCAAACAGAGCGAGATGTCCCAGAAACTCCACAACCTCCTGAACACAGCCCTCGTGCTCTCAGAGCAATTCCAACAAACCCTCGACACGACCCCACCAGCATCACAAAATGCCACACCCCAACACCAGGAACAGATCGCAGACCCCTTGATTATCCTATCTAACAGCACAAAATCGCTCAGGGCGCAAGTCACAAAGCTGTCATTGCTCGCGATAACGGCTCCTTTTACGCCTTCGGCGATATCGACTTGTCTGGTCTCTGTGAATGATTCCGTGATGCCCTCGATGGTTACTGCGGCACTGCTACTGACGCCGGGCGAATACACGAAAGCATTCTCGACGGAGGCCCGTATACTCGTCAAAACGGGGTTGAAGGAATTTGCAGTTTTGGTTCAGGAAATCATTAATGCAGCCGAAAATCTTGACCCTTCCTTCCCATCCAGAAATGACGGATATGCAAAAAGTGCGGAGGACAGAAAGAAGGAACTCGAGAAACAGGAAAAGGATATCCTTACCTCTCAGACGGGACGGGTATGGGATGTCTGCGACACGATCACGACGCTCATCTCGCAAGGTGTCGTGGGGCATGTCGCGAAACGAGTGCAGCAGTGGCATGATCTAGTCAAAGATGCGATTAGCGAATTGGAGGAATGGGACCCGGAGGATGAGGATGATGGCGGATTTGAAGAATTGATGAGTAGCGATGATGACGACGACGACGAAGATGAGAATCAGAGTAGCGAGAACGAAGATGACGAGAAAGATGTTGAAGCTCTCCAGTCGCAGAAAAAGTCTCTGCTTCGCGCGCTCAAACCTATTGCTCAGGTCTACCCGGCTGTAGTCTCGAATCGAGTCAAAAAGGGCGGTCTAACGGCAAATATCCCGCAACAGATCGCGAAACTGGAATTGCTCACGTCTAATTTGCAAAGTATACCGGATCATGTTGATGAGGCTGCCGGTTCGCTTTATGAGCACAACCTGGATGAATGCCAAAAGTATTTGAAGTTGGCCAAGACGACTGCTGAAAGTGCGATTGACATGGTTGTTTTCCCGTGGGGAGGTGAGCAAGAGGATAAATTTACGGTCTGGTCGAGGACGTGGAGAAAAGTCATGGGCGATGTAATTAGTGATGTTCAAAAATGAATATAGAACGCTACCTAATGTATCAAATGATATCGTACAACAAAAACATAACGCTGCGTGTGATGTGTGTACTTCAAMCCCGCCGTAACAACCCCGAATGCAAGCATGCATGCGAACTAAAGAGCATCTGGCTCGACCTCATTCAGTTCATCAGCAGGGATTCTGCCTTTCAACCATTCCAGAACAGCCTCAGTCCCTTTCTGCACGACCTGCCACCGCGGAACGCGGAACCTGTTCCCAGCAACCTCGAATCGTTTCAGGCCTCCGCCACCCTCTCCACCCAGTAGTCCGATCTTCGGTGGTAGGAAATCGATGTTGTTATTACTTATATCTAGTACTTGTAGTCCCTTGACTGCATTGTACTCGAGACTAGAGAGTTGATTATCCGCCGCGAGATATGTAATTAATCGAGGATAATGCTGTCGAGCAAACGGTAGAGATCCGGTAAGACGATTGTTGGATATATCGAGGAACTTCAAAGCAGGTGCTGACAGATTTTCAAATAGGGAATCGATCGCAGCCAGACTGCTTCCATTTAGAGTCAGGCTTTGCAGCTGAGGTAAAGAAACCGACTCTGAGAATAGACTCTCTGCCTTCAACGGATTCTTGGACACATCTAGATCGATCAAAGTGGTTGAAATGAGATTCAGTGCAGGAACAGGGAACATCTGTAGCTTGTTTCGCTGGAGGTAGAGGCATTTAATATCATAAGTTGATAGTAAAGGTCTCAACTCGTCAGCATCTAGTTCCGTCATTTCAGTAGCGGAACGATCAAGGACGCCTCCGGTCTTTACTTTCCAGCGATTCAAATGACTTGGACTTTCTGGTGCCAATGTGAATTCTGTTGCCACGGAACCTTCTTCATCCTCGTCCCCCATTTCACTTCTGGCTCGTGTTGGTGCCCCGTCTTGGTCTGGCCCACTGGCCGCTGCTGGAGGCTTGCAACGATTGCGTAGATCATTCTTGAGTTCTTCCGTATCCATTGTCAAAAATTTTCTCTCTCTCAAAGGGTTATTTGCAACATTGAAAGTAGCTAGGTTGTCCATCAAACCGATACGTTCATCCAATTTGCTAAGGTCATTAGCTGTCAAGTCCACGTGTCTGAGACTTTTCAAGCCAAAGAATCCGTCTGGCAGTGTTGTAATACTATTGCCTTCTGCCGTTATTCTCAAAAGCGACCGACAACCCACCAAAGAAGGGAAAGATTTCAGGCGGTTCGCATCGACTAGCAGAAACTGTAGATTTGGAAGATTAAAACTATCGTCTTCCGATAAGTTATCAAGTGAATTGAACGCAACATTTAGGATCTGCACGCTCTGGAATCCTTCTGCTGTTGACTCAAACAATATACCCTGGAGTTTGTTTCGAGAAGCATTCAGTTCCACTAACGGAAGTTTGCTTAATGCCAACGACGGCAAGGATGTAAGTTCGTTTTCAGCAAGGATCAATGTTTTCAAGCTTCGAAGCTCGGATATAGCATCAGGAAGAAGACTGACTCGATTGCCGTGTAGATCAAGCACTTCCAAATTAGAAAGCTGACATAGACCAGAGAATAACGTTCCGTCTAGATTGTTGTTGGCTAGTTTAAGATCGACCAAGTGCTTAAGCTCTGTAACCACTTCAATATCCTTCATCGTGAACTTATTATTGGATAGATTCAACGAGGTCAACCGCTGTAGCCTCCTGAAGCCTATTGGCAGAGACTGTAGAATGTTACCATGAAGATCCAAAATCTCCAGACCTCCAAATTGATTGCCCTTGCTTTCATCTTCCATGTCAAAATTCTCCGGATCGATATCCGGGAAGGCTTCATCTGGTAAGGTAGCCAACTCGTTATCTGCTGCAATGAACTTGACAAGATCGACATTCTCAAACCAGTCGGAGTTGGCGTTGGGATCGTACTCATACATCTTGAGCACTTCATCCGGCAAAGTACTCAAGCCTAATGCTGCGATGTTCAGTGATCCAGACTTCCTGGCAGTATCTACTCGTTTCTGCAGCACTGCTTTATTACCACCCTTTGGAAGCTGACTAAACGGATCCTGAGTCTCAATGTTGTCCCACGCGTCGAAAGCGGCGGTGCCAGTGCTACTCTTTCTGGCGGCTTTCCGGGCTGCCTTCGCCTTGGCAATGCTCTCACGCAACGCATTGGAGGATTTTGAAACCTTGCGAACTTCTGTGTCCGGATCAATGGTTTGCTCTGAGCCATTTGACGAGTTTTTAGACGTAATGGATGATGGTGAAGTCATGTTTGATGATATATTAGAAGGCGGCTGTCTGGTTTTCTTGACTGTGATCGGAGATGGAGTAATCTCGTCCGGTGTCGGTTTGACAAAAGTAGATGACAATGACAGCCGTGGCTTGGGCTTCGTAACATCTATGCTTCCAGTCAAACGTGCAGGTTTCAAAGGCAGAGTGTCCCCGCGCTTCGAGGGTATGACTCCAATCATCGAACTACGTTTTCCGGGTCCCAGACTTTGTCGTCCGAATGAGTTTACTGAGGATACAGACGAATCTGTAGTCTTTGGCGGAGGAATAGATTCTCGGCTTGACATGGATACAGAGGACATTCTTGATGATGCCCGCCTTGTCGTGGGAGATGGCCTACCGTCTCCATCTTCAATGCCCAAATAATTTGAGGACCTCGAGGGCGATCGCGTTTGGTCATTCAGCCTCGAAGGAGGTCGTAACGGAGGGCCCATTGATGTGTCATGACCGATGTGGAGAGTTCTTCTATTGTGCGGCGATGGAGATGGTGGAACTCGGGATAGTGTTTCGATTGTGCGATCAGAAAGCGACGGAGCCACCGGCGACAATGGATCAGTACGTCCTCTAAGTGTATCCCATGTTTCATTAAACTCTACTGGCGATTCGGCGTCTTCGATAAAGCTGTGAAGCGTTTGAGTCGACTCGCGTCGTCGGAGGTGCTGGCTTGAGATTCTCCGGGTCAATGTTTCTTGTGACGGTCGTCGTAGGCGATGGTGATTCACGCCGGTGTCAGCCTGAAGTCTCTCTCGCGATGGTGACGGTCTGATGGTCTTTATGGTAGCTTGAGTCGGCAATGGAATTCTGGAGACCGGGCGAGGTATGCCGCTTGGGCGACCTGGTGTTTTGCTTTGTTGCATGGTTGCAGGTGTATACTAAGTAAGCTAATTCATGTATTGTAGATCAAGGTACTCATGATAGATATACCGATCGTGTGCCGGGCAAATGCTCTGGAAACTCAGGTCCAGCACGCGCACAACAGGAGCCCCTGTCTGACTTATATTGCTGTTTGCGAGATGATTTCTGGGTGCATACAAGAAAAGCAGAAATAGCAGAGCGCAGTGTATAATGACACACGGCGACGAAAAGAGAAAGTTCCGTTGCAGGCTTTGAATCAATTGTTAAAGAGCTTCAGGAGATTATTTTGAGCAGGGCGGAAAGTTGGATGTCAACAACGGCAAGTGGGCCTCGGGCTTTCAGCAAGGGGATCTCGTCGGTTTACCATCCTATTGGCGTGCCCTCCCCACTCTGTGCTTGGGGATCGGACTGTTTCATTAGTTAACACTGACTATTGACAAAATGTTCGAGAGCTGGGTTTGAGAGTGATATGAAAATGTTGCGGTCTCGAGGTGCTCCTCACTGGACCCACCCGTGCAACATCTGTCGATTCAACTTCCGGTGGTTGACATACAATCTATATAAAGCACTGCTTATGGCCATAGGAGTCAAATTCTGTCTATAGAGACAAGGCGACATCATCGACTTGTATCGACACCGATCACTTAAATAAGTCAGTCAAGACAGGAAGATATATATTTCTGACAGTGTGCACTTAATCATATTCTCCAATCATGGAAATTTTGATCAATAGCACCGTATTTTCAGTTGACAGATCTATTCGGGTGTATCGTATGTAGTATCAGTCAGGGAGTACGGCCCGATCACTTAATGGAAACTGAAGAAAAACAACTTGGGACGTCCAGAGCTAATCTTTTCCATTCCTACGCCTAGTCCTTTATGATCATACATACATCGTCTTTCCGTGGTAGGGTAAGTTGTTTACCTCGACGGTCATGACGGCTGGTATGCAGCGCCGAGAGATCCTGAAAAGGTAGTTATAGGTAAACCAGCAAAGGATGATAGCTGGCTCGCTCGAGTTCATACTGACCGATATACATGGGCTGGTGTTCCTGCCATTTATGTGGCTGTTTCAATTGGCGCGTTTTGCCTCTTGGCCTGCAGATGAGCTGCTGAAAGGTAGCACAGTCGATACTTGGCCCTTCAATCGAGGACGAGTTGGAACTCTTTGCCGCAATTACATTGCAGAATGCTAGAGAGCTTATTAGACCAAATGGTTATGCGCCTTTACAATATGATTGTAGACGTACGAAGCATTGGCTGAAAATAAAAGTCCTCGAGAAGAAACCGACGAACAAGTACCTGTGACTGGGCTTGGTGAAACGTGGTATAGGACTAACTGTGGATCCTGTCATCGAAATCAGTGGCTCGTATAGGACGCCCGCGGKGAAGGAAGCCATCGCTCGTGGCAATAAAGCAAAAGGCCTAGATTTACTTACCCACACGATAGCTTTAGTGAGCTACTGAAGTTGCCTGCTGAACTGCTATACCGTCAAGTCCTGGACTTGTGGATTTGCAAAGAATTATCAAGATTGGAGACTGCAATACAAATGGCTTTGCGGGACTCCTATTGGCGCGAAAGAGCGACGGAATACCTGGTCGAGATGAACGAGAAGTTTAATATACGACTGGTCCCATGCTTGGAGGATTTGATGTATCAAATTCAAGATGAGGTCAACGAATTTCTCCTAGAACACGAAGATCTCGAGAACATGCTCTGACACGAGCTAGATATCGCAGAATGGATTGGATATCGTCGGAGGAGGGGAATGGGATCTCGCTGAAATATAACGCGCCGCAAAGCTGCTGTTCAATATCTCTTCTTAATAAACCTAGTGTCCTTTTCGCAGCCGTAGGGGCCGCTATTCATACACAAAATCTATCGTAGCGAGATGTGGCCGAGCAATGACAACCTGTCCGAGTCTGATGACCGTATAGCCATTAGGGCTAGCTCCATATGTATATTTTCATGAATCAACAAACTGCCAGGCCTCTCTCCGCCCGGCCACAGCTTGCGGCGAAAGATCGTATATGTGACTGGTGGCCCCCATGACTGCTGACGTAAAATCCGGAAAATGACCTTTATTCTTCCTAAGACGGGGGATTCTTAGGATTACAACTGTAACATGGCCAATTGCTACCACCAATGGCATTGTGTTAAGAAGGACCCTCTCATTAATGGCCTACTTGAACTCCAGAGCCCAGTGCCATGTTCAAAAAAACCCTTGCAGTCTGACATGTCGTAAGGTGGCTGGGCAACCCTGTGGAATGCTGAGCTGAACAGGTTGCCTTGTCAACGGACGAAGTAGAGTGACGAAACGAGAAGTTGGAGCAAGAACACGAGGAGCTGACACCATGGCAACCGCTGTTTACGTCACGTGAGGACAGCGCCGCGAACGGGAATGCTGATTTGCTGCGTCCGTGCTCATCCCCGCGCTAAGCGTCGAGATGAACAGCGCGGATTGGCTACGGCGGCATAGTCACATTCCCATGCGCGGCTGGGTTCACGTGGTTGGCTGCGGCGGGCGGTGGGTCAGACAGCCAATGCCCAGCCTCCTCGTCACCTGCCAGGAACACCACCACCTCGTCAGTATATCACTGCGTTATCTGCTGACTACCGCATGTCGAGTCAACACACTACATTCCTTCCTCTCTTCGCTCGCCTTTCCATACCGTGATCCCTTCATACGTGGAACGGCTGTCATCTTCCCGTCCTGCGGCAATCTGTGCGCCTGCCGAGCACTTCATCCTTAGTCTGTCTTCAGTCTGGTCGTGGAGCCCTATCGCCGATAAGCGGGACAACCCTCCATTGTCGTCATTGCACCATTCACCGCCAACTAAGAGATACATTCAACTCAAGGCGGTGTATAACACTAAACCAAAGATTTGGTTGAAAGGAGACTTGGACTAGGTGATTATTAGGATATTCTACTGCATGGCGGACCACGAATACTGATTATCAGCCCTAGACTCAACTACACATCATGTCTCAAGATTCAGAGGTCAGGTCGCAGGCCTCTTTAGCTCCTGCAGCTGAAATCCTCATCCCCAGTACGCCACCTCGGCGATCCATTCTTTCGGCATCCCCAGATCTCAAGCCACTGCGGGACCGAAATGGCAGCTTATCAGACAAGAATGGAGGCTTCTGCTCGCCACAACACGCATCGTCTTCAGAAATGACACCACCTCCTTCATCCCAGACTCGTGCACCACCTCGTCGACGATCCAGGTCTGGGTCAGCATCGCATGTGGTTGTCCCCGCCTCTCCCCCAAACGAGTCACTCGAAAAATCACTGTACGCTGCTTATGGCGCTGCTGAGAACCTCCCCACTACAGAAGACATTGATAGTGCAGACGAAACACAGCTTCGAAAGATAGCCAAAGACTTGTTAGCTGTTGCGCAGGAAGCGCGTATGTCTGCGCTGCATTTCAAATTACAAAACAGTCTTCTATCATTTACAAGCAACGAAGCAATCAAGCGAGCCGAAGTTGAGCAGCAGCTTGCTCGCAGAGAAGTTGAAATTCTGCAGAGCTCAGAGTATCAGAACCGCCGCGCCATTTCACATTCACAAACACCTCAAATTTGCCCCAGTCCAAAGACAGAGGCCTCTCTAAAGCGGATTTCTGAACTCGAGAGCACTAATGCTAGATTGGAAGAGAGATTGTCCAATGCGAAGAAGTTGATTCAGGAGAAGATTGATGAAGGAAATAACAAAAATGAGTCTCTATTGGATGAAAATCGTCTGCTCAAGAAGCGTATCAGAGACAACCGCGAGCATCTGACAATGTTCCTCGACGCTGGCTCTTTGTCACCAAATTCTCGTGCCGAGTTCAGTACTCCTCACAGAAAGTCTCAACCTCGTCTATTTGACAGCGCACGCACACACACTAGCAGTCGCGGCGGCAGTCATGACGCCTTCGCTACTCTCTTGGCTGCTGATCGTGTATTACATGGTAACTCTACGAATGTTTCTCCAAACAGAAATCGACAGCATAGGAATGGTCATATGGGAGGAGCTCATGTCAGAGGAGCTCACTCCATGTCTTCAATACCAGTCACCCCTCAACACCATGCGCATGTCCATGAACCTCGATACATTACGCCCGGCAGCAGACCACATGAATTGGTCAGAAAAGATAATTTTGATCCAGAGGACAACCGTCATGACCGGGACAGCACTATTTCGGTTTCTGATGCGGAGGAAGCTATCACTGACGAAGACATTCCAGCATCCCAAGCTAGTTCTCGCGCGACTGATATGCTCCGTCGTCTACCAGAGCTTAGTCAAGAGTCTTCACAGCAACAGTCCGCTCGCAGCAATATTGGCAAATCAAGCACTTTGCTCCAGACAAAGCTATTTGGCCATGTGAAAAAGGCTGGCGTTGACCGACCTGGCCCTGGTCAGAAACGCAAAGGGTCTTTTGTCGAAGAAGGTCCCGCATTGAAGAAGCCCAAGGATGTTGGGTTGGGTATCAGCAGCTGGAAGTTGTCTCCCGTCTAGTGTTCTGGCTGGCCTTGCATAGCACTTTTGACGATTTGATGATGATTCTGAGCGATTGAAAGGAAGGTCGTTAAGGGTAGGGAAATTGCTTGGTTATTCTTGGGGTTATTTTTACTTTGCGTTGGAGCTAGTGGTTCGCCTGCTGGGCTCATGAAAAGAAGCGTTTGGTTTGAGTCTCGACTGAGACCCTTCATGTATAATTATTATTATAGCTAGAATCAATGACAGCTACATATCATACAATTGTGAAGAAAATCATCGTAGGAGTCAGTTATCGTAACCGGAAGTAAAGCTTACATAACCACCCGAATTGGAATAGTTAGGGCTCGCTAAGCGAACAGACTCCGCCAGCAAACGGCGGCCTCTGACTGGCCCTTGCCGAGCGACGCTTGGCACCACACCAAAAAAAAGTTCCACTCAATATTGAACCTACTCCAACCTCAAGTCAAGTCAGTCCTTTTCGAGACTCGACCAGCAACAACTCCGTCGACAATCCACATAGTGAGACTTGATCTCCGTCCGGCACAATGGTTAGTCTTAACGATCTGGAAGAAGATGATTTATCTGGAATATGGATTTGGAATGGCTGGCTGACGGGTTTGATGAATAGGCGATCAAGCACAACAACGTTATCCCCAACACTCGTGAGTTACACTTTGTCTACGCTTCTTGATGATGGGAAAGAAAGGAATTGCGCAATAGAAGAGCTGGAATGAGTCTCGAAAGCAGAGAATGGATGGCGAACGTGCAATAAGAAATACTGGGACAAATTGAAGGACATTTACTGATGGAATTGGTATTCAGACTTCCACAAGGACTGGCAACGTCGTGTCCGCGTGCACTTCGACCAGGTACGCTCTTATCAACTATACGATATATCGCGAAGAACGAATTTTTCAAATTGAAGGATTTTCGCGGTATGTAAAGAAATGCTGGCTAACGAGAATATACAGCCCGGACGTAAGCACCGCCGTCGTCAGGCTCGTCTGTCTAAGGCCGCTGCTGTTGCTCCCCGTCCAGTCGACAAGCTCCGCCCCGTTGTGCGATGCCCTACCGTCAAATACAACCGCCGCTCTAGAGCCGGCCGCGGTTTCACCCTCCAGGAGTTGAAGGAGGCTGGCATCCCCCGCAAGCTCGCACCCACAATCGGCATCGCCGTCGACGCACGCCGCAAGAACGTTTCCCAGGAATCGCTCACCGCCAACGTCGCCCGCCTCCAGGAGTACAAGAGCCGCTTGATCCTCTTCCCCCGTAAGAGCGGCCAATACAAGAAGCTCGACGCCTCCGCCGAGGACGTCGCAGCTGCTACCAAGGCTTTCGCCGCCGAGGGCAAGGTTGAAGGATACGCTACCCGCGTCTCGTCCAGCATCCCCGTCAAGAACATCACTGCCGCCGAGGCTGTCACCGAAATCAGCCGATCTGACCTTCCTGAAGGTGAGAAGGCTGCCTACCGCCGATTGCGTGAGGCTCGCAGCGAGGCCCGCTACCTCGGTGCCCGCGAGAAGAGAGCCAAGGATAAGGCTGAGGCCGACGAAGCTGCTAAGAAATAGATATCAAAATGATGTTTCACTTCTTCAAAACCTTTCAAATATGATAATGATATCCTTCAAAAACTCCTCCTCTTTCCTCCTCTTCTTCATTATCATCGGTATTGTGCATGTGTTTTCATGGGAGAGATTTTGATGCGAAAAGGTTCAAAGTCTCGGGGTCTGATCATGAAAGTCGGTTCTTTCCACCTTGCCCCAAAAGGTGTCCGGGTCGAGATTTTCAAACGTTAGTTGGGTACGGCGTGATACTTCGCGTTTACAATTGTCGTACAATGGTTTATGTCATGTTACAAAAGAAATAACTCTTCATCTTATCTCTCGTATAGAAATAGTCTCGTATTCCCAAGCTATATACAGAAGTCGTAATTTTCAAGGGTATGATTATAAGATATCCACCCCAAAAAGCACAACTATCACACCTTCCACCGCCTTCACAATAGCCTGCGCCTCTCTCTCTTCTGCAATGTCTGTCTTTCCGCTACTCCCCTCTCGAAGCACAGAATGAAACAATCTCTTTAGTTCCGCTTCAACTTTCCTCCGTTGCGCCTCCCCCAACTCAGAGATGTGGATACTTATATCCGGTTTGAGTTGCGCTTCGCTCGTCCATGGGTCCAGACTCAAAGGACAGCTAAGGATCAGTTTTGATTCTCTTTTCGCCCCGGGAAAAGAAGCTCCCGGAGGCTGCGGTGGAGATGTGAATAGCATCGACGAGCGTCGTAAATGAGGGAGAATGAATCGCGAGTCTGGTTTTTTTAGTGGGCCTGTTAATGACTCGGAATCTATATCGCCGAGTTTTTTACCCCTTTTAGCGCCCTTTCTGGAGAGAAGAGCCTCCTGACTCCTTCGAAGACGCGACCAGATCCGTGCTCTAGAAAGGGATGCTTCCCAAAAACGATTGACACCGAAACAAAGACCGGAAATGTCCAGTCCGACAATGGGGCTTGAGAGTCGTGACTCAATCCATGTTTGTAGAGAGACTGGGATTTTTGCTTCTGCTTTTGCTAATGAGCTTTTTGATAGGGATATAGAAGTGATTCGCTGCGATTGCAGCTCGGTTGTGAATGAAAGCGGGATCTTGAACTGGTTTGATGGAAAGGGAGGTGGAGCCGAGAGCGTGATTTCATGTGTTTCAACGATTGAAGCCTCTGAGACAGATAGAGTGGTGGAGTGCTCCAGTGTCAGAGGAGCAAACGCTGTTATATATGGTCTTGGGTCGGGTATGTTGTTGAGCGCAAATGAGTTGATGGGCTCGGGGTATGTTGAGCGGTGTTTGATTGGTACAGCATTGGCTGAAAATGGTAGGAGAGAGGATATTAGAGTTGATATTGGGGGTTGCTCCGTCTTAGAGTCCGATGATCGGTCGGTAGTTTTGTTTGTCGAGGCTAGAAGGGAACTGTATCGAAAGTCAGATACCGAAATGTATCATAGGGATCGATAACTCACATCAATTTCGAAACATCATCCTGACCAGCCCGCTGACCATCATGACCGCGTTCGGCTCGATTCGTCCAATTCTCTAGCAAAGCAACATCCGCCTTTAATTGATCTAGTTGCTCAAGAAGATCCCTCTTAAGCTTCTTTCGCTCCTGCAAAGCTGGATTATCGAGTTCTTCATCTTCATCTTCATCCTCATGTATACCTTCGGTTGGCGCTTCAATCCCAAAACCAAGTTTACTCGGACCCATTAAATCCTTTCGTAACCTCCTCCCTGCGCTAGGACTACTTATCAACTCCTGAGATGCTCCGAGACGTTTTTCACGGGCCAATTGAGTTGGCGTAGGAGGTAATTCTGGCTCAGGAAGATCATCATTGAACGATGAAGGCGCCAACAGGCCTGAATGTTCCAGTTCCCGAGTCGCACTGTCTAGCTCGGATGCGAGTTGTTCGTCCGGATCATCTTGTCGTATTGGTGTTGTTTCTACTCTTTCTTCTTGTTCACCCTCGCCGTCTCGGGTTGCACTCCGTCTCGGCGACTCAATCCTTCTCGATATCCTGCGCGGCGGCGCAGCAAAAACCTGCTGTTGTGCAGCCGCAATAGCTCCTCCTCTCCTCGGTGATTGTGATAGCGCTCTCAGCGGCGAGGACTCGATATTTGTAGTCAACGACGGCCGTAAAGCTTTCCGATCCCGTAACCCAAACGATATACCCTGCTGTTGTCGCTGTGGACTGCGCGTCGGAGATCGAGCCAGGACATGAGATAATATCTCTGGATTTGAGCGCGCCAGACTTGACCGCGTGGGCGATTGGAATGACTGTCTGTGAGTTACAGGCGATTGTTGTAAGAGAGGCACATTTGTAATGCTGCTGTTGTTTGCATCTTTGGTGGTCGTCGCGTCGGGTGTTGTTTTGCGTCGTTTCGATGGCGGGTCTGACATTTTCGTTCGAATATCGCTATGCGCAAATTTTGCAGTGATATCAGCTCGTTCACATAGATTCTGTCAGCCGTACTACATAAACAATCCTCAACTTCTTTCTCAATCGCGTCGCAGACAATTGCCCTATTCCGTTTCAGGAAGAACGTAACTAAAGCTCTCCCATTTGTTTGTCTTGTTTGCACTAATGACATAACGCATCCCACCTTCCATTTTCTTCCGAGCTTTACTTCCACGGCAATTACTCTTTTATTTTGAGACGGACTCACAGAACATGGAGCGGGCTACATGGGCTCCAAGCAGGCGCTTAATATCGAAACTATTCGACAAATCTAGATCTTGTCGCCTGACGGAACGGTATGCGACAATAGGACGCCACCGCAACCGCGGCCATTCCTCCGAGTCGGCATCACGAAGATCGTTCTCTCACACACGACTGAACAACGATACGGCCACACGAAGAAACTCAGAAACGCAGCAAGCATACCCTTTATCAGGCTACTACTCCGACCTCCTCTCCTTCCAACAACCGCCTCACCACCCAAAATCCCCATCTTCTCAACCTCCGCCCTCTTCAGCAGCTTCAGCAGAGAAAGAACCAACAAAAGAACAAAAACTGTCCATAGTCTTCGGCACTCGCCTCGCCGGCCCAGGTTACCAATCAACCCGCTACAACCCGGAAACCACACCCCCAGAATCAACATGGAAACAAATCAATGGCGTGCCTATACCGCCTCGACCCACGGAACCGGATAACTGTTGCATGAGCGGATGTGTGCATTGCGTCTGGGACGATTATAGGGATGATTTGGAGCATTGGGCTTCTCGGGTTAGGGATGCGCGCTTGACTGCTACTGCTGCAGGTGCGGATACGCGTGCGAAGGGTAAAGACATGAGACAAACGCCTAGAAAAGAAGTTGCGAGCGCGAGTACGAGTATGGATGATGATGGCGGCGGCAGTGAGGCGAATTGGGAGTTGCCTGCTGTACCGGGGGCACTTGGCGAAGAGGATTTGTTCAAAGGAATTCCGGTGGGGATTAGAGAGTTTATGAAGACTGAGAAGAAGTTGAGGGAGAAGAAGAGCAGCAATAGCCTCCAATCTTGAGGGAGGTTATAGATAGCATGGGTTATGATTGTGTATTGTATACCCTTCAATGTTTCATGTATATAAACCAAGATGTCATATGTATATAAATATAGATTCTACGAATGATGAGCGCTAGACAGTTTCTATCAAAGTACAAAGTAAATGCTTTATACTTACCATGTCGAACGATCTGCTGATCCTATCTAGCTTCGCAACGATATAGCCCGATTCATCAACTCTCTCAACCTATCCTTCTTCACCTTAGGCAAAGACTCCGGCTGCGAAAAGTTAGCTCAATCCAAGCAACGAACAGGAAAGGGGAAACCTACATCTCTACTCAGCAATTCCTTTACCATAATCACAAGATTATCCCTATCGCCCTTTCTCTGCAACTGCTCGTTCGTAGCTACTGCCTCCGTCGCGGGAGTAGATTCGTCATCAGTCACATCAAGACTCTTCTCAACCTGTGTATAGATATCTGTATCGATCAAACAATCCACCACGGCAGGACAGCCTCTATCATGAGACGCCATCAGAGCCAAGGCAAACCAGCCCTCGCTCCGTACGACGGGCCACTCGGTCTGCGTGATCATAGCGCCAACGGGACGTGCAATGTCTTTATGTAAATCAAATAGTCGATATAAGAGTGCAGGGGTCTCATCGTCCACATCGGCTGCATCCTTGCGAGACAAAAGAGTCCGGCAGATGGAGCAGATGATACGACCAATCTCAGTCTTGATAGGCGCCGTGTCTGTTCTGCCACATAGGGAAAGTAACATGGACAAATACGTGCGTGAATGAGCTGGCGAGTCTGGGTCGGAGGACAAAGAAGTGAGTAGTCGAGAAATATTTTTGATGTTTGATGCAATCACTAAACGAGTCACGCTGGTAGCTGCCAACTGGACCTGGGGTACAGTGTCGTACGTCCAAATCTTGGATACAGCGGGAATAATACCTGCGTCTCCAAGCTTCTCACGGTTTGATTCTGCAATGGACAGATTTTTTAGAAATCCGAGTGAGGCGTGGAGTACACCGCCAATTGTGTTGTTGTTTAGGTTGTGGATTAGAGCGCGATGGATGTTGAGCTGATCTATCATCAGTTGGCAGATTTCGTCCGTTCGAGCTACATTGCCTAGAACAACGCATGCACATATTTGTAATGTTTCTTGCCGTTGTGTAAGCCATGATTGGAGAGTATCTATCAATGGTGAGCCTATGGGATATGTTTCGAGGAATGTAGGTAGTGCCGAAATATCGCCTAATGTTTGGTTGAGTTTTAGACGCAACTGATTTAGGAGTTGGACATCTTCAGACACGGATTCATCGACTTCGATAGTGAAAGATCGCTCAAGGACTGATATGATGTGTTCGACAAGTTTGTGCCGAATACTTGCAGTCTGGAATCTCTCTGTTTGCAGGTATTGTGCAAGGCAGGTCACCAGACATGTATACTGTGCGAAAGTAGTGTCCTCTTGGAGAGCTATGTTCATCATGAGCACAATGGTGCCGTCGGGCGAGTTCTCGATGCCCTCGGCTGCACTGGTCAGCATTCTTGGAGAACATATTTCTAAGGATTGTGCAAACCTTGACCTGCTGTCATCTCGACTAACTCATATGTAAAATTGAGTAGCGCATTCCCTTGGATAGCCCCATCATTTATCTGCTTGAGCAAGATATATCCGAGCCGATTTGTAGCGACTTGAGCTTGAGCGGGTTCTAGGTCTATTAGCCATGAAGAAATATACACAAAGAGGGTTTGTACCAAAGTCTGTGCAAATATTATAAATCACTGGTATTGCCACATGAACCAGGTCTGGATTGAGTATCAAGCGCATGATCGCACGGGTATAATTATTGGACACGACAATTTCTCGATTCTCATCTATGATGACTCATCAGTTCAAATGCTCAAGCAACCAAGGTAGTAGCTCTACCGGTATCAGCGCAAGAATTTCCAATCAGCCGTAGTGAGTGAAAGAATAAATCTTTGTCTAAGTCTGGCGTGGCAATCAATTGCAAAAAGAACTGCAGCACCCCTGACTGACTAAAGGGGATTCTCCAAGATGCTTACACATCGTTAGCCTGAGCCCGGAGTATGTAATAAGAAATAGTAATTGACGTACGATCACGACTGGCATTGGCCAACGCCTCAGCCGCTTCTACCAGGTACCTCGATTCACTCTGCCAGAGCTTCTGAAGGATCGCAGCTACGCCTCCTAGAAGCTGAGGACCACGCCGCCCTTCTTGGGCGGCTGTATCAGCCGACTCGAGAGCTTCACGGAGCTCCTGAACGTCAAATACGTCTTCATCCCTTTCGGTCTTGGCGAGAACTTGCTTCAATGCACGAAACATCTGGTCTTGCTCTTCTGCTGGTATGACTTCTTCTATCCCCTTCGATGAAGAAAGTGATTTCAAATCTGTCAAGTCCGGAATAACACTTTCCACACTTGGTAAGTCTATACCTTCAGCCAAAGAAATGATATCTGTAGTTGTTGCAACCGGGACAAGCCCGGTGCTCGCCCCATCTTTATAGTCTTGCGAAGCCATTCTCATATCTCCTTCTTCTACCTGCAACTTTCAAGACGTAATTTCCTATCTGAGACTGTACCGGGATAGAAGTGGATGCCTAATCTTTAGGAAGGGCTTGTAGTACCAAACGTGGTCATAAGCCAAGTTGCATCTATCTCCAGGCTCCAAGCGCCAGCCCCACGTTGATGACGGTGAGGATGGATGACTTGCGAATGTTGCCAGGATAGAAAATATCTCCGGGGAATGTATTCTTCTCTCTCAAAATGAAAGGTGTTGCTTGTGTTGTCAGAGAAACACTTGTGTAGGTATTGACTGTCCAGTTAGGCACTTAAGCTTGATAGAATGAACAGGTCTCAAGAAGCAATTGGGTTCGCAGCCATTTGATTAAAATGTTCCAGAGACCAAAGACATAGCCTCCGATGTTGTGACGATGGATATAGTGGGAGTCTGTTGCCTGGGACTAGATCAAGCCATGGCGCACAGAGATATTCAGAGGTAGATTTTGGCTGGAATGGCCAAGGGAAAGAAATAGCCGTCCGTTTGTTGCCTGGATGCCTTGGCCGTCTGACTCGTCAATTGTACTGTTCTGATCTATTGCTACGGTCATGAGGCTCAAATACTGCATTAGAGTCTGTTCCACTTGCTATAAACGTCAGTCTATTCATGACCATGATCATGTCTGCAGACAGTTCTTGAATCGATTGTGGATACTAGCCTCAGGCAGCATCAAAGCTAGCCTGCCTTAGCTTTCAGGAACCAACCTTAATACGGCAGCCTCCGCGGCCACTCGCGCAGAGCTCAGAGCAAGTTGTCTACATCCTCATCAAACATTTGCCTAGGATGAACAAGCTCATACACTCTTTTGATCCATTAACACCGCCATTCTCTTTCTACCCGTCTTGACTCATTCATCCCGAAGAAATAAATATAATCACCATCACAATGACGCGCGCCCAGCAAACAGTCTCAATACTCCTTCTACTTTCTTCCGTACGCTGTCCCTTTCTTCTGTACAGATATAACTCCATAGCCATATTCTCGCTAACTTTGTTTCGCCACAGTTATATCTCGCTCTATACCTCGGGCTCATCCCCATCAATGAAACAGTCCAAAACGAGATTGTCCCTGTTGTAAGTAACTTCTCCCTAAATGCCTATAGCAAAACAGATACTGATTGATGGGTAGCTCCCCTTCTACGCACTCATTGTCCTCGCATGCTTCCTCGGCGCTCGACTCGGATACATGATCTTGACCTTCAACGACGTTCCGCAGGAGTACGAGTCTCTTCAAAAGGAAATTGAGCAGGCAAAGACTGAGTTGCGCAAGGCTAATGTTGATGTGGACTAAATCTGGACTTGTTGGGATATCAATTCATTCAACCGATCTTTGTTATCATTTCAAAATGGAGGGATTGGTTTAAGGGTCGGGGGAACATTCTGGTATTCTCCTTCGAAAGGAGAAATATTTAATGTCTCCTCCTTGGTTATTTCTAAATGTATATATATTCTATATTCGAAAGTATTGATCCATCACAACATGACATGTTTTTCTGTTTCTAGAAGATATCATAATCTGATGTCATATGATGACAGCCAAAAGACTGTAAGAAAGCCGCTGCAATAAAGCTTTTAAAACAGGTAATTAGGATAACGCCGTGGTTTAGAATGTTATAAGCGTAATGCATAAAAGATTGGTGACTGTTAGTCTTTTTAGTTAGATGAGAGGGTTCTTCTTGGCCAGCTCGTCGTGCTCGTCAATGTCCCTGCGGTTCGTTAGCAACGTGGTTTATTGGTAATCTGACGGAAAGAAACGTACTTAGCCTCCCATGGGTAGCAAATCCAAACATCACCAGTTGTAACAGCGGCATGATACCGGCCAGCGGTAATCATGTCCTCGGGCAGCTTTCCTTTCTTCGCCTTGTCCTTGTTCTACAGAACGGTCAATCCCAGCTTATCAAGATCGGACAGAAAACGAAGAACTCACGTGCAAAACAAATATAGAAAAAGTAGTCTTTTCACCCTCCCGACCCAAACTCTTCTGCGCAAGCTCGACATCCTTCTCCAGTTCGCGGACGGCATATTCAAGTGTGGTACGGGTATCGTCCACCTCGTCGACGATCAACACGTTCTTGCCAATCAGATTGGCCATCTCCAACGAACTCAAGTCCAACCATTGTGTGCGCGTAACCTTGGTGCCAGGGACTTCTTCGGGATCGTCGCGGCCGAGATCCTCGTAGAGCGAGAGGCCGATGGCTTGGATGGGGATATTTCGTTCACCAGGGCGTTTCAAGAATGATCTGTTGAAGAAAAAATATCAGTAATGACATCCTGGAATTGCTGTGCCATGTTAACGTACCGAAGGATTCGAGCAGGTACGTAACCACCACCGCCGATTGCGATCATGAGATTAGGACGCACTTGCTCAAGGATTTCATCGGCGGACTTTTGACACAGCTTGTGTACCTGTAAACATGACTTGTTAGGATGGCGCGCTACCTAGATACTATAAGAAGTTCGTTCACACGTACCTGGTTGTATGTGACATAGAGCTTTTCAGGCATTTTGAAGAGCGTTGCGAAATATCGATTTGATAAGAGGAAGAAGTAAATTATTCGAATTCTTGGTATGTCTGTTCTGTGCTGTTCGCGACCTTATCTGTACAGGAAAAAAGAAGTAAAAAAATTTAACAGGTAACAATCGAAGGAAGAGAAAAAAAAACTGACAGTCAGAACCAGAAAAGGAAATTCAATGTCGGATAGGCTGCCATTGGATCCCCCGCTCTAAGTCCATCTCAGAATTAGCTAACAGCTACAGTTTTTTTCCGCCTCAGGCCCTCAGTTGCCTGTTTGGGCATGGTTGCGATCAGCATCCCCGCTCTAGGCTAGCTTAGGACTAGCCTATGCGATTTGTTTACATCTGTTACATACAAATACGTCAAATACCCTCAAATACATACGTACCAAGTGCACAACTTAGATATCCATATACTATATACGTACTTCGCACCACGCACCTACTTAGGCTTGTTGATCTCGGAGCGTTATATTGGGACGGTTTTATGGGACTGAAATTAAGCTACTTGACTAATCCATCGGAGGGTCGAATAACTAAGTGTTCGTAAATGCATAAGTTTGGATCTTGTGTAAACTCCCGGTCGATCTATATTTACGCCATGATATCATTTTAATCAAGTGTTGGATAATCCCTGCTACTTGGTGGTCATGTAAAATATATAGGAAATTAGAATAGCTTGCAACACTAGTACAGTGATCAGAGGCACATATTCTCGATCATTGACACATCGATCGATTTACATATACGGGTATGCGAAAGAGCCGAGGTTGATCACCGAACTTTGCTATGACCCTTTACTAAAAGGCGCTTAACCTGGAACATGTAAAAAGCTACAGCTACAGGGGAATAGAAAATCTATAACTATTCTCAAAGCCCATGAATCTCACGTCTTTACTAACACAACTCTCATTTCCGATCAAAATTGACATTCGAAATTACCATATTAATTACTAGTTTCCTCGCAGCATGGCGGCCCCCGGAGATCGCCGAAAGTCAGTTCTCATCACAGGGTATGTCTTGAAGCTTCACCTACAGCAAGCTGTACACCATGAATCTATCGCGACTAACGCACTAATTGACATGGAGATGCTCACCCGGCGGTATTGGAAACTCCCTAGCACGCGAATTCTATCGCCATGGTCTACGCGTCTTTGCAACTGCACGCGATGCCCAGCACATTCAAGATCTGGATGCGATTGGCATCGAGACGCTGAGCTTGGTAGTTGATTCGGAGGAGAGTATCAAGGCTTGTTTCGAAGAGGTTTCTAAGAGATTGGATACGAAGGGGTTGGATTACTTGGTCAACAATGCGTGAGTCTTCAATTCCTATGGGCTATAGAAAGATGGAGCTGATTAAAGGTCTAGAGGACGAAGTAAGTTTACACCCGATTGAGGGCATTGCGTCAATCTGATGTGCAACAGACTACACCGTGCCGGCTATGGATGTGAACATCGAGGAAGCGCGATTAACATTCGAAACGAACTTTTTCTCGGTGATTCGAATGTGTCAGACCTTCCTACCACTACTCATAAAATCGAAAGGAACTATTGTGCAGGTTGGATCTGTGGCTGGCGTGAGTGACCTCTGAAGATGTCCTATCGCACTGCAGTACTGACGTATCCAGATAATACCGTACGTCTTCGGCTCCGTCTACAATGCGTCCAAGGCCGCTCTTCACTCTTGGAGTGATACACTACGAATCGAGCTCGCTCCTTTTGGGTATGTCAAACCTACCTCCTGAAAACAATATGCAATACAAACTAAATAATCGCAGTGTCAAGGTAACGACCGTCATCACCGGTGGTGTCAAATCCCGTATAGCACGTACCGACCGCTCCCTCCCTCCCAATTCTCTCTACCGTCCGATCGACCCCGAATACCAACGACGCACCAAACACAGCCAAGAAGGCGCAATGCCGCACGAAGAGTATGCACGTAGCGTCGTGTCGCAAGTGTTGCTTGATCCTTGGCCTTGGAGATGGCTTTGGCCGACTTATCGGAAGTATATATGGGAAGGGAATCGTAGTTCTGTGATCAAATTCTTGATTGGAGGGTGGTTGTGGTATGGATTGTTCGATAGGTTGTTCACGAGGATGTTTGCGCTCTGGAAGCTGAAGCGCATTAACTAATGTGTCAGTCGAGATGATGTCTGAAATTCTGTGCTGTGCTGCAGAGGTCGCTCTAGCCGATTACTTCGCAATCTCATCTAGCGCTTAGACTTTGTGAAGCTAAAGGAATAAKCTCAAGAATCGCAAGGTGGTAATATACTCTCATTAGCTGAATAAGTATCGAACACACACAGAGTGTTGTAAAAAAAAAGATGTTGGTTGTGGTTATAAGGTCGGCATGTATCGGATAACGCAGCCTTTGCTAGGCGGGATTCCCGTCAGGTGACGGGTTATTCCGAATGGGAGCAGCCAGAGCTTCCGAAGATTTGCTCTTCCCTCGCAACAGATGCAACACGGACTGCACGTTATCAACACCTCCCTTTTCTTTTACTTTCTGCTTCCACACGAAATCTCCCCTCTTTCTCACATTTCCCTTCTGCTGACGTTATTGCGTCTCTGTGATAATACCAATTCTTGTCAGAATGTTCAGATTCGCGCGAAGCAGGTCGATCGCGACGGCTCTGAGAGCCACGGTTGTAAGTTCGGCCTTTGCTTGCGATAATTACGAGAAGAATGCAATCATATGTTGCTCATGACTCCACTTTCTTTTACCTTGGATAACTTGGATTACTTCCTCTCGACCGTGACTGACTGAGTTTCGTTCACAGGAGCCATCTCTTCAGACCAGATTTGCTGCGCAACAAAAGAGACACCTTTCTATCCACGAATACCTCTCTGCAGATCTCCTGAAATCTGTGAGTAGACTCGCCAATCCAGATCATCACCACCTCTAACGATCGGCGATAGTACGGCGTCGGTGTCCCCAAAGGCCATGTCGCCCGCACTCCTGAAGAAGCCGAGGCTGTTGCAAAGTCAATTGGTATATACTCGTCCTGGGTAGAAGATATTGGTTCGGATGAATACTAAGTCCTGTGTAGGTGGAGATGACATGGTCATCAAGGCTCAGGTTCTTGCCGGTGGTCGTGGAAAGGGTACCTTTGACAACGGCTTGAAGGGAGGTGTTCGTGTCATCTACTCGTGAGTCTACTTGCATATGTCTGGGGAGGTCATATTTTGATATCGATACTTGTCAGCCCCACCGAAGCCAAGATGTTCGCCGAACAGATGATCGGACACAAGTTGATCACAAAACAAACCGGTGCCGCCGGCCGTCTCTGCAACGCCGTCTACATTGTCGAGCGCAAGTTCGCCCGCCGCGAATTCTACCTTGCCATCCTCATGGACCGTCAGACTCAATCCCCCGTCATCGTGTCCTCCTCCCAGGGTGGTATGGACATCGAGACCGTCGCCAAGGAGACTCCTGATGCTATCCGCACTACCCCCATTGATATCAACACCGGTGTCACTGACGAGATTGCCCGTAGCATTGCTACCGACTTGGGCTTCTCTGCTCAATGCGTTGAGGACGCCAAGACCGCCATCCAGAACCTCTACAAGGTCTTCCTTGAGAAAGATGCTACCCAGATTGAGATCAACCCTCTTACCGAGACTTCTGACCACCAGGTCCTTGCCATGGATGCTAAGCTCGGATTTGACGACAACGCCGAGTTCAGACAGAAGGAGGTCTTTTCATGGCGCGATACTACCCAGGAGGATGCCGATGAGGTCAAGGCTGCTGAGTATGTCTAAAAAGCTATTGGTTTGCTTAAATACTGATCATTTTAGACACGGTTTGAACTTCATCAAGCTTGACGGTGATATTGGATGTTTGGGTATGTTGTAGCCAACCTGTCTATCTAATTCGGCAGACTAACGGCTATAGTCAACGGTGCTGGTCTCGCCATGGCCACTATGGACATCATCAAGCTCAACGGTGGCAGCCCCGCCAATTTCTTGGACGTTGGTGGTGGTGCTACCCCTGCTGCCATCAAGTCTGCTTTTGATTTGATCACCAGCGACCCCAAGGTCACCGCCATCTTTGTCAACATCTTCGGTGGTATCGTCCGCTGTGACGCCATTGCCCAGGGTCTTATCAACGTCGTTCGAGACATGGGTCTCCGTACTCCCGTCATTGCCCGTCTCCAGGGTACCAACATGGAGCAAGCCCGCAAGCTGGTACGTTCTACCCGAAGAGTCGAAGTAAACACATACTAACAACCTAAAAGCTCGACGAATCCAACCTTAAAATCTTCTGTATCGAAGACCTCCAGAGCGCCGCCGAGAAGTCCGTCCAATTCTCAAAGGTCGTCAAGATGGCTCGCGATATTGACGTGGGCGTCGAATTTACTCTCGGTATCTAAACCTGTCACTGTGTGTTAGCGGTTCTACAAGACTTTTTTCTTCCCCGTGTTTCCATATTATTGTTCCATAACCCACTATTTCATTATTTTATGGCTTCCTATTGAATTGTTTAGACTTTTGAATCATTGAATGCCATTTCGTTTGACTTCCTTACGAGAACACTCGTCACCCAGAGAACAGAAGAATAAGTACTGACCGGTGACATGTCGGCTAAATCCGTACGTTCCTTTCGTTGAATAGCTTGATCTGTACTCCTTGGTCATACCTCTCATACCGTTTCGTCGTTTCATTCGATAATAATGATACCTTATGGAGGGACATACAGGAGGATACATGTATAGGGAATACATGGCTTGGGAGGCATTGTTTAGTAGTCGGTACATTGTTTCTTAGTAGGTAGATTGGTGGTGGTTGCTAGTTTTAATTCAAAGACCATATAGTTAGAATCAATTGATACACACACTCTCACGAATCAACGCGCCAAAAAACAACTAATTGATAACAAACAAATCAAGACTTGACCTCAACCGGCGTCTCACTTCCAGCCCGTATACTTCCATCAGAATCAATCCTCGCCTCCGCCGGCCCATGGAAATGCTTATACCCCGTCGTAAACCAAGTCACAAGACTCAGCAGCCCGATAACCCCAATCGCGGCACTCGTATAATTCATCGTCTCTTCATTGACGGGTGCTTCGGAGGGGAAATTGAATGATATGAATGCAAACAACAAAAACAGGAAGCCGATTAGATTTGCAGATAGCGAAATCGGGAGGGAGAGAGAGTAGGCGCCTGAGAAGACGATTTTCTCGCGGAAGAAGTGACCTAGTAATCGGGCCAGGAGGGCGAGGGCGTATGATGCGTCTGTCCAAACTGTTAGTACTTTTGAAGATAACGAGAAGGGAGGAAAGGACATACAGAATCCAGTCGTGGCGATAGAGACGACTGTATTGAACCCCGTCACCGTCCCAAAATAGATCGAATTAAACGCCATCTGCACTACGACCGTAACCACAACCGCATAGATGGGGATATGCTTCTTGCGATCAACCTTGGACAACGTCCCCGAAAACGGTAGTCCCTGATCGCGCGCAAAAGCGTACAACGAGCGAGAACCATCCGCCACGAGACTGATGGTACTCACAAACATGATCACGACAATCATACTCGCCATAAAGCAGGCGCCTACTTTGCTTCCCGTCGAGTCGTAGAATATTTGTAGCACAGGTGAACCAGTGCTTGTATTTGCTGTGCTAGCGATGTCGCCTATACAGAAACAGAGCGTCACCAGGAAAATGAAGCCAGTCACGGCGCCAATTACGACTGAGAGAATCACGGCTCGGGGTGCGTCGCGGGAGGCATGGGTCATTTCTTCGGTCATGTGTACTGGGGTGTCGTAGCAGCACATGCCGAACAAAGCCTGGAGGATGCCGACGATGGTAGCCATTGCAGCGCCTAGGCCGGTGTTGTTCTGGAAGTCGACAAAGACGAATGATGCGTCTTGTTTATGGTCGTTGGTTGCTAATAGGACGATCACGATGACCACGAAGGAGACTAAATTCCATATAAAGACAGCTCGGGCGAGACGATGGAGCAGATGAGGCGTGAAAATGTTGATTGCGCCGCCGATGAGAGCAGCGAGATAGGCGAGAAGAACGCTGTGCCAGCGCTCGATGGTGTAGTTTGGAAAGACGAGATTGCACATTCCAAGGATGTAGTTGGCGATGAAGGAATTGTTTGCCGCTCCCATTGAAAGCATACCTACTCGATTAGCCACACGAGAGCATAGGACATAGATCGATTGACTCACCCATCAGCATAAACCATCCGGTCACATAGGACATCTCGCGGGCAATCTTTTTCGGCGCCATGAGAGCGACCCAAGAATACTGCCCGCCGGCCACCGGCCATCGCGAACACATTTCAGCCATTGCGCAGGCCACAGCCAGGGTCAGGATGCACGTTCCTATCCATCCGTAGAGAATCACAGGGGGACCACCGGCGCTGACACCGATGATGAAAGCTCCGCTCAGCGCTGACCAGCTTTTATTTATCAGTTTGTGTATTTGGAGTACATGGAAGGTTGGTATTACCATGTCACAATGCTGAAGCTGAATCCGATCATATCAAGCAGACCATAGGACCGTTTGAGTTCTGTGACGTTAGTCATGCTGTCCTGAAAATCGATGATAAAGACCCATACCCTGATGGTAACCCAGCTGCTCCAGCGTGAGATCCTCCTCAATACCAGTGCCCAAGACATCTTTGCCCTTCTCTAGGGGACTTGTGCTCTCCATGATGTCAACTGTAGCAAGCTAACTAATCAAGGGCGAAACCAACAATACGGGGGATAAAGAAAAAAGAAAAGGAATAAAATTCCCGGGGATCATAATAGCTCCATCGGAAATAATCAACTTCAGGACTGCTTTACTATGTATGCACTCAGAGTCTAGAATAGCTGACGATCACTTTCGATGCTGTGATCCTTATCAGTGGATTCGCGCGATATCTTCAAAAGGCCATTGCTTGCTTGCTCTTATCAGCTAGTAAATTGACGGCCATCGCAACAATTAATTGGTCTGATAACGGCGAACCTAATTCTGACTGGGCTCCAGTAATATCGCGACAGTCATCGTGCTATGTCAGAGCTCAGGAAAAAGTAGCAGATAATCAATCGGCAGACTGTCGGGCAGCCCGACAAGCCTGCCCGATGCGGAAAGGGCGCTTCGGGCTGATATCCGGCCTTTCCTCTTAATCTGACTCACGCTTGATATTGAAGGACGAAGATATCGGCGAATCCCTGATTCAGGGTCTACAGTCACTATAGATTGGGATGATCGCGTTTATCATCATGCTCCTGTAAAGTATCTGCGATACCCTTCCAGTCTGTCAATACAGTCAAGGCGTCTAGAAGAAGATGGCAATTGCAACAACAGCCCTAACCTTCGTCCACCTCTGGGCAGAAGGCCTGCTCATTCTCCTATCGAGTGTAATTGTGCTACGATGCATCTACCGTCTGTACTTTCACTCTCTGTCCAGAATTCCAGGACCCAAGATAGCGGCATGCACTTCACTCTGGCTGGCCTACCACACCTACATCGGAGATGAAAGCAGCGTCATCTTCGACCTACACAAGAAATACGGCCCAGCTCTCCGCATCGCACCTAACGACGTGGACTTTGACGACGGCGACGCTGTAGAGCCCATCTACGTTGCCGGAGGTGGCTTCCCCAAGACACCACAGTACTCCAAATTCGACATTGACGGCCACACAACCATCTTCTCAACATTGACTTTACCAGAACGTGCACAGCGTGCAAAAGCCGTGGCACCACTATTCTCAACAGCGTCAATTCGCAATGCCAGTGGCACTCTTGACAAGGTCGTGGATGACTTTGTTAGTCGAGTACGTACCGAGAGTAAGACTGGCAAGCCCGTGAATGTACTCAATGCCGCAAGGGGGATGGCAATTGATGCTATTAGTGCGTACCTTTTCCAGCAGCAATATGGAGCAGTGACGGAGCAGACGTCGACAATGTCCGCGTCGCCTTTTGTAGATGCCTACGTCGGTGTGGGTGCCTTCTTCAACTTGCTCCCTGGTAAGATTGGCGATCTTGTCCAGAGTATGGCCGACTACTGGTGTGCGGATGCAAAGACAAACGCCGCTTTTAGGCTTATCAATAGCTTTACACAGAATCTGGTAAATACCTCTGTGCCCAAGAGTGGGAGCTATCAGAGTCGGTTGTTGGAACAGGTGTCCCCTGAACAGTCACGCATTGAGCTGAAGGATGCCTGTTTTGCGGGTACGGATTCGACAAGTACAAATACCGCTAGCATTATGTGGTTTTTGGCAAAATACCCTGATGTGTTAGTATTATTTCTGTATATCTGATAAAGGTTTGACTAATCAATCAATCAGTTACGACCGTCTATGCGAGGAAGTCCAGCGAAGGACCTCTCAAAATGAAGACCCAAGCACAGGATCCTATCTACGCGGCGTAGTTCGTGAAGGCCTCCGACTCTCCTGGGCAAATCCCACTCGCCTACCCCGTCAAGTGCCCAAGGGCGGCTGGCACTTCAAAGGCCACTTCTACCCTGAAGGAACCAGCGTCGGCGTCGCAGCTACCCAACTCCACAAGGACGAAACAGTATTCCCTGAATCAGACAAATTCAGACCAGAACGATGGGAAAATCCCACCGAGGCTATGCTGACTCATTTCTTTGCTTTTGGAAAGGGTACCAGGACGTGTATAGCCAAAAATCTGGCTACGGCTGAGCTTACTTTGGCAACGTTGAAGATGGCTCAAACGGATATGCTCCGTGGTGCCGAGATTGTCACAGAGCGTATTGAGATGACGGAGTGGTTTAATTCGAGAATCAAGGGGGAGGAAATTTTGATAAAGTTGAAGAATTGATGACTTGATAGTCGATACGTTGATATGATAGCAATGATATGTGATTCGCGTGGGTATATATTATGATTTCGTATATGATATGCAACGAAGAAGATACAAAATATCAAGGCTAGTTTATAAATCACCAGCTAAACGACGACCCTCTTCAAAAATGGCCGCCGCCTTGAATATACTCATCTCGTCCCACCTCTTACCCACAACCTGCATCCCAATCGGCAACTTTACATCTGCCTTGCCCTCAATACCCCCAAATCCACAAGGCACATTCATCGCCGGATGACCCGTAACATTAAATGGCGCCGTATTTGTCGTCACACCAACCGCAACATTCACCTTATCCATGATAGAGCTAGCAGCCCCATCATCATCTGCAGTCATCTTCGGATGCGGCGTCGAAACACTCGGCGCACAGGGTGTAACAAGTACATCAAATTCTTCAAAAGCACGATCATACGCAGCACGTAACTCATACACTTTTCTATACGCTTTCGCCTCAGTCATAGGGCCGAACCGTTCAGTGATGAAGGGCGCATTGAAAATGATGTTTATCAAAGCCGGGTTTGTGGCTGTTAGGATGTCGTACATTTCTTGCGTTGGCGGCCATTGTGTGTGGATATGTGGTGCTGGGAAGGTGAGAAATCCGCCTGGTTTACCTTGACAGGCCCATTCGGATGTTGATGGGCGCGAGGCGGCGGTCCATATAACGATACCCTCACGGTGCATGGGAATAGAGACTTCAGAGACACTGGCACCAGCTTCGGTGAAGTATTTCCTTGCGGATTTCAGGACTATATCCCGAACTTGGGGAGTGAGACCAGCTATATCGTACGACTCAGTTATCAATCCCACTTTAAAAGACGAACCGAGCTTTTCGCCCTCAGCGACTGATCGAGACCGGAATTGGGATAATAGAGCTGGATAATCGAGTACGTGACTCCTCAACGGTGATTCAGGGCTCATTCTTGGATCGATCCCGTCGTAGCCAGCCATGACCTGCAAGAGCAACGCAACGTCTTCCAACTTCTCCGCTAGAGGACCTAAATGATCGATCATGGGGGCAAGCCCGACTGCTCCGGTATATGGTATCAAGCCATGGGTCGGTTTCAGACCGAATATCCCCGTAAACGAAGCCGGGATACGTACGGAACCTGCCTGATCACCGCCAATAGCTAGCTCGACTGTTGTACCGAAGCTTTTTCCTGTTTGACGTTGCACGATATTGGAAGATACCAGCGCAGCAGAGCCACTACTGCTACCGCCAGAGGTATACCCGTGCAACCAAGGGGAATGCACAGGTCCCGTAGCGGCACTATATGACAAAGGTGAAGCGCAGAAATTCTCACAATTTGAAGATCCTTTGATTATGGCACCGGCTTCCAGCACTCTGGACACAACTGAAGCATCAATAGGTGAAACAGGCAATTTCCCATCTTTGCATAAAATTTCCGTAAACGTGCCGAGAGTTGTCGGCAGATGCCCGATAGAGATGTTATCCTTGATCGCGATTGTTCGACCTTGCAGCAAAGAACTAGTCGGCTTAGAAGCGACGAGTTCAGTTCGATGCCTCCATGCATTCAACGGATTTATTTCATTCCTATCCTGTGGCAACCAATAGTCCCGCGTTTCTGTGGTTGGAACGGGTGATAGCCCTGGGTGCATGTAATCTGTGCCATCTTCTATGCGTTGCATTATCGCTTCCATGGATTGGAGGAGTAAGAGATAGGCGTCGGCATCGGGGCCATCTTCAATTGTTATGTTGAGGTTTTGGGCGATGTCTTTGAGCTGTTCTTTGGTGACTTTGGATCTGCATACGAATTAGTTGTTGTTTGTGTTTGTGTAAAGGAACAACCTGACTGTGATTTATCGGCGAGAAATGCGATTGACATGCTGATTACAATGGCTGTTATATCGGCCGTTGGATTGTGTTTTGTTTTCAATCGAGTCCAATCAATTGATCAACTTCAGCAAATCAAGTCTTTGATTGGGGTTCTCAACTACAAACTTAAGTTAGACAGGCACACGAATAGAATGACAAGAAAGCGGGCTGGCCGAATGAAGCTATACAACCGGCGGGGTCGCCGATGTCCCACGTTAAGCATTCTCATTTGATATCATTTTAGTCGTTTTATGCTGGTTTTCTAAGGACTCCTATTCTGACTGCAAATGCTGCATGCGTTCCATACAGATGGTGAGATTCTACAAATCCATGTTGTTTACATTGGTATTAGGGCTAGTCTGAAATCGGCGACTTTGTATTGGGATTTTAATCTTAAACGGAGCGTTGAACTACGGCTAATGTGACATGAAAAATTTCAAGAGTTGAACATTTATTTATTGATCGCATCAAAAGACGCGAACGTAAAGCATTACTCCTGCCCATTAGCGAGAAGTATTCTTCCCCCATCAACACAAAGTGATATACCATCCACGTAAGCCTAGACAAACACAATGATCAATACTGGACGTTGAGACCAATGATGGGAAGATAAAAAAGACTTACTCCAGCTTTGCTCACGAGATACAGCACCGTACCAGCAATATCTTCCGCAATTGCAGCCCTTTTTGCAGGCACTTTGTCAAATAAATTGCTGAAAATGTTGCCCTCTGCACCAACTGGATTCATATTACTGGGAACGACTTTAGGAATTGTCAGCAGGCTTCTTATACAATACAGGACAGCATAACTCACATCCAGGATTTATCCCACACACCCTCACATAAAACCGATGATACTTAGCAGCCAACAGCTTTACCAAATGATCCGTTGCAGCTTTGCTAGCCGCATAACTCGTGAGATCTATATTGGTAACATTATGCATACTCGCACACGAACTCGTGATCACGACCACTCCACGTCCCTGGTCTCGACCCTCGGTAGCCGCAGCAGCGAGAAGGGGCAACAATGCAACACTCAGGAAATAATGAGCAGTCGTGTTTACGCGGAAAGTCTTCTCCCAGTCTGCCTCGTCGCTGGACCACATTGATTCTTGGAGTTCGGTCACTGAGGCTGTGAGGACGTTGCATTGGATGGGCGGGTCACGACGAATGCCGGCGTTGGAAACGAGCATGTCGAGGTGTGTTTCTCGTTTGGAGATTTCTTGCGCTAGGGCTTGGATGGATGATTTGGAGGAGAGGTCGCATGGGAATCTGCAATTGGGTAATTAGCTTTCTTGAGTCTAGAGGTGAAGAAGGATGACATACCCAAATGCGCCTCCACCAGCCTCAGAACCAAGTTGGTTGAGCTCTTTGACTACTTCGTCAATGGGATCACTAGGTAGCGCGACAACGTAGACTTTGGCGCCATTTGATACAAGCCCCTGATTCAAAGAGTCAGCCGTGTTGCCTGCTAAAAATGTATAATGATGTTCACCTTGCATATCATAAGCCCTAATCCACTACTTCCGCCAGTAACGACGGCCACTCGGCCTTGGACGTTAAACAGACTGAGACAATCTAACTGTGCCATTGTGGATATTCCGGTTACTCAAAACTTCAAACGGACGAGCGTATAAAGAAATCATTTATGTATTGTCCACTGTTGTTTTCGTTGATGGATGTATTTACAAGTAGAGAACTTGACTGCGGGGATGTCGGGAGGACCGACAGCAGCTTGTAAACCATGAACTACATGATTGCATACGTCTAGCCCAACCCCAAAATAAACGTAATTAGTGGGGTATGCTGAATATTTGACAAAGGTTCCTTTTAGCCTATCAATATTTGTTACTACTTTGCGACATGGTCGAATTCTCTATCTCGACATTATCCCATGATAGCTATGAAGAATGATGTTGAGATCTCGGAACATTCATGTGAGTCATACGCTCGTAATATATCTATTGATGAATTTTCTAAACTAGAGCCGTCGAGAATGAGCCATCAACTGTAATCGTCGCACCGCAAACGTAGCTCGAAAGACTACTTGCCAGGAAAACAACTACGTTCGCAATCTCCTCACACTCCGCAGCTCTCTTGAGAGGAACCTTGTCTTCTAGAGCCTTGACAACATCAGGGTTGTTTTTCTTGAAAGTTTGATAGGTGCTCCATTCGACCGAACCGTCCGGATGAGTGATATTTGGTGTATTAACGAGCCCCAATGCCAAAGTGTTGACACGGACACCCAAGGGCGCAAATTTGCGAGCATAGTCTTTGGCAATGACTGGTTTGGCTCGCGTGAAAGTGGTATAAGGGCTTCCAATGGTCGGCAGCACAAGGTCATACCCAGCCAAAGACGTAATGACCACGACGGAAGGGGAGCCTCCTGCTCTGGCGCGTTCTACTAGATACGGTTCTGTCGCTTCCAGTAGGCTTACAAGACCCATGATGTCGGCGTTGAAGCTCTTTTCCCAGTGCTCAGGGGTGGGATCCTGGTAGATGGGAGACGCTTTGTCCTAGATTTAGTTAAGGGATACCAGGACCACTGTTATGTGAGACAGCTTACCATTGGCCACTACACAATCAATTCTGCCAAACTCATCAACCGATTTCTTCACCCACTTCTTGATGTCAGTCGGATTGGCGATATCAACCGTGGATCCGACGGCTCTGGCGTTGTCTGCAACTCCTTGAAAGGCGGAGAATTCATCGCCTCGAGGGTTTCGAGCACAATACGACACATTGGCGCCCTCAGCGAGGAGAGCTTGAACTATCAACCGTCCGATGCCTTTAGTGCCCCCTGAATTATGTCCATAGATGTCAACACTAACATGGCAATAGCAATGGCAATGGCGCAGTTTTTGCCATTGATGGACTCACTTACCAGTCACCAAGGCATGAGTGCCAGAGATTTTACTTGCGAATGGATACATTGGAGCTGATAAATGTTGAAATTGTTCTGATAATCAAGATATTTGAAGCTTCCTCGGAAGGAGAAAATACGGCATTTTATATTCATCTCTACCTAGAGACAGCTGGGCGAGCAATACAAGGATGACAAATTCAAGACTCTAAGACATCAAGGACTTCATATGAATCTTCATAATGCCCCATATCCAAGAAATCAAAAAGCGGCCTAACCTCTTTAGGAAAACAAGACTCTATCTTGTTTTCCTGTCTGGTAATAGTCCACATCCGGACAAATCCATCCGACGTTTGAAGCGACGACAGATATTTTTCCCCTGCTTTTTAATCCAAAAGGTCAATTGCATACGTAGTGACGTATTTCACGAAACCATACAGTCGCAATGGTGCCCCAATTCACGTTCTTGACGGTCACAAACCCTGCTCTAGGAGAGGCCAACACCAAGCGTATGCGGGCGCATGTCACCCGTAAGAACTTCGAAAAACGGCGAGGGCAACTAGAAAATGCGAGACGTGGGAACAAGGTCTTGCAAACTAAAACGGAATTAATGGATGCAGTGATATTAGAGTCGGAGAAATCCGTGATGAGGCACTGTGCCTTGAATCCGTATATGGTACTTGTGGAATCCGATTATATTACTATCCATCAATGTAAGCTAGTCATCTGCTGATCCATCCTGCACTTGAATCTCTTGTGTTCATATTACCTAGTATTTCGCTACTTCAGACCTTTACTTCTCACCCTAACGTCAGACAAAGCGACCTTGCTCCGGGAACGATCCTGGGTTCAATTGAATTTTTCCGAACCGGCTCTTCTGGAAGCCTCCCTGGCATGGGCGGCTTTATATCATGGCTTGAATGGCTCAGGATCTGCTATTAATGCTGACGAGCACCAAGCTAAGGCTATCAATATCATAAATACTAGATTGAATGATCCTGCAACAGCAGTAACTGACGGAGTACTTGGAGCGGTATACACCCTGGCATACTGCGAGGTATGTCTTGCCCTTCCAACCAAACTGGCAACAACAAAACTAATTCTTGTTTCCTTCCAGCGGCTAGCCAAAAGAGAAACAGGATTTGAGATTCATATGGCTGGCTTCAGACACATGATACAGTACAGAATAGGACGGAAAGACCCATATGATGATCTGTCCTGGTTCTCGGAACTGCTCATTTCGTATGACGACCGCTTGCATCTTTCACAATACGGAAGTAGCTGATAATATTCACTAGAGACGATGACATGCCATCCCAGACAAGCGCAAAAGCGCTGCATTCGTTCTTCCCAGATTCCATCTCGAAAACGCTCGAGGCTATATCTCAAGACCTAAACGATATGCACACCGCAATTGAATACTCAAAGAGATATAATCTAGCGGACCCTTTCGTCGTCAAGGAAATCGATCATCGCATACTGAGCATACGAAACAAAGCCGACATGCTGCAGGGTAAATTGCGATATACCGATGCTCTCGCCCAGGCTATCCGCATATTCCTCTATCTATCGTGTGATCGCCTTGCTATCACCTCGCCTGCCGACCTCACTATGCTAGCTTCTGACCTAAAGAACATTCTCAGCGAGCCGGACACTCGTCTCTGTTCATCATTCGAGTTTACGGTTTGGCAACTATTTGTTGGCAGTGTGGCGACGACGGCAGACTCTGAGACTGGGGCCTGGTTTAGAACAACGCTCTGGAGGTTGGCGCGCGCGTTCGTCCTGAGGGAGTGGAGTGGCTTCTTGGTTATTTTGGAAAGAGCTTTTATGCCTCCGTCTCAGCTGTTGGGGAGTTTCAGACTGGTCTGGGAGGAAGTATTGGAGAATCAGAGTTTTCATGTTTAAAATACCTGCCTTGCCTGGGCTAGTACATGTAAAATTGGTTCATGATTGTATTTTAACATATTTATTGGAAGCATCTGTAGTTACCCAGATACACCCGACACATATATACAGTCATAGACTACTAATGATACCGAAAATGCGTCTCCTCACTATGTACCATTGAAATCACTCCTTGTAATGATCCTTTGTCCGTGCCTCGGCTGCTCCCAAACATTCAGTCGTCATAGCCTCATCTCTAGGAACAAGCTTGACCTTGAAGTCCCTCGGAATAGCAACCAAAGCAGACTTGAATTGATTGTAGTCCACATAGTCGGTGTTGGGTGGATTATCCTCGCTCGCGACAATCTTATATGATGAAAGGATACGAACGAGAGCAGCGTATAAGAGTCGTGAGGCAATAAACTGTCCGGAACAGGCGCGAGAGCCGGCTCCGAAGCTCAGGTGAGGAAGACCTGTGGTCTCCTTTTCGATGGGAGGATTAAGGGATTTCAGCCATCGTTCGGGGTTGAATTTGTTCCCGTCGGGGCCGAAGTGGTCGATATCTAGAAATGTGCAGTTAGTATCTGACCTTGTATGTAGATAGTGGGATATGAGCTTACCGTGATTACCAGCCTGGGCGTTGATCAAAATCATCGTCTTGGGAGGGATGATTGCTCCGTTCCAGTTCACTTCCGTAACGGTCTTTCGAGGCAAACTCATGGAACTGACTGTGTAGTAACGACCGGCTTCTTTAATAATAGCATTGACATAAGGAATCTTTTCCTCATGAATACAATCAGTCCAGGCATCGCGAACATCCGGGTAGAACCTCTTGATATCAGCATAAGCACGATCTTGCCACTCCTGGCCTTCAGGTGTAGCCAAGGATCCAATAGCCGAAGTCAAAGTACCGGGAATCGTCTCAAAACCACCAGATACCAATGAAAGACAGATAGATGATACTTCCACTCCGGTCAGCTTGGTCTCTTCATCTTTGAGAATGGCGGCAGAGATGCATGGCTTATCGGTGCCTTTCTTAATCATGGCGCGGACTTTGTCAAGCAAAAGATTCAAATAAGCATCCCGACGCTCACGAAGCTCTTTGGACCGGATGTTCTTCTCGTTGTTGGGCATGTAACGCAACAGTGGAACGTAGTCTTGCAAGTTCTCAGATGCGCTCCGGAGAAGGGAGATGGCGGATCCAACATAAAGAATTTCACGAAGCAGCTCGTCGTAGACTTCGTCCATTCGAATACCGTAGCACAGAGTCAAGGTAGTGTTCAGAGCGTATCGTTGAATAAAAGGTCGGACATTGAGTTCTAGCTGGCCATTCTTACTGTCACGCTTCAAGTCTCGGACGATGCAGTAACTCTCAAGATCGAACATGTTGTTGTAATTTCTCAATGCTGGTCGTCCCAACGCAGTTCCAGCGGCCTTACGTTTCTTCTTGCACGAATCGTCCCAGGGAGATGAACCGATGGTGAAGCCCTGAGTACTGCTAATGATGCCATGGAAGGTGTACAACTTGGGACGATCGATAATCGCATTCTGGTGACCCAACAACATCTTGCGACAATCTTCGAAAGAGTTCACGACCACCGCACGAGTGTTCCCCAGTTTGATTTGATAGACGGAGTTTCCATATTGTCGCCACCAGCGTTCACAAACAGTGGCATGGTCTTCACCTAATTTGAGTAGATGGCCGAAGACGGGAATTGCACCTGGGATCTCTGGGAGGCCTTTGATGTGCGGAATGTCTGTTGCAACGAGCCACTGTCAAGGGTCAATTCTCTGCTCCATTCTTCTCCAGGAAGCGACGATGAATATACCTTGTAGATCAGATATCCCACCAATGCAGCAAGAACGCTAAGAGAGTAGGTCTTTGGAACGACATTGAGATAAGCTGCCAGATCGGCGTCTATTTTGATGGCGTCTGCCATGATGATGCTCTCCAGAACATGTAGTTGCTTGACAGTATGAAATTTAATGAGCTCAGATCTGCGACCGACTGTTTATATGGCCACATAGAGGGAAAGAGTAATGTGCTCATCTCGTAATGCGATAAGATAAGTCTGGTAAACACCAAGTGGGATGCACGAAGAAAGCGTCGGGCTGTCCGACATGAACGGCGTCCAATGGTTTATATTCATTTCAATTACCTGATCATGACAGGACCCCGCTTTGTTTTGGAGCTATCTTTTTTCTTCTTTCTTTTTCTTCTTTCTCGCTGTTCCAGATGCCGTGTCACCTATGTATCGTTGTTGTTATGGCAGGGCACGGGGTTATAAACATAGATTTAGCCCATTTAGCCCTACTGAGATTGTAAGCTATGTTTCTGTAGGCGATTATGTATCTGGCAAGTATGCAATAGTATCAATTGAAGTATAATGAACGTTGTAAGAATCAGTCTACTTGACTTAAAAAGAGAGCAATTCTACGATCCATCCAGTCATTATCCTCCTGATTAGCACCCCCTCCAGCCACATGTCCCCAAATTGAAGGAATGACGGCCACCTCCGCCTTTTTGATATGTTTGGCCTCTCTCTCACTGACTTGCCATGTAAAGTACTGATCAGTGTGACATGGCATGAGAAGACACCTTGTACTCAACCGACCCAAAGCCTCAGACACAGAGACAACATTCTCATCCGTCCAGGAGCCCGCTGTAACCCCAATATCAGACCGCTGCCACATTCCCAGCATCACTAACAAGTCATCCGGATACCAATCATTATAATTCGTCCCGGCAACAGCAGCAGCCCAGTCATCCAGTGATTTATATCCTTGCTTCTCAAACAAGCGCTGCTCAAACCACTCGGCACTAGTCAGCCAGGCAGAATATGCGCGGCCGAAAGCGTGTAATCCACGCAGCGGCGGAGAATCTCTATTTGTCCTAAAATTTCCATCAATGTAATCAACAGAACTCTGCAAAGCAGCCTTAGGACCTTCCAAGAACTGATAATTGTGTAAACTTGTTTTGGCCGAGGAACATATGATGATTGCATTGAGAATCATGCTTGGATGCATCGCTGCCCAGTGATAGGTACATTGCCCGCCCATAGAAAATCCAACCATGACATCAATCTTTGTGAGTTGCAGATGCTCTTTTATGAGCTTATGTTGAGCGCGAACACAATCCCGATAGTCAAGAGTCTGCGGGAAATTGGGTGTATTTGATGGACTGGATGATTCGCCATTTCCAAATAGAGCGACCACGATTACCCGATAATCTCGTAATGCGCCGTCGGCGAAGTTCAAGGTTGAGTTGATGCGGCCGCGGAAGCAGGTGGGAATGAGGGCTATTTTAGTTTTGGTTGGGTTGACTTCGCGGTATGCGAGTTGGACTTGTGGGAGGGTAGTGCCATTTTGGAATTTGAAGTTGTTTATGGCGAAGTGTTGGATTGCGGTCTCAGTGTTGAGGGGGGACATATTGAGAAGTTCATGAGGTGATTTGACGGAACGACATTCCTTCTGCATGCAACGAACGAAACGTACATTTCAAGCCATTCTAGATGTCGGACAGTCCGACGCTACAGCATTTTTACTGATTGGTGCATGCAGGTCAATGAGTCAATTCACGGTTGGTCACAAGTATATTTCCAAAATCTAATTAGCCCATCTATGACGACTATTTCTCAAAAATGGCAGTAGCTTTGATTTCCACCAAAAACCTGGGATCCGGCAATTCTCTCACTCCAATCGTCGCCCTCGCAGGCGCACTGGCACGATCACCCCAGATCTTATTCCACTCCTCATTCATGCCGGCATATTGTGTTTTCATATCCAAGATATAAATAACCGCGTCCACAATATTGTAAAGATCAGCCTTTCCATCAGAGGCACCCTTGATAATACTCTCGATTCGTCGTAGAACTGCAGCGGTTTGTGCGCGAATGTCGAGTTCATATGTTCCGTCGGGCTTTTCAGTTACACCTTCGTATTTGCCGTCTGGCGTAACGGCGGCGATGCCTGAGATGTAGATTGTGTGGTGAGTGTTTGGTGAGACGACTCGGGCATGACTGTATCGCATGGCACCAGTTTTCTTTTCCGGGTCGAGGAGGAAGGACTGTCCGTTGACCGACATGTTGTTTAGGCTTAAATGAGCAACTTGCAATAAGAAATTCGTATGTGTGAACTGTCTTTGGATTTAATGATAGTTCAGTTGGGTTGGTCGTGGTGCTCTATGTCAATATACTTCTAGTATACGGCTCGAGGCGCGGCCCATCCGACAATGGCGGCGCGACCGAAACAAGCTCCTCATTGCATCAAAGCATACGTAGTTTGATGAAGTCGAGAAAATCAACACTAAGGTCTTTTCTCGGGCGATTATCGTTTGCCAACATGTGTAGAAGCATCTTGCTTTTGGTAAAGAACGATACATCGTGGCTCCAGTATCGCGATTAGCGCTACGTTGTAGTTGCCTTGAAAGGAAATCGAGCCCTAGCCCTAAGCCCCGAGCCCTGACTCACGGGTATGAAATGCTCGAGATGCACCAATCATGAAATCTATAATGCTCAGACTTACTGATATAGCTTGCACCAATTGGCTAGATCCCCATAATATTCGAGTCACTACTAAGCTCTAGGTCTAGTGAGGGCTCCAAGTGAGGGGTGAAGGAACCGCCTTATCGGGCTGGTGAGGCTACCGATAGGCGGAGCGAGAGATTCATTTCTCATTCCTCAACAACTGGACAAGAAAGACAGACAGCAACGTTTAGATTAAAATTAAATACAGAGAATACTCGATTGAAAGAATCACAGAAAATATATGCCCTTGAGCTGTTTAGTACTATATTATCAATACCATCTGTAATCATTTGAGGGTATCTGGCGTGGGGGTGTGGAGACTTATTCCGTGGTTAGTGCTCAGGCACTGATAAGCTGCTCTCCTCCTTCTCTACTTTCTGCAGCTGTCTGACTCACTAGACTGATGATCAGAGAAGACGAAAACCAGTTATACGCAATGTCAGGACCAGTAGCCCGAGCAGAAAGCTCTTGCAGAAGATGCCATCGCCGAAAGAAACGCTGCGACAAGGCCCTACCACAGTGTCGGGCCTGTCAACATGCCAATCAGCGATGCAGCTATCTCGACGACGAAAAAGAAACGGCGACATTCTCTATTGCGTACGTTTATTCAACTGGTATTTCTGAGATCTCAGAAACTGATTTTAATCATCTATATAGATATGTCCGAGGACTAGAAATGCGTGTCAAAGACTTGGAGCAGCAATTGGCAATGTTCCTTGATATGCGAACGACCGAACAGGAAACGCTATTCGGTCCTTCGAATGACATTGACGGTGTGAGATTGGACTTTAATACTCGACCGATAGAAACTTCTCCGATCCACGTAATCGCGCAACCGCAGCCGATACAAGCCAGCCCGCCAACCCAGCAGCAACAAGGTGTAGTAAATGGCCAGCACATCCCCATTACTACCCAAAAACCCGACTCATTGGCGGATGAATTGAAACTACTTTCCTTGGAGGCTGCCGCAGACCGCCACGTCGGATCATCTTCTGGGATATCTTTCGCCAAACTTACACAGGCCGTTCTCCGACGACTATCACCAGATCGACAAGAATTCGTTTTTGATGATGAGCAGGAGGAGGAAGACGATGATGATGAAGAAGAAGAAGATGACTGTGTACCAAATGAGACGGAGACTACTCCCACGTTCTCATTTGCGTTCAACGAAATTAATACGCACTTGGTCTCGTCTCCGCCACTGCCACTCTATTTTCCTTTATCCAACGATCAGCAACAGGACGGCCTTATTCATGAAGTATTATCTCTTATCGAGCCGGCTCATATCAGCCATCTACTCGAGTTCTATTTCGCCCATTCTCATACCTTGTATCCGTTTGTTCGGCAGCAGGAATTCACAACTGTCCTTTGGCGGTTGTATGCCGACCCTTCCGACCCGCTTGCTCAGTCTCCGTTGTGGCAGTTCCGGATCTGGATGGTTCTAGCGATTGGATCAACGGCATATTCTTCGGTATCTTTGCTGGATGAGTCGGAATCCGTCCAGCTGTTTAACCGGGCCATGGTGCATTTTGAGGGTGCTATGGGATGCGGAGATTTGGTAGGCATCATGATAGGTCTTATCCTACGGTAAGCTAATTTATGCATAGGCCGCTCTAGAAGTTTTGATGCTTCAAGTATCGTACTCTTTTTTCAATAAAATTGGTCCGAGTAAGTGGCTTTGCTCTATGTTTCATGAAGTATGCTAATTCTGAAAGATACATGGATTTTGATCGGAATGGCGGCTCGTATGGCGACTGGCATGGGCTTACATACCGCTGAGCAATACAAGAGTCTCACCGTGGATCTTGCCGAGCACCAGAAACGCCTCTTCTTCTGCCTGTATATGATGGACCGGTACGTTAGAAAACGGGTCTGACATATAACTATGCTCACGGTTTGTAGTGTTGTTTCGTTGGCTTTGGGGCGTCCATTCGCCATCCAAGATGATGATATCACTGTAGAGGTATGCTGAAATCCGTGTCTTTAATAAACCGTGCTAACATAGTACAGCCCTTTGCAGACGTAGACGACGAAAACATACAACCAGATGGCATCATACCATCCACAAAGCTCGAGCCATCAACCATGGCCATCCCCCTGCACATCTTAGCCCTCCGGACCATTGCTAGTGACATTGGAAGTAAAGTCCATGCAGTCCGAAACAGCGACCCAGCCAACCAACAAATGAAAGAACAGACCCTCCAAAACCTTCACAGAAGGCTGATAGAATGGCGACGGACGATGCCGTTTCCGCTACCAGACCTACAATCCAAGGTCCCTCATTTGTGCACAAATTGGTTCGACTTTAATTATTATACCCATGTAATTATGCTTTATCGCCCATCTCCGCTCTGTCAAACGCTAGATCTTGCTCAACTGCGAGTTCTTGCCGAAGCATCCAGCATGGCTATCCGACAAGCCACGACCATGCATCGACAGCAACGCTTCTCATACAATTGGCTCAATCTCGCTGTTTTGTTCAATGCGACACTTTCTTTGATGTACTCGACAACGGCACAACCGAACAATTTGTCTCAGGTGTTGGAGTCGAGTAAAGCAATTGAAGATTTGGAGTTGAGCATTGAATTGTTGCAGGCTTTTAGTCGGAAGTTTGCTTCTGCAAAGAGGATTCAGGGGATGATTCGGATTGTTTTGGGCAAGTTGAAGCTGCAGGTTGTTCATTCGTAATTATCCATTCATTTATTTCCTAACAAAGAGACTGTCAATTTGACGGTCTCAGTTCTACCAAGGAGAATTCCTACCAGCAATGAAACTCAAAAAATGGCCAGCATCTGATTCCATCCACAATGAGATATCTTTGCAGCTGCTAGGCACACCAAGCTCGCTGCATAGCTGACAATTGTGAACGTAATCAATCCCCAATATTGTCCATTGCAGCGTTGAAGAATAGCGCCACATATCGGGATGCCAGTGAGGGTGCTGCAAATATTCGCATCAGTCAAAAATGTTATGTTACGATTTCTAGTGAAAGAAACGTACCTGATACTAACAATAACATAAGCCGTAGCATAAGTCCTCCCAAACCTCTCAATCCGACACAACTGCCCAATACAAACCGGCGCAAGACTGACATTACTCCCACTCGCAAACCCGAACAGAGCCGCAAACGCAATTGCCAGTGCCGACGCGCTCCCACTGCTAATGACTTGCTCGGATTGAGCCGGCATCCACAGGCAAGCAACAAAGAGCAAACACATGGCAATAGTTATAATGAGCGTGTTGAACCTGCCCAGTCGATCTGCACACCAGCCGGGGATCCAGCGACCAAAAACCGCCGCGGCATTGACGAGAGATAACAATAAGTATGACGATTCGGAGGACATGTTGATATCTAACGCAAAGGAAGTAAGGTATGTCAATGGGATGAACAAGCCCCATTCCATGAAGAAGATCCCCATTGTAGCGAGCATGAGATCTTTCCGCCGAAAGATTGATAAATCTGGAACTAGTCTTTTGAATGTAGCACTTTTCGCTGGGAAGCGTCTCCTAATCAATAGAAACGCGAGACCGAAAGTGACCAGATCAACAAGCGCAATAATTCGCGTTGCCCATGCAAATCCCAAGTTGGAAGAAACATGTTGAAACAACAATGGAAACACAACGCCGCCTATCGAAGCGCCTGACGATGCAATCCCCACCGCAAACCCTCTTCGACGATGGAAATAATGTGCTACAATCGAAATAGAAGGGCTGAACGCGAGCGACAAACTGGCCCCTCCCAAGAGCCCAAAACAGAGCATAAAATGCCAATAATCCGTGCACACCTCCAGCAATAATAAGAACGCCACAGTCCCCAATCCACCAAGCAATATAAGCGGCCGTGGTCCCTTTGCATCAAAGACTGGACCAGCTTCAACGCCACAGAAAAACGCAAGAAATGAATAAACGCCAAAGATCCAGGCGATACTGCTGGAGGAGTATGGTTGGAGTTGGTGTTCGCCCAGATATGCCTGGAAGATGCCGAGACAGTTCATGAGGCCCATTGAGCCGAAGCAGGACATCCAGCTGCCTAGGACGACGAGCCAGGCTGTCCGGCCTCCTTCAGGATAGGTTATTTCGTCAGAGGCATCTTCGGAGGTGATGGTAGTGTCGTTTTCGGAGTGAATATTGCTTATAGATTTCTCTTTGCCGGCAGGTTTGAGGCTTGTTGCATCTGCGATATTGTTGGCATTTGCGGTAAATGTGTTATTTTCACTTTCGGCGCAGTAATTTTTGGCATCTTTGAGATCATTCTCACTCGCTGTTGGAATACCCATGAGTCGTTGGCTGTGTTGTATGTGATCAGACCCGACGGCTTTGGTGTACGAGTCAACTGGTGTGACACATTTGACTGGATGATAAAAAGAAATCAAAGATGCTGATCCTAATCATCCTGCACCTATTTTTCGCCGATTCGATTGCACCGACAGTGTATGGGACCAATGTCGGTCTTGAGTCCGTATTTGTCGGGGGATCCGACGTTTCATGTCAACAACCTGATTTTCAGAAGGGCCATAAACAATCCGGATATCACAAAACAGCAAAGCTACATAATGTCGTCTGACTTTTGGACATGTGATAACAATATCATAGTACGGTTGATTTCAACTGCTCTACAGTTTGGTAACCTTGAAAAGTCAAATCCGAATATGCGCAACAGTCCCCCTCCCCCTCGAAGACAATGACCTTATACACACCTACCTAGGTAATATGACTGCTATTACAGTTCCTTCACATTCTGAGGGACCTCCTTCTCATCCTCGAAAMCCTTMCCCGCCTCAATTCCTGTCGAAATCGGCACTCCATCCAAAATCGAATCAATCTCCTCCAAAGACTTACCCTTCGTCTCAACCCAGTACAGCAGCACAAACACAAACTGAAAAACATCCCACACGCCATTGATCATATAAGTTTTCCAGCCAATCCGATCCATGGCAATAGGGAATGCATACACTGTGACCAGGCCAGCTGCCTCGGCCGCAAATGTATAAATACCCATTCCGACAGCTCGTAACCGGAAATTGAGGACTTCAGGTGGGTACAACATGCTCAACGGGGTCCAGCCAAAGGAATATGACCCTTGGAACAGAAAGATCATAGCTATAGTGCCGTAGATGCCGGATGGATTTGTTGAGGTGCCGTAGAGCTTTGTAAAGGCACCCACTAGGAATAGGCAGATGGTTTCCAGGCCAGTGGACCAGAGGGCTAGGCGCTTGCGGCCGATACGGTCAACCGATGCTGTACCTATGAGTGCGACGACCAGACAGAAAGAGTTGAGGATGATATTCTGTCGGTGCTCGTCAGTAAGAACGCTTACCAAAAGGTTACATAGAAGACTTACGATCTGAAGCTGAGTTGTCGAATCTGTAATACCGGCCTGGTCCAGCATATCGCCCAAATAGAAAGAAACGATGTTGTTTCCAGACCACATCGAGAATACAGCCACAGAAAGCATGAGAAGTGTCCTCTTACGATCCGAGGGCTTCTTAATCATATCCCCCACCACCTTCCATACACTCTCAGACTCAATAGACCCAGCCAAAGATTCAGTAATCAGGAGATATTCTGTCTGAACAGTGGCATTCTCCAATTCTCCATTGCTATAGATCTGTGCAAGAACTTTGCGACATTCATCACGGCGGTTGACTGATGCCAGCCAACGGGGAGATTCTGGCAGGAAGGGGAGAAGCAAAAGCAGCACGATGCTAAAGAAGCCCTGTAGCAGATTCGGTATACGCCAGGACCACGTCGAGGTCATCCCGCTTGTTCCGTACGTGACTCCTGAAGCGACGAGGCCGCCAACGTACCTGTGCCAGTCAGTATGCGTCAGAAGTCCGGATTAGAGTGGGTAGAAGACGTACCAGAAATCAAAAATCAAACACAAAGCAATGCCTCTCCATTTTATAGGCAATGTTTCCGCAAAATATATCGGGCCTGCCATGGACGAAAAGCCAGCTCCAATACCAACAACTATCCTCGAGACGACAAACATGGCAAACCCCTGCGCCGCTGTACCAAGAACGACACCCACGATTGTAATGAGTGAAGCAAGCAACATACTCGGCTTCCTTCCAATCCAATCCGGGACTTTAGCAAATGCTATACCCACAACCACATTACCGATCCAAGTGGATGCGGTAGACAGAGCGGTTCTGGAGGTGTCGAGCTGGAAAATTTGTTGTAAGCGGGGAGGATGTTGAGGCCGTTCATTAAACTGCCATCATAACCCATAGTGGTGCTAGTGACGGAGGAGCAGAACACGATGATGGCTACGAGGACGCTGGAGGTTCTGGGGACGATGCCCTCTTTCCAGAATACGGAGAGGACCATGTTGGTCACTCGTTTCTCAGATCCTTGTATCGGTCCGAAGGGAGCACAATTATGCTTCTAAGGATGAAGTCACGGGCGACTTAAGAAGAATACCAGATTATACTAATAGGGATATGATTACAAACCTCGATCCTCCGGTAATTACATTCTATTTAACTGCCTTAGAGCGCTATCATCCTGGCTATCATTACATAGCAGAGCAAGATTCGGTTATCTCCTCGAAGCTTGTCTAGCCCTAAAATGCCATATATGGTCAAAGATTACCAGAGGATAACTAGTCTACAACCCTTTAAAGTGTTGATAAAGCTAATCCTCCGGCAAGTTATACTTTACGCTTTTTGGACCGGCGCATATTCTAAATCTCAACCCACCCAATGACTATGAATCCTCTCTTATCACACGAGCATCTAGTTGTCGGGCCCCGCGAGAATAGCGGCCATTCCGGCATTGACTGCGGCGGATAGGCCGACGGTTGCGGGATTTATGCGATGGCATCTGGAGAATGATGGGAACGTTTGCGAAAAATACTTCCCCGCTATACGGCATTTTGCCAATGTTTGTTGTTTGAGTGAGAGGCTACATATATTGGATGTTCTAATCCTTGGGTTGGTAGTCAAAGGCCGTTGTATATGCTTCCATGACTGTAGTCTTAACAAACAAGCGTGAGATCACTTCTTTCCCTTCTATAGATATAGTTGCAATAGAAGAACAAAATGGTCGGCCCCCTTGCTACATGGCCAGCCTGGCCGGAATTTACCTCAATCCCCATTGACGAAAAATCCGACGATCTCGCCAACTACAAATCCGCCATCATCCAAGAATACGGCCAAGAAGCCCTAACCAAGAGTTGGCTCAAGGTCTGCTCCGAGCTAGAAAAAGTCACAAAGGAGATTCGCGAAAAGGGAAATACAGTCATTCCGGAAATCTCGTATAGCGATCTACAGAGTTTGAGTGTAGAGCAGAAAGAGGAGTATAAGAAAGTTGGATGTTTTCTGATTAGAGGGGTTGTTGAGAAGGATGTGGCGGAGGAGTGGTTCAAGGATTTGAAGAGTTATGTCGCTGACAATAAGGATTTGGTTACAGGTATGTTGTCTTACGCAAAGCTCAAGGGAATAGCCGAGTGACAGTTTATAGGATGGCCCGTGGAAACGCCTGCGATTCTGCGCATGTACTACAGTCCCACTCAAATGGCGGCGCGCTCACATCCAAACTCGCTCAAAGTCGCCCGCGAACTTATCGGCTGGKGGCATGACAAGGAAGAGCCCGAGAAATCACTTGATCCTCTGACCTATGTTGATGCGGTCAGAATCCGACCTCCGGGATCGCCCTTCTTCGGCCTGGGACCTCACATCGATGCCGGCTCACTGAGTCGGTGGGCTGATTCTACATATCGTGCCTGCTATGCACCTGTCTGGCAAGGTAATCCAGAAGATCTGGATCTTTATGAGTTGTCACTTCGCAAAAAGGCAAACACAAGAATGTTCCCAGGCAGTGCACATTGCAGCGTCTTCCGCGCTTTCCAGGGTTGGACATCACTCACGACGACGGGTCCTAGTGAAGGCTCTCTTCTACTATATCCGCACATCCAGTGGGTCATGTCCTATGTTCTGCTACGTCCATTTTTTAAATCCCCAGCCTCTGGAAAGGAGGAAGACATAATGGATGCAAGTAAATGGACATTTGATCCCGACACTCCTTGGTTCCCGGGTACATTTCGATTTGACTCGCAGCGACTTTCAGCGGCTTCACATCCCCATTTGCGTCTCCGAGAGTGTCTTGTTCATATTCCGCCCATGAATCCAGGGGATACGGTCTGGTGGCATGCGGATATGTGCCATGCAGTTGATACCGAACACAAGGGCCAGGAAGATTCCTCCGTGTTGTATATTGCTGCAACACCATCGACGGACGAGAATATCCAGTATATTGACTCACAGTTGAAAGCTTTTCTACATGGGTATTTCCCACCTGATTTCAGTGCAGAGGATAGAGTTCATAGCCTCGAACCGAAGTACAAGGGGTGGAAGGGTCAGGCCGGTATAGTTTCCCCTGAAGGAAGAAAAGCAATGAGATTAGATGTGAAGGCCTGACACGTTGCTTGAATCATATATGTACTTATTAACTGATAAGATAACCCTAATACTCGGCAATATGCATGGTACTCATGGTTATGACCAGTTAGGCGTCAGGTGCAAACTGTAATTTTGGATCAAAAGACCAAACTTGTATGCCTGCAGTGTGCGCAGTACCGAACAGTTGATGGTCGCCGAACGTAACAAACCGCGGTCTGTTTGGATTGTACATAGGAAGTATTTCCGAATACATATGTGCGTAGAAAACGTTTGTTTCGTCGAGGATTTGATTGATCTTAAAATGACTCCAGGTGACGATCGGATAGTATATTGTCCCGTCTACAGTTAGCATTTTGCCTTTGTAATACTGCATGCGCTGATCATCGTCGAATTTATGTACCGGAGTCCGGATTTCTAGAGCTTCTGTCTTTGTAGAGTAAGTAATGAAAATATTGACCAGACCGGGCTCTGAGGATTTCAACGGAAGGATTTGAGAGATGACTGAACCATATCGGCAGGKTAGTTGATTAAATCGTGTGAACGTATAGAAATATGTAAAGTCCAGGTCGATTTTTTGCTCGACAGCCAAGATTTTTGAATCAAGGGTGGTGATTTCAAGATTTGTAATGGCAAATCTCTGCCTGAAGAACCTGTATGATGCCAACCCAGTCTCTTTTTCAGCTTGAAGGACAAATAATGTCTCATCGTCGTCGCTGCCCCAGCACGTGAAGAGTGGCTGACCTTCGATACGGGCTGACCGGACGCTATCACTGTCGAAATGCCAACTAAGAATCGTCAACCCGTCCAAAGGTCTTCCGATGAGGATGATGGCTCTGTCATGACGAGCATTGATCTCTATTATATGTGGAGATGGGAGTCGAATCTGATGTGACCGGTGGGTCGACAATTCCCAAGCGGTACAGTATCTGTGAGGGTTTAGACTTGGAAATCTTGTATACTAATCTAGTAAGTCCTACCCTGAAGCTTGAACAAATAAAAAGWGTTCAGATAAATGAATGAGGCGAATCACGCCACGGGTCTCAGTCATGAACTCGGTCACAGTCCCTGTCGTCAGGTTTTTGATGCATGCAATCCTTTGGTCTGGTGATAGCCATGCAACCTTGCCTGAAGAATAAGAAACAGATTGTTCTGCTGTTGACGTGTCTTTGAATAAGCATTCCAAGTCGTTGGGCCATCGATAACATGCTCTTGTACGGTTGAATCCATGTTTGCAGCGCATGATATCCGCAGCAGACACGGTTTTGTCTCCTAGATCAGGAAGTGGAGAAGGATAAAAGGGAAACTGAATCGCGCTGTAAATTTCCTTCGACGAGAGTACAGTCTGCCATTGCTTGGATACCTAGAGGGTCCAATAAGTAGCCGCTTTCTGCTGTGAGGTAACGCATATTTTTTTTAAGAAGTCATACCCTTTGAAAGATCCATACTTCAAGCGGATCCAAATATCGTGCAATTTCAAGCACGAGTTCAAGCGGTAGGGAGCCAACAATGTCACAATATAAACTTTCCTGACGAGCATTAAGCTCGCGTCTCTCATCGATGGTCAAGTCATCCAGAATGGCATTCAATCTGCTAAGCTACCTTAGCAGTAGTCACGGAACATAGCGGCAGGAAGCTGCTCACACGGCTCGGCGAGCTTGTTTTGTAGACAGAGACTTGAAGTCCTGGATGAGACGAGTCTGTTCAACATCGCTGTCGCTGTCGCCGTCCGGGTGACGGCTGCTCATGATTATGTAGACTGCATGCTTCAACGATAGTCAAGATGTCGTGTTGTAGGATCACTAGGGCGTTGTAAGTGTAGAAGCGGGGCAGCGATGTACCTAGTTGGTCCTAGTCCGGCAGGAGCCTGAGGCATCTTTGCCGAGATTGCGTGCGTCCCTTCTTCTAGCCTTAACTCTTAAGGCTTTCTTCACTGCCTCTCCCAAACAACATACGTCTCTTCTGAGACACGCAGCCGGCGATCTAGACATTCTCGACCCGGCTTGCCCATCAAAGTAATTCGCCAGCCTTCATATCGGCCCCCGCGCCATCTGGCTACGTGCATACCTAGTACCTACCGCGGACATACCTGTCGAGCTCGCATCGCCCCACTGATCGCTTCCTCCTTTTCATGCAGAGGGCTAAAACGCGACTCCCTACATGCGCCTGGACCAATGCGACGAGATCTCCTGTCGTCTTCTCTGCTAGTTTGAAGCACCGGAAATTGCTCAATCACAATTCCTGCTTCGCCGCGTTACGGAGGATAGTTTCCATCACTTCATTACGACCAGACTGCTTGCCAGTGCGTGGGCAGTCATGTCGAGTCGGGGTTACGTATCCGGCACTATCGGCTGGKAAGAATCCATATCCCTGCTGCCATTGCTTCTGATTGACATAAGATTGCATTTGCGCATGCATACCACATAGCTGCATACACGTACATACTATGTAGAGAGTATGAGCATCCTGAGGTAGCACTGCCTAGCTTCGAAGCAGCTAGTATCATTCAGCCCAGCTCCCATAGCTCCACCAACGAGAGAACGGAGACGATGATAAATTTACACGCGTAATCAGTACTCCGGTGTTAATCTTCTAGTTAGTAGCATCGTCTTTGATAAGCAGACTCTTGGAATGCTCAGTAACCTATTGATGGCGCGTTCACGTACTGCATCTAAATCATATTTGAAATGCCCCGTACTGTTATCATATGATGATTATGTTTACGCCCTGTTGACCGGCTCTTTCGCTGTATTGACTGTGTCGCATATTGACCAGCTATCGTGACCACAATTTGCCACGGTCGATCAGGTGGGGGGGACAATAAGACAAGAAATGAGAACAGAATAGTGATCAATGAATAATCGAGCTGATCCTGGACAGTCTAGAAGAGTCGTAGCATCTGCAACTAAGTTGCGGCAGAAGTAACAGAAGCTTCCACGAGGAAACCCCCAACGCCGGACTCGCTCCCCCGCAACTCCCTTTTCTGCTCTCCCTCGTTTGTTTTCTTTTGTTCCTGCTACATCCTCGACCACGTCGGCTCGGTCCTCGATTATCCTTACTGCCAGTATACTCCCTATCGAATCTATCTCTTATAGTGCCGAGTTCCATCGTTTGTGGCCCTCCGATCCGTCCCATTGTTCTTGTGTCATCATGTTTGGGCCTCTGGAGCTCATTCGGCCGTGAGTCTTCAGTCTCTTTGCGACGCCCCTCGACACGATCCGAGCACCGCGACTGCATACGCCATCGGATCAGTATACGAGTGTCCTACGTAGCGAGAAAGAATACGAGGACAATTAAGACAGGAAAGAAGCAACGCGGTCAACAATAATTGAACGTATATCGATACTCTTCACCTCACCGGCTAAGTCTCCGCCAGCGGAAGACGCACCTCCGCCGACGACATTCGCGAAACAACCGCTATACGTACTCGAGCCGCTATGAACAGAGTCGCCGATTTTCCTTCAAGAGGCCCTTTTTCTGTTGCTAGCGATAGACAGCGAAATATCCCCGTGCTCAATTCGTCGGCACCGGCAGCTGATGCCAATCGCGGTGATCCGATGGATCTGACAGCGGCCGCGCCGGATGGCGATTCCAGCATGCACAATACCAACGGAGACAACCAAAGTCACTTGAATGCCTCGGGTGGTCAAACTATAGGAGCTGCTGCTGCCGCGCAACAACCAAAGGTCGTCCAGACGGCGTTTATACACAAGCTATACAAGTAGGTAATTTCGCGTTCATGCGATAGCAGTACTAATCTTCGGGCAGCATGCTCGAGGATCAAAGCATTCAACATCTGATTTCCTGGTCCAACTCGAATGAAAGCTTCGTCATGTCTCCGACCTCCGAATTTTCCAAAGTTCTCGCGTAAGTTCGCCCTGCCCTCTCCGACAGTACATCATATTCTCATTCTTTGTAGACAATACTTCAAACACACGAATATTTCGTCCTTTGTACGGCAATTGAACATGTACGGTTTTCACAAAGGTATGTTCTCTCTCCCAATTGCAAGGCCCATGCTGACTATCAGCAGTAAGCGATGTCTTTCATACAAGCTCCCCTGACTCAGCGCTTTGGGAATTCAAACACGGCAACGGAAACTTCAAAAGAGGCGACTTGGTGGGTCTGCGCGAAATCAAACGAAGGGCATCCCGGCATACTCTGATTCATCGAGACTCTTTTTCAAATACTAAACCCGGAGTGTCACAACCGGGAACGCCAGCCGAGCCAATACCTGAAACGGGCGACATGCGGATGTTGTCTTTGGAGCACTCGATCTATGAAATGCAAAATCGAATGCTGCGCTGGGAAGAGACCAATTATATGTTGAGCTCCCGGTGTCAAGCGTTGGCAGAGTGTCTCGTCAGATGTCATCAATGGACAAATTCAATTTCGCAGGTTCTCGTCAAAATGAACCAAGACCGGGATAGTGCTATATATCGTGAAGGTAAGTCGCTGCAATGTATTGATAAACATTTCACTAACAAGTCCAAGTCTCGGACATGCAACAAGACATTGAACGACATCTGGATAGCACTCGTGCCTTGGAGACGCCTCATGAAAGCCTGCTGGCTAGCCGACAGCAAGCATTCTTTGGAAATGTAGCAGAACCAGGACCACCACTCTCACCGCGTCAAATGCCTCAAGACGACAGTCGCCGGCCTTCGCTTGCGGACACCTCTAAACCAATTAGGACACACATATCACAGCATCTAGCTGTCTCTCCTCGGCGGTATGGATCTATTGGTGGAGGGCATTCTTCGCCAGGTTATAGTCGTCCGCCGCTTCCTCCTCAACATCAGCAACCTCCACTACCTCCGCCTTTGTCGGCAGTCACATCGCCGTCAGATTCGGCAATGCTCGCGCGTCGACATACGTCTGCAGATATTCGTCAACACGGGTGGCCACCAAGCGGAATACAAACTGCAGGAAACTCATCTGGACCATGGCCATCATCGCCGCATCGACTTCCGTCGACTAGTGAGCAACAAGTCCGTGATGTTTTGGCGCAGTATGAAATTACAGGGTCAAGGCGACGAACCCAACTATCACGACAAGCAACACCACCTTTGGGGGCCCCCGATCAGCCGGGAGCACCGCCGTTTTCTGCGTCCGCTTCGCAGCAACATCTCACCGTGGATCCGACATGGTCGGCCGGAAGCAGTAACGGGGGACCTCGATTTCCGCGGTACGACAATTCACTACCAGCGACGCGTCGATCCAGTATGGCGAGCAATGTGCACTCCTTGCTCAATCCAACGGACACTAGCGAACGGCCAGAAGAAGACGACCAAATTCTCGAAGATCGCAAGCGAAAACGGCTTCAATAATCTCTTTTCTCTATCACATCCACATTTTGCATCACAGTAGTGAGTTTTTGTGTCCATCTATACATTAATACCACGACATACATCCCATCTCTTCCCATTTATATACCAACGCTTGAATCATCATTATACCCGAGAAGGAGGATCGGTCGTTCTATCACTCAAGGCGAATGGAGAGTTTGTTTCTTGTTTAATGTGTATAATACCACACATACATATTTCTATTATCCACCGGACTCTGTCCTCTATATATCTTCCCTTCTTTCTATGCATGCATTCAAATTGACGGAGTCTTTTCTATGTCTGTCTATACCAATGAGATTTTGCATCTATGTACGTACAAATAGCAGTAATATTTCTGACGCAATCATTCCACCCGCTTCTTCTTCTTTTTTTTCCGATCTTGTAATAATTCGTCCAAATAGCTGACCTTGCCCGTCTTTTTGCGTTTGTTGGATGGTATGGTAGGTATAGTAGGTATTTGCGGTTCAGCGCTATGGTCGATATTCGTATTCGTCTCGACGTTGTCTATATCCTCATGCTCTTCTACTTCGACTTTCATGGTTTTCTGCTGTGTCTGCTTCTTCTTCCCCAAAGACGTCCTTCCTTCCTCATCATCATCCTCCTCATCCTCAGCCTCTTTCGGCCGTGCATTCACAGCATCGTCCTGCCCCGTCTTTCCTCGCGCCTGAGCTGCTTGTTGTTTCTGCTGTTGTTGCTGCTGCATAAACTTCTTCGCATTCCGTCCCAGCAATCTCTGTCTCAGTTTATCATCCAATTTATTGTTGCTGCTGGAGCTATTCAGAGTATTAAACGCATCTTTGACGGGGACGGGGGCGCCGAGACCGAGTCTACACCACCACCACCATTAGTATTGTGTTCTACCTCATTCATTCTAGGAATCAAGCGATGAAGAGAGACAAACCGTTCAGGAACAGCAGTGAATATCTCATCGTCATCGTCTTGTTTATTCTCGGCGCCGGAGTCGGTGGATGTAGTCGTGGTCCGCGGCGGAAGCCATGATGCGACGAGGCGTTGGCTGCGGGCGAGCGCGATGTTGGCGCGATTGAAGATTATGTCTGCTTCACTTGGAGGTTTCGTCGTCATTTTTTTTTTTCCTCTTATATAATCTTAAAAGATAGGTAATTGCTTGTTAGAAGGAGTCAGAGTTTGGATGCGCAGTTACTACTGTAGATATTTTCGATTCTTAGGTGGGGATCCACAAATTACTTCTTTAGGTTAGTGATATACACATGGTCCACACTTCTTCAATTTCGAGAATTCAACAAGGCGAGATACACGCTAAAGAATATCATCAGTCATAAATCGTCACACACCATTAATCCGCAAAACAGATATGCTCTTCGGCATATTTCCTGTACCGATCGAGGATATCGGTTGAGTCTAATCCCTCCACTCCAACCGCGTCGTCGTAATGCGAGACCACCCCCTTGCCGTCTATCAGCACATTTTGATTCAAAGAACTGATGGTGTTGTTGCCATTCGGCAAAACGATGAATGCGCCCGATAGTTTTCCAGGTGGATTCTTCCACAGTGGGAATTTGTAGTTCTGTAATTCGCCGCGCTCGAGGTGATAGAGGAACGAATTGTGTTGTTGCGCTTGCGAGAGCCAGGTGTGTGTCTCAGTCGCGCTTGCGGGTTCTGATGTAGGGTGGGCACCAACGGGGAACCACGATTTTAGCATATCCCTCCAATAGGGCCAGAACGGATTCCAGCTCCGTTCCGATGATGCTCTAGAGTCCTGACTCAAGGAGTGAATATCGAGTACTTGCGGTAATAGCACGCCCGGTCTACGGTGAAACTCGGCGACGGCGGGTTGGTGAATGACATTCGCGGAAATGATGCTCGTGTCTGGATTTTGTAATCTTGTGTTGACAATAGTAGGAATCACATTATCCTCGATATAGACAACATCACCGTCAATTTTGATGTATACATTGTTGGCATCCGCTGCGGGGAGAGATTGGCTGATCGAATAGAAATCCGATTTGTTCACAGTCTCGTACAGCCACTCGAGGTGTCGCCATTCCCTCCTTTCGGGGATGAAGACCACTTGATCCAGTAGACCGCCATATGCAACCAGATTTCGCTATACGATATTAGCTTCCTCTGCTCCACTCATTGTCAGAAAACGTACCTGCAAATAACAATCCAATATCGAGCTCCGCTCCCAATTCCTATACTCCACCACAGCAACCACATTCACATCCCTCAGTTTTTCGATATCACTTTTAGTACCAATCCATTGATTTCTTAAATGATTAAGTCGGTGATTGAAGCTCGGATTGGTAATCAGCGCTAATAAAGTAGCATCTGTATAAAAACAGAGTATGATCGCGCCGAATAACGAGTACAATGCGATTGTGCCGCCGATGAAGGCTATCAGTAATTTTGTGCGGCGGTGTTGTCTTAGTCTGGGGTATGTATATACGATAGTTCCGGCTTCGAGGTTCTGTTTTTCATCGATTGGGTAGGCCATTTTCTGTCTGTGAAGATTATCTGATGGAGGGTGATTATCTGATCGGCGCCAAGATCTTATCTCCGGAAGAGGCGGATAGCTTCTTTTGATGATTTCATGCCATGGAATTGAGGGGAGTCTCATGAATATAACGTTCGAGAGCCAAAACCAACTCGACAGCTCGGGATTATAATTACTTATATACGCATCCATATAATTGTCCGGGACAAAACCACATCGGATACGCGGACGGATATCATGCTCGCGTGATCGACGTCGTCTGGTTTGAACTGTTACTAATCATGAGTTAATTGCTCCTCTGGGCCTAGCTCCCAGCTACAAGTCGAAAATTCTCAGACGCACTCGCCAGCTACTGAGGGCCAGATCAGCTTTGCAACAAACTTCCACCCTGCCAGAACTCCCGAGCATCCCGGCTGCGGCACTGGACTGCCGGATGCGGATGCGTTCTTGGGCCTGGCTGGTCGTCTGGTGGCTTTGGCGGACGCTTGGCGTATATCATTCTCAAGCTTGTTCGAGTCACGTTTTGCATGATTGGATGATTCTGGGGATGTTATTGATACGTATGAAGGGTGTGGGCTTTGATGCTTCGTGCAACCTGAGTCTGGACTTGTTCATTGTAAAGGTTTACACACAGCTAGTGCGTGTCTGGACTAGCGGATTTGCTTCCGTACCATGACTCATGACAGACTTTACTAAACAGACTGTAATCCATAAGTTAGCTAGTTAATTAACTAACTTAACTAACTTGACTACTAATATGTGATAATAATAAGCTCTGGTGTTTGTTTGAGAAAATAAGCGAAATAGGATTTCACTTTGGCATATCCCAAGTTGACAAGCGAAGTTGGATCGTGTATGGTAATTACAGATACAAACGTATCGTGAGACTCTCTATACCTCCGGATTCTCCTTACACGATCATCATTCGCAAGTGTGTATGCGTTACTAATGTTCAGCGGGTATTGCGTATCACAACCATTCAAGATCTGGTAAGATTGCTTATGTAATGTAAATTACAGATACAATATACGTAACTCCTGCGTACCGTAACTGTAATCCTCCTGAACTACAGCGCTGAATGACGTACCCGCAGTTTCCCGCGTTGCCGTCAGGGCGTTGCTTCGCTGCGCCGAAAAAAAGTTGGCCGCCGACTGACACGTGCAACCTTGATCAATCCCGCAGCATTACCGCCTACAATCAACACGGTGAATGCTCCCACCTCTCATCGCCATGATATCCTAACTGTTCCATGGCCTACAGTCATTCTCATCTCTCTGAAATATGAAAGCGGCCCTTGTGTTGCGCCGTCTGTGCCTTCGGCGCGGAGCAAACCACACCATCGGCACACCTCCGTCTTTACGAACGTCATTACGGGCCCTTTCTACAAACACTTCCCCTCGACTGCAGCCGCAGACATGGCATCGTCAGCTATCGCGACGATGGAACAGAATAGGCAGAGGGAGAGTCCCTATAGTCGGTTCGGTCTTGTTTGCGGCCGCATTGGGTCCCGGTGCGTTTATGGAACTGGCGGAGCAGAATGGTGAAGAAGAGACCGGGGAGAAGCATATGTTGGAAGCATCGCGGCAAGAGATACGAAAGACAGTTTCGGAGGATGCACGCGGCTTCACTCGACTCAAGCAAGAGGTTTATGTTTTCTTCTATTGCTATGTGTACGAGCCTATCGCAACTGGCTTCAGATTTCTCCATCTTACCGTCATATTCTTGCCGGTTTTGGTGTCGGTTCCTGTAATATGGATTGGCAGCCGGAATCCAGACCGCAACAATCAGCGATGGGGGACTTTATGGTGGTTTGATTTTCTGGTCAAATCGATGGAAAGGGCCGGTCCGGCGTTCATTAAGGTATGTATATCAGTACTTTCAACAGCTTTTGTTCGTCTGTTGCTGAACTCGTGATAGCTCGGCCAATGGGCAGCGTCTCGAACAGATATTTTCCCTCCCGAACTATGCGCTCGAATGTCCTCTCTCCACTCACACGCACCGGCACACTCTCTACATGCCACGAAAAGGATTTTATGCAAAGCCTTCAATGGGCTTCCGTTTGACGAGATATTCGAAGAATTTCAGGAAGAGCCTCTAGGTGTTGGAGCTATCGCGCAGGTATACAAGGCAAAATTGAAGCCGGACATTGCAGCACAGTACCAAGAGGAACTACAAGACATGCCAAAGGATTTAGCGGCCAGGGTACGAAAGAATGTCGATGTTCTGGTCAAAAGCTCACCTCAACGGGTGCCTTCGTCTTATGTTGCTATCAAGGTCCTACATCCGAGAGTGGACGTCACTGTTAGGAGGGACTTGAACATTATGAGCATTTTTGCACATGTCATCAATGTGATACCTACCATGGAGTGGCTATCGCTACCAGGGGAAGTTGAGCAGTTTGGCGAAATGATGAAGTTGCAGCTTGATTTGCGAATCGAAGCTACCAATCTGGTGATTTTTAGAGAACACTTTAAATCACGCACAACAGCCTGGTTTCCTTATCCTTATACAGAATATACTACTAGGGAGGTCCTTGTAGAAGAATTTGCGCAAGGAATTCCATTGTCTGTTTTCCTTGAGAAGGGCGGTGGTGTCTATCAAGAGGAAATTGCAGACGAGGGACTTGACGCCTTTCTCCGCATGCTGCTCATTGATAACTTCGTCCATGCTGACCTCCATCCCGGAAATATCATGGTCCGCTTCTACAAGCCCAATCAGCTAGATATCTCTCTGAAAGCGCCAAAGCGCGCACATGAAGCCACCTCGAGTGCTGAACTAGATGTCAATGAACAAGTACTACGACGTCTACGACCTCACACGAAAGACTCCGAAGCTTGGAAGGCTGCTCTTGCAGAATTAGAGCGTGAAGGATACCGGCCTCAATTGCTTTTCATCGATACAGGTCTTGTCACCCAATTAAATGACAAGAACCGACGCAATTTCCTGGACCTTTTCCGCGCAGTTGCCGAATTCGATGGATACAAAGCAGGTCATTTGATGGTTGACCGTTGTCGTCAACCGGAAGTGGTGCTGGATCCGGAGATCTTTGCATTGAAAATGCAGCATCTCGTATTGGGCGTCAAATCAAGGACATTCGCCTTGGGTAATATCAAAATTGGCGATGTATTGAGCCAGGTGCTCCAGATGGTCCGAGAGCACCATGTGCGTCTCGAGGGCGACTTTGTCAACGTCGTTATATCTATATTATTGTTGGAAGGAATTGGAAGGAGCTTGGATCCTAACTTGGATCTATTCAAGAGGTGCGTATATCCTGGGCTGTCTATCATTGAAGAGAGAAAACTAATGTCATATAGCGCCCTTCCAATCCTACGCCAACTCGGTTCAGGCACAACACTGCTACAAACCGTGTGTCACGGTGACACATCCATGCTCCGGGTATGGGTTGGTCTTGAAGCACGCACATTCCTCCAAGCCAGTTTGGAGAGTGCCGAAATGTGCGTCAAGTACGACATGTTGGCGCCGAACATTTGATTGAGCCTTCTCGTCCACCTTGACGACTTTGATAACGACTTCATCATGCGTACATTGATGTTTTCTTGCACATAATAACAAATACACATATAATGCCTACTCGAACATTACAGGCAGACAACATTGGGGCTGGCGTCATCATCATGCTCATTTCATGTACATATGCATTGACGAGCGTACTCACTCCTTTCATGTCTTATGTCGCTTTACTCTTACTCATGTAAGTAGATTAGAAAGAGAGTAATAATTATTTATATACAACTCAAATATCTCATCCTCACAGTAATCAGACATGAAAGTAAATGGAGATGTCCCAACAGAAAACGTACACATATCGATACACACTGAAAAGCAAAACCGCAACCGAGATTAATCATATATCAATATCGAATAAAAGACGACGCCGGATCCGAGTATGCATTAAAATATTCCACGTAGAAAAGAGGCTCGGGCAACCAAGCTGAAGAAATGGTTGATCATTGTTTCTCTCGTACTTGGGCACCGCTAGCCCTGTACCAGACATCACCGCCCCAGCGCATCAAACGCTCCACGGCTGCAGTGGGCGTGTCGACGGCGGGACGGATATCGAGGAAGAAAACAGGTTCGCCGGTTGGTTCGGGCGGACCGGAGTAGTAATCGATGACATAGCGAACCTCTTTTGGTCCGGAGGGTGTTTGGCGAGAGATGTACCAGTCGTGGCGGTCAAAGGGTGGTTCAGTTCTATGCGCTCGTTAGGATTGCCTGTAGTTCAAGGGATGCTGCGATAGACTCACCCGAATTTAGCAGGATACAGCCAGCCCAGCGTCTGCATAAACCTCGCCTTGGGACTCAACTCCTGCGGTCTGCCCTGGAACCTCACCAAACACGGCTGCAACTTCTCCTCCTCACTTCTCTGCTCACACAACCACCTCTCCTTGGCCAACTCCACGGCCAATTTCTCATTCCCCTTCCGACACTTCTCCCATCCACTCTTTAGCCCCTTTGAAAAGATCTGTTCCCATTCCACGATCTCGGCCCAGGCACCTTCGTTCAAGAAATTGTGCACCGCGACCATGGACTCTACCGCATCCTGCGGTGTATCGGTGTACCCCTTCCGGAGCATGGCGTTGTACATCTGTTGCGGAGAGGGATATTCCCATTTCTCATCAGTGTTATCGGCGCGCGGGATAGAGGAGATTTCGCGCTCGACGGGCAGATCGACTGTTTGGCTGGGGGCGCGTTCTTGCGAGATGAATGAGAACATATAATTAAGTGGATTTATCCTTGATTTGCCGCTTGTATTTGGCGCTGCTTGTTCCTGCGACTGCTGCTGCGGCTGACTTTCTGACGGAGGAACGAAGAATGGTGAATTGGGCGATCGTTTGACCGGGCAGGCGCTGGGGACGGGTGCTTCGAATGCAGATGAAGCGCCAGCTTTGTGCATCGGACATGCTGGCTGTAAATCATCAGCTAACAGATCATATAACTTCTCGTAGAAAAAGACTAACCGGAGGTGCCGCTGATGTAGTATTAGCAGCGGCAACCGGAACAGCGGCCGGCCGCTGGGAATCTGCCCAAAACCAGCCCATCGTCGGTAATATAAGATATAAATGAAGAAAAATGTGTTGTAAAGCGTAAAATAAATGTTGTACAGTGAGAAGAAGAGAATCGTGATCAAACCTTGATGGAGAGTTGGCAACTTTTTTTCGCCTTCTGCGGAGCCAGAGGAATTTCCCGGCTGGTCGGCGCGATGAATGACGCTCGGCGGGCCCCGAGTGGATCTTCTAACTGCTTAATAAATAACAACTACCGTTTTGCCTGAGGCTGCAATATATGTGCTCAGGGTCCATGATGATCTTACATTTATTCTCTCTTGTATGGGTAGCCAAAGTATTAGTCCCAATAAATTATAGATAATACACACAGAGAATCTATCGAAAAATATGATAACCAGCATAACCAGCATAAACGTCCACGTCCAACGCTCGATCCATCGTCATGTAATACTGCAAACACTTATGATCAAGAACCCTGGATATCGTGGTATAGCCTCGATATGAGCACGTATCCAAAGACCACCGCCAGCCCAACCCAGAATTTGTGTCGTCGGACCCAACCTTGTCCTGCCTCTCTAGCCACGTGCCCACCTTCCATCACAGCCCCCAGCCGTGGTCCACTTCCAGCAGGACGTCGACGAAGAGCCGAAGTTTCAGGCGAGCAGTGATTCGACGTCAACGCATTCGGATCTGGAATTATATGTCCCGTCGCAGCATCGATGCGATTGTCCTTTATCCACCTCCAGTTTTCCTGATCTAACTCCGGCCATTCCGTCCGGAACTTCAAGCCCCCATCGCCAGCCTTGATGTTATTAATACCCTTGCTAGTAGCTGTGACGCCTGCAGGGATGTTTGTCTGTGATCCTCCGCCCGTAGAATTCCACCAGCGTGAGCGTGCGGCAAATAGTCTGCGTTCGCTGTCCGAGGCACTGACGCTACCGGTCGTCATTTCTTCGCTGGTCATAAAGCTCAATAAACCGATGAGAATCGTCGATACCTCCCATGCCGGGTTGAAAGATTTAGGATGGAAGTCGCTGATGCTGAGACATAACCTCGTAGATGGTTGGAATCTGCCGCTGGGTGTGTGCATGCGAATAGCTGGCGGCGCAAATGGATATTCGGGAGGAAAGATCAGGGTACCCCAGTATTGTCCATTCTCGTAGGGGGTTTTTGGCGGGCCGGTGAGAATATAATGCCATCTAAAGCAACAGTCAGCGGCTGTCTATTCAGTTGAAGGGGGAAGAGGAACTGACTCTAATATGTTAGTCTCTGATGGATGTGCCACAATATAAGGAGGAGGGTTCTTTTGAATGTTTTGGTATTCTCTTGTGAGCTAGAAATGATGGTATAAATGTTAGCCTGAAACAACAACGAATGTGTTTTCGTGGGACTCACTCGTTTATGCGCTGCCTTTGTAGCCATGATGGCTGCGAGAAATTGTGAATATCTGAGCAAAGAAGAGCGACGGCGACAAGCACACTATGCAAGCGCTGAATGGAACGCGAAGGATGGCAGGAGCTTTTTTGCAGAGTGAAGGAAGAAATCCGAGGACGATGATATTTGACTGAAAGAGACGAGACAGGAGTCCGGAGTTGGCTTATACGGCAGCCCCACTTCTTATTGGGGAAGGCATGMCCCGCCGCTTTGTCAGGCAACCACCAAACCATTTTACTCTCTACATCTCCTGCTACAATGGAAGACTCCAGCATAGCAGTCATCCTAAGTGGCTTACCTATCGTGCAGCCATCGCAAATCTCAAAGCTGAGCAAATTTGTCCTCCATCGGCTGAATGATATTAGTCCAGAAAACTATAACAAGGTCCTTATGCCTGTAGCTGGGCGGTTATCATTGGGGTTTGTATAGATGCTCAGCACAAGAGCAGAAGTTACTTACTCTACAGCAGGTTCTGTATTGTACGTTTCCCTACAGTCACTCTAGCTGAACAGGCAATACAGCGTCTGAATGGTTATCAGATCGATATGAACCATCAGATGACTGTGGAGAAGATTGAGCACTCCGATCGATTTCGGCAAGTCGAGCAACAGAATCTCCTTGAGGTGGAACTGATTCCTATGCTACGTCTTCTTGATATAGCTGGCGCTGGTCCACAGAACGATATTATCAATATCTAGTTGCAAAACAACTACATAGCATTTTTCTCTAATTTTCCCTCTGCCATGATCAATCCTCCAGATAGGTTCTTCTCCGAGGGCCAGAGCTACTTCGGCTCAAGCGACAACCCCATCACTGAAACTCATTGCAATGTCTGGGATTGGAATCAATTGGGAATGATCAACCTCAAAGGCCTCGCTAAACTTTCTCCGCCTGACGAAGACTTGAGGTTTCGATTGTGTCTCAATTCACTGACTACCTATCACCAGAGGTCCGCGCAGTAACAGTGAATGACGATGGGCTCCTCGCCGAAGTCTCGACAGTTCCAAATGAGGATGATACCTGAATCACTCCATCACTCTCCAAACGCTGTGTAATTCAGCCCTCCAAACTTCAGGGACCGGACCGGCTCGGACTAGGTGTTGTTCTCCCTGTATACGAGGATGAACTAGGAAACTCTTAAAGGTTGCATTCAATTCAATTTTATTCCAAAGGATCAGAGACTGCAGATGGCCTGGGATGAATTGAATCTTCTCCAAAGCCTGTCATCGCATCCGAGTATAGTGCCATTTGACCGGGCGTTATCCTCGAGGACGTGGAATCTCGGATAATTGGCTTTAGTACAAAACACATATTAGGTGGAATTTTTTTAAGTTCAAAGGTGCCTATTCGATCTGAGTGGTTCACATGGGAGCTAGGCATAATGTATCATGACATTCCACCCCGGAATCTACTCATCGATCCCGACACACACAAGCTTCTTCTTTTCGGTTGCATATTGACTAGCCTAGCGTAGTGATATTGTAAGCATCAAAGATCAGGTCGATGTAGAAAACATCCCAAAGCGGCAAGCGCCAATCGCCGCGGCAATTTTAGGAAGAAACGACGACGTAGCCCGCACGGACCATCACATGTGTTGCCTTTCCTCGAGATTCCTCACAAGCCGACACAAACAACTCCAATTGCAAGCATCGGCCGGCAAGATGGCTTCCTCACTGACGAGTGACGATGAGGATGTAAGCTTAAATCACAGAAAAACAGCCATTTGCTTGTTCAAGGAGCGCAACTAACTCACGTCCATTGACTAGATCTTCACCCGACTACAACAMCCCGCCGATCCTAAGGTATTGGAGGAGCAGCAGCAAGCTGTCAATGAGCGGATAAATGCCATCTATCAGAAAGCGCAAGCTCGGCTTGCTGAAATGGTACGACCTCTGAAAATCAAAAGTCGAATCGCATTCTAATCCGTCCAGATCGATGAGAACTCGACTTTGCCGTGCACGATATCCCGCATCCAGATACTCAACGCGAACCATACGCGAAAAAGCTTCTTGGAACGCATTTTCAACCCTATTCTCAGTGCCAATCAACCGAAACCATACACACTAGCCGAGGCTCTATCCCGTGTCTCCCAAGGAGCAAACAAATTGAGCGGCTTTGGTAGGGTTATATCTAAGACTTTTATGGGCTGTGTGGCTAATATAGCATGTAGACATCTTTCATGAACCGATTTCGATCTTTTTGGACAAGCCAACCGACCCTAATGCGCTACCCACAGACTTAGATGTCTACCTGTCGGTTCGAGAAAAGTCGAGGATCCTGCTTAAAACCGGAACCGATCTAGGCAATGCCGAGGGCTCTGCGTACGGAAATCTTCTATGGCGCAACATCTTCGGCGGTGCGGAGACGTTGAACTTGAACGCATCTCTGGGTACTCGGACCAGATCTGCATACCAGGCCGCATTCGAGACGCCAATATTGAGTGACCCCAACTTTCGTTTAGAAGTCGGCGGAGTAGCCAGTTCAACGCAAAAACCTTGGGCTAGTCACGAGGAAGTCTTGAAGGGAGGATGGACCAAATTACGATGGCAGACTCAATCCGGTCAACGACATGAGCTTACATATAACGGTTTCTGGCGCCAGGTTACCGGGCTGTCACCTGACGCTTCGTTGGTTGTGCGGGGCGACGCGGGCGATAGTGTCAAGAGCAGCATTTCGCATACTTGGGTGCGCGATAGCAGAGATCATCCTCTTTTACCGTCTAGCGGTACATATGCCAAGACCCTTAATGAGGTTGCCGGTATCGGGCCTCTGAAAGGAGACGTTACGTTCTGGAAGTCGGAAGTCGAAACCCAGGGTGCTGTTCCTATTCCTCTTCCTTTTCTCAAGGGACCAAGCGGCGTCAGCTTCACGACCGGACTTCGCGCTGGTGTGCTTTACCCTCTGAATCTGAGCTCGAGCGCGACACCTCAGCCATCGAGAGTCAATGATCGCTTCTTGCTCGGTGGTCCCACGGATGTCCGTGGTTTCCGTCAAGCTGGTCTGGGACCACGCGACGGCAGCGATGCAGTTGGAGGTGACCTATATGCTGCAGGAAGTGCCAATCTCTTTTTTCCATTGCCACGCGTCGGCAAAGATACGCCACTACGTCTGCAAGCATTTGTCAATGCGGGCCGCCTGTTGTCTCTTCGCACATCAGAAAACGAACGCCCGAAAACCAACAACGAAGTCAAGGATGCTTTTGTGTCAACTATAAACGAGCTTCAAAACGGTCTTCCCAGCACTGCTGCTGGTATTGGACTGGTGTATGCGCATCCTGTTGCTCGATTTGAACTGAATTTCTCTCTTCCCATATACCAGCGCAAAGGAGAGGAGGGAAGGAAGGGGCTCCAGCTAGGGATCGGCATCAATTTCTTGTAAACATATGTATTGTAGCATTAGATATTGCACTGAATGGTTTAAAAGCGTTGAATATGTATAATCCTGTAACTTCGTAAGTTGTGTGTATTGAAAGTTGACGTAGGGCTGTGAGCAGCCAATCACGGAAGCTGCCACCGGCCAAGCTGTCACTCCACAACTTCCACCTAGATCTTCAAGTTCTCAACTCACCAATACAACATCTCAACCCTAATTTTTAGATCAGAGGTATTCATCGTTACCCTGATACAATCCCAGCTCAATATACAATCTACGCCATAGCTCGAGATCATCAACAGACCCAAAGGCGATCCACACACACCGGCCACGATGGCCCAATACTATCCCCAACAATCACAACCCTCCTACGGCTCCCAATCGCCTCAAAACCTCCAATTCTACCCATCCTCCTACTCCGTCTCAGGCCACACCACGCCCTCCCAAGCCTCCTATGGCGTTGGCTACGGCGGCCAGCCATCTACCCAAGCATACCCCGGCTCTTCAGCAGGCGGGCCGGGAGGATATGGAGGCGGATTTGGCGGTGCCGGATCGTCTGCGACTGGAGGTGTATCTGGTAGGATGGGAGAGCAGGGAGGATTGAGAACGGGCTGGCTAGCTGCGTTCGGTACGGAGGGGTATGATGGTGAGCCGCCGTTGTTGGAGGAGTTGGGTGTTAATTTTGATCATATTCGTTCCAAGGTATCTTACTCACTCCCTCTCTAAATATTTCAAGTTGGCGATGGCTGCTAACGACGGGTGATAGACACTCACAGTCCTCAACCCCTTCGCCCAAATAGACCAACACCTTATGGACGACAGCGACCTCTACGGCGCAATTCTCTACATCGTGCTGTACGGCACATTCCTGCTCTTTTCCGGCAAGGTGTTTTACGGATACATCTACGGCGTCGCTGTATTCGGTACATTGACTCTGCACCTCATCCTGAGTCTGATGTCTCCCTCTCTGGACGCGGCGGGCGGGAACGCGGCATCACCGATCCCGAACGCGGCGGATCCAAATAACTACGATCCTCACCAGAAACCACCGGGTCATATTGCAGGTGGTATTGGCGGCGGCGCAACGGGCCATTTCTCAGCAACGCTGACTTTCCCGCGCTCCGCTAGCGTGCTAGGATATTGCTTTCTGCCCCTCGTGTTGACGAGTCTGATTGGCGTCCTGCTCCCCATGGACACTATGTTCGGTTATTTACTTACCTCTGCGGCTGTGGGGTGGTGCACATACAGCAGTTCAGGCATGTTTTGTGCTGTGGGACGCATGCGCGGAATGAGGTTTTTGGTGGCGTATCCGTTGGCTCTTTTTTACATTGTGTTTGGGATTATGGGGATTTTCTCATCCAGGGGGAGTGGCACTTTAGCCGCGAAGACGGGGAGTTATTAATCATGCTGCGGAGCAGTCTAGTCGAGCCAAGGGATGGTGAGGGAGAAGCTGTTAGTTAGTTGATTCACTGGGTATTTTAGAGAAGTACAATGTAGACAATGATTATACATGACTTATGATAAATCTATCGATTTATACTCTAATAGTCTATAGTTATCGCTACTCATCTTTCCGAGGAGCCCATGAACTCAACCACTCCCTCGCCTTCTCCAAATCACCACCACTCCCCTCCAACGCCGCAATACACCATCTGAGATCATACACGTTCTCGGCGGCAAGCATTTCCCCGAGCGAGCGGCGCTGTTGGCTCGTCTCATCAGCACAGAGATAGAAAGGTATCTCTGCGTTAGAGCCTGAGTCTGTCAAAGGTGGTTTCGTATTAATCGGGTCAATCAGAGGTCTGACGACTTGCAGAATATCCTTGGAGGAGGTCGGTAGGACCGMCCCCGACGCAGAAGAGCGCTCATGACCCGTCTTGCAATACGCGTTCCGGCACCATGTCTTCCCGCACCCGGTAAGCATTTGAGAGAGATATCTTCGCTCAATTCGCCGTTTCAGTGACTTGCCCTCGGGGTCATGGGCGTCTGTGTACAATGGGGCGAAGCATATATTGCACAGTCCCAGTGGTGTACCCTTTGATGTCTTGAGGGTACGACCGCAGTTCACGTTTTGACATATCGATGGCGCTGGTCTTGATAGACGCTCGAGGTCGTGATGGCGTAGGTGGGTTTTCATATCGCGCAGTCGAATAATCTTATTACATAAATGACACTCCGTTGTCCGGCCTCCGTCGATGATTTCATGAGGCGTGAGACCAGACAATAGAACCTCAGGGTCATTCATGTCTGGATCTGAGTCGCCTTGTTGAGGGACGACCAGGTGGCAGAATTGACATAGAATCTGCTTGCCGGGGCATCTGGTGGTGCGATGATGCGCGAGAGATGGGAGACTTTCTGCAGTATAGTCGCAGTTGAAGCATGTATGCATTTTGTGGAATATGTAGTCGTGTTTCTCTTTGCTGGGCTCGTCGTTGCCGTATGACTCGTCATGCTCACAATGCCAATGGTTCTGCCATTCACTCGAAGATTTTTGGAAGACATTCCTGCATTTTGGACAGAGGATATTGTTTCGGAGACAGAAATTTTCGTGTAGAAAAAGCGTGCGTTGCGGAACCCATTGCTGACAGTTTTTGCATTGTACTTCATCTGGATTGTGCTCATTTGAATCAGCAATCTCTTCCCCAACATCGACTTGCATGGCATCAGCCACGCGAAGAGCATATTCAAACGGCGGCTCCGTATCTTCTTCCGGCTCATCTGGCAGAAGGAAAGCATGTACAGATATATACAACTTCTCTGCGTTAATCAGTTCTGGTAAAGACGCATCTAACTCCAGGAACTTGAACGACTTGGGCGACATATCCCCAAACACATGCTCGTCGCTCCTAGGCCGGGCTCTCTGATATGACGAGAACGGACTAACAAAGATGTCCAGATCAGCACCATCCGCAGCCTCAAGCTCCAACTGCAATCGTCCGACCCCACCCTTCATGTCAAGCTCATAATCAACATAATCCCCCTTAATAACCCGTCCTTGTATCTTTTGGCCTCTTTGGATCGTTCCTCCACTCGAACTTCCCTTTTCCGAGCCCGGCTTCCTCGCTGCCTTTTGCGAAAGCTTCTGTAACGTCTCTCGGGCCTGCTCCTCGTTCAACGGCTCAATATCAACCTCCAGGTCTGTATCAACAATACAAATCCCATTCGCTTGCCCTTCCTTCTCTTCCGGCGCAACCTTATCAATCAGAAACTCAAAAAACCGACCCCGTCCACTGGGCACAGTAAGCAACTCGCCAACTGTCAACGTAGTGAAGTTCTCACGTAAATGGCGTTCGAGTAATGCCTTCCAATCTTCGGGGTCATATCCTGCTTCCAGCGGACGGAGTCGTACATATGTCCCTTTTGGTAGCTGTTGCGCATGAAGCGTGACTGTAGTCTCTTCATCTTCTCTATTCTCTACTTCTTCGTCTATTCCCAGCGCATGCCGCAAGAATTTACTGAGCGAAACATGCCCCTCCTCAGCCGAGAACTCCCGAATACCGGCATATACAACTCTTCCATTGCGTGGATTCACGAGCCGGAAAGTGAGCGGATGCGGTAATTGGGGCTGTTGCTGCGCGCCGCCGGACGAGGTGTACGAGTCTATTGCGCGAGCTCTCGATTCAGCGGCGAAGGTATATGGATTGAACGGGTCGAAAGTGGATGTATACTGTGGCGCGTTTGGTTGTGGACTCGCAATACTGCTCTGTACAATGGGAGCCGCGGAGAGAAGCTGTTCGAGCGCCGAGGGAGGGAGGAGGATTTTGTCGCCTGGCAGGGATCGTGAGGTTTGCGCTGGTGAGGATAGTCTGAGTTGTGAGGACCATTTTAATGTGGCCATTGGAGATATGTGGTCTGCCATGTTCTTTCATAGGCGAGAAATATTCTGAGATGATGCTTTCCAAGTACGCGGCATGTTGCCAGAGTTTATAATGATCTTCTGTTGTAGTCTTCTGGAAGCTACTCTGCTCATTGCTAACTAATCGGCCTTATCTTATCTAATCGATATCGCCCCCGCAATCCTTCTTCCCCGATTGGTGGATCTGTCGATGTATAATACTATACTATGTGTATATTTATGAATATGAATTGAGAGCAAGATGAATGGTATGACTAGGTATACCTGAGAGTAAGAGTAGAGTACTATGTAGTCTGTCATAATATATGTATAAGTCATTAGAGTCCTTTCCCAGACTGTACTCTGAGATATCCAAGTGCCATCCGTGTATCGCCTCGCCTGTCCGGCTGGCAATTTATAGCCGATACAATCAAAACAAGTCATTATTCATAAATCGAGACCTCTAGTAGAGATCTCTGCTGAGTCGTCGGGAACTCGTGTTGCACCAGTCGCACTGTAGTTGGATTAGTCTACGTTTTCAGGTACGTAGGGCATGGTCATACCTTTGTTGAGGAACATCCGTCGTTGTGCTTGAGACAATACTCGCCGTAGCAGGTACCGCAACTACGCTGGCGCTCAACTTTACAGCTTGCACACTATTCATACAATTAGCTTCGAGCTTACCACAGTAATATCACGAAACTTACAGTAGGCCCGCATTCCCAGCAGTCTCGGCTAACGCCTGGGCCCAGTTTCTCTGGCGAGAGATCTCTGGGCTGTCCTCCCGGTCTGCGCACAACAGTCTGATGAGGCGAAAGACGAATCACTGCCTCCTCAGGGCTTGGCAAACAATTAAAACAGAACCATTTGTGACACTGATGGCACCATCGACTCTGCAGGCAATCCGTGCAACGCGCAATCATAACGGCCGTCTCATTTCGTGGCACGGGTCGTTTAGCATCGGTAATGTTGGAGGCATGGAGAGGTAGAGGGCTAAGGAGTGGGAAATGAGAGTCGGGAGATTCGCCCCAAATCGCGGGACCTTCGGGAGATGTGCGGCAGCCATCACAGCCACGAGGCCCTAAAGAGACTGTTGCAATAGCGGCAGGAAGAAGAGGGCCTTCTGTGCTTGGTGTCTTGTTGGTCGAATAGAAGTCGGTGTTATGTCTAGGACCTCGGCATAATATAGCGTCAAAGGAGATGATACCTTCGCATTTCTTGATAGTCTGCGCCCAGCCACTTTCAATCTTGGCTTTCAAGATCTTACCGGATGGTCTGTACCACTCGTTCAGATGCTCGTCTTGTTGGTCTGTATCAGGCGTTGAGGCTGTTGCTGTCTGGCCACCGACCCGTGACTGCCACCATTCTCGTCGGGATGAACCTCGACGAAGGCGCGGCTTTGCGGTCGACTCCTTCGGCGTAAAGTAGTAGATTCCCTTCACTTTTGGAGTTCCTGCCGGCCGTGTTGGACGCACGGCATATTCCAGCGTCTGCATGAGCTTCCGCTCATTGAGATGGGAGCACTCCCTGATCGAAAGAATGTTTACATTAAACTGGTCGGTCAAGATGATCTCAGCGATGAGATCAGCCGGAACAGATAAACCATCTAATACCAATGTGCGCACGCTTGCCAGAAGTGACTGTCGCGCAAGACGGGAGAAGATCCCTCGCAATGGCCCGCCATAAAACTCATCTTCAGTCACAGACTCGTCCATTCTCTCATTTTGCCAGCGCTCACCACCTGCATCAATGACCTGTCTCTCTGGGATTTGAGCTACTCGGCATGTACTCAAATCGAGATGTCTGAAGACGTAGGGGGTCTCCATAATGACGGAGCGTACTGTTTTACTCGTCGAGGCCAAGGCCATCAATGACGAAACAGGCAGCAAAGGTACCAAGTGATGCAACACGACATTGTTGGCAAGCAAATCAAATATATTAATGGGAATAATAGGCAGTGGTGAGCATATCTCTTCCTCTGGGGTAGATATGATTTCTTGGACGGAAATAAGCCCTAACTCCTTTGCAGTGAGACGACCACTGCCGGCGAAAAATTCATGGTCGTAGCTAATCAAATTCTTCTTGTGAGCAGCCAACGCTCCTGCTGTGACATCATCCAAAGACAGTAGGTGGAGTGTATTGGGCTGGACTTCATGTAGGGCACTCCTGGCCCTTGCCAACTCTGTCTCTAGGAGATCGATGGTAGGCGTGTGTACGGCGGCAGACATTCGGTTCTCTTGATCGATGTCGATACGATGTATTTGTTAGTCAGTGGTGTGTTGTTTAGCGTGGGGGTGTGATCGGTGATGTTTCCGATGCAACTAGAGTCGTATATATGTAGACACCAGGAGGCAGAAGTATATAGTTCAAATTCACAGCGGAAGAGCAAGCCGGGGAGATGATAGATCTTTAAACCCGATGAGGTCTAAGATATGTCAAAAAATATTGTGACTCTCTTTGATCTCCTTGTTATTCAGACATTCCCCAATCGGGAACGTGCAAAAAAAAAAATCCAGGCGTGGGTTCCCCCCCTTGATGGCGGTGGGTCGAGAGACGGACAATCGGGAGCGCCTCTTGAGTGCTAACGATAATCTGGCTTGGATCAGATGGTGAAACGAAACGATTGAGACGGCTTGCTGCATATGCAGAGCCAGTGAACTTGGCAGCAGATTTAATAGGTGAAATTCAATGGACACATACCGTGTGAACAGTCGATATTTTGTTCCTGGATGGAGAGCTGGGCAGGACGGAAGGACCAAAAGAGTAAATCCGGAGATACGCTTTAGTCACCTACAGCAGTTAACTAGTAAGAAGAAAAGTGGACAGCAAAACGTGCCAGTGGGTCGTCCAGCCTTTAAATATTTAAAGACAAAATCAACTAGGAGAATATACGGAGTTGATTTGAAATAGTAAAAACTGTGAGTTATATGTCAACTGAGGTAGGACAGGCAGATAGACAGACAGACATGGAGCATTCAGGTGAAGCAAAAGAGACTAGTGCTCCCTGAMAAGCCAATAGCCTCTATTTCGATAGAATAATAGATTCGCCTCATCTGTCAATAATCATCAGGCCGGCTAATATGCCGTAGCGAAACAGAGTTCGAAGGCTAAATAGATCTACGCTATGAAACCCCCAGCGGAGTGCAGCGCAGAGAACAACTGGCCAAAGCCGTTCAGATCATGCAAGGCCCCCAAGTAAGCCGAATGTTGTCTATCAGTCAGACTACTACATACTGTGGTATGCTCCGATACCGATGGCGGACTTTTGCTGACGGACAACGCATCTGCATCGACTCAAGGAGAGAGGAGCCCGTGGAGTCCGTACGCCCATCGCCAGACTCCAAATGGCACGGGGGAAAAAATGCACGAATCGTGGATAACGATAGCATAGTATGTACTAGTAAGCACATACAAGTAGTAACGATCGACTGTATCGCCACAGACAGTGAGATTATCGATATGTACGGAGTACTGTCGTAGATTGATAGACGCCCCGCAGTCTCCGCTCTGAAAAAGAAATAAAAGTCACGCGCCGGGGCGGTGGGGACATGGCCCTCTGCTAGGTAATGCTAGCGCTTCTAGATCTCTTAGTCAACTTCGTTACTAAACGACATATATGGGCACTGGTGATACTCATTCTGTGTATGTTATGTATATACGTGTAGCTTATTGGTGATCCTGCGTGCGAGATGTCATACCTAGGCAGTGATACCCAGACTGCCAAGCGACAAACAATGCGAAATTTTGGATCTGAGTATCAAGCCAGATCAGATTAGACAGGCGGGTAGTGCATCGGGTAGTACAATAACACTCGTTTAGTCGCTATGATTCTAGATTACATATGTAGTTCTCAATAGTCCATGCCAAAGAAGTTACGCCAATGCTTGGCTCGTCGATCAAACAATGGTCTATAGATCCTCAATATTGAATGAATCGTGCAGACTCAAAACGCCAGCATGCCCAACGACGTACACCCGTCTATTTCCAGACCTTGCCCAGACTGACCTCCTTGTCGTCGTGCTTGTTCAAGATCTTGGCCGTCGCCAAGTCAAAGTCTTCCTGGGTCACATGCACTCGTCGCTCTCGTAGCGCATACATGCCGGCCTCTGTGCAGACACCCTTCAACTCAGCTCCGGAGCATCCGTTCATTTTCTCGGCAATCTTGGTCAGGTTGATACCGCGCGTGAGGTTCATGGATCGTGAGTGAATACGTAGAATGTCTGCTCGAGCTTCCACCCTAGAGACGGTCAGCATGACTTCAATAGATCACAGCAGGCAGTACATACGTAGGAGGCGGGAACTCAATCTTTCGGTCAATACGTCCAGGTCGCAGAAGGGCAGGGTCAAGAATATCCAATCGATTCGTGGCCATGATAACTTTAATGTTTTTAGTAGGCTCGAAACCATCCAGCTGGTTCAAGAGTTCCAACATTGTTCGCTGGACCTCAGAATCACCACCACTACTACCCTCAACACGACTAGATCCGATGCTATCAATCTCATCCATGAAGATGATACTGGGAGCATGCTCTCTGGCCATCACGAACAATTCTCGTACCATTCGACTTCCCTCGCCGATATACTTTTGTACCAGCTCCGAACCACTCACTCGAATAAACTTGCAGTCTGCATGGTGAGCAACCGCTCGCGCCAGTAGTGTCTTTCCCGTACCCGGTGGTCCGTAAAGCAGCACTCCCTTGGGTTGGGCGATACCGAGCGACTCGAAAAGTTCCGGGTGTTTCAATCCAAGTTCGATGACCTCTTTAATTTCCTTGATTTGTTGGTCAAGTCCACCGATCATATCGTAAGTACTATCTGGCACCTTTTCGACCATCATCAGGGACACGAGAGGATCAACGGACGACGGAAGCATCTTCTCGAGCTTGTATGTATCGGAGAGCAAGGAAACACGCTTGCCAACGGTGAGTTTGGCGACGTCGACGTTATCGGCAATGTCGACCACTAGAGATGTTAGCCGCGATCACTTCACTGTATTAATCTTTTAGCTATATCACATGCGGAAGACAAACCATATTTTCCTTCTGGATGAACCTTGACAAGCACCTTCTTGGTGCCCATCACCTTGACCACCTCGCCGACATAGGATCCAGGCTGTTGAAGCAATCCAAGCTCTTCCCGCAAAAGACGGACTCTAGAGTTGTAATCGTTGCGTTGAGCTTCTAATCTGCGCAATACTGCCTGACCCTGTATGATCTCGAGCTTCATGCTCTCGATTTTGTTGCGATAGTAGTTGTCCAACGCCATGGTTTATGAGACGAGGAGACGGCTCCTTCGACGGCTCTTGCGGTACAGATATTATCAGATTATATCCGTTATTGCGTGGAGTCTGAAATTTGTATCGAGGGGTGTATTGATGAGCGAGTAGAAATCACAGACATGAAAGCTGGTTGTGATGGAAGGCAAGCTGTTTTGATGGATGACGAAGGTACGATGAGCTTCGACGGCGGACGGAATGCAGGAAGGAGCTGCAAGCACGCACTAGCCACGGCCACTAGCCACATATTACACATCTCCATGTGGCTTGACTACTCCCCACCAAGAGCTCCCTCCGACACATAATATCCAAGAGAGCCTTTTTCGCGACGATATTGATGTGAAACACTCGGTTCTGCGTGTCTATTTGACTGGAGCTAGCTTATCAATATCCTTTTCAAGGCTTTTCAAGGGATAAACTGTGGGAAGGGCAGCTTATGTCCCATTTCAAGCCCAAGAACAGCCCAACCTATAGCTATTTTCTTTATCTCCTATCTGATCCTTCAATCCTTGACGACTCGACTCACTTTCTCCAGCTCGTAGTTACAAAAATCAATCATACTTAATACTAAAATTTGCCATCTCTGTTCAAGTGACGTAGTAAAGTGTCTAAAGGTTCATCAAGTACCAAGTAACGCGGGCTGACCCCGTGAGCTGCCATGCATAAACTAACCTGCCTGTTCCGCCTGCCTCCTGCCACTTGCATCTCTCCTCTCGCAACCTCAAACTATCTTCATGAGCGTTCGGGGACACCCCCAACCTCTATTTAACTATACACCATGCTTGATACGAGCTGTTATTACGAACGCGTGAGGTAGATCAAGCTACATTGCAAACAGCTGGCAGACAAGCGCGCCGCGAGCTCGAAACCTTATCCTGACTACCTGATTATCAGGATAGTCCACAGTTGCAACGATGGCCAACCACGAATCGCGAGGCGAGTCGTCGCGTTCTCTAGAGAGCTCATTCACTGAAAATGAGTCGTCCTTTTACGCCCCAATTGTTCAAACGGACGATGATGCGTCATTCAGAGAAACATTCCAGAGGCCCAGGCCAGGCCGTGGTTATGGTACGACCCGCCCTCCCTTCTGACCCAAATTCCACCCCATTCCAGCTTGCTAAGACTCACCTATGGTTTGTAGGATCGATCACACAGTCTTCCGGACGAGCAAATCTGACGGAAGATGAATCTCTCCGTTCTCAATCTGGTCGACTTCAAGCTCCCCAGTCTCCCAATATCGGACCTCAAATCGAGCGGTCGAGAAAGCCGTCTACGCTACGCCGAATGTCTTCGAAGCCGTACCGAGGTCAAGAGTTCTCTGTCGATGACGATGCGCATGAAGTTGAGCAGGACAATGCCTTGCAACAAGTACAACATCAGACGAGCACCCCGGCACAGCCGTCGCCGAGAATCCTTCCCATACCAACGAAGAATTCGACACTGAGGAGGAGAACGAATACATCGGCTCCTAAAGACAGCTGGCAGAATGACGACGACGACCTAACACTACCCGAAGCGGGACCCAGCAACTCTGGAGAGACCGATTCGGAAGATACGAATGCAGATGACAATGATGATGCCGACGACCTCAGCGATGCGGAGAGCTTTACGTTGAGAGACCGTCAAGCAGCTATCAATGAGACCCATCCATTCGGTATCAGGATTTGGAAACCTGCCTTGTACAAAAAGAATCGTTCTGTTGAAAAGACCGCTGAAGGGGACATCCACTCATCGCCCGGCGGCCGCGTGAGTAATTTGTTATTTATGGTCAACTTGATGTGGTCATTCATATTCGGATGGTGGCTTGCTGCAGCCGCTCTGGTCGGTGGTATAGCTTGTTATTTGTGTATTTTCTCGCCTCATGCTAGAGAGTATGGAAACGTCTTCTTCGGTCTATCTCGTTATATGCTTTATCCATTTGGGTCATTCGTTCGACTCGAAACTGATGAACACTACGTCGACGAGGATGAAGGCGAGGGGCGCAGTATCAGTGAATATGAGCAGTGGCAGAGCGGAGATCTCGAACATGGACGGCTGTTTTTCGGTCCTACCAGCAACCGATCTCTTGTCGGTCGACGACGAAGCAGCATTGAGTCGGGGTACAGTGAACATGATAGTCTCCTCGGACGCACTGGCAGAGGTGGTCGCCTCGGAACGAATGCTTCCAGGCCGAAACGAAGACTGTTTGGCCGTGGCGAATGGAGCCTGGCCAGAGTTGTCTTCTTTGCATTCTTCTATTTTCTTACAGGCCCACTGATGCTTTTGGTGTCCTTGGTTTGTTGGTTGCTTGTTTTCTTGATACCCATGGGTCGTGTGATGAACATTCTTGTAGATCATCTTCGTCGTCATCCTCTTGCGTTGTCCTTTCACTCCGATGGCACATACACCCGAATGCCATCCGGTCCCTCTTCATCAATTCTTTTGTGTACTTACCGAGCGGCCGGCCTGCGTTACTGGAAGTACACTATCGACGGAACTAACATATTTCTTTTCAACCTCATGAGCATTGTTGTCTTTGTCATTTTCGACTACTGGGTGCTGGATGTGACTTTCGGATTAGAATCGTGGTTGACGCATCCGGGACTTGTTTTCCTTCTGTCCTTATTGTCAATTATCCCTCTGGCATACTTCATCGGCCAAGCAGTGGCCTCCATTTCTGCCCAATCTTCGATGGGACTAGGTGCTGCTATCAACGCTTTTTTCTCAACGGTAGTAGAGGTCTTCCTCTATTGTGTTGCTCTCGGACAGGGCAAGGCGCAGTTGGTCGAAGGAAGTTTGATTGGCAGTATCTTTGCTGGTATTCTATTCCTTCCGGGGTTATCAATGTGTTTTGGTGCGATTAGACGAAAAACCCAGAGATTCAACGTGAAGTCTGCAGGTGTGACATCGACCATGTTGTTGTTCGCGGTGATTGCTGCATTTGGACCAACTTTGTTCTATCAAGTATACGGTAGCGTATGTATCATTACCCCTGTGCATGCAACAAATGCTAACCTCGACAGCACGAGCTTAACTGTCGATCATGCGCCAATTTGATGGATGAACGAGACTGCCGTCGTTGTTATTTCTCACAAGGTCCTGCTGTAAATGATGACTTCTTCCGCAAAGCCGTACAACCATTCTGCTGGATCGCGGCCTTTTTCCTCTTTTTGGCATATGTTATTGGACTCTGGTTCACCCTCCGAACCCATGCTGCTGTCATATGGGCAACTGATGGAGACGAAAAGAAAGCTGCTCCGGGCGCCGAAGTCTCTATGCACGACTCGCGACATGCTCAGATCGTAAATGGGCTTTCCGGCTTAGGAGATGTTCAAACCAACAGCATTCGAGAGACTCAGTTATACAAACGTATTTTAGGACACTCGCTGCAACAGATTGGACTTCCACATGAGAATTTTGACTCAGGGTCCGATGGAATACCACCGCATTTGGATCCAGGTCTATCGAAGTCTCCTGAAGATCAACACGGGCTACACCTTCGGGGACTTACAGAGGAAGATAACGAAAGTCTCGCGCGTCAAGTAGCTGAAGTGGCAGCGACTGCTGCAACAGTTGCTGCGCGCGATTCTACCCGGAATCACCATCGCAGAACTTCTGCGAACCCACAAAGTACAGGACGGGCGCAGGAACCTAAAGCTACAAGCCAGCCGACACATATTACTGAGGAGCACGAGTTTACTGGTGTGCCAGTAGAGGCACATGCCGGTGGAGGTCATGATGCGCCAAACTGGAGCAAAACGAAGAGTGCGATTATACTTCTTGGAGCAACACTTCTGTACGCTGTCATCGCTGAGATTCTCGTGGACACCGTGGATGTCGTTTTAGAAAGCGTGGACATAGATGAAAAGTTTCTGGGTATCACATTGTTTGCCTTGGTGCCGAATACAACCGAGTTTCTGGTAAGTTTCTCTAGATGTTTGACCCCGCTTGGATGCTGACTGACTGGCGTGTCTAGAACGCCATTTCATTTGCTATGAATGGAAACATTGCTCTTTCCATGGAGATCGGTTCCGCATACGCACTTCAAGTCTGCTTACTCCAAATTCCAGCACTCGTATTATACAGTGCCGTGAATGCACGATTCATTGACCCGGCTGACCTGATCAGCCACTCATTCAAGTATGTTCACAACACCAAGACCAAAGATTAGATCACAGCTAACATACTATCTCAGCCTCATCTTCCCGCAATGGGACATGATAACTGTAATTCTCTGCGTCTTCCTCCTTTCCTACGTCTATGGCGAAGGAAAGAGTAACTACTTCAAAGGGTCAATCCTGGTCCTGACCTACCTCGTCGTCATAATTGGCTTCTACCTATCCGGCTATAATGACCTTGAGACCCTCGGCATCGACCGCTTTGATACACTGGCACTCGGCTCCTCGTCATCGTCTTACTCGGCTGCTGCCGGCGGCAAGTTTTACACCGTTGGACAAGGTAGAAGTGGTATTGCTTTTGCTGCAGCGGAATTGTAGTCGACCCCTGCCCTGCCTTTCAACCTCCTTGGTTATGCTCGTCTTTTTTCCGCAGCGTATGAAGCTTGCTCCTCTTCTTGTTTTGGTATATTCGTCATTTGGTGATGTGGTCGTTGCATTTAAGATTGTTCTGTTGTTTCTAGCTTGCTTGTCTGGTTGTTTTGGTTTGTGTGTTTGTTCTGCATCGTTGTTGCAAGTGCTCGGGCACGTCTCGGTCTGGGTCTACGTGTATATGAAGATCATTCTTACAGTAATAAATTCTTTGGTCGTCTTGAATCGCTCACCTAATTCGAGACATAGTTACTATATATACTTGCATACCAGGTAAGCTCAAATGGACCGCACGTAGGTAGTAGATTGATTAGAAGCTTTTGAATCAATCAATATGTGTAATCCTAGACCACTCCTTCCTTTCTCTACATAATTATGTATTTAAAAAGCACCAATCTCAGCTCCCGCCCTGGCCAAGGTCTCATAAACCCTCGGCTGCAATTTGTACTTGATCATACCGGCAAACAACATCAAATCCTTGGCCATCGCCAACAATTCCTCGGCAAGAGCTTGACGAATCTCGTTCTCGTAGGCACCTGCATATAGTCGCTCGCGCTCGCGCCCGATGCAGGTTATGCTCCAGATGATTAGTGGACCGATGTTGCGTGAGATTACGCTTGGCAAAGATGCAAAAGATTGGGCTGCGTTGCGGATGTAGGGTACCGAGCCTTTGGCGCGGAGGGGGAGAATTTGAAGGTCGTTTATTGCCTGTTTGGGCCGTTAGCGAAGAACAATATAAGCAAACAGATGTGGGTGTCTACTTACGTCTAGTGCTGGTGCCCAGTTACCGATTTCAACTTGACCCTTTGCTTCCAACATACGGAGTAAAAGCCCGCATGCATCGCGGTTAATTTGGCGAATCTTTTGGTAATAGAGTGCGTTGCTGTTGTAGAGACTGATCATGTTCCTGGCCAATGTCATGGGATCGTCGACTGTTGTCAGACTGAGGCTGCTGCCCGGTTCTGCAGAGGGAGAAGGCCCATGTTCGACTCTGGGCTTCAAGGGTTGGAAGTCCGCGACTGATTGACCGAGATCTAGTGAAACGGTGTCTGAAAGAGAGCGATTGATGATTTCGATGACATGATCATAGTCTTCGGCGAGATGGTAAAGAAGTACTGCATCAGCAATCAATCCCTTGTCATCTGCAACCGTTGCTGCTTGCACCGTGATCGTTCTGAGGAACTCGTCTTGGTCGACGAGCTTGATGAGTCTGAGACGGCGTTCTATAGCACCCTTGATTCTCACGCCGTCTGCTCTAATATCACCCAGCAACTTTGCAAAGTCTCTTGTCTCCAAGATGAACTCTCGTAACGCTTCATGACAGACAGATGCTTGTGACTTTCCGAGCGCACCGGGCAGATCGGCGTTCAAACAAATAAGAGCGAAATAATCAATTGCTGCTTCAACATTGCCAGTCCGAAATTCACGAGTATATTGCGTGATCAAGTAAGCAAAGTTGATTTGCGGAAATTGCTTCGTTGTAAACGATACTTTAACACCGGTCAGTGTATCATAATTTTATCCAAGAAATAATTGCAACTTACAAATCTCCTCTCCGCCAGTGTAAAAGTCTGCGACGCGCAAAAGCCCGTAATAATCGAGAGCAACTGCAAAGTGCACAGCACTAACTGGTGCATGAGACCCAAGATACGAAATAGCCTGTTCGAACATGCCACCCAAAATCTGTAAGAGGAAGAACGTTCCATAACCGCCTGGAGTATCTTGTCCCTTTGCAAACACGCGTTGACCAATTTCTGCAATGTCGGTCTGAATATCTTCGAGGCCAAAGACATTTCCTGCAAACTCTTCGACTCGGTCGTCTTCTCTGGCTAGAACGAACTGCAGCCACATCCAATCCTCAACACCCTGTCCAACGCCGTCCAATCGGCGGCGGCCCAGGTCACATCGACCGATGATCTTGTAACAGGCCATTCGATAAGGATCGATGGTATTTTCTGGCGCATTTCGTAGGCGTTGTTGGTACTCCCCATTGATTTTTTGTTGCAAGTCTCTGGGTAACCTCCTGCTTTGCGCATATGTGGTCATATATGTGACGAATTTGTGATCAAGCGAACGGAAACCTGGATCGGAACTGACGTATTCAGCAGCTTCAGTCACAAAACCGCATCGAAGTAGGAAGAAGATCAAAATCCAACAGTAATCTTCGCCCACGATCTGCAATTCCGTTCCGTCCGGTGCGAGATCTTTTCTAGCAGCACGAAGGCGAATGTAGGCGCGAATTCTGTTGATAGTCGAGGGAATTCCTCCCAGTTGCGCTTCGCGTGGGTTCTTCGCAATGACGGCCTCAACTTCGGAGTAGAACAAATTCTCCAAATACACTCTAGATCCCTCCACAATCCTTTTCCTCAAACTTGTAGCGCCTTTTGATGTGTTTAATTCATTTAGGTAGTCTCCGGCAAACTCTCTCTCCTTGATAGCACCAGGCTCTCCGAAACTGGTCACAACGCGCGATTCTCCAGTTATAGATATGAGAGCTTGGTAGGCTCCTGCTAATTGTCGTGGTACCTATAATTATTAGCCTAGATTTATAAAAAGAAAAAGTGTGGTTCGTTGAGAGCATACATCACCAGCGGGATGATCCTCCACACTCCCAAACTCATGGAAGATGGCAAAAGGTTTCTCTTCTAGTCGTGCTGCATTGAGCTCTCCCACCTTCTTGGCAAACAGGCCCATTTTCTCGCGCAAAAAGCGAGTATCAGGACCCTGAGCTCCAACATCGGCCCTATCACCATGATCTGCAAAAAGCTGAGAGCTGGAAAGAGAACCACCAGGTTGTCCAATAACAGATTTTTCCAACCCCGAGCGCCCAAATACGCTTCGAGTGCCTGTCGCACCGCCGGGCTGCCTAGGATGCGTAGCAGAACGGCCAAACGAACCCCGTTTAAGACTATCACCACCTGCCAAATCATCCCTAGATGACAGACCAAAATGTTGGAAGATTTTACGACGTTGGTCATCCCAGTTCATGTTAACCTTTTCTTCCAAGAAAGTATCGAAGTCTCGGTGGACGCGAGCAAGACTCTCTGCAACCATAGCCTGACGACCGCGTTGTTGTACGCTTTTCATGAATTTCTCATTATCAGGGTCAAATCCTTCGGCTTGTTTGAAGGGACTGGGTATAGAGGCCTGCGCATCAAGGGCCTTCAGATCGCGTAGCGCATGTCCCGGAGAGATACCTGACGCGGCGAGAAGGTAATGTCTTGATCATCAGTCAACAATCAGTCAAGACCACCCATGAAATTTTTGCCGAATGATTTAATAACTTACGCCTTTTGATCACGTCCGGTTTGACGCGCAGCTTTTGTGTCCTGGCCGCCGAGCTCCCTGGCTTTCCTGCGAATATCATCAAGGMCTAACTGAAGGCTCGGTAGTTCTCCATAGCTGTTGTCCTGCGAGCCCGTGGCGAATGGGCGCTTTTTTCCGCGTTCTAATAGACTATTGAAGAAGGCAGGCTGTGTGGCTTGTGCAGACTGCGTCGATTGTGCGAGCGATGGCAGGGGGTTCTGCGGCGTCTGCTGTGGTTGCGACTGTTGTTGATTCGTTGAAAACAAGCTCGAGGTACCTGTTTGCGCCGGCTGGCCAGCTGCTAGAATTGACGATCCCTTATTTCCTCCAAAGAGTGAGCCACCAAATCCGCCTGAAGCCATATTTGCTATTCAAATTGGTAAGGTAGCGGAGTGGGCGAGTTCTTTTGTTGTCTTCAAATTGCTGGCGGCAACACCTCGTTTTCTGCGAATTGTTGGTCGATTGGGCGTCTCGTGTAAATGAGATATTTAGCGCTGTCACAAATACCCCAACAACAGAATTTGAGGTCTAGGCACAATGCGATAGCTCTAGTGAGCGGCGGTTGTTGTAGCTAGAGGTGTTGCTTGAGAAACAAACTAACAAAGCCGTAAATTCTTTAGGCTGGTTAAGCCGCAAGCTATGCCCCCACATGGAAGGAGCAATCAGATCGCGCGTGCCGACAATTTTCAGACCATCAGACAATCAGGCTTCCAGGACACCCTCCGCCAATACTGCAGTGCAGTAGGACTATATTCACTTCACAGTTTATACTTATTTTTTGTCTATCGTATTATTCATCCCCTTTTGTTTTCTGCTACAAGCGCATCTGCGAGGGGGCCGGAAGCAACGACAACACTACACCATGCCAGCTTTCGGGTCAAAAACATTTCGACGATCTACCACAGCATCGTCAACACTTGGGGAACGCTTGGGAACGATATACAGAGCTAAACTGCCCAGACACCCTTTCCTCCTCTTCGGCCTGCCCTTCATTGCCGTCATCGTCGCCGCATCTTTTGTGCTCACCCCGGCCACCGCCCTCCGGTATGAACGCCACGACCGCAAAGTGCGGCAGCTCGATCAGGAGGAGGCTATTGCGCTCGGCTTGAAGGGCGAGAACGGGGAGGAGTCAATCAATAGGAACCCGCGAAGACGTATTGTTGGTAGCGACAGGGAGGAATACTACGTAAGCTGCCTGTGGCAACCTGGCTGTCTGGTGGTACGGAATGCTTACTCATTCTTTCTAGAAACTGATGGCGAAGGATCTTGATGACTGGGAACAAACAAGAGTGAAGCGCTTCAAGGGAGAACCAGACGGGCGATTCGATTGAGCGTTGTCGGTCAGCATCGTGTCATCCCACATCGGTTACGTACCTGTATATCGTGTATAGTAGTATCATTTCCAGCCATTCTCTTCGATGTATCATATTTGCTACGAGATCTACGACAAACATATTTGCATCTATCCGATCCACACGACTGCTCGTATGGACGTAGTCTACATGAAGGAGAGAAGAAGGAAGGCAGGTGACGATGCAGTGGTGGCGCAAAGCCGCGTTCGTAGCGATTCTGAGATTAGGCCTGAGCTAGCATACTTCGTAGAACACTGCAGTCATCGCGATGGTCACATGGGAGAACGGTCATGTCTCTACCATAGTATACTACTATGCACGTAGTCAAGTCATACAACACACACTATGTAGTAAAAGTATCGCCACGCTGCTGGCAGGTGCCTGAGGTTCCAGAAGGGCCGGTTGTGCGGCATAACGTCATTGCTCGATCCGCTGCTGACTTAGCACGACATCGTCACTTCCTCCTTCCTCGCTCCCCCCGAAATAAGTTGAAATAACTCACCTCATGCTACTACTCGCCCAGCCCCTCCACCGCACTACTACGTACACTTCCTGCCATTGGCACTCGCTAGAACCAGAGGGGTCGCGCTTGCTCATTCGGGCTGTCCTCTAACACCAAGCCAGGCAGATCAGTGATATCAGTCTTCCCCACTCGCAAGCCTCCCGAGAAAAAAAGGAAGAAAAAGGAATAGACTGTACAGGACAGGGCCGGAGTACAGCCTTCCCAGATCCACCCCTTCTACGACCGACTGACGTGGGCGATCGCTGAGCTCGCGGCTGTCCGCCATATCAGTATTTATCGGCCTGTCTTGCTGTCATCGCGCTGGGTTGCCCATACCCCAGGATTTTGCTCGGTATCGACGTATCCGACCCTAAGAGCCTTCTTACAGCATCTATCTTGACTGACTACCTTACAACAACGTCACGTCACACATATATTCCCAAATGTTCTGGATTTTTTGACACGCTCTGAACTGCAATATGGATACAGGCTGCCCGCGGTATTACAGTCAGAAGAATCTTCTGCTCTAAGAACAAGCCTACTATGCAGAGTTCACCAACAACCAGGCAGTCCCCCGCGTCATCACCCTGGGCCGCAGACCGTCATTCCCGGCAGTTGGGTGGTTTCTTCAACTCGTCAAACACACATCCTATACAGCACTCGGCGTTCAACGGCACCATGCCATCTCCGTTTCTGTTTCCGAGGGATTCTTCCGATGGTGGTGGCTCTGGTGGATCAGCGGTGAGTACAAACTATTTTGGTCTTCCTGTCGACAATCATGGCAGCCCACCAGGATCCAACCCAGGGCCACACACGAAGACGAATTGGGATATGTTGTCACAATCATATTCATCAATGCCCAGCCCAAGGCTACAGAAAGTATCGCCAAATCCAGCGCAAACGCGTATGATAAGTTTGGTAGGCTCTGCTTCTCAAGCCGGGGAAGAAGAGCCCTCACGGACGGGAGATCGCGTTGCTCATGATGCCACCACGAACCGGCCGAATCTACGACAAAATACGAAATCTTCTGGCTCTTTTGGACCTGACGCTCGGGCAGGTGGCTTTCTAGAACCTCACAATAGCAACATGGACATTGATGTTCACGCTTCGCCCATGCAAATTTCGCCTATGGAAAATCAACGGGGACAACTTAACCAAATCCCCTCTTTTGGCTTCCCGAATACATACTCACCTGACATATATCAGCCTACTCCTGGATCAAACGCTCGAAGCGATGGCGACAGACGTGAACACCCTAGCTTGTCTTTTCCAGGCACCACAAGTTCCCCACTGCCATCCTCGGGTGAAGATCGTCGACGCGCAGAGACACTCCCGACACCTACAGATCAGCTTCCCATTAACTTCATTTCGGTTGATGACTGTCAACGGCTGCTTCAAGCAGCGCCAGAAACGACCTTGCTTCTTGACATCAGGCCGTATCCTCAGTTCTCGCAAGCAAACATCATGGAATCCCTCAACCTTTGCATACCCACAACACTTTTGAAGAGGCCCTCTTTCAATACCGAAAAGCTCAAGGATACATTCACCAACGAATCTGAACAAAGAAAGTTCTTGTCTTGGAGACAAAGTGATTATATTATTGTATACGACTCAAATACAGTGCAATTACGGGACGCCACGTTGCTTATGAATGTACTTAAGAAATTCAAAGTGGAGGGCTGGCACGGCGAAGGAAGGATACTACGCGGAGGGTTTGCAGCTTTTGCCAGTCGCTTTCCGAATCAGGTACGACAGCAGCGTCAGAACAACGCCAAACCATCGGGTATGGGTGCCCGGCCGATGAGCCTGAATCTTGCATCTACTGTACCAGTAGCAGGGGGTTGCTCTCTACCGGATGCCGGTCCAGCCGAACCATTCTTTAGTAATATTCGACAGAACATGGATTTAGTCGGCGGTGTTGGTCAGATGCCCGTCAAACTTCCTAACGCATTAACGCCCGAACATACCAAAAATCTCCCGCAATGGCTTCGCAAAGCATCATCTCATGAAGACAAAGGGCACGATGTATCGCAGAAATTCTTAAACATTGAACAACGCGAGTTGCGTCGCATGCGAGAGGCCCTCAATTCTCATGTCAACTACGATGAACAATCCTCAACAAAGTTCCGGGTTGCCGGAATTGAAAAAGGATCAAAGAACAGGTATAACGACATATATCCGTTTGACCACTCTCGAGTTCGACTTCAAGATGTCCCTTCTGGCGCATGTGATTACATAAATGCCAATCACGTTGGAGCGAAGTTTACAAACAAGACGTATATTGCTACCCAGGCACCTATACCAGACACATTCGTCGTAAGTACTCCTTGCAAAAGATGTTGCTTGTTTAGCATCAAGCTTACATGATTATAGGACTTCTGGCGTGTTATTTGGGAACACGATGTCCGCGTGATTGTAGCCCTTACCGCCGAGATGGAGCGAGGACAAATCAAGTGCCACCCGTATTGGAACACCAACAGTTACGGCCCTTTCAAGGTCAAATCTCTTGGAGAGCGACGCGTATACGTGGATCTGCCACAAGATCCGGAAACACCACAGCGTCCATCGGCATCTGAGAAGAAGCCTTCTTCAGAGGGACTCTTTACTTCAGGTGACGAGCGACCATATATTCTCGTACGGCACTTCACCCTCTCACATTCCGACTATCCTTTCAAGCCGATCCGAGAAATCACCCAACTACAATACTCTTACTGGCCCGATTTTGGAACCACATCGCAACCGAATCATCTATTGCAACTTGTCGAGCAATGCAACAAAATCACCAGGAGGAGCAGTTCAATAAATTTCAGCGCTGAAGACGCCGAGCCACCAGGTCTTCGGCCTATTGTGGTGCATTGCAGCGCTGGCTGCGGTCGAACAGGCACCTTTTGCACCGTCGACAGTGTGTTGGACATGCTCAAACAGCAGCGCACGAAGCGAGCTACGAATGACGACAGTAGAAAGAAGAATAACGACGACAACGAGAAATGGATTTATGACGACTCGACGGATCTGGTTGCTAAGACAGTTGAGGATTTCCGAACTCAACGTCCCAGTATGGTGCAGAATCTGAGTCAGTTTGTACTTTGTTATGAAACGATTTTGGAATGGGCTGCGTTGCATGATTCATAGATGGCAGATGAAATTGGGATCGCCATCAGTCATAGGGAGGAGTACGAGTTCTATAGTTATAGGTATATATATATATATAGCATTAGAGGATACCCTATTTGTGTGAATTAGATATTTCATCATGAATTTGAGATAAGTCTTCGCGAACTATCACAAAGCAACAAAACTTGGGCAATGGATGAGGCTGTCGGGCAACTCATTAGGATTCAGCCTTAAGCGGGACGATGGGTTAACAACCAGGCAACAACACCGCCACTTGGCGTGTCCGTCCACTACATAAGAAGCCATCATCATGCATTCAAATAACAAGCATCTCGAATTAGCATTGCTTTCGAGAATTGATTCAAAGAGAGGGACGGAAGGAATTAAGCAAGCCCGGAGTTAGACGACCTTAAAAGACAGAGGAGTTCCGTCTCAGGAGCATCACATCCACAACAAACAAACAAACATGCTGCTCAACCTCCCAGCAGAGCTCGTACAACTTGTACTCAAACACTGCTGTATCTCGGCATACCTCCAGGCTGCTCTGAGCTGTCGCACACTTTACAAAATCGCTTCGTCTTCCCGAGATGTTATTCTCCATCATATGAAGACAAACCCCGGTTCCGGCTTCAGAGCACAGACAGATCAGAAATCGGATGTGGATGCTGAGCGATTAACTACGCGAGAACTCTTCTTGCTGCTTCGACGGGGCGCTAGCGAGCATCTGCTATATGGAGAGTCTGATTTCGATCGCACAATATACTCATTCGATGGCAAAGCCATTGAGATCTCTGCGTCTGCGATGTGTAATAAGAAAGACGGAAAGGCCGTAGCGTTGGTTTTCAAAGGCGATGATAGAATATATCATTGTCCAGCAGGTGCCGACGGGAGGATACAGATTGAGACTACTCAAACATGTTCTCTGCCCCTCTTGAAGCCGCTCCTTAATGCGGAACGTGTCAGCATTATCAAGAGTACATATGCTACCGATGACAAGTACTTGCTGGGCGTCCTCGTCAAGGCCGAAGAGAATGACGGTGGAGCAGGAGCAGAAGATTTAGAGCCAGTCCCTTCTTTTTTCAACCAGGAATTACAGCGGGAGCGAGAGCGTACTCAGAAGACTTATTTTATGTTATCTCTTGAGGCGACCCCTAGACGACCAATAAGCAACTGGCAGTGGCGAATGACAATTTGCGAGATCCACGCAGATGATGGCTTCAAAGTTAATGCATTGGCGGCTATGAACGCTCAGAATTTTGCTATATCATGGGAGCAGACCAATGGAAGCTATCACAACGTCGACATGTACAGGGGTTACTGGGACCCTCTCCATCGTTACAATTTGGGTACGACTCGAGGATATTTCTGTGCGTCTACCTGTTCCCCCGGCGGCCATGCGAGAGTTGATCAAGGCTAACAGTGAGAATAGTCAAATCTTATAAGTCGACCAGATTCGTTGACGAGCAGGGCCTGTGGGCAGCAGCTAATGATCCCAACAAGATTGAACTTACGCATCATCGAGAAGTTTCGGCCCTCGGAGCAGTGGCCGACCTCAGATTCAATGACTCTGGGCAATTATTGCACACTCATCGAGGGTCTGCGATGTTTGGATACTATCATAACTTTGAACACCATACTCACACGACTTCACCATTGCCCACTGGCGCGCATAGGAATTACGCTAATGTTCGAATGAGAGAGTCGCTAGAACTGTCCTTTGCGGTGGAAATCCCCTTTTATGCTATGCATGACACACAGTCTCTCCAAGGGACCCCTTTCTGCCATTGGAGATACCTTTCCTATGGCATATCTGCTGACCGCGTCAACGGGCGTACAATAGCCTGTCTGTTTATATCGCACATTGCGCTGAATGCTCTTCGTTGCACTCACCAGATGAATCTGGAGAGGGGACGGCGCCTGTCGCGATGGTCACCCGTGGCCCGACTCTGCGATTACCCGGATTCATCAGTGAGCACGATAGGTTGCCATTTTGCCGTATCGCCCAACAGCACGCGCATCGCGGTGATGCAGTGGGATACGCTGTATGTTTGGGCCTTGAATCCCGAAGAGATTATCCGGTTTGATCGGAGTGACTACTATCCACAAGCCTGGCGTTCAGGGGATAGGATGGACGACGATGATATGATTGAGCTACGTCCTGTGATAATCCGCATGGAAGCGGTCTGTTTCAAGCTCATGTTTACAGAGAATGATGATGTTATTGTGGCTTTGACGGATCGTGGATTGATGACGTGGGATTTGAGACCGCAGGGTCGCCGGAGACGGAGTTCGCTGAACCTGAATGTTGAGAATGTTCCGGTCATGTGGTATGGGCCTTCGTCAGCAGAGGACTATCTAGAGTATAGTTCAAGGGAAGTCAAGTCTTTGCCAGAAGATGCAGGAGAAAACTCGGCAGGAGAGTCAGCAGATGATTCAGATGAGGCGGATGATATATCAGTTGATTTGGAAGAACTAGGAGAGTCAGCAGATGATTCAGATGATATGATAGTTGATTCAGAGGAGGACTCGGCCGAGGACTCAGAATAAGGACAGGTGTATAACAGCATAATGTACATAGAATGGTTTCTCCAGGCACCGGACAGCTGATCTAAAGATCGTGTATCATAACATCCATTGCCAACTCCTTTCCCTCCATAACATGCCTTATTGTCCCTCTCCTCCACCTCCAGATAGCGTCAATACCGCAACAATCATCAACACCCACCAGTATCTACATGAAGTTGTTAGCCATGAAATAAACAGGATAAAAAAAAGGACGAACGACATACTTTTGGAAAAAAGTCTTCTCAACCTCTTCCGGAGGCGCAGTGCCACCTGGACTGACTACAATCGGCTTATTCAATTCCGGCAGTGCGCCAGCACTGGGGTAAACCAGCTCCACGCCTATCGAATCCTGGGACTCCTCCTCATTATCCTTCTTGGATAGCGAAACATAATACAAATCATGCTGCTGCGAGCCGCTGAGATATAGTCGCAGATTATTCGCTGAGGTGGTACTTGTCCACGCTGACTGCGAAACCAGACTTCCGACCCATTGTTTCGATCCATCCGCCGCCGTGGTATAGAATCCTATCCTGTATTTCAGATCCTTGTCGCCGCCCTCGGCGGTCGGGGGCGTATACGAGAGGACATTGCTTTCGAGTGTGTCGGGGTCATAGGCTATCTTGGCCAGGAGAGATGGCTGCGGCACATTGACAGCCCAGTGATAAATGTCGGCGGATTTGGGCAGGGCGGTGGATTTGCATTGAACGAGACCAAGGGATATGAATATGAAGAGGAGGTTGAGGAGGGTACCGAGGGAAGGCATCTTGTCACATTGACTATTTTGGCTGGTTGTTAATAGTAGTTGATAGTTGCCGGTCTGGTCGGATAACTTCCTCTGGTTAGTGCCAGGAAGGTAAGCCGCCGCGTCGAGCCCAGCCCGTCTCGAGCCCCCGCGAGTTAAGCGCCGTTTCCGTGCGAGCAATCATGTGATGAGTTCAGTTTTATTTAGTTTCTTACAGGGCCTGTAGAATCTAGATCCATCAAATTAATTGTTGACTTGTTGAGGAAGCATCTTATTCAAGATATCCCGTGCTACCTCAATTGCTGGCATCGTGTACAGGCATGCTACTTGTCATATGTACCCAAACATAATAAATACATGGAGTGGTGACTTAGGGAGCTGATAGGAAAGTGCCACCGCCGATGACGCAGTGGTGGGTTGGGTCCTTCCCCACGACGACCCAAGTGCCTTCCTTCCTAGTAGTACTAGCTACACCGCACTCACGATGATCTCTTAGTCCTTTAACAGCTCAATTCCCCTGTCTTTCTTTCCCCTCTACTACGCCTCTCACATCCTAGCATGCTATACCTCCCTGTCAAATTTCAACAGCGTGGTGTAACCTAGTCTCTTTGACAATCCGTCAATCAATCAATCAATCAATCAATCAATCAATCATCCCATCCTTCCATCTTCCTTGATTGCCCGTTACTGTTACTCGGACATTGCCCGAATTGAAATCCCCCAGCCATCATCGTTCTTCTCACCACCGCCAGCCAATCGTACTACTGACGTCGATTTGGACCGCCGTCCACAAGACACATAAATAGATCGCTATGGCTTCGCTACCCTACCGTCGTCAGCCCTCCCGGCAGACGTCTCGACAGGCTTCGACAGACGACCGTGAAGCTGTGCAAGCGCAAATGGACTACTATATTGGTATCGACGTTGGTACGGGGAGCGCCCGTGCCTGTATCATCAACGACAAGGGTGATATTGTGGGATTGGCCTCGGAGAACATTGGCTTGTGGCAGCCTCAGCAGAGCTACTATGTATGTGACTGTAGACAGCGAACGAGACTCCCTACTGACTTAGATTGTTTAGGAACAATCTACTTCCGATATCTGGCGATGTATCTGCATCTCCGTCCAGCGTGCTATCAGCCAGCACAACATCAACCCCGAATTCGTGCGGGGTATTGGCTTTGATGCCACCTGCTCCCTGGCCGTATTCTCAACCGACACCGATGAGCCCGTCTCCGTGACCGGTCCCAACTTCGACACTGACCGCAACGTCATTCTGTGGTTGGATCACCGTCCCGTTGAGGAAACCGATTTGATCAACTCCACTGACCACAACCTCCTCCGCTATGTTGGCGGAAAGATGTCCATTGAGATGGAAATTCCCAAGGTCCTGTGGTTGAAGAACAACATGCCCAAGGACCTTTTTGAAAAGTGCAAGTTTTACGATCTGGCAGACGCGTTGACTCATATTGCTACTGGTAATGAGAAGCGTAGCTTCTGCAGTGTTGTTTGCAAGCAGGGATATGTACCCGTTGGTGTGGATGGAAGTGTCAAGGGTTGGCAGGACGATTTCCTGAAGGAAATTGGCTTGGAGGAGTTGGTCACCGAGGACTACAAGCGCATGGGTGGTGTCGACGGGGTGGTGAGCCTATTTCATTTCGTTTTACTCATTCTTCTTTTTGCTTGATATCATTTCCTCTCTTGATGAATGATTACTAACATCATATAGAACGGCGATTACCTGAGTGCAGGTGAACTCGTCGGAACACTTTGTGACAAGGCCGCTGCCGAGCTCGGACTTCCCTCGGGTATCGCAATTGGTAGCGGTGTTATTGACGCATACGCCGGGTGGATCGGAACAGTCGGAGCCAAGGTCAACCTCGAGGGCGACGAGATCGACGCAGATGTCGCAAAGAATGACCGTACTCAGGCTTTCAGCCGTCTCGCCGCGGTTGCTGGAACATCGACATGCCACCTGGCCATGTCCCCAAACCCCGTCTTCGTGCCTGGTGTTTGGGGTCCTTACAGAGACACCATCATTCCAGGATATTGGATGACAGAGGGTGGACAATCCGCCACTGGAGAGTTGCTTAAGCATGTCATTGAGACGCACCCTGCTTTCAACCAGGCTATTTCCGTTGCCGAATCATACCACACCAACATCTACGAATACCTGAATGAGCATCTGAAAGAAATGATGGAGGACCAACAGGCACCTAGTATTTCTTACCTTGGCCGCCACTTTTTCTTCTACGGAGATCTGTTTGGCAACCGCTCCCCAATTGCTGACCCCAGTATGGCTGGTGCTATTGTTGGACTAACCAGCGACAAGACGGTGGACAGTCTCGCCATCCACTACTACGCTACATTGGAGTTCATTGCATTGCAAACAAAGCAGATTGTAGATACTTTGAACGAGGCCGGCCACAACATCAACTCCATTTTCATGTCTGGATCTCAGTGCCAGAACGAGATTCTCGTCAAGCTCATTGCATCCGCTTGTAACATCCCCGTTCTTATCCCTCGCTACGTCCAGGCTGCTGTCTGCCATGGTGCCGCCATGCTTGGTGCCAAGGCTGCCAGTGCCGATGGAGAAGGCAAAACCGAGGATCTGTGGTCTATCATGGACAAGATGAGCAAGCCTGGTCGCAAGGTGGTTCCTACAACCGACAAGACCGAGAAGGCTCTCCTTGAGGCCAAATACAAGGTCTTCCTGGAGCAGTGTTTCAAGCAAAAGGAATACCGAAACTTGGTTGATGATGCTATCGGAGCGTGGAACAAGAAGAATTAAATTCGGTAAATTAGAATTTTCAGCAAGTTAGATAGACGGCGCCTTTTATGATAAACTGTATTTACATATTATTTACATATTATATATGATCTGTTCCGCCTGAAGTCCTGTTCCACATTGGTCTTAACGATTGAGATATGCCTCGTAGCCTCACACTAGATTGGCTGGCACTACATTGCCCGGCATTGATGTCAGACTCTCGGGCATACAAGCCCTATAGTCTGAACGTCTTGTGCCCCGAACTTATATAAACATGCATTGCACTTGCCGCAGCCGGCCTACAACACAAGGAGAGTATGGCTTGTAGTTTGTCTCATTAGACATCATTCAAAAATATAGCTGTTCCACTAATTAAATATCGATTTTCGACCACCATTCCCAGCTTGTGCAATATCCTCCGCTTCAGCTAACAGCATATCAAGATCGTCGTCCAGCGGTGCATCATTATTATCATTATTCGTTTCTGTCACGGGCTGATTTGCAGCTGCTTCAGTAGGCGCGGCTTGCCTCGTAGTGGAACTGGTATTCTCGGCTTCGGCTAGCAGCATGTCAAGATCATCGTCTGGTGGCGCATTCCCACTTGGTGATTCGATCGATGTATTATTATTCTTTGGCGCGGAGGTGACGTTTTCTGCTTCTGCCAACAGCATGTCCAGGTCGTCGTCGGGTGGTGCGTCGTCATTCTGTCGGGTGGATGCGTCCTGAACTGGCGCGAAGCTGCGTCTTGGACGTTCGGCAAATAAGTCTCCCAGCTCATCCTCTAGTGAAGTATCATTTCTCGTGTCGTTAATCGTGGTAGTTGCATCTGCCGGCCCGTTCCTCTCCGCAGTAGAATTGTCATTGTCGCGGTTACCATAGTCATCGGTACTGTCGTCGTCACGTCTACGATAATCCGGCTTCTCCTCGTTTATCCACTCCCTCCGCATAATCTGCACGCGCTTCGTATGACCCAATTTCTCAATCATGGCGAGACCATCTGCAAATTTCGCGCGGGGATACAGATCGTCGAGCCATAGTTGGTAGAAGTTCAGGAGGCGTCCCAGGTCGGAGTACTAGTAACGACAGTCAATGAGGCACATTTAGCTGTAAAGAAATAAAATATTATGGACCGACCTCGTGGCCCTTGCCTTTGAATTTGAGTTTGGTTCTGACGTCCTTTCGTAGTTTGGGGATGCCTTTTTGTGAAAGGAGGCTTTTCAATGATTATACAATTAGCATATAGTACGCTGGAACGGCTGGGTGAACATACCGAGCCTCGTCGAGCTTAGCTATGGGCACTCTTTGCTTGGTAGGTTTTATATCTGCGTCCAAACCTAGGACTTTGGTCGCGTCGGCGTCATGATTGTTGTTTTGCGTCTGTGACGTTTCCTTGTCCTGAGTTGATGGGAGATTTTTCAGGACATCGTCAAGACCGGCGTCGTAGTCGAATAGGTCGTCAATCTCGGACATATTGTATTTATTTTTGATTCAACTTTACTTTCAACCCAAGACTGTCATGAGGACATCTCTGGCTCGCGTTCGACGCGACGGAACATTTGGTGATCATTTAACCCAATCGGGAATCATCCAGAATCTAACTATATCCGGTATAGCGTCGCCGACCACACCTCTCAGCGACATCCGGAGAGTTCGACCTCACCTTTTAACCCAACGACCCCGACGTCTCAAACCCAGCACTTGGGAGCAACGAGCCTCCGATATAATGGCCATTGAACCCACAAAGGCTATCGTGCCCCCTCGAGGGGTCAAGACTGACTACCCTGTAAGACTGGAATGATATTACAATTGCTTGGAGTCCTGCTAATTCGAGTTCTTTCCGTGAAACAGTTAATTGATTCCGACCCGTATGGCACCCAATTCCAGTTCCCGATGCGCTCTTATGTCAATGCTATACTGCGGATGGATCTCTAACTTTCTAGGTAGACATATTAAGAGAGTCTTCGGTTATGCTCGAGCTTCAGACTACGCTGTCGGAGGTGCCGCCGCAGCTGCCTCCCCGCTCGCCTTCTGGCTTATGGAAAAGTTCAGTCCTTCTCACGTCGGAAAGGGAGGATTCGCACCGGTGATGCGCTTGGCAACTGCAATTGGTATTCTCGGAGGCGTTCACATTTTCTACCAGAGATCTATAAGTATGTTCCATTACACCACTATCGGTAAAATATTCTTCAATAACTAACACCCCGATCAAATAGACCGCTTCTACGGCTTCACAGAAAACACACGCGAGGTCGAAAAGGATATGCGCGAAATGGTCGACAAGGTCAAGAAGGGGGAGCCACTCTACGGCAAATCACAACTCTCAGAATACCTCCAAGGCGTTGCCGCCCGTAACTCGCGATATACCGGTCTCTTTGCCCATGTTATTCCATGGTTCAATGTGGTGAACCATAACCAGGTATGCTGGACCATTTTGCTCTCTTTCAAGATCTATAGCTGACTTTGATATAGCACGGTATCGACACAGCCAAGTATTATCAGCAGGCTGAGAGAGAGCTCGAGGCGGAGCGCTTGGGCAAATAAAGCTGTCAGTCGTTTTCATAGATTTTCTAGTCTCGTGTGTATGCTATATTCCAATGAATATGTTCTGAAGGAGTTGTGAGTAACCGTCGTGTCTGCTATTGTATTTATCATCGTGTTGCCACCAAGCATCAAGAACTAAAAGAGATCTGTTGCGAAACAATCTATGAAAAATAAATTCATTCCATCTTCACGTCACTTGCAAACTCGGTATTCAATTCACGATTTCGTTTTGGTTTCGGATTCGGTGCTACGCTAAAATCAGCTTTTGATTTCAGTTCTAAGTAGCACGCATACATACCATTTTCATTTTCTTGAATATAGAATCGCCGCAGTAACATGATTGCATCGTTCTTGAATATCCCGCTATACACCGGATAAGGCGGGTCTATAGAGGGACTGCCGATAATTTAGCACTGAGAACACACCACGAGGACTGCAAGCGACTAAAGAACTGACTTTGAATGTAGTGATAAAACACTCCCAGTACCACCGAACCTCTCATTGGCACAGCCGAAGAACACTCGCCGGATGTTATACTGTCTCAGCAGCGAAGCACACATCACGCACGGCTCGACCGTCACGTATAGATCGACTTGCTTGAAAATCGACCTAGGGTATGTCTGAAGTGCTTCCTCGATTGCGAGGAATTCTGCATGTCTTGTGCCCTATCGGATCCCCTTTGATCAGGCATTTGTACATGAAGATGTTTCATGTTGTATCAAACATACATTCATAGACCGATTTGTATCATTCATCCCTGATCCTATTATTTTGCCTTGTAGTACAAGGACACATCCTACTGGAGTTTCACCAGCTGCCAAAGCTTTCTCGCCCTAAATTCGATGTATTAGTCCACGAAACAAAGTCGAAAATGAGAGAAGATTCCAGTACCATTAAGAGTGCCTCTTTCATAAATTTCTCCTGATCTTCTTGAGTGACGTCGCCATATTCTGAATTGGTCTCACATCCTGAAGCCATTGTTGTAGGCGGCCAGTTTAACAAAAGTCTGTTGTAAAGATGTCTAGATCAGTCAGAGAGTCAGCTATATCGTTTGTTGAAGATATTGTTGTATTGTCACAGAGATTTCGATATCAGAATTACAGTACCATGTATGTGAAGAAACGTGAATACACCATGCAAAAGTCACGTACGATGGTATCAAACGGCAGAATTACGGTATCAGTCACGATTGTGGGGCTCTCTGTTTCGACACCTTGGAGCCTTGCAGCCTTGTGCGTGTTGACGGGTAATCAGAACAGCCAATGAAATCTTGTTGATATCTTTGATACTGGACATCACAAGTCGACGACTGCATTTGCCGGTATTTAGCCTCTTGAATTAGCATTGTTTATGTCACCTACACGCCTCTCATCTTTGTGCTCCATGCACTTCTAGGAATACCATCCATGGACACGATTGAATGGGGACCATGGCAGGGGACGAGGAACCACGGCCTCGAGGCTTACAGTCCACAAATGGAAACTTCAACGCTGCAGACCCGACATCTTCATCAATATTAAACAGCTTKCTTCCAGGTCATTTGTCTTCAGAAGCATTTGATACTATCTCCCAGCTTCGTAAGGAGTTGACCGAAAAGGGACCTGGGTCATTTTCTCGGACTGCTGAAGATGTCAAGAACACGCAAGCTCTTATACAAGTCGCTCTCAAGGTTGCTGCCGAAGTCACTGCGGTAGACATTCAGTTTCCTCGTGATGAGACAGAGAGACGTCTTTTGGACTGTCTCGATATTGTCCAACTGCTCGTTGAGAATTCGCTAAGAGGGCTCGATGGAGGGGATGTTGACGCGGAAATACCCGGTCAAGATACCCCATCACCGTTTCATCTATGGCTGATCATTGAATTGGTCGATCTCGGTGTCAAAGTGCGTCTGGATGGCGTGGAAACCAAAATCAAGGGCCTCCTGATTATGCTCACTCGTTCTCAACATGACATGTTTCGAGCTCCTCGATTTCCAAGGAATTCTGTGTCAACTATACTAAGTGCTTTAGCTACGGGTAGGCATATGTTCTTGTATCTTAGATTCAATAAATCTACTAATTTCTGATATTGCAGACATTATACGGTCCTTGGAGATGGTCGATTTTTCAAAAATTGCAATGTCAGACATCACTCTACCCGGTCCTGGAAGCCCACTCGAGAAACGTTTAACAGCCAAACTTAACTTATCAGGACGGCCTTTCCAGTCTCCGATCCGCTTTGGAGACATCGGTCGTGCCATGTTTATGCTTCTCCAAATCCTAGAAGCACTCCTTTCTCCTGTAGAATCGAAGCCGGGTAGTTTCTCGGCAGCCGGCATTGTACAGGATTTCACAACATCTCTGAATCTAGCTGGTCGCATAGGGAAATGGCTCGTTTCGCTAATCAGGCGCTGTGGCACGTACGCCAGGCGCTTCATTATCGACCCTATTATCGGGTACCTTTACTTCGCCGACTTTTTGCTAACAAGATCATTAGAGTATAACGATATCGGATCTTTGAACGCTCAAGCTAGCAAGATACTAATCGAAGTACTGACGGTAGCCGTCTCGGACACCAGTCTCAGCCGTGAACCCCAGGTTGAACAGGCCTTGCATCATTGTTTAGAAGGCTTGAAGGAGAGCCAAAAGACCTCACTCGTGACGAGAATGACAATACAAAACGTCCTGATCCCCAGACTTGTTGACATACAAGCTATAGACGAGCATTTTGTCGCTTATTCGTCTTCGTTCCAAGTAAATTCGAACTTCAACGCTGAAAGAGTTGCTTCTAACAAGAACATACAGAACCTGGTCAAAGAGTTGATCGATTCCCAGAGGGCTTTTTATCCACATGGTAAGACCCGAGAATTTCTTTATAAGGAACAAGTATACTAAATAAGCTTTCTTGCCTCAAGAGCATGAGCTGGCTCATCGTGCTCCCAAGCGCATTCGGTTATCCGAACCTCAGCCTATATCTGGCGAGAAAGCCATAGCCCAGCAAATCCTCGAAAAAGCTGCCAAGATCATTGACTCTAATGATGTGACAAGCTTTGATGAGCTGGCACAAGCTGCGAGGTAACTCTAGGACCTTCCAATGATGTTGACTACTCCAGGACTGACGCTGTTCAAGGCAAAAGTACAAAGATCTCTCGGACCAACAAAAGTGCGAGTTCTTTGGCTCAATTGCAATTTATCCATGCATTTCAGCAGCACGTAAATCCAACGGATCTATATGCACGTCCAAGCAAATGCCAGGCGCCTTCCACTGTCGTGTTTGTGACTCAGAACGAATTATTTCAGATGGATATGTGCCTTGGCATGGTGACAAAGTCAATGAGATTCAAGAGTTCCTCCTTGAGTTTCTGCCTAAAACTTTACGCAGCCCACCCTTACGAATATCATACTTGCTTGCCGCGAGACGGTTCCTATATCATGAACCTGGAATTAAGAACCTATCAGTTAAATCCTCACCAATTGGTGAATTGTGCCTCCACTCTTTGAAAGCTGCCTCGAGAGAATTGCGGATTACTACTGGGTTAGTATCTATAATTTTATGAGTGAAAAATCATTCTGATCTGTGAACAGACACATCTTGCCTTGCTTTCTACAGAAAGCTGTGGATGTTCAAGTGCGGCGGCAGAACTTCGTCATCATCCTCGAGTGCCTAAAAAGCGTCTCAGAGAGAGCGGATATCCCTTCTCAGGAGACTTGCATCTTGACCTTGTGCCGACTAGCCGAGTGGGTTCTTGAACCTAAGCACGATAGTTCAATCCAATTTGCTAACAGAGTTCATTAGGATATCTGAAGATGAAGAGCTGAATATTATACTTCTTCGTCTTTTGGAGTATCTGGGACATGCAAACCCATACATTTGTGCTGTAGCTTATACAGAGGTAAGTCGTGGTCATTTTACCACAACGTCTTGAACTAAACATAGCCTGTAGCTCCTGAAACTCTCACAAGAATCATCAACAACTGTCGCAGGTCTCCTTCGTCCTTTTTGGAGATCGCTGTCGGTGACCGTGGTAAAGAATCTGAGGAACCGGCCTCACATGGCAGAGCAGCTGTGTGATCTATTGGGCATGTCCGTTGACAGCTTCCTACAATTGACTGAGGTCCACACGTTACCATATCTTGTCTACACCCGTAGACGAGATATCATCACGAGGATTGCTGCAGCTTATCCCTCGAAGTCAGCCTTCGAACTTTGCATGGAGCGTAACAATTTTGCATCAATCATCGCATACTTGTTGAGTCAACCGGAGGAAAATCCCGAGGCTATGATTTACTCGCTTCTGGTTGAAATTGACCCCAACTTCAAGGAAACTTCAGTCACAATGTTACTCAAGACAGAACCAATTCCTATTACTCGGGAGCTGTTGAAGAACATGGGTGATGCTGGTGATGGCCATGATGGAAAGGTCTATTTAGCTCACATACATCGCTATGAAATTGTTCACTAACATCTATTTAGTTTGACGGTGCACTCCGCCTGCTTGCCAAGCTCATATCCTCCAAGCACTCTTCGGGGAGTTCAAATCCGAAATCCCGCCCAGACGTTGGCCTCTTCATAGAGGAGCACCTGTTGGGTCTGATTACAGAATTTTCCGATACCGTGAATGACGTCCGCATACGCTACTCAAATATGGAGAAAAAGCGCAATATCATAGCCATTGGTGAAATGATCAAGCTTGCTAGAGGTCATGTCAATGTTGCTATTCCCCAGGTTTGTCTTGCCCGTGAGTTTTCGCGTCTGTTGGTCTAACTCATGGTCATACAGATTTGCTCTTGCCTTAGATCATCACTCGAGGTCGAGGAGTTGTGTGATCTTGCATTTGCTGTATGGTGTATATTGATCACTCATCTCGAGCCTGACGAGGTTGAAGCACTTATCGATCAGTCGATCGCAATCATTCTTCGATACTGGCCTGTCATTCAGGAAGGAAGTAAGCAAATGGCTCTGGTTCTAATGGATCATTTATTTCAACATCATGGGTATCAGCTACGTGAAATTTTTCAGACTCTACCATCATTGCTATATATCCCCGAAATGTCTCGTTTCGAAACTCAGATCAAAAATTTCAAAGGCTCTATGGACATAAGTGAGCGCTTAGTAGCATTCAGCGTCCGCTGCCAAAGTGAAAGTCTCACTGTCGTCGAGCAAGCCTTGCAAGAGCTAGTCCCCTTTCTCGATGAGAAAAATGAGATTCTGCACAGGACTTTACTGAATCATCAATCAAACAGCGGCGTTGCACAACTAACCCGCTCTCTTCTCGATTGTTGTGTAAAGTTTCAGTCCGAATCGGACACAATTGCCATGTCAACAGCACGTGCTCTTGGATTAATAGGATGTTTGGACCCAAATAGGGTCGAAATCACAAAGGAGAAGAAAGATATCGTCGTTCTTTCGAACTTTGCTCGCGCGGAGGAAACCTTCGACTTTACAATGTTCTTCCTTCAGAATGTCCTCGTCGATGCTTTCCTGTCAGCCTCAAATACTCGAGCGCAGAGCTTTTTAGCTTACGGCATGCAGGCTCTCATGAGCGCGAGTCATATTACTACAGAAATCACAACGCCATCTGACGACCTCGAAAAGAATGAAAAACACAGGCGCTGGCTCAATTTACCTGAGATTGTGAGGAATACGGTGACCCCTTTCCTCACATCAAGATACTCTATAACTTTGGGTGCAGCAAAAACAGAATGCACGTATCCTCTGTTTTCACCGGATATGAGCTATGGCAAATGGCTACGTGCCTTCGTCATGGACCTACTTCAGAAGTCCTATAGCTCCAATGTTAAGATGATATTCTCAGTCTTTGCTCGAATCATTCGTGACCAAGACATCGCGATTCCGGCCTTCATCTTGCCGTTTGCTGTGCTGAATGTTGCAGCAGATGGGCATGAAGAGCATAAGCGTGAGATTCGCGAGGAGTTGGTCCGTGTTCTGTCTCATCCTTCACCTGAAGGCAGTACTCGTGTGAGAGAGAATGTTCTTCTATGCAGTGAGGTAAGCAAGTTCGGCTGTCCCTTGAAATTGACCGGTGTATATATCTACTAAATCTTTCCACAGAGCGTATTCAGTGTCCTTGATTATCTGCTAAGGTGGTTGCAAGCCAAGAAGAAGCAGCATGCTATAATCGCAAGCAATCTTTCTGGGAAAAGCACACAAGCAGAACTAATGCTTGATCTTTCCTCGGCCCAAATCAAGAGCGTAGAGCAGATATTGTCCTCCATTCCTCCGGAAGTTATATCAAAGAGAGCCGTTGAGTGCAAGTCTTTCTCTAGAGCGCTTTTCCACTGGGAGCAATACATCCGACAAAGCAAAAGCTACAATGAGAAGCGAGATGAGACCGATCTGGAACCTCTCTACCAACGTCTACAGGAGATTTATACCCAGATCGATGAGCCTGATGGCATTGAAGGTATTTCTACGTATTTACATGTACTTGATGTTGATCAGCAGGTCCTCGAGCATCGAAAAAGTGGCAGGKGGGCTGCTGCTCAGAGTTGGTATGAGTTGCAATTGGATGAGGATCCAAATAACACCGACACGCAGTTGAACCTGCTCACTTGCTTGAAGGAGTCTGGTCAACAAGGTAAATTACCCAAAATTCTATGCTATCGCTCATCCACTGAATTTTGGTAGATGCACTCCTAAGCAGATTTGAAACATTCAGCGAGTCCGAAGAGTATCCCTCCAAATTATTCCCATTTGCTTTGGAAGCTTCCATCTCAACTGGAAAATGGTCCAAGCTCGAGAAATATCTCAAAGTCTGCCCCAAGGAAAATGCCACAGACTTTACTGTTGGCATAGCTTCAGCCCTCAACGCTCTGCGCAATGGCGACAAATCTGCATTCAACGAAATCGTCCAGAAATTACGGCTGAATACTACAAGGTCAATGACAGCAAATTCAACTATGTCTTTACAGACGTCTCACGATATGCTGCTCCAATTACATGCCTTGTCTGATGTCGAAGCTATCGTGAACGCAGACATTCAGACGGGAATGACGAAAACTGAGCTCGTCGACACGTTGGACCACCGTCTTGATCTCCTTGGCGTATACATATCTGAAAAGCAATATCTCCTAGGTTTAAGGCGTGCTGCTATGGAGCTGTCGTGAGTAAAATGACGTTATACAATTGATTAGAGTTCTAATACATGGTATAGAACTGGGTTTTCAGAACCAGACATAGCTGCTGTCTGGCTCAAGAGTGCCCGACTCTTCCGAAAGAATGGTCACATCGGCCCGGCTTACAACGCTGTAATGCATGCTGCACAGTTGAAAGCAAAGTCAGCCACAATCGAGCATTCGCGTCTGATGTGGACTGATGGACATCATCGGAAGGCAATCCAAACGCTCAAGGGTGCCATCGCTGCCAATGCTTTTGTTGCTGAGGATTCTGCAATGTCAGTGAGAGCGTCTGTCTCAATGACTGGGGAGAGACAAACTACACAAAATATTCTCGCAGCGAAGGTAAGTGTTGATGAGCACGTTGAGAATACTGTAGGATATTTCAGAAGCAGTCATTTTGACGGGAAATTAGGCCCAATTATTACTTGCAAAGTGGACGGATCGAGCTGGGCAGACTCACTCGGAGACAATTGTCCAAAGTTATCGGGAGGCGATCAAGCTATTCAGCAAGTAAGCAACACGTACCTGTGATTCTGGGATAACTAATCTAGCAACCTCGTGCAGATGGGAAAAGGCTTATTTCTATTTGGGCAAGCACTACAATAAGATCATCGAGTCCGAGAGGGCAAAGCCACCCGGCAAACAATCTCAAATTTAGTAGGTCATGCAGAGATCATAACTTCTGACCATACTGTGACTAACGGATCTAATCCCAGTCTGAGCGGAGAGGCTTCCAAATTAGCCATTGAAAACTTCCTTAGATCCTTGTTCAGCGGGAACAAATTTGTCTTCCAAAGTTTACCAAAGATTTTAACTTTATGGCTGGATCATGCATCAAATGTGAACTTAGCCTTTGATCCAAAGAGAGGAGACAATGTGTAAGTTCCCAAAGGCTTGATCAAAGAGACTCAAGCTGACATTGCTTCAAGCGAGTTCCAGAAACAGATCAACGCTCAACGAGAGAAGTGCTTAGAGGAAATGCATTATCAATTGAAGAAATATCTTAATCGAATACCGCCGGAAGTGGTAAGGTTGATATTTTTCATACTTGATCTTTATTATTTGCTGACAATAATGATAGCTCTTCACAATTCTCTCCCAACTCGTTGCTAGAATCTGCCATGCGAATGACACAGTACATGAGATATTGACCAGTGTAGTCGTCAAGATTGTTGTAAACTTTCCGCGTCAGGGTCTATGGACCGTTTTAGCTCTGGTTAAATCTTCATCCAAAGACCGCGCTTCAAGAGGCATGACATGTCTCAAGAAGATAACGGTAAGGCCTCATTTAATCCTCCATCATTGAAGACTACCTGTCTAACCATTAGCCAAGGAGGTGAACAAAAAATTGAACAAGAGCGGTTTCACGCCATCAGAACTAGGCTCAATGATTAAAGGAGGACAGAAATTTGGCGAAGAACTACTGAGTCTATGCAATGCGCGAGTCGAGGAGAAAGGGACAACTAAAATAAGCCTCTCGCGCAGCCTGGGTTTCAATCACAAAGTCGCCCCGTGTCGATTGGTCGTGCCGTTTCAGAGCATGCTAACCCCGATTCTCCCACCATCTCATGATCAGACATTCATCAAACAGTTCAACGCTTTTTCAGGTGATGTTGTTAGCGTAGAAAGTGAGTGGCTCATCACATGAAACGTTGTAGTGACATACTTGAAGCTAACAATCGACCAGAGGTCCTCGACGACGCACTGGTCCTCAATTCGCTGCAGAAGCCACGCAAAATTAGCATTCTGGGTACCGATGGAAAGGTTTACAGTCTTCTATGCAAGCCGAAAGACGACCTGAGAAAGGACCAACGTCTGATGGAATTCAACAACATGATTAACGGCTTCCTCAAGAAGGACGTCGATTCAGTCAAACGACGAATGTGTAAGTGCTTCTTGCCCTACTTGGGTGATTGATACTGACTCTGGGAAGATATCAAAACATATGCCGTGACGCCCCTTAATGAGGAATGTGGACTGATAGAGTGGGTTGATAATCTACGCACTCTACGAGACATTGTCATGAAACTCCTTCGAGAAAGGGGCATAATTCCGAACGTGAGATTCCTCGAAGTCAATGAATGATCATAGTCAAATGCTAACAAGTTTGCGGTGGAAAGTTCAATGAGATTCGCCATTATCTAAACGATGCTTGCTCTCATAATGACAAGCTTCCTGTCTTTACAACAATGATTCTGTCAAGGTGAGAAGCTCTACCTCTTTGAGACGTATGACATAACTAATATTGTATAGACTTCCTCCCGTTCTACATGAGTGGTTCGTTGAGATGTTCCCAGATCCAGGGGCATGGTTAGAAGCACGGCTACGATTTACTCGAACTAGTGCTGTCATGTCAATGGTCGGGCACGTTCTTGGGTAAGTCTTCACGTATCAAGTCATAATATCTATCGGATACCGATCTTAATCAACTGCTAGATTGGGTGATCGTCACGGTGAAAACATACTGTTCGAGGAAAGTACAGGAGGCATATTACACGTTGACTTTAATTGTCTTTTCGATAAGGTGCGCTCTATCATACGAGTTTGTAAGCTGTTATCTAATCTGGTTATATAGGGTTTGACATTTGAGAAACCTGAAGTGGTCCCATTCCGGCTTACGCATAACATGGTCGATGCTTTCGGGGCATATGGCTACAATGGTAAACAAACCGCTGTCTTCCTCTAGTACTGAATGCTCAAAACTCACTACGTTGTCGTACAGGGCCCTTCCGAAGGACGTGTGAGATAACGCTTGGGTTGCTACGACAAAATGAAGACGCGCTTATGAATATCATGGAAACCTTCTTATACGACCCCACAACAGACTTCATTGGGAAAAAGGTGAGCTATTCACTGTCACCCTAAAGACTTTTGTATAGACTTAATGCTGACTAGATCTTGTGTAATGACAGAGACGAACTCACAAAGATGTACCGGATACACCAGAGGGTGTTATGGAGAGCATCAGGAACAAGCTGAGAGGTCTATTGCCTCGTCAGTCGGTGCCGCTTTCGGTAGATGGACATGTGGATGAATTGATATTAAAGGCCACGGATAAAAAGAACTTGGCCGCCATGTACATTGGCTGGKGTCCGTTTTTTTGATAGGCGCAACTTGCCAAATCTTTTTTTTTTGCATTACATCGTGACTGAATGAGAAGCCGTCATACAGGATGACATCTGCTTATGTAATGTAATGCCATTCCTTTAGCAAGTGGTTGTCTTTAGAGCTGTTTTGTTGTCACCGTAAGAGTGACCTTGATTCCGCGGATGAGCATGAGATTTTGGTAGCATGCGCTAATCAAACTGAGCTCATCTCCGTCTGTTGTTAGACCTTTGAGGCCTGTTCCTACTGGGGCTGCGGCTTCTACCGGAGTAGCTGCTGGCCCTTGAGCTGTAGCTACTGTAATTTGGACTTCGACGTCTACGATTCCTTGAGCGTCTTCTCGGTGGGCTGCGTCTTCTTGGTGGGGAGCCCGAGTCAGAGCGAGAGTATGAACGGGCTCTAGAGCGTCGTGGGGATGCAGAGCGTGACAATGATCTTGGGCGATAGATATCATGTCTCTCTGCCCCACCATTTATGGGACGTCTTGGAGACCGTCTTCTTGAGGGTGGTGATGTCCGAGATGGATGCTCATGGCCAGATGCATGTCGTCGGGGCGAAATGGATCTATCGTCTGGTCCTGGTCTTCTGGCTGGAGGCGGACTCCTAGAGAACATTCGTTTGGGTAAAACGATAGAAACTTTGAGCACGGCGCCATCGATCTGAGCTTCATGCATATTCGAAACGGCAGCTTCAGCATCAGCGGCGTCATGGTAAAGAATGTACGCGGTGCCTCGATTCGTCATGACTAAACAAGGGAAATATTAGCAAATCTTACTCAAGTAATGTAGAGTGGAGACAGTTACATACATGTCTTGTTCAAAGGAAGATCAATGCTGTGTATTTCGCCAAAAGTGCCAAAGATATCGTAGAGGTGTTCTTCCGTTACATTTTTAGTCAATTTTTCGACAACGATCTATATAGTTTCGTCAGCAAATTGACGTTCCAATGAGTGTTACTCTGTCGCAATTTTTCCCTCTAGCGCTCAGTACCGGTCTCAATTGCTTACCTTAGAACTTCTCTTGGGACTCTCAGGAGTAAGGCTTCTGGAATAGCTCCGGTCTCGTGGCCATCTACCGCTCCCGCGTCGAGGGCTCCGCGAAGCTCCACGTTCAGGTGTAAATGACGGACTTCGTGATCTGCCGCGTTTATAGCTTCGTGTTTCGCTCGGACTGCGGCTCATGTTTGGTGATCTTGAACGCGCACCTGGAGACGCGGACTGGCACATTCTAGGTCGTGGGGACATCGAGGGCGATTTGTTTGACATTGAGGCGGGAGACCGTGTGTTCTATTTTCACGTTGAGGAAGTTTTTTTTGGATTCGAGAAGCGCAATAAAAATGTCCTATCGTTGAGACATTACAGGACTCTGAATCGCTGCAGCTGAGGTTATGTAGTTGTAGCTTGCAGAGGAATGCTTTGTACGAGCTACGCGACAAAGCGCGCGCTTAGACGGCAAGCTGAGTGCGCTAATGCCCCCGCATATCAGGTCAATTCTGATTGGTTGATAGGAAGTACTACATCTACAGCTCTTGTAGAGTGCAAGTGCTGTATTAGCGAATCTTCATTTTTCTTTGCCCTCTTTTCAAGTTCTATATTATCTAGCGAACGCTATGCATACATAAATCGATACGTGTTGCCGCTGCGCGATGATGTTGACAATAGCGTCTCTTGCAATTGGGCTTCGTACTGATCCGAGGAACGAAAATGTCTCCAGCCCGGTAATCGCTATCCAGACCCGCATACCTGGCCATTGGTTTTAGTGAGCTGTGTTGTTCACAGTCCTACTATTTATAGAGTCAGCTGCGAAATTAGCCATGCCGGAGACCGTGAGACGGCCATGTGCCTTAGGCTAGCGTTCCAGACCACTTAAGAAGGCGATGATAGAGTATAATGATATGTTAACATGCTCGTCAAGCATAACCTATCACAATGCAGATTTCTCGGCCCACTGCTCATATTCCGCTATAATATCGTGTGTCAATTGGCTTTTGACTCGAGTGAATGCGGTCTCAAAGTGATGCCACATAATCTCTTGTGGTTGATTCTTTTCATCTTCCTCATCTAACGCAGCTTCTCCAGCAGTCTCGCATAAACTGACGATTTCTGCACCAGAATAACCTTCTGTCTTGGCAGCAAGGTCATCAATGCTCAAATCTGCGCTAACGACTGATTTGCTCGTCCATATTGAGAAGATCTCTTTTCGAGAATCGTAGTCTGGTGGTCCGACGTAGACAATATTATCCAAACGGCCTGGACGCATTAAAGCAGGATCGAGAACACCGGGCTTATTGGTCGCTGCAACAACCAAGACATTTTTCAGCTCTTCAATACCATCCATCTCGTTTAAAAGCGTTGTCAAAACGTTGACACCGCCGCTAGCGCCGCTACGCTTCGCTGCAATGGCATCAATCTCGTCAAAGAAGAGGATACTAGGTCTGGCAGCACGGGCCTTTTGAAAAATCTCACGGAGTTTGCGCTCCGACTCTCCAACATACATGCTCAGAATTTCAGCACCTTTAACGGCCAAGAAATTCAGCCCAGCCTCGGTAGCCAGAGCTTTGACGACCAGCGTCTTCGAACAACCTGGTGGGCCATAGAGCAGGATGCCCTTTCGGCTTTTCACGTTGAGTCTTCGCATCCTTTCAGGGAACTGCAAAAGGTCAGTATCATATCCTTGTTTTGGATGAGAGTAATTCTTGCCTTCAATGGCCGCTCAACCATCTTCCGCAAATGCCTCTTGAGCGCATGTTGTCCCCCAATATCCGTCCATCTCACTTTAGGAGTTTCAAGGAAAACTTCTCGCATAGCTGTAGGACGTACATCTTGCATGGCCGCGACAACATCATCCTCGTTTATAACTAGCCATGCCGGGTTCTTCTCTTCAGATGCCTCATTGTTGATAGGGGTAGMCAAGCTCACCAACTCAATACTAGGAATCAGTCGATCCCGGGCATTACGGCAGATCATTTGTAAGAGGGCAAATAGATCAGCGCCAACATAGCCATGGGTTTTCTCTGCTATGAAATCCAATAAAGAGTCGTTAGGCTCTGATGATCCGTCACGTATTGCACATAAAATCTCTCTTCTAGCAGCCGCTGTTGGAATTGAAACCTCGACTTCCACCGAAAGACGATGGGGTGTCCTAAGTGAGTCATCGACATCATTTGGATGGCGTGTTGCTGCGATAACTAGAACCTTGGCATCTCCCAGCGCGTCAATACTTTCGCACAAAGCATGAACTAAGGATGATACGTCCGAAGACGTTTTTTTGGGTGCAATTGCATCAATCTGGTCGATTATAATCACACTGGGCTCCGACTGAGAAGCTTCTCTGAAGATCTTGCGTAATCTTGCCTCACCGTCGCCTGAATTACGAGAGAGGAGATTTGACCCGATGGCAAACGCCTTGTGCCAGCCGGCTGCCTCAAATCTGCGCAACAGTGAACTCTTTCCCGTACCCTTCGGCCCGTGAATAAGAATACCTCGACTTGGTCTATAAAACTGTGGCATGCCTGCCCCCAGAGCTTGTAAGTTAAAGTCCACCAACAAATGGTTCAACCGAAGTATCTGATCTGTGAGCCCACCCAAACCACTTTGGTCGACCTTAAGGAGAGTCTGAACTTTTGTTTCTTTCGGCCCATTGCCAATCTGAACACGTGAACGCTCGGTAAAGAGGGATATAGTCTGATCTGTTGGGTTGGCAGTTGCGATGTCCACAAGCTTGAAAGTCCTAGACTGACCCTTGATCTCAGCATCGAATGTAAGGCCGATTGACAAAACCCCGCATTGCAATAAGGGATGTTCCAGAGCCCATTCCCAATGGGCTGATTCCGTAGCATCAGATAAAGGTCCGTACACTGCGAGCTTGTCCGGATGAGTACAATCTTCAAGCTGCACTCTCTCAACCTCGCTTAGTGGTCTATCTAGCTTGGAGATGGTGAGCTTATCCCCGAGCTTGATACCGTAGCATTCTTGCAAAATGCTCGACGCTTGCACAACCGTCGTTTTTATGTCACCAACAGCATTCCATGCCACAGCAGTCTTTTCGATGCCTCCCTCCAAGTGAAGCGAGCAGGGACTGCCTGGGGATAGTTTGAGATAAGCCAACGAGCTTGCCGAGAGGTATATGCGGAAGGAATCGCGCAGGTCGCTTCGGGGAGGTTTTGACAGCGGCCGTAGGGTGAAGACGCGAGCTTCAGCCATGCTCTCTCGTGCTCGAGGCTGTGTGCTATGACTATTCGTATGAACTCTAGCTGGACATGGGAGTAGTCGCAATCAGGCCTGGGTTAAGGCGCATGCCTGGCCAGACAAAGAAAAAAGTAGTTGAGTGGGGTGCCATACAAAAAACATCGGAGCAAGAGACTACATAAGCAAGCCTATTGGCTGGCTTCGTACATACATATATTTTCTCCTACTTATTCAAGACAAGTTCATCATTTGAGTTAATTCGTTTCCAGAGGAATAACCAAGTATTCAATGTCTGTTTGGCATGCTGTATGTATCAAAACCTTGGTTTTCATCTATCAAGTACATACTGCTATAGTTCCTACTCATAAGCGCCGCTTCAGGCTACAATAGATGACTAGATTACAAGGTATGTGATATAACGAAAGCACAAAGATCGACAAAAACCGCTGTTTCAGAAAGATCCCACAAGCACGATAGAATGACCAACATAGAAAGAAAAAAACCGTCAAGAACTTATAGACACAATGACGAACAAACACAATGGCAGAACAGTCCAAGCAGCAGGGTGTACCGGTTCCATAACTTCCTCGAAGTGGAATCTATATCAAACAGATCAGGAAATAAGAGATAAAAGGGAGTAGAAGCAGAAGCATAACATGAGCGAAAAGGAGAATCTGCAAGTGAAGTTCTGAAGGGCTTCTCGATCACATCTTCCCGTAGAACAATTCTTAACAGCACTTTCCACCGAGATTGCCGTTTGACCCGGCATTATTCTGGTCTATGTTGACGCCTTGGCCGCCCGCTTGCTCCGACTTTGTGCTGTCCATGACTTTCTTGATCTCTGACGCGAGGCTGTAGAATGCTTTATCGACGTTGATGTTGTTCTTGGCGGACACCTCCAGGAAAGGAATGCCAAGTTCGTCGGCCAGTTTCTGTCCTTGTTCGGTCGATACAGCGCGCTTCTCTTCCCAGTCGCATTTGTTACCGATGAGGATCTTATGCACTCCTTCGCTGGCATGTTGCTCGACGTTGGAGAACCAGGTTCTGATGTCTGCGATAGTCAGTCAGTGTCTGTCCGTTATTCCAAAAATCGAATCGTCCTCGACGTACTGTTGAAAGACCGTTCGTCTGTGACATCATAAACCAGGAGAATGCCCATTGCGCCTCGATAGTAGGCGGTGGTGATTGTCCTGAACCGCTCCTGTCCGGCTGTATCCCATATTTGCAGCTTCACGCGCTTGCCATCTAGTTCGATTGTGCGGATTTTAAAGTCGATACCGATCGTGGTGATGAAGGATGGTGTGAACGAGTCCTCACTGAAGCGGAGAAGGCAGCACGATTTGCCCACGCCGGAATCTCCGATGAGCAGCAGCTTGATCTAGACAGCACCAAGTCAGCTACCAGGCAGCACTTCTTCAGTCGATTTCCAGTGTATACGTACTAGAAAGTCATAGTTCCTTGTGCCCGCCATGATGTTGATGTGTTGTTCGCAGAGTTGATGTCACACGGGGTTGCAATATGGGGGGACGGTCAGGTTGATGAGTATGTAGTAGCCCCGATTGTCACGCAGAACGGGCTGTAGTAGAATCCGAGATGCAGCGAGACAACAAATACTTATTGACGTTTTAAAAAATTTGGCAGAAAACAGTTTGTTGGAACTGTTTTAGGCAGTTGTTCTTTGAAGATTGCAAGAGAAGCCAGTCCGATCGACGGCCAAAGCAGGTTAGGCCGAAGAGGCTCCAATCAGAAGGCGCAGCGGGGGTTCCTTCTGCTTGGTGATCGGTCAGCACGACAACAACTACTACAATGCACACTTCTTTGCTCTACTCGTCCGCATATCGTTGCAACACTTCTCTGCCTTTAATATTACAATCAACCGAACGAAGACTAAATGGTCGCAGCTACGGCCTTTCTTTGTTTTTCCTAGCACCCTGTCGAGTTTCAAATATGTCCATCTACAGCGACGGTGACCGTCTCCCTCGCACAGAGATATTATACAGGGCTAAATGCTCGAAAACAATCAGGACCAAACACACGACGTATTCTGAATGGTTCCAGTCGGCATATTACCTTCTTGGTCACGTGGACGCGCCTAATACGACACATACAACAACACGAGCAACCGACAAGGTGTCAAGCTCTTGACGGATAGCGAAGTGATTGATGGCAATTTGCAAAGCAACTCTTCAGATCCATTTGGAGTACGTCCACTGGATGCGGTGGAGAGCATTTTGTTGTCTCCTGACGCCCTGGCTCAGGTCTGTAAGATCCGTCAGATCCTGTTGGAAAATGGCGAGGAAAGATCTGGGTATGGTATATTGAGCCCTGCGTTTCAAGATCTGGGCTTCGTAAATGCAAAGTCCATAGTCTCGATAAGACAGAACACTGTCGAGGTTGGTAGGGTATGCACCAAGAATACGATCGATGTTTCTGTATCCCAGAAACAGAAGAGTTCAGCATGGACAGCAAAACTTTGGATCATCGGTAGTTCACAACTCACCGCACGGAATTCCGAAATTTTTGTTTTTCAACCCCCGCTCTGAAGCCCTTTCTGCTATCGAACAGGCTGGCAACCCACCGAACACCGCTGTATGTGATCAGCAGGCCGGGAGTTAGGCCGATAAAGCTAGACAAACATTAGCATCTAGCTTTTGTGTCGGTAACAAGGTTGTACCAACCCAAAAACAAGCTCCTGGCTCTTGAGTAAGGCATCGATACCCCCCATAGCTAATTCCACATCCACTTTCGTCTTTTGTATTTGGATGAGAAGAGCACGAACGAGGTCACCCCGAACCGTTCCCATAAATGGCTTACGCAAATCTCTTTCATAAGCCTTTAATACAGGAGTAAGATCACCCTCTCTGACCTGTGCCGTGATAGTCGAAACATCCGGCTGCAGGCTTCCACTCTGACCTTGTGAGCTGTTGTCAGATACAAAATCGATCACCATTCTTTCGAGACTTTGCCTATCTGCCTCCAAGCTGGTTCGACTCATAATCGCGATCTCGCTTTGCTCATCGTGCCGGATAGTCCCGATAAGCTTGCCCACAGGCTGCAAAACCCAATTTCTCCAGAAGTCGATGACAGTTGCCCCAAATTCGGAAACCCATTCCACTAGCTCGGCTCTATGACTCGTGAGAAGGCGCAGCGAGGTACTTAATGACATCAACGTAATGGCAATTGGAAACCAGTAACGAGCGAGGGTAGATGGACGACCGTGCTTGCGGATATAATCTTGGTCATAAACAAGCTTGTCTGAAATACAATCTTTCAACACGTATAGCAGCCTCTCGATAACATCACTAGCCTCCACAAATTGCTCTTCAACGGACGAGCGCTGCCTCTCCTGGAATTCGTTGTCGGTTGCGAGAAAAATATTCTCTTCGAAATTCTTGGGTAATTCTAGAGGTCGTGAAAGATCTCGAAGAGTATTCTCCATCAATAAAACAGTTTTGTGTAGTCCGTGATACCTCTCGAGTTCGAATTTGACTTGATTAGTTTCTGGCGCTGGTTCATTGCTGGCGAATGTGAGACATTCCTCGAGCAGAATACCAATAGCACTGGCATTCAAATCTTTGAGCTCTTCCAAAGCCTGTCGATTCCGTCTCATATGCAATCTGTAGCGAGTAAGTGGGGATGATAGCGCATCTCTTGTGTTTTTCAAAAGGCCTTGTTGAATATTGTTTTGCACGAGCTGATAGAATCGTTTCCAATCTCTGTTGATTGCATTCAATGAAGTCAAATTTTCGCGTGCAGATGCAGTCTTCAAATTTGAAATGACTTCCCACATCCACCCCCATATCCTCGAGGGCGCCGTTTGGATGGTGTAATGTCCAGTGTATAAGCTTGAACCGAGGATGTCGTTCCAGTAATCAATTTCAGCGCCAATGAGGGAAGACTGCTCGAGCAGGAGGCCGAGGACAGTACCCAATGATTGTGTGGTGAATTTTGCAACCAAAAACCAAGATCGTTCGTCGAAAGACTCTCCCTTGTGAGTACCATCTTGATGCTGAGACGAAAACAGATCGTCGCTGCAAGCTTGGTTCAGAAGCCGCAACAGATTGCGCCGAGAAAGGACTCCATGATTGTCCACCGACAGAGATCGCGCTGTAGTTTGCAGACTTCGTGTGTTGCGATCATGTGAGGTTGATTCGTTCAGGGTGTTCACGTTCGTGTTTGCGTTTGCAATGGCATGGAAGTGATATCGATCGATATTGATATCTAGGCGCGACACAATCCTACAGAATTAGTCGACAATTTGATATACAGGCAGATCAGACTTACTCAGCAACAAGTGACATGGCGATTAACTGCCAGGATGTGCCTGGGAGTTGCAGAGCTTTGGAGAGTTGCGGAGAATGTTGATGGATTACATCATAATGTAATCGGTAACGTAACGTAATCTACAAGSGAGCCGCTATCATGGACCTAGATCTACCTTAGTTTGTGTCACGGACCTGGATCCACCTTAGTTAAACAGCGTTGTGTCAAGGTACGCTAGGCTTTACTAAACCACACAAAGGTTCAATATTGGACGTCGATAAGGTAGGCTAAGTAAATAAAATAATAATAATTAATTAGTATTAGAAGTCTTAATATAACTAAGATAGAAAAGATCTTCTATATAGTCTAGTATTTATATAAGTATAAATACCTTACTGACTCTTATTATTATATTTAAATAACTTATATTAAAAAKCTATAAAAAATAACTAAATATATAATAAATAAATATATTTATATAGATT